ACACACACACACACACACACACACACACATATATATATATATACGTAGGAAGGAAGAGCTAATTTTGGACGATATTTATTCCGGATGTCAAATGTCGAGAATATGCGGCTTCGTGTCAAACTGACTGGCTTGATTCTCTTTTACAGGCATGCCTCGGACCCGGTCCAACCTATCAGATTAAAGAAAGTAAACAGCGTACCCAAAAGAATATATACTTAAGGAGATCACGGTATAGACTATAGTTGAGAAAATAGCGTGAGAATAAGATGGCAAAAGTCAATCGCAAGCGTCAGAACACGAAAGTGTGGACTAAGAGAATGAATCGAAAGGCCATTTTATATGAAGCATCAAAAACGATAAGTATCGAGATGATAAATTCGAATCCAATGTTTTGTCAGTATGTCCGCATAGAGAAGGGAGTACCTGTGTATGACTTGCATGTGTTTGTTTTACTCAGAGAGAATACTGACTACGTGACTGGTGCTAGACTACTAGCTCAGTACGTGATAGGTGCGACAGTTTGCGGGTCCATCTAAGGGACAATACGGTACTTCGACAATCAAACAATAAACTATCAGCTAAGTTGGAGAAAGGGCGCCTTTCTAGTAGCGCAAAGGGGTGTCGGAAATCGCCTGTGCTTCTTGGTCTATCTAGAGTACGCCCGTATAAATTACACTTGGGGACCATACGAGGCGGTAGCTTCAGTACTGTAATAATCACCTAAACTCCAAGTGGAGAGAAAACAAGTGACCACTCACTTAGCTATAAGTTAAGCTAACATACTCCGTACGCCGTGGCCCCAATTAGGTATAAACACAGGCTGCGGTTGTACCTGAGCTCGCCTATGTTACAGACTGTTTCACCTCTCCCACCGATCACCCCTACCTACGTATGCCATTACGGAGTTACCCTCCGACAATTCTCGTCACTGCTTGTGGCCGGAGGGGACAGCTTGAAGCAGATGTGAGCGCATATTACACCACGGCGCTGTATGGCGCAAACAGTTCGGAAAAGCCCCCGATCAATGTGTCGGGCAGATGTACCATCGATATACTTTGTACACCTTTCTATCATCTGTAGCTCTCATTCGTCTACTTGCTTAAACTCACGGCGCAGTGCATGCGTGTTTTAGGATGTTGAGGATGCACATCACGACACGTTTCACCGATCTCTGCTCTGTTACTCGGACCGCTCGGACACTGCTTTCGCATCGCGAGGGTGATGTGTCCGTCTTCATACTCGGTACGGAGGTACTGTATTTTGAAAGGGGAAGCATCTCCATTGCGCCCGCAGAAACACTGATTGACTATCTGCCCTGCCATTTTGGGAGGCTCAACCTCCCAACACTGCGTCGTTAATCGGCCCTACGAACTGACTGGGTAGATGGCGTGGCTAATCCAAATGTTAGTAGAGGGCCTTCTAGCCATTAGTCGTCCATGGGCCGATTCATCCGTTTCATTGGGGGCGGCCCGGGGCCAGATACTAACGCAACATTGACGATCGCCAGCGCAACCCTAGAACAGAGAGTAGAATCTTTTTTTTTCCCTTTTTCTCTTCCCTCGTTCGCTCTTCTCGGCTCCGTAATCAAGCATGCAGGTGGGCGCTGTGCCTCATCCTACGCGGCTACTTTAATTTACCTGTGGCAGCCACTGCAGATTCGCGGGCTGTGGGTGCCTGGCTGGCGTGAAGATAGAGTAAGTTAATTTCCTTAAGGTACTTTTATTAGTCACTCTTACTTGCCCACGACAACGTCTCACACGGGCCAGGTGATTTACAGACCTTGTCAACATGTTTGGACTTTTTAATCTGGGGCCAGACAAGCCGAGCGTTTCGACTGATATTTCTCTACGAGTACAGAACCGTGCCAGCGCCATTCATCATCACCGGGGCATGCTGACATTGTCGTATGAAAAGCCTCCGAGCGACCTCAGCTTTGTCGTGACCTCAGTCCCCTTCCACGCCTGCGCAATAAACGGTTTCAAAAATATTAACGAATATTCTGCCAAAATACAGGAGGCCCCCCTGCTCTAAGTCGGTTAATGAAAATAGTTCCGTCGCTACTTCGGGGAAACAATCTCATCTGCGCACCACCACGACTGCAATTTAACAAAAAAGTCAAATTTCTCTCGTGTTCAAGTCTCGACGAAATACCAATTCGACTCGCTACGGCTCAGTTATTTCATCGCCCAACCGAGGCGCCATCAGGCCTAGTCACGCATCTAAATTGTGCGCCGAGTTTCTTTACATAATGTCAAGTTTTGTGTGGGCGTTTCCGTTCCCACCACTACGAGTACCGATGATGATAATCAAAACTCGGTGGGATGAGAGGAAGCCTTGACTCATTAGTTCTGTCCCGTAAGGTTTTCCTCTTGCCGAGTAAGGCGGACACTCGGACGTTTTCCACTCAAGTGCTGCGGACCCTGGATTAGGTAAATTGAAGTGCCGCCGCTTGAACGCGGCCGCAACCACCCGTTGAGCAAGCCACTTTTGCGGGCTTTTTCCCTTGCCCTTCTCCCTTTTTTTCTCTCTCTCTCTCTCTGTTTTTGTCTCCCTTTTGTGGACCAGCCTTCCAGCTAGATTGTCAACGTATCCTGAAGAAGACATACAAACGTGGGACAGGGGTTGCATTGGCAATTTAGGAGCGGGGGCATTCGGTAAGTGTGTGCTTCATCAAACTTGTTCTCCGTTGTCGTTGTGGAGGGAAGCGCTCAGGAAGGACCCGCATCAGCCCCAGGACAACAAATGCAGGAACACACAAGTACTGGTACCGAGGCGGTGCAGGGAACGGCGGGGGTCAACCCGGACGAGTCAACAGTTGGGCAGGTAGCGATACTTGGTCATCCACCAAACTTATTTTCTCCCTGTCCAGTTCGAAGCTCCCGTACTCCGGTGGCTTTGAATATCCTGGGCCTGTTGGTCTAATTTTTTTTCCTCCATCGCAAAAAGCATTACTCTAACGTTCGACGACGACCACGCTAGCAGGGAGGGTCCAGCGGGCGACTATCCTTCACGCTTTGGCGCTACCCTCGGCACGATTGCCCCTCTTTGCAAGTTTGTGATGACCATATGCTGAACCAGAGATCTCAACGACTCTTTTTGACCTTCAAATTTTCGATGGGCTTGGGTGGAGCGCTGACGCCAACCGCATTGCTCCGCCGATTGACGAGCTCAACCCACCCTTACTCTGAGGTAAAAGCTGCGGCAGGCAGCCTTTCTCTTCTCCTACGATCGGCCGCTATATCGACCGGGTTGTGCTTCTTGGCGCCTTTGCATGGTCGTGCGCTGAGGCCAGAAGACGGAGAGAATCGAAGGAGAACAATCTCCACTGCCCGGGCGTCCCAGCACAGAGGATACGCCGTCGAGCAATGTCGTATCTGACATGGATGATTCCCGGTCCGCGCACCATTCTCTGCCCGGTAGTCTCTACGCTTTTCAAGCATCTCCTCTCATACTCTGTTCTACTTACCTGCAAAAAAAGCCCCGCCCCTTCGGTGTACCGGGTACCCTTCGACTTCTTCTTCTCTCGATCGGGTCCTCTTCGGACGAAGGTGGAGAAGCGTACCTGAAGAGTTGATTAGCCCTCATTGGGCTCCATCCCACTCGACTCAAGCCCAAAATGCGCTCCCTTTTTGTTGTCGCGTGGCGTAGGCGTATTCAGGGCTGTCTTGTGCTCCTTGGCCCCTCCGCCCACGTCAAGTGCCGCACCACCTCCCCGAATGATCATTAGGACGGGTGCTAGTCTTTTTGTGTAGAAGGGGCGGCCTTCTCTCTTTTCCGCCGTGATACTACTACGGTACAGTAACGTTACAAACTATTTTGAGCCTGGCACGTCTGTGCTCCTCTCCTCTCCTGCTCCGCCGAACCTGGCCCCAAGAGCGCCATGAGGCTCATAGTTTTCTTCTCTTTTCCTCGCATGGTTTGATGCCCTCAGGCTGGGTCCTTGATCTGTTTGTCTGTCCCGCCTATTCTATCACCCAAAGCAAGCTCATTCCACGTGGATTGCGGCCTGGTCCAGTCTGTGAAAGCGGTGCTGCTCTTGTTACGATTACTGTTGTCTCTGCTCTCCAGCTGCCTGGTGCAGACATTGCCACTCGTTTCTTTCACCCCTTCCCTCTCATTGGCATCTTGACCCCCCACCGTTGTCTCATATCTTCTCTTTCCAACTTACGGAACCTCAAAACTTCTCAACGTCTCTCCGTCCTGCTGGTCGTGTGTTGCTCATTCCAGCGTGATTGGCATAGACCAGGTCGAAACGAGGGCAGGTGACAGGTAGCATTTTCAGCGCCCGAAGCTTTGCCAGGTATACTCCACCGTGAGACGGTCAACTGCGACATTTTGAACTGCTCGTAAACGCTTGAAGTACCAATAGTGGCTGGCAACTTGCGCGGAATTTCTTTCTGAGGATTGTGTCCTACCGTGGTAGAAAAACGCCTGCGCCTCCCATTTCAATTGGGGTTGCGCTGGTGCGTTCCAATCACTCAACTGGCTCTCGAAAATTGGGCAATTTGACAGAGCGCCCGGTAAGCCTGGATGAGCTGTGTCTCCTGCTTCAACGCTGAGTGTTCCTTCTAACAGAGTGTTCGTGTTACCCAGAATCTTCAATTGCAAGAAAATCCAGTCAAAGTGGTATTCAGTCACAGAGGTGGTGCCAGCGGATCGACGGAAGCGCTTTGGGACGTCTCAATCCAATAAAGTCGTGAAAGAACAGACCTTCTCGAGCAAGCTGGCCTTTGCTCAAAACATCATCATAGTGGTCGTTGAAATATCGGGCTATCTGCATTGCTGGAAACGTGCAGCAGTCGTTGGATTTGTGGGATGGAAGGCAGCAGCCGCTCACAACGGCTAAATGATCCGGCAGTATATGCGACAACGCAAGCTGCAGGCCAGAATCCAGCGCGCCGGACTGGTATTGACCGTTTCAGGCAGCAACCGCTACTAGCTGCACGCTCACCGAGCTCTGCACCGCAAGTTGGACGAGCTGAGGCCAATGCCGGCTACGGTTTTGGATATGCTGAGCCCTCCCAGTATGGCACGCCCGCCGCATTGCCCACCAATCCAATGTCGTACCCAGCTACAGCAACAGCAGCCGCATATACACCCGATCAGCCTCGGCCGCAGAATACATACACACAGTACGGGTCAAGCCTGATGTACAACGTCCCGCAGCAACCTCAACCGTCGTATGATCCGACCCAGACCTACCAGCCACGGCAGTCAGCGGCCCTCGAGGTGCTGTCGACACAATTTGGGGTTCCACAATCATACTTCGTGCCAGGCGAACCCGCTAGTGCGCAAGGATCTGGATTAACACCGCAACACGCGTCGTCTCAATTCCCTTCTTTGCCTTATTCCCAGCAAACCGCCGCAGATCAGCGAGCTTCTGTTAGCCAGCCCTACTCTGCCGGGATGCCAGAACTTTCAGAAACCGCTACATCGGAAGCGTTGGAACAACAGCAGAATCTTGCACAGGAACCATCCAGCTATGATGAGGCATACAATCAATATCAGATGGCGCTAAGGCAAACCTTTGAAAACGCTCATCATGGCCGACTTGTTGAGGCTGGACAGTCTCTGCTCCAGATTTCCGAATGGCTTCTCGGCCATGCCGAAGATTTGGGTCAGTCTCACCTCTTATATCTCGCTGTTCCTACCGTACATGAGAGGACCATGAGCTAAGGTTGCAATCTAGGACTAGTTCGAGACGAGCAGGAGCTCCACAATGACAGGATCAAATTATGGACAGAGTTCAATACCTGTTGGCTCGCTGTGCTTCAAAAACAAAAGGACATGACGCATGATATGCTCAACAGAGGGCTCCGGCCGCAACCGCCACAAAGCATGCTTGGAGTCGAGTACTTGGAGAAGATGGGAAGAGACCTTGTTCGGATGTGTGATCCCATGGAACAGCATGGCCTCGTCGATTACCAAATGGGTGTGTGGGAGGAACAAATCATAAGCAGTAAGGCAATCATTCAAGGCACGAAGATGGAGGGCCGCGTCACGCTAACGAGAAATGGGGACAATAGTCCTATCTGAATGTTTGGACCTCCTTGAAGATGGCAGCGGTCAAGCGGCGGGCTCAGGGGAGAGAACACAAGTCTCCCAGACCTCTGCATCTGGGCATGGCTCAAGTGGCCGATGACACGGCTTGAACATCACAGAACTTCATTTTATGAACAGGTTGAAGATCTGCCAAGATGCTTCTGCGAAAAAAAATTTAACACAATTCGGGAAGTTAAAGCTGAACAACACACGTTCAGCCTCTCTTGGTTCTTTCTTCCTCTCTGAGAGAACTTATCTCGGGGCTCTTATACCAATCCCGTATCCCTTTTTAACCTTTCCCCCCCAAATCTAATACCTCTCTTTTCGACCACGAATCGTCGACCATTCCTTAACGATCCTTGGACGGTACACTTCTGAGCTACGGCCAGTTGATATAGTTACCTTCCTTCATACATCTTTAGGAACAGGTAGCTGTGGTTTCGAGGATACGGCTTAAAATTCACCTTTTTTTTTGCCCTCCCTCTTGACAATTCTGTCATCCAGTGCCGGGGGGTTTGTGTTTGAGGATTCCATTGGAATAGGCCATGGCACCCACATTCACAGGACCCTTTTAGGACAACACCTCCTTGCATCTAGAATTCCTCATACTCCGTACATATGTGACGCAAGTCTCTAATTCCTCTTTTGCAGGGATTGGTACGTACCACTCACCACTGCCGACGATCTCCTTGCCGCGCTGGAGCACCGGAATAACGCTTCATGCTGCTCGTTGTCCTCTCTTTTTACCCTTCCCCGTCTTTACTTTTAAAATACATCTAGCGCCTGTAGAACGCTTACCTTGCATAGCTTGTACCATTCTTGGTCCGCAACATCAACATAAGTCTCCTTCGTAATAATAGTAGTACATAATAATTGCATCGTACATAGGTTGAACGTTCTCGTAAGTAGAACCGTATATAGACGAATGATAAGTTGTACATAACCTTATCCAAATCAACGTTCAAATATTCCGTGATCAGTCAGTAGCCCGCGTAATTGAATCCACAATTTCACTCCATTTTCGTGGCACATGATCAGGGAAGATGACCAAGCATACATTACCAGCATCTTCTAGCGACTGGGTACGGGAGCCTGCAGGCTGTATTACCAGGGTCATATCAGTTGTTTCCCTTTTTGATGGTCATTGAAGAGTTTCCAGGGTGAAAATCCGGATTAATCACTTCTTAATGGAATGAATATTCTTTTTAGGTAGATGATCGTGCTTGGTATCATTCTTAGTTGATTTCTTGAATTTACTACTGGATGAACTTTAACTGGAGAAGCAGGCAATAGGACTTGTCTTGCAGAAATCGCTGCAAAATTCTTCAGTAACCAACACTAGTCCTCGCCAAAGGCTTAGCAGTCCTTTTTGCCTGGAAACGAAGCCCACACCATTTGTATAGAGTTTGAGGAATGCCAAACATATCGATGTGTAGTAAAACAATCAATGCTAGGCCAAGTCGTCATTCATTGCTCGAAAGTAAAAGAGCTAGCACTGCATATCGATTTTGTTTTTGGCATCCTAGTTCAAGGGAAGGAGACCAAGAGCTCACGTAAACAAACGAATGGCACCGATTCGGCCTTGGGTATCGTTATAGAGCTCCCTTCAGAGCTCTTGTAAAGGCCAAAATTATTTCGAGCTATCAGCTCGGAGATGAAGCAAGATCATATGAGGGGAGATCACGTCGCCAGCAACAATTTTTGATAGCACCTTTAGATGCATCCAAGCTGATTGAACTATCGGGCATAGAAGGGTGTCGGAAGCGCAAATTAGAACACATCTGTAGTGATAATTAGTTGAAAAGTCCTTGAATCCTGTCTGAATATTCAGGTTTGTCCAGCCTGCCGCGGAAAGGATGCAGGCGACGGAGGAAATATGAAATGCATCCCGTCGACCCGGCGAGGAAAAACTTACCTAGCGTCATGCTCATGGAGACATCAGTGTTCTCCACCATTTTTGTGAACTCTTCAAAACTGATTTTTCCGTCACGATCCAGATCAGCTTCCATAATCGTTTTATCGACGATCTAGAATTGATACGTTAATTAGCCCATTGACATTCAATCAAGAATAAACAGTGGCGTTTGCCATTAGTATTTGGGTGACGTACCTGCTGCAGTTGCTGATCTTTCAAATTACTTCCAACCATCATCTTCAGGACAATGAACAGCTCGCCGTTGGAAATGTATCCATCTCGGTCAATGTCATAGACCTTGAACGCAAACCGGAGCTTCTCTTCCTTATTCCCTTTGCTAGAAAATGCACTCAGGCCAGAAACAAATTCTTGAAAGTCGACATCCCCACCACCATCTTCATCGAAAATAGCTATCATTCTGTCATGGGATGCCTTTGTCAGCATGTTTCGACTTCCCTGACATTAAAGGTTTGTCACTTCTAGTTGCGATTGGACAGACCTTGTTGCTAGCGGATTTGAAGAGACTTGTGGGAGGCTTAAGAATTCGTCACGCTCGATTGTGCCAGAATTGTCCTACCCAGATTTGCGATTAATAGGCGGTCAAGGAGGGATATCGATGAAAGATGACGATGAAACAAATGATTTTTACCTTGTCAAGTTTCATAAAGCGCTTGCGGAGACGGTCAACTTCATCACGGTCAACTAATAATAAAGTATGTTAGTAGTCACATTTCAATTTTGTCTTAAATCTTGGCTGATGTTGTAAAAAAGGCGGCCACTTACAGTTAGACCCTTGCACGATGTTCTCCAACACCTGTGAACTTGTGTTGCCCATACTGACTTAATTCCGGCTGGCAGTGTGTAATTGTGTCGTTAAGAAATTAGAAATCTCGTTCCCTTGATCAGGAAAACCAAGTAGGTGGGTGTTGGGTCTGTTGACTTGGTGTTGATGGCTCATCCCCCCCTCGTCCTCAAGGGTCCGAAGCTGAGATGGCGGAGAAGTCCTGATGACTAAGCATTAACGGAGCTTCTCAAAGGCCCTCTATTCATTACCAGACTTCTACAGCATCACCACAATCTCGAGAGAGGAGCTTAAATTATACATGTAGTAATCATATGAATCTAGTCATTGTAAATGCTATCGTTCCCAGTATTAATACGGTAGCGTCTAAGGCGTAGAGATACAGTCTCCTAACTTCCACGGAGTACAACTTATAAGAACGATGCCGCCAGGGCGAGAGGGGACATGGACGGCCGAGGGCGACAGATGTCGGGAAAACTATAAGCCGAGGAGGCACCGAGGAATAGCTAAGGCACATGGCCTGTCATAAGCTGGAAGAAGGTCATACAACAGAGCTCGTTAGATGGAAATAACTCCGTTTATGACTTATTACTCCAGACTCAGTCAGCAGACCTGTTTCATCCATAGCTACCTCATACGACTACTCCGTGAGGAATGCCCCGTGTGTCCTGAAGTCTGCAAATACCACCTGGACCGATAAGTGCTCACGAGAGCCCACCCTTATCGCCGACGGAGGGTGTTCATCCCACTTGACGGCAGTCGAACTTCTATATTTCAATCCCTCAATACAACTTTTCTCAGACGGCCTGCCGCTTGTATTCGCGGAAGCAATTCTAGGAACAGATCTTTTGTATCAGGACCTGCAACATATTGGATTAGTGGGGGACACACTGTTCGGATTGAACCATGGCGGAGCTTACTTCAATTAAGCTCAATGCAGAGAGTCATCTGCTGCTCGTGGGTCTAACTCGCCATGATTATTTCCTGTTCTCTAAATAATGCTAAATTGATGGAAAGGACCAATCGCTTCTTCGTCTACCATATGAACTCCTTCGCAAGAACTTTAAAACGTCGCAGCGACTGGTCGAACGAGAGCGAGAGCATATCCTTTCAGCGATCAAATCTACCGCAAGCGCTTCCGTGAGCCTTTCTTCAACAGCACAAACACAAGCTTCCTTAGACAGTATGATTACTCGCATGCAAGGGCTAAAGCGCAAACTTGAAGTTTTGCACGAGGAGGAGAAGGCTATACACGAGCATTCGAGGAAACGGATTCAGCACTTGCAAGCCCTGTACGATATTCCCAGCTTAGTAGACGTCAAGTATGATGAATGGTCAAGAGTGAGATTAAATCGACTTCTTGTCGACTATTTACTTCGGAGTGGCTACGGGGACAGCGCACTTGCACTTGCGCAGGAGAAACATATCGAAGACCTGGTCGACGTCGACGTATTCGTACAATGCCATAAAATCGAGGAAAGTCTGAGGCAAGGGAGGACACAGGAATGCCTGCTATGGTGTAGTGAGAACAAGCAGGCCTTGAAGAAGATGAATGTAAGTACCAGTTATCATTCAACGCCTCTGTTACCATTCGCTGATACCATATACTTTTAGAGCAGCCTCGAATTCGAAGTTCGGCTGCAGCAATTCATTGAGCTCGTCCGGAGTGGTCAGATAGGAGAGACAAAAAAACTTCTCGAGGCAACGCAGCACGCCAGAAAATATCTCATACCACATAAGGACACGCAGTCTAAAGAAATACATAGATCGGCAGGCCTGCTTGCATTTGCCCCGGACACGCAGGTTGAGCCCTATAAAGTGAGATTGCGCATCCTCGCTTTTTTTTTTCTGAGTTTATTCTAATTCTCTTTGTCATAGTCCATGTATTCTCGTTCAAGGTGGGACTTTATTGCCCAGCTATTCGTTAAGACACATCACGAGCTCCTTTCTCTACCTGTTCGACCACTTCTTCACATTGCTTTATCCGCCGGCCTTTCAGCTCTCAAAACACCAGCTTGCCATTCAGCGTATGCCAGTAGCAGTTCGAATGCTAGTTCCTCGACAACAACTGTTTGTCCGATATGCTCCACTGAATTGAACGAGTTGGCGCGGAACGTTCCGTATGCGCATCATACGAAGAGTTACGTAGAAAGTGATCCGATGGTTCTTCCGAATGGTCGGATATATGGTCGAGACCGGCTGCTGGACATGAGCCGAAAAGTCGGCCTGGGTGAAAAGCAAGTCAAAGATCCCACAACTGGAGAGATTTTCCATGTGGACTCGATGGAGAAGGTTTTCATATCTTGACCTTGCTTACGCCGCTTTGGATTTTCTTGGCGCTGATGGTCATGGCAAGGAGCAATTTTCTTTTCCTCCGGTTCCGTTGGTTATTTGGTGAAACCTAGCTTCCTCAAACGTCTTCATCTGATGAAGCATCGTCTCCCTTTTTTCTTTTCCTTTTTGGAATCGTGCTGCGCTGAGCTCCATTGGAGTCACTGAGTTGAAAGATGTATGAGCGTGCACTCCTGCTTTCTCCCTTCCAGCCTCCACCCCCTTCAATGTTGCCCAGCGTCCTGGCGTGTTTATAGCCCGGGTATGCATCCGCTTGGAACTTGAAACTCCTGGCTACACTAAGACCCACGTGCCGCGCGAGATCTCGGATATTCCAGAGCGTATATGGGTCGCCCTCAAAGAGTGTTACGATAATTGTCCCCTCACTGCGTAGTAAAGGCATTGCTGCCTTAAAAAATGCGACCAAGAGTTCTATGATTCCAGAGATCGTCCATATTAATTAGCGAACTTAGAAGCCAGAACAGATTCTTGCCCACCTTGATTTGCCCGTACTTGGCGGTTCACATCCTTCGTTACACCTCCTGTGTGTGGGAAATTCCATATGATGCGATCCCACGCGCCTTGACTGTTGTCTTCATTGCCATGACTGCTAGGCTTTCGAATCTCTTTACGCTTTCCAAGCTTTCGTGCATCGACGCCGTACAATACAGTTGCCCCGCCAGCTTCGAGTTCAGCTGTATGAGAGGCAGCTTGTGGATACTTGTCGCACACGGCCTCGGCGGATGGCTCGTAACTCGTCGCAGCAAGGACTTCAACGAAATGGTGGGTTTGAATTGAGAGGGCAAAGGAGAAATCACCTGCAACGAAAGTTGTAGTTCGCGCGCAAGGGCGCGGACCTGATGTCAGCAAATCTTGTATAATTTCACTCGCGCTTAATACTACCCAGAAAAATGATAAATGTCTCAACAAATGAGTAACTGATATAACCCGAGTTTGAGATAAAAACAAAAAGACTATGAATTCAAATTACCTTCACCTATTAGGAGAATGCGGTCTTCTGGGGAAAATGGAATTGTGGGCTTCAAAGGTGAACGCTGGGAAATGTTAGCGCTCGTAGTGGACGAAGTCGACCCAGCTTTGCCAGCTTTGCTCGGCGGCGTCTTTGATCCTTTTGGGCGCTGAGCTTGACTTCCGAGGTTTCGCTTTTTATGGCTTTTCGCCATTTTCTTTCCCGCCGTAGGCCAATGCCGTTGAATAGACGATTAATTTGAATGAAATGGCAACGCTTCCTTCTTTCTGCCGTTGTCAAAAGTAGAAAGTCGATTCACTTCGCTTGGAGTGGTGCTGGAAGCTTTGAGATCAAGGCGGACCGAGAAAGCACCTTAAAGCTGAGCAAATATATTATTGGAAACCCTCAACGCTAAAGATGTCGACGCTACGATTATATGACGATGAATATGAAAAGCTACCACGTTGTTTTTTTTTTTTTTTGAACGAATTTAAGTAATTGCATTCCTTAGTTAAATATCGATAGCTAATAATCCGAGTTTTGGACTTCTCGAGCGAATCATATCATACGAACCCGCAGAAATGAATCAAATTTGAAAAAGATGGCAGTCAAGGCCTGAATAATACAATGGCGTTGGACATAACCAAGCTGCAACTGGATTGCCTAACAGCTCAACCGGTGCAGTTTTGAGGAAGTAGTGATTACCGGCTGATTGCAATGATGAGAAAGAACCCGCGACAGAGCGAACAATGTAATAGCGCAGCCAGATTTCCCAATACCATACAAATCCCTAGATCAGTCTGCCAAATTAAAAAATATCGGCAGAAAATTGCTCGCAAACGCCTTGAAAGTTGAGGGTGAAAGCCATATTCTGAGCCGAACGCCCGTTCATCTTTCCTTTTTCCAAGAGAGCCGGCTCTTGAAATAGCAAAGAAACCTACCCTGCAAGGAGTATCACTATAATACAAGAGGTGTTCATGACCATCTAAAGCGTAACACGCATATAATCATTAGAGCCGAAAGGCTTATTGCAGTTCGGGCATTTCCTAGACCGAGAGGTAATGCGCTCCTCCACGCACTCTTTGCAAAAAACATGACCGCAAACCTTGATTGCAGTATTCTTGAAATTTTTCCTGCAAACTGTGCAGATAGCAATTGTCTAACCTGGAGTCAGCATGATATAGACACTAGCAGGGATTGAAATCTTACCCGAAGCGACTCATATTCCTCACTTTGATTACCGAGAGATCTGTTTTTCCAAGTTTCCAGCTGTTTTTTGGTCTCTCCCAGTCGTACTTTTAGACGTTCAGCTTCCTCTTCAGCCTGTTGCTGAGCTTGCAGAGCGGCGCTGGATGTCGCATCCTTTCCGGTTATGGTTTTCTTAAGCTCTGATATTTGAGATTTCATTCCTTCTGTTGTAATGTTGAGCTCACTGAGCTGCTGCTGCAGGGCACGCTGTTGGTCGGTAGAAGTCGTCAAACCGTCTCGAGTTTCTGCTAATTGCTTTTCTAAGTTGATGACGAGCGAACGCGTCGCCATTTCCGCTTCCTTTAGCTGCATGACGATTTCAGAACTCTTGGCATTCTGAGCCTTCAGGTATCGAACTTCCGTTTCTCTTGCTTCTTTCGCCTTCATCGCACCGAAGAACTTTTGATCAGCTTTGACTTTCTCAGCACTCAACCGGGTCAATTTTTCCTCCCATGCTGCAAATTCCGCAACCTTCTTTGATGCCAATGCGGAAGCTTTCTTCCACGCTTCCCCCATTGAAGGAAGCTCGTTACTCAGCAAAGCATATTCCTTTTCGAGTGCCTGGAACTTTCTTCGAAGATCTTCTAGAGAAAGGTCGTCAAGCTTAGAGGAGGTCGTAGACGTAGGGTTACCCTGGCCGGCTTGTAGCAATAATCGATCGACTTCAGATTCCAACGCCTTGATTCGGTCATCTCTGGCGGCAGCCAGTTCCCGAATCTGCTCAACAGCTTGTCTCTCTTGCTCTTGACTGGCTTTCCTCATAGCAATGTCTGCCAAGAGCTCATCTCTCCCAGTCCTGATTCTTGCCAAATCATTCTCTGCACGGGCCAAACGGCTTTCGGCCTCGCCAATTGCTGTCTGCGATTCTTTCTCCATTTGCACCCTGTAAGCTGTGCGTTCGGCTTGCAATTTTTCCGCTTCTTCCCTTAATTGCACGTTTGTCGCTTCAAGGTGATTGATACGCTTAATGACATCTTCATGTTGTGACTTCAAATGCCTGAAAAGATTGGTTCGCGAATAATCATCGTCAGTCACATCCGTCAACTACATGACAAGTCAGCTCAAGTACAGCTTAAAAATACGGCGGGGTAAGAACAACCTTAACGTTCGCGGCAGTGAGCTGGCTAGTCAATTTTTCATTCTCGGCTGCCAGCTTCTCCAATTGCTCCCTTTGTTTATCTGCGACAGCTACGGCTTCTTTGCGTGCAAGCTCTGAAGCACTGTCATCCTCCGCCGCTCCATTTGTGGAACTTTCGCGTTTCACGCTGATGGTGCCCTCGGTCACTGTGCCATTGCTATTTCCGTTTTCAGCACGGTTTCCGAAAATAGCCTGTCGTTCCAACTTTGCCACTGCGGCGCTTTTTGCTCGATCAGCCTTCCGTTCAGCTAGCATGTAGCGATACGATGCATTCTCGAGACGAGCCTCTAGAGACTCCTTTTCTGCTCGAACGCGATCCAATTCAACGATATGCGCTTTCTCAGTAGCAAGCAGCTGAGCGAGTTGACCCTGGAGGGTCGCCAAGTCTGCTGCCTGTCCAGGGAGTTTAGAGAAGAGGACTGCGATTGCAGACCGAATTTCCTTCGATCTGGATCTGAGATGCTCGTCAAATTTATCGTTATCAGCGAACAGAAGAGAAGACGGGAAGGAAGAAGACCCTGATCTTGTCGTTAGCGCAAGAGATCAATAGCCACCAGAAGAACACCACTTTACCAGCATCTTTTCCGTCGCAAGACGTTTCCAGATCATTGACGAGAATCCGGATTTCATCCAGCAGCTAAACATGTACGCATGAGTATCTTCCTTATTTCAAATGAGCCTGACGTAATTCGATCGCCAACTTACCTGGCTGAACCATGTATCAATTATTCGGAGGTGGTCATCGTGATATGCAGACCGTTTGGCTGTTTCACTCAGCCGCTGCTCTAGTGTATTCTTCTCACGCTTGTACTCTTGCATCTGACGCCAGATCGCGTCTTTCTGAAATCGCTGCAGGAATATGTTGGTTAGACTAGTTCCTAGCAATAAAAATGATGTGTGCAATTGAAATGAAACTTGTTTCAATATAGGTAGATGATCTCGAATCGAAGGGAACTACGACTAACCTCCAGATCGTCTTTCCATGGCATATCAGCATCAGGGTGCGGCTTTGAAGTGCCATTGATCGTAGTGGCCTGCTTCTTGAAAGGGGGAGCGGAGTCAGCAGACTCCTGTGCCGCAGACCTCTTCCTGTTTTCCATCTTTACGCCAGCTAAGGGTAATGGGGGAGCCCTCGAGCCTCATCAGAGCCACCGGATGAGGCGCAGAAAAGGCCCAAGAGCACCGAGTGCAAGTGACGCGTTAGGGGAGAACAAATCGCCAAAAACACGCCTGCAAGGTCCCAACGCATATACAGGACGAGGAGCGAACGTTAGATGTGAGCGTTGAATGAGGTTGTGAGATTTTGATAGCCGAACTCGAGAGCGTTCATTGAATTCCATTCCAGGTCACGTGAACCAGCAGGGATTTTTATCGCTCCTTCGCCTTCTCTACCAATGAAAAGTGGGGACCGATAAAGATCAGCCTTGCCCCAGGCTTTCGTCGCTATCGATTCTGGGCGCGGAAGTATCCCGGACCCCATTTCTCTCATCCCCACGCTGGCTCATGTCGACCTTTGGAAGTTCAGTGATCAGTAAGATGTGCCGTCGGCTTGTGGGAGTTTCATTTTATGCTGACATGATATAGATAAGTCGGGCAAGAAGCTCGCACCAAAGGCCCCATTGGGCCGGCGCCGAGCTGGGCCTGCGACAGACTCAACGCAGGCCATCACCAGAGCCAGCGAAGAGCGTCCACCGCCATCGCATATATCTCAGCCTGTCGCTTCCAATCAGCGAACAACCGATGCGCCTGCTCCCGATTCTCAACCCAGCGAGCCCCGAGAAAATCCTCTTCGCAGAGTCACGTCTCAGCACTCAGTTACTGAACCGCGCCCCCCAGAGAACCCCCCATCGCCCTTTTCTACGCCGACACATCCGGAATCACATCCGGAATCACAACCACACCCTATCGAAACGGAAACACAAAAGTCTGCTGAGAAAGTTTCGGATGCAGAAAAAGGCATTCCTCGATCCGACATTGGCCCGGCGCCACAAGTTCGGCCCGTTGACGTTGAACCGTCCTTGGATTCGCTGAATGTATCATCAACGTCGCGAATTGGTGAAGCGTTGAACGAATCCCTTACTACTCCGGATGACCCAACCGCCAGTATAACTCGTCAAGAAGTGGCTCTGGAACCAAGCCGCCCTGATGCTCGCACCAGCGCTCAGCGGGCCAAGCCGCCTAAAAGTCAACCACCTCAGAGTCTTGAGGGCCCAACCACTGGACCTGCTCCTAAACGGCGGAAACTTAAAGAAAGTCGAGATGATGTGCCCAGTATCGAGCCTCGATCTGATACGGATGTGCAGCCCACTGTAGAAGCTACAAGCAGCTACCCTCAGGAGGCGAATGTTGAAAGTAGTGTGGATAACAGCAAGCGCAAAACTCGAGCGAGAGCACAGAAGAAGGCCAAGGTGTCTGATGATACTCGAAACGAGGAGTCTGAACCAACTAATACTCGGAAAAGTCGAGAACCTAAGGGCACCCGAAGAGGCAGAAAAAGGCAGAAGACTCCTGAGAATGCCGAGACTATGGAAATAGCTCCTTCGATTGTGAAAATGGCGGATCTATGTCGGGACAATCGGCAAGGTAAAAAATCGAAGCGAGAAACTGAGCTGCAAAATATGGATTGGACTGCAGTCATCAAGCGCCAAAATGAGCGTCAAGCTCAACAGGAGGCCGGCGAAATACCAGCGAAAGACGCGGTTGGTGAGATGCTTGAGCGAGCTGGTCAAGAACAAGAACGTCAATCACGAGGGTTGGCAGCGCCGCAAATGCGGCTTATCAACGGTCAGATTGTCCTGGATGATCAGTCCTTGCAAATTGACAGGCATGCCCATGCTGCAAGAGATCAAGAAGCGCGGGAGGAAGTCGAAGAGAATGAGCTGACACGACGGATCACCGCCGGTTCATGGATGAAGCGAGAGAAGACGGAGCCGTGGACAGATGACTACACCGACCTCTTTTATCAAGGTCTCCGCATGTTCGGGACAGACTTCATGATGATTAGCAAGATGTTCCCGAACCGGAGCCGGCGGCAGATTAAACTCAAGTTCTGCAAAGAAGAGCGATTAGACCCATTGAGAATTCACGAAGCGTTGATGGGACCCCGGCAGCCGGTTGATCTTGCACATTACTCGGAGATGACCAATGAAGAATACGGAGATCCTGCAGTCTTTGAGCAGGAGCTGGCTGCTGAAGCAGAGCGCTTTGAAGCTGAGCACCTAGCCCAAAAGGCTGGAACGGATATATCTGGTCTCGCCAAAGGGCCGGATAACCCTAGTACTGGCGACGCCGGTAACGGGGATTCTGCAAAGGAGAATGAGGGTCAAGAAGGTTCTGGTTCTAGCGCTGCTGGAAAGAAGGCGAAGAAACCAGCTGGGAAGAACAAAAAATCTCTTCACAGCAGAAATGGAGTCAGCGATGAGGTCGAGGTTCTTGGGACTGTTGACGAGCTTATGCAAAGATGAGCTGCAACCATTTTTACTTAATGTAGCGTGCTGTCGAGATTTGCCTTTTGTGCAATTATTATTCTCTTTGGGATGGGAGGAGTTGGTTTCAGGTTCAAAGTCATGGCGGGGCTTATTATTTCGAATAGATCGATTTCGAATTTGTTGTTAAATCCTTCACGTCAATAAGATTTTCAATATAATAGTACCTAAATCAGATGTTGGAAATATTGTATCCATCAGCCTGCCATTTGCCGGCGCTGATTTGAAACATCAAATTTCAATTTCGCGGCCCTATGTTTCTTCTCGCAAGTAAAAATTTAACACTGGTTGGTGAGAAAAACGACGAAGGCCCGCAAGATACAGGCTACATGCTAAATTCAGAATCATCATCTTCCTCAAGGATTGTTTGTGAGAGCAAGCCGCCCTGCTTTCGTTGCGCGCGATGCAGCTGGCGCGTATCCAGGTAGGAATCTCTGAGGTATGGGCTTGCCTTGGTTGTGGATAAATGCAATCTTCCAGCTCCAGGACTCCCTGCACGTGCTGCCACACGGTCGGGTTTAACTGCTCGCTTTTTCCTCCCTACTTTCTGAGCGGTTCTCCGCGAGGTCGAGTGAAGGCGAAAAGCGGAGGCGAGGAGTGATATTATAACGTGGAGTATAGAGCCGGTAAGGAGACCAACGAGCACAGCAACACCCAAATAGATGTAGATGGTCTATGAGGAATGAGAGCACTGAAATTAGTGAATCCAACAATGAAGCTTCGAGAAAAAAAAAGGTTGTCAAACTAACCTCGAACTTCGCAGCGAGGCTGACAGGGAATAGCAGACCATAAAAAATGTACCGAATCAGATGGATCAGTGGTGCCAGCACCACCAACAGCCAGCGAAAAGAGACTGTGAAAGGCAGAGACAAATAATACAGGACAGTACCGGCGATGGACACATATGGATGCATGGCCATAGGTAGGATCTCGAACGTTTGGAACCCCCAGTTTTGAGTATCATAGATTCGAGTATTGAACAAATGGTTGGAAATTCATTGCATTTTGGCCTACAGCATCATCTTTTAGAGGCCCGCTGTTCAACGCGTGTGAGTTGAAGGTGGTAGAGATAAGTTTTCGTAGGTCGCTGCGTTATGATGCATTACTTATTTCGTATGTTTAAGAGCGGAGAGGTAAGACGAATAACAGTTGAGAAATAACCCCCCGCGTAAGCTGCCTCCATCGAATATTTACCTTATATTAAGACCTCCCTCCCTGTAACTAACTCACTACAGTTGTTACCTCCTTTGACCACCACCTACCTGCCTACCTTACCTTACCATACGGAGTAAGCAGCTAAAGGAAGACCTGTGTACGGTGAGGCAAGACCTGCCGAAGACTGTTCCTCACAGAGTATTAGGGCGTCCGCTTTAACCTGCAGCGTACAACCCCACAAGAGTTGCGCCACGGTATGGACTAGCTCGGCGACAGACCACAACTTGTTGAACCTCCTCCCATCCTCTGCTCCGGTTGATAACAAACCTGAAAGGCCACCTCTCATTTCACCAATCAAAACTTCATTGCAGCTCTTTTATTACCTTAGTTAGGATCCCACTACCGTTGGTCCTTGGACGCTGTTCACGTTTCGCCTTGCTTCTTCTCCCTCCAGCTACAGTCCGGGGCACAATACATGCGTCACCTTCCATTTGATCGCGTGAGGTTGAGACGGTAGTCGTGCTCGCATAATATAATATTCAGCATTTCAAGCCGATAACCCAGGCAATCATGGGCAATAACCAGTCTGGTCCGCAGCGGGACCGACCCGCTGGCGGTCATCCTTCCTCGACAGCATCTACACCTTCCACCACTGCCGGCCACGAACCCCGCCGTCGCGACTCAATCCACAAACTCTCATCTAGCAAAGCGACGGCGGCGCCTCCATCAGAGTCTCTTACCAGTGCAACCGCGCATGTTCCTAGCAGGTCTCGCCCGTTGCCTCACCATACTCGGCATCGCTCGGAGGCTTCCGCAATTGACAAGTCCAGATCTCGACTACCCGCAGAGAGGACCCTCAATGACTCGTCTCAGCAAAAGTCTGAGGCTGCCTCCGCGCGAGCGACTCCTCCGTCACCCTCGAGCAAGCCAATGCAAGTCCCCGGCTCCAATGATGGATCTCGTAGGACGGATTCTCGAAGAGAACCTCCTCGTCTTACAGAAGATCAGGATTCGCTGCCTCCATCACAGATCAGTCGTCCGCCACGGCTGCCTTTGCCGATTGAGGAGGAACTTCATACGCCGGGATCACCGATCATCTCGGCGGAAGATCTTTCTTCTGCCCTAGATCGCGACGCCATCGAGGGTGCACTGCCCCGGAGAACCTCCGTGCTTAGCAGTACAACTGTGGATGAAGACGATATCGGAGACGACTTGCAGAATTATCCCGTTGATCGAGCGCATAGCCAAGCAATTCCTACACTAATTGAATGGAAGCAAGGCGGTGACAAGGTCTATGTCACAGGTACATTTGCAAATTGGAATCGCAAATTTAGATTGCACAAAGAGTGAGCTCCCCTCCATTATCTTCCTTTTTTGGTGACTTGCTTCTTTGCTCCGCGTCCCTTGCACAATATTACCTTCTGTGGCCACATTGGAAACCTCTCATTAATACATGGATCCCTTTCCAGGCCAGGCAAGCAGAGTCTATCTGCCGTTCTCCAGCTCCCTCCAGGCACTCATCATCTAAAGTTTATTGTGGATGGCGAGATGCGCACGTCTGATGACCTCCCAACCGCTGTTGACTACACCAACATTTTGGTGAACTACATTGAATTAAGCGCAGAGGATGTCCTCCCACCACCGGCCTCCGAGCTTCAGGAGCAAGAGACGCAGCAGCAAGAGACACCCACTGCTCAACCTCCCAAAGTTCCTTCCACTGCACCAGACGTGAAAGCACCTGATCCCTCGTCAGGTGCCATCAGTGAGGCTGTTCCCTCAGAAGGTCCTACTCCACCTCCAAAGAAATATACATCTGAAATCCCTCGCTTCTTGCTGGATCTCGAGCGTCCCGAGGATTCTCCTCAATATCAACGTGCAGCTGCAGCTGCAAGCAGTCTCCCGCCTCCGCCTAGCCTACCTCTATTTTTAGGGAAATCAATCCTAAACAATACGACACCAATGAAGGACGATAGCAGTGTCCTTAGCATGCCAAATCATACCGTGCTCAATCATTTGGCAACAAGCAGCATTAAGAACAATGTTCTTGCCACAAGTGCTACGACTCGCTACAAGCGCAAGGTAAACAACCCCGCCAATATTTGGCAGCAAAGATTAAGTCTAATTTGGCCCCATTATAGTACGTGAGCACGATCCTGTATAAGCCGACAAATGACGCCGGGGATTGAACACTTCTCCTTGCATCTCTATTCGGACATTTGTCGAAGACAATCGAGGTCAATTATCACGATTGACGATAGCAACGCCGCTATGACCATCTCTTGGAATGTCAAAATTTGTACATAATTTTGTGAGGTGACTTTAAAATCCTCTTAGCTTATTTATCTAAGGCTTGGCGTTTCGACTGGCTGCTGGGCTTAGCAGGCAAGGCGAGAAGGGTGAAGGAAGAGATCGAAGAAGTGGTTAACACGGGTTGTCTTATTCGCGTTTCTTCTATTCTCCTCCCCAAAATTCCCTACATGGCGGAGGTCGCAATGTACCTCTACCTTTTATTCCCTGCTAGCCTCTTTCTCCTTACACATACCTCATCAGCGAGGAAGTATTTTAACGTTCTATCATCCCTTGGTGATGGGCCTAGACGCAAACCAACTTCACACGCGGCAGCAGGGATGGCTTGCCCCAAAACGCGCTTTTTTAAAACCGAGACCAAATGCGCAAGTTTTAGTCTTGAAATATATCAATACTCGGCCTAAAGTTGACTCAATCCCTCCACTTGACGAGTACTTCATCGGTCCGATATCTTTGTGTGCATGTACTGTCATTCAGGGCCGTTTGACAGCCCGTTCGATAAGCAAGTAGACCCGCATGTGCAATCATTATGCCGTTATCTATGCAGAATCTTTCATCTGTGGCATATACACTGCCGCCCCTATCCTTGGCCATCAAACCCATCATCTCTTGTAGGCGCTCGTTGCAGCCGACACCGCCAACGACAAGCACCTGATTTGAGCCTACGTGAGCCATTGCGCGCTCTGTAATTTCCACAAGCATCGCGAACACTGTCTCTTGCAAACTGAAGCAAAGATCGGCAGCAGTAATGGGCTCTCCTGTAAGTGCGTCCGTTTGGTTGGGGTTTGCTTTCAGTTGAGCGGCAAGCACGTCGATACTTGCAAGAATACCTGAGAATGAACAGTCCATGCCTTTGACCGTATACGGAAGATCCAGCAGATGCTTTCCCCTAAGTTGAAGAAATTAGCGGAAGTTCTTAAAGAGGTCCATGGCGTTGAAAGCGATACAAGACCTCCGGAGATTGGAAGTGGGTAGAGGAGCGCTAACTTTTTGGCAAGCTGTTCGATATTATAGCCTGGCGCAGGGTCATTGGGGATCTCAAGGGTGCGCGCAAACCTGTCAAGACAGTTTCCGACGGCAATGTCTAGCGCTTCCCCGAATATGCGGTACCTGTACTTTATTCAGCACGGGCTGTTTGCTTGGCATAGTCTCCAGCAAGACATGCTGAAGTCATGCTTCAATCAATAGGATACCTTTGTTCTGCGTATGCAATGACCTGAGTATTTCCTCCGCTGACATAGAGCACGACAGGGTTGTTTGCGCCAGTGATTTCGCGACCCATCTCAATATCTAATAACCCGTTGCATCAGTGGTGAAATTCTTTAAAGGTAGTCTCCTGGCAACTCACGACCAACGCAATGGTTCACTCCAACCAGAGGCTTATCCCAAAGCAAACTTAGCATTCTTGCAGCAATTGCTGCACTCTGTAGAGGGGCACCCATGCCTGGGCCCTTCGTGTAGCAGATGCAATCTACATCGGCAGCCGATACACCTGCTTCCTTCAGTGCTTGCTTCACTAGGTTGACAACCCAGGAACGGTGGTGCTTTGCGGTGTCCTTTGGCAAGAATCCTTCTCCGGGAGGTGAATTATATGTATGGCGAATATTAGCAAGTATCTGCGCGGGCCCGCCTTTGGGAGGATGTCGGATTAGTCCAACACCGAGCTTGTTGGCGGACCCCTCAAGACCGATGGCAATCATGATGCAAGCAAAGGAGAAATTCCAGGCCGATATAAATGAGAAGATGCTCCTGGCATATCCAAACAAAACTGAAAGATGTTGTAGGAGCAGGGACAATCGCCTAATGACGACGGACCCTTTTTTCTCTATACGGAATTCGGTGCGGTCACCTGTTGGTATTTGGTTCCGTCTGCTCTTCGGCCTTACATTATTAACTTACCTAGAGTGGGGGGAGTTTTTGGTACCGCTCTCCACTACTGTATGGCTTTACCGGACTTTTTGCTTTCCCCTCTTCCACCGCTAAAAGAACTTCTGCGGGGAGCACGGACCAGAGGCTTTGGATAAATAATGCCGTCGATTATTCCTGCACGCACGCACACTAAATGTAAATAAGATCTCACTGGATAATTTTCCAATTTCCTCCCACTTTTGAAAATCAGTTCCTCCACCTCTTCTCTGCAGCTCTTCTGGCTTGAGACTCTCTCTTTCCTGGGCTTACAGTTTTTTGAGAGCTATAACTCGACCCTACAGAGCTGACCATGTCTGGCGACACATTTTCGAGAGCGGGTGAGGCTTTTGTGCAATGGTTTCTCAGCGATCCTCAAGCCAATATAAGCCCCAAGATTTCACTCACGGGTTTTAGAGACAGAAGTACTGCAAGAGGAATAGGTAATTCTAAAAGGATATTGCGTGTGGTTTTTACCGTCAATTTCTAATCTCTACTCCCAGTTGCCAAAGAAAACATTGAAGGAGATGCCGAGCTTTTCACCGTTCCACGCTCGAGCATCCTTTGTGTCGAGAACTCAGATCTTCGCCAGAAGTCACCTAGCGTATTTGAGGAGACTGACAACTGGTCTTCGCTCATTCTTGTCATGCTATACGAGTTTCTTCGGGGAGATCGTTCTCCCTGGAAGCTTTACTTTGACGTCCTTCCGGACAAGTTCGACAGCTTGATGTTTTGGTCAGAAAACGAGTTGGCCGAGCTGCAAGGAAGCGCTGTAATACATAAAATCGGGAAAACGCAAGCGGATGAAATGTTCAGGAGCAAAATTTTACCGATAATCCAATCTCGTCCAGAAATCTTCGAGATCAGTACCTCAACCACGGGCCACTCAGAAGAAAGTATCTTGGCGTTGGCTCATCGAATGGGCTCAACAATTATGGCATACGCGTTCGATCTTGAAAAGGATGAAGCAGAGCAAGAAGGGGACGAAGACGGGTTCCTGTCAGAAGAGGAAGACGAGGAATTGCCGAAAGGCCTTATTCCTGTGGCTGACATGCTGAATGCCGACCCCGAGAACTATAACGTATGAATCTCTCTCTCTTCTCTTGTCTCTATTACCTTCTTCAGAACCCCACCGGTTTTCTTGACTAATATCTTTGCAGGCACAACTTTTCTACGGCAAAGACACATTGACCATGAAAGCGCTAAAGCCTATAAGCAAGGGCGAAGAAATCTTGGTCGATAATGGACCACTTCCACGCTCGGATCTCCTGAGGCGATACGGCTACATTACTGACAGTCACGCCAAGTATGACGTTGTAGAAGTGGCTTTGGATATGGTCGCTGCCATCGCTGCGACCGAGGCCGGCCTCTCTGACGAAGATCGAACGCATCGGGTAATTTTTATCTCCATAATACAATTATGTGGGTTTGGCTGACAGGCATAGTTGCAATACTTTGAAGAGCAAGATTTTCTAGACGATGGCTACGATATTTCCTACCCTGACGAAGTGTCGCCTGCCTTTGCCCCTGAGCTTCTTGGACTGATCAATGGGCTCCTTCTCCCTCCTGAACGTTTTAACGCAATGCGTTCACGCGAATCGTTGCCCAAAGAAAAAATGACTTCCGCTGTTGCAAACGTGCTCTCTTCTATTATTGAACGGCGGCAAAGTGATTACGGCACCAGCATCGAAGAAGATGAAACCCTTTTACAGAGTCAGGTGACGGAGTCTCGATTAAAAATGGCCATCGAAGTTCGACTCGGTGAAAAAAAAGTCATGGAAACAGCACTAAAAGCTCTGAGGCAGTTCTCTGCGGGCTGTGAGCATCCTAACCCATCTTCTGGGGGGAAACGTGCTGCCCATGGAGATGATTTGGCTACTCCAAAAAAGTCGAGACCTCTTTAATTGTCAAAATATGAATTCGCTACGCTAAAAAAAGGGACAGACGATAGTGTACAATGGTGCGCAAAATTCGCTATCAAACGGATGACGGGGCTGTTCCCCTGAGCCAGGTACTAATATATCGCCTAGCCGATTCCTTTTATTCCATCACAGCTCGAGGTGTCCGGTTGATTCGCTCATGAGTGATCGAGATGACCCTTCCCCAAGTCTGATGTGACGTGATTATCCACGCAGCTCTCATGCGGTCAGCGGGAGATGTGATGGATAAATCAGGGCTTTGCAGCACACCGTTGAGGTGGCTCTTCTGCAAAAAGCTTGCCACTAGCTTGCAGGCGCTGGACTACTCGCTACAGTTTTCTCTTCCTGTGCCCGTCGCACTGCCTGAATCTGAGCAGCCTGATGAGCAGCCTGCTCCCTACTGTTGCCAATAATCGAAGCTCGATAGCGCATGTTTAATGTATCATACGGATCAACAGCATACGTTGGCTCTTCATCCTCATCGTCGTGATCATATTTGAATTTGTCAACGATGCGTTCGTCTATTGCTTCGGTCGACTGAAGACGCATTCCACGACGATCAATCATCAGGCGGCCTCCTCTACCAACACGACGTCGGAAGGAAGGTCTACTCTGACAATATCCATCCAGGGAGGGCGACGCATATCTAAAGGTGACGAGACCTTCTCTGCCTGAGTCGTGTATGCCATCGTCTCCATCAAGATCCATTACTTCAGATGAAACAGATGAGGGTGGTGTAGGAAGGAATTCTGTGATAGCAGTCCGGAATCCTGAGTCGACATTTGGTTCGGGTGGTGGGGTCAGAGGCCGCCTCGTTAAGTCGATATAGCCTTCATTCCATCTCTGGTGTTGGATAATCTTCGTGTCGATCTCCTTCTGGATCTCATTCTCTTTCTCGGTCAAGACATCTGATAACAAGACAAGATCTAGCTCGGAAGATCGCCCGTCAGGTCGAGCAGAAAGACGAAGCTGCGTGCTAGCGGGACGCTGCATCGGAGTAGCCTCGCTCGTCTTTTTCTTCTGAGGCTGTTGCAAGCACGTTAGCCAGCGTCTATGGAAAGCTTGTTCGAAGAAACCAACCTTTTGGTTGACGAGGTCTTCGTCGTCACCTTTGATTCCAAGACTTCTCTTGGCATCTTTGACTTTGGCACGTTGTTCAAAGAGTTGTCTGTCTACGGCCAATATATCTCTCCTCATTATCTCACGTTGCTTTACCATAGCCACCAGCTGACGAGCATCTTCAAGCTCTTTTCTGAGCCTTTTCAGTTTTTCCGAGCTTTGTGCATCTCTACCACGAGTCTTCCTAACTTGTCGCACCTCTCGGCGGCGGAAGCAAACATAGGGATCCGAGTCATCTGTCTCGGCTCCAGTCTCAAACTATTCTTGCCCGTTAACGCACGCTCTTAATCTGATCTATGTGATAGAACATACCTTGAGACTCGGCATCAGCGTTTTATTACCGCGACGTAATCGCTGACTCTTCCAATGAGGATAAATATCTTTTGCAAAAGATCTGGCACTTTCAGAGATTGTTTCATCAAAGAAGCTTTCCATTTCGTCATAAGTCAAGACAGGAGCATTGTCGACCATGGCAAACGGCTGCTTTGATTGCGCAGTCTGCTCAAAGAAAGTCATGACTTCCTCAAATCGGTCCTCATTGCAAAGTGCCGAGGCAGACTTCTTTTCATTAACTGACGACAGAAAGGCGTCATCCTCAGCAGTCATACAATACGCATGTCCATTGCAGTCTTCCACGGTGGAAGAGAAACGAATATACGTCGCCGGTTGTGAGAACCGGAGAGAATATAATCGTTCATATTGGAGCGAGCTAACGACAGTATCCGGGGTAGGGATGTAAATCTGTGCTACCTTTCCACCAACCGCAGCTGCCTGTGAAGCGGATATTGCAGCTTGAAGATGGTGCTCCTATTCAAGAGGGGTCAGTATATTTGTTCAGCCTTTAAATGCCCAATTCTCTTGCCCGCAATGAGTCCAACTCAGACTCATAGAGCAAGCCCCATAGGCACGTGACTTGTCCGGGTACTTAGGAAGAAAAAAGGCACGTGACTCACAGTCTCTTCCGTCTTCTCGACACCGGTCTCGACCTTGGGAACATGGCGTTGAGGATCATCATCAATTTTCTCAACTTGATCTTCTCGTAGAACCTGTAGAGTCTGCTTTGTGCTTAATTTGCGTTGACGGAAACGGGCCCCCGCCACTCCTGCCCGCGTCATGGATAATGGGGTTGGGTCGGGTGAGGTTGGGTTGGGCGTTTAGCACACGTAGCAGAATTTTGTGCACACCCACAACCCCCTGGTCGGCTGTGTCGCGCTGCGCGCCAGATGTGTAAAAATGAACGCGAAAATAATGAAAAATGAAATTCTTAAGGTCCAAAGGGTCTTTCTCCTGTTTCTCAGTCGACGACCCCTTGAGACGGGCGCCTCACAGCTTGTGCCTTCATGCGAGAGCTTTCCTGTCAAATTTTCTAGAAGATAACGCCCTTTTGTCTGTTCTTTCGCTGTCGTAAGGCGTGGACTGTTCCCGTTTCTTGATGATGAGGGGAAATTTTTGCACTCGCCTTTTGCCCCTTTGCTCTCGCAGTTGCTGGCCTTGAGGTCGGGTTGAGGTTGGGAGATTGCGTCGTGCTAATGTCCCCTATTGATCTCAATTGGGTGATTAAGCGAGGCTGACGATCAAAGACGACCGGTGTTGGATTAGCGTCATGCTAGGACCCTCTTTAAAGCGGCTCCATATATCAAATGTATTGTATGAATTCGTTACGTCTAAGATTTCATTCAGTTCAGTGGGGATGCTCTAACAATGTGACTTTTGACACCATAAGAAGTGAATTCGAGCTATTGTGATATTATAAGCTAAGCTATGGCTTTGATTCCTTTAAAGACGGATGGTCTGCCCTTCTCACGACTCTGTAAATTGTAAGTGAATTTCCAAGGAGAATCAATAACTATAATAGGACTTTTTACATAGCTTGTATTGGCAGCTTCGGAACAATAGAACATAGTGGATTATGGATAGTAATTATAGTTAATCGCGATATTTTGAATTGGCCTCACAGTAATTTACTATCATGAATTCATATCCTTCATCTCTAAAAAATTATTTGCCCTTTTTTTTTTTCCCGTAGAGAATCAGGAACTATTTATTGGCTCAAAAACATACCAATGGACGAACCGGCTTGGCTAAAAAACAAGATATTGAATGTGGAGATCGGCGAATCTTTTTTTTTGCATGGCAATAATCACATTTCAGAATGCTTGTCATTTTATACACCAAAAGCAATGCCAACAGCCCGGAGTGGAACGACAAACGCGAGCCAGAGTCCACAATCGATTCGTTTCGCTGCCGCAGTGATCACTTCTCTAGGATTAAAATTTGTAAATGATGACCGCAGCTAATTTGACTCCTTTTCTTTTCTCCGTGATGCTGGGCCTTTCTCCATTTTGCGTAGTTCATTCACTTCATGCCAAGGAGGGTTGTGGGAAGTTAAAAGGCGAGTAGACATAGATAGGATGACGGAAAGTCAGGTTTACATATCCGAAACTTTGACCTCTAACGCCCTACTAGAAAAGAGAAGAAAGTTTTAAAATACAAGCATCATCATCCAGCTTCCTCGAATAGATGGATAATAATCCGGCGAAAAATGAAAAATTTCAAGGCAAAGCTTTTTTTAGAGAACTCATGTACACAACCAAACCATAGGCGCCAATGAATAACCAGCATTTAGTCACTCTCATTGTCTGATTCAGCCTTCTTCGATCGTCTCTTTTCTTTCTTCTCCTTCTTCTCTTGCTTCTTTCGCTTCCGCTCGGCCTTCTCTTCAGGAGTCTCGCCATCATGGCGCTTTCTCTTCTTGGTTTCACCGTCTTCACCATCCTTCATGGGAGTATCGGCAGTGGTGGGAACGTCTCCCGGCACGGGGCCTTCGGCGGGAACCGGGGGAACAGGGGGTGCGTTAAGAACGTCACTCTTCGAAGTAGTCTCGGACACGGGCTGAGCTGCCGCAGATTCACCCAGAGGCAAGTTGAAATCCTTGTATTCTTGTTGCCACTTGGCAGGGGTGGCTTCGTTTGGCCTACCATATTTCTGCTCCAAATTAGCATATACGGTCTGCGCGCTTTGCCGAACAACTCACATCAAGTTTTCCATCAGATTTCAATTTCTTCTTCTCCAGGGCAATGGGACCAAGACCCCATCTTCTCGGATACAAATCACGTTCCATGATGCAACGCTTGACCTTAGCCACGACACCGTGGTCACAAGAGGAGAGCTCGACTGTGGACATTTGTGCGATAGCGATGGCGATAGCCTCTCCCTTGGTGGTCATAAGGACGACTTCCTCATAGACTTCAATGCCGGCCTCTATGGAACGAATAAGCGCCACGCCAGAAAGGAAACAAGGTGACTAGACTTACCATATCTCAACAAACCAGGAATCATCAATTTAGCACCATAGCAGACCGCATTGACAGCGCTGTCTTTGACAACTATCCGCTTGTAGGAGGTAAGAAGACTCTCCAAAGGCTGAATAACTGTTCGCAAGTATGACTCGTCACGAGTGTTATCTTGCATCCATTGTGCATCAAGCACATCGTGGAGAGTAACCATGTCGCTATTTTCGTCCATGGCACCACTTCGAACACGTCGTAGCTCCTGCATATGGGCGCCAACACCAAGCAACAGACCGAGATGCACGCAAAGAGTACGAATATAGGTGCCAGCCTCGCAGCTGACCCAGAAAACACCCAGATGTCTCTCATTGTCAAACTCATAGAGCTTGCTTTCATGAATCGTACGAATACGAAGTTGTCGCTTGACGGCGGAAATCAATGGCGGACGCTGAAACAAAGCACCTGTGAGTGTCTCCAATGCTCTGGCAAACTGCGCCTCTCCACCAGGAATCTTGTCATGCAGTCTGATCACGCAGACATACTCCTTTCCGGCACCCTGCTGGGACTTGACAAGACGCGTGGCGCGATCCAAGCAAACGATCAAACAACCAGTAACCTTGGGATCAAGGGTGCCGCTGTGACCAGTCTTTTCTAACCTGCTTGATGTCAGGAAGCTGGCGTACCGGGATAATTATAACGAAATACACACCGAAGAATACGTTTAATCCAGGACACGACTTCATGACTGGAAGGATTAGATGGCTTGTCAAGGTTGATCACACCAGAGCGGATGTAGGTTTGCAAGTCACGCTTGTAAGGCGTGCAGCCGCAAGGAATTGGAGTAAAATGACCGGTGCGCACAAGAACTTTCCAAAAAAATGTTAGCGAAAGAAAAATCCCAGTTATTCTTCGACAGGATCCATACGCTTTTCATAATTCTTTAGTAGCAATGGCCAGGACGCCGAATCGATTGTGGGCGTGATAGCCTCCGGCTTGATGGAATAATCCACCTCGGTGTTGGCAGGTACGAGCGCCATCTTTAAAAAGTGGGTGTGGATTAAGCAAAAGGAGCAAATCTCACTCCTTAATACTCAATATTGTGCGTCTAGACGGTCGAAGAAACCACGACTGGCGCACTCCTTTGACGTTTGTCGCTTGGAGTTTTCTTCCCTCGAAATTTCATAATGTGCGAAGGCGCTAACGAGAGCTTCCGCAAACCACGTGACCGACTTACCTTAAATGGTAATCCGGCACTGTGCCGGAACACAAACTACTTGGAGAAAATGCAGAAATGGTTTCGTTGCGAAGTGGAAATTTCAGCGAGGAGATTCATTCAACTATAGATGTATTAATAGCAGATCCCTATTAGGCCGCTATACGAAAATTTACATTTTCACTGGAGATTATCTAGTTATGCTTCTGGAGCCTGTCAGACAACATATCAATTGTTGTAATTCAGACAAACTTTAGTCTCCACCTAAACGCCGTCCTTGTCCGCGAGTGCCCCAGAGATTCGAGATTCCGCTGGAGCTACCACGGCTTGATTGCTGAGTGGTTCTTGGATTCCACGCTGTGCCATACGGTCTCGACTGAGGACCTGGACGTTCGAACCATCGCCTCACAAAATTTGGAGTTTGTATGTAATTTCGCCCACCTCCAAACGCCGGCCAGATGCGAGTCAAGAAATCATACAGATGAGCAGCAAAAATGCCTGTGCTCTGCTCAATAGCGGCCTGACTGCCTCCCATGATGAAAGTCAAGAGCAGAATCGCATACGGTAGCCATTCAATGGGTATGGTGATTACGAAAAGAGTAGCCTTTCGACCCCGATTCTCTTGCGCATGAGTATAAACAAGAGCCATCACGAGCGCTATGTGGTGTGAGCTAAAATATGGAAGCGTTTGCGCGAGGGAATACCTGAAGTAAAGATCATGCCGCCGAGGACACCGCCGTTGGCAACCTTTTCATATATCAGCGACGTCAGGGTGCTTGTTCAGAAATAAACGAAAGAAATTGAACATAAATTTGAAATTCCACATAAAGAGGTAAACAAAATAGGATTCACAGTGAACCTTTTTTTTTCAAATTTGCAAAATGAGTATTGATTGGGAAATGTAATAACATAAGACATCATTAACATCGGCGACTCTGCCCTGCCACCGAAATGACAAAATCTTGCTTGATAAATGTAGGGAGTCACAACCACCAAGCGCGTACGGAAAAAGAGCGCGTCGGTTTTCTCTAAGACTTTCCCACCATGCTCACACCGCGCACAGATCCTAAAGGATTGATTGCGAATGATGAATCTGTGCGAAGTGCAAGGGTAATCTTCCTCGTTTCCAGGAACCGCTGCAGCTATATTGAGGCTGGGCGGGCAGATATACGAGGTGAAATGCAAAGAAATCAACGAAAAACAAGGGCCCTTGTGCCAGCTTTTTGAAAATAGAACAAAGGGGGAAAGCAAACTAAATAAACCACCTACTAGTATGAAGAGACAGACGAAGACGACATATGTAAAGAAATCACCAGGTTGATTCAATCGAGCTGACTGTGTCTCTAGCCAGCTGCCATTGGTATATACTGCATGTCCATCAGATCTGCTATAAGCATGTTTGTCTGCGGCGCATACTGAAATATGTATCAAGCAAGATTCCCAGTCCAGGTCCAGTGATCAGGAAAGCTGTAAAAGGCCTCCAGAGCTGAGGGGGAAATTTCATGACCCACGGCCGATAGAAAATGACATGCTGTATTGGTAGTAGTCTAGCGTGTACGAGCACAGAAACGGCAAGCAATGCTGCTGCAAGAGTCCTACAAAATTAGCTATGAGCCGCTGGTTGAGCTTTGATGAGCAATTGGGATCCCCTGCTCCAGCATTAGGGAGTGCATCACTCGGAATACCTTGAGACGGGCGGTGCCGCCCAGAAGATGTCCATCTTGAATCCTTCAACTAAGGAAAGGCAGCGAACGCATCTAGAAACTCCTAATTGGAAGGAAGATACGGAAGAGAAAAAAACCAGTAGTCGTGCCAAAGGTTAGTTGACACGCAGCTCTTTAAGTACTTTGGAGAATCTCGTGTGTTGCGCTAGGACCTCAAGCGGAAGTGCAAGCGAGAGTGCTCCACGCCGATGACGGCGGAAAGTTTGAGCAGCCCCACCATTGGTGACTGATTGAGTCACTGAGATTGATAATAACTTGTGGAGACAAGAACGCAAAGATATCCGCCTTGACTCCCTCATCTTCAGACAACTTGATTGAATTTAGCTCTAAGAAACGGTTTTACGCCTATATTTCAAAAATGGTCTCACAAAAGTAAGAGTTGATGATTTCACAAATAGAGTCTCTGTCATGAGCAGTCTAACGAATGACGAATAGGGCTCTCCTGCTCGGAGCAGGCTTCGTTACCCGTCCTACTGTTGATGTGCTCAGCAAGGCTGGAATTGAGGTCACAGTTGGTAAGTTGACTGGATTTATAGCTTGAGTGCTATCTCGGGTCACTGTCAAAAGTATTCAATCTAATGTGGGAAATAGCTTGTCGGACTCTGCAAAGTGCCAAGAAGCTCTCTGAGGGCATTGCGAATACCCGCCCAATCTCTCTCGATGTGACCAATGCAGACGCCCTCGACGCTGAAGTCGGTAAAGCGGATGTTGTTATTAGCTTGATCCCTTATACCTTCCATGCCACTGTTATTAAATCCGCCATCCGCAAAAAGACCAACGTGGTAACCACTAGCTATGTATCGCCTGCAATGATGGAGCTTGATCAAGCTGCCAAGGAGGCAGGCATTACAGTCATGAATGAGATTGGCCTTGATCCCGGTATCGACCACTTGTATGCCATCAAGGTCATCGATGAGGTCCACCAAGCTGGTGGAAAGATCAAGAGCTTCCTTTCATACTGCGGTGGACTCCCAGCACCCGAAGCTTCAGACAACCCCCTAGGATATAAATTCTCCTGGTCGTCGCGCGGTGTTCTTTTGGCTCTGGCAAACCCTGCCAAGTACTGGAAGGATGGCAAGATTCAGGATGTTGCTGGGCCCGAGCTCATGGCCGAAGCCAAGCCTTACTTCATCTATCCCGGTTATGCCTTTGTCGCGTACCCTAACCGAGACTCAACGCCCTATAAGGAGAGATACAGCATCCCTGAAGCTGATACCATCGTTCGGGGAACTTTGAGATATCAGGGCTTTCCTGAGTTCATTAAGGCCCTCGTTGATATCGGTTTCTTGAGTGAGGAGACTCTCGATTTCCTCAAGCCGTCGGATAAGCCTTTGAGCTGGAAGGACGCAACCCAGAAGATTCTTAATGCTTCTTCTCACAAGGAATCGTGAGTTTTCTGGACACAATATGTAGTTCCTGAACTAATTTTGCTTTAGCGACCTTGTCTGGGCAATTTCGTCCAAGACCAACTTTGGCGATACCGCTCAAAAGGAGCGCGTTCTGGCAGGCCTGCGATGGATCGGTCTGTTCTCCGATGCCCCCATTACTCCTAGGGCAACACCACTAGACACTCTTTGCGCGTCGCTTGAAGAGAAGATGCAGTATGAACCTGGTGAGCGAGACATGGTCATGCTTCAACACAGGTTCGAAATCGAGAACAAAGATGGCTCAAAGGTATGTGACTTCATTGAAGATGGCATTTATATATCAAGCTTTATAGTGGCTGATAAATCACGCTAGGAAACGCGAACCTCCACTCTTGTAGAGTATGGCGACCCCAAGGGCTACTCCGCGATGGCCAAGTTGGTGGGCATTCCCTGCGGTGTCGCTGTCAAGCAGGTTCTCAATGGAACTATCTCCGAGAAGGGTATACTTGCACCCATGACGACAAAGATCAATACTCCTTTGATGAAGGAGCTGAAGGAGGAATATGGCATTGAATGCAAGGAGAAGGTGATTGCATAAATAGCCATAATTGCGTCTCAAGAACTGGCTAGATCCTAGTCCATGGATGAGTCTGTAGAACAAAAGACGAAACCAGAGAGCGCAAGTCTCCCGCATTCGATGTCTCAAATGCTCTGTATCGTCCATTGATGGGTTGAAATGTGAGAACTGTTGTAGTTTATAAATTCCCCACTGTAGCGACAGCGTTCCTTTCAGGCTATCCGCTGTTTCTTTACACCCGCCGAACCATTAATCTCTCGATGACGTTTTCGTTCGAGTTCCTCCTTCATAATTCTCTCAGCTTGGCTGATGGGTTTCTTTGGCGCCTCTTTATTCCTAACGGCCTTGCTGCTCAGCGCGTTCTGTTTCGAGGCCAAAGCAAAGACGTTCTTTGGTTTATTGGATCCGAACTTTAGGGAAACCTTCTCAGGAGCTGGAGACGCAGCTGCGCTGGTAACTGGCGAATTGCCGATGCTATTATCTGCATTTCTGTCTTGCATCGTGGTGGCGGGTTCGCGCAATTCAACTTCAGTGTTCTCTTCCGAGGGACTTTTCGATGTCGACAAAGGCTTGCTGAAATTGAGCTTAATTTTCGCCCCTTCTTCACGTTGCAGAGCTTTCGGCTGGTCATTAGTCGCTTGATCAGGCCGTTTTGCTTCGGCATCAGCTTTGGCTCTTTCAACCTGCTCTTGAATTAATTTTTGCTCCCTCTCTTCATCGCCCTTATCCTGCCTCTCCTTCTTCCTGATCGCATCTTGCCGCCTAAGCGCCTCTGGACTATTGTCGATCCAGGCAATGTGCAAGCCTTTTTCCGTTTCCTCCACTCTGCAATGGCCTTCCCGGCCGAGAAACTTGGCAAATTCAGAGAGTGAAGGCCATTTCGTGGCATTCATATGTATATGTTCCTTGTTCGCAATGTATTCTTGATAAAAATGATTGACATGGACACCCTTTTCGCCATGTGATGTTTTAAGAAGTTGCAAAAAGTCCCGAAGAAAGTCGTTGCTGTAGCTTTGGATGTGCTTATTCGGATCTTCGCCGATGAGCAGCATCTGCCGAACATGCGACTCTGATTGCGTATGACATTTGAAGCCGTTTTCGTCTCTCATCTGACGTTCGCATACCTGTCACAAGATCCAGTAAGCCAGGCAGGTCAAACACGGAAGAGTTGAAAGTAAGTATTTACCTGACAGTACCAACGCAACCGTTGGAGACCCTTTGACTTCAGCTTATTGTTCAAATGCTTTGTAGAACCAACCTCCGCGCGGGGCATGATGAATGCAAATTTGACTGTGAGATTGATGTGAATTCAAATGACAGTTCTCCGGTTTAATATGAGGTTGGAAAGAGTGGCATGGCGGATAACTTAACAATTCGCAGATCATTGTACTGGCTGTGTTGAATACGGGTGGTGGCAACGACCAGTTTATATTAGTCAGCTTTCGCGCGCTTAAGATTCCCAAGAATCTCTTGGATGAATTGCACTTAGACGCGTGGACTGAGGATCATACACGTGCAAATCCCTGAATGCGAAAATCTATAGATGAATTTACCTAATAATACTTGTACACATCTCTCTCTCCTTCGATCGCGGCAACTACGCACTGTTCGATGGCTTCCATAGCGGAGGGTTTCCCCAATCGAGGCCGCTGAACGTCTTCTGATATGCGAGAGGTTCAACTTCTAATCGTCGTAGATACCACTCATAACAAGCTCAAATTCCACTCTTGAAGATGAAATTCGACGCTGAATCAAGGGTACCTATTCAATATAAGGATGATTGTTTCCTACCCTCATAGCAGTACTAAATCGTGATGAGGGGGAGGATGAAGAAGATAGAATGTTTGAGTCCAAAAATGAGAATACATTGTGACACCATAAAGCTGCCATAATGTACGTGGAGTCATCATATGAATTCCTTCATTGTCGATTCAATTTATCCGCGCTGGTTGAAAAAGGAGTGGATGAATGATATATCAAAAACGAAGATATACTGTACCAGCTTAGATAAAAATGTCAGGTAGTTACCCTTGGTAGTAGTTAACTGTCAGTATGATTGTTGAGCTAAATAGGTTCCCGAGCGAGGGTCCTTTTGGCGATCGGCGGGTCCGCTGATCCGCCAGCTAGCGACTTTCGCTGGATAAACATTTAAGTTACTTTTAGAGTTAGGAGTTATTGTAACTTCATATCCATTACAGTACTAGATAACACCCACGGCGGATTCCGCCAGATATAATGAACTCCAATATTGACATTGTGGGTTATGACTGAACTAACTTCTGACATCAATTCCAAAGGAAAAATTTACACCTTCATTCTCCCCGCTTTTCGATTTCGGAGGGAAGGGCAAAGGATCTAACGCCAGAAGATCGCAAAAGTATATGAGAGGGTGCTTCAACAGGCACACTCTGTGACTGGTCATGAAAGTGGCTGGTGTCATCCTGATAATTTTCGCTATAATGGACGGAAATATCTACGAGGAGCACAGTTCTTTATATTTATATCCCCTCTGGTATACCACACCTTGGTCGTTTCGCTTCGTCCTCACCTTTCCCTTGTTGGTGTTACGGGGCGTTCAGCCTCGTCATATATGACTGGCTCGATCTCGAGGGAAGATGCAGGTCTCAAATCAGATTGACCAGGCTGCTCTCCGAACCAGCACGTTTTTTTCCGAATTGGGTTTGAGCGACGCGCATTTCGGGACATGACTTGCGAGACTAGAACTTGGCATGGTCTCAATCGCCGTCACTCTAACAGATTGGGGAGACCCTTCCCTTGCAGTCAAGCCGCGCACCTTTCTCATAATGGGCGCTCTGGATTTATAGGGTCTGACACGATCGTGTCACAATTGGATTCAAAATGAGTGCGATCGGGGCCAGAGGCTTATTCTTCCGCGTGTCACAATATCTCAGTCTAGTCAAAATCAACGGACTGGCGTTGAAACATTTTCTGTCGAAAATTTGTCATCGAGATTGTATGTCTCTCAATTTTATGCTATCCAATAATCTAAAAGGACTTATGAAGGCTGCAAGTTCATTTAAGAACTAGACATTGTGTAACAAATGACAGGTCCGATATTTTGAGAGACGCAGACATTCTAGGTCCTGTCCGCCGAGTCACTAGGATGCACTGCGATATGCTTAAATGGGCGAATCTGTTCAGTGGATAAATGTCCATGGCATAGCCATTACTGCGCTCCCTTATATGCCTACGCGCTCGACCTAGCTCTTTACCTTGAAGAAGCATCACCGCCGGCTTTCTAACCCAGAACTATAATGAAGACCCTTAGTCCAGAAAAGCGGAGCTGAGCTATGAGGGCGATGCGATGCTTTCCTTTCGTTACATTATCACGCAAATACCAAAGCAGGGTAAGCATGGCCCAGTTCATTGTATTTGTGCTCAAAAGCTCTCGTGAACATTGAAAGTGCCTGTTTATTTATTCACTCGTTATGTTTTTTGCAAAGAGCATACCCTAGTCATGGTCTCTTTTTTCACTTTCAAAGCCATAACATCCGTGTTTCCCTCATACCCGTTTAGTCTGCAATGTTTGCGGACGGGCGAGAATGAGTCGAAATTGGTCCAGCAAGTTGCTAATATATGGTCTAGGCCAACCACACAATTGAATGGGCTCGTCAACTGCTATTATAGGAAGAGCATCATTACATTTTTAAAATTCTCATCTTCACGATAAACTTGTTCAAACCGCCCAGATTAGGCACAACAATATCGAGAATTGTTTTGGAAGCAATGATCCAGAGTCCTGCGTTTATCGTGTTTTGGGTATTCACAATCAATCCCGCCTTTGCCCAACCATTGCCGAGCCATGAAATCGAAGAACAAGCGCAGAAAATAACCGATCCTGGGAAAATTGCATACTCTTTGGTCTCCCTGCTATCCGTCGGTTTCCTTTCTGGTATGCTAGGTACGTGGTGAATGGTAGCGGTCTTCATTGCTGAGGTAGCCATTCCAATGCTTATACCTTACTTTTGCTGCAGCTACGCGAATAAGAACACTCAGTCTTAATCAATGGAAGACTTTGAACTGCTTGCGCTCGCTGATATTAGCTATCTACATTCTGGGGATTTCTTTTGTTTTTTCCAGTGCGGTTCTTCACAATGGTTTTGAGCTCACCACGCCTGCTTTGTGCTACACCGGAATTCTAATATGTCTCGTTTTTTATTTTGGAGGTAAAGTTCTACTTTACGTCTTTCTCGTGGAGCGAGCATATTCAATCAAATCATTTGAAGTTAAGCGGCTTCAGAGCTGGGTTTGGAAACTTGGAATGCTAGGAATTGCCATTGGCTTTTTCCCTATTGGTGTTGCGGCATTTCTGAACCCTATACATGACATTTCCCCCGCGGACGGGATGTGTCGGATTGGTCTTCCATTGAAAATCACAGTACCGTTGCTCGTTTACGACGTTCTTATGAATATTAGTCTTACCGGAGTATTTTATTGGCTTGTCAGGCAGTTTTTGCCTCATGGCTTGCTTCTCGCATCGCCTTGCTGGGTACAGAGGCTGGCTTTGCGTATCCGCATCAGCGATCCTGGTGATTTTCAGCGAATGGAGCAAGTCGCGGCAATTGAGAAGGTGGTGTTCAAGTCTTTCATTGGAGCGGTTGCTATTGTTGTTCCTACTATTGCCAATCTTGCGCTGCTCTACTGGGTCCATGGTCGGGAGCAACCTTGGCTATGTTTCACCATGTGCACCATCGACGGTTCGTACCCCATATTGATATTCAATATGACTGTTTTGCTGACAATCGTTAGTGACCTGGAGCGCTCTTGTCTTACAATGGCTGACGGCAAATCCTGCGGAGCTGGATGGCACCGTCTCTGGAGGTGCAACAAGCACCCTATCTTCAAGTCAGTCTGCAAATATGAACAGCAGAATGGGCATAAATGGCATGGCGGGAGCAGTATCATAGCAGCATGCAGATAAATTTCACTGCGGCAATGCATAATTTCATAATACAATTAGAAAATTTACCGGGCAACTTGGGAATATATTCAAATCAATACGCCTCGTCCATTCTACATTGCTTGATGACGGGGAAACAACCCAGACAGTATCCTCGAATATAGAAAAGCATACCCGTCGCATTCAACAGCTTCGGAAGAGCCTCTTACATCGCGACACCATGCTATAGCGTGAGAAAAAAAAACTTGACCGCGGCTTAAACCGTCCATCGTCCAGAAATGGACAGTAATACCCTCTGTCTAGCTGAAGTGGTGTTTTGGTTTCAAGCGGGCCGAGCCACTGTCAAAAGAAAGCCGAGGTTGAATCTGCGCTAAAACCCCAGATCCTCAACCCCACATTATCGCTCTTAGCCGTCCCACGCTTCATTTCAGGTCACAAAACGCCCCATTCTCCAATCCGGAACACAATTGAGTATCTTCGGTACATCTCGCTACACCTTCATTGTTCTCAATTTCAAAACTTCCTAATAACTATATTTGTTTTCCTTTTGCAATGTCGTCATCTGTGCGGAACTCGCCAGGTGTGACTACCTTGGCCGAAGCTGCTGGAAACAAGAGAGGAGCTTCAACAGCCTCGCAAAATATTCCACTGCTTGTTCGAGACAAAGTGAGCGAGCGTGCGAAGCATACATTAGATCTTGTTAGTACCAAACTCATATAACTAAAATGAATCGACACGAAAACCCTCCCCAGAAGAAAGGGCTGATCATTGCCATTTGCACAGGTTGAGAAATTTGTCGAAGAGGAATGCATCCCGGCAGATCCGGTATTTCTTGCACAGATTGGCCAAGGAGACCAGCGGTGGAGCAGGCATCCTCGCGTCATTGATGACTTGAAAGCCAGGGCCAAAGAAGTAGGGCTCTGGAACATGTTTTTACCTAAAAATCATTACAAAGAAGGTGCGGGTTTTACGAACCTCGAATACGGTCTGATGGCGGAATATATGGGCAAATCGAGAGTTGCATCTGAGGTGAGTTATGCGCAAGCCTGCTTTAAAGTTGCGCATTCATCTGTCGATGCTGTCGAAACCGAAAAAACACAGGGGTTTCGAGATTATAGCTTCTTCGACACTGATAACTATCTCTCTCCAAAGGCAATGAATTGCGCAGCTCCCGATACCGGTAATATGGAAGTTCTCGCGAAATATGGAAATGACGCCCAGCAAGAACAATGGTTAAAACCATTGCTGAACGGTGACATTCGGTCCGCATTTCTCATGACAGAACCAGGCGTTGCATCAAGCGATGCAACAAATATCACCTTGGGAATGAAAAAAGAAGGAAACGATTATATTATAAATGGTTCAGTAAGCTGACAGGAAAATCCAACTTTGTCAAAGAAAGTTTTCTAATGCCAATACCTAGAAATGGTGGAGCAGCGGAGCAGGAGATCCTCGATGCATGGTTTACATTGTCATGGGAAAGACCGACCCAACAAACCAAAACGTCCACAAACAGCAGTCTGTACTTATTGTTCCCGCAAATACCAAAGGTATCACTGTCGAGAGAATGATGTCAGTCTATGGCTATGATGATGCGCCGCACGGGCATGGTCATATAATTTTCAACAACGTCCGGGTACCAGCCGCAAATCTTGTGCTAGGTGAAGGTCGAGGATTTGAGATCATTCAGGGCCGCTTGGGACCCGGAAGGATTCATCACGCAATGAGATCAATTGGCGCAGTAAGGAAACCCCCTTCTCGATCAACAAAAGTCCCGTATATTGCTAACGCTGACGTCATGAAAGGCCGAAAAGGCACTTGAGTGGATGCTGGCTCGTGTCAATGACTCCAGCAGAAAAACGTTTGGGAAGCAGCTCAACGAGCATGGCGTCATATTGGAATGGATTGCAAAATCGCGTCTCGAGATAGATGCAGCTCGTCTCATCGTTCTTAATGCAGCCGCCAAGATTGACGAATCTGATGCTAAAAGTGCTCTCAAGGAGATTGCTGAGGCTAAGGTTTTGGCTCCTCAGGTGGCCTTGACAGTGATTGATCGAGCCGTGCAATGCTTTGGTGCAGCAGGTGTTTCTCAGGACACCCCATTAGCCAGCATGTGGGCCCAAACAAGAACACTGAGGATAGCTGACGGCCCAGACGAGGTCCATTTGCAACAGATGGGACGAAGCGAAGATAAATACGGTGAAGTCATTGCGGAGCGGCTCCGGAAGCAAAAGCAAGTGACTGAAAAGTTATTCCAGCATTATGGCTTGTCACTCAAATCGAATTTGTAGTCTGTAGATTTTCTTTTCCAGCAGCGAGCAAAAGCATCTCTGTTTTTTTCATTCCACTACCTTTTCCCCAAGGAGAATGCACACTAGATGCGGACAAGCAGGAGTTTATTACGTGACAGGATTTCGTGACAACTCTCAAGATAACTTCTCCCATTATAGTAGGGCGGTGATGCGCATTGGCTTTCTTTTTGGGAGACAGCAAACCATTGGAGATGCATTCACACGAGTTTCCGACTCCATAGGATATCCACGCATTTTGTCATGCTTGGGGCAGGATGCACAATCAACAACGAGCGTGCAGAAATACGTAGACAGAATCCACAGAGGGGAAAAAAGAGTAAAGAAAAGATCTGATATTGCCTCATTTACATAATCGCCTCTAGATAATCCGCCACCTGTTGTAAATGAGCAGTAAAATTCATCTCCTCGGCTGGGGTATTTTCCGTGCCAAACATTTCAGTATCCACCTTCTTATGATAGATAAGAAATTCATTTACAGCATCTAAAATGGGCTGGAGTGAACCCTTGGGCATCAAAGCACGAATGGACGCGGCAGCGGCGTCATTGTGGCACATATTACCCAACAGCACCGCGAGGTAGCCAAAAACAACATTGAAGTGGGTGGCTTCCATCGAGTCCGCCTATTTGATCAGTTAATATTTCGAAACGATTCGCTTTGAAGAAGAAGAAGGAGAGGGGATGTAGTAGGAGACGAACCTCAGCAATACTATCCCTTCTCGCGAGGAACTGCTGCACGGAAGCATCCAACCATCTATCATTGTTGAGCTGTGCAACCACCATGAAATACCTAGCTTGGTCGCTGAGTTCTGCAAAATTGATGAGAACTCCGAGGGCGAGCACCAAGGTATCCAACATGGAAGAAGAAGAGAGAGCCATCAATCGAGAATGCACCAAGTGGACAAGGTTCTCAATCAATGAGCGGTGAGACAACGCATTGCAAAACTCGGCATCGTTGTTCGTAATGTTGAGAAGAAAACGCAAGGACATGATAGGAATGTTGTCCGAGTCATCATATTTGAGAAGGATTGAGAGACAGGTTGCAAGCGAGGATGTGACCTGGTGATCGCTCGTGGATTCTCGCAAAGAGGAGTTGGCATAGAGAGAAAATGATTCGAAGATGGAGAGAATCTGTTCCAATTCGATGACTTGCTGCTTGGAAACAGAAACAGAAACAGCGGAGAGCGCTTGAGCATTGTTGACGAGTATTGAAATTAGCTCCAGGGTGACTTGGCGAGATAGACCGCATTCATTGCAACCTGCTTCCCGGCCACCGCGCATGATGGCGTCAAGGCAACGTAGTGAGATCATTCGAGGAGATGGTGTTATTGCGACTTCAGCGTTCCATAAAATTGACCTTTCCAGATCATCTCGTACATCGGACAATTCTTGCAGGGCACTCCTTGACATCTTTTCAGACTCTGCAACGATTCGAATGTCGTCGCGCAGGTCAAGCAATGACGCGATCGATTGTAAAATCTTCGTGCCTTGAGCTTGTCGTAACGTGCGTGGTGATTTGGAAGCGCGAAGCAGGAAAAATACAGCCATTGAAAGCAAGGATCGAGAAATAATTCCCTGATACTCTCCCTCGAGGCAAGCAAGAAGGCGACGGTCGAAATCCTGATCGATGAGACGTTGGGCAAAGTCCCTGTTAGAGAACTTGGACAAGAGTGTGTGCAGCCCTTCGAGTTTTCTCGTGGTGGAACTTGGACTACTGTCCTCCAAGTCTTCAAAGAGCGTCCCCATTTCATCGGCGAAACGTCGATTGATACCAGCTTCCCGCAATTCATGAATGCTTCTGATTGGACCACTGCGTGATCCTGTTTCAGGCTCTCGCTGAGAACTGTTCCGCTGAGAGCCGGATTCTCTAAAACCATACTTGGGAAGTTGACGTTTCAAGTTCCGCGGAGCTCCTATACTAAAGGGTGTATCACTACCAAGAAGCTGCTCCTGAAGAGGATCGTCTTCTACCAAATGCGATCTTTGTTGGGAATATGTGGTCCTCGGCCCGCCGTACTGGAGAAGAACGGATGTCTGAGACAGCTTGTCGTCGGCTTTCCCCCCTAATTTAGAATCGGCCACTTCCGATCCATTCATGTCTTGATATGGTCGTGCTTCAGGAGAACCCGTTTGGCTTTGAGAAGATCTAGTACCTGTACGAGAGTCTTTTTCTTCGTTCTCGCTATCGGACTCATCCGTATGTCTGATAGTACTTTCGTCAAACGATCCTTGAGGTGTGAGCACATCAATCAAGCGCTTCCGCAGTCGATCCGGAGTAAAGCGGCCACCATCACCTAGATCCTCCGGGGTATCCACATCCGCGTCTAATAGGCTGCTGCTCTTTTGAAGCTTCTGGCTGACAGACCGCTTAGTGTTAGTCGCGCTGCGTCCGTCAGCGGATGACTCCAGTAACTGGCCCCATAGCTTGGCCTGGCGTGGCGTTGTACGCGCTGGTGAGCATGCGCCAGCAACCGATGATTCGGGCGACTTTGGTCGTTCGGTGGGTGGAAGCCCCTGGACATGCGGCGTTATCGATGAAGTATTTGGCGGCTTATCATTCGGCTTTTTGGTATTTACTGAAGCATATGCACGTGGTGCTTTCTTAAGTATCGACGAGGCGGCCGGTGGGGGTGTTGAAGGCGCAGCGACAAAGGGCTCTTCAGCCTGTTCCCTCGATCTGGAAACTTGTCGCTGGGGCGACTTCCTTGCTGACATTGCATCATGTGAAGCCTTCGGTTTTTGCGTCAAACGCCCTGCGGGTTGGCGCCGCGGAATCTCGATTCTCACCTCCCGCCGAGAGCCGAGAATATTTGGCCGGTCCTCAGATGGTCCCCTGCTGCTTGAAGGTTTCGATGAATGCCGGGCTGCCGGGCTGGTCTCCCTTCGGAGACTCCGCTGTTCCTCTGCGCCTCGCCGTTGATTGCGATATACTGGGACGACAGACGGTTTAACTGGAGATATCTTCCGTCGCTTCGTGTTGCGCGAGTCGTCTTCAAACTCGTAGACATTAGAGGCACCGTGTGCGCAGTCCTTTTCCCAACCTTCCAGTCGCAGCTTTGTTGAGAGAATTTCCTCGGAAGTCGCTGAAGCGTCAGACTTGTCCGACTTGTCGTCTTCCTCCGGCCCAGCAGGAGTTTTCTGATTAGAAGACACGGCGCGGTCTAATTTGCTCAGGTTCCAGACAGGATTCGCGGGACTGCTTCCATTCGACGTGGGCCGCGCTTCGTCTTCATCGAGGGTTGAGCCTTTCACATCAACCTGTATGTCTGATATTCCACTCCTCTCTTTCGATCGGGAGTCCACGTATCCCGTTCCCTGAACTTTTCGTCTGCTGGCTTTTCCATACGTTACTGTTTTCGGCGTTCGGTATTTAGGGAAATCCATCTTTGATCTGACAGAACCAGTCAATGTTCCAGCACTTCAAGCAAAATAAACTAGCGATTATGCGCAACAGGCTAATGAAGCAGGTAATAGCGATATGCGATGGCGAGTGAGCGGGTGGTGGAGATGGTCAGGATGAGATTAAATTAACAGGATTCCAATTCGCGATTAGAGTGAAGTTTCAATCAAAGAGGAATAAGTGAGGAGCGATCCGGAATGAGGAAAAGAAGAGTAAGATCCTGGATTGATGAGCGCGCAGCAACAGCTGACTGTGACTTCAATCATTATGAGCAGGCGCAGAAGTCTCGGTGCTGGTCAAGAATTGGCTTGTAAGCAAGATCGTGGCGTATAAAAGGACATTGAAGCTGCGTCGCAAAAAGGTGCGCGTTCCAATTGCATAAAAAGAAAGAGTAAAGGAAGCCGGTGATGTCTTTGACAAAAAGGCGTTCGATAACAAAGACGTCGTAATATGGTCCCGTCAATCTGCGCAAACCCCACTAGAGGCGTTGGAGTGGCCGCACCAGTCAAATTAAAGGTCTGTTTTCGACACGGACCGGCAATTTCACAATGAACCAACTCCAGCAGATAAAGTTAGTGACTAGCTCAGCTGGCTTCTTAACTAGAGAAGTGACGGAACAGTGAAACGACCATAACTGCAACATACCTCCGTAGTGAAGAGCTCCCGTGCGCTCTTTCCTTGTAATTCACTTAAGTTGGTTATAGGGAGAGCTGGCCCCCTCGCCCCTCGGAGGTGGCCGACAACAGATGTCCGTGGTACGTACTGGTGCCCCGCCTAAACATGCCTCTTTCCCTTCCACAATCTCCAACACCAATAACAATTCTACGCCTGCGAGAAGGGCAGTTCTCTTATTCAGGGCTTGACATTTAATTCCTCTGCCTTCTCGCTCAGAAATTGCGACTTTTACTACTCTAACGCCCATTTGCCCCCCTCTTCTCTGATAGGAAATCGAGAGTTCGTTAATCATGAGCTCAAGCACTCCGGCACAATGCGTCGGTCCCAGTTATCGCTCGGAGGAGCAGAAGCCCACAGCAACAGTGTCGACACCTATCTCCCATGATAATGTGCACATTTTACCGCAGACCCCTCAGCTCATCGCGCTTTTGACGTATGAATCCACATCGCAGTTTCATCTCTGAATATACAGTAGATTCTTCATGTTCAAGGAGCTGACCATGGGGTGTCGCAATGGCGAACAGCATGATCCGCGATAGAGAGACTGCCCGAGCAGACTTCATCTTCTATTCGAACCGCATTATTCGTCTGTTGGTAGAGGAGGGCCTTAATCATCTGCCAGTCATTGAGCATACCATCACGACACCCATTGGAAGAACATATTCTGGGGTCAAATTCCAGGGCAAGATTTGCGGTGTATCAATCATGAGGGCCGGAGAGGCGATGGAGCAAGGCTTGCGGGACTGTTGTCGATCGGTGCGGATTGGCAAGATATTGATTCAGCGCGACGAGGAAACAAGCAAGCCCCGTCTGTTCTACGATAAGCTTCCTGAAGATATTGCCGATAGATGGGTACTTTTGCTAGACCCAATGTTTGCAACAGGTATTACCTTATCGCCAAAAATTTTCCCATCGCGAGCTAACCCGCTGGAAAGGTGGATCAGCCATAATGGCGGTTGAGGTACTCAAGTCTCGCGGTGTTCCCGAGGATCGAATCTTGTTCCTCAACCTCATCGCCAGCCCCGAAGGTATCAATAATTTTGCAGAGCGATTCCCCAAACTTAGAGTGGTGACTGCATTCGTCGACAAGGGCCTTGATGAGAAGAAGTAAGTGAATTGCTCTGATTACTTGAATGCGTCCATGTCGATCTGACACTGCTCTCTCTATAGCTACATTGTTCCCGGTCTAGGAGATTTTGGTGATCGATTTTATACTATGTAAAGTAGTCGATAAATACCCAGGGCATGGAAAATGTCCTTGCATGAGCATAGAGCCAATTGCATTTCTAGCAAAAATTTCTCAAAAGTGCTGCATGTAGGATGTCTCAGAAAACAGGCTGCGCGACTCGGAGAACCACCCTAGATATGGCAAACCTGTCTCTTCCTTCAAAACTATCCTCTCACAGAAAAAATCCGATTGATCAGTCAGCAGGTTATTTTGCGCATTGATTTTCGCTCAGAATGAGCCGCCTGCCACTATTGATTGAATGATCCAAGAAATGCATGACTCCCTTCCTAGTGGTGTATCTGCATCAAAACTAGTCCTTCAGATCCTCTCTCAAGGTTGGTTGGGCCAAACATTATGATCTTGTTCTGGTGAACGTAAAAAACAATCTCAACATAATGCATTGCACATCGTCTTGTCGCTGAAGATGTCTGATTATGGTCCTGGTAAAGCTCAGTCGCCATCGTCATCTATGCTACCTTCAGTTGCGGCAAGAGGCTCCCTATCTGCGTAGTCCTCCACGGCAAGTCTTGACTCGGGTTCGTGATAGCCATAACTGGAATCGCGAGGGTCGTCCCCAGCAGCGTCTTTGGCAACGGTGTCGCAGGCATCGATCCAATCAGAGTAGACATCCACTGCTGCAGAAAGGTCTGGAAAAAACAGACTTGTGGTCAGCGAAAAGGGCGCGTGCAAATGCCTTTGTGGAGTCGAAGTGCAGTGATCTCACAGTTGATTCCGGTTTGAAATGATTGTCCGCAAACTTTGCAGGACAGCTGACCGACGCCGATCTTTTTCTCCAGCTTGACTGTCACAGACTTTTCATGATTGCAGAATAAGCAGGGAAATGCCGTTGGGAGCGGTTCACTCTGCTCAGGTAGTTAGGTATGTTCCACATGAGAGACGATTTGAAACGTTCTAAACGTGCGCGACTCCAATGTGCGACTGGGCGGGAAAGGTGCTGACCTTCTTGGGGCCTTGCGGCTTTCTGGTAGACTTCTTGCGCTTACCCTAATAGAAAAACAAGAATTAAAATCATCCTTTATCTGCGATTCAAGTATGATGGCTTACCATGGCGAAGATGAATCAGAGGAAAGAGCCACTGGACAAATAGGTTGTCTGTCGGCTGGGCCTGTAAATTTATATAACTTAGTAGGAGGTAAGGATCATACATCACTCGCGGTTGCTTAGATGAGGTTTGTGGGCTGCCGTAGCTGAATCGTTGCTCGCCGTTTGGCTTGATAAGTGCTTTAGATTACCGTAGTCAGCTACGTAAGGTAAGTAATTCTTTTACAAGAGTGGCAGTTTTGCTGACTAAGTATTCTCCAAAAGGATTAGTACGGCCTCGGCTGTTTAGTCTGTCGATCTCGGCTCCAGACTAAATTTATAGCTTATTCATTGTGTGGGGTTGAGAGGATGGAGAAAGGTAACAATTGTGGGTACATGGACGGACGAGACTTTGCCATTAGACGAAAATAAAGCTGATACAGCATTTATTCTTCCTTTGAATTGCATCAGGTGTAATGGTATCATCTACGAGAAGATATAGAGCTCTTTTGCTTTGGAAAAAGTTAAAGTTTGTGTAGGCTGCAGTGGATGGTCTCGTGGTTTCTCGGCCCCCGGTAAACAGCACCCTGCGTCTCGGTTCAACCGTCTCCCGATGTAAAGGGGGGTTCAGATTGCAAGGGGCATCTCGTCCTTTCCGATGCGACTGTCGGAGCTGCCAACACAATTTGCAGAAATTCGTAAATCATACTTACAGCTTGATTAGGCGTTCATTTATCCTGACGTTGATAATAAACTGTTCCCACGACCTCCGTAGTAGCTAGCAAAATGGTTGTTCCTCAGACGGCCAATGAAGATCAAGCTACTGCCTTCAGTACAATACTTGCGGCGCTTAAAGAAATTCAGCAGGATCACCGTCAGCTTGCAGCAGTAGTCGATGAGATTAACGGTAGAGTTAATACCCTCGCCGGCATAAAGCAAGTAAAAGATGGCGCCATCGAAACTGAAGAGGCTAGCAATAGCTCTTCGCAACCTTCAGGAGTATCATGGATTGACGACTCTGGTCTTGAAGGAAGGATAAATCAGGAGTCCAAGTCCACAGCTAGTTCTACTATTCCGCCAGTTCCTCTGGCAGATGTACAAGGCTCGACGTCACCACTTTCTAGGAGATCATCAACCACATCCAGAATTATCTTGACGACCTATCCGGGTCAGTCTGGTATCGACCCAATCGTCATGAGCTGGGGAAACAAGGACCCAATGCTTCGAGGGCCCGTTGTCGTCTCACGTAGCCAAAACACCTTGAGGAGGCGAAATGGTATAGATTCGTGCCAATACTTCCTGAGCATAGCTAATCCGAGCCATTAATAGCTATCGGAGCACATGGAGGCTCTTATTCAATCTATCATGCTCTTGCAGTGGCAAGTAAGAATTTGGATGTCGATCACAGGCCTGACTTTACCAACACTGAGCCCGCGGCAAACATCGGTCCGTTTCCACAGTGGTCAGATCCAAAGAAAATTGTATCCATGGATCCACTCGGGCACCTTGCACCTTGGTTATTCAAGGACATCATCCGAAGCGAAAATGTCGATATTCGACCCACTATTGCAATTACACGAGCGCACATGAAGCTTCCTGAGCTTGAGCAGAGTGTTAAATCCGGCCGTCTCGTACCTGACGGGAAGATATGTTTGAATGAGAGCGGGGAATTGGCAGTGACAAAGTTTGCTGTTGAGCCAGTATGGTTTCTTCCTGGGGTTGCGGATAGGTTCGGAATTGGTAAGGCTCATTTGATGTGCTGATTCAAAACTGTGCAACTGTTCTGTTGTATACTTCCAACTTTCCGGAAATTGACCTTCTTTTGGTTTAGATGAAGGCTCCCTACGGAGATCACTATTCGAAAACACCGGCGGTTCTTTTCCGGAGCTAATCACAAGGGGCGACATCAAGCTCTTCCTGCCTCCTATTGGTGGTTTGACCGTTTACTGTTTCGGTGATCCTGCAAAAATGTCCGACCCCAACGTCAAGCTAGCCCTCCGTGTCCATGATGAATGCAATGGTAGTGATGTCTTCGGATCTGACATTTGTACATGTCGCCCGTATCTCATATTCGGTGTTGAAGAAGCTGTGAAAGAGGCACAGAAGGGAGGGAGTGGTGTGGTCATTTACTTTCGCAAGGAAGGTCGAGCCTTGGGAGAGGTGACCAAATATCTCGTTTACAATGCACGTAAGTTGAAACTTTGGTGTCGTTGGAGCAATGAGATTCTCTGACAACTTTCTAGGGAAAAGAGGAACCGATAGTAGGAGAAACAAATGAAAATGTTACATTTTCTTTGCTAATGCAGTGCTAGGAGCTAGCGAGTATTTTAAGCGGACGGAAAATATCGCAGGTGTAAAAGTAAGAGAGTTGCTCAAGAGCAGATACATCGAATATCTATTGACCGATTTTCTAGGACATGCGTTTCCAAGCCCTTATGCCAGATGTGAGTGGTCTCAAGCTTTCTGTTTTATGCCTTTTCTCTAAGCTTGCTAACGCCACGTATCAGATACTTCACTGGCTTGGAATCACTAAGATTGACCGCATGCTCAGCATGTCAAAGTAAGGAATTCCCCTTCCCCCCTCCTTCTTGTATGCTGGCTCCTTACTAACAGCCTGCAGCATGAAGCATGATGCTATTGTTGAACAAGGCATACCAATTTTGGAAAGAGTACCTATACCGGATGAGCTTATTCCCGAAGACAGCAGAGTTGAAATCGACGCAAAAATCCATGCGGGCTATTGTAAGATCAGACAACTCATACTTAATCTCTTCTGTTATTTTTCTGACAGCTTGCGAAACACTAGTTACGACTGGCAAAGTGTTGAGTATGACGGAACTTTCTCACGTTCAGGGGCGTGCATGGGATGACATCGATGTAAGCCATACACATTGCCCAATATTCGCATTTCCCAGACGCATTCACTAATACCAATAACTTTTTCCAAGCATTGAAATTTTGCCGGAAGCCATATATGTTACATGGGATCTGTAATTAAATGAATTGAAGAACTACCTCTACAGCGGCTGCTTGTTCCTTACATCCCAAAAGGGCATCAAGCAATTCTATGAAGCATTTACAGATGCATCATAATATCATTCACTAGCTTTGCATCGCATTTGTGCAGAACGCCACTTCAACAAATCATCAAACGATTATGTTTCGACAGGTAGAATCACATGTACATCAGGTAAACACTACCACAAGAAAACCCTCGTCGTGCGACAAAGTTCTTCCAGAGCAAAATACAAAGATATGATTGACGCTCACATGGCCAACATAATAATAACCTACGCCACCCATACGCCAAGTAAACCCTGAAAAATCTCCGACTTCTTAGAATGAACGTGCATTGCATATGCTACACGCAATTATATCTACCATATCGGATCTGCTAATTTGGCAGGGATAAATACCTGGTAGGGAGGGGGACCACGATGGTCTCGTTTTTTGGGCAGTGGGCCCAGGCTGTTGCAAGGACCAGTACACGACATCATGATGACAGGCGCCACTTGGTTAAAGCACTGACTGCATTTAACCCGATGATTGTGTGCCCAAGGCTGCGGAATTGACGTGTTCACTCCTAAGTTGTGAGGTGCAACACTTTGCCTATCTGCGGTAACACAAGCTATCTACTTGGACAGTGCAAAAGCGGCATGCCACGTTGTGGCGATACTCGAAATGCGGAGTAACATATTCCATCCGTTCTAAAAGTACATTACTGTACCGTATGAGGACCACGTCCTTGGACATTAACGTCTATTAGTGCAAGGACAGCACAGCTGCATCAAGTCGGCCAGTGGGGCGGACCGCCGTAGATTGACTTAGATTCTCCACCTAAGGCTGCCAGGGGTTAACACTTAGCGGAGCTGGAGGGACAACAATTTACCTTGGCCAGTGTACGCCATCAACGGCCCACCCCGAGCAATGCTGTAAACGGTACGTCTTCCCCCGGGTTGTTCAAAGCAAGAATACGACCTGTGGAAATATAATTGGATCGATGTAGGAGCGAGCTGCAAAATCATCTAAGCCCTGATCGCTCGGGAAGCCTGGAATCTAGACTCAGGCAAATGCCTGGCGAACCGTGCGGTGACAGGCTAGCATGGTTGCATACGAGAACACCCTCCGCAAAAAGCCACGGGAATTCATGGGCCAATTCATCAGCATATTAGAAGAACTTTCGCATCCATGTATTGCCGCTTCTCCCGGTTGAGAGCCAACTGGCCCAACACTTGGCTGATGGACCATTTTGCAGCCACACGCCACCTTGGGGATGGTGGCTTCCCCACAGCTCCCCTGACGGGAGGTCAACGTCTTATTTAATGGAGACCCTCGTACGGAGTATGCTGAGATGAAATGTGATTCTTTGCGCAGAAAAGTTTTTTGAAACATTTAGATCCCTTTTGAAGAACAAAAGAAACGAGAAAAGACAACAGCAAGCGCTATTATGAGCAACGGCAAAATGTACATCTCACTACCGCCGCCAAGCTTGCAGAAGGCTGCTTCTTCAAGATTTGATCGCCGACGTTATCCGCTGACACCGTCGACCATAACACCTCCATCACTGACCGCGCACACATCATCAGCATCGCGGCAAGGACAAAGCACAAACGATCAATACGGGGCCTCAGCATTGCTTGCGCGGGTTGCCTCAAGTCCTCCATCGCCCCAATCGACTTTAAATTGTCCGCCCTTCTCTTCTGCCTCAAACTCAAATCTACCCATCACAAAATTGGATGAACATAAAAGGCAAGAGGCTTTTGCCAATACGCTTACCCCATTTCAAGGTATGTCAGTGGAATTCGGAATATATTTACTTGAACACTCATGTTAACTTCTTCCATAGATGGATACACAAGCTTTCCCGACTTCGACAGATTTGGAAGCCCACGACCTTCATGATAGGGTGCCAGATCAAACTGTCCTAGCCATTGTTTTGAGCAAATGCGGGGGTGACTGTATTTATTGAAATGGAAGTCGGTACGATTAAAACTCAAGTATGCGACACCGAAATGAAAGAAACTACCAAGGGAGGCAAATGATCCATAGAAAAATTGCGTCAACACCGATTTAACGCAGTAGCAAAGGCTGCATCGTGAAGCGCCGAGAGATATCTTGCGCTCAGCTGGGAATCTGGCCGATTCTGCACCGTCACGCAAACCTGAACATTAAAAGCTCAGAAATTGATTAAAGTCAACCCTACCATAATAATATAATTTTTATTATCTGATGCGAAGGTACAGAATGAAATAAACTTGTTTGGTTGAACCTATTGGCGGACACTTTCAGCAGCTTCACGACGTTTTCTAGGGCTATGAACTAGAATGCGTCAAATGTACCAATAATCGGCTATGGATTGTTTTCTTTTTCTTCGAAATCTAACGCTCGCACATTATGACTTTGAAGTGTGGAAAACGAACATGAATAAGCCTGAGATGTCTTGGTTTTCTCTAGATAGCCGTCACACTTGAGCCAGTAGTCAGCTTCAGAGCCAGAACGAAAGGAGTAACTTTTGTAGGGTTATCGAGCGTGACCATGCTTCTTTGCGGATGGTACGAGGTACTTTTCCAAGAGGTCCGGTTAGAAGGAAAAAAAGGGCCTGTCTAACCACGATAAGCTAGAGCATTAGAGGTACATCATAAAGTACTCGGGTCGAGCAGCTCAGGTCTGCTTTCTGGTCAACCCAAGCACAAGAACTTTTCGCACCCGCTTATCGGTCACGTGCAAAGAAACTAGCAGTCCCGCTTCGGTTAAATCGTCTAGTCCGCACACAAATCGTGAATTCTCGACCTTGACGAACGATTAACGATCAACGACAACTTCCACGCCACGCCGTCGACCTACGATTGCATTGTCTCCTCCGGTCTCGAAGTTGACAGATTGCAATCATGGCTGTTGGAAAGTAAGTGCAAATGCACATTTCCCCGATCTTTCGAAATCACTTCTCGAACTGCGCGCCGAAGATTCAAGTCCTTCATCAAACTCGTTCTAACATCCCGACTCCAGGAACAAGCGCCTTTCCAAGGGTAAGAAGGGTATCAAGAAGAGAACCCAGGACCCCTTCGCCAGAAAGGACTGGTACGCCGTTAAGGTTAGACTTGTTGAACAACTTTTCGCATCAAATTCCAGAGGTTAATGAATGAAAATAGGCTCCTTCCACTTTCGCCATCCGGGAGTATGGATCCCCCTTCTTTACTCATCGAATCTCTAGCGTATACTTACAATTGACAACAGTGTTGGCAAGACCCTTGTCAACCGGACCACTGGTCTGAAGAACGCCAACGACGCGCTCAAGGGCCGGATATTCGAGGCCTCTTTGGCCGACCTCCAGAAGGACGAGGACCACGCTTTCCGCAAGGTCAAGCTCCGGGTTGATGAGGTCCAGGGCAAGAACTGCTTGACCAACTTCCACGGTCTCGACTTCACTTCCGACAAGCTCCGCTCATTGGTCCGTAAGTGGCAGACCCTCATTGAGGCCAACGTCACTGTCAAGACCACCGACGAGTACCTCCTCCGTCTTTTCGCTATTGCTTTCACCAAGAGACGGCCCAACCAGATCAAGAAGACCACCTACGCTCGGTCTTCTCAGATCCGTGCCATCCGCAAGAAGATGACCGAGATCATCCAGCGCGAGGCCTCCAGCTGCTCGCTCTCCCAGCTTACCACCAAGCTGATCCCCGAGGTTATCGGCCGTGAGATCGAGAAGGCTACTCAGGGCATCTACCCTCTCCAGAACGTCAGTGATTCCTTCATAACCCGTTGTGTGTAGATTTGGGAAACATTTTGCTGAAATTTGGTATCTAGGTCCACGTCCGGAAGGTTAAGCTCCTCAAGTCTCCTAAGTTCGACCTCGGCGCCCTCCTCAGCTTACACGGCGAGTCCTCTCAGGACGATTCGGGTGTTAAGGTGAGTCTCTAATATCAAGCGGTGATATTTGGAAATCGATGAACTAACAGGATGGTCAGGTTGAGCGGGAGTTCAAGGAGCAGGTTCTTGAGAGTGTTTAAATTAAATGGTTCAGGATGTGGGATAGTTTGGTGATTGCAGAACCTGTCTAGCCACAATAAAATTCCGTTTTCTTCAAGAGCACGTTCTTCCAATGCGTATTTTATGTTTCAAATAGTGATCCGTGCGTGGCGGAACCGGTTTTATATGACATCACGTGATAACAGGAACATCGATAAAACATAGTCTCGCTCTCACATGCATGCTTTTGAAGCCATAGCAAATATCCTTTCCTTACCTCTCTATTTGACGGCAAATCTTGCGTCAAATCTTTTGTATATCTCATCTATTGGATCTCAGGAGTTGCCGATATTGAGACTCCCGGTCCTGATGCCGTCAGACGAGTCTTTACCTACACTCAAGATCTTATTAATTGGCCCATCCGGTGCAGGCAAAAGTGCATGTGCGTAGCTACTTTACATAGTCAGGCCTTTCCCCCAACATTGATTTAAACCAGACCAATGCTTCAGCGCCATCATTGTTCACGGAACCAGCGTTTTCGTGTGTTGCACCTACCATTTGCACGGACTGACATATCGGCACGAGGCGTATACAGTGCTCCTCCGCTATTGCGATGACCTTTTCGATTCTGAGTCCTCAACTGCAACGATAGGCGTTGATTTCCGTGTAAGTGTCAAGTCTGTATTTCTTACGATTTCATACGCTTGCTGTAGCCCTCTGCAGCTCTTTCTTTCTGCGCGGCCAAAGCAACACACTGCGAGAACAAATATGAAAGATATTGAAAGATAGAGAGCAGTTGCGTTTTGTGAAGATATCAAAGCTCAAAATTACTGATTTCGTTTTATGGTCAGCTCAAGAAACTTTCAGTCCGCGGAACACCCTATAGGCTGAATCTTCTTGACACTGCTGGACAGGGTATGTTATTATTATTATTTTTTTTATCATTTTATGCGCCTATTTCCACGTGCTATTTCAAACACCCTTTTTAAGTACTAAACTCCTCATTCCAAAGAATGAGGTCAGCACTCGGTAGCATTTTGCTATCGTCGCTTTGGAAATTGGGTCAATGTGGCAAAAAATTCATATCTTTTCAAGGCTGAACCGGGAATTTTCTCTGTATAGCCGCAGGGCCTGCCCACCACTGCTCAACCATGTCCAATATGACTCCTCTACTTTTCAATGAGGATGAAAGGCTAATTTTATGCCGCCAAACAGAAAGATTCCGAACTTTATCACACAGTTATTATCGAGGTGCGCACGGCATACTTCTTATGTTCGACATGACGAATCGCGAGAGTTTCCTGTCCATGGGCCGGTGGTACGATGAGGCTGAGACGAATGCGCTACCGGGAGTGGTTACATATTTAGTACGTGTTCTCTCTAATTTCTCTATGGTTTTGCTGCTCTGCTTGGCTCGATAATGTTGTTGAGTTCACGCATTTACCCATGATTTTGCCTGATCTGGAGTTCGATCTTCCCCTGAAACTGCTTTACCGTCTTCCAAGAATACCTAATTCTAAAATTGATGGGTACTGTACACACACTAACGCACCAATTCCTTAGGTTGGTGGTAAGTTGGACTGTCATGACTTTAGGGTAGTGTCTACAGAAGAGGGTGAGGCACTTGCGCAGCAGCATGGATCAAGGTATTGCGAAGTGAGCTCCAAGACACGAGAGAATATTCGACGGCCTTTCGTCGAGCTCGTCCATGAGATTGTGAATAACCCCAGCCTGATGCAGATGGTGAAAAGACCTGGCGAGGGTGGCAGAAGTCTTGATGTGAAAAGAGAAGACCCATATATTTTCAACGGCTGCAACTGTTAATAGATTTACTAAGCCAATCGGCCGAATCCTATGGTTCCTGAAGAGGTCATGTAGCCCTCATCAAAGCCAGTGGCTACTGACCTTCCTGAACTTGGTTTGTAGATCAGCTCTTTTGGCGCAATACGGTCGGGTACGGGATCAATTAGAGTGTATTCTTCAAGTCCCACGTTTTTATAGACATTCTCCAATTGCTTTAAAAGCTATTGCAGCACTCTAGCTTCGGCAGCGGTTCAATAGTGCTTAGGTTCAACGGACTTCTGCTCCCCTTCCTTATCAGCTTTAGTTTGCGTTTACCTATTCGGTTTGTTCAAATAGTAGGTTCTTGGTATTCAGAAATATACCCTTCTTTGTAATTTCATAAGTCTTCGGGTAGGATTTCCGAATTCTATAATAATAACGCTGTACAAGATACTAATAAGAGATTTTGTTCTATAATGGCACACCCATTTAGGCCATTTTGAAAAATATTGCACAGACTGACGCTTTCACATAAAGCAAGTTAGTTAGGCATGAACATATTAACTTAGGAGTATTTCTTGACTAGATTTTGCTGCTCTATGTTAGGACTGCTGTCGGACGAGAGGCAGCAATTCTTTAAATACGTAGATGTATGCATTCAGTATGATTGCTTTCAGAGCATCCTACTACATGTTCTTACTCACTAGTCATGGAAATTGTAAATTTTTAAATTAATTTGAAGGCTTATATGAACAATTGTTTTTCAGCGAACTCATATCCAGATCTTGAAAAGGAAATATTGCTAAATATTTTCTCGAGTTTATATAAATAGTGAGATAATCTGAAAATGCCAATTGTGCGCCGACTGAAAAACCAACTAACCACAGCACCAAGAGGGGACTTCGTGAATAATTACGAGATCTGATTTAAAATTGTCCATGACAGGCCAGAATGACCTCTCGGCCTTTACCCCCACCAAGCTACAGAACCTTGGAACCAAAACAAGCGAAGTCTGGCCCCAAATCGTCACCAAACTGATCCAAAACCCCATCGGGCTTATCGCCTTTAATATCTCCGCATCTCTACTCCCTCTCGAGTGGCAACCTGTGATTCAGACATTTTGCTACCGTCAGAATACCAATACAATGTCCGGGTTGGAAAAAGCGCTCTTCAACCTCAAGGTACATTACCACCTTTATGAGCAGCTTTAGCTGTTTCACCAAGCTATGCGCCGTATCCGCCTTGCATTTACCTAAATGATAACCCCCCCGCTGATTTTGATTTGACGCGTTCTGTTTAGTTCACGGCCAAGCAGCTGAACCGACAAGCCGCCAAGGCGAAGAAGGAAGAAAATGCAGAAAAAGCAAAAGTGAAAAAGGTCTGTGACCGCAGCTTCCACCCTTCGCATACGCAATTCGAGGACCGTCGTCATCTTCTGTATCATATATGCCATATCGAAACCGCCGCAGGGGGGGAGGCTGATGTATAATTCCGGTTTCACATAGGCTATCGCCGACAAGCATGAACCGATTGCCCGAATCCACGCACAGAATGCGATCCGCAAAGGCAACGAGTGCATAAACCTACTGACCCTAGCCTCGCGCATTGACGCTGTGAGTAGCCGAGTCCAGACCGCAGTCACGATGCGGCAGGTCACGAAAGGAATGGGGAATGTAGTCAAGGGCATGGACCAGGCGATGAGCTCGATGGACCCGGCGAAGGTGGGTAGACTCCGCGCATTTGCGCCTCCTTGAGTCGCATTTACTGTGTGCTGGAGGGGAAAAGCCGTAATGCTTTGGTGGCGAAAATATGTAGCTGACGGGAATAACGACTGCTTGCAGATTTCAGAATTTATGGACCGCTTTGAATCTCAATTTGAGGACTTGGACGTCGCGACGGCCTATTATGAAAACGCAACTTCAGCGGCGACTGCTACGACGACACCGCAAGACGATGTCGACCGCCTGATGGCGCAAGCCGCAGACGAGGCCGGTGTCGAGTTGCATCAGGAGCTGGATGCCGCAACGCCTGCGGCGACGAAGATTGGTCCCACCGAGGAAGAGGAGGATAATTTGGGTGAAAGATTACGTGCTCTGCGAAACTAGAAAGAGAGAAGAGGGAAGTCTGGCTCACATACATTTGACAAGCTCACGCGCCGACAGGTCGGCTTATACGATTGATGAATTGAAATATATCTATTCTCATGGCTCACATGTTGCGCCGTTGCGGTTCCAAAGGGGCCACGGTTATTGTTGTTTTATCTCTTTCGCAGGGGACTGTCCATGTTGCAGATATTCTCGGGAATGCTTGGAAGCAAAACCTCGTCATGGGAGGATGGTCACATGTAAAACCGCAATATTTTATCATAATTTAACTGCTGTGCAAGCGGAGCTGGTGTGAACTTGCTGGCCCTCCAAGTATATGTCAATGCTAGTCTACAACTGTAATTTGAAAAATATAATCATGACAAACATTCTCCGTCCCATTATTTGTATGTTTGGGGAGAGAAATTAAGCTGCCAGAGAGGCCGCCTCACCCTCCTTGAGCTTGCCACCTTCCACCAGGCGCTTCACCTCCTCGGCGTACACAGCCTTGACCTCAGTGGCGCCCTTCTTGGAGGAGAGCTTGCCGGCCAAGTCAGCCAGCTCAGTGGCCTCAAGCTTGGCAATGATGAGGTCAACATCGGTCAGGACACGGTCAACCTGAGCAGCGGGGGCATCACCTCCCTCGTGAAGGTAGTTGTTATCCTTGACAGCAGACTTCAAGACACGCTTGTTCTTCTTAGCAGCGTTCTTGGCGGCCTCACGAGTCTTCTTGTCTTCAGCCTTCTGGAGCTTCTCGGCAGCCTCCTTCTCGGCCTTGAGACGGGTTTCCTCTTCCTTAGCCCGAGCAGCTTCCTCGGCGAGACGCTTCTGCTCAGCCTCCTTCTCTAACCGGCGCTTGTCCTTGTGAGCACGCTCCTCCTTGCGGAACTTCTTGATACGCTCGTCAAGGGCGAGAGCCTCGTCAACAAGGTGACGGAGACGAGTAGTGTCCTCGGTCTTCTTCTTCTTGCGGGCAGCGTTGTTCTTACGCTCCACGTGACGCTTCTGGTCACGGTTCTCGTTGTCATCCGGCACGTCTTCGTCTTGGTACTCGAAGGTTCTCCAGCTGTCGAAGTTGTACCAGAAGTTATAGAAAGTCTCCACCTCTTCTCTGGTGCTGTTCTCGTTACCGAGAGATGGAACGGGGTGATTCTTGGAGAATCGAGCCTCCGAGTCGAAGACGGGAGCCCAGAGCTTGAAGAAGTTGCCTTTCTGGGTCTCCTTCTTGCTGGGCGGCTCCACATCAGCGTGCTCATCAACCGAGTCATACTGACGACGCTTAACAGGGTCGGTAAGCACTTCCGTGGCCTTCTGGATACACTTGAAGAATGAATCATCATCGGCGGTACCAGCGGCGGCCTTCTTGTCGGGGTGGTGCTTGAGGACCTTCTTGCGGTGGGCACGCTTGATCTGCTCCTCAGTAGCCCTGTATCGGTACTTGGACAGGCCGAGAACAGCGTAATGGTCCTGGTTCTGTAGAGCAGAGTGTCAGTTTCATGATTCAGTTCTGGATTTCAAGGATGTTGGCAGAAAACATGATATAGGAAGACATACCTTCCAGTCTTTGGGGTCACGCTGGAGCATCACCGGGTCCTCAGGCTCGCTGAGGTCGTCGGCGTCATCCTCTTCCACCTTCTTAACATTTTCCTGCGCTTGTATTCTCTCATCCTCGGAGAAAGTACGCTGATGACGCTTCTATTCACACCCCGATTACATTAGCATTTCTAAACGTGTCCGGTTCAATTTGGGGTCAATTAAACTTACTCTGCGAGCGTGAGCGAGGAAGTGAGGGCCCACGGGCTCGAGGCTGCGCTGAGTGGCCGGGGACAAAGATCCAACAGCCTTGAAATCTTTGTCACTGCTCCAACCCGCAGGAAGGAGAGGCAAAGGGAGGTTGATCTGAATGGCCGACATTGTTGACCAATTCCTATGATGAGAGGGTTGGAAAAATATCTCTCCAAAGGCCTGGCGCTCTAGGGTCCTCGGTCCACACTGTTTGATGCCTTCGGAACTTTTTTTCTTCGATTATGTAATACGAGTCCCTGGTCGGGGCTCTACGGCAAAACATTCTTGCCTTTTATGAAATCAGAATCACCTGTGCGGCGATAAAATTCCGGGGGTCTGCGAACCGCCTTGGCCACTTCCTTCTTTTGATCAATTTTAATTTCACCTTTGCCTTGACGGATCAATTTTCAGCTTGGAGTTTTGTGGGGTATTATTCGCATAAATCAAAGATTCCAATCATGGCACTCGTGGCATATCGACAGTTGCTCCGGTCGGCCCGCGTCGCCTTTCAAGGTGAGTAGATTGGGCGGGCGCATAGTGGGAGAGCCCAGGGCATAATCTCTAATCTTTCGCTCTGTATTCCAGGTGATGCTCGACTTCTATCTGCGGCCCGCGAGCAAGCCCGTGCAGGCTTCGAAAGCGGTCGCGATTTGCCCTTGAGCAGCGACGAGACTTCAGCGAGAATAGCGCATGCCGAGGAAGTGGCCAAGATTCTTCGGCATAACATCGTCCAGGGTCAAATCGAAAACGAGAACAAGGGAAATTACAGTAAGGAGATGCCGTGAGAGCACAGCGATTTTTGAAACATTAGGCTTACGCGTGGACAGAACTCCGCATTCACGAGGAAATTGAGCGAGGCGATAATGATAGTGTCAAGATTTCGGATTCCGGACTCCTTAAACCAGGACAATGCTGCTCATCACTATAGTATCTGACAACTCGATGGAAGCGACAGACAAATTTCATATAGATCTTCTTTCTCACAAGCGGGACATTCGGTCATGATTACTATGTTCATATACTCCGTACAGTACATATTTTTGCTATCAATCCAAAATAATCCTTTAGAACGCCAATCAATTACCTGCAAGACTAGCATACTGCACATCCTCTTTGCCTGGTGGAGGGGCAACAGCACTAAGGCTGTCGGCACTTTCTTGTGATGGATCTCCCGATCCTCTAGCGTTTGCTGTTCTATTGAGTGGACGAGCTGAAGCAGCCGCCGCGGCACGCCCCTCTCTGCCCAGTTCTATTCTTTCCTGTCGGTCCATGGTATCCAACGGCCGGGGTCGACCCCACTGTACCCGTAATGGACAGCCCATGATGACGGCTCTTCCCTGGCAGGCTTCTGCTGCCGCTTCAGCACCTTGACGCGTCGAATAGTTTATGAATGCGCAATGTGATCGATGAGAGCAGACGAGTGATCGTAGGGATCCATATTGACTAAAATGGGCCCGAACGGCATGTTCTGGGAGATCATCCTCAACTCCAGTCACGAATAGCGATGTGATATTGGGATCAGCCGGAGGCAGGATATCTTTTGGCCCTGGGGGAAGCTGTGCTGTGCTCGGAAATCCTCGACCGCCCCGACCTGCAGGGCGCCCACCTCGAGCACCACCTCTGCCGGCTCCATCCCGCGTTCGAATAGGCCCTGGTGTATGGGGTTTGGCATCCTCGATTGCCAGCTGACCACCAGCTGGACTGTCGTTTTCTAACCTTCGCTGTTTCTTGTAATAGGGCTCACTATTGGCGAGCCTCCTGAGAAGCTCCCTTGCTTTTTCATCTGTCTTCTCGTATTGCTCCACGCCGCCGCGACCTTCTTCAATCTCGCGCTCGTGTTCTTGCGCATAGTATTCTCGGTTGATGGTGCTCTCCGGCCCAGGCGCCACCATTTTTAAGGCGGCATCCCGAACGACGATGGGTAATCCAAAAGACAGATCGAGCATGCAGCACTGACAGCAGTTCTTCAATCGTGCGCAAGTGAGACAGATATTTGTTCGCTTCTGACGAGCTGTCCGGTCCGCCTTCCATCGGAAAATGGTGAAAGGACGAGTACATATCTAGTAGCAAATTAGACATGTTATCACTTTTACATACTACAGCAAACCAGTGAGATTGACTTACCTTACACTCAGCGCCATAATCTTCCTTTAGCATTTGAACGTAAGGGTTGTCTGGAAGGCAGCTCTCACTGTAACATGACGATTAGTAAGTGACTGGCCGCGATTGACGCCACGGACGTAACGCTACATACCAGACTGAGGGGAAATCCGTGCTTTCCCAGCCTGAGCGATTTAGGTCTTGCTTGATCTGAGGAGGCATAGTGGCGCAGTACCGACTCCCAGGACAGGAGGTGAGGTGATAATGGCGTGGAGACTGACGTAGGCTGTTGTCGAGGAAAAACTCGGTCGATCAACAACGACAGGGCTGCGAGGATAGTTGGAAACCGTGCCCCTGACACAAGAAAACGAAGCTGTCTTTGCTTCAATGTCGGTTGGACAAATATTTACGGCGGACTGGCGGACTAAATGCGGTGGAAGAGAAAGGATTTTTGATTCGGTCCGTGGCGGACAAATACAGGGTTATCTTATGAGTTTGTATTTCCGTCTGGAGTCCGACGCCTTTGGCCACTGGGGACTGTAGTACTGTAGTTTAGCCTGGGATCCCTCGGATGCAGTGATAGCGATCGATTACATAATAAACTCTGACCACTTTTTTCCCATCAAACGAAGCGGAAGGAGAACCCATATTGGGTCGCTAAACCAGTCGTGGCATAGCGGGAGCGGACAGACCTAATTTACTTGGAAAAGTACTCGATACAGTGGAGTAATAGCAGTAGATGCACCTTAAGATGCACCTTAAGCTGCCTTTGTCAAAAGTACTCAAGACTTTTGGCCGCCGTTGTGCCCTGGCAGATTTGGCGGCAGCTGTGCCTGACTACCAGTCGATACTTCGCCCGGTCGGGTAATTAGTAGTATCCACCCTTGTACCTCCAATCGGTCCACACGAAAAGACCCTCCCCCCCGAATGTTCCCCAATGGCTTCGTCGTCTGGGGCTTGATAAACTTCCGCCTTTCCCCTATCCCCAGTCGCTTCCCACATTGTCTTTCTCTTGCTGGGTCTTCTCGATCTTTCTTCCTTTGAATATTGATCCTTCGTCCGGCCGTCTTAATTTGTCCGTTCTTTTTGCCTTATAAATTCGTCCGAATATCGTGAGTGCGACTATATTAATACCAACGAATTTTCTTTAAATCACCAAGATGGCTCCAATCAGCCTCGAGGAGGAAAACCACACGCGTGACGCTGCTTTCAACAAGGCCATGCACGGAAAATCTGCGACCGAGCGTAACAATTTCATGGCCATGCTCGGAAAAGACTCCAAGGCTCAGCAAGCTGCGGTTGATGAGTATTTCAGACACTGGGACAACAAGCCCGCTGCCACGGAAACGGAGCAGGACAGAGAGGTTGGTGGCTTCCATATTCTGAATATCGAGATGGGCCGTACTTATCTTGTGCTTGATGTATAGGAGCGCAAAGCACAATATGCTACTTTGACCAGACAGTATGTGTGGCTAGACCATTGTTACATCTGCACCCGCTCCATATGATGCAAGACTGACTCCGCTACCTGCAGTTACTACAACCTTGCTACCGACCTCTATGAAAACGGCTGGGCACAGTCTTTCCACTTTTGCCGATTCGGACACAAGGAAGCCTTCTTGCAGGCCCTGGCTCGTCATGAGCACTATCTCGCACACTTGATGAATATCAAGGAGGGCATGAAGGTGCTGGATGTGGGCTGCGGTGTTGGCGGTCCTGCCCGGGAAATCGCCCGTTTCACCGGCTGCAACATTGTTGGCCTCAACAACAATGATTACCAGATTGAGAGAGCTACTGCCTATGCCGCACAGGCTGGGCTATCGAAACAGCTCTCATTCACAAAGGGCGACTTTATGGTATGGCGTTTTCTGAGAGAATGGACCGCTCAGATGGTTGCGCTCTTTCGTTTCAAAGACTAACAATGTTTCACAGCAAATGTCATTCCCTGACAACTCTTTTGATGCAGTTTACGCAATTGAGGCTACTGTTCACGCACCATCGCTCGAAGGCGTGTATTCGCAAATCTATCGGGTTCTGAAGCCCGGCGGAGTTTTTGGTGTCTATGAATGGGTCATGACGGATCAGTACGATAATGACAACCCGCGCCATCGCGAAATTCGCCTTGGTATTGAACAGGGTGACGGAATCTCCAACATGGTCAAGGCCGACGTGGCTATTCAGGCGATTAAGAATGCCGGCTTTGAACTTGAGCTGGCCGAGGATCTCGCTGACAGACCCGATGCCACCCCCTGGTACTATCCTATTGCTGGCGACTTCAAGTACATGGGAAGCATTTGGGACTTCCTCACAATCCTGCGTATGACCAAGCTGGGCCGCAGTGCTGTTCACAAGCTGGTTGGTGGATTGGAGACGCTGCGGATTGCCCCCCGTGGTACCCAGAAGACAGCCGACAGTCTGGCGCTGGCTGCTGACTGTCTGGTCGCTGGTGGTAAGGAGAAGCTTTTCACGCCCATGTTCTTGATGATTGGTCGCAAGCCCGAGGCATAAACGTGTGCACTTGATGTGTGAAGAGAAAGAGCCGAAGGGCTGGAGTGGAAAAAAATTTGATTTGACACACTGAGCAATTTCTTCCCAAAGGCGGCCGACTATTTCCTTTATTTTTCTTGAATCCTTTTCATTCTTAATTGTTTTTATTAGATTACCTTTGTACGACTTGATTCATCTATAGACACAGGACCGATTTGGTCCGATGGATCTTAATGATAATAACAGAAACGTATATCTTTTGATTAGAAGTAGAATTCGCTGAATCTGAAAAGAAGGGCGCTTTGTGAAGGATAATCAAAATTTGATGATATAAAGTGCTAGAGATTTGCATGTAGGCTGTATAAAGCTTGCTACTTTACGTTTGGACTCTGAATGATTGTGGTGCAGCAGGGGCCTATCGGAGTGAATATATACAGCGGCGTACTGATAGTGGACAAGCAAACAGCGAATTGGAGAAATCTGATTTGACAAACAAATTTCGGAACTCCGAAGGGCGTGTGGTAGGGACACGAGAGGCACCACCCCCCGAACCCAGTGTAAAGGGCGCAAATGGAGGCTCAACCAGCTGTCCCGAGTCGCTTCGCGAGATCCGTTTCCCCTACTAGTTCCTGTACCGATTCTCCCGCTCAACACTTGCTCCCCCAGCAGACCGACAACGGCCAATCCATCCATCGATCTCTCAGAATCCTCCACGCCGTAGAGCTCGTGCTCTCTGTCAATTCGGCTCGTGTCGCCTTCATCCCCTCGCTCCTCCCTCCAGGCGTCATTCCTCTCCTCTATTTCCGACAATGTCTGCTCTTCGTCTCTTCCGACCCGCCTCGCGCCTCCTTTCCTCTCAGCGGTCTGCCTGCAGGGCTTCCGCTTTCCAGCCCGCCGCCTCTCTGCCTACGCTCTTGAACCGAAGAACATATGCTACCCCCAGCGGCGTCAAGGATGTCACCGTCAGAGATGCGCTGAATGAGGCATTGGCCGAGGAGCTGGAGAGCAACCCCAAGGTCTTCATCATGGGTGAGGAGGTTGCGCAGTACAACGGAGCGTGAGTGATCCATTGAGTTCTGTTTTGCGGTTCCTTGGATTCGTTTGAGCTCTTGCAAGTTCTTCTTGGGCCGGATGATTCCTTCAAGTTGGGAACTGGGGTGCCTTATCTAGCTCGAGAGACAAGGTTTACCATTTTATCAGCCCTTTTGCTAACTTGCGATTGCTTTTCTGCCTCACAGTTACAAGGTCACCAAGGGTCTTCTCGACAGATTCGGTGAGAAGCGTGTCATTGACAGCCCTATCACTGAGGCTGGTTTCTGTGGTCTTACTGTCGGTGCTGCCCTGGCTGGCCTGCACCCTGTGGTAAGCATTTACTTGGGACAAGAAATTCCGCTCTTAAAGGCTCGATTGGTTGACTTGGGACCTATAGTGCGAGTTCATGACCTTCAACTTTGCCATGCAAGCCATTGATCAGATTATCAACTCGGCAGCCAAGACCCACTACATGTCTGGTGGTATCCAGCCTTGCAACATCACCTTCCGTGGACCCAACGGTTTCGCTGCTGGTGTCGCCGCTCAGCACTCCCAGGACTACTCGGCATGGTACGGTAGCATTCCCGGTCTTAAGGTTGTCGCTCCCTGGAGCGCAGAGGACGCCAAGGGTCTTCTCAAGGCCGCCATCCGTGACCCCAACCCCGTCTGCGTTCTCGAGAACGAGTAAGTCTTGTAGTCTAATGTAAACCGCCTTGAATACATTTGTTAATGACATGTATAGGCTCATGTACGGTGTCTCCTTCCCTATGAGCGAGGAGGCTCAGAAGGATGACTTTGTTATTCCCGTAAGTCAAGGCGGTTTCAGATTGCCCGGTCGCCAATTCCCACGCTGACATTCGATTTTAGTTCGGCAAGGCCAAGATTGAGCGTCCTGGCAAGGACCTCACCATTGTCACCCTCTCCCGCTGCGTCGGCCAGTCTCTCACCGCTGCCGAGCAGATGAAGCAGAAGTACGGTATCGACGCCGAGGTTCTCAACCTCCGTTCGATCAAGCCCATGGACGTCGAGGCCATCATCAAGTCGGTCAAGAAGACTGGCCACCTGATGACCGTTGAGTCTGGTTTCCCTGCCTTTGGCGTTGGTTCCGAGATCTTGGCCCTCGCCATGGAGTACGGTTTCGACTACCTCAACGCCCCTGCTGTCCGTGTCACTGGTGCCGAGGTCCCCACTCCCTACGGTATGTATCCCTTGCGCTTTCCTTCCTTTCCCCTTTATCTTGTCTTGCATAAAGCGCCTTGAAATAGATGCTGACAATCGTGTAGCCGCCAAACTCGAGGAGATGGCCTTCCCTACCGAGGAGCTTATCAGCAACTACGCCGCTAAGCTGCTCAAGGCATAAAGGTGCTCGGATGATATCAAATAGGTTGCGTCAACAAGAATCATTTATTCGTCCAAATGTGTTTGGGAAAGGCAAAGTGGACGGCCGAAATAAATAAATTGTATTTATACTATACACTTTTTACGTCATTATAGGTGTCCATCTGAGCATGGTGTCGTGTGTATAATTTTTTATTTCCTTGAAAACTCCTCCCGGCGAAAAACGCCGGCATCTCGTGCGAAACCTGTTTGATATTTGATTTGAGAACATGAATATGCTTTGCACCGTATCTCAACTACCCTTTCTCCATAAATCCATCTACATATAGAAGAAAAAACCAACTAATACGCCCATCTTTGCGACTTAGTCCTCATGCAAGCAACTCGGACACCGTCCCCATTCAACAGATACCTTTATCCCAGCGTTTTCTAATCTAGCCAACGCCTGATCAATACCCCGCTGAAATGCATCGTCATCTTCTTCTGGGGCACATGTATTCCCGCTCAAAACCCTACTCCCACAATTTTCTCCATGGGACGGTACTCTGCTGTCTTCACAGTCTACTGTGCAGCCATTCTGCCCTGCACGTATTGCGTGATTGCTGAGACTTTTCCAAGCAGTTCCAGACCCGAGAATCTTGCGGTTGTAATACATTCCGAATCTCCCACTTGCACCTCCTCGATCATGTCGTGGTTCCGCTATTGGTACCAGTAACACTATCTTCTTCAACGCCGAATACCTGACCCTTCTATTTAGCCCGTTGTTGTCGTTGTCGTTGATGGTGTTAGGCACAAATATCTTCATGAGCGCAGCCAAGATGGCGAGCACATCAGGCGACAACTCAACCCACAGACTTAATTTTTGCAGACTCGGCGGGAGATGCTCAAACAAATCCATATAATCCATGTCCATGTCTGGAGGAATTGGCCACACGAGCACTAACTCCTTGAGTGTGGTCGAAGTGGACAATAATAATCGCAGTGCCTCAAGTGTGGTAGATGAAAGGGGGATATCAGAGTGGATTTTGAGCGAGATGAGGCTGGAAACATGGGAGCGATATAATGCGGAGAGAAAAGTGGAAGTGAGGAATATACCAGGGGTTGTGGATGAGCGGGAAGAAGATGTTGAAGCTGGAGGGAGGTGGGAAGCAGCATGATAGGGGGTGGTGTCGTATATTTCCTTAATCTCGTGAATGACCACGTGTTTCAGTGGTTTCAAACCGGCAACGACTTCTGGCGTGATGGAGAGTAGTACCTGCGTGCCATGGCGATGGCGAGTTGGGGTTAGCAAATAGTCAAGCTGAGACACAAAGTATGCAGAGAAGCTGGATCTGACGAGGACAAAGGCACGAATTTAGCCCGGGCTCATTCTGACGTACAGAGTCAGAAGCTTGTCTGTTTCTGTTTGTATAGCTCATTCCAGGCGGCGGACCAACCAATTCCAATGTATCAAGGAACTTTAATGCGCCGAGTACGTCTAAGGTTCTGGTAGGCGACGTGGGCGAGAAACCCGTAAATCGCAGTTTGCGGAGACGAGGAAGCCGAGGAAGAAAGGTCTCGAGAGGGACGTGTTCAGAGAAGAAGGAAAGGTCTCCGAGCTGTGGAAAGAGCTGGCCGATGTGGGGGAAGAAGAGACGGTAGAGTTCTCTGCATGGTATGGAATCTTTGGAGGGAAGTTGTTTGTAGATGGTCAGACGCCGAACGTTGGGGAGGAGCGAAAGGGCGTAAATCAAGTTGTCCAATTCAGAAATGTAATTTAGAGCAGCTGGGGGAACGGCGGGACCTTTTTGGACAAGGTTTTGGTGGAACATGCTTGGAGAAGAGGGAGTAGAAGAGGAAGGAGAAGATGTAAGCATATGGGTGTTGGGAGGCAAAGACTGATCCAAATGAAGCTCAAATTTTTTCCTGCCGGGCTAGATATCAAGCAGCTTTATTCTCAAGTCCCTGACGTGGATCAAGTAATGACCCCTCTTATAATGCATGACAGTTTCCAACCACCTGTAGAGCTCAAATTGGGATTTGAATGCGGGCGCTTCCTGAAAGAGAAAAGGCTGAGCCTCCGTATATATCTTGCGACAGACGCGGAGAAGATGAATTGCATATTGCGTTCTGTGTTTTGAATTGCCGGTCACGCACTCATCACTGGGTCGGTCTGCTGATAAACCATATTCGTATATTTCCTCGCGGACTTCGAGAGGAAGAGATAAGAAAGAAACATTTCTGGGATCCATTATTTCCAGGTGGCAGTTAATGCCGTACCTTCTTCGAGCCGAACCTCAATGTAGCCCTGAAGTCGTTGAAGAAAACTGCAAAAGGCAAAAAATATTGTGATTTTGGGGACCATAAGAAGAAATCAAAAGATTGGAATTAAAAATGAAGAATATCCTGGAACAAAGCGTGAGGACATGATATATAAAAGAAACAGCTTGTTGTATTTTGCCTTGGCACTAGTAGCAATTAAAACAGAAGGATGAGAGCCTGACGGGGCAAAAACTGCGGGCACGGTTCTGTACGAAGACTTTCCTGCCAGGAGCCGGGAGTAGAATCGAAACCGAACAAACTCTATCCCCGTCTAAGACGAGAACGCAAAAAGGTTTACCATGCTTATACCTGAAATCTGCACGCGTTTGAGTTGATCTGGTTCGACACGGCTAAATTGTCCGGGGAAGCAGGAGGGATTATGATTCGATTCCACAGACCCCTTTGATCTACACCTGAAGTGGGCGCCTTTGCTAGGATATAGATATTCCTGTCATGAGATAAGTCCTGTCCGAGCTTCTCCGGATGTCAGTTGATGTTTTAGCTTGACATGGCCCCGAATCCTACACCATTCAACATCATTGAGTGCAGAAACGCTTCTGAGATAGCGCGATGGCGCCAATTTTCAGTGTGCAATTGAGGCAGTCGTTGCAATCATCCCATGGCTTCAATTGAAATTGTTGTCCAATGGCAATCTGTCAAAAGCTCTAGCCCATGTAAGGCTCTGGCAATAAGGCATTATCGTCAAATTATTCCAAATTATTACCCCATGGTGAATTGGCGTCAAAATCTGTAAAAAAAAAAAAAAATGAATATCCTGCAAAGTGCACGCCAAAGCATCAAGGAACAAATCACAAATGTTCTAGGTGGCGTGGTTTTTAGAAATCTCGCCATATCGAAGCAACACGCTCTGTGGCTGGGATGCGCCACCCGGGATCTCTTTAGATCGTGTGAACTAATTCAATTTGAGCAGGCTTTGACAGCTAGACATCTGCAAGGATAGAGAAACAGATTCGCGTGGAACCTCATTTGCATATTACCAACCCTTATAGGGTCGACCTTCCGCAAGCCAAATGTGCGCGATGATTTCGGAGACATTGCTGAGAAATACATGAAGGTTTAAGCCGCATCGAGTTTTCTTCCCTCGGTCGTAAAGCTTGTCTATTTGGAAAAGCCACGCTGCGAGGTACGAACAGGGGTGTATCGTCTGACCCTCACGTTGTACAGTACACTGCAGTACAGTACAAGTCCTTTGCTTCGTTTGCCTCACGTTTTATTGATCATCCAACGGCCAATAAGAATATAATAAGATTGCCGGGAAGTGTGTGATGATGGCAAGGATTAACTGAAATTGATAAGAAAATCCATTAACTCGGCGATAGTCCGCTCCTCTTCAGTGCTTGTCCCTGGTTTAAGCTTCGAGCTCCTAGCTGCAACCCAGAAAACGACAACCGAGAAGGCCCCTGATCAATCACCGCCACATTAGACTCACGCCTGACCAGGGCAGACGCCTCAGGGTTCGATATGACACTCCAGTCGTCCACGAGCAGGCCGTTGCCAGTGAAATAAGCAGATCGAGCGATTTCAAATCGCTCTTGACGCCCAAGCCAGCGCTCTGCATGGTAAATGCTGTTCTGTGCGACGCAAGAGCCCAGTGAAGATCTTGTCCTGAGCTTCAACTTGAACCATCTAATCACCATTGCCTCATCATACAACCTAGATATTGATGATGATGTTGATGATGATGATCATGAAGTCCGATTGTTGTGGAACACAAAGATCCCAGAGCTGCGCGACGTCGGAGGGGAGGCTGGGATGGTGCGATGGCAGCAGCTAAACCAGTCGAGGTTGTGCTTATACGATCGTAAGGACCTTGGAAGGGTTTGCAAACACCTTTTAACACCTCTGGCCATTCAAACCTATCGCCCTGGGCAGCCCGGCTGGCAGCCTGTTGGCTGCCGAGGATCGTAGTATTCGTAGCCTTCATCCTCTGTATCACTTTCCTCCTGGAGTGAGACCTTTTCAGATTGAGAACCCTCCTCGATCTCGAAAGCTTTCTTAAACCCGCTACTTTTGACAGGCACGGCGTCGTCTTTGGGGCCGCCGAATGCGCTCTTAAATCCGCCCTTCTTAAACCCTCCGCCGCTGCCAGAAGAGGCTGGTTGAGAATCGAGCTTCAGGGGTTTGATGGTGATTAAACCGGATTTTTCGTCGGCTTTTCGTTCGGCTCGACGTGCTTTCGAAGCCGCCATTGGGTCCCGTTGCATTTGTTTCATCTCCTTCAGGCGCTGCACAGTCATTGTCAGCTCTGGCATACCTATGAGATGATGCATCTCAATATGGACGGCTTGTTGCCATACCTTCTTGTGCTGGTGATCGTAAGAGGACTCGTGTGCTTCGTATTCATTCATTCGACTGTATCCCTAAACGTCGGCGTGAGATGGAGTTTCAAGAGCCGCTGGACCAGATTGCTGTTATACCTTCTGACACAACTCGCCTGTACAATATACATTATTAAATCCTACTTCTCTTCTGATCGGAAAGGATGTCTACTTACAGAAAAACGACTTTCGAGCTTCTCGCGCGCTCTCGGTCTTGAAGGAAATTATTAGTGACCAAATCAAACGACATGCTCGATACGCATACCTTGGGAGCTGGATTTGTCATTCCTCTCTGTAAGAAACGAGAGTCAGTTATAGAAATACACGGAAAGACTGGAGGCGAATTACTGGTGCCATATTGTCGAGGATTGTAATTTATGAGGTGTTTCTATTGTCGAGGGGGATCAAAAGTTTCGCGGGAACAATCTGACTGGAATAAGGTATCAAGCAATGAAGTATCGCATCAATGTGAAGACTGATAGCTAATGCGGCAGGAAGCTCAAAATAGAGGTGTGAAATAGTTATGGTGGAGCGATAGGTCGTCATTTAGCTGCTGATCCACCATCAATAGCGTGGAGAGTGGCCCGTGCTCCCCAAGATCTGACGGATGAGCTTCCACATATTGTAATCAACATCCCGTAGCTGATTCTACGATATTTACATTGCTTCTTGGAAAAGCCGACTGCGCCGTTGCTTTTGGGAGCTCCACATGGCCGACATTGATTTGAAGGAGCTGGATCCATCGCCAGTTGATGATCCAATCGGCGACGACAAGGACAGCTATTTCCCTCCAAGCTCCTCGCCGACTCCGCCTGTTGCGCGATCGTCGACGCTGGGTTTGAGTGGCCATAGTCTCCCTTTTTACCGTAAGTAGACACAACTTTGTTTCCTCACTTTCAGCGTTTTTTCACAGTGCTGACATGATTCATTCAAATGCGCGTAGTTCAACGAATCCAGAAATATTCCTCGTACACATTCAGCGCCTTCCTAACATTCCATCTTGCAAATACGTCTTTGATCCCGTTAGCCACCAAATCAGTCCCTGAAAGTGACAAGTATCTCCTTCTCACGAGACCATACTATCAATCTATACTTGCTGAGCCAGTTGTGGTCTTGCTTCCACTGATCGCTCATGTTGGCTCTGGCATAGCGCTGAGGATATATCGACAACACCAGCTTGCGAAGCGATATGGAGCGAGCAATCGTCACGAGAGGAAGGCGCTGGCAAGACCCAAGATAAGCGGCATCAGCTTTGTGGGGTTTATGCTCGTGCCATTGGTTGCAGGTCATGCGTTCTTGAATCGTATCCTGCCAGTATGGGTAGAAGGAGATAGCTCTGGCGTAGGTTTATCATTTGTCTCCCACGGATTCGCCGAACATCCAGCTATATCTTTTGCTGGCTTTTCCCTGCTTATTAGTGCAGCTACATGGCATATTGTTTGGGGAGGTGCAAAATGGCTAGGCTTGACGCCTTCTCAAGCCGCTGGGGAGAGCGTTGAAACCTCTCTGCGTAGAAAGCGAAGGTGGTATACACTCAATGCGCTAAGTGTTGCTCTAGCTGGTCTGTGGATGGCGGGCAGTTTGGGCGTTGTTGGTAGGGGTGGTAGAGCAAATGGTTGGGTCGGCAGAGGATATGATAACCTGTATAGACAGATCCCCTTCATAGGCAAATGGCTATGATCCCCCTGAAATACGTCCCATGCCTCTCACAAATGATGGCAAATGCCATTCTCGTGATTAAAACGCCAACTCGGCGATGTTAAAAGTCTGCAATTCCCAATGGAATTTCACAAGAGCTATAATTATAGTGCAATAACAAGCTCCTTTCCATTTGCAATAGGAAAGCACAACAAAAGACAAAAATCCAATAGGTATGATCCGTTGAGGTATAAATGCAAACGCCTCTGCTTCTGCCTCTAATGCATAATATAAATGGAATGTCACCCTCGTTCGAGTATGAAAGATGAGCAAAGTCCAGGGAGTGCAAAGTCCAGGGAGTGCAAATTCCAGGGAGAGATCGCCAGCCAATGCGCCGAAATTGGACATAATGAGCAACGTTTTATGACGTCGGTGCTTGCCATCCTTCAATTATTGAAGCAGCCCGCAGGACTAAATTGTCGTCACCATACTGCCCTATGATTTGGATGCCGACAGTCTCTGGCTCGCTCGACGACTCAGTGTTGTCATGGACCGGTACGCTGACGGCTGGAAGGCCGGCAAGAGAGGCCGGCACCGTGAACACGTCGTTCATGTAATTATCCACGGGCGATTGAGCTTTTAAGGACGAGATACTTGGTGCTATAGTCGGAGCAGTTGGACATATGAGGATATCTACTGCTTCTGAATCTGGTGGTTGCGCATCGGTCGTCAGGAGCGGGTTCTGAAGCGCAAAGACTCGGTCAAAATCCTGCTGCACAAGTCTACGAATCTTTTGTGCTTTGATAAAATAATTATCAAATGCAGCGGCGCTCAATGTGTATGATCCGAGGAGAATGCGTCTACGCGCTTCATCGCCAAAGCCGTTTCCTCTAGTGGCCGAGAATAATACCCCCTCTTGGTTGTCATCCCCAGGTTCTCGGGCACCATAGCGGACACCGTCATATTTCGCCAGGTTTGATGACACTTCGGCGGGCGCAAGTACATAATATGCTGAAAGGGCGTGACGTGTCGCTGGAAGCGATACGGCGTGAAGAGAATGCCCAAGACTCTGGAGATGCTCTAGAGTGCGCACCCACGCTCGACGTATACTGGGACTCAACTCTTCAATATTATATTCCAAAGGTACTCCAACACGTAATTTTTTTTTGATGTTTTCTCGTTCTGCGGATTTCTGAATTCGAGAACGCGTTCGAAGAGTCAGATTGGTCGGGTCCGCTGTGTCAGAATGATTGACCGCGTCTAGACGGAATAAAAATGAGAATTGTGTCCCAAATCAGCGCGCTTCTAGGGACAAGTATTTACTCACCGAAAATTTGCTTCGCTGAATGGGTCGTGCGGGCTAAGATGCCCACTGTATCCAGAGAATTTGCATATGCAACCACGCCCCACCTTGATATGAGACCGTACGACGGCTTAAAGCCAACAGTGCCAGTGTACGAAGCCGGAAGCCGGACCGACCCTCCTGTATCCGTGCCTAAAGCACTAGAATCGCTATTAGCCCGTGGGTGCGAAATCAAGAATAGGGCTGCCCGTACGCATAGCATTGTGATGTTGCGACCGCTACAGCACTTCCGCCAGAGCTTCCACCGGCAGAGAGCTCGTGGCCATTGCGCGAATACTGGCTCTTTACCGCGCCAAAAGAGGAGTTTATTGAATGCGAACTGCCCACGAACAAGCTTTAGCTTTAGTTCCCCTCGCTCAGCGCTCCTTATGCTCACCCCATGCCAAACTCATCCAGATTGGTCTTTCCAGCAATGACCGCACCAGCATTCTTAAGTCTTTCCACCACACTCGCATTGAAAGGGCTTCGAAAGCCTTTGAGAACACCAGACGCACAAGTATTAGAATAAGAGGTCGTGACGATATTATCTTTTATTGCAACCAATTTCCCGTCAATTGGAGATCTTGATTTTCCTGAGGAACATGGTCAGCTAAGTTATGTAAGACTTCGTCAGAAGCTTTAGGGGAAAACATGCCTGCAGTCCGTCGTTCTTCAGCGCTCTTTACAGCGCCCAGCTCCTGGGCCGGTTGCAATCGACTGATAAATGCATTCAGCGCATGGTGCGCTTCTTGATTGGCGATGCAACGCTCCGCCTCTCGTAACAATGACATTAGTACGAATCACTCCAGTCACCTTATAGTGAAAGGTGCAGTTGGCAGGCCCTAGAATAAAGAAGTGTTAATTCATGCGGAATCAGTAAAATTTGCCCTTTTCGGTCAAAATGGGCTCGAAAATTAAGCCCGAACGCTTCGAATTCTTAAATGTTGACAGTATTGATAGTGCATCTAGAGGTGACCTGGATTGCCGTACAAGATGGGACGCAGCCCTGCAGCAAGTTAAGCTTGTTTCGGTAAAGTGCATTGGTGCAAGATGCCGCAACGGCTACCGTAGAAGCTGAGTAGTCACTCGGGCACCTTGGTGAGCAGCTGTAGCTGCACCCTGTGACTGTCCAACCTCCCGGCTCTTTAAGCTTGTGTTTGATATCTGCATTGTTTTCATATTTGGATCTTTAAAGATCGGGCTTTTGAAGGTCGATAAGGTTCAAGGGAAGTTCTCTTTGGCCTAACAGCCATACACTTGCAGCTCGCAACCAAGCTGCTCGGCCACTCTTGGGCGCTACTCAACCGTCCATGGCAATATGATAGGCCCGTTAGCATTTATCAGCTCTACACTCCTAGTTGGAGCTTTGGCAGCACAGCCATCTGCACCGAAGCCTCCGACTCTTCCCCTGCGGGAGCTTCCTTGGGGCCAACTAAATTTCCTGCACACAACAGATACACATGGATGGCATGCCGGCCATCTTCTCGAGTTAGTCTATCAGATACGGGTTCAAGTGTCTCTCCGATACTAATGCCAATTGCAGGCCATCATATTCAGCTGACTGGGGCGATTACATATCGTTTGCGCATCATCTGCGCGCAAAGGCCGATGAAGAAGGCGTGGATCTGCTGCTAGTTGATACCGGTGACCGGATAGAGGGTAATGGCCTCTATGATGGATCCGAGCCGAAAGGCAAATACACGTTTGAGATAGTCAAAGAGCAAGACATTGATGTCCTGTGCTCGGGAAATCATGAACTTTATCAAAAGAATTCTTCAGAGAATGAGTATAATAAGCTTGTCCCTGGTTTCGGCGGGAACTATTTGGCGTCGAACCTTGATATATATGACCCTGATACAGGGACTCGAGTACCGCTGGCTCCCAGGTATCGGAAGTTTACCACTAAAAATCTGGGGCTCCGGATATTAGCTTTTGGTTTTCTCTTCAACTTTCGCGGTAATTATAATAATACTGTTGTCCAGAAAGTCGAGCAAACGGTCAAAGAAGAGTGGTTCCAAGAAGTGATTCGCGAAAAGGATATCGATCTTTTCTTGGTCGCTGGTCATGTCGACATCCGCTCGGAGGAATACACCACCATCTTCAAAGCCATACGCCAAGTCAAATGGGACACCCCAATCCATTTCTTTGGAGGACACACTCATATCAGAGACTACAAAAAATTTGACTCGAAAGCCTACGCTTTAGAGAGTGGGAGATATATGGAGACAATTGGCTTTGCATCCATTTCCGGACTTGAACCTGGGAAGTCTGATGCTGATGTCTCTGCGAGTGGACTCAGGTATGAGCGGAGATACATTGACAACAATCTCTTCTCACTTCACCATCATGCTGGCTTGAACGACACAACATTTCCAACCGAACGTGGTACGAATGTATCACGATTTATTGCAGAAGCAAGAAGCGAACTTGGCTTAGACAAGAAGTTTGGATGTGCGCCGCAAGATCTTTGGATGAATCGTGCCAAGTATCCCAGCAAAAACAGCATGTATACATGGTTGGAAGAAGATGTACTTCCAGACATGATACGCGAGAGCGCACGACATGATCAACCTCGGTTAGTGCTCATCAATACCGGTGCTATGCGTTTCGACATATACAAGGGCCCGTTCACTCGAGACACTACTTATATCGTCTCCCCCTTTACAAATGGCTTCCGCTATCTCAAGAATGTGCCCTATCAAGCCGCGAAGAAACTTATTCTGCTTCTCAACCATGGCGGACCGATTCTTGAGCAAGCATTTCCGGCCCTGCAGTCGACCGCGCTTGTTCCGCCGGAGCAGCTGACGGCCAAGCAAGACGTGGTGATCGAGAATGAAGACGGGCTGTCTTATGCAGGGTGGGGTCAAACCCCGCTTAAAGAGGGGACCCGACCGACGCCAGGATATACAACCCGTGATGATGCTGGTGACGAAGGAGACGATACCCTTCATTCGCCAATATCTTTCTACCGCGTGCCTAATTGCATTCAGTCACAGGCAGATTTTCCCGAAGACGGAAGCGAGCCAGGGTCGGTCGACGTTGTCTTTGTTGAGTTTATTCAGCCATGGATCATCCTTGGTCTCAACTATCTTGGTCAGAATGTCTCCACTGAGAATACGGAGGCATTCGTCAAAGGTAAAGACATGACTACTCTAGTTGCTGAATGGGTCCAAAACAACTGGAACGGCACTTGTTAGCTTATCATAGATGTAGCTATTACACAAACGTTTAGATGAACATTTTACGCTGTATGATTTGTTTGGGTTTTTTTTTTTTTTTTTTTTTTCGCGAGCGAAGATATACCTGGCATTTCCGAATAATAAGCAAATACTGTGAAGAGTAAGAAATATACCTGTAAGAAATGAAAAATTGATTTAGCTCAATTAGCTTTAGATATTGAATAGAAATTTGTATTATCTGATTTGCTCCACATAATATGATATGTAGCTAGTGCTCGAGTACGACCTGATATCTTGCGTGATATCGGACACTTGAGTAATTACCTACTGTACTTAAGACATCAAGCTCACTACATTATAGAGAAGCTTGGGCCAAGATATAGCGATGATCTACTGATCTTGATGGGGAGCTTAGCTGTTATCGATAAGCGCTCAGCGCCAAAGTTGGCTTAGCCGCGGGTATCTCAGGGCGGAGACTCTAACCACCACCTTATATAGTCGGAGCTGTACCTGAATGACCTACCTTCTTCAGGTACGAGTCGCCACGCCCAATACGTTCACTCATAATCACCCGCAATTCGAACCATAATTCCATATACTCTCACAAAGAAAGACTACCTGCCTATAATGACGACCCGCTATCGCGTAGAGTGTAAGTAGAAGGACTCGTGTTCTAGCTTGCTTTATTTGTGCCCTCATCGCCTAACTCCATTGCGAAACAGATGCGCTGAAGGTTCGTCAACGATCCAGCTTAGCCCATTATCCGTGATAATGGATGTATTTATTTCCAAGGCATGCCAAAACTAACGGGAATTCTACCCTTCAAAGACCCATCGAAGAGATCAATTTGTACGTACCAAATCATCAGCTATAAGACATCCTCAGCTAACCGTCGATTCAGATAGAATGGGTCAAGGTACGGCACGAGCTCCTGATGCGATGTATACGCCCAAGCCCCACACACATGCTATGGTTTCGGACTGCGCTTATATCCGTAATTTTATGCATGAGGCAGTGATGCTGATATTGTTGTTGCATATAAGGGTCTTCTAGCTGTGCCATTCGTGCTACACTCACAACCTACGGCTATATTTGAAGACCGGAGACAGACGGTTGCCCAAATGGCTGCCATTGCACACAGACGTTATGCCGAGATCATGGGAGATGTTGAAGAGCTCATCAATGACCATAGTATGTTTGAACCCTGAGAAAATCGCCCATCCGTTGCCTTACGTGCTCTGTTTTCGAAACCTTTTCAGGAGCTTGAATGATCTACCCGACTGACTTACATAAGTTGCACATCAGAATGTTGGGAAGCAAGACCGCTCCAAACTTAAGCTGCTTGTCCCTTCTGTAGGAACATTTTTCACTCCGCTACCGCTCAAAGACGCCTTCATATTCCAAGATGCCCAACGATCGATCAGTTCGCGTCGATTCGTAGCGCCGTCATTCAACGACATCCGTTTGACCTTGAACACAGCACAGCTCATGAGCCTTTCCCGTAATGGGCCGCTACAGCTCGCAACATTTGATGGTGACGTGACTCTTTATGACGACGGGGAGTCTCTGAGCGCTGACAACCCTGTAATTCCACGCATTCTGCGTCTCATGCAGCGCGGCGTCAAGATTGGTATTGTGACCGCAGCAGGATACACCGAGGCGGGGAAATACTTTGATCGGCTCTCGGGGCTATTAAATGCTGTGAATGAGTCAAAGGATCTCTCAGCAGAGCAGAAGCGGAATTTGGTCGTCCTCGGGGGCGAGGACAACTACCTATTCAGATTCAATGCCAACGACCCTGCGCTGCTTTCCTGGATTCCGCACGAGGAATGGCTGATGGATGAAATGAAGTCGTGGAAAGAAGAGGACATTGGAATGTTACTTGATCTCGCCGAGAGCGCACTCAAAGACTGTATCGCCAGCATGAACCTCAAAGCGCAGATTCTGCGTAAAGGCCGCGCTGTAGGAATCATTCCCGCGCAAGGCCAACGCTTCGCGCGGGAACAGCTCGAAGAGACTGTCCTGGTGACTCAGAAGATACTAGAAATGTCTGAGGTCGGTCAGCGCATTCCATTCTGCGCTTTTAATGGTACGTATAATGCTCCAGTACAGGTTATCTCCTTCTATCGTTTCTTTCCCAGATATTTTGATGCAAGTATCTAAACTGATGTTTCTTGCCCAACGTAGGCGGCAACGACATCTTTGTCGACATTGGCGATAAGTCCTGGGGTGTACTCTCCTGCCAGCGATTTTTCGGCGGCATCGAAGGCTCCAAATCACTGCACATTGGCGATCAGTTCCTCTCAGCAGGAGCTAATGACTTCAAGGCTCGTCTGGCTTGCACCACCGCTTGGATTGCTAATCCTCTCGAGACGGTCCAGTTGTTAGACGAGCTTGAAGAGCTAGGAGAATGCCGTCAGCTAAATGAGGAATCCCTCAATGCACAGTAGAGTGTTCTCCTTTTACTCCAGTTCTGTCGTCAGCATATCGAGTGACCCCACTGTTCAAGTTCTTCAATCTAACTTCGCAAGGGGTAAGTGTGATGCAGTTCCCTGTCTACTGGACCTTTTCTGTTCTTACGCTTTTTGTGTTTCTAAAGCTCTTGCCATTTAGGAGCCACAAATTGTAAAGGTCCACTCCTTCAAATTTTTAAGCATGTGCGCCAATGGTTCTCTTCTTTTCTTCATTTTCACCACTTCTCTAGGCGAACATCTTTTCACTTTTCAGCTTTGTTTGATTCAACCTGCATCGCACTGGCATTCAATGCTTTCCTCCATCCAGCCATTTTTTTTTTCTTGCTTTTCTTTCAGCGTGTCTATCTTGTCTTTTCTAAAGCCAGCTCATCTTATTGTTCCTTTCATTTGTTTCATATTTTTACGCTACCGCGTATTCACGAGGACGTATTCACGAGGTAGTTACGAATAGCAATACTCCATATAGTAAAAATTTAGTTCCATATAAACCCGCAAATAACAACAGTTGTACTTGGATCTGATATACATTTTCGTCTTCTTGTTATTTTTTGAGTCTCTTTCTACCCGTACACTATACCGAATACATGTTTTCGACCCAGATGCTTCATCTAGGAATTCAAAACGCCATAGAAGTATTTAGATGAACGTAGCTATATACTCCCCACATGCTCAGAAGCATCATTTATTCGCGACGGCACAAAATAGCACTGTAACGCGACCCACACCCCATTCACTCATTCTGCATCTGATTTCCCTGCCTCCGCGACAACTTCAAAAAAGTCCCGCTCGCCGTGCTTGCCATGCCAGGCATGCGTTCCCTCGGCGGGACGACCACTAAGCCAGCCCCATCGTAGGATCAGAAGGTATTCGCCTCTTTCCGGGAGGAGCTGGATATGCAAGCGGCGGACACGGCCGGGATTGGTGGCGAACGATTTAGTAAGTTCGCCAAGTTGTGCGCTCGGTTCCCATGCGGAGTGAGCGTGATTATGATGATGATGAGCTGGAGATGGTGATGTAGGTTCCTTGACTTTTGAGTCGGACGAGGAGGAAGGAGAAGAGGAGATGACAGACGTAAGATCTATCGTGCAGGTGTGGCTGATGAAGCTTTCGAGTTCAACGGCAGATGCGAAGCGCATCGTACTCGGGGCACGCAACTTGAGTGGGGCGGTGGTGGTGGTCGAGTTGATGGAGACGCGATATTCTGTTCCAAGGGTAGGCGGATGGATATGTGTATAGATGGCAATCGTCAAGGAGGAGCCCGAAGGAAGGGTAAGATGTACGCTGGATTCGATGGCATTGAGTAAGGAACCGACGAGAGTTTCTGCAGAAGAGAAATCAAGTTTCTTGGTGGTTCCATTGGCTCGTAACGGAAAGTTGAAATTAGTAGCCAGATCGAATGAGAATTTGGTGGGAAACCCGGCGGACTGAAGCGGTGCGGTGAAGTTGTCGAGGAATGTCTGGATGGATTGCACCACACTGCGGTGCTGCAGATGCGTAAGGACAGGTCGGATGATGGAGTAGATCGGAGTTGCTTGCTTGCGGTCTGTGAGCGGCTGGGGGATTTCAGACCGCCGATGAAGGTTCTGACGATGTGCGTAGGAAAGGAGAATGCGAAGACATGTTACTATGGACTCGGCACGCTTCTCGAGCGGATTGCTCGGTGCTGTAAGCGGATCGGCGGTAGAATCATTTGAATCGTTGAGAGAGACTAGATCAATGGAGATTTGTTCGTCGCCCATACGAGGGAGATGAATGGTTGAACCGATGATGCGCACGCCCTGGTTCACTACGGTTCGTGCCTCTCGCGCAAGTTCATAGAAGAGTTCCTCTTCGTATACAGTATTGCGAGCCTGGAGAATACGGTCCTCGAGGGACGTTGGCTGGACGGCAGCTAGGCTCGGAAGTTGCGAGTATGCCACGTTTTGCGGTGAGGTTTCAACGCGCACTCGAATGGCTTTGGGTTGAGTAGAAGCAAGACCTTGGTCAAGCATGAGAGTGCCGTCTCCAATACGGCGGAGAGCGGCGAAGCCTCGGTGCTTGAATTCCGGTGAAGCTAAACCAGATGTCAGCCAACAAAACCATCTCGCAAATAAAACCCTGTGGATATTAACATACCTTCAGCAAAGCCGAAGCGGACCCCGAGAGTCCGCCCTTCACCTGGAACACGACAGACTGCCCACCCTTTCTCGCTGACCGAAAGCACCTGTTCCCAGTATCGCGCCTCGTGCTCCATCTCTTTCTCCAATCGGGCAGCGGATCTTAGAAGCGAGTCCGCAGAGGACTGAAGACCCTGTAGCTTCCAGCCCCGTGAAACAAGCTCTTGGTCTTGTTTCTCCGCGTCTGGTAATTGCGGATTTTGCACCTTTTCCATACCCAACGAGCCCTTGGGAGCATGCTGCTGGAGATACGGAGACATGGAGACCTCGGCCTGCTTCGGAGTGTGTTTCGAAAGGAGCAAGGAAACAAAGTCGAGCGCGTAGAGTGCTTCCATCTGGGCCTGCCTGTATGAGACATGCGAGTCAGCAAGCTTCCAGTCAATTGAGAGTATTTCACAACCTGCACTTACGAAATATACTTGACCATCTCTTCGCGGGCTGCTAGGACATCCTCTCGTCGGCCCTTGGCGTCGATAGGGTCGTCTTCCGCCGAGCCATTCTCTTCGTCATACGGGCGTTCTCCTCTGCCTTCCCCAGTGTCTATTTCGGTTCGTAAGCCATCTTCCGTAACACTTCGAAAATGACCGCGTTGGTCATTAATGCGAGCAATCAGAGAAGGCAGCGAGTCTGATCGCGAATCTTGTACGGGCGAAGGGCGTAAGGGTAAGGATAAGCCATCAGCGTTGAAATCGGATATGCCCGAGGTATTCATCATGGACAAAATACTGGAGCAATGGATCGCTCAAGTTGACCAGACCCGGTACAAGCACAAAAGTATGGAGCTGGCTCTATTCTGTCACCTTTGCACCAGCTTACTGTCACTGTTTTGACTGAAAGGGCAGCATCGGAGGACGGAATCGGGCTTTCGGAGGAGGAAGAAAGTATGGCCGCATTTCGGCCTTACTCCGTATAAGACAGCCATGAGAGCAGCGAATGCTACAAGTCACAAGACGATACTCTACCTACATCTCCCAAATTTCACTGGAGAATTCATCACTACGATTGGCTTCTGGAAAAATTCTTGCTTGAGAAATTCGATCTTTCTAGAAACTGAAGGTCCTGGTCCGGAGAATTCAGGATAACGCGGTGGTGGGGAGATGAGCAGGAGACCTTATCCCTGCAAGATCTTTGAAGAGTGGTTGCAAGGGAAAGTACGAGGACGCCTCTCCATTGCAAGCTAGGCTGGCATCTAATTATTTGAGTGTTACAATTGCATTTGCCGGCCATTCATACAGGATTGCGGCATTATGCCAATATTGCAGTAACTTATCAAGGGTTTCGACGACAACGGGTCCCGTCGGCTACCTCCGTTAAGCAAAGGATGGAGTTTCCCCGAGGTATAAACAGACATTATTAGTGCATGCATAAGTTAGGCACGGTATTTTCACACAGATACCGCTATGGTTTCGCGTACTTGCATCTTATACGGGCATTTATCACTGAACTATGTTGCGGATATCCATTATATTTGGCTCCGATCAGAAGCCATAAAACCAATGCCATGAGCCAAGGACACCATTGTTACTTTTTCTGCGAATACTTTAGAATAGAGCGCTTTTATTGTGCTTACGGTATGTGTTCTAGGATCTACTCCGTAGACACACCTCAGCAACTGTAAGGAATAGCTGAACTATTTATTATCGCTCTCAATTCGGTCTTGCCCCATTCCACTGAAATCAACGAGCTACGAGTATGAATGGGAAATTACCTCAGTATACGTAGGTTATGTCATCCTCCGTGGGTCTGTCAAAATTTGCAATCAACAGAGGTCAACTTGTGCCAAAACTTCCCAAGCAGCCGCTAAGCTCACCTGGCTCGATATGCTGTCATCCCTGCGTATAATTCTCAGTTTTACTGTAGCCAGATAGAATAGAGTCCACTACCAGAGGCACAAGGAGCGGTTATAGTAACGTGGAAAGTCTATGCGAGGCCAGGAACGGCTAGACTTATCACGTGGGATCTTCCCAGGCACAACTCTCATATGCATAAGCGACGATCGAGTACCGGTACCAGATTCTTTCAAGCTCAAAAGTATCCTCTGGCACTTCTCGCGTATCTATTCCCATGAAATCCACGTCAAAATCACCTGAATCCTCGCAAGAATCGGATGCAGTCTTTGGCGACGAGATCAGAAAGGTACTTTAATATCAAACCCACCTCGGTACCTCTACTGTATGCGAAAGATCAGCGCAAGGAGCCTTTTCTCCTGCCATAGCATTTGTCCTGTCGTGCAGCAAGGAAAAAAGTATTTGGTTGGAGGGGAAGGATTGCATTGTATGGACACAAAATAACGTGGCGTGTGGGAGAAAGTGTGTGGCAGTTCTATTCAGGATGTCAGGAACGACAAAAAGCATCTCATGCTGCACGAGGACAAAGAGTTGCCTGACTGCCTGAGCGTTTTAAAGGAAGAAGAGGGTGAAATAGGATGAGTGAATAATTGGTCTGCAGCCGCAGTGGGCAGACCAAAGCATTGAAGGCCCTGTCTGGGCTCAGAGCATTGTGCGCATTTATTCTGTTTGGGGTGCCGTGATGCCGTGTACCCTACGGAATATGTTTCTCTCTCATGATTTTATTTTATTTTATTTTATTTTATTTTATTTTTTTTGATTTTCTTTGCTTCTGCATGAACCAATGCATGCATAAAGCAATAGTTCTTGTAATTATTGCTCTATTTCAGTGCAGCCTACAGCAGTATAGTAGGTAATTATCTGCAGGTCGTAACACGTTTCCTGCCAATTGTTTGTGATGGTTCGTCGTCGTCGTTAGGTAGTTGCTTGCTGCCATGCTGGGATGACGTCGGTTGGTTGCTCGTACGATGCTCACCCAACCGTCCGATCATCTGCGCCAACGAGACCAAAGCTCCACCGAACTCGCGCCTAGAGCTTTTGGTTCGACGGTTCCGCCAAAACTCTGTAGCAGGAGGAGCTACGACGGCCACTCTCACTTCCTGCCCCGCCACGGAACCACTCACCCCTCCTTTTGCTCTTTAACTCCCCTGACCTCACCGTCTCTACGCACACGGACGTCTGACGAGTTTTGAGTGAGCGAGCAGAGGTCTTTCCTCACCATCCCAATTCTTCCTCTCCCATCTCAATTCATCATCTTTCATCCTCTCATCACTCTTCCCTCCCCCCACATTTTCCCTCTCTTCCTCAAAACCAAGAATCAATTTCTCTTTTCATCGTCGAGGCTGAGAGAAACAGAACTTGAAGTTCTTCTCTCCGTCTTCATCCTCTTTATTTTTACGAAACAAAGGAAGCAAGGCTCAATTGTGAGCATCTAACAGAAATCATGGCCCCGACTGCGGCTCCTCCGCCTCTCCCGGGCAAGAAGCGCCGTATTGGTATGATGACCAGCGGTGGTGATGCCCCCGGTATGAATGGTGCTGTTCGGGCTGTTGTCCGCATGGCCATCCACAAGGGCTGCGAGGCCTTTGCTGTTTACGAAGGTTACGAAGGTTTGGTTCAGGGAGGTGACTACATTCGTAAGATGGAGTGGGAGGATGTCCGAGGCTTCCTTTCTGAGGGTGGTACCCTCATTGGCACTGCTCGTTGCATGTCCTTTATGCAGCGACCCGGTCGGCTTCAGGCCGCCAAGAACTTGATCACCAAGGGCATTGATGCTCTCATCATTTGCGGTGGTGATGGCAGTTTGACTGGTGCTGACCTCTTCCGGAGCGAGTGGCCCAGCCTGCTCGAGGAATTGGTCCAGAAGAACGAGTTGACCACCGAGCAGGTTGAGCCTTTCCGTCACCTCAACATTGTCGGCATGGTCGGTTCCATCGACAATGACATGTCCTCTACCGATGCCACCATTGGTGCTTACTCTTCGCTCGCCCGTATCTGCCAGGCCGTCGACTTCATTGACGCGACTGCCTTCTCTCACTCCCGTGCTTTCGTCGTCGAGGTCATGGGCCGTCACTGTGGATGGCTCGCCTTGATGGCCGGTATCAGTACCGGCGCCGATTTCATCTTTATTCCTGAAAACCCTCCCGAGGACGGCTGGGAACAGGAGATGTGCAAGATCGTCTCCAAGGTAAGTCTATTTGACACCTTTTGTCCGATGATGATGATGATGATGAAATGCTCACCTGAAACGATAGCACCGTGCTCTCGGAAAGCGAAAGACCATTGTCATTGTGGCTGAGGGTGCTCAAGATCGGCACCTCAACAAGATCAGCTGCTCCAAGGTCAAGGATCTCTTGGCGAATGACCTTGGTCTCGATACCCGTGTCACCACCCTCGGCCACGTTCAGCGTGGTGGCCCTGCCTGCGCCTATGACCGTACTCTGGCTACCTTGCAAGGTGTTGAGGCTGTCGAAGCCGTTTTGGACGCCGGCCCGGAGACGCCAACTCCTGTCATTTCCATTATCGAAAACAAGATTTGCCGCCAGCCTCTGATGGAGGCTGTGAAGCTTACTAAATCAGTCGCCGAGGCCATTCAAGCGAAGGACTTTGTCAAGGCCATTGGACTCCGAGATGCCGAGTTCAAGGAATATCACACGGCTTACGTGACAACTACGGCTGCAGATCAGCCCCATCTCCTTCTCCCTGAGAACAAGGTAAATTATTACCCGTTATATCAATGCTGGATGGCAAAGAATTCTTGCGCTAACAAATAACCCTTTAGCGGAAGCGCATTGCCATCATTCACGTTGGTGCCCCCGCCGGTGGCATGAACCCCGCAACCCGTGCCGCTGCCGCCTACTGTTTGGCTCGTGGCCACAAGCCGATTGCTATTTCCAACGGCTTCCCCGGTCTTTGCCGCCACCACGATGACAAGCCCATTGGCTCCGTGCAGGAACTGAAATGGCTCGACGTTGAGGGCTGGGCCAGCCGTGGCGGTTCCGAGATTGGTACCAACCGTGGCCTTCCCTCTGCGGACATGGCCAAGACTGCTGAGTGCTTTGAGAAGTATCAGTTTGACGGTCTCTTTGTCATTGGTGGTTTCGAGGCATTCACTGCAGTTTCTGAGCTGAGAAAGGCTCGCGAGCAGTACAAGGCCTTCCGCATTCCCATCGTCACTCTGCCCGCCACTGTCAGCAACAACGTCCCTGGAACCGAGTACTCTCTTGGTAACGATACCTGCTTGAACGCTCTCATCGATTACTGTGATGCTATCCGGCAGTCTGCCTCTTCGTCTCGTCGTCGTGTCTTCGTTGTTGAAACGCAAGGTGGTCGCTCCGGCTTCGTTGCAACCGTCGGTGGTCTTTCAGTCGGCGCCGCCGCCGTCTACACACCCGAGGAGGGTATCAATCTCAAGATGCTTGAGCTGGACATTGACCACCTTCGGGATCAATTTGCCAAGGATCGCGGTCAAAACCGTGCTGGAAAGCTGATCCTCCGCAACGAGCGCGCCTCGGACGTGTATACGACCGAGATCATTGCAAACATCATCAAGGAGGAGTCCAATGGCCGCTTTGACTCGCGATTCGCGGTACCGGGACACGTTCAGCAGGGTGGTATCCCGTCACCCATGGACCGTGTACGTGCTGTCCGCCTGGCTGTCAAGTGCATGCAGTACCTTGAGGATTACTCGCTCTCTGGTGATGATCTGGTGGCTGACCCTATGAGCGCCACTTTGATTGGTGTCAAGGGTGCGAACCTGGTGCTCTCGCCCATGAAGCAGCTGGAGGAGCACGAGACTGACTGGCCCGCTCGGAGACCTAAGAATGAATTCTGGCTTGGCCTCAAGGACATTGTGGATATTCTCAGTGGCCGTTACAAGGTGCATCACCCCGAGGCCTAAGCAGTGGTTGTCCGAATTCTTGTAAACCTATTCCCCTCTGAAAGATGTTCATTAGATAGCTATTTTCTTCTTCTTTATTATTTTGAGTAGTCATGATGATGACGCGAACCGTCTTATGCTTATGAATTGATGTATGACGTTGGACGGAAAATATATTTCTTTTATTCATACATTTATTCTTCTTTGGTTCCTTTTTAATCCAGATAGGAAAATGCGTACAAACATCTACAACCTTGATATATTTTTCTATTCCATAGGCAAATGGTCGTGAAAATGCGTGGTCATGAATTGTTTGCATCAAAATGGTCCGTTCGACCGAAAGTGCCAAATGCGAGAGAATGACGTCGCCAAAACAACCGTAGCAGATAATAGCACCACTCAAGAGCTCAAGCACTCCGTCCGGCATATTACTGCGAGATCAATTCATTGCCATCAAGGCTAATTGTAATAAAACTTTCCAGCATGTCTCCCACCGCCGCTGGACCGGCTCTCTCAGGGCGACTCTTCGCAACTACATGCCGCAATTGCCGATTCCAATTATCCTCATCCGCGATTAAACGTGCCGAGATCTCGCCCAGCAAGAACGGGATTGCAAGCCGAAGATATATCTCTGCACCCTATGGATACACACAAGCCAAGGCGCTGGTATATTCGAAATACGGTGAACCCAAAGATGTTCTAAGGTATGTCTTCTCAAACACGCTTTGTTCTACCTTCTCGCGGATTCACAGATTAGAGAGCTACAACTTGTTCAAACGCCCTCACAATTTCCAGTCCTAATCCTCCGTCGGGAGTTTTTTCTTCTTCTTCTCTTTACCTACTGACGAATTGCCATCCCTATATAAAACAGTCTGCACAGCCATTCCATTTCTCCCGCCTACTCCAACCAAGTCACCATCCGCTTCCTCGCGTCGCCCATCAACCCCGCAGACATCAACCAAATCCAGGGCGTGTACCCGTCCAAGCCCGCCCTGTCACAGGCCATCGGCACCGCGGTCCCGTCCGCCGTCGGAGGCAATGAAGGCGTCGCCGAAGTCGTCGCGGCCGGGTCGGGCGTCAAATCCGTGCGGCGCGGCGACTGGGTGATCATGAAAAAGACCGGGTTCGGGACATGGCGGACACACGCGCAGACCGACGAGGCGAACCTGTTCAAGATCGAAGACAAGCAGGACCTGACCCCCTTGCAAGCCGGCACGGTCTCTGTCAACCCGTGCACCGCGTACCGCATGCTCAAGGACTTTGTGCCCCTGCAGCCGGGGGACTGGTTCATCCAGAACGGCGCCAACAGCGGCGTCGGGCGCGCGGCGATCCAGCTCGGCCGCTCGTGGGGGCTCAAGAGCATCAACGTGATCCGGGACCGGCCTGGTGGCGGCGTCGAGCAGATGAAGCAGGATCTCCTCGACCTGGGCGCGGACCAGGTCGTGACGGATACAGAGCTCATGGAGCGGGGGTTCAGTGACCGCGTCAAAGAGTGGACGAATGCCGGGCGCGAGAAGCTTGGGCTGGGGCTTAACTGTGTGGGAGGCAAGAATGCCACGGCCGTGGCGAAAGTCTTGTCCCCCGGTGCGCATCTCGTCACGTATGGCGCCATGTCGAAACAGCCGGTCCAGCTCCCCACGGGCTTGCTCATTTTCAAGAATATCTCGTTTGATGGCTTCTGGGTCAGCAAGTGGAGCGATGCCCACCCGGACGAAAAGTACAAGACGGTCCAGGATATCCTGCACCTCACGCGCACCGGACAGTTCAAGGATGTGCCCTTCCAGGAAGTCAACTGGGATTGGGATACCCCGTTGGATACCCTCAAGGAGGCGGTCCAAGGGACGCTTGAGGGGTTCCGGCAGGGTAAAGGTGTGTTTGTCTTTGGCGAGACGTAAAGAATAAAAGCGTAGAAGCCTGGCGGAAAGGGCGGGAAGGGCGAGTCTGAGATGAGCATATACCAGTTGCAGATAAATTACGGAAGCAGTTTCGGTCTTTCAAAGGGGTTAATGTCATCAGCTAAACATGTCATTACGTTAAGCACAATATCAACAGAAGTATAAACACAAATATGGGACTGATGATACGGCAAAACATGTGGTGACGTTTAATAAGTGACTTGGCTGCGTCGCGAAGGATTCGCAGACATAAAGGAAGAAGATTTGTCATTAAATCGATATAATCATAACTAGGTCACATAACATCTGAGTGTTTGAGATGTGACAGCTAAAAATGAAATAACAACCATGCACCTAGACATTAAGATATCCCCATACCAAGTCAGGAAGATTAAGTCGTAGAAGTGAAACGAAGTCGTAGGATTGAAACAAATAAAGAAACCAAAAGCATTATTCCAGTCAATTGAGGTTTGAACGTATTTGGGGTCTAGATCAGATCAGAAATTTGGGGTATCAATAACGCCAGTGGTCCGCTTTGTTTTTTCCTCTTTCCTTTTGTACCTTTTTTTTTCTTTCTCTTTTGTTTTTCCTCTTCTCCGTCAGAGCCGTTTGTCCGGCGCCTTGAATATGTTTTGGTGTGGTCAAAGGCGTGCGTTCTGCAAGGAATGCTTGGGACCATTTCTCTGCCGATCTGCATCCTTCGTACCTTCCGAAGTGAGGCTCCGGTTGTGCGGTATTCAAGGAGGTGCGTGACAATAAATATTTGGAGGAACAGACATGAAGAAGCGAGTTCAAGTACCGAGCTATTTGATATCCTTGAACAGATCATCTGCGCTCAAACTTCCACCGTCGAGCGTTGCGTCGAGCGAAGGCAGCGTGGGCGGTGGCGTTGCGGGTCGTCTCTGTGCTGCGTGCGTGCTCTGGACATTGCGTGCGGCCTCGCCGAGCGGTTTTCTCGGGACAGAGTATGAGGTAGGTGAGTCCGGTGTTGTAGGGGTATTCTTCGATGCGGGCGACGAGGTGGGCTGGTTCTTGGACTCGTGATGGTCTGACGACGATGAAAGTATATGTCCCCAGGACGCCGACTTTCGGCGGAACCAGTTTCCGCTCTTGCGCTTCGATATTGTCGACGGCGGCTGCAGCAGCGTCGACGAGCCATTGGACGAGGACGCTACGCTGGGCGCTTTCATAGCCAAATTGTTCCTGCCGGGTTGGGGCGAGGGAGTAGATGTAGTAGCACTAGTGTTCTTTCCGGCTCCAGCTTCGTCCTTGGGATTGGTGTAGGCACCATTGAGCGAGCCAAGAGACAAGAGTTTGCGGACTGACGGCGAAGAAGACGAAGTCGGTGATGACGACGAAGGGGCGGCGGAGAGCGACGTCAATGGCCTTGATGATCCGGATTTGGCGGTCAAGTTTGCTTCATTGCTCGATCTCCCGTCATGCAATTGACCTGGTGATTGCGGCGTCGCAGGGGAAGACTCGGGAGGTGGAATATCGGTCCCAGCAGTTAAAGAATAGTCAACTGGTTGTATGCTCGGGAGCTTATAGTTGTTTCCAGCGCCTGGCGAGCTTGTGGAGCTCCTGCCGGTGGCTGCAGAAGGCGGCGCAGGTGCGGAAAATACTAGCCGCGACTGGCGCTTTTCCTGCGGTGATGATGCCATTGCTGATGCAACAGTCTCGTATCAAATGTGATGGGGGGGTTTGCGGCCAAGCTTTTTTTGGGGCCCTAGAAAGGTTGTGGTTCTTGCTTCGACGAACTAAGAAGCAAGGGGTGCAGCTTGACGGCGATAATTTATCGGCTCGTAAAATGGTGAGCTGCACGTACGTGTAGTGGTATCGGGGGTAGTAAGGGGTCAGTAAGAGGACTAGCCAATGCTTTTGACGTCAGGTACGTGATCAGGCCAAAAGTTCCGAGATGTGTCTCGTGCGGCCCTTTACTCCAGATGCTAGACTGAGGAGCTGTTTTCTTGCAAACCGGTCGGCGCAGTTGAATAAGATTGAAGTGTGACGACGGCGACAAATCGAGCGTCGTCTCTTCTGGCCTAGATTGTAAAATATCTGCTCCTGCAGCTAGTGGTGATGACCAAAGATTCCCGCAATGAACGAGTGACGCAAGCACGAGAAGAGAGGAGAGGCGGTGAGAATGGCGGTAGAGAGGTTGATGCTTGTCCAGTGCAGGTTAAGATTTTGAATGAATCTTCTTTACTTCGCCAATGCAGCACAATTACCACAAATAATAATACAGGAATGCATAAAATCGGAGAATAAATTGCTTTCACAGTCACTTCTAACTGAAGTCCAACTCGTTTGCTCGTGCAATGCCGAGTGCGTAACCACGCTGCAAATGAAGTAATCCAGTTTCCCAGAACAGCTAGCTATCTACGCCACGTGTTTCTCCAGCGCCAGATCCAATTACCGGAAGAGAGAGATTCTGGACATAACACATCTATTCCATAATTTGTTGCAAATGTGTGCATAAATTTACCTTGAATTTTTCTGTATGGCCAATTTGGAAAAGGGGTAATGTAGTACGGCATACGGTAACTTATGCAGGGGTCCCGGATTTAGTCAGCTGCTCAAAGCAAGCCACGAGGGTCTGTGCTGAGCTCGTGGCTTCACAACATGCAAAACAGTGCGCACAGGCTTCACCTAGGGCAACAATCGTGATGATGATGTTGCCATTATCAGATGGACTCAATAATACTTATAATCAAATAATAATAATAACAACAATACAAGGCTGATTTGGTCGTTAAATCCACATCTAGTCATAACTTTTATCAATCTACTTCGTAAAAACCCCAACATTCGTCATGACAGCGAATACCACACAGCATAAATGCGATTCTAGAAGAATGGTATCCAGCCAATATACATGGCAGCAAGCTTACTCGGATCTGTTGCTTGCTGGATAAGCGCATCGACATGGCCTTCGATCGATAAAGGCACTGTTTGATCCATAAAGAGACCCCTGACCTTACTTCGCACCGAGTCTAACACCTCTTGTGGCGTTTCAGGGACCTTGATATTAGATCTCTTCTGCTCCGGGAGTTAGCACTGCAAATCCACAAGCATCAACCACTGGACTAATCTTTACCTTCTTTCCAATAAAATCCGTAGTAGGATCATGAAGGAATGTCTCCAGAATGGTCATCAAGGTATCCTGATGCTGTCGAAGTACTCCCATGGTCAATTCGCAGGATTTACGAAAAGGTCCTACCCGAGTCAGCCATTAAGTTTCTTGAAAAAACCAAGAGATGGCCTTATCTTACCCTCGTAGCCGTAGGCGCCGAAAGCGTCAATCATATTGTGCGTCAGCCTGAACGGGACCAATTCCGGCTTCTCAAAAGTCAAACCCTATCGCATGTGAGCCCAAGTCTAAGGGAATTATATTCACAGAGAAAGAGAAAGAACCCTGATTGAAATACTGCTTACCTTGTCGAATAGACAATTGAAATCCACATGAAAAGTGCCGCCGTTTCCTTCAAACAGTATATTTTCTCCGTGACGATCGCCAAGGCTGGCTGAAATGAGCTTAAAGTCTCTTTCACAAATCACCCTATCGAACTTACCCGAGGACATATCCAACAATAGACATGACAGCACAAGACCGAGTATATCTCAACCTGGCTGCGAACCACGCATCGGTTTCGGGAAACATGCCTACAAACCACTCGTGGAATACAGACGGAAAACTAGCGTTGTTAGCATGCGAATGCGCCTGAAAGAGAAATACAGTGCTAACCTTGGAAGTATCTTATCCGTAAAAATGGAGACATCGCTGCAGGCATCATCCAGAAGTTTGCGCAGTTCAACATACTAAATATGGCGCACGAAAGTCAGCTCCTACTTCCTAATACGGAAGGGTCGAAGGTGAAAGCAACAGACATTAACGACGACGTTTTTTTGTCTGTATATTTTTAGAATGATGTCTCGAAAGGCTTTCAGGTTGTCAATCCATTGAATAAGGCCGCACTCCTCATTTAACGGTGTCACTGCATATGTTTTGATGTCTGAAGAGAAAAAAAAAAGAAAATCAATGTCAGCAAAGGAAACTTTGGCTTGATCTTGAGCAAGGGAAAACCTTACAAAGGCGTCGTTTGCTTGCTTCAGCGTCCTTTTTGAGCGCTCGATTGATCATGCTATCGAATTCCATGAGTCTTTGATCCTTCCTCAAGTCATCCTTGGGTTTGCAAAGCAAGCCATATACACGACCATCGGATCCTTTGACTGATAATTTGCGCGGCCTTTGAAGGGAGTTGAGGATAAGGACATCATCCAAAAAGGCTGTAGTTCGTCAACTATGAATGGAGGAATGGGACAAGTGGGAAAACCAACCATGGACAGTAACAGTGTCCCTTGAAAAGGCCCGATGACTTTTTATATTTGCATTTTCCGTCATTGTTGGAAGGCTCGCCGATAGCGCGCTTTCAATTGGCATAACCAACTGGCAAGGAACGACTTTGTGAGAAAATCCTAGATCCCTTGAAAGACTGACGTTTGGTACTTTAGCTTCGACCGCTGCTTCGCATACGTTCAGGAGTTGTTCAGAAAGCTTTTGCCCTTGATTGACCAGCTTCCTGGGGTCGATAGCCGCAGGATCCACCTTTTTCTTCGGGTATTCCTAGAACACAGCTTAGCATCTTGCTGGCCATCGACACGAGGGAGGGGGGCTGAATAAAGTGTGAATATCCATCCATACCTTTATTCGATTTATGCAGACAAGGCCTCTTGACGCCCGTTCCCGTGATGACGACTTGACCACGGCAAGAACAGTCCAGAGGGCTTGTTGCGGGTGTGCAATGACGACTTTCACGATAATATTTACAAGGATCCCATATACCTCAGAATGTGGATGGCAAATTCGGCTCACCAATTGGGAGAGGGCAGTATAAAACTATAAAAAAAAATGGTGTCAGAGAATCAGTCTAAACATCATCGCAGGGCCAAGCTCGTTTACCTCATATGCTGGAAGTCTTCCAACGAATTTTTCGACTTGCAGGTTTAATTGCTTGAGGATTTCCCTGCGATGCTTTTGCATTTGTCGATCGAATTTTCTGCAGGTACTGTAAGCAAAAAGGAATGCTCGAATTGAGGACATTGAGGAGCATACTCATCAATATCGAGGGATATCGGCTCGTCAACCCGCGATCCCGTATCCAGCCATAGTGTCAAAAGCTTTGGCATCGTCTGAAAGATATATTTCGCCCCAAATTGCAAAGATCGCAAAAAATTCTCCACTACAAGTTTCGCAGTTTCTCCACTTAAGCTGTCGGATATTTAGCTAAAGCTGCATGATGGGCGCTTGGGGGAGTGCATACTAGGAAACACCTTGCTTGGATATTGGCAGCGCTGCTTCAGACTCCAGGAGCTTGTTATAATGTTTGCCCAGCTGGTAATGAACCTTTTCCCATCTAGAATGCTAGGTCAGTATCTATGAAAATGGAATCTATGAAAAATTGCTCACCTAGGGTAGGCATCAGCGGCTTTCCAGTATTTCTTCGCCAATTCGGGGGACGGCGTTTGACCTGCAGTATCATGCCATTTTGCAAGCAAAAGATATGCCTGCTTCTGTCAGCAAATGAATACTAACAGCAGGGCTTATGATCGGGCTCAGGCTCACTCTCGCACTCAAGAGATTTTGATGACGGCCCCTTTCGCCGCTATAAGCGTTATTTGGATGCTCAACTAGCGATTTCCCCTTAGGAGTGAAGGCATTGGCCGCGATTGCACCCTCAAGGTTCTGAATGGCTTTTCGACGATGTCCTTCTTTCCAGAGAAGCCGGCAATGCTCAATGGTAGCCGAGCTGTCGCCCAGCTGAGATGCGCGAAGTACAGCATTGAAAGCCTGGTGTGTGAAATTGCCTTTACGGGCAAGTTTTGCGCTTTCCAGCCATTGAGAAGCCAAATCAAGGTTTGAGAATTTCAACCTGGGCTGTTAGTAATCTTTAATGATACTTCGAAAATTTGCACGTGGATACCTACATTGAAAGCTCCATTGTTGCCCGACGTATTCCAAGAAGATACTGCTTATCCAGGGAGAATGCACCCAGGACATCAAGTCGATGATTGAGGTTTTCCATGAGTACTTTGGTGTTCTTCTCTCCATGGGTCGATACCCCACTTATAGCTTCCAGCTCGGTGAGTACGTGGCATTTTAACATTATATCGTGACAAGACTGAAACGAGGAGATGGTTGCCTCTGACAGCTCGTGGCTAAGTTCTTCGCGGAATTCTTTAATGGTCGCAGTAAAATCTTCCATGTCTTGGCGGCGCAGAGCCAACAAGGCACGTCCCACGCCAGTGTTAAAAGTCTGCCTTGAGATTTGTGACTCCGACGACAGATACTTTCCTAATAGATCCCATCTACCTGTGACCCATGAAGCCTCAACAGCAAAAGGAAGTATGCGCGGGTTTGCAGATGACGGAATGTTGCTTCCTTCGACATGTTTTAGTAAGAAGTCTAGCCTTTGTTAGTCTTCATTCTAGTATTTTGAGGGGACGAGCACCTACCATGCCGACCTGATTCTTTCAAACAGGACAGTAATCCAAGCTGGACTTCAATATTATTCGGCTGTTCGCTCAATAACGCTTCATACCAGCTTTGGGCGGCAGTCCATCTCCCAGCTTTGCGATGTTCCAAAATCTGCTGGTCAACATCAAGTACGGGAAGATGGGCCGAAATACCCTCGATACCGTCAGGCTCGTCTATTTGGGTATAGATGTCTTGAAGCTTTTCGAATAGGGGCTCTAATCTCCGCTCTTCCGAATTGGTACCCAACTTTTCTCGTTCTTGGCGAATGTATTGCTCCCAGTAAAATAGAGCGCGGGTGAAGGACCGGCAGTCTATTGCTCGACGAGAGACGATTTCGACTGGAACTTCAGACAAAATCCGTTCAACGCTTCGAACCTGTGCCATGCCAACTTCGTCCTCGAAATCAGATTGTCGGCCTGTTCTCATGAGCGTGTACTTTGAATTTGAGATCTGTTTTTTCTTTTCCTGAACCCATCTCGAGAAGTAATCGAGTACACGAAAAACGCTCTAATGAACAGTTATATATGATGGATCCTCAAGCTATAGAAATATCATTACTCACCTCACTGCAATATTTCAAATGCTCTTCCTCAGATCTAGTGGTGGCGCCTTTAGGAAGGGAATAGCCCAATACAACATGAAACTCAGAGCTGATGTCCTTTATCTGTCGCTCCGTACCACTGATGACGACGTTCAGTGCAGCAAATGGGAGCAGGAAGTTCGCAATGGACAAGTCTTGCGCACGAATGATTCGGCTGCATACAGAAAACATTTTCCGCGCGTTCTCACCGTTGCTCTTGTGTAAGAGATCTAATACAAATTCCCTCAGCCAAGCACCATGGCTATGCTTTCGTGTATATATCGGATATCTTCGTTCAGGATTTGCTGGTGCGGGCGTCAAAACATATCTTGACGTCAAAAAAGGTGTGAGAGTATCTTGCACGGATTGTGGTAATGAGGTCCATCTCCTCCAATTAGAGTGAGACTGTGTATCGTGAGATCTGAACGTCACCGTTGAGTGTAACCCGCAAAAGTGAAGTAACTCTTGCATGGCATATGCGAGGAAGCCTTGCGCTTGCGTATTGGTTGCTGACAGGAAAGCCTTTACCAAAATTTCCTCCAAGAAAAAGAGGACAAATTCAACGGTTTCGTCGGCTGCTTCGAAATTTGAGAGCACAAGAATGTCCCGTTTCTCCAGGGGAGCCTCAACTCGATTGGAATCTAAGCAACCGATCAAGCCAATACACTCTGCGCAGGTGCCAGCTAATGACGGCAAGACTTTATTGAATCTTACGCATGCATTGAGGATCGAGCGCATTAGCTTGGCAACGACAGGATCCGGTTGCTCGCTCACTGCGGTTTCATGTAGAAACGTCGCGTTCTTCCGCAGGAAAGATACCAATTCCACTAAAGCTTGTGACACAACTGCCAAATTCTCACTCTGACACCGCTCACTGAAAGCTTGAAATCTCTCGCCCAAATCCATCGTGGATTTAATCCGCTCTAGCTGAGTGTCGAATTCTGCTAATTCATGTATCGAGCTTAAAGCAGGTAGAGTTTCACCAAAACGTTCGATTAGAGAATTATGGTGATCCAGAAGCGATTCCACTACTTCGTAGGCCCTTTGCCGCATGGGAGGGTTGAGCAAATTCCAATACTGGAGAATGACAGAAAATGTTGGATCCAATAAGGATTTTATCTCCTGTTCGTCGAGGATCATAACCATCGTTGCCCATGTAGAAAATGCTTGATCTCTTAGATCATCTACATCTAATGCTGATTGGAGGCACGCACAAATCTATTAACGATTAGCCAGAGAATGGATGGAGGACAAAGACACCGTGCGAACCTGAGGTAGAGCGTTTGCACAATGGCTTTTGGAAATTCTGATCATTTCCTCTATAGCTTTGAGACATCGTCTTTTCTCCAGCGACGGCTGCCTTTCCTTAGCGTCGTTAATGATCTCTGAGAAGAGAGACATAATTCCCAAAACATATGTTTCAAAGAATGGGCCAAGGAAATTGGTTCTTTTCCCTTGGCTAGTTTGGCTGGGTTTTGAATGAACAAGCTTCGCAACAAGTTGAATCGCCTGGTGTATCTGCGAGTAGACAGCTGATCAGCTTAGTTGGGTCTCTTAATAGTTCAAAACACATACCTTAGGTCTGACCGTATCATCTCCCTCGCCAGCCGCCCTCAACAGTTCATATGTGAGCGTTATGGGGTCTGAGGCAACAATGTCCATAAAATCGGCCCCTTGAAGATCAGGTGACGCCCGGTAAAGGAGGGCCATAGTCGTTTTTTCAACGTCTGTTGATGGGTGAACCAGCAACAGGGCTAATATGGCAGCTAGGTTGGATTTATCCAGACACAGAACACGCACAGAGACACCCCGCGCTTGAGCGATGCGTTGTATGAGGTCCGATCTTTGGTGTAAAACGAGATAAGGTAAAGTATATATCTGAGTTTGGATGAGAAGGTCCGACACTTTGATAGTAAAAAGATCCGACAAAAGCTGTGCGATCTGTGGGCGATTCTGTAGATCTTTTACTGCTGCGATAGCTACAGACCTCCAGAAAGGCCTGAAAAAAGCCCGCGGCGTGAGCCCGAATAGCTGAGACAGCCTCAAGATCTACTGATCTTCAGCATTTATTTACGTACACGCTAAATTTGAGACAAACCTGATTATAAGCAGAACCATGAATTAACAAATTCGTGTGTCCTAGGTACTCCACGAGTTGCAATAATACAAGATTTAGTTCTTCGTCGCCGGCAGCTCTTTACATGCCATCAGCTCTATGCATGACGCAAAGTATAATTTTGAAACTTACGCGGCAATCTGCCCACAGGTGAGGACACAGCTTTCGTGAAAGGTGAGTTCGCCCTTCTCTTTGATAGCCCGTAAAAGTTCGAGTGCAGCTAAACGATTTTTTCTGAGAAGCCCTTCTTCGATCCCGTCGCGTAAAAATACAGACAAAAGTCTCCTATGCATTCATTAGGGTCTGACCACACATCTCTACGGTTCACATACCCCGCAGCAATTCGCAGTTCTCTCAAAGAGCTAAAGTGCGACTTGAGACACCATTGTCCAAAGTCAGATTGTCGAAGATCCAAAAGACTAGAGCTAGGCGTATGGCTCAGAAGCCTTCGAAGAGAGAGCATAGCTGCAACTCTTTCTCTTGGCGACTGAAGGAATCCCGGAGTCTGCATAATGGTTGAAACGATGCTGAGAAGCATATCACAATGAGAATCTTGCCAAAGCTTCCTAGGAAGTTTGGAATTAGGTTGGTCGTCACAAAACGAGCATCGACCATTCGATAAATCCCCTTTCTTTTCACCCAAGCCCTTCAAGGTTCCTGCTCCGGCACAAGTTACGTATCCCATGTAGGACAATGCCCGTGTTTTGTCTTCCTCAGACAGCTTTGCATAGCAGCCGCTGGGGGAAAAAAAAATTAGCTATCTCTCTCTTTAGCATAATTACTTCCAAACCTACATTGCGATTTGATCAAGGCCGTCAAGATCTGTTGCTGTCTGGCCTCCTAGTAATGAAAACAGTTTATCGACCAAGGTTGGCATGAAATTAATGTCATCTCTTGATGTGAAATCAACATCGTGACGTGCACGCTTTGAGGGCCTTGACTCCTGAATCTCAAGGCCGTTGCCGTTGCTTAACTCTAGCACAGAAAACTTGGAATGAAGCTCTTCATCAGCAAATTCCGAAGCTAGCGCTTCCTGCTTCAGTTGCACTTCGTCGTCCAGAAAAAGTCCCGGTTGCCGTTGATTATGATGCAGCCACAATTTTATGATGAACTAATAAAACTTTAAGCACAAAGGGGGCCGGACGAGATAACAAGAGTCATACCTGTAATGGTTTCGTCAAATCCTTCACGTGAGAGTCGGGCTTGTAGAGCTTCCCTATGGGACATCTCAGGCGCTCTTCAACACACGGCCTAATGGCCGATTGTTTTCGGCTATAATCCAGAATATCAATCAGAGAGAGACAGAGCAGCCTTTGTAATTGAGAATCCAGCGCAAGAGATGGAATTCCCAAAATGTATCCCACAGCGTCAGCAACTAACAATGTTGCCTTGTCAGGTCGTAAGGAAAGCGGTATCATGGCTGTATCACTTGCTTGAATCTGATGGATGAGCTTGAGAAATGATACATGTATCTCTGTTTGTCTTTCGCCAATGCTTGGCTCCTCTGACCACCATTGTAAGCCACGAAGAATCTTGCCGAGACAGTCCAGAGTCCAAAGCACATTATCTCCAGCGACGAGAGCGTCAATCTCATGTCTTGTCCTCGCATCGCTAAAAGAAAAAAGGGTTTCTAGCATATAAAATGCGATCACCGTAGCCTGAGCGGGATTTGAAATTTGGTTCTTGTGATTCTGTGAAAGACACTCATCGGAGACGACTTTTGAGAGATATTCGACCAAAGAGATGCTGGACCTTGTATCCGCTAGTCGGTTCCAATCATCGTTGCAGCATAAAAGTCCTTGTTTTCGTCAACAACTCTTCACAACTTCATGCTCAAACCACTGGAAATGCTTGCCTTGAACACAGACACAGTAACTGCGCAGAACCTTTATAAAGGAAGGCCAAAGCTTCACTCGACCAGACGAACTAGAGAGTATTACTGATAATAGGTCTTTAAGTCTGTCTAGCAATGTCGCCGCTCTTGGCTGACCCAAAAGATTCCATATTTTCGGAAGAAGACTGACATAAAGTTCGACCGATATAATGCTCCCTTCTCGGTTGTCGTCTTTGTAAAAAATAACTTCAGGATTTCTTCGAATGACTGAAGAAATTACTGCTAGGCTATCATTGGCCCTGGGAAGTAAATGCGTCACATCTCGAAAAGGATCATGTTGCAGGAGAACATCTAGGCCCGCACGGGTCACTACGCATATCAGCTTGAAGCTAAACTTGATATCGAGTTCAACAGAAACATTTTCAGCGGTGAACGCATTCTCGGAACTCAAAATTTCTCGGAGTAGTTGGTCAAAATTCTCCTGTTCTCCAGGTTGTGTATGAGAACCCGTAGCAGACAGATTATCCACTAGTTGGGCAGCAATGGTTGATGGGGGTGGCTCCGCTCGAGAGCTACGCCCAGTCATTTCAGTCCCTTTAGACCGAGAAACCAGGACATCGTTGCGAGTCATTCCTCAGAGGGTTATCTGACAGGCATTATCAAGGATTCAAACGGCGTAAATTCGACATGAAACACGAACCTCGATTGATCGCGATACTGGATCGCGTGCTCACGTGGTTGAAAGAATATCAGCTTAACAGCTCTCAAGCGAAAGCGGCGGTAGACGTATCATCGGGTCCAAAGCGCTTAGAGATCTCAGCCGTTAAGGTCATTACCGAGCCTTAGCGCGTATATATAGACGGTAAAGCCGATGGTCGGCTAATAATTAAGGTGATATTTCAGTGGAAAAGTCGAAGCTTTTTCCACTATACCAAGAGTTTCTTGTCGATGGATTTGAGACCTTTTTATCTCGAGTGGAGTCATTGAAAAAAAGCTAGATTGGATGGAAATTCAACTATGATAGAACCCAGTATATCTCGCGAAGAAATGGAACAGCATGAGAAATACATGGGCGAAGCCCTTGCCATGGTGTGTACCGTATACCTTGTACAAACCAAGCTCGATATGACGAGGCTGAAGATAACCTTCTGCGTACAGGCGGAACTGGCGATCTCAAATGATGAGACACCAGTGGGTTGTGTCTTTGTACATAATGGAGAAATTATCGGACGCGGAATGAATGACACAAATAGATCCCTCAATGTAAGCCTTGGTAAAACCTTGATCTTCTTTCGAATTTTCCTCGAATTGAGCGTAGAGGAAATTGGCAACAGTATTAAATAATAGAAAATAGGGAACCAGGCACGCCGAATTTGTGGCCATTGAAGCTATTTTACGCGATCACCCACTAGAAATATTTCAGGAAACTGATCTATATGTAACGGTCGAGCCATGCATTATGTGTGCCTCGGGTCTTCGTCAATATGGAATTCGATCTGTTTACTTTGGCTGCGCGAATGACAGATTCGGTGGCACCGGTGGAGTGCTCAATATACATTCAGAGTAAGTCATAAAAACCAATGCTTCTTTTCGGTCGCCCGGTTGTTAATTTGACGAAGCTTCAATCTGGATCCTCCATACTTTGTCCAGGGAGGAATTTTCAGAGAAGAAGCCATCATGTTACTGCGCAAATTCTACATCCAGGAAAATGAGAAAGGTGGGTTCGAGACTAGACTTTTCCAAAAGTTGGTAGCTTTATCAGGATTAATACCTCTTAGCTCCTGAGCCAAGACCGAAGAAAAACCGGGAGCTCAAAACAGAAATCGCTCCATCAGAGACGGGAAAGCAGCATCCTTGAGTATCACAGAATGGAAGATGGTCGACCGTCTTTCGCAACATAAGAAATCACAGCCCTGTGCAGCAATGGCATTCCACGCCCACAGCGATATCCATCATCTAACCACTCATCGCTGAGCTGTTCCTTAGTTTAATGAACCCTGAAACTCTCGCTCGCCGAGTCTAGCTTGGTGAGGAGAGTAGAGCTGTCAACTAGCTATATTTTTCGGGGGCATCTAAGTCCTACTCCTCTCATCGTTCACAATTTAACGAAACAAAGCAAAGCACGTATGGCTGCAATCGTTAACAGCTTATCCTTACAGTACAACAAATATGAAATTGCTAACAAGGCAAGAATTGCAAAAATTTCAGCATAATTTATTTTCGCTGGTATTGCACCCTTTCGTTGTACATGAATGAACGATGCTCTGTAGAGGTGGATTAAGAAGAGGAGGGAAAGGTCTGGCGGTCGATGCGTTTAACATGTATCTTCAACACCTCCAAACTCAGGGACCATTCAAGCTAGATTACGGATTTCTGCCGCTTTGCTCCGCTTCCAATTCGCGTTCAGCTTGCTGGTAGTATTTTGCGGTGTCAACACCATGCTGTTGCTTTGCATTAGCGCCTGCATCGTTCTGGATTTGATAACACTTACTTGGTCGTGGTTCACGAAATTGAACCAAGGAAGGACATGGAGGAAAAGACCCGAGTATCGCGAATTGCGTGATGCAGCTCCTTGCATGTATGGTGATAAGGTAGAAGTACCATATAGAGGTTCGCCTTTCTTGACCTTGTCCACCATTTCACGCATGTCCATGTCCACCTCCCGCTTATTTTCTGTAAAGCCGTAAAACCGCACTGAAAGTGTGAAGGCGTTAATACAATGGGGACAGGATCAAAAGGGTTATATAAACCTACAAATGGATCTTTGGTAATGTATCAAGAAGCCGGCGCCAGCAGAAACGGCACACGTCAGCCGCATGATCGGGGCGAACCCCCCTCTCCCAACATAAGAAGGTGAAATCTTTTCCCAAAGAAGCATGAGTGCTGGACCAAAGGCGAAGGTCGCCGCTCCAACAGCATAATCCGATGGACGAGCATATCTGAGAACTCGTTTAAAATGTCTGCCGGAAGGTCAATAGCTGTTCTGTGCGGGATTGCTTTTGAAGCGGTAGAAACCAGTTGGTAGAACATACGGGTCACTATCAATTAACTATTGCAGATTACGTTAATTCTTGCGGATCTTCTGAGAAGCCTTAGAAACATACCGGATAGTCCGTCGGGATCTTCTTGGCTGGGACGAATCGTCGCTGAGAGTCCGCCATGACGCTATCTGAGGAGATACTAATAGTGTGGAGGTGGAGGTTATCAACGACACACCGACCCCAGTGCGGGTAGTTTAGGTTGGGAGTATTAGTGTCACCGTGGGGGAGTAGCCAGTGCCAAAGCACAGTACAAAGGTACAGCTACTCTGAGTGGTTCGCCTCCGTCTCGGTCACACCATAGTCCGGGGATGAAGGGCACCGGTAAAGCCGAGGCCTGTCAGTGGAGTTACCTAACCGGTGTAGGTACAGCACAGTAGGTATTCCGTCACTGGTCGCGTCCAAATTAAACCGCGTGTTAGCGAGCTCGTCACAAATCGCGTCTTACAGCTGTGAAATAAGTTACATTATTGACGCGTTAGAGTTGACGGCTCATTCCGCTTTGCATTCGAATCACCATATCGTCTTCGAAACTTTTGGCTCATCACTTCATTATAATAAAGTTGTTGTAAGGGCTGTGCTCTGACATGGCATCCGTGGACATCCCGTCGTCCTTAGAACTCCGCTCTCACCATGATGACTTGCCGCAACCTCCAGCGCGCAATAGTAACGCCTCCATGTTAGACAATGAAGATATGGATCTGTTTGACTATGATGCACGGATGGATGACGTTTTCAAGGACGTGGATACAAGGATAAATGTTCCGGCAGAACAGGCATCTACAGCAAAAGAGGAGCAAAATGGCGGACTCGGCATCGACGAAGAGATTAAAGTGGCAAAGAAGAGAAAGCCTCTGCCTAAATTGGATGAGCCTAGGTAACTTACTACTATTCTAGACTTAGTTTTCACCTGGCAAACTATCTCTGACTTTGTGTGTAGACTTCTATCTCAAGCAGGAATCCCAAAACTCCGACGAAAAGCCAAAGACCGCTTGAAATTCAAGGGCAAAGGTCATGAGGTGCGTTTCACTCCTTCAAAACTGGCAGAGCCTAGACTGACTAGAGCCTCGAAGTTCACTGATGTATCCCGCCTCTTGAATTTCTATCAGCTCTGGCTTGACGATTTATTTCCTCGAGCTAAATTTGCAGACGGGCTTGCGATGATCGAGAAACTAGGTCATTCGAAACGGATGCAAACAATGCGACGAGAATGGATTGACGAAAACCGGCAAATTGCAGCACGTCTGGAAGAGGATGCAAGATACGGCGAATCAAACAAAGTGATGGAGAATGCAGAGGAGCGGCGAAGTCAAGGAGAGGGTTCAACACTTAACGAGTCGCAACAACCTCCAACGAGTGAGAGCATCTCCCGGTCTCCGCCGGCACCGGCCGAGCAAGGGACAACAACTCAGAATGGACTATATTCGCTATCCCCAAATGCCCGAGAGAAAGAAGCATTTTTGGCTCCTTCAAATAACAGGGGTAATGATAGCCTGTTCGTCTCCGATGATGAAGGGCCGGATGCGCCTTTACCTGATGAACTTGATGTTCTTCTCGCCGAGCATGCTGATTCTCCAAATCCTGCCGTGGATAAGACTTCGGATAGTGTTGCAGAGCAGCGGTCTGAGAAGAAAGCGGTTCAACCCGAAGATAATTTTGACGATGAAATGGAGGCTATGGCTGAGTTCGGGGGTGCATGGTAATTTTTCTCGACATACCTGGAGTTTGGAGTGGGTTTAGAATGTATGGGTGGTCAAGTTATGCCAGTGCTCGATTTGTAATTGCGATTAGGCTAGGAGATGAATCAGACCAATTTGATTGTAGAAAGTTTACATCGCATAAATCTGTAGAAGACATGAAGCGTGTCGCAACATTGCTGCCAGGTCGAAATTCGCGACATATGACGTGTGGAAGCTCCGCCTCCGTTTTGGCGAATCCCGTTCGCTAGGCTTCTCATGTACGATAAGCTACGGACGAGGGGCATAACATTTGAATTTCCACAAAGCGCTCTACAGAGCGTTAAGATACAATGACCTCCACCCTCATTGACGCGCTTAAACATGTGCAGATTCAAGGGGATGCACTATCAGAACGAGGTTCGGACTATATCGACTCAATATTAGACGAAACACGGCCACGAAAGAAGGCGAAGCAAACATCGAATCACCAAAAAAACGAGCTTCAAGAAGCTCTTCTCGGTCCCACCACGACTTTTGATCCATATTGGCTGAATAAATTGCAGCAGTAAGCGATATAATATGTTTCTTGAAAGAGCTCCTTACTAAATACATGGATCAGGCATTGGCATGTCGATAATAATTACCATGATCTCTTCCAACTGTCCCCCACCCAGACGCGGAGTATCATTCGGTTTGCCAGAGAGGGCTTAGAAGGTCGTGTTACTGGATATAATGAGGTCACAGTTCCTGCGAATAGCGCAACGGCTAAAAACTCCACATCTTTGCTACGCAAACCAGCAAGCCGTGCAAATTTTGTGCGAGGCGCTTCCGGGTTTTTCCCATTTACACCAGGAGGCATTGAGGGTGTGGAAGCCATCAGTGCTGTCGAGGAGCAGCAACTGCAGCTTGATATCAGTGTGAAAGAAGGCAAAAAGTCGCTGGACAAAATCATCAGTTTTACGAACGACGATGGTCTCTTACAAATACCCCCTGGGTTTTCGCGAGGACTGGATTTTACTCAGTCTCGAAATAAGGATGGAGATGAAAAAGACAAGACGCTAGCGGCAATCGTGGATGAGCCAAGTGTACAGCTTGCAACCAAGGCAAACGGCGCGACACCTGAGGGGCATCAAGATTCTGAGAGATTGGACGGAGTTGTCGATACAGTTAATGAAGCGGAGGACGATATCGATTCATTGCTTCCCAGAGAGTTTGCCGCATTCGAGCCACGTGGACAGCTTTCTTTCTCCGCCTCAAAGCGGGTTGGCAAAGAGTGGGCGCACATGGTCGATGTGAATCGGGAAGTCGAAAATTTCAGAGAGCTGGTTCCTGACATGGCACGAGAATGGCCGTTTGAACTTGATACTTTCCAGAAAGAGGCCGTGTATCATTTGGAGAACGGAGACTCGGTCTTTGTCGCCGCGCATACGTCTGCAGGAAAGACAGTCGTCGCCGAGTATGCCATAGCTCTGGCCGCAAAGCATATGACGAAGGCCATATATACTTCTCCGATTAAGGCCTTAAGCAACCAGAAATTCCGAGATTTCCGGCACACTTTCGATGATGTCGGCATCCTGACTGGCGATGTGCAGATTAACCCGGAAGCGAGCTGTCTCATTATGACTACGGAGATTCTGAGAAGCATGCTTTATCGAGGCGCGGACTTAATACGAGACGTTGAATTTGTCATTTTTGATGAGGTGCATTACGTTAATGATTTAGAACGAGGTGTGGTTTGGGAAGAAGTCATTATAATGCTTCCAGAACATGTTACCTTGATCTTGCTATCGGCCACCGTTCCCAATACCTACGAGTTTGCCTCTTGGGTGGGGAGAACAAAGAAGAAAGACATCTATGTCATCTCTACGCCTAAGCGACCAGTCCCACTAGAGCACTATTTGTGGGCAAATAAAGCAATGTATAAGATTGTGGATGCCGACAAGAAGTTCCTGGAGAAGGGTTGGAAGGACGCCAACGATACACTCTCAGGTAGAGACAAGATCAAAACTCCCAGCGCCAACGAGGCGACTGCTGGTAATCGTGGTGGAAGTTCCCAAAGAGGAAGTCGTGGTCAGAGTCAGCGAGGGGGGCCTCAGCAACGAGGTCGCGGACAAGCTTCACGGGGGCCAGGTAATATTGCTCGGACAGGACGGGGAGGAGGACGAACAACAGCTGCTCAAGACCGTAACATTTGGGTACATTTAGTGCAGCACCTGAAAAAGATGGATCTTCTCCCAGCTTGCGTTTTTGTCTTCTCGAAAAAGCGATGTGAGGAGAATGCGGACGCCTTATCAAACCTCGATTATTGCACTGCCTCAGAAAAGAGTGCAATTCATATGATCATTGAAAAGTCAATCGCACGATTGAAACCTGAAGATCGCGTGCTACCCCAGATCCGCCGACTGAGAGAGCTTTTGAGTCGAGGCATTGCCGTGCACCATGGCGGCTTACTGCCCATCGTCAAAGAGCTTGTCGAGATTCTCTTTGCTAAAACGCTGGTCAAGGTGCTCTTTGCCACCGAAACTTTTGCCATGGGTCTTAATTTGCCAACACGCACCGTCGTGTTTTCTGGATTCAGAAAACATGACGGCAGATCGTTTAGGGACTTGCTACCCGGCGAATACACCCAGATGGCAGGTCGTGCGGGTCGTCGCGGTCTTGACTCAGTCGGGTCGGTCATAATTGTTGCTCCAGGAAGCGACGAAGCACCTCCTGCAGGAACGTTGAGACAAATGATTCTGGGTGATCCGACGAAGCTTCGCTCGCAATTCAGACTGACCTACAATATGATTTTGAACCTTCTTCGGGTGGAAGCTTTGAAGATTGAGGAGATGATCAAGCGAAGCTTTAGTGAAAACGCCACTCAAGCCCTTCTTCCTGAACATGAGAAGCAGATGAAATTGTCCGAGGCTGACCTGGCTAAAATCAAGAGGGAACCATGCGAGGTTTGCGATGCAGACTTGGTTGAATGTCACGAGTCCGCAATGGCTTTCAAGCATCTCACCTCAGAGCTTCACCTTGGCCTGTTGGCCTCTCCCGTGGGCAGAAGGATGTTTGCACCTAAGAGACTCGTTGTATATACTAGAGTAAGCTCCCAATTTGCTTCCCCCTTCATTCTGAGCTAACATTTTCTCCAGGACGGAGCTCGTGCGGCAGGAATTTTGCTGCGCGAAGGAATTGGTAAAGGGTTTGCTCCTACTGTCCAAGTCTTGGAACTTGTTGCTCCTCAATCCCGAAGCCCATGCAATCTACTTCCTTACCTTCCAAACTTCAGAGAACTTTTTGCAGACTTGCCAGATTCCGTTCCCATTTCATCATTAACACAGTTCTCGATCCCGCTTAGTGACATAGAGGCGATAACGAGAACAATTCTGAAGGTTGTAAGGATTATAATTTGACACTGAAATAATTACTAACTAGAATACAGGTTGATCTTTCTGGAGTTCTGAGACATGAGCCAGATGCACTTGCTGATATGCAAGAGGAATTGTCAAAGATAATGGGGTCATGGAGCATGCCGGAATGGGACGAGCTAGACTGGGAGCGAATCAAGGACCTCCAGCTTCGGGATGCCATCGATCGGCGACGACATTCCGGCATTTCTGCCCAAGAGCGACTTTCCTTGAGCTGTCCCAATTTCATCAAGCACGTAGGTCTTTCCTCTCGTTGTTCTTCAGTGGCAGGAGCTAAAACAACCTCAGTTCTCGATGCGTCATGATGAATGGCTCGTTACGCAGAACATTTCACATCTACGACAGCTCATGTCGGATCAAAATTTGCAATTGCTGCCAGACTACGAGCAAAGAACTGCAGTCCTTAAGGATTTGGGATTCATCGATGAATATTCAAGAGTGCAATTGAAGGGGAAAGTTGCATGCGAGGTAAGTTTCAGAGCAGGGCTGGTGCTCGAGAATTTGCTTCAATTAACCATCGTCTTAGATCCACTCTGCGGATGAGCTTGTCTTGACCGAGCTCGTCCTCGAAAACGTGCTTGCAGATTACGAGCCAGAAGAGATAGTTGCCCTTTTGTCCGCCTTTGTTTTCCAGGAGAAGACCGATGTTACACCAACCTTGACACCCAGCCTGGAACGGGGCCAGAAAACGATTGTTGAGATCTCGGAAAAGGTCAATGCCTTCCAGACACATCATCAGGTCATCCTGTCGAGCGACGATTCGAACGATTTTGTGAGCCGTCCACGGTTTGGATTGGTAGAGGTGGTCTACGAATGGGCCAGAGGCATGTCTTTTAACCGTATCACGGATCTTACAGACGTCCTCGAGGGCACCATTGTCCGGGTTATTACCCGTCTGGATGAGACATGCCGTGAGGTCAAAAATGCGGCTCGGATCATTGGCGATCCGACACTCTTCACCAAGATGCAAGAGTGTCAGGAGATGATTAAGCGGGACATCACCGCCGTAGCATCGCTATACATGTGAATGGAGCCCAAGGTGCTGAGACGGACTGATTAATTCTGTCTCGGTCACGGGCCTCACGTGGCTTTGTAGATATCGTGGGGTGTTTCGGTGGCTTTAATCGGATCTCAGCCGAAGCGCATCCCCGCACGTGTAAATATTCCCACATGGCATAATGCCACCTTTTTTTTTTTTTTATTGAACAGAAGCGCTTCGGTAAATTTTCAAAGAACAGGGCACAATAGAATTGTTCGCTACCAGGGGGGTTGTCCCTCGTGAGAACGTCCCCAAAAGTGAAACCTACATGTTGCTTATTTATTTATTTATTTTTTTTCCCCTTCCATCATCGTCCATTTGTGGGCGAGCGCAGCACAATTAGCACAGTTAGCACACTCAGCACATCTTACACACTTGGAGAATGAGACAATGGAAAGCTACGGGGAGCATCGATTGTCTCACATTGAAGAGGTGATGCGGTAACTACCGTGAGGTACCTTAGAAGTGGTGTTTGGTGGCAAAAGTGACAAGTGCGGCCAAGGAGAAAAAAAAAAAGAGAGTTAGGTAAGGTAAGGTGAGTTTAGTGAGGGCAGTCAGATTTTCCCAAGGGTCTAGTACTCTCTCTCTCTCTCGCTCTCTGGCTGTCTCTTCCTCTCCTCTCTCGGTCCAGTGGCCCAATCAAGTAATCGTAAATCGAGTCCAACCCTTTGATTAACCAAAGAAAAGCGGGCGCTAAGCCCAATCGCACAACCTTGCCTACCAAGTAATTAGCAAATGCAACAAACTCCAAAAAGTCTTGGTCACTACTGACTACTGCTGCCACATTATTTTGCAGGATATCCTGCTGGGTCTGTCTCCCCCCACTCGACAATATTTGGTCGACTGTCTTGAGCAGGCCGACTGCTGAGAAGACGTCACTTCTGAAAATCTCGAGTCTGGCGAGCAATCGTCTGCTTTTCTAGTCCAACTCCCTTTTTTCCTTTTTCACTTGTCATTTAGAAACGCGCCTTGCGCTTGCCAGGGTGGGGATACGAGATGGATGTTGCTGGCCTCCGCAATCGCATTGAGTCTACGCTCAATGCCAATGCCGACGTGAGACGTCAAGCTGAGCTTGACTTGAAATATGTTCGAATCCCTCTTGACCCACCTCTATCCTCTCGCAGCCGCCCAACTAACCTTTTCGTGTACCATTCCTAGGCCGAAGATAAACCTGGGTTTCTCGATGCGCTCTTGGACATTCTGCAGGCAGAGCAGGTCGAAGGCGTTCGTCTCTCAAGTACGATTCACCAAAAAATCGAAAATGGAAAATCTCAATTTAGAGTGACCCGCTAACATGCTTCCCTTTTAGCTGTCGTATATCTGAAAAATCGCGTGACAAGAGGCTGGTCCCCTCCCGATGAGTATTCGCAGCATAAGCCGATTGCAGAGGAAGAGAAGCTGCGATTCCGCACGAGACTTTTGCCAGCGCTGGCTTCTGCTCAACCAAAAGTCCGCTCCCAACTCATTCCAGTCCTTCAGAAGATCCTTTCCTACGACTTTCCGCAAAAGTGGCCAGACTTTTTGGATATCACCATTCAGCTTCTCACCACCAACGATGCCAACTCAGTATTTGCTGGTCTGCAATGTCTGCTTGCCATCTGCAAAGTGTATAGATTCAAGTCAGGAGAAGTCCGCACAGATCTTGATAAGATCGTCGAGGTCTCGTTCCCGCAGCTCTTGAATATTGGTTCACGACTCGTCGAAGAGACTAGTCTCGAGGCCGGCGAGATGTTGAGAGTTGTCATGAAGACTTATAAACATGCCATTTTCGTCAGTCATGCTCTCTCCCTTGCGAGTCGAAGGAACGACCGCGCTAACGTTGCCAACAGTTTGAGTTGCCGCCTCATCTCCGCGAACAGCAGGCCATGGTGGGCTGGTGCACGCTTTTCCTCCAGGTTGTCGGCAAGGAGCCTCCAGAGTGCTCAATGCTCGAGGATCTGGATGATCGTGAAGCAAATCACTGGTGGAAGTGCAAGAAGTGGGCTTACGCCAATCTCAATAGACTTTTCGTCAGGTAATGCTCTCGAAAGCCTCGACTCCGTTTCAAAAATGCTAAACTAACGGATTCTTCAGATATGGAAACCCTTCCGGCCTCTCTAAGAGCAATGGCGATGAATACAGCCAGGTAGCCAAGACCTTTATCACCAACTTTGCGCCCGAGATCTTGAACGGTTACCTTCAACAAATTGAAAAGTGGGTTGCCAAGACTACTTGGCTGAGCAAGCCTTGCTTGTTCTTCACCCTGACTTTCTTGGACGAATGTGTCAAGCCAAAGGCAATGTGGTCCCACCTTAAGCCTCATCTTGAGACTCTTATTGCGCACCTCGTCTTCCCCGTGCTCTGCCAGAGCGATGAGGACATTGAGCTTTTCGAGACCGACCCTCCAGAGTATCTGCACCGCAAGCTCAACTACTATGAAGAGATTTCCTCGCCAGATGTTGCTGCGACCAACTTCCTCGTCACTCTTGCCAAGAGCCGGAAAAACCACGTGTTTACGCTGCTCAATTTCGTCAACGGAATTGTGAACCGCTACGAATCCGCTCCGGATGACCAGAAGGACCCGCGCGAGAAGGAAGGCGCCTTGAGAATGATTGGCACCCTAGCTGGCGTTATCCTTGGCAAGAAGAGCCCAATTGCGGACCAGGTCGAGTACTTTTTTGTCCGTCACGTCTTCCCCGAGTTCCGGAGTCCTCACGGTTTCCTTCGAGCTCGCGCCTGCGACACGCTCGAAAAGTTTGAGCAGCTTGATTTCAAGGAGCCCAACAACCTTCTCATCATCTACCGCAACATGTTGGAATCCATGGCCGATCCTGAGCTCCCGGTGCGCGTTGCTGCAGCACTCGCCCTTCAGACCCTCATCAGACATGATGTGATCCGGACATCGATGCAGCAGAACATTCCCCAGATTATGCAGCAGCTTCTCAAACTGGCCAACGAGGTGGATGTCGACTCGCTCGCTAACGTGATGGAGCACTTTGTCGAAGTCTTCGCCACCGAGCTCACTCCATTTGCCGTTGCGCTGAGCGAGCAGCTTCGCGATACCTACCTTCGGATCGTCCGCGAGCTCGTCGAGCGCAGCACTCAGAAAGACGACGATGACGATGATGCCTATGGAGATTTCCTTGACGACAAGAGCATCACCGCTCTCGGTGTATTGCAGACCATTGGCACTCTGATTCTGACGCTCGAGAGCACACCCGAGGTCCTTCTTCACCTGGAGACTATTTTGATGCCCGTCATCACGATTACCCTCGAGAGCAAGCTCTACGATCTTTACAACGAGGTATTCGAGATTATTGACAGCTGCACTTTTGCTGCCAAGTCAATTTCGCCCACCATGTGGCAGGCTTTTGAGCTGATCCATAAGACTTTCAAGGCTGGAGCGGAGCTCTACCTCGAGGATATGCTCCCTGCTTTGGAGAACTTTGTCGCTTTCGGTGCGCCAATGTTTGTTCAAAACCAGGCTTACCTGGAGGCTATTGTTGGAATGGTCCTTGATATCTTCCATGACGAAAAGGTTGGCGGTGTGGACAGGATCTGCGGCTGCAAACTTGCCGAGGCCTTGATGCTGAACCTGCGCGGTCACATTGATCAATATGTCCCGACCTTTATTGGTCTTGCCATGAATGTTCTCATTGGCAATGAGCCAAAGGTCAAGTCATATCGCATCCACCTCATGGAGATGGTCATCAATGCTATTTACTACAATCCTCTCCTGGCGTTGAGCTTCTTGGAGTCAAACGGTTGGACCAACAAGTTCTTCAGCCTCTGGTTCTCGAACATCGACAATTTTACAAGAGTTCACGACAAGAAGTTGTCCATCTCGGCAATTGCATCTTTGTTGACCCTCAGAGCCGAGGACGTCCCCGCCAGTGTGCAGCAGGGATGGCCTCGATTGCTGCAAGGTATCGTCCGGCTCTTCCAGACTTTGCCTGCCGCCATTCAAAGTGAGTATTTCTATTTCCTGCTTCTGTTTCAAAATTATGTATTGGCATCAAAACATTTGGCTTACGAAAGCAGACCGGGACGATGTTACCAAGGAAGAGGACTTTAGCCTCGGTGACGACTACGACGAGGATCCTGAAGAGGATTGGGAAGAAGGCGCCGACTGGGCCGTCGAGGGCGAGGAGGTTGAGGATGTTGCTGATGACAGCGCTGCTTATCTTGAGTTCTTGAACGAAGAGGTAAGGGGGAAATCCTCCAAATTGTGGAATCAAAGGTGGCGTTTGCTAATCTCTGACGCGAATCACAGGCTCAGAAATTCGGCTCTCTCGGCGATGACGACGATGACGAGCTCGAGGAGGAAGGCCTCCTCGAAACGCCTTTGGACAAGATCGAGCCCTATGGACTCTTCAAGACTGTCTTGCTGAGTGAGTATTCCATCAATTCTAATGGTTGCCTCAACGATGCTAATCAGAAATGCTTTTGCAGGCCTTCAGCAAGAGCAGCCCCAACTATACGAAAGCATCACCAAGAACCTCAATGTCGAAGAACAGAATGTTCTTCAGGGCGTTGTGCACCAAGCAGACGTTATTGCGACCAACCTTGCCTCTATCAATGGCGGAGTCCAATAAGTTGTCGTGTGCATTCGATCTCCCTCATATGACCTCCATATACCTTTGAAATTTTTTTTCCACTCTACCGTCCAATCTTGAGGAATAAGCAAGCTTGGATTATCCTCTGATTTTCTCGCGCGGGTTCTTGGAACACCCTTTTGCTCGGGGGCACTTAGTCAAATTAGCGCATGAGTCTGTCGGCATAGCATTTGCTTCGTCGTTGGGATGCGTATTTTGATTTCTTCTTTGTCGATATCGTTTCTCAGCACCGCCTTGACACCACTTTTCCCCCTGTTGTTCCTCCCCCCCCCCCCCCCCTTTTTTTTTTTGAAAGTCCTCTTTCTTTTCTTTCTTCAGATGAAATCTTGCATTTGACTTACACGGCGTTATGATGATGACACTCACAACGTATGGAGGGCACCCCTGGACAAAAAGGGTCCGAGGGGATCATAGGATTCGTGCGGCCCTCTCCCTAGTTAGAATTCAGCTTTGTAGAATGAATGGTGTCGAGTAACGGTCTGCTTTTATCAGATCTTGAAGTTTAAAAAAGTTTTTTTTTTCCCTTTCGGTTGTCATAGACCACAAGAATTGAATAATTCATTGAATCGAAGAATCCTCTAAGCTAAACACTTTTGACACATTACATATATTATATGTTGTGCCCGGGAGTCCTCTTGAGACTCAAATGGACGGATCGACCTTTGCCGAATGCGTAGGATCCCCCCAGATTCAGTTTTGCCCCGAGCGAGGCGGCCCCTCCAACTGCCACCCAGAACAGCTGCACCACCCACGCAGATCATCACCTCCAGTAACCCGTCCCATTGCATCGGACCTCACCTCACGCCTTACCTTTTACTGTACCCAGCTCTGTTCCTGCAACATCCCTGGCTTTCTTCGAGGGCTATCCATCCTCTCAATTACAACCCAATTCCAACTTCCATCCTCCGATTTTTCCAAATCCAGCACCAACTCCCAGCTGGCACACCCTTTTGTCTTCTTCTGCCCTTTCTGCCAATTTATAACCTCCGTATATTTCTCTCCGTTGCCTGGAAGAAGCCCCAGCCCCGACACGCGAAGAAAAACAAAATAATACAATAAAAATGCCGACATTCAGCCGCAAAAAGTTCCGCCCGTCTTCCTACGAAAGCACCATCGCCGCACGATACCGCGCCGCTCTGGCGCGGCATCCGTTCCTGCTCTTCGGCCTGCCCTTTGTCGCGACCATGGTGGCCGGTTCGTTCTTCCTCACGCCCGCCACAGCATTGCGGTACGAGAAACACGACCGGCGCGTGCAGCAGGTCGGCAAGGAAGAGGCATTGGGCATTGGCAAGGAACGGAGAAAGGTTGATGTCCATGAGGAATATTATGTGCGTCCCCCGTCCTGTTCTATTCTATTCAATTGTGTCTCCATCCTCTCCTTTCCCCTTCGCTATTCCAACTCCTTTTTCAATCTTTGTTACAGTTGTGGTGAGACATACACGCTGACATACGTCATCGCAAACAGCGCCTCGCAGCTCGAGACTTGGATGATTGGGAGCAGAAGCGCGTGAAGCGCTTACCGGGCGAACATGATGGTGTTTTATAAGCAAAACACCCCGGTGGGCTTGACTTTGACTGCCCTTTGATTTCGACGATTCCCGTTTCCGCTTTGTCCGATCGCGCATGATCGTCTCGATTGTGCCGGCTTCTTTACATTCTTACGATAAACCCGGCGTTGTCCGCGACTGTATATCTTTACCTCCCTGCCTCTCCGAGCTTCAGTCTACGATAACGAGATTCAGCAATGGCTGTGGACGATCCGCGCGAAGAGGGCAAGAACCAGCGTTATATCCTTGTTATTCGTTCCTATTTCTTGACGGGGCCAGAGTCAAAGTATCAAATATAACAGGGCCTACGGTTAGAGAGGCAATACCTCGTTCCTATCAAACCCTTTCCACGGATCTACACGACAAGACCGCCGCTTTTTGAAATTTTCTTAAAACGCTCGAGGGCCGGGAGGAAGCAGGCTAGCTTTGGCTGTCTCATTGACTGCCTGGCAACTTGCAGTGCACATCTGGACAATCACGTACATTCCGCAACATGTATTATATACTCTGCACATATCTGTTCTCTTTATTATTTGGCATGGCATATCTCTGGGCGTTTTTGGGAAACCTTGTTTAATAAATACTTTCTACTTCTGCGGGAAATTGGGAGAGAAGAGTTACATAATACAAGTTCATATTCAGGCTTTTCATCAAGAAGCAATAAGCGACAAGCAACAAGCAACAAAACAAGCAACTTCAATCTCTCTTCATCAGGTAATATGATACTATAATCCTTTGTGTATGATCCATGTGGCACAGAACCTTTTTTTTTTTTCTGGTTATGCTGAGACGTGTACAAACGGCATCGAATTAAAATAAGGTACGTTCCCGATCTTGTGAAATAAAACTATACACAAAGGTACGGCGTAATAGAACTTCGAAAAGGGGGGGGAGGGGGCAAGGCAATGAAAAGGAAGCGCGGGCCGATACTGGGTTTACTGCGGCGAAGAGCGCAATGGCGACTAACTACTAGCATTCAGAAAAGGAGGAAAGAGGAATCAATAATAGAGACAGGTATCGGGTGAAACGAAAAAAAAAAAAAAAAAAATTACTAAAACTCCTAGCGTTCAATGCTGGTGGGATAGAAAGAAGAGGAACACTCGCTGGCGATGCAACTCTCATCATTGAGAAATGGAAAATGTAAAAGGGAAAAAAGGGAAAGCTGCAAATCAGCAAAAGGGATGCAATTCCGTGGAAACCAAATGGAGACAGTAATGTCCGCTCAACAACAACACCAATTTATAAAAGAAAAAAAGAAAAAAGAAGAAGAAGAAAAAAGGACGAGAAAACAAATCAGAAAAGCATATCAACACAAAGAAAAGAAAGTATAAACAAGTCCGCGATAGACAAGCATCTGCTTTCATCTCAATAAGCCAGTCCGCTTCTTCCTCTGCCAATAGTCTTAAAAGTCTCCGTTTCCAGCGTGGACATGGGAAAGGGGGAGGTACCCAGGGCAAGGGTATCGAATCGGTTGACGCCCATGATATCCATGTCGGTCATGCCGGAGAAGTAAAAGCCGATGGTGACGACGAGGTAGCTTAGGATGAGGATGCTGCCCTTGAAGTAATTACTTTTGCCTTCGCCGTACATGTAGCTGAGGAGGAACACGCAGAGGATAACGGTGACCATGTCCCATTGAGGGAAGATGAGGCTATTTTTTGCGGAATAGATATTAGCAGGACGCATCTTGACGGGAAATGTAATAAGTAAACGTACCTAAATGTATGACTGACAACATCGTGTGGAGAAAGGAACTGTTCATGTACGGCGCTGAAAAGGACAAGAGCTGGAATTTGCAACAGACAGACTTGTAAGGCATAAGCTGATCCGATTTCCATAGAAAGAGCAATATTTCCATTCATGGCGAACGAGATGGCGTTCTAACAAGGGTAAGACAGAATGTTAGTATAATTGAGTGGTATAACAGAATGTGTGTTGCACCTCGGGTATCGTATAGGCTAAGTGCTACTTACTAGAAATTCAGTCGTATTAGGAACCAGTGCAAACAAGGTGATGCCCAGAAACTTTTCGTCAATCTCGACGCTCTCAAGCACAACATCGACAGTGTCAACGAGAATCTCGGCAATAATGGCATAAAGGACAGTTGCGCCAAGTAAAATCACCGAACTCTTCGTTCGGCTCCAATTGGGGGCGTCGTGACCACCAGTCACTGCGGTACCTTCTACGACGGCGGCTTCAGGGTGCTCCTCTTGAAAGGTGCCGGCTCGAGATGGTGTCGGTCTTTCATGCTTCGATGGGGTAGAATGGGCTATGCCGGAAACTCTTCGGGGGTTTCGCACAACATCACGGGCAGCGACAGTAGCAGCTGTGGCTGCCATTTCCGCCACTTGTCGCACAAAGTTTTGGTTCTCCTCATCCGAGAGGCCTCGGAATCGAACGGTTGCTGCCCCATGGCTTGGCGGAGCATCACCCATCTGGGTGTCATCTTCGCTCATTTTCGGTGGTGGCATATGCAATGAATCGGCCGCCGACATGGAAGCCGAGCTCATGACCGACTCTTCCATTGGCTGATTTAGAGGCGACAGGCCTGCCTGCTTCAAAGATTGGCCCAAGATTCGCTTGTACAGTTGCGAGTCTTTGATTGCCGACCGAGGAGTGGAGCCTATGTAACTCTGACCGGGCTGGAGTTTCGGCGTGCCATTAACGGCTGCAGCACGGTAGTCGTGTTGTGAGTCGCCTTGCTCTTGTGATCCGGACTGCTCGAGCTTCTTCTCGTCCGCATCAGTACTCCAGATAACGGCGGCATGGGTCCTCAAAGTGAAAAGAAGCCCAATCACGTAGGACAAGAACAAGCAAACAGCGGAAAACCAGCAATAGGGACGAACAGCTTCAACGAAAAACCGGTCTTTCTTTGCGGGGACTTGAGAAAAGAAGCACCTTCGGCAGTCTTTGATTTGAGTGCTCGGGTCGCTGTCGACGCATGAACGGCAATTTAGCTGGTGCTACTGGGGTGTTAGTAATGGGCTTGAAGAAGAATTAGAATTGTGGAAAGAAAGAATCGACTCACTGTTCCGTAAATTTGATAGAACAACGTAGGGCCAAATGCTGCAATGACAGCAAATAAAAGCATAGTTGAAGTAACTCCAGCTGATCTTACGTTGAATCGCTGCGTTTTCCTTTTGATGGCGCCAAAGCACATGGATAAGCCTGGTAAAAACAAGATACCAGCAAAAATGCTTCCGATAATGCTTCCTTCGACAAGCTGTGCTTTACCCTGCCTCAGGGCTACACAGTACAGGAAGACCTCGACGATCGTCGAGAAGAAGGCGTTGATGGCAGCTCCGACTCCCATGGATGATTGTGCCGAAATCGACGCAACGGCTTGTCCAATGAAATAAGCCAGGGGGATAATAGAGAGCAATGCAAGGATGAACACAAAGGCCGAATGTGTCAAGAATATATCTAATCCGAGAGCAACATCGAAGACCCAGTAATCAAAAATGACAAACAGAACCACTGCGATGAGATTGATGAAGAAAATATTAGTCCCGTCCACGGTATACTTCCAGTATTTGAGGCCTGCTGCACGGTAGGTGCACAACAACACGGAGGACGCATCACCAGGAGTCCGTGAATACGTGTGATCGGAATGGAAAGACAGGGCAAGTGGATGCCGTCTCAAATGGCGGAAGAGCAGCAGCGTCACTCTTCCCATTGGTATCCAGAATACCAGAAGCCAGCATGCCGCAGATACGAGCAGTAAAAGTGGAGTGATCAGGCCGTAGAAGAAAATAAAGAAAATGATACGACCAATGTTCCATTGGCCACGTCCAAACAGTCGTCGCTTGCCTTTACTCCCTTGACGTTCATTGAGACGAGCAGTACGAGATCGTCCCAGTAGACTGTCCGTCTCGCTCGAGGATTCGATACTATTTCTTCTGCGTCCGACGAGAGAACGACTTGCAGAGGGTCCAAAGAATAATCTTCCATGCTCTAAATCACCGCTTTGCCATTGCTCATATTCGCTGATGCTCCTCCCTTCGCCCTCGTCTTCATCGGCGTAAGCTTCGTCTTGGTGCAGCTTCACAAATTTGCCAAAGGGCCAAAAGAGGTAGCCAGCTAGGCCCCAGAGCACTCGCCCATACTCGAAACCGCTGTGTGAAAATCCAAATACAAAGCACACAGCTGCACCGAACGCGCTTACTATGGCCAGCCACCAGCCAAAGGCGAGCGTCCAGAAGATGTTAAAGAGCCATATCCAATGGCCAGCACGGCCACCAGGGGATGAATGAATATCACCCTCGGCCGTCTTTTGCACAGACCGGTTTTTCTTATAGAGTGCAGGTTTCCAGATTCGAATACCAAAGGGATGTGTTTCGTTGATGGCCTCTTGGCGGTCCTTGAGAGTGAAGCTTTCCGCGTCGCTGAGGTCGGCTTCTTCCTCTTCTTCTCCAGTATCCGGAGAATGAATTTCTTCGTCCTCTTCCGAGGAAGGCGCATGGTCCTCCGCATCCGTTGGTGCGCCAGCTGCAACCTCCTGCGTGGCATCCCCATCGTCTTCCGCGCGGGGAGCATCAGTTACCTTTGCGAGATTGGACACAAGAGCTGTTGACCTGCGACACAAGCTGGAAGGTTGTTTTCGCAAAGAGCCGTGACCAGAGACGGTCTTTGCTCGGTGCGCCAAATCCTCATCTACCTCACTGCTCAGATCATCGGCCGAAAACTCTTGGCCCTTGTGCGGCGTTTGCGAACTCGAAGCCATCCGTCGTAGTGGATAAGGCTTCCTGTGTTTCCCTGTACCGTGGGACTCGATCGCGTGGAGCTGATGCCGGAGGGACGAGTTGCTGTCAATAGTTCGCGCGCTCGGTCTTCTCGGGTCTTGCGTTTGGCTTCCATCAGACATGTAGGGGCTTCCAATCTGCTCCGAAGTCGGGTTTGGGGTTGATGCGAAAGAGCCTACATAAAGAGTGCGCGCGTGGTTAGCTCCTTCCATCCTTGTACATATCTATAAACTACATGATATCATGGCTTCCGGAGTTCCATACCGTAGGTACCACTGGCTCGAGGACGACGTACAGTGCCCGAGGACGAAGAAGCGCTGTCACCAGGGAGCTCGCTGGAGACTACTCTTGACAATGCCGGAAGACGGGGAACAGGATCCCGCACGTCCGTGGGCGAAAGATTGGACGAGCCCAAGGGTTGCGACTTGGGGTTTAGATGTTCATGGTCCGCCATGGAGGAGGGCTCAAGGTGTTCATATGAGACCTTGAAGCCTATGTAACTGCCCTTGTAGGTGCGGGAGATGACCGAGACAATCGACCAGGATTATCAGACGGCCTATCTTTGGCGGAAGATGTATATTGATTCCAGTTCGTCAGTCCTTGCACTTAGGCAGTCACTCCGCCAATCTACTACGCCAAGGATGTAGTCAGCCTGCAGCCCATCCACACAATAAGATAATGTGAGAATACAAGCACGCGATTCCCGCCGGTTCTCCAAGCTTCAGGGTTAGGAAGTCATGCCGTCCAGGGAGAACGTGTGGGTAAGCTCAGTAAGTGCACGTGCAGCGCAAGGTTCAACTTGCGGCAAAAGCAACAATAACAAGAATAATAATATAACTCTAGCAGGAGCGCTTTTTTTAAATTTTCACCTTTTTCTCTGTGTCCTTGTCTCCTACCATTTTTCCTTGCTGGTGTGGGGCACGAGCAGTTCAGTCTTGCTGTTGGCGTCGTGCTCTTTCATTCATTCGCGCATTCCCTCTGGGAGCTGGGGGAGTCTGGAGCGGCTCTCAGCCAATCAAATGACCAGGTGATATGTTTACCAGGCAAACAGGTTCCGACCCAAAAGACATTCAATCTAGAAGTACATTGGTTTCTACTCTATGTTTTTAGCTATTTATACCCTTTTATATAAGATTTATATATATAATAGTATACAGATAGCTTTTTCATGTTATACGACCGGAAAAAAGGATCTATCTCGATCAAAATGCGATTTGATAGCTAATTTGAGCGGAAAAGGCGGTATCGCGACATCAGACTAGTGACAATCTTCAGGGAAGCCAAGACTGAGGCGGCGACATTGGACATGTACCATGACGATGGCTTATGTCAGCATATAAGTCATGTGATCATCGGCGAACGAGATCAATTACGGCAGTCCATAGACGTCAAGCGCGAATTGACCGTGGAAGCTCAATACAGTACAACCTCATCAGCAGCACCAGCAGCATCGTCATCGGTCTTCATCATCCTCCCATCACCCTGTCCACGCCATGGCTCTGGACAGCTTTTTCCGAAATAAGATTGAGAGCATCAAGCTCGAGATCATCGAGGGTCAGGCAGTGCTAAGGCGTTTGGAAGCCCAGCGAAATGATTACAATTCTAGAGGTCCGTCTGCTTCGCCGGTTCTTCCCCGGAGATGATTGCCACGCAGTCTTTTGCTATAATGATAGTATATCGTTTTTGCTTACTGACATTACCGTACAGTGCGATTATTGAGAGAGGAGCTTGGTTTATTACAACAGCCAGGTTCCTATGTCGGCGAGGTGGTCAAGGTCATGGGCACCAAGAAGGTGCTCGTGAAAGTCCATCCCGAAGGCAAATATGGTGAGCCTGTCAAACCATCTCACGAAACCCATTTTCATTGCATGTTTTACTGACATAAAGGTCTACCTACACAGTCGTTGACATCTCCGACAATGTTGACATTTCCAAACTCACCGTCGGTAAACGCGTGACGCTGCTCTCAGATTCTTACAAGCTCGAGAAAATGCTTCCCAGTTCCGTCGACCCCCTTGTCTCTCTCATGATGGTTGAAAAGGTGCCGGACAGTACGTACGACATGATTGGTGGACTGGACCAGCAAATCAAGGAAATCAAGGAGGTTATCGAGCTTGGTCTCAAGCATCCCGAACTTTTTGAATCCCTGGGTATCGCTCAGCCAAAGGGTGTTCTCCTCTACGGCCCACCCGGTACGGGTAAGACACTATTGGCGCGAGCCGTGGCGCATCATACGGACTGCAAATTCATTCGAGTGTCTGGTTCGGAGTTGGTGCAAAAATACATTGGTGAAGGAAGCCGGATGGTCCGAGAGCTCTTCGTGATGGCGCGAGAGCACGCCCCAAGTATCATCTTCATGGACGAGATTGACAGCATCGGATCAAGTCGTGTCGAGGGTAGCAGCGGTGGAGACTCTGAAGTCCAGCGAACCATGCTTGAGCTTCTTAACCAACTGGACGGCTTCGAACCGACCAAGAACATCAAGGTCGTCATGGCCACCAATCGACTGGACATTTTGGACCCGGCATTACTCCGCCCTGGCCGAATTGACCGCAAGATTGAATTCCCCCCACCAACGTAAGTATACTCTATTCCTCCGAGTCCTCTCTTGCTCTTATTCCCCTGGCTGGCCAAACGCTGACAATGTGTTCTCGTACAGTGTCGAGGCGCGTGCCGACATTCTCCGCATCCACAGCCGCAGCATGAACCTGACGAGAGGCATCAACCTGACCAAGATTGCCGAGAAGATGAACGGATGCAGTGGCGCCGAACTAAAGGGCGTCTGCACCGAAGCCGGCATGTTTGCGCTTCGAGAACGCAGAGTGCACGTCACTCAAGAGGACTTTGACCTTGCCACTGCCAAGGTCCTGAATAAGCACGACGACAAGGAAATGAGTCTGACCAAGCTGTGGAAGTAATTTTATTTTCTTTATATCTCATAAATAGCATTTCTCATATTTTCTTTTTTCACATCTTTTCATCTCGTGTGTCATCTCGTGTCTGGAAATCCCCTCTTAAATATGAGTAGGGTTAATTTCCCCCTTTAATACGCCGCATGTGATGCCATCAAGTAGCATCCAACGACATCCCTCCCCGCGTCCCAAGGACCTCTTTCTCTCCTCCAGTGCCTCTTTGTAGCAATATGTCTATACGACATGTCTTGACTTGCGTGCCACGTTTCTTTGGGAATAATAATAATAACCTTAACCCTAACCTTACCCTCATCATCGTTGGTGAGTAAATACAGTTTATGCATGCAATGGTATCTGTTATCTGTTATTTGATGCTTGTTGCCTGATGCTTGGTGCCTGTTGTCTGTTGTTGTTGTTCGTTACCTGAATTGTGGAATCACATGTGACAGTATCCATCTATGGTATCGTCATACTATCATATGTGACATTGCTTTCAACCTGGCTTATACATTCTGCAGCAGGTCCAGCGAGCGACGCAACGACAACGTAACAAGGTGACCACAGTATCACAGTATCACAGTGAAGTAACAAAGTAACAAAATAACAAAGTGAAGAAGTAAAGAAGTAACCACATCATTACAGAATAGAGAAACGGATCTAATCGTTAGGTGGAACAAGGTTCTCGAGACATGCAAACAGGACATGCAGGACATGCAGGACATGCATAAGGAGAAGGGAGACGAGACATTACATGCTGGTCCACAGCGGCAAGAGCAGAATGGACGTGAAGAGAAGAGACATAGATCACAAAAGCGAAATATAAATAATTTCTGGTAATATATCTTGAATTGGTCTCTCAAGTGGCTGAACTTGCTCATGTACTAATAATGCAAGAAATAGTAGAAACACAAAATGGTTAAAAGAAGAATTGAAAAAGGAAAAGGAAAAGAATGGAGAAAAGAGAGAGAAGAAAAAAGAAAGTAAAAAGCTAAGAAAAACCAAAGTAACCATTGCCGCCCGCGCCGTGATCCCGATCCCTATTGTTGTTGTTGTTGTTCGTGTCCAATCTAAATTGATTGTTGGAAAAATGTTCTTCCGACCGCGACGCCGCTCTTTGTGCAAATGAACCATGTTCGGCGGATGCTGATGGTAACGTTATTGATGATGACATGGATGATGATGATGCTGATGATGGAGACTGCTGCTGCTGCTGTTGCTGTACAACCAGCCATTCAAGTACACTTTCATAGCAGAGGACAAACTGCCGTAGACTTTGGACCATACTGAGACGTTGGTCTCGGAACGCTTCGACCGTCTTTTCGACTAGGTCAAGGTCGTCCCGCCGCTTCCAATCCGATCCTTCATTCTTGTTGTTGTTGTTGTTGTTGTTGTTGTCGTCGCCCTGTTGCTTCGCGAGGCGAGGCGACCGAGGGGCTCGATCGCCAGCGTCAATGTCCATGGGGCTGATCACACTGGGACTATCAAGGTTGACCTTGTTGCTTCCAGAGCCAGTGTCGACTCCCCAGCCGAGCTTTTGCCGTTTCAGCATATCGATGACCGAGTCGACGGTGCAAAATGTCCCTGTCCGACCACATCCGGCACTGCAATGAACGAGTATTGGGCTTTGGCTTGTCGGGTCGGGCGAATTGCCCTTTTGCGTAATCATTGAAGGCGAATATGTAGCGCGCAGCACTGCATTGCACTGGTCGACTAAACCGAGCAAGTCAGATGGATGTGCGGGGGCGCCGAAATCCGGCCAGCTCGAGTATTGAAGCTGGGTTATTTCACGCATCGGGGTAAATGGAAATGCAGTATGAAAGAGTGAAAACTTCCGGACAATGATGAATCGCTGTTCTCCGCCAGGCGTGCCAATGTCCTTGCTCGTCGAGCTGGAGTCGGTCTGAGTAGATTTCCGTCGTCCGAAACCACTGCCATTCCGGTCCCCAGAATACGTACTCCGAGCGGCTTCCAAAGACACACGACGTTCCGACAGCGCTTCGAGCCGCAAGGCGCCGAACTCTTTGCCTTTCCAGTAGGGATGGCATTTGAGTTGGCCGCCCTCCATCTCGGCCGTAAGCATCACAATAACTCGCACATTCTGCTCCCAGACAACTCGCCAAAAGTCCTTGAACCCGCAGTCAGCTGATTTGATTCTCGTAGATGAACAGACATCATCAACACAAAAGAAAAAAAAGTCACAACTAGAAAGGCGTAATCAATGAAAGGTGGAAAGAACACTTACATCAAAGGTAGCAGGAATAGGCGCCTGCGTGGCAATGTAATGCTTCTTGCTCCAGGGGGCCTTGATGTAGCTTGCATTCACGTAGTCGCAGGAACCTTGAGGCACACCCTGGAGTTTGACCCGAGAGTGATCAAACGGCCAGATGTTATTATACCGATTTTTCGTTCCCTTTTCGATACCTGCAATCTGGACAGACTTGGGCGCGTCCGGTTCAGGGGTACCATAATGCACACCCCCAGAGAGAGCCTCCTGCATACGTTTCTGCTCGGCCTTTTCAATGTGGAAAAACTTCTCCGAGATACACTTTCCCTGATCCTGATCCGCAGATGCTTCACGCAACCACGCTGGCAAGCGAGCCTCGTTCTGCTTGGTCATCGATGGCGGTTGCGTCACGGCCAACTGCCCAACACCACCGATGAGGTCCATGTTTTGGCGAATGTTGGAGAAGAAGGGATTCGCCGCAGACTTTGACGCGGGCATGGCACAGCCACCGGCCACAGGAGCGGCACCTGGCATAGATGAGGCAATCGAGAGCGTTTTACGGGCGGCTGGTAAGTGTGATGCGGGCGTGTCATTCACCAGGGCCGGGCAGTGGCGTGCAAAGTCGGAGAATCCACCTTGCAAGAAGAATCGAAAAGTTAACACATTGACACGTTTTGCCCCGGGGGGGGAGGGGGGGGACAACAAGAATTTACCTCGCAAGATCATAGACTTTCCGTGCCACCCGTGACCTGCAAACTTCTTTAGGGTATTGACAGAGGAGACTGCATCTTTCAACAGCACCGATGCGGCGTCGTAGACGACAATATATTTGCATTCTCGCCAGCGTTCAAAGGCCGCTCGCTCTTCCTCATTGGTAAAGGTCTCGGCGAGCTTTTGCAGATTGAACGAGGGTCGCTTTAACAAGGTGGTCGGGATGCACAGGTTAAGCGCGCCGGAGATGCGGGACTGTGCATACTGCGGATATACGCGAACGTCCAATAACAGGGTCTCCTTTCGACGACTTTTGAGCAATTCCACGAGATCTTGGGCCACAATCATTGTCGGCCCGTCGTCGTTGCCATTCATGGGAGCAGTCTCTGTGCGCTTTACAGGCTCCCGCGTCTTTCCTGCGGGCGAGGGCGGGCCCGGAACAATCTGGGGCATAGACAGACGGGGATGGCGATCATCCAGCTGTGTGATACGATTGTCGCATTGTTTGCCAAAATCTGTGGGTGAGAGGGCAGCGGGAGACTCACGCCGAGTAGCATCGAAAAAGGAGGGGATTGGCGGCGCGTCTGGCCGAGGCGTGGTATTATTGGAAGACGGTCTAGGGGTGTGCGACTCAAATAGATTTGGTTGGTCTCCCAGAGGCGGCGCTGGTTGGAAGGCTGCTGGTGCTGGTGGTGGTGGTGGTGGTGGTGGTGCTGCTGGCGAAGCTATTCGTGGTGGCTGGGTGCTGCCCTCGAGCACATTGGATGCTTGAATGCTCGATCTCTTGGCAAAATGAGACAGATTTCCATGGCTCAGGTTGAAGACGAGGCCACTTTCGGACTGCCTGCGAAAGGCTTCAAACTCCGAGTTTGCACCAGGCGGCAGGATCTGGGGCGATGGAGCGGCAGTCGATTGAGGGGATTTATTCAACGAATCTGGAGACCAGTTTTGCCTGGTATAGCGGACGGCATCCGAGTCGGAGGCGTTCGTGCCGGGTTCGACTTTGAGATTGAAGTAACCGGGACTGGTTTGAGGTTGACGGGGCGAGTGGGGGCTGGCGAAGAAGGGGGGCATGGTGAAGTTCGGAAGGGTGGCACTGGTCGAGGGAGATTGCGGTTTGAGTTCTGGGCTCACGGCCGAGGGGTTGCGATGTAATCGTTTTTGCGGATATGGTTGCGGAGAGTCCCAAGAGGAACGTTGAGAATGCCTCGCGGTGGTCGTCATGGCGACCTTGGTGAACTATTGCATGCTGAAGAAAAGCGTCGATAAGAGGTTCAAGGAAGTAATGTGAATCGGCAGGCCAGTAAGAGTGTCGTCAGTCTTTTTTATTCTTCGCCTCACAGGGTGGTTGATGTCGAGGCTCCCGGCAGACTTGAGCAGAGGAAGATGAGGAGAACTACAGGCTCGATACGTCGACGGTGGCCATGATGGATGAGAGAAAAATTGGGGAATATTCAAACGGTCTGGAAGTGGAAAGGGAGGGGGCAGTAGAGAATTAGGGGAGATGATTCTGGTAAGGATCGGAGGTTGGAACGGAGGAGGAGGATGGATACCAATTGGGACCCTGGTGACGTCGTATGGTGGCGAGCTCGCTTTGCCGATTTAAGGTTGCCTGTGGGGAGCAACAGCAAAAGAAAAGAAGAGAAAGGCCCGTCTGTCCGGTCAACTCGTTTATTCGCGTCAGACAATCTCTTTTTGAGGATATTAGGACGAGAAAAGAAAAGGGAAGGGCCAGGGGGGATGAGATTGGGGGGTCCGTTTGGTTTTGTCAAAGCTTGACAGTAAGATTCTAGAAAAAAATCAAAATTGGGAGAGGGGTGGACTTGGAGGGTTCTAGGTTTTAGAGGGAATCGTGAAGGATATAGTTTACATGGCCCGCCTGGCCGGGGGGGGGGGTGATGATTGGAAAGGGAAAGGTTAGGTTGGGAGGGTGTGGTGTTGTCCGGTAAAGGAACGGCACAAACGTCTGCGAATCATAATGATATTTGGCAATAGTTACGAGTATTTGGGGGGGAGATGATCCAAGGGGGGAAAGAGCGACGAGTTCGTGTGGCTGTGGATGGTCGTGTGCGTGAGGAGAAGAAAAAAGGGCTCGAAGTGCTCGGTGGCTACGACAAAAGAGGAATCCGTTGTTATCGACACTCTTGCACGCCCAAATACGCTCCGTAGAAAGTGATTGCTAATGACGATGATGGTTGATGCTGTTCAGGACACACCCCGCTTCCCCTTTTCTTACCGTCTCGCCCGAGGCCAAGTGCCACGGCTATTGCGTATCCTCGGGAGCAGCTCGACTGACTCTGAGGAGGGAGATTACGAACACTGTACCAAAGGTGATTGTACCTTCGTAGGGTACAGAGTATTACTATTATTAACGCGTAAACCTGAAAAAAAATGAGAGCAAAAAGAAAAGCTACTATTCCCAATCCAACCAGCTTGAGGCTTGGTTGAATGATGTATGATATTTCATCATCTGGCATTTGAGATGATTCACTCATGTCTCGTTGACTTGAGCTGAACGAGTGTCGTCCATGATGCGGTCACTCTTTGAATCGTGTCACAAAGAATGTTGTGTGTGCCTGAGAATGAAAGACAGAAAAAAGAGCTGTCAGACCTTCTTTTCTCTTTGATCGCACACACACCTGACCCTGACCCTGACCCCACCAGCTGCCCATCATCTTCAAAATCTTTTTCGGCGTGATCAGCGTTGTCTAGACCCCGTCGGGCCCTCCTCTGCCCGGCACCCCCTCTAACCAGCGCACCAATGGAAGTCGCCCATTGGGTCTCACGTCATAAGTGAAAGGGCCAATTTGCGGTCCCTTCTCTTTTTCTGCCCCTTACTCTACTCACTACTGTCGCTGTCCCCTACTCACCTGTCGTTCTCTTTTACTCTCCGAGATTTTCCTCGTCGGTTCGGTTGACCTGTCTATCTCTGCCTTCCGAGAAAAGCACGACAGGAACGAGCAAGATCGATTGTACGCAGTAGATTGAAACAAATATTAAATCTACCTAGAACTATGGTTGTGCTTTGTTTAGATAGCCTTGAAAAAGAACAAGAAGAATGTAACAAACAAGTAATACTTTCACAAGTCCTACCGGAGATAATTCTCCAGGATAAGTCCGTTGTACTGGCTGCACCTCCAATCATGTACTACCAGTAAAATACCAGCACCAAGACCCTTTGTCCCATGTGCCCTACGAGATGACGCTTCAACTACAAAGGACCACTCATGCTGGACTTGGACAATACTGTACCGGGATAACTGTAACTGCCTTGGATAAACATACTTTTACTGGTGATGAGTGACAGAGGTCTGACGGCATCTCGACCATGGCCCTTTGACCCTCGACGCGACGCCAGGCACCACCCGCGACAAGCCTCACGGTACGCCACCGGAACCCTCAAACCCTATGCATGCATCTTTCTTGCCTGTGGCGCCGAATCAAACCATGGCAATCCGTGTACGCTGGCATCTTGGTGCATCGATCACGCCAGGCGTACATGGAAAATAGATCATGGGCCGCCGTGCGCGGGAAAGATTATGCATCCCTAGCCGCTGATGTTTGCCTGGCTTCTTACCCTTTTTTTTTTTTGTTTCCTGCGTCCTTTTCTCAGCCCAGTTGAAGCGGGGGAAGGGCTCTGTGCACGATCATCTTATCTCCATGGTTATATCATCGACACATTGCCAGACGCAGTAACCTCGTACTGTGCCCATTATTGGGACGACTCTATGACAAAAAGAAATAAAATCAAAACAGCCCCGCAGCTCTCATGAGAAAGGACCTGAAGAAGTGAAATATACTATACGCTGAGGTGTATTATGGATCAATTCAGAATGTCATCGGATCAATAGGACTATTGGTGATTTACTCTAGGGAAATGGACCAAACTGCTCGATTGATTGGCTAAAAAGTCCAGGTCACGAGCCTTTGTTGACAACATCGTGACTACTCAGATGAAACGTCAAAAGGCTCAAACTCTCGACGCGCGCCACAACCAGAATGTTCGAATCGGCCTCTCAAACCTAGAAGAAATGGGATTCATCATCAGCGCCAATGACGATTCTCATTTCTGAAGATTCCCTGCCTTCCTGCCTGCTGTATCTCCTTCCAAAATCGCGTGTTGCTGTCCGAAACCATGCACAGCACGAGAGTGCGACGAGAGAGAGTTAGCATCTTGTGATCCGATAATCTCGAAATGCTGCTCCTGAATCTCCCGGCAGAACTGCTCGAACACATACTGTACTTTCTCGCTCCCGACGCATTCTATCTCATCCTCTTCGTGTGTCGGCACCTGCGTCACCTCGCGTCAGGGTCTCAGCCTCTTCTGCTGCACCAGCTGTCTCGCATCTCACCTTTCAAGAGCCCGCTGCTGCAAGGATCGAACGACCGAGATGCACTCTTTGCAACCTTCCAAGCCCTCGCGCGTCATCATCTCCTGGGCGTCGACGTGCTTGCTCAGCCTCAAATCCTTGCCATCACTGAGCGACTCAACGTGAGCGAAACCCTGTTCCTCTCATCCGGCAGTTCCCTGAAAACCGCCATCTGCTTGAAAGGCACAGCGGAAGTCTATCTCTACGAGCTGAGAAGCAGCCACACGCCAAAGTTTCTCGGCGGGATGAAATATGAGAACGGGCTCATCGACCGGGCGCCATACGGGGACCCTGACGGGAGCTATGATCTGAAAGGGGCAAGATGGGAAGTAACGCGAATGGCATTTGCGAATAATCCAGCCTCCAAAAGCAAGCATCATAGTAACTCATCAGACCTACTCTGCGTGCTCTACGAGAAGACACAACCTTTTAACCCTAAATCTCACAAACGGTACTCGCCATTTGATCAAGGACACCGCGAAGCCGTCAAGCACTACCGGCTCGTGGCCTACGACATTACCCTCTGTCGATCCTCCACAGACTCTGAATACCAAGGCACGATCCGCTGGGAGCGCAACATTTCCATGCGAGACGGCCACGAACCGCTCGCGCTCGCCATCAGCCGGAGAGGAATCGCTGCAATATCATGGCGGTATCTCTGGCGGGCCCAAATCTCTCGCGTCTTTCTCTACACCCTGACCGACCCTTCCGAAGGTCCGGAAGAACTGCGTGCACATCCTGGCCTGATCCCACCGGGTCTAACCGCACGTCTGGAATTCGTCATGGATTCGTCACGCCTGAATCTCTACCCGCAGCGGTTTCCCATCTTCGAGTCCTTCTGCGGCGCATGCAAACCAGCCGATATCCAGCGCGGCTTCTGCACCCTCACCATGAACGCCCTAGCCGGCGAATTCGACCTGCAAGTCGGCATGCCCTTTGCCGGAATACACAAACATTCAGTTTCTACTGGTAGTGGTAGTGGTACTATTGGCGGTACTATTGGTGGCGGACTATGCAGAGATCTCTGTCTCATGCTCGGTTTCAAATGGACCGCACGCGGCCCCGCAGCCTTTCTCGTGCGCGGTGTCCGAAGCACCACGTCTTCCAACCCCGCCGTCCCGCCCGAGGCGCACCAAGTCAACCTGAACCGGCCTGGAGACGAGTGGAACTTCCGACCCGTCTCGCGCCTGCGCAAGTTCGTTCAGGGAAGTAGTTCACTCGGCACGATCATGATCACGTCGCCCCAGGGCACGCGCATCGCCATGAGCTACTGGGCTGCTCAAAGATCGTGTGTTCTCATCTGGACCCTCACGCCGCAGGATATCCTCCAGGTCGTCACGAAACCGCCCGTCTCGAATTGTCCGTATCCCGACTTCATCCCGCTGGATCCAGTGCTCTTGCGCGTCGATGCCGCCGTCCACCGCTTGCATTTTCACGATGAGTATTCCCTCTGGGCAGCTTCCGATCGGGGGCTCGTCTACTGGGATTTGAAACCAGATCTTTTTTCACCGAAGCCGCTACGACAAATGGCGATACGTTCGAGGAATTGACTGGCGAGCTGGCGGCGGGAAGGTGAGGGGGTGGGGGGGAGGGAGTAAGGGGGTGGGAGAGCGGGGGAGTGTTTGCTGTGTTCCTTTTTTTTTGTTTGTTTTTTTGATTCCCCAAATCCTTCAACACCGAGGATGCTCATAGATGCTCATAGATGCTCATACGACGATGCCAAAATAGACTACCTTTTGGTAATTGAATGAAAAAATATTATCCTTTATTCTAAGCCTTGTAAACGGAAATGAATATAGTATGCAGCAAATGAAGAATCCCAAGATGGGTATGAGCTGTTGACATGTCTATTTGTCTCCACCGCCCGCCATGAGCAGTAACGTAATTGCTGCAAAGACCCACCAGTACCTACAAACATATTGTCAGCACATTAAATCTAAAGCCCTGTCAATCAAGACTTAAACGGAATGAAACTCACTTTTGCAAAATCGTCTTCTCCGGCTCCTTCTGCGGCATCTTCCCATCCGGATTCAACACAATCGGTTTATTCAGATGCGGTTCCGCGCCTTTGTTCGGCTTCACCAACTCGACCTTGATCTCGCCCTTATTTTCTCCTCCCTTACTTTCTTCTCCTTGGCCCTGTTGTTTCTGGCCGTTGCCCTGGTTCTTTCCCTGGCCCCCTTTCTGCCCATTGCCCTGGCTATTTTGAGCATTGCCCGTTCCCGTGCCCGCTCCCGTGCCCGGACCCTGCTTCCACGCCCGGAATCCCACGTGCCATACCTCCCCGCGCGCATCCACGCTCAGCGCGAGACTCTTATGATACTCCTCTGCGAAACTGGCTAGTTGCGTCACAGTGCCTGTCCATGCGTGTGTCGCTGGGTCGTATAGCCCAATGCGCACCAATTGCTCTTGCTGTTTCTGTTCGCCTGGAGTATTCTCGGAGGATGAAGAAGATGAAAGAGCCAAGACAGGAGAATTGTATTCGTCAATCTGATACCCGAGCGTCTTCGGGTCGTACGACACTTTTGCGAGTACGGACGGGGACGCGGCGTCGAGTGGCCAGTAGTATACGGTTGTTGAAGAGGAGGAGGTTTCGGACTGAGCTGCGTCTGATGTTGAGCCGGAGCCGGTCGAGGAGGCGACTGCGAGAAAGGGCAAGACGGCCCCGGCGAGGGCGCGAAGGAGACGCATTTTGACAGTATCGATGACAGGGTGTCGATAGAGAGAGTATTGTTTCCAGGGGGGCTGTCGAGATCAGGTAGTGAGATATCAATCCTACCTAAAGGAACGGGTGGATCATAACATGAGGTTTCGCGATGTTGGTCCAAGTCCTCGGTCCTGGTCCGAGGTCCCTGAAGCGAGCGGCAACGGGGCGGATTGGCTGGAAAGGTGAGCTTTCGGATAAATAATTGGCCGGCGCCGTGCCCGATGTCTCCTGTCGGTTGCCTGCCGACATTCAGAACAGCACAGATGTGACATATTCGAGGGTTGCAATGCTATTTATTTCATCTTGGATGCTTGATATTCGGTGGAAACTTTTATTTATATTGGGATTCTCCAGAATGTCTTAGGTGGAATTTGTCGGTTGAGATATTTCTTATATATATTTCTATATTTTATTTTCTATTAATCTATCAAACTAACCACTACGCAAACTAGGTATACATGAATGCATAACTGGCAAGCCAGAATATATTACCAAGTATCTTAAACGGATTATCAAAATCATAGGTCAAATAAGCTCACCTGCAAGATACTCCGTAGTCGATTATATACACTGTAGATATGGATGGATGCGCCCACGTGAAACTCCAAGAGCAAGAGCAGATCCCAGGGAATTACCTGGAGGTGCCTCCGTCCCTCGGTCGAAGCCGTCAGAGCATTCAGACGATAAGGTACGTACCTTGGTAGTGCTCCCCTCGTTGCCCTCCGACGTCCCACCATCAATCTCGTTAAGCTCAGCGTCAGTGGGGAAGGTCGACGTCACTCGTTCTCTTGCAACGTCCTCTCAGTCCTTATCATAACTTTACTTCAATCTCTCGTCGTGTTGACTTCATAGGCTCATCGGCCATCTTGGCTCTGCTGATTCTTCAGCGGTGGCGTTGTAAGAAGAAGATTTTGCACTCAAAGCTTGCGCCACATGGTGATCCATTGCTGAGGTGGAACACGCTCCATTGTATCACTACAGTACACTGTACCACCCTTCAACCTGGGTGACGGCTCCAGGGGCCTTATATCGGACGTGCCCTGGGGCTGGGTATAACGTCCAATCAACTGTGCATTCGGATGATTACGAAGAGATGTTTTGATCGTATCCGCTCGCTTCCACTGTCTCCCTTCCTTGCATGAGATTTTGAAATGATCGATCCTACGATATGCCACGTTCGTTTACATGGGACTCGTGGGGTTCTCTCGTGGTGGGGAATGAAATCCGTAGCCATTTTCTGATTAGGTTTGCTTCGAGAAAGGACAGGAAAACTACCAATTACAGGTAGCATATGTCACCCCTTCTCCTTTAAAAAGCCCACCCCCACAAGTAACTTAAAAAATCGTCATACTCGTTACTGGTAAGTGGGAAAAAATGGTTGAGGTACCCGAATCCACCGACTTTCCCGTACGGCTCTCGGTTCATTTCCAGTACGAGTTGGGGCAAGTCAGCCACACGGCAGATCCCTATACGGAATTCAGTTAAGCTCATCAAATCTTTTATGGAGCAATTGAGCAGTGAGAGCGAGGAAGAGGCAGCTACACCCCTGGAGTCTCTTCCCCATAGTTGTTCGGGGCGACAGCGACCGCTCTTCACTGTGGGTCGTCCCACACATCATCGACGACGTGTTGATAGGCCCGACTGGCCACTCTGCTCCTTCGCTCCCTGCCCCATGCGGGGCGGAACCGAACTATTGGCACATGCAGCGTCATACTATCGTTGCACGCTGAGCCCCGGGATTTTCGGGGAACTCGGCGAAGGCAAAATGTTCCTTTTGCATGTAAATGAAGGGCTGTCAAAGTTTGGTTTAGTGGGGGCGGATGAGCATCCACAGCTCTCCATCTTCTTTTCCCCTCGTGGGCAAAAGCTGCATTCGCCTTGTGTAATCTGACGGGGGATGTGCTGTCATCCATTCCTGTCTTGACGTTCCAACCCCGACCTTGCTCCCCTCAACGTCCTAATTTTTTGAGTCCCCGTCAGACTGCCCTGCTGGTGGTATATATTAATTACCCCTCGTAGCTCCAGCTCCGTTCCCAAATCCTTTTTCTCTCCACACACGCACGTAGCGCATACTACGCTTTCACGACCAATTTCAACTTTTCTTCCCTTTTCATACACCGAAGCGTCAAGTCTTAATCATACATTCTGCCAAGATGGAAATGCCATTCCGCCAGCCCTACCGCAAGCCTTCCCGGCAGCAGTCGCGGAAGATGTCTACGGACCCCCACAACGAAATCAACCCTCATCAAGAGCACTTCATCGGTATTGATGTTGGCACTGGTAGCGCGCGGGCGTGCATCATTGACAGCAAGGGAGACATTGTCGGTTTAGCTTCTGAAAACATTGGCCTCTGGCAGCCTGAACAGGATTTCTACGTAAGTTACTGCACTCTACTCCATGACTTTCCTGGAGATATTTTCTGCACCCTTGATATCCCATTGAGTTGCTACAACATACTAACCTTGGACATTTTCGATATTAGGAACAATCGACCAACGACATCTGGAGATGCATTTGTGTGTGCGTCCAGAGAGCATTGAGCCAGCACGGTGTCGAGCCCGACACTGTACGTGGCATTGGCTTCGACGCCACTTGCTCCCTCACTCTCTTCTCAAACGATACCGACGAGCCCGTGTCTGTGACTGGACCCAACTTCGACTCTGACCGCAACGTCATCCTATGGCTCGACCACCGACCGATCGAGGAGACCAAGAAGATCAACGCTACCAAGCACAACTTGCTCCGATACGTCGGCGGCACCATGTCTATTGAAATGGAGATGCCCAAGGTTCTGTGGCTGAAGAACCACATGCCCAAGGAGCTGTTTGACCGCTGCAAGTTCTTTGACCTGGGTGACGCTCTGACCCACATTGCTACGGGCAACGAGACGCGGAGCTTCTGCAGCACTGTCTGTAAGCAGGGCTATGTTCCTGTAGGCGTTGACGGAAGCGTCAAGGGCTGGCAAGAGGACTTTTACAACGAGATTGGCCTTGGAGAGCTCACCGAGGATAACTTCAAGCGCATGGGAGGAGTCGACGGGGTGGTGAGCCTTCTTTCCTTCCTTCCCTGCTCCAGATTTGCTAATGGTTGATGTTTTTTTTGCAGAACGGCAAGTACTTGAGCGCTGGTGACCTTGTTGGCACTCTCAGCGAAAAGGCCGCGAGAGAGCTTGGTCTTCCTGCTGGCATCGCTGTTGGTAGCGGTGTCATCGACGCGTACGCTGGCTGGATTGGAACCGTTGGCGCCAAGGTCAAGCTCAGCAGCCACGAGTTGGCCGCTGACGTCCCCAAGAACGACGTCAGTCAGGCATTTGGTCGTCTGGCCGCTGTCGCTGGTACCTCGACCTGTCACATTGCCATGTCCCACGATCCCGTCTTTGTTAACGGTGTTTGGGGACCGTACAAGGATGTCCTCATTCCCGACTATTGGATGGCCGAAGGTGGCCAGAGCGCCACTGGTGAGCTTCTGAAATATGTCATTGAGACGCACCCGGCATTTGCCCAGGCCATGTCCGTCTCGGAGACCTACAACACCAACATTTACAACTATCTCAACGAGCACCTCCGTGAGATGCAGGCGAAGATTGACGCTCCCAGCGTTTCTTACCTCGGTCGCCACTACTTCTTCTACGGTGACTTGTTCGGCAACCGCTCGCCTATTGCCGACCCCTCTATGAGAGGCGCTGTCATTGGTATGAGCAATGACCGCTCCCTTGACGGCCTTGCTCTGAACTATTATGGTGTGCTTGAATTCATTGCTCTACAAACCCGTCACATTGTGGAGGCAATGAACGATGCTGGCCACACTTTGAACTCCATCTTCATGTCCGGCAGTCAATGCCAGAATGACATTCTGATGGATCTTGTCGCAACCGCATGCAACATGCCCGTCGTCATTCCCCGATATGTCCATGCTGCCGTCTGCCACGGTGCCGCCATGCTTGGTGCCAAGGCTGCGAGCGCTGACAAGAACGGCAAGACGGAAGAACTCTGGAGCATCATGGACCGCATGAGCAAGCCTGGCAAGGTTATCCATCCTTCCAAGGATCCCTACCTAACGAAGCTTCTGGACGCCAAGTTCAAGGTCTTCCTTGACCAGTGCCAGACTCAGCGCAAGCTTCGCAAGGAGATTGATGAGGTTGTCGCCGGTTGGGAGGCGTGAATTGTTTTGTTTGCAACCCAAAAAGACAGCGATGTAGATCGTTAATGTTCGGTTATGGTAGATTGCTTCTGTTGGTTTTTATTACGATAGATTACGACCTTTAGCTCTTACGATACTAATTTATGTACTCAATCATTTCAAAATCGTACCTGTATAATTGTGATTTCTATCTGATTTTAACTTGATGACATCAACCAGTATTGTTATAGCTGGTGCTTCTGTGTCTGGTGATCCAGACTAGTCGGCGCTTTCCTTAAAAATTATAAGATATGGGGAAATTATATAATTATACCGTAGCATGACATTTTGCGCGTTCTAGTCTAGAAAAACCAAAAATATGAAGAATCAGCAAAAGAGCACCACAAAAAAGAAAAGAAAAAAAAAAAATGAAAAAGATTTTGGTCGGTACAACAGTGGTATTGTTCATCACTTGTGCTTTTCCACAATGCTCTCCGAGGGCTCGTACTGAATCTGGTTGGTGTTGTTTGGGTTGCTAGGGAGCGACGAGTCGGTGTCCGGAGAAAGGATTTTCCGCAAGCGCGAACTTCAAAACCACTTTCACAGCACGGCGAAGCTAAAGTTATGAAGCAGTGGGACTGAGCAAACACGCGTCTCTCTCCCTCCATTCAAAACGACCCTTTGGGCCGGCTTCTTTTTTTTTCTCTTTCTTTCTGTCCCCTGAATTCTCAAAATGTTTTCGGGGCTTGGACAGTCCAAGCCGGCGGGCTCGTCACTCTTCGGAGGCGCTACCAATACGACACCCTCTGCGCCTCAGACAGGCTCGCTTTTTGGAAATTCGACGGCATCGCAGCCGCCGCAGCAATCATCTCTTCTGTCCGGCTTCGGAGCTGGCGCTAAACCACAGCAGCCGTCCGGAGGTTTGTTTTCCGGACTAGGCACTCAGAATCAGCAGCCGCAACAACAACAACAACAACAACAGCAACAGCCATCTGGAGGGCTCTTCGGTGCCTCGACCGCTGCAAATACCCAACCGACTGCCCAGCCATCTCTCTTTTCAAATACGCAGCAAGGTACTACCGCCGCAAGGCCGCCTGGCGGCTCCCTGTTGGGCAGTGGTACGCAAACTCAAACCTCACTCCCACAACTCCAACAGGACCAGGTCCTTCAGACTTCTCAGCCTGCTTACTTTGAGAGCTTGCTGGAGAAGGGAAGGAAGAGGAATCATGGCGCCCGCGGCGAAAGTGCGTTCAATGAGCTGCCAAGCCTGCAGCTCGGCTTGGGGGACATTGCCAGGAGGGTGAGAGAAATGGGAGGATCAAAAGAGGCAGCACCACGGGCAACTGCTACTGACAGCAAAGCGTGAGTGAAATGTTGCTCTGGCATATTTTTGACATATATCTGATCATTATTATTTTCCAAATAGTCACTATCTCCTTGCCGCATCTGGTGTCTCACCAGCGTCAGCAATTCGCGACCTTAACACGTTACAAGCCCAAGCACATGCACCGGCTGCTGTTCAGCCCAGTACTCAGTTTGACACGGACATTGAAGGGTACTTGAACAAATTGCAGACTCAATCGACCCTTTCAATGATTGCGGAGAGTCTCAATCGCTCAGCACGAGACTTTGATTCTTTTCTGGAAGAGAATGTATCAATGGAATGGGACGCACAAAGACGACGCATTTATGAGCACTTTGGCTTGGCTCCTAAACTGGACGCATCCCTCAAAGATGACAGCCCGGCCTTTGGTGCCTCCAGCCCTGTTGCCAAAGGTGGGTTTGGCCGCTCGACAAGGCGGGGCAAGGCCCAGGCAGCACAAGGCTCGCGCTTTGGCACCTCTACTGGCGGCAACGTCTTCAATGCGTCAAATATGCGCACCTCTGTAATTGGAGCGCCCAGTCATGTATCGCAGGCTAAAGCGCCATTGTTTGCCGACGTTGCTGAGCAAAACGGCAACGCAGCTCCAACGGCAGGAGATACGAGGTTCAGAGTGGAAGAAGAGGAGCTTTTTGCAAAGAAGGTCCAGCAACTCAATACCTCAAGGTTACAAGAGCGGGTGTTCCCTGTTCTTTTGGAGTTTCAGGGCGTAGAGTCGCAATACGGTGGAGATGTAAGCTTGGCAATGCCCCCGATTGGGTTCCCGAAGTTGTGATAAATATACTGATCATAAGGACAGGCGAGCCAACAGTTGGCGGAAGCGTATGGGGCTTTGATCGAGATTGTAAACGAAGATCCCAATGCGGAATCAGTTTCCGAACCCAATGCTATAAAGGAGCGCCAATTTGCGGTGGACTATCTCGATGAGATGCCCAATTCATCAAAGGCAATGTCCACAAGGAAGAGGATAATAGACGGTTCAAGGCGCTTCCTGGAGAAACAGTAAGAGGCTTTCTTATTTGTCTGTGTGGTATCCGGTATTGTTGCTAACATTCCCATGAAAAGATTCTATCAGAATTTGGAGGCCCAGATTGCAAGAAACCCCAGGGAAGCCAGCCTCGGAGGTATTCCAACGACACTCAACAAAGTCCGGGCATTTATCCGTCTTCGAGCCTCGCGAAAGGACCTCGTTCAGGATAACGGAGACCTTCAAATGCTTGGAGATGACTACTGCTGGGTCCTCATCTTCTACCTCCTCCGAGCTGGCCTCGTCAAGGAGGCCGCCGAATACGTGACGTCAAATGGCGCCGCGTTCCGGAACATTGATCGAAACTTTGTCACATATATTACCAGCTATGCAAACAGCCCTGACCGCAGATTACCCCGTGCTTTACAAGACAGGATCAACTCGGAGTACTCGCAACGTTCGCGGATTGCGCCTGAACATTCAATTGATCCGTACCGCATGGCTTGCTACAAGGTTGTTGGACGATGTGAGCTCAGCAAGCGGAGTCTTGAGGGCGTAGGGCAGGGAGTTGAAGACTGGATTTGGTTGCAATTCAACCTCGCCCGCGAGGTCAACAGAGTGGAAGAGGTGGCTACTGAAGTCTATGGACTCGAAGAAGTACGGGCGGTGATTCGCGATATCGGTCAGCGACATTTCCTCAAGGGCTCAGATAATGGTGCGGGTTACGGAATCTTTTTCCGGCTACAGATTTTGGGTGGCATGTTCGAGCAGGCGATTGCGTACCTCTACCCTCACTCATACGTAGCGGCTGTGCATTTTGCCATTGCTTTGGCATTCTATGGTCTTTTGCGTGTTTCGGACTTTATGTCCTCTGAGTCAGAGCTTTGTAAGTTGGCCCCTCGTTTTCCTTTGATTGCCTGATTCACTGGCTAATTTCTACTCGTAACAGTGAGCTTCAACACAAAGGGTCTGCCACAGATCAACTTTGGCCGTATGCTTGGTTACTATACGCGCGATTTCCGTGCCGGCAATGTCGAAGCAGCTGCTGATTATCTCACACTCATTTGCCTCAACGCCGACCTACCTGGCCCTGCCGGCAAGTCGCAATCGTCGCTCTGCCATGAAGCTCTTCGCGAGCTGGTTCTCGAGACGAGAGAATTTGCCAAGCTTCTGGGCGACATTCGCAAGGATGGCCAGCGTATCAAGGGTGCTATTGAGCAGCGAGTGAAGTTGATCAAGCTTGCCGACCAGGAAGAGTTCCTCAAGGCAGTCACCGTCCAAGCCGCTGCAGTGGCGGACGACAACGGCCGCACTACGGATGCCGTTTTGCTTTACCACTTGGCTGAAGAATACGACAATGTCGTCCAGATTATCAACCGTGCTCTCTCTGAGGCCATTGCTGTCGATTTGGACCAGGAGCCAGTCCGACTTCAGCCGCTGAAACCTCGCAACAACATCACCGGCGCCTCCACTAACGGCAGCAGCAACATCTCTGAGAAGAATGCTGCCGCTTCAGACGCAGGCATCAGCTTCAGCTTGACCACAATCGAAGACCCAGTCGTCTTGGCCTTGAGAATGGTCAACCTGTACGACTCAAATGCCATGTACTTTAAGAAGATTCACAAGGCAAATCGCCAAGCAGCGGCATTACTTTTGCAGATGGACCACGCCAAGAACCTCGTGCGGGAGCGTAAATGGGCGCTAGCACTAGATGTAAGTTTTTTTCTCCCCTCTATTTCGTCTGCCTTTGATCTCAAATCTAACATTTTTCACTAGCAAATTTCAATTCTCTCTATCCTGCCAGTCACCGCACGCTCCTCCGTCCCGCTCATCCGCAGCGCCGCTCAGGCTTTCAACTCCCTGCCTCCAGTTGTCGCGCAGCTTATTGGCAACCTGCTCATGTGGACCATCTTATGCTGCGGTCGTCATCGCGAAATTTTACTGTCATCCGAGTACGAAGACCGGACGCGCAGAGAAATGGCCGAATCCCTGCTCGTCACCGTCAAAGATCTCATGGTCTTTGCCGGTCTCATCCGGTACAAGTTGCCTCCGCGCGTTTTCGAAGCCCTGGCCCACGCAAGCCAGGACTTGGGCGCATAGTATATCCGTATCTATTTACAATTATATGATTAGAATCGTTTCATCTGAATCATGACCTTGGAGTCATGACCGCTCGTGCAACGTCAAAAGAATGTGTTATGTGGATCGGTATTTGTGTTTGATATGTGGACCGGTATTTGTGTTTTGATTTGTGGACCGGACCGGTAGTTGTGTTTCTAATAGCAATCTATTCCCGCATTGTCCTGTCAGCGCGGTTGCTACCATGAATTGTATCAAACTATAATACAACGTTATGAGATAGGCATAGCTTGCTTTGTGCTAAAACATCTTTGCGCATTTAAATGGAGTGTCCCTAATGAAACCTATTGTTCAATTATATAACTTAGTTACATGGCGCCTCTCGCGTCCGTGTCTTTTGTGTCTTCGTGTCCTAATAAGGTGGTTATGCCCGTGTCCGCACCATGGCCCTCTGCCCATTGGTGTTCACCAGTGCTGTACAACTGTACCAGTTATGATGTTCACTTCATGCAGTTATGTCTCGGTTATAGTTCTGCTTAAAACTCCCCACTGTAACCGCTTAGTTAGTCTCCGAGCCTCGCGCCCTGGGCCTGCTGGACGTCGGAGCGAAAGCCCCCTAACAGACGCTGACCCTAGCGGAGTTATGGAGATAGCCCGTCCAACTGTCATCCCACTATCCGTCTATGTTATCCAATACCACTCACAGTGTCCGTGTTTTATGTATCCAATCCTTACCTTCCATTTTATCCATATCTTATATCATTCTGGGTACTATTTTGTCTACTTTTCTTTATTCTATTCTATTCTATTTTGTTTCATTCCATTTTTTTTTTCTTTGTTTTTGTTTTTGGTTATTTTATCTTATTCTTGTTTGTTTTTATATTTGGATGTATGTGGAGTTTTGCAACTCCGAGAAATCGCTTTCAAATAAATACGTCGATGATGATGATGGTGATGACAAAAAAGTAACATTAAAATTAAATTAAATAAAATAGAATAGAATAAAGCCACTTCCAAGAAAAGAACTATAGCACAGCATAATAGTACAACAATAAACTACTGATACATACCTGAAAACACCACTACATACAAAACTCAGGCCTAGTACCTAAGATACCTGGATGCCTTGGATACCTACCTACCTACCTACATACCTTAGCTCACTTAACGCCAGTGTTGTTCTGTTTCTGTTTCTGTTTCTGTGTATAGAGTATCTTATTCCATTCAGAGTACAGAGCACAGCGTACTCTACACAGTACTACTACGGACCATAACACTGCAGACTAATACTGCAATCTATAACATCACCGACGAAACACGACCCGTTGAAAATGGGACAGGACAGGACATACATACATACTACCATCGCAATGTCTGGACCCTGGGTGAAGCTGTGGTCAAGGGTGTGATGCGCTACCAATAGCTGTAACGAGATAATAGTACGCACAACGCGAAGAAACTGAACACGGTGAAAATAGACAATAGACAAAAAGACAAGATGTGTTGAAACACCCTCACCCTCGCACCAACATTATATATCACGACACGATGTATCGCGATGCGACGCGACACAACGGGACGCGACGGGACATGACAAGACAGGGAGTACTACTGTATGTATGACTTCTCGAAGAACCTGATGGAAATGCTATAAGGTGCCTTACCTACGGTACCTACCTAAGGTTAACATGGGAGTAGGGAAACGACTAACATTGGAGTAGGAATACTATAAGTACTATAACATCGGAGTAAAGTATATTATAATATATGATATAATATAATACCATTACTGATACTACTATTACGACTACGACCACTGCTACTGATACTGAGAGTGCTACTACTGATACCGATATTGCGAGACGTGTAAATATTAAGTCATGTATTGCGTATGGTGTACGGTATACATACCAGCGAAGGTGCTAAACACAATTTAGTTGCTGAACTATACACGATGAACAATGTACAGTATACAATGCGCAATGTACGATATACATTATACAGCATACGCAAGTTTCTAAGAGCGAGGACAAGGACGCGAGCGAGAGAGGGATGGAAACGAGAGGATGGAAACACAAAGACAGAAATGTGTGGACAGCATCGAGAAGACAGAAGCAAATACGGTAGAACTGATGAAGATAAGATCGCCAGACAATAAATAGTAAACGACATGGAATTTGTGGAGATAATTTTGGTTGGATTCACAAGGCGTAGTTAAGCTAAGGCGAGAGAGATGGACGCGGGGGAGTAAACAATGCAACACCAAAAACTACATCACGAGTTGGTGATAATGGGTGTAGCGAGGGTAGATGATTGTTGGACGAGGACACTACCATTCGCGATACAACTCGCAAAGCGACAAGCGAGGATAAACACCAAAGACAAAGTCCTAGGTAGCCGTACGAGTAGCGAGTAATGGGATCGTAGGATAGGAATACCAGTCGCTTACGACAACACTCACAGAAAGCGGCACAAAGAAGTAGAAGCATAGGTAGAATTGTATTCATGAGAAGAGAATGCAAAGAGGATAGAATAAAAGATCGCTTTTGAAGAAAAAATATCCTCAAGTTGGGGCTGGGGTGGGCCATCGCCAACACTGACGATGCTCCACCCCAGCCCCAAAACTATCCATATCAAAAGTCCCTGGGTAGCCGCAAGGAGAGAGTGGAGCTGTGGTCGACCCGCAACTAAAACCCCACTCCCTCCTGCTTGGCTACCCAAGGTACAAGAAGACTAAAACGCCAAGGTAAAAAAAACATCAAACGCTAAGTACATGAAAAAGAAAAAAAACAACACCATATCTCAGACGATGCCAACCACTTCCATTGCCGTCGCCCCCAGCGAGCAATCACTCAATCTTTGGTGCTGTATCGGTAGAGCCTACCAGAGGGGCAGAGTCGCCAGTGACGGCGACGACGAGGCTCCCTACAAGAGGGAGGAGGCGCGCTCGCGCCCCACTAACCAATGGCATCTAAATGCCATTGGTAGTGGGAGCGGCCTCCTCGGCCGGAGCGGTCAGTACAGAGTACTGACCACCTGCCCCGGCCCAGTTGAGCCTCTTGTCCCTCACCGCCGTATTGTCGATGAGGGTGGCCACCTCGACGTCGTCGTCGGTGCCCTGCCCCGTCTGGTAGTTGGCAGAGAACCCCCAAGAGTAGGCTCTGCCCTCTACCGATACAGCGATCGAGTGATCGCTGCTGGCACACGCCTGCCGGGCCTGAAAGCCTATAAGCGAGAGTTAGCGCGTCTTGTTGGAAGGAAAAAAAAAGGTAAACAATCAAAGAGTAAAAAACTTACCCGGCACGCGTGTGGGCCGCGTCAGGATGCGAGGCTTCTGCCTCTCATCCAGGATGACTGCCTCCTGGGGCAGGTCCTCGATCCGGATACCAGTTTGGTATCCGTCGAGCCTGCCCCAGGCGAGGCAGTCACCCTCCTTGGTGACGGCAATGGAGTGGTGGGCACCGCCCGAGACCAACTCCACCTCGGTGCCGAGGAGAGACTCCACGACGCGGGGTGCCAGCACCACCGCGCCGTTCTCCCCGGCACCTTCCTCAACCCCGGTCTCCCCAAAGCTGTTGAGACCCCAAGTCCACACCTTCCCCTCCTTGTCGATGGCGAAGGAGTGGTACGCGCCGCAGCTCACGTACTTGACCTTGTTCTTTGGTAGGCCGAATTCGCGAGGGGTGAGGCCGTTCATCCGAGTTCGCTCCACGACGCGACGGCCAAGTTGATTTTGCTGCCCACTGCCCCAAGCGAAAACGGCGCCCTTTTCGTTGAGTGCGAGCACGTGATTCGCTCCGGCTGCGATTTGAGTAATCTTCTTGAGGCCGGGAATCAGCATCGGCACCCGTTGGACATAAATGTCTGGGGTGAAGCCAAGAATGCCTTCATTGCTCTGCTTCAAAATTAGCGACCGATCAAAAATTTTTTTTCTCATCAAAAAGAAATGAGCGACTTACTCTAAAGGTGCCCCATCCGTAAACCAAACCATCATCAGTGAGTGCAAAAGTGGTGCTGTCGCCGCAGGCCAGTTGAACAAATTTGGTGCCTTCGGGGAACGCGGTGTCGGGGATCGCCGTGGGGGTGGCTTCGCGAGGGTTCATTCCAGAGTCGCTTTCATCGCTTGAGCTCGCGTCCGACTTGTTGTCGTCAATGTCCTTGAGGCCGCCTTCCCAAGCGGTGTCTCGGCCCAAGGCGCCTTGATCATTGACACCCCAAGTCAAAATGCGGTTGTCGTGGGTAAGGGCAGCAACGTGCATGCCTCCACAAGCGACATGCACTACGCCAACAGTAGCGGCGGGAAGGTGCGGGTTCAAGCGAGGTCGCTTCACGTCCACACAGTTTTTCGCGGTACCGAGGCCGAGCTCGCCTGAGCTGCCCTCGCCAAAAACAAAGACGTGAAGTTTTTGAGTGGGCGCTTTGTTGATCGGGACGTGAGGCGCGACGCGAGCCTTCTTGGTAACGCGTTCTTTGCGCGGCGCCGGTGGGGTCCTCTGTTTCTTGCCAGGCCTTTCGGTTTCGGACTCCTCGGTAGCTTTGCGCTTCCTTCCATTTTGAGATGTTTTGGTTCCACTGGACTCGTCAGACTTGATCGAGTTGGACCTCTTGGCGGGACGCGACGCGGGTTCTTCAGTCGCCTTGCGCTTGGTGCCTCGAGCTGTAGTAGCTTTCTTGGGTGCGGCAGCTTTAGCGGTAGTGGTTTTGCCGGTCGCCTTCTTGGTCGCCGGTTTCGCTTGAGCCTTCGTGGGCGCGGCTTTGGTGGCGCTCTTTGCAGCAGCCTTCTTGCCGGTGGTCTTGGTAGCAGCCGCCTTGGCGGTGGTAGCAGCCTTCTTTGCAGGCATTTCGAAGGTGGTGATGTAAACGTAAAAAAGGTGTCTGCGACAAAAATCAGTAAAATTATCGAATAAGCTCAGATGGACCAAGTACTCACGTTTTTGAAGAGATGAGAAAATGGGAAGACTAGTCACCTGATTTCGGCGACTTTGGTAGCTCGGCTTTTTCTGAGGCCGTTTGCTAGATTGCTCTTATGGCAATGAACTCTTGGTTCGAGTGAGGAGAGGGAGCGTGAGGAAGCGAGAAGGTGGGAGAAATGGTCACCTGATTTTTCGGCGACTTTGCAATCTCGTCTTTTGCGAGATGCTTGGCTGGATTGCTTTTGGCGCAATCTGCTCTTTGGGTCGAGTGAGGCGAGGGAAAGTGATGAAGCGAGAGGGAGTGAGGTTGGAATAATTGGTCACCTGATTTTTCGGCGACTTTGGAGCTCAGCTTTTTGCGATGCTCTCTAATGGATCACTTTCTTTGAAGCAATCGACTCGTTGGTTCGAATTTGGAGTTTCCGTTAAACGGTGTGAGATGCTAGAACGAGGTTAGCAAAGTGGTTTCAGAGGAGATTCTACGCGGGATATGCCTTACGTGTGACGAGAGAAAAGAAGGATAAGTGGATTTTGGTTACCTGAATTTTGATAACTGGGAAGCGCTCGTTCTTTGCGAGGCTTTTCGATCGCTTTTCCGAATCTAATTTCGGAGCGAGAAATTTGTGGGAGGATGCTAGAACGACATTAGCAAAGTAGTTTCAAAGAAGATTTCTGCAGGAAAAGACTTACGTGACGAAAGTGAGGAGGAGTGTTGATTTTGATTCACCTGATTTTTCGGTGATCGCGAAGCTTGGCCTTGCAAGATGCTTGAGCTAAGTCTTTCGAAAAAGAGGATTCTCGCTGGAAGCGGAAGAGATGAAGGTTTGGAGGATCAAAAGAAGCTTCTCGGTGGAAGCGAGGAGATACGGATTTGGAGGAACAAAAGACACTTCTCGGTGGAAGCTGAAGATATGAGGATGTGGAGGATCAGAAGAAGCTTCTAAGTGAAGCGAAGAGATGAGGGTTTGCGAAAACGAGATGCGTGTTCGGAAAAGCTTGATGAGCTTGAATATGAAAGCGGGTATGGAAAGCGGAATGAGAACAGAGTTCTTGAGAGCTTGGATATGAGAAAGTGCGTTGAGAGTGGATGCGAACGGAAGTTCTGTAAGCTTTCTTTCTACGATACGGTGAGGAAGAAAGAGAAAAAGAAGAGAAGAAGCAGATCGCGGGGGAGACGAGGGCTATTTATCCTCGCTCGCCTAGCGTGGGTGATCTGGGGACGACGGACAGGCTAGACAGCGCTGGAGAGTTGAGGGGAATCGCGGGGTTGGAGGATGAGAGAGTCGTTCCTGCTGGATGAAGAGGAAAAAAGATGGAAGTTTGAAAGGCGCAAAAGACGTTGTGAGGCGAGCTTCTTGGTGGTTGTGACGAAATTACCGAATTGGGGAATGCGCCAGGTACCTTTGTCCTTTCGCTCGCTTCCCCGACAACCGCACGCGCGGATAAGCGAGCGCAAAGAATGCATTCAATTGGTGCTCTGGACAGCGGCAGTCTAAACTACTCTAGGTAATCAAAAAGCAAATTTCTAGAAGGTGATTTGGGTGCGGGAGGGCGGAAGAGGTGCGAAGTCGAGGGGAAGGGTACTTTGGATGGGTATTGATGGTCACAGCTGCAAATGTATCTTTTACTCTCTGTGTCTTCTGGCATCTCTTCCTTTTTACTCTTCCTTTGAGCTTCGACTCTCTCCGTTCTCTTAGCGTCCCTCAGTCCAGCCCTTCACTGAGCTCGCGGTAGCTCCGTACCTCTGTTCCTTTTTGCAGAATGAATCCTGCCTTTCCATTGGTCCAGCTTCAGAGATGCCTGCAGGTACGTACCTATCAATGAAGCCTCACGGGCCAACCAGGTAAACAGGGCGGCAGGGCGGCAGGGCGGTACGTTCGGCAACGACTGGCAGGGGTCCCGGTCCGATCGGCAACTGGCAGGGGGGCCAGGGGAAGTTTACTATCATGGGGATCTTTGGGGTCAATACGAAGGTAGAGCTCAACAGACTATGTATTGCCCTTGAATAATTGAGTAGATGCACTGACGTTATGACATCGTCATCCTATTGTTTCCCCGCTCTACATGGTCTATCCACATAGCTCTAGACGTCATTCTCTTACTGTCATTCGATACGCTATTGTTGATGCTCGTTGACATGGTACTTTATCCTATTGATCATATCCCGCTTTCATTTATATTAGTTGTAATTCCCGCCCTTCACTACGAGCCTGTCTCGTCAATTGCCAAGACAATACCTTAGCCATGAGCAAGAGTGAAGTCGTTATTCCCAAATTCTCTGAGCTGCCGTTGCGGGAGGGAGATCCTCCTTATTCGGCATGGGGCTTGTACGGCAAAGATGACCAGCTTGGGACGCTGAACAGACTGGCCGACCGTATCGTGCGAGATGCCGCGCGTAAAGAGATACAGACTGGTAAAAGGTAAATGAAGCAATGCCATTATCCTCTGGTGAAAGAACGTGGCATTCTTGTATCCTGAATATTATATTCGTTTCTGCCTTCGATTGAACCATTTTTTTGCTTTTCCTTTTCCCCATCCTCATCCAATTTGTTACGATATTTAGTTCCACTATTTGCATGCCCAGACTCATTTTTAAATTTGACAATTCTTCTACTCTGCAGCAGAATCAAATTGACAAGTAATATAACAATGCAGGATCTCCTTGAACTGGCCTCTCAACGCTCAGCGCGATCACCTCCTTTTTGGCCGGCAAGCCTTCCATCAACGCATCTTCCAGCTCTCTTCTTACATTGTCAACGACGACACGTGGAGCTTCAATTCTCAAGGCAGCAGTCAATGTATTTCAAATCCTCTACGTCCTCCACTTCATCATTAAGCTCACCCATGCTGACAATCCACAGGGGACGGCCTTCGCCATTTCGGATACCAAAAGGAACAGAAATTCTACAACGGTGTAACTCTAGAGGACATTCATAATGAAAAGGACACCGGTGTCAATGGAGTTCACGGTACGCTTTCCAAGTCCCGTACTCACTTCAAGTCCCGTACTCACTTCAAGTCCCGTACTCACTTCAAGTCCCGCTTCCTCTCAAGCGATACGCTGACAATTTGTATGTGACGCACAGCCTGGTCCGAGCAAGGCATCGTTGGTCGTGGAATCCTCCTCGATTTCCACCGCTGGCGGACCCTCAACGGAATCGACTTTGACCCGTTCGAATCGCAATCCATACCACTGGAATATCTAAAAGCTACGGCCAAAGCACAAGGAACCGAGATCAATTTTGGCGACATTTTGATCGTTCGCACAGGTAGGGGATGCCCCATGCAACTGCTATACAGTGTATCTGGTATTGGGAATGAGCGCTGACACATGTCCGAAACTAGGCTACATAGAGAAAACTAGAAGCGCGAGCAGAGAACAACTCCAAGCACGGGCTGAAATTGAACTACCGCCTTCTGGGGGAGTAGAGCAGAGCGAAGAAATGCTCGAGTGGATATGGAGCAATTTTTCAGCCGTGGCGGGAGACCATCCGGCCTTTGAATGCTGGCGTGAGTTTGACCAACCTTTGACGAACTTGACAGGCCATGAGTTTTGTTTTGCTCTATTCAAAGGAGAGGGGAAAATAAGCTAACTTGATTATTTGATAACAGCGTCCCAGAAGCCGTGGATGCTGCACGAAGTACTGCTTGCTGGATGGGGGTGTCCCATTGGTGAGCTGTTCGATCTTGATAAACTCGCTGAACACTGTGAGAAGACGGGCCGCTGGTCATTCTTCGTGACGAGCGAAGTGTGCAATGTCCCAGGCGGCGTTGCGAGGTAAGGATGCTCAAATAGTATTCCCGGCGAGCTCTGCTAATCTTATGATCTGTAGTCCGCCAAATATTCTTGCTATATTTTGAGCATCAAGTCTAGATTGATGCTACCGCTTTTTTACGAATCACAAAGGCGCAGTTTCTACAGTCTGCTTGTAGAATCTTTTAGACTATATAGAGATATGGTAGACGTATAACAGGCAATGTTTTTCCAAAGTCTTACAGTCTACAACATTTCAATTCAAACACACTTTTGGCAAGTCTTTTGGGAACTGTCATTCGATGTTCCCGAGCAGCGATGCATTTGTTGAATCGAGCTCTGTACGGTTTCTGCCGCAAAGCAGTCGATAATTATACGAGCCCCAGCATGTCCCGTAATGAACGCGTAACTCCAATGCTGATGAACGTGGTGCATACTTGTAATTGTATATCAACAGTCAAGTTCACTGGAAATGGATTTAAATTATGGAAACAAGTAATGCTGAGAAATATATCACAAGACGTAAAGTATTGAGTACGAGTGACTGCTAAGATTTCAATCTACCAACTGTCCGAGCTTTTCCTAAAACATAATCCAGCAAATTGCAATACGTTTTCACTTTACGCCCAACGCCACTTGGTAGACAATGAGTCAGCTGAGAAAAACCTGAGAGGACAAGCAGACAATGTGTGTAGTCTGAGTCCATTACGCTCCGCCATCAGGCCCGAGCTCACACTCCTCTTTATGCTCGGCTCTGCGAGCATTCTCGCTCTCGTTTGCCTCTCTGATGACCACATCAAGGCAATCCACCTTGTCTGCCTCCAAGTCCTCGTCCATCATTCCCGGGGCAACGCCGACCTTGACTGCACGCCTTGCGCGAATCTGGGCCTTTTGCAGGACCGGATAAAAGTAGGCTGCCTTTTGCAGCTTTCGAGTACCGTCGGTTTCACCATCCACGGACTCCGGGTCGTGGAGAGCGAGCGCAAGCTCTTCGTATTTCTTGTCCGCACCGCCCGACTGCATAGCTGTTTCGTAGGCTCGGAGGCGGTTGTACTTGAATATCGGCTCGCCACTGTCCTTACTAGCGTCCGTGTATAAGGCCGGACTGTCCTTCTCTGGGTCATTGACGTCCAGCTTTCGCCGAACATTCCTTGCAGCTTCTGCGGTTTCGGGAAGGAAGTATTCGTAATCGAACAGCGGCGGGCCTGGCGGAGGCTTAGAAGGGTCTGCCTCGTGAGCTGCACGTTGTGCCTCGTTGGCCGCTGCCAATTCAGGTCGAAGCTCAAGCGGTCGTAGCAAACCAACGCTCAATCGATTGTCGTAGGTGTCTGACACCGCAACAGGGTTTGTGGCGAACTTGATGACGACATAACCACCAGAATCCGGGAAAGCCTCAAGGTCGGGTAGCAACGGGTAGCTATCGACAAGCTTGACTCCGGAGCGACTTGGATGTTGGGGGTTATTCCAAGCGTCAAGCTCAGCAGCTGTAGGTGCAGCACCGCGAATGTCGTTCTGAGTATCCGGACCAGTGTATGCGTCTCTGGGATAGGCGATATCGAAGCCCTTGACGACTGACCTCAGGATATAGATAGGATCGTCCTTGGAAATATCTGACCGTCGTCGCTTCTTTGCATTATTCGTCGACCTGACGAGACCCTTGGAAGTCGTCGATTCAATCCGGTTGCGGCCTGTTTCTGAAGAGATGTATTCGGTTCGACGGAGGAAACTGACCCCGGAGGTCAAAGACGTGGGCTTGCCCAATGTCGCAAGGGGTCGTAGAAGGGCTCGGTCATGAGGATGCAGTGGAGGTGGATGGGAAGATGGTTGAATAGCTGTAAAGATAGTTAGAAGAATTGTCATGATCCGAGAGAAACCGTGCGTAATCAAGCAGGCATTCTGAGAAAGAGACTTACCACTCTCGTCACCGTCAAAGACTCCAGGCATGCCCACGAGATCTATCGGCATACCAAGTTCGGCATCTGCCTCAATGTTGAGCGGCTGCTCTCGCGATAGACGCGTTGCAAAGCCAGCGGCAGTGTAATGGCCATTGGCAAGCCCGGTATTCGGTAGTTCCAAAAGCTTTGGGGGATTGGGAGGCGGAGGAAGCGTGTTTGAATAGCGTATGCGCGCAATGTAATCTTGATGATAGGCCTTCGGCGGCCGAGATGCTGAAGATGCCATTGTGGGATTGCTTGCTGTCAGACGTGCAATCCGCAGCCAAATTTCGAGACTGACGATCGAGTAAGATAGATGATCTGAATCGCGGATGTTGTGAATGAATGGAGCTAGACGCATGAACAATAGGTAGGGCGCTCTTTATGCGCCAACAATGCAAGAATCGGACTCAACCCAAGCACCGCGGCTTTTGATTCGATTATTGCTCATTGAGGAATTGGTACTTGTGGATGATCAGGAGGTATGTAGCGATGTGTGACTTTATTTTTTATGAAATTTCATTTCTCAACAGTTTAGACTTTGCATTAACATTCGTAAGGAGGAATTTTTGAGTGTACCTAGTCGACAGAAACAAATAAGGAGTAATTTAGAGAACGAGAAACCCCAGAGCCTTGACTTCAAATGTGCTGCTTTTCGCTGGACGCCGCAAATTACCCCCAAAATTCATAAATTGTGATTTGTTTTACCAGGCCCACATACATTTGTAAGCCAGTAGTCTGCTCCCCAGTCGGTCGTACTCCATTTGCCCGATCCAGCTGTCATTTGTTCCCTTCAGCTTTCCAAAGACACTGCCTCCTTTCCATGTCACGACTTGGGGGTCTAGCTCCCGTGGCGGCGTACCGATCATGATGTCTTTGGCAAGGTCAGGCCTGAGTGCTTTCAGTCTCTCCTCTAAAAAGGCGTAGAAGCCTGGTATCTGACCACCGCCGCCCGTGACCATGATGCCGCCAAGGAGATCTCGCATTTTCCGCTCGTCATCGCGCACAGCATTAGAAATAGAGGTTAAAATAGCCTGGTCAAGAGGGTAAACGGGTATGATGCGATCACGCTCACTAGCAGACAGAGTCTTCTCTGCGCTTGTCGGCCCTGTTGGGCCGTTAGCGACCGCTGGCGTTGACGATCCAGCTGGCTGAGGAGTCCCGGGGCCTTCAGGTGCCGGTGACCCGGCCACAGAAGATCGAGGCGTATTTTCAAGATCGTTGAAACGGTTGGCAAGATTATATGGTTGCTGACGAACTGGAGTAGCCGCTACATTCGCAGTGTCTCCGTTGGCGGAACTGGCCGTGGCATCTACTGATGGGGCGGGGGCAATCGCCTGGAGAATCGCCAGCTGTGCTGATGAGCTTGGATCGTTGGGAGAGTTGTCGTAAATGTCATAAGACCGGTCGATGAGCTTGCGTCGGCCGAGAAGCTTCTCAGAGTTGTCAAATATGGAAGGCTGGAAATAACCCTGTGCACATATGCGGTTAGATTTTTTCCAGGTCGGCCCTTTTTGAATTCTAGAACTTACCAAGGGCGCTAGAATGACTTCATCGTAAGTCTTGAACGTATATTTCTTTGTAGCTTCCCCTGGTGCTCTCATGTGAAAGTCGTAGAGCTGAACGCTGATATCGGCCTCGTTCATGGTGCAAAACTTCTGCTTCAACTCTTCCGCGAGGAGGAAATCATATCGTCTTTTCAAGTTGATATCGCTGTAAGGGAAGTGATCAAAGAGCATCATCTTGATAAACGTATCCGTGACATCCGCGCCACCATACTTGAGGTTCACACGCGAATTTTCAATGCACATTCCCTCATCGACACAGCAGATAGAGGTCTTTTGTGCACCAATATCGACGATGCACGCAGTGGTGTATCCAGCACCAAAGGATGCCGCAAGGCTCTCTTGAATGAAGCACACGCGACCAAATCTAAATTCGCGGAGCAGCATCTCCAATATCGATGTAACGTAAAGTCGTTCATAAAGATCGGGGATGACAAAGACACAGCTATACTGGTTCCAATCCTTCTTCCTATTCAGGCCAACCTGCGATTTGATGGCCTCCTCAAGAATGACGGAAATATCTTCGTATAACAGAGTTCGGCTGGTATATTCATACTCATTGCACCAGCCCCTCTGTATGGGCCAGAACAGCTTGTATCTAGGTTTGGAATCGTCTGCTATCCTCAGCGCCGCATGACCGGTAATCACTTCAGGTGCTTCTCTGGGGTTAGACGGCAGCTCGGTCCAGTCGATTCGAAGAGGATCATTATGCTCAGAAATCATGTCTGGAGTGGTCCGTCTGTTGTAATTTACGACCAATTCCTTTGAATTGGGCAGTACTCTTCTTTTGTTGTTCCGCATGCGTATCTTCAGATCGGAAGACATGGTGGTATATTGCGTTGCAAACTGTTCGAATATGTCAGCCCTTTCTTATCTCATCGGAAAGAGGACCAAAAAAATACCTCTTCCCCAAACATCCGATCATGATCCACGCCTCCATCAGACTCTCGTTTGACTCTTTTGGGCTTTGGCTCGCCGCCTCTCTCTTCCGCTTCGCTCTCCTTCCATTTCCGAGCAATGACCATTGGGACTGATTTGGGAAGAGCATCGCTTGCCAGACCGATCCTGAGATTGTAACTCCCCGGATGGATAACAACGACTTTGGAGCCTAATGGCTCAGTTGCAGCACCACCGGCTTCATCCGCTTGTGCCTCTTCATCCATATCCACGTCGGCATCGGGTAAGGGCAGATCATTCTTTCCGGAACTCGCAAGAGCTCTGTCCTTGTCCTTTGCCTTGCGCATCATACGATTGCGGCTTTCCTCATTTTGAAGGCGAAATACAAGAATCTGGTCGTCGCGTTTCAGATATTCCCTGGAAGCGCAATACGTCAGCTTGTCGGTGCTCTACCAGCACGTAAGGTAATGAGACCCCCGGAGTGTGGTTCGAAGATAGTGAAATATTTCAACCAGCTAAGAAGAACCAGGGGCATCATTGCTCTAAGTGGCGAAAGGAGACGAACGTATAGTAGTTTTTCTGATTGATCATGTTCACTTGTGGCCAGCCGGTCAAGTCCATATTGTTATCCGTGCGTTCCAAGCCTGTAGTGAAGATCAAGTCAGCCATCACAGCTTCGCAAAGTAGAAATCCAGGAGAATGAAGCCAGACCTTCCTCCCTAAGGAGCGCCTTGCCAGATTTCTTCCCAACCATTGTGATCGTATAGTCGTGTTACGCAGCGGCTTCGGATGATCGGGTTGCGCAAGTCAACACATGAATCGCTCAGCGGCGAAAACGGACGACTAGTCTAAAACAAAAGAAATTCTAGAAGCTGTGCATGTCTCAGGATGAATATATGTCTCTGCTAATGGTATTGGAATCGATAGTTGAGCTTGTTCGTCGAGACTCAAACCAGAGAAACCTTGGGGTTCAAGGATCGGCGGTAGTCTCCTTAGCTTCCCGGGATTAGATGGTGATGGAGATCACCGAGATTCCTTCGTTTCCAAGTGGCTCCCAAGACAACTCAAGCACATTCTGTCATCATCTACTTATAAAGCTGGCTTCACGCACAGTTCTCGGCCACTATATTACTTGAGGACATTTTTACACATAGCAGCCGCACATACAATCCAATCTATAGAATCCGCGGCCCAAACGTGACACATTGCCCCAACCGTCCAATACCTCTCCACACCGACAAAAAGGGCTTCCAGGGGCGTAAACAAAGGGCCTACGTCGGATTATTAATTCCACGAATTTTCCAACAAAGGACGAGCTAGAGAGTCACATTTGGCACGTGTGATCATGGGTGGCTCAATATCCCGTATCTTGTCTTCGCTGTTCTCGAAAAAGGAGATTAGAATATTAATCCTTGGCCTGGTAAGCCTTGACAGGCTGGCAAAGATTGGACGGAGGAGCAACGTGACTGATTGGACTCTTGTGAGGATAGGACAATGCTGGCAAGACAACTTTACTCTGGCGCCTAAAGGTAAATGCTTGACCGCTATGCATCCTTCCATGCCTGTGACCTTTATTTTGAAGACGACACGCGACAGATCACTGATATTGCTATATAATCTAGATTGGCGAGGTTGTTACCACGACACCGACAATCGGCTTCAACATTGAATCAGTAACATATAACAACTTGAACTTTACTGTTTGGGTAAGGGTTCCTCGTGTAGACGCTCGACTGGTTTGTGCGCCTAACTGATTGTCGATTCATTAGGATTTGGGAGGCCAGACATCAATTCGACCATACTGGAGGTGTTACTATGCAGATACGGCTGCAGTCATTTTCGTCATCGACTCTACAGACATCGATCGGATAGGAACGGCTGCCGAGGAACTGGCAGCAATGTTGCATGAAGAAGAATTGCGTGACGCGGCATTGCTTGTCTTTGCCAACAAGCAGGATCAGCCTGGCGCCAAAGGTGCCGGCGAGATATCTGAAGCACTGAAACTAGGAGAATTACGAGACCGGAACTGGAGCATTGTTGCTTGTTCGGCAGTAGATGGAAGGGGCATCAACGATGGCATGGACTGGCTGGCGGTAAGCATTCCCATGTGAATTTGGTGACAGGAACAGCATCCGCTAAACGTTAGACACAGCAAACGGTCCAATCCGATTCATGACCATGCAATACATTGAAGATTTAGCAGATGAGAAATTTGTATAGCGATTTCATATTAATACTGTAATTGATGGGGTTCATTTATCCAGTTTTGTGTGGATGGGATACGGCGATCGTTTCTAATTTCCATGGCATGTCAAACATTCCATTCATATTTCTTGCAAACTCATTACAGGGCCATTGTTCGTCTTCTATAAAGTGTAACAGACTTATTTATAAAACGTTCAGCCCTTCTTATGCAAGGATGCCCATGGATAATAGTAAGAAAACACGCTCTAGGTTGTTAAAGTACAAGGAACGCCAAAATGATCTCATAAAACGCCCATGCGCAAATCGGGACTAAAGATAGTGTGAAGAGAAAAACACTGGACTCTATACTGTCTTGAGAGCAAAGGCAAAGAGGCTGTCCATGGCAACCCATTGCCTTCCGCACTTGTCCAAGTACTTCTGAACGACTCCCTTAAGGGTATCAAACCTTTCCCTATTGAATTCGACAAGTGCTAGAATCTTCTCCTTGTTTTCCCCTGCTGCCTTTGTTTTCGCCTTTTCTACATCCCAAAGGCTCTGGAAGTAGAGAAGTTGGTTATACATCATTTTCTCAGTGTATTCATAAGTCATACGCCCTAGGCAACCGTGGGCAAGGCCCTTAGGTCCAAGGCAACGATGGCCATACACGCTCATTTGCCTCGTTCGGTTTCCGCAGGCTGGGTCGTCACACGAAAGCCACGCCGAGTAGTAATTGGCCGTTTGTTGGCGAATCTGACTTTCCAGCTGAGCAACGACTGAAATAGTCGGCAGATTCTTGTTGCAGGCTTTATTTGGACAAACGATTCCATCTCGACTGCAGAGGTCCAAAGAATTGACTAAACCGTCAAAGTTCATAGTCTCTTTACAGAATCGACAACGGAGCTTCAGTCGGATTGCGTCTTTGAAGCGGACATCGTCGGGAATCTGAGATTCGAGTGGAAATATCTCGTCCTGTTGGTTATTTGAAGAGCTACTGATCTGGTACTTTCGTGTATCGAGACCAAGACATTCAGCAAGTCTCACAGGGTCGGTCCCGTCAATAGGGGCACACAGACGCTCCACCGGGGGGAATATCTGTTTATAGAGATACCATTCCACGTCTACTAGAGTCAGCCCGTGTTCATGAGCTCATTCTTGAAATTACTTACCAGGCTTTAGTCCTGAGTCAGCTTTAAGAACGTCCTGTGGCGTGTATGAACGTTTAGCCGCGCTTTCTGAAGACTTGCTGTCTCCAGTCACAATGTATGCCATGACATCGTTGGCTCTAATCGCTTTGCCTTTCGAAATCTCTCGGAGCGCAACCTGTACTTGAGGCATACTATCGGGATTAGGGTACTCTTTCGGATGTTTCCCCAATTTCTAAAAGCTTGTCAGCTTGTAACATATTGGATGTCTCAGTTGTCTCGGTTCACTTACGGTATAGATGATGTATTTTTGGGAAGGAACAGCGTTCTGACGCATTTTTTCAGAAAGGGCCTGAAGATAGTCGTGAATCTTTCCAATTACTACTTCAGGGTCATCGCCCGAGAGGATCTCATTCAGAAGATGCCTTCAAATATGTCAGCAAACGAAACACTTCCCCAACTGTAATGAACTATGAAGGAACCTACGATGATGCTTCCTTTGAAAGGGCGCAATATTCTCTTCTCCTCATATCTAAGCCCTTTACCTCTAGCTTATCCACATATTTCCCGTCCACCTCAACCATGTTGATGGCGGCGTATTTCTTCTTTGCATGCAAGAGTAGGCGGCGAAAGATGTTATCGATGTCAATCTCTAGCAATTTATATCGCTCATTCACAGCGCGCCTGAATTCAGAGCCAAGTTTCAAGGCGTCCTCCAAGGTGTCGGTATTTGTGTTGATCATCACGGAGTCCGTATCACCGTATATTACCCTCAGTTGAGATGTTTCTGCCAAGTCTTTCGTGCTTCTCAGAATCTCCCGGCCTTTAAAGGTTGTAAGCATGGCAAGGGGTCTAGCGTAGAATCGAGATCTTGTATAGCCCAGACAACCGTACATAGAGTTGGCTGTGAGTTTGAGTGCGAGCTGTTTGATGTCCCACGTCGCTAATTGGTCTGGGGTAGCCCGTTTGTCTTTCATGAGGCTTTTCACTTGCCTCCTCCTGCTAACGAGCGTTGCGATAAGTCGTGGAAGTATGCCTTGATTTTGCTCTTTAGGCACATCCGGTACTTTTTCGTCATCCTCAGACTGCTATGGTTAGCCGGTAACTCGGACAACGTAAGGAACGGAAGTGGCGTGGCCTACCAGATGCGATCTATCCACGGTTGTGAAGCAAATGTTATACTCCTGAATAATGCTTGGGTACAAACTGTTAAAGTCCATGACTAATATAAATCTGTCGTAGAGACCCTTTTCGGGTTCGAAGACCAAACCGCCTTTGTACTTGTCCTTCTTCTTCACATCCAGACCATCTTCGCCTTCGTCGTTCTCTTCTTCAGCTTTCTGCTTCCATTTCCCCGTGGCTTTATCAGGGCAAATAAACTTGTTTCGATGGAACTCGTGAAGAAGAATATACTCATTTCGCTCTGCCCTTGTTCCGCTAAGAGTTCGTGCCCAAGAATTTCCTGCTAGATTGGTAAGCACTTTAGTCAAGGGAAGCATTTGCACCTTGAGTGCGATAGCAGCAATAAAATAAGTATCTGCTTCGCAATGACGGAGATAGTTCATTAGTCCCTCCCGGGAGCTTGCCCAAGTCTTTAGGGCCGCTTCATTGTCGAGATCAGTGCGAGGGCTGTTCGGACCCAGAACAAGCTTGCACATCTCAGTTAAACTCCAGGATTGGCACTTGGTCATCAGGGACTAACAGCATAATTAGCTGATTAATTACAGATTATCGGAAGGATATTCACCCACCTTTCCTAAGTCGTTCGCAAGATCACAAAGCAGTCGTCCAGCAACAAGTTGTCTTTCCGCAAAGAAGCTTCCGCCAACTTTTCCAATGTTTTTGGGCCACTCACTGCGTCGCAGCCGTCCTATGCGATGCCAGCCTGGGGTTTTCTTTTCTCGCAAGCGGTTAAGGAGAATATTATAATCAACTCCTTCAAGTTGGTGGCCAACGAGAACGTCGGGGTCTATCCGCTGCAAAATTGCAAGAAAATAGCTAAGAATGCCTTGCTCGTTCCTTTCAAGCTTCACAGTCCCAATATGCTTCTCTGCTTCTGCTTGGAATCCTATGGGGAACGATTGACCGGTCGGGCGCATCACAGTGAACGTCTTAGTTGCAAGCTTCTCTGGCGGAGTAGTGTCGCTCAACGATACATTCTCATATACTCGTGCGCTTGCTAGCAGAATCTCCTGTTTGTTTTCCTTAACATTCAATGTAGTCCTGAGTGAAAGACTCATCAATGTGAGTGGAGGCGCCTCAAGATTGTCTGCATCACCGAGGGGAGAGATGACGTTAGGCTTGGAGACTTGGAGCTCAAGTTTGCACCACGAAGCATTATTGACTGCCGTAAAGTCTGCTTCCTCAATCTTCAGCCAGCAAGGTCCCATAATGTTTTTCCACAAAACAAACTGCTCAAATAAGGCAGTGTTGGAGCCGAAAACATGGGAGAAAGTGCCTCCTCTGAGGTCCGTTGGCAAAGCAGGTTCTAAAGGTGGTAGTCAGTTAAGAAATAAGAAAATAATCAGTGGCAGAGAGTGACACATACTATCATACGGATACAACAGCTTCAAATAATCTGCTTCCTGGGGGATGTCTGGCAGCTCAAATGCGTATTTTCGTGTGCAAGGCTTGATCTTATACATTCCAACACGTTGCCTCGACATCAACTCATCAACTTCATCATATACATTCTTCATATCAACCTCCTCAGAAGTGTCACGGCCATTCCCTAAATAGTGTCAATACCTGAAATAGATATCTAGAAATCTGGAAAATGTCGCTTACTTTGTCGAAACTCGCGCGGCAAAAAGTAGAGCTTGCGTAAGATATTATCTACCTTCACGAAGCAGCTTACAAACTCGCCTGTGCGCTTGTTCTTCACTTTGCCGAAGAGACATAAGCTTCCGTTGACTTCAGTATAGTCCAACCAAAACATTCGCAAACTGCCATCTTCTTCAATTGCATCCTGTGGCTGAAGCTTTCCAATGCTCGAAGTTTCGTGTGTTGAGCTTTTCAATACGCGCAACCGCGTCGTAACATCATTCCAGGCCGATGCGTCTACTGCCTCGGAGGGAGGTCTTGTTGGTGACGAACTCGCAGGAGTAGGATACGTAGTCTCCTTTTTTATCCTTGGCGCTGGCCTTGATCCAGATATGTTAATTCTCGTAGATCTACCACCGACATCCCCACTCGCTCTGGCAACTTCCAATTTGTCGTCCTCTTCTTCCTCGGAGTCTTCACGAAGGGCAGGAAGATGGCCTTTCCGTTCCAAAGCTTTGGCAACTGGAGATGAAGGTAGCTGTGGATCGCTCATAGGAACATCGTTGTCTAACGCCTGGAAAATATCATCGTTATCGTCATCTTCAATTTTTCCGTCTTGACCTGCATCGGGTAGTCGACTTTCGTCTTGATATTGTGGGACAGTTGGCATACGGCCCTCCCGATTCTCGGATAGCGGTGGTGATAGAATGCGGGTCTTTCGGCGAGACTCAGATTTAATCGGCTGCATCGATGGCGGGACCCTCTTGCTCGTTATATTGCTATCCACTTCACCTAGTAAATCTGCCATGAACGCAGCATCCTCTGCACTAGTTACGGGCTGATAAATCAGTACGAAGGCTTGTTTTTGAATATGTTAGGGATATACCTTGGGCTTTGGTGCAGAAGCCACAGGTCCAGCACTGAAGTACTTGTTAATCCCGTTCCTTATTTTTTCCTGTCGACTCCGGTCTTCTTCTCGTTTCCGTTTTGCTGCGAAAAGTGTTATTGAAAGGTACGCACATGGTCCAGAGTTGAGCACTCACCAGCTTTACCACGGAGAGGGGCGTCCTCTTCGCTCTCGCTCTCGCCATATCTCTGATCGTTCGTCCAATCCTCTCTTCCGTCATCGGCGTATCCTTCCCCATTATCGTCAATAACGAAATCGTCCTGATTAAGACGGTCCCTGACGACTTTTTTGTAGCCTTCTTCATCAACTTCTTCGAATAACTTCTTCTCCTCCTCAACTTCATAAGTGGCCAGACGTTTCTTTCCAGAAGCGCGTAGAGCGCGGAGCTCGGCGAAGTTCCCGCGTCTCGACATATTAGAGCAGTCACTGGTCGGTGTTCCAGACAATGAATGGTTGAGACTTCTGAATTCTATGATGCGCTATGGGCATAGACCTGCATATTTTGATGAGAAGACAAATGAGCGTTGCTATCTTTCTATGCTGGGTAGGGAACGCGGAGCTCAACAGGTTCACGTACCTATCCATAAACGCGTCGCGGTGTCGCGGTGTCGCGATTCGGCTAATGAAATTCCCTATAGGGGTAAGACGTAAGAAGACGCACGGACCAAACGTACAGCTCAGGAAATCAGTTGCAACAGCACCACATCAGATTGACCAACACTCACTGAAGGCGACAGGTAATTTCTAGCATTTCTCACTCGTAAGAAGCGCGCCGAGAGTCATGAGGCTTGATCAGGTGGACAACAAAAAAAAAATTAAGATTCATAACTACGAATCACATTGTGGGTATTAAATATTAAGACCAGGCCCTGGGCCATGCAAATTCAATTCATGAGTACTTGACATAGTAAACCCAGTGCTTCCAGCTCCCGTTAACTTTTCCGAACAACCTAAAAGCGACGCCCTGTTTAATACAGTCCAAAATTGGTCGCTTAGTTCATCTGTCTGATGAGGTTGTTGATCTTGTCCTCCCGGTTACCAAGGTCACCGCCCTCAATGTAGTGCTTGAACTTGCGGGTACGGAAACCACCAGTGGGGTTGCTGAGCTTGAAGGGCCACAAGAAGTTGCTGGCCTGCTTGAAGTTGGGGCCAACGGTGAAGATCTCGTGGATCAAGTCCTCAACGCAGACAATGCCGTATTTGCCGAGGTTCTCCTCAATGATGGAGTTGTCGGTGAGGGCAATGCGCTGACGGTTGACCTTACCGTAGCCGCGCTTGTAGACGAGTTCGCGGACGGACTTAAGGTTGGGGTAACCGTAGGCGATCCAGGGCTCAACGACCTTCAACATCTCAAGAGTAGCCTTGGTAAGACGGACGAAGACACCGTTGTTGATCTGGAGAAGGCGGAGGAGCTGAAGAATCTTGCGGGGCTTGGGGGCAATCTTGTTGATACTAGAATATGCAAGTTAGTGAGCTGATTAACTGGTGCTCGACTGCTGAGCAAACATACCCCTTAACGCGGACAACGAAGACCAGCTTGGACTCAGCAGGGACGTAGTAGGAGCCCTCCTGCTTGCTCAAGCGGGCAAGGCGGACCTTCTCGCGCTCAGCATCGCGGTACTCCTTGACGTAGCTCTCGGCACGCTTGAAGATGACAGCGCGCTTCTCCTTCTGAGCCTATATGGATAGATAATTAGCAAGAATTCGACGGAAGAAAAAAAGCGAATAAATTGGAAATTCTTGGGCGACTCAGCCCCGAAAGATGGTTAATTTAGCGACAACATTGACCCGAGGGACTAGTCGCGATGTGGTTGTTATAATCACAGTCGTTCCCAGTGGACATCTACTGGATAAATCAAACGAGAGCTTTAAAAAAAATCTCACCTTTCTCTTCTTCTCGAGATCGGCCGCACGCTCCTCACGAGCCTTCTCCTGGCTCTTGCGCTTCTTCAGGAGCGTCTCAGGGACGAGGATCTGGTTCTGAGTGGGCACACTCCTAAACGTCCGGAACAAGTCAGATTAGTCTATCCGCAAATACAAAAATAGCATGTAACGCCGAGTGAAGAACTGCAGCTATAGCGCGGCATTCTCTGACGGAAGGCGAAACCTGAAACTCGACGAATAGATTTGATCAGTGAGATTGTTGGACGAGGCAGAGGTATGTTGATCACATCGTCCATACATGCCCCGAAGACAACTCTTTTCTCATCTGACAACACCTCAGATTCTCATCCGAGATTTGTAGGCACGTATTGTCAGATTCCCATTTTGAGCGCATGGCTAAGCCAATGCACGCAGAGATCCTAGATACGGCAATGTATTTGAAGGCGAAGACAACTTCTGCCTCAAAACCCCAATCCTAGACCAAAGAGTAATCGAATATATTGTATCACCCAAGGAAGGATTAATGGGAAGAATCGAGCTGGCGCTGGGCATTTCAGAAGAAAGAGGCCGCACTTCCAGCCAACGGAATGACGACTATATCCGAAACTTCGACCGGTATCAATCAGCGGTTTGCGAAGAAGGGGATGCATACGTCTGGGGAGCCATTTTGAGGATGTATCGCGGTGGTTGATCTGCGATTGTCGGTGTCGGCTGGCCGCTGGTCGTCGCTGGTTAGATTCGAAGTTCGGAGGCTTGGAATGTCCAAATCTCGTGGGTGCGCTAAGGGTTTGTTGTAGTTGCAGCCCTAGTTGACTAAGCGAAATGTCTTGTAGAAACTACAACTTTGGCATGTAACTCTAGTACCGGCACTGTACTGTACGGCACGTCACCTTACCTTAAATAAGGTTACCTAGGTAAGGTACCTTACTTGTCAGGGCGAGTACGTACTCCCTCCTTCCGACACTTCCTTCCGCAAGTTAGCGCCGCGGAGAGGGGCTTTGGTGGGGATTGCCAGCATGCTATCGGTCTTCCGAGCTAAGATCATTGGAAGAATGATGATGTCTACCTTCTCTCTGGAGAACAGTATTAATGGCATCATTAATTGGCAGTAATTGAATGAACTCGAAACGCAAAGGAGTTGGCCTGTCGGCCTTCACTGCTCGATCTCAAGCAGTCTCACAATTTGCTTCTCATGGAGACTTTTTGAGAACTTCGAATCTAAATGCCCTCCAAACACAACTCTCAGTCTTCCAGTCCCTTCTGCATCAGTTTTCCCTCACGCATGCAAAGGATATCAGATCAAATCCAACTTTCAGAGCAGAGTTTGCGCGGATGTGTAATGCTATCGGCGTAGATCCTTTAGCCAGCAGCAATGCCAGTAGAAATTGGAAACAAGAGGGAAGTTTCTGGGCTCAAATGCTGGGAGGTAGCGTCAACGACTTCTACTTCGAATTGGCAGTGAGGGTTGTGGAGGTGTGCAAAGACACCCGAGCAGAAAATGGAGGCTTGATTCCACTTGCTGAGGCTCGGGAGAGGGTCACCAAAGGCAGAGCTATTGGTGGTGGAATGGAAGTTTCGGAGTACGCTCTTACCCACGTCAACATGGTTGAACAAGTATAAAAGCTTATGCCCTTGCAGCGATGATATAGTACGCGCAGTCAACTCATTAAAGCCACTCGGATCTGGCTTCACGCTGCCGGTCGTAGGCGGGCGGCCAATGGTGAGATCCGTTCCAAAGGAACTCAACGTCGACCAATCTACCGTCCTGGACGCTTTGCAGATGCTGGGCTACGTTACGGTATCGATGCTGCAAGATAATCTTAGCTGGGAGCGCCCTCGCGCTGAAACCGTCATCACAGATTTACTGGCGGACTCCCTGGTCTGGATTGATTTACAAGATGAAGAGACCACTTATTGGTCACCTACTTTTATACACGAAGCCGCTCGATAGAGGCAATTTTTATTCCTACATCCTCGACCCATGTAAAGCATAGAGAGCGCCGAAGTTTAGAAAATTATAGCCAGGCATTATTGAAACAAGAAGAAAGACATGAAACTAGGCTTTGATAGCGCCCCCTAGAGCACCACCAGTGAATTGCCCTCCACCAGGCCGCCGGCCTTGTCCACCCTGCAAACCACGACCATCTGTCCTGGGGCCTCGGCCACCACGCGCTCCCCCACGACCACCCCTACCGCCGGCACCGCCGCCACGCTCAAAAGCATTTGCTGTGCCCTGTGTCCGCTGCTCTAATGTGCGCTCATTCGACTCGATCAAAGAGCTTGCCTTGTCACTCAAAGTCAAAGCAAGGCTCTGCAGACGAGATAGCTCGACACCTTTTCTGAAAACGATGGCGCTGTTGACCTGATCCAAAGCAGCCGCCAGCTCCTCGTGGGAGATCATTTTACTGACAACGGCCGCCACTTTGCGTTCTGGAAGTTCGAACATAGACGCAAGTTCACTGATAGAGAGTGTATCGTAAAACGGAGCGTAAGTGAACAAGTAAGTCCGAAGGCCTTCTTCCTGAATTTGCTCTGAAAGCATATTCTTGATAGCCTCAGGGTTGGACATGAGCTCCCAAATCTTGATCGAGTGGATAAATTCCGAGGACTTTTTCCACTCGCCGGCAGCAAGAGCTTTTGAGGCCTGCATGACGTGGTCGCGAGTATTCTCCGGAGGTCCAGTGAAGATCTGGCGCTCGTGATACTCCAACATGCGTCTGTAGGTCTTACTGATGATGCGCTTCCTAATGTCGGGGGAGGAGCCAGTCTGTGCGAGAAGAGGAATCTCCAGCAGCATGGATGATGTCAAGTAGACGCACTCAAGAAGTTCTAAGTTAATATGCATGTGGAAAGGCAGCTGTCGTTGTCTCTCCAAGCGCTCTTGCTCGGGCGACACCTGAGAGTACCGCTGCATCTGGACACCCTGAGCCAGAAGTTCCTTCTGTCTGCCACTGCCACAAATTTCCTGAAGGGATGTCTGAGCCTCATAAATAAGACCAGCGCGGAAAGCGCAAAGGCCCACTTGGACGAGCGTGCGGTTGAAGAGTATTTGGGTGTTAATATCAAAGCTTCCAATGGTCTCTTGCAGGTGAGACATCAGAAGCATATCTCGAGCTTGGTAATACTTGTCGTGAAGAGCAAGGAAGTAGACCTGACACAGCATCGCCCTAGCACGGATAATACCTTCACTATGCGCGAAAAGGTAGGTGGAAAGCGCTCGAACAAGAGCACCTGTATCCTCGCCCGTCTCGCGGTTGGCAATCGTGGAGTCGATGTTTTCTGGGATAGATTTCCAGGTGTTCTCTTCCAAGATAGTCACAACTTGGGAAGGCTGGATTTGTCGAAGAATTAGCGAGAATTTATCAGCAATAAATCGACACTGACACCTACCTTGAAGTAAACATGTTCCAATCTTCGCATTACGATGCGATTGAGACTCTCTTGAGGGACCTGCAGCTTGGGGTCCTTTTGCACAGACTCAATATAAAGCAGTGCGCGAACAATGACAGCGTGAAGAACATTCTCATCGGCCAATCGCTCGACATATTCCGCGGTATGGGGGTCGATCTGTTGGAGGGAGCGGGTGAGCTCATCGTCAAGTCTTTCGACGCAGGAGACTATGCTGCCAGGAACGCGAAATCTCTCGCCTGCAGCCGGTTGGGGCTGCTTGTCGTCGTCCTCCCATTCTTCGGCGTTTTCCAACACGACATAAGTTGGGTTAGATTCCAACTCTTGCAAGAGAACACCAAATTCGCGCTCCGCCCTAGAACCTGAATGAGATATTGCTATCATGGAAACGAAATCTTCTATAAAACTTACGATTTCCATTGCTCCTGAGACATGTAAGACGTACCCCCTGTGCTGAGATCAAAGCGTGTCGATATCAGGGTCAAGAGAACCCTGATCTTCTGGTAGGTAGTCTGAGCGACTTCAAAGAGCTTCTCCATGACCCGGATCTGATCCAAACGGTCGGTGTTCTTTTTACCCCGAGATTCGACGATAATACGGAGGTGTTTAAGAATGCTTTCCGGGGTGTATTGTAGGGTTTTTCCTCCTCTGCCGACGGTAGAGAATCCTTCCTCATCACCAACATCTTCCCCAGGCACAAAAGTCGCCTTGGGCTTCCGCGTCTTCTCGGCTGGGGTCGCCTGTTCCTCATCCTCGGGAAGCATATATCCGTCCTTATCGGAACGATAGCTGTCAATTTCCTTGGCATAATCTTTGTTGTTCTTCTTGATACGTTGCTTCACGGCATTGAGACCCCTAGCATTCGTAGCATTCATCTTTTTGGTTGAAACCTTCTGTGTCGCCAACGTCTCGTTCAAGAAATCCTCGAGGTCGGCGATAGACTTGATGTACAGCCTAGGAATTGGGCCAGATTGAAGGAGCTTAGGAATCTGACGATTCATCTTATCGAATTCTATCATGTAACATCAGCATTTGATCCTAGCAATCGAGGCTTCGAAATCCCCTTACCAGTAGAGATCACTGCCCAATCATTAATCTTCTTCGCATTGTCAATAAGACGGACAGTTCCCTCCAACTCCTCAAGCCTTTTATCCTTTGCACTCTTCACGATCGTAACTTTATCCTCATCTTCACTTTCCTCGCTGTCGGAAACGTCTCGCATGAATCGAGCTGCCCCCGTCCGGCCATCATCGGATTCAGACTCGGACGAGACTTCGGAGCCTTCTTCTTCTTCGCTAGATTCTTCCTCAGACTGTTCCTCCTCTTCGCTGTACAGCTCCTCCTCATCGGAAGAGCTGCTCTCACTGGAGCTGTCACCGGCGTGGAAGAAACGAGACATTCTGACCGTTGTCACTATCAGCGTGGTCAAGGACTTGGTCGACGATCAGAGGCGCGATTTGCCTTCGACTTTTTGGTGTGGGCCGCTTTACCTTGTCCTGATCACTGAAGCCCCGGTCGGGGTACCTCACTTTGGAGCGGCGAACTTTTAGCGAGTTCCCAAAACGGCGAAAGGGTTAGCCCTTCACTTGATACGGCGAAAATTGATGGGATCGATACATATCTCAGAAAAGACATTCTAAGATCTCTGAAGCGTCACAATCACGAAATAATTCCTGAATTATAGCTTCACGGATGGCATACATCACTTTCAGGGATATTTGTTTGGTTGATATGCTAAAGATGCAACATGTCACTTAGAAGCGGCGAAAAAGCCCAAATGTACTGTACATGTGTACCTGTAGCGATACGCGACACAAAACATGCACCGGGAATAGCATTCAGCCTGTTCCCACCAGAAGATAACGCCAAAGGAAATGAAATATAGATCATCAAAATAAGGGAAAAAGAAAAGAATATGTCATCTCAGACTCTCAACTCAAAAACCACACATATCCGGATTAAAGTCAGGCCCGTTGTTGCAATCAGCTCAGCAACCTTGCAATCGATGGGCTGATCAAAATTGGAAGGGACAAAGATGAGCGGGAAAATGTTTTGTTGGACGGGCGGTAACTAATGCGCACAGAGGCGGCCATGCGTCAATGCCACTGGGACTGGTTCAAAAACCCTTCTTCTAAAGTCCTATCCTCAAGATTCCTGATGAAATCTCGGTTCCCTCGCTGGGAGCTTCCACCAGCGCGACTTCCTCTCCTTTTAGCGCTCCCAGGGCCCGTATCATGAGCGCCATCGGGCGGCGGTGGATAGTAAGCTGGACTGGGTTGCAACCTAATCGGCGCATTTGGATCGAGATGACTAGCAACACGCTGAATAGCAGGCGGGATCGCGGCTTGCTGTTGATCCATCGTCGACGCGCGTTGGCGACCTGCCCTTGTCGTTGCTTGAGCATAAAGACTTGGTTGCGAGCTATATTGGCTCGATGCCATTTGTGAAGGAGTCTGTTGAATCATAGGCATCTGGTGGCCATATGCTGTTGTTTGCTGCGAAGCATAAGGAGGTGGCGGGCCTTGGTGATGGGCATTAGGATGCGCCGCATACATGTTGCTGTACATTGGAGGAGCTTGACTATGTGCTCCTTGCGAATACTGACCCAGCTGCATGTTCGCATAAGCAGATTGTGCTGCAGACTGCGCTTGCGCTTGTGCAGCTTGTGCAGCCTGCGCCCGTTGTTTGCTTAGGGCTTCAGCCTGTTGCTGCTGCTGCACCCCAGGAGCAGGTGTCTTGTTCAGTGCCGTTGCTTTGAGATTCATCGGAGGGATAAAAGGCCCGGTGTATTTCTGTTGGGTGATGAAAGGATGTAATTTAGCTTGCTGAGGGGTCCACCTTTCTAAGGGATTAATATTTAATAATCCCCTAACAAAGTCGGTGAATGCAACACGATTATTCATTTCTGGAAACATTAGTCCATGGGAGCCAATATTCAAATAGTAGGCAGGACATACCTCTCTCAATCTCAGCAGGCTTCATATTTTTTCTGGGCATCGGATAGCTGCGAATTATTTCGGGCAGCGAATTCGCTTGAAAATATTTCTTGCTAGGCTGCTCTTTCGTCCCATGTTCTCGTGAATATTGCTCCATGGTTTTCAGGCGATATGTGCGTCGTCCATACTCATCATGAACTTTCTCGAAAAATTCACCAGATTGTTTGCCCATTTCGAGCATCCATGTCGGCGGAAGCCCAAGCATTTCTGTTATGCGGGAAACTTGATTATATTCAGACGATCCCGGAAACAAGGGGAGGCCAAGAAACAACTCGACGACAATGCAACCTAAAGACCACATGTCAATGGCAGAAGAGTACCTATAAAATGTTAGCCGTATTGATGGACAAGTCTCTGGTGCAGTCTTACGGTAGACCGAGAAGGACCTCGGGTGACCGGTAGAATCTCGATTGAATATAAGTGTAAACTGTTTGTCTCTCATCGCACGCAGATCCAAAATCTATAATTTTGATAATTGGGCTCTCGAGACTGGCGATGCGATAATTTAGCCCTGGGCGGTCCACATGGAGAAAAGGGAGGGAAATCGAAAGCTTACTTTTTCAATAAAATATTTTCAGGTTTGAGATCGCAATGAATCAATCTTGCTTTGTTGAGGAGGGTCAACCCGTTCAGGAGTTGCTGAGCGAAGACTCTGACAAGGGTCGTACTCAAACCGCGGAACTGATTCTGTTTTATAAGTTCATACAGATTGACGCTCAATAACTCAAACACCAGGCATAGATGCTGTCTATGAATAAACGTATCTTTGAGCCTGAGCAGATGGTGATCGTCGTTTTTATCAAGCTTGCTGTTGAGCTGTAGAGGAGTGTCAGTAGATTTTATCCCATGATTCGCTCACTAAAAAAAAGTCACGTACCAGGTCTAGGACGGAAACCTCCATCATACTTTGATTAAAATAAGCTGTCCGATTCTTGACAACCTTTACGGCCACGACCTCCTGTGTTTTCAAATTTTGGCATTTCACCACTTGCCCAAAAGTGCCCTGGCCCAGGACATCGAGGATGAGGTAACGATTTCTGACAATTAAAGCATTAGGCATTGAAAATGGCGTAAATATGTATGCGTGGAATTAGCTCACTTATGACCCGTCTCCTCGGAGCCCAAGATATCATTGACATAAAGGATATAATCACTGTCGTCGTTATCATATCCATCATTTTTCACGCCTTTACTAGGTTTTGTAAGGACCCGGCGCGGATTGCGCGATGATTCGTATTTGAAATTCGGGTTACAAATGCGATATGTAGCCGGCAGATGTGTTGTCAATGCTTGCAGAGGCTTTTAAAGTCAGCGCTGCTTCATTCTCACGTGCTTTGTGTCGAAGATCAACCTACACTAATAAACCCGCCTTCTGGATTCGCACGTCTGAATGCGGGTTGAGCATTGACTTTGGGTCGCAGTTCCTGAATCGATTTCACTTTCGCAAAGCGAGGAACAGAGCTCCTGTGTGATCCATTGTTTAATTGTGGAGGGGCATATCTTGGTGATCTTAGCTCTCGCCCAAAACCGGTGTTGAGTTGCGGTGTGGCGGACAGCGAGAGATTCTGGGCAGGGGTGGAATCGGGTGGCTGGAGGGGCGTCAATTGCGGTGGCTGCGATCGGGCTGCTGCTGCATTCATCGTTAGATAGCCTATCAGGAATATGCTCAAAAGCGAGGAGTCAGAAAGTCGCGTGACGTACAAGTTGGGGTATAATAAGAATGAGATGGGGAAGCATATGGATTTGAGCGAGTGGGAGATTGCCGAAGAGGATTGGATTGCGATGCATACGGGCTGTATGCTGGTGGATTGGATTGCTGCGGGCTTCGCGCATACGGTGAGGTTGGCGAGAAGGTGTTCATCGGAGAATATCTTCGAGCGGCCGAGGATTCTTCCTGAGGCATATACTGTGACGAAGGTCTCTGCGAATGACTTGGTCTTGATGAGTACTTGGACCGATTGTACGGGTCCGCATCCTCCATGGGAACGTCGTCATCGTCGCGTTCTCCAGCGTTGATGCGGGGTGTCATTGAAGGTGACATGCTCATCGTTTGGCTATGAGATGACGATGAGGGGGATTGATAGACCTCGTAATTGAAACCAGGCGGCGGCTGAGGTTGAATTGGAGGCTCTTGTGGCCCTCTTACCGGGGATTGCTGTTGCTGTTGTGAATTACTCAATGGCGCATACCGCGCGGGCTGACCGACTGCTGGTTCCTCCTGCTGCTGCTGCCAAGCCTGTTGCATGACAGGCAGACGACCCTTTCAAAATCCCTAATAAAGCGTTGGAACTTTGGCTTGGAGCACGAAGGCAAAGCTCGAAAACTTACGACTGGTCCGGCGCCCAAGAGGAGCTGGTGACGGCGAGCGTCCCGGATCGCGGGAAGCTCACGGGTTACCTAGGCGGTCCAACTTGAGCCGACTGACCGTGCGCAATAGAAGTCCTCACGAAGGATAGAAAGAGGACCGTCTCCTATGGTGAAGAATGATAGATTTCTCGAAGATGCGTGCTCCTCCAAGCGTGGACTCTTTTGTTGGTTGGCGGCTTGCGGTCTAGCGAGGGTGACGAACCGCGTGGGTGGAGATGACGATGCCGTCCAAGGGACGGCCAAGGTTGCTGCGCAGGACTTGAGGCGGAGGAAGCTAATTCAATTCCAAGGAGACAGCGCGGCGAGAGGTGGCGTCAATATAGAACAAAATTATTTCTACCCAGAAGTATGGCAGGTCTGTTCAGCGATGGACGGGAAGGGTTAGCAGAGCTAGAGCTCATCTGTTCGGAGGGGCACTGTCGGTCGGCAAGAAGACCAAGGAAGTTAGAGAGCAGCAGAGCATTCCGCCAGATCACACACTTTGGGCGACAAATACACCAATGTGTTAAATCGGCCCAAAATACCTCTGAACCGTACCAGTCACACAGCCTTCGCCAATCATTACACTATTACGGATAGCCCAAGCATTGATGAGAAATTGAAAGAATTGGCAGTCTACGTAAAATGAGGCAACATATATGCCTTCAAGCAAGCAGAAGTTCACATCCAATTGCGTAACTCACACCTTTCACTCGGAGCGACGTCCATCAACTCTAGACCGGGGGTAATGTAGTGGAATTGGTAAGTGTAAACTATACGCACTCGCGCAGAAAACGAAGCAGCCATAATGGGGTCTCCCTTTCTCTACGAGTCACTTGGAGTCATTGTCGGAGGACCGCTCTGCTTTCAGCAGAAGGTCAGGCCTGAAAGTTGCCCCCTTTCGACATGGCTTGGCGCGAATGAGGACAAGCGTTAGCCGCTGGGAACACAATTAATCAACACCCTTTTGACACCAATCAAGAACAGTCTTCTGCACGTCCTCCGAGGGGCTCGGGCAACCCTTTGGGCAGCCACAGAGATGAGAGCAAGTATAGACCATGTATTCTTCTCACCAAACGACGAGCGTATTTAATAAGGCTTTCATAATGTGCTGCACTAAGGTATACTCGTAATATTTCTACTAACGTACAACCTACGGAGTAGTAGGACACCGCCCCCTCGACGCAATGATTTTAATACGGAGTACAGAGTACTTTGGTACATGGAACTTTCAGTTCCCCTTTGCCCAGGCGTTCATGGTTATTGATTACATAATACATATTTAGGCTGTCCTGGAGATAACCAGATACAAGATAATCGTCACGTGCTCGCGTGTTCTTGCGGTAGCCTATTCTAGCGCTAGCTATATTGGGTAGGAGTATGAGTGACTCTTCCGCGCACTGCAATAGCAGGGTGTCCGCAAGTGCTAGGGACTCTTTCTGGCCGGTGCTTAGTGAATGACGACAATAGATTCGCGTTGGATTTCAGTCTCATACGGATTTATTTCTATTGAAATCCCGTTCCCTTGTTGAAAACGAAGACTGCACGCTGGAACAACAAAGTCAGAACTGCCGAAGCTCTCATAAATTCTGAAGAATTAATATCTCCTTGGTTTTTGAATCATGATTTGTCCAGGATCGACTTTGATCCTCAACCGATAAAAAGCAATTTATTCTCCGGTACATATTTATCGAGAGGAATCAGAAAGACGCGGGAAATTTAAACCACGAAACCTACCACGGCCCCCGATGATACGGTGTCAATACGCTATTGTCACTAGCAGTTGATTGCTCCGCTCTGTTTCACGCTTCTTTGCGTCTCAAAATCCGTCGACAACAATGGTCGAGAACCGCGAACAGCCTCAAACCCCACAGACTGCTGCCGACTCTACCCAGACACATGAAACGAGACACCAAGGTTCGAGTGTTCACAGGGATCATGGCGTTGACACGCCTACAACAGCATCAGAGGGAACAAATCAAGAGGTTCTAGGGGAAGATGAGGCCAGCCGGTTGAAAGAGTTGACAGCAAATGTACGAGATCAAGATGAGCTTGAACGTGACATAAGTCGCCAGGTGAGTGCATACTGGAGATTCCAGATGTAGCTTGCGCGGATATTGATTAGGCATTTACCAGGCGGATCGCTTGCTCCTTGAACAAGCGGATGAAAGAGACCAGAAGCGCTTAGATAAGAGCAATGCAGAGAAAGAGTAAGATATCATCAAATCGCCTCTTAACACTTCATCTGAGGATTCCAGGCTGACTGATTTTTTAGAAAATTACTTGCTCAGGTGCGCACTGTGCAGCAAAGGCTCGCCCAACCAACTGGAGTTGCTTCACGAGTCCGTCTAGAGGCCGAACTCGACAATCTCCAGATTAGAATCTCCGGACTTGACACAGACATTGATCAAATACGTGACCGCATCAAACAGCGTCACCAGGACGACGGTGTGACCGAAGCGAACTCGATCGATGAATCAGGCGCGCGGAGACTACCGAACGAGAGTCGCCGAGACTTTTTGATACGCACAGGGAAGATAACCCCCTTCTCTGCCAGAGGCCGTCCGTTAGCTAGATCCAGCTCGAATCTACAAGATGTCATGTTCGATGCTGAGGAGGCTTTTTCAAGCGAGGGCGAGATGGAAGAGGTCGAGCATGAGGACTCAACAGGAAAAGAACCCATGTCTCATCGCAACCTTCTATTACCGGGGTTTTCCGACGAAGACGACAGCCAGCTCAGTTTTGAGTCATCAGGTACGCCGAGACCCTCGAAGCGATCAAGGGCTGACCGTCGATCGGCCCGTTCTGATACCTCTGTCAAAACGGACATCTCGGAGGAAGCCTCTGGCTCCGAATTTGGCGAGACGAGCTTAGCTGATGAAGATGAGGAGGGCTTAGAGCAAGACGAAGAGGAAGTCGATGATGCATTTATCGTCGACGAGCGCCCGCGGAAACGTAGAAGGACAGATCAGAAATCCAAGGTGGCTCCCGGGGAACCGGCAAAGGAAGACTTTGCCGGGATTGATGACGGAAACGAGAGTGTCTACCAAACGCGCCTAGAGAGTTGGGTCAAGCGGAGACGCGCAGCGCGCCTCCGGGCCCAGGCCCGAAAGGAGCCAACAGAAAGCTCGAGTGAATCCGCCATCTTCCAGGGTGTGAACCAAGCTCAGAGGGATGACAGAGTCGAGGATGAGGAGTGGTACATGCCACATCCTACACGCTCTGATACTGAATTTGAGGGGGATTTTCGAATGCCGGGAGACATATACCCTTCACTGTTCGATTACCAAAAAACCGGTGTCCGCTGGCTTTGGGAACTGTATTCTCAGCAAGTTGGCGGTATTATCGGAGATGAGATGGGGCTTGGAAAGACGATTCAGGTCATATCTTTCCTGGCGGGCTTACATTACTCGAAGAAAATCACCAAACCGATTATTGTTGTTGCCCCTGCTACCGTCATGAAGCAGTGGGTTAACGAGTTTCATACCTGGTGGCCGCCTTTACGGGTATCCATACTCCACTCTTCTGGAAGTGGCATGATTGATCTTCGCCAGGAGCGGGAGCGTGAATTTGAGCTTGTTTCTCAGTTGTGGAACGGCTCAAACTCAATGGGAAGAACGAAAGGTCAGAAGACTGCTCAAAGAGTCGTGGACAGAGTAATCCAGGAAGGCCACGTTCTAGTCACCACCTACTCTGGCTTGCAAACGTATGCAGAGCTATTGATACCGATTGATTGGGAGTATGCTGTATTGGATGAAGGTCATAAGATTCGAAACCCAAATGCAGCAATCACTATCTACTGCAAAGAGCTCCGTACTGCAAATAGGATCATTCTTTCCGGTACTCCTATGCAGAACAACCTCACGGAATTGTGGTCTCTGTTCGACTTTGTCTTTCCTATGCGCTTGGGGACGTTGGTAAATTTCCGGAACCAATTTGAATATCCCATTCGCCAAGGCGGCTATGCAAATGCGTCCAATCTTCAAGTACAGACGGCAATGAAATGTGCCGAGACCTTAAAAGAAACGATTAGTGCTTATCTACTGCAAAGGTTCAAAATCGACGTTGCGGCCGATCTTCCCAAAAAGAGCGAACAAGTCTTGTTCTGCAAACTCACAAAATCTCAACGAGAAGCATATGAGACATTCCTGGCTTCTGATGACATGAAGGCGATAATGAATCGGAAGAGACAGGTATTATATGGAGTTGATATCCTGCGAAAAATATGCAACCATCCGGATCTGCAGGAACACAAGACACTGTCCCTCAAAGGAAATTATGCCTATGGCAACTCTGCAAAGTCTGGGAAGATGCAGGTGGTGAAAGCTCTTCTCGGATTATGGAAAGAGACCGGTCACAAGACTCTCTTATTCGCCCAGCACCGCATAATGCTTGACATTCTCGAGAGCTTTGTCAAGTCATTGGGAGGTTTCAACTATCGACGAATGGACGGAAACACGCCGATCCAGACGAGGCAAAGTCTCGTCGATGAATTCAATAAGACTCCTGATATTCATGTATTCCTCCTCACTACAAAGGTCGGTGGCTTAGGTGTAAATCTTACAGGAGCAGATCGGGTGATTATTTTCGACCCGGACTGGAATCCTTCAACGGATCTGCAAGCTCGAGAGCGTGCCTGGCGGCTTGGACAGAAACGAGAAGTAATGATATATCGTTTGATGACGGCGGGCACGATTGAAGAAAAAATCTATCACCGGCAGATTTTCAAACAATTTCTCACAAATAAAATATTGAAAGATCCAAAGCAGCGACAGACCTTTCAGATGAGTGACCTCCATGATCTCTTTACCCTTGGAACGAATGAGCAAGAGCCGACGGAGACAAGCAAGCTTTTCCAAGGTACAGAGGTCAAATTTGGTGGAGGAGGCCGTGACACTGGGAAAAGTAGAGCCCAAGGCAGCCCGCCGTCATCTGCGGGCCCTGCCGACGCCGACAACAAGGACAATCCTGATGATCTTCGCCGAATGGCGGGCGTTGCCAGCATGGAACGTTACCACGGCGAAGAAGAAGAGGAACAAAAAGCCAGCGACCCTGCCAAAGCGAACGAAGACCGAGTCATGGAGGGGATCTTTTCTCGAGCAGGCGTGCATTCTGCACTGGAACATGATCAGATCATAAACGGCAAGAGAGTTATTGCTGCAGACCCCAAGATAATTGAACGCGAAGCCAAGAGGGTTGCAGCTGAAGCAGCAAGGGAACTACAAAAGGCCGGGGAAGAAGCAAAACAAGTGCCTATCGGCACACCCACCTGGACCGGCGAATTTGGAACTGCCGGACGCCCACAGGGACCGGTGGGCTTTGGACGGGGCCGAGGTCGCGGTGGTCCTTCATCAGCAAGCATATTGGCTGGTTTACAGGATCGCCAACTTGCTGATAGAGATTCAAGCAGTTCGCGCGCCGGTACTCCCTCTGGGAGAAACTCTCGTCCCGGAACGCCCGCACCTCGCGGGAAGGATTTTATTCGAATGATTCGTGATTATTTGCTTGTGCATGGTGGCCAGGTATACACCCAAATGTTGGTTGATCATTTCAATAGATACTGCACTACGCCAGCCCAGACCATGGAGTTTAAGGAAATGCTGAAGCAAATTGCGGTCTTGGAAAAAGGGTCTCGCGGTCGGGCGAAATGGATCTTGAAGGATGAATATAAGCGCCGGCCTTGATTAAGTACCTTTTTTCCTTTTCTTTATTTACGCCTGCTCATTACATTCATATCACACTTTCTAATTTGCTTTTCACGCACTTTATATATATCCCATCTGCTTTAACCTTCTGGGTCAGTTCGCTCGTCAGGCGTGGGAAGATTGCTGGAGCCGTGCTTAAAAGGGGTTATTATTTTTTTCCCCCCCTCTCCTTTCATCTTCACTCCATTTTCTCAAGGGTTGAGCTCTAGATAACATAAATTTTTTTTTCACGCTGATATTGATAATTTGTGGACTGTGATATACATGTACAATGGCATGTGACTCGAGTGTACGAGTTCTGTCATGAGAGAATCGAATCCTCCAAAAATAGTAGTTGGAAAGGCTTTTTACCCCTGGCAAGTATAAACATTACCTAGACGTGCTGGAATGAACGCGAGGGATTCTTTCCCCAAGAGGGATAGTGCGTTTCCCTCGCGACGGTCCGCGCCCTGTCTAGCAGGCCATTGGCCCCTCTCTATACGAGAAGAAAGTCCCTAAGGGGTCCTTTTAGGTGCATTTTCTTCCTTATGGTACAAGAGTCTCTCGGATCGTGCTGGTACACAGCATGCCTCATCCAAATCACCCATAATGCGCCTTCAACACTTTTGTCTGCCGCAACGCTCTTGACTGACATCGACTTCCGCCTCTCGTTATTTGCATTTTGACGTGTGTTTTCTGGTTCCTTGACAGCATCAAGCATCAAGCCTCACGTACATAGCATTTACTACATCCGACGTCCTGGACTCTGTCGTTACAGTCGCTCGATCTCACACTCGCTGGGCACGTCGGAAGCCATACTCCTGTTTAACGACAAATTGAGCATTTGGCCATCCTCCCTTGAATAATCCGCCTCAGTCGCCAGCCCAGAGATTTCCAAGGCTTTCCTCGATCTGATAATCACCGCAATACATTTCAAAAGAACTGTAAACACCGTCCTGTGGAAGTCGAGGCATCTCTTAACCGCCCCTTCCTGGCTTCTTCATTCCGCAGATTCTTAGGAGCGCTCCGCTCCAATTGCAAAGATCGTCCACCATGCGATCCATTCAAATCATTACTCTCCTCTCGACTTTATTCCTAATAATATCCGTTTGTGGAGCTTGGCCATGGCCACCATCTGTGAACTTGATTGAGGCGCCCGTAGCCCGGAGAGACGATAGCACAACAGGTGAGAAGAACTGCCTGTTGCATTGAGGGTTTTCTGGTGGAGGATTAACAGTGGACAATCTTGGCAGGCTCTGCGGCTGCTGCAAAGACGACTGCAGCTGCAGCGAAGACAACGGATTCGGATAAGACCACCGCCAAAGAAACCAATTCAAAGGCCGCAAAAACGACTAATAGTTCTCCCGATTCAGCCTCGGCGTCTGCATCTGCTAGCGGGAGTGACAAGGGAAGCAAAGCATCTGCCACCAAGACGGACACCAAATCAAAAACCAAGACCTCGAGCAAAGCCAGCAAGACTTCGTCCATCAGCATTGACCCTCGCGTCCCGCCCGGAGGCGTCTCGATGATCACGCCTGCCGCTAGTGTTGGAAACCAGTACTACAAGATTGGTTACAATGCCACATTTGCATGGAACTACACCTCGCTCTCCGTCACGCCAAAGGCAATCAACGTGCTGGCGGCCTGCAGCGAAAATTCAAACACCTACACACTTTCTCTAAACCAAAGCGTTGGTACTACCAACAAGATAACCTGGGATACAGGTGCATCTCAGACTGTTCCTTTTGTGATGGGGACGTATACTCTCATCATCTACGACGCTGCAAAGTCGGTCTCTGCCACTCCTAGCCCCGGTTACCTGGGCACCTACGATCAGTTCGAATTTGGAATGTACATTCCTCAACCATACACTCCATTGAGCGGTAAGCTACCATCTCATTATCATCATCAACATATTATCTACAGAACCCTTGTTTTTTTTTTTTTTTTTTTTTTCTCTTCCTCTTCCTTCTCCCACGCACTCTTGTTATTCCACCATATGCTAATCCATCCCTTCCTCACTCCAGATTATCAATGTGCCACGTGCAATGGCGCTCTCTCCGCCGCGCAACGTCAAGCTTTCCAGTTCATGCTCGGCACCGTTTTAATCACGATTCTCTCCTTTACCTGGTTCGCAGGTGGATTCGGCGTCTTCAATTAAAATCCAGCATTTTTTGAACAAACGCTTCTCTAGAATTTGCTCAGCCCTCAGAGTCTTTCATTTCTTTTCTACTTTCTCGTCCAAGGTCTAGTTTCAATCCCGCCTGGGTCTATTATTCAGAACAAGAAAAAGGAGACTTGGGAATCGGATGAAGCGATTGCATTCTTATTCCATTCTTTGTTTCCGTTCTCCTTTTCTTGTGTTTATTCTTTTTATTACATTGCGAAAGGCCTGCATTCACAGCTTTTCCATGCCTGTGCTCATCACGGACCTTTGAGCTCTTCTTCTTCTTAGTTTCCATTCACACATACATAATTTCATAGCCTTACGCATGGGGGACGTCTATTAGCCCATTTCTTTCTCTCCTCCCACCCTTTGGCACCTTTCTTTAACTCGCGCTCTTGTTCCAAATTCTGCATCGGGCTGGTTCGTCTGTTCGTTTCGTTTTTGAAAAGCGGCGTTACTTGTTCTCCTTGTCCTCTGGCTCTCATTTGGTTCTCCTTTCATGTAAGCATCTTAATTTTTACGGCATTCTGGGAAATTAGGGGGGAAAATACTAAAACACATTTGAGTTTTCCGAGTCGACTTGTATCAACTAATATCCTTGAGATACGTAATCTTCTGGATTGATGCTTCCATAGCTGGAGTGAGAATTACATATGTAAAACCGTAGCATTATTCATGGATTCACGGCCACTATGCGAAATGGGGAGTGCGAGTAAAGAAGGATTTGTATCATTTCATCGTGCTAATTTTTTTAAGACAAAAAAAAGGACAAAACTTGACAGCAACTAGAGTCTCTCCAGCTTACAACGCTTCTTTTCTATACATATGAATGAATTTGAAACGCTCATAGGGGAAGAGGGACCTCTCAGTGTTGGGCAAGTTGTCGTTCGACATTCATCTCTAATACAAATGTATCATCCAGTTTCCTTTCTCTATCTTCCTCCTGCATGAACTTTTTGTCGTTGCCTTGGGCTTTTGAATTCTCAAGGACGAGATTCGTGGCGTTACGGGAAACTTTTTTTTCGCGCGGGGAACCAGTCATGTGATGAAAATGAAATAGCACATGATACGAGGGCAAGAAAAAGAGAAAAAAGAGAAAAAGGAGAGAAAAAAAAAGTAATAATAGATGGAATAGCAGATGATACATGACAGAAGAAAATAGACAAGCGATCCAGAACGCCTGGTTCGATGGGATGGAAAAAAAGAGGTAAGAAAAGGATAAACTGTATGACATGAATAGGACAGTAAATGATGTTGCCCACGAACCGGAACAGAAAATTATTGACGGGGCCAGCTGGTTGGAGATAGTCCATATGACCATTTTCGAGTTGAGAGGATAATGATCTCAACAAGTATCTGGACCCCCCTCAGGCAATTATCTGCAAATAGAAAGCGCTCCCGTACCAGCGGTTTGAGGATGGATCGAGCGCTGATATGGAGCCTGGCTCGTTTGTCGCTCCGCGGGTCCCTAGGTTATGGGTTGAATTTGGCGGCGCGGCGAGCAGGAAGGGGTGATTGTTTGCATGCGCTTAGTAGGCGCGGGCAAGGTTGCGGAGGTACCAGTCAACGAGGCGACGACCGACCTTGGCCTCTGAGATGTGGATCAGGTCCTATACAAGAGACAATTAGCAAGTGTGTTCCAAAGGGATCATGGAAAAGAGGGGATTTTTCTGCAAGGGAGAGAGCCATATCAAGTGTCTCCAAAGATGTTTCGGGAAAGAAGGTGCTAACTGAGCGAGTACTTACACCTTGCATGGCATAGTCGAGGTCGCTGGCGTTAACAATATCGCCGTCGAGGAGACCACCCTCGCTCCAGCGAACCTGGCGGCTGCGCTGCTTGTTCACGAGGAGCCATCCACGGAGCTTCTCGGGTTCGACCTCGAGGAAGCCAGCCAACTTGTTCAAGTCCATAGTCGTGTAGAGCTTCAGGTAGCTCTTGACAGTGGGCGACCAGATGTTGGCCTTGACCTCATCCATGAAGATGGCACAGTGGTGGTCGATGGGGTCGACGTTCAGCTCTGGGTTGTCAAAGTCCGGTGGGACGGGAGAGATGAACTTGGGGCAAGCCGAGCGGAAGAGCTCCTCAAAGATGGGGAGCGCCTCGGGGCCACCTCGCTGCATACGGAGGAACTGCTCGCCGTACTTCTCGCGCAGAGCGCTGTGGATGGTGTCGTCGAGACGGGTAGGCTGCAGGGCAACACAGATGGCAATCAGGGCGTACATCTGGTCGTTCTTCTTGCTGATGGAATCGTACTGGGCGTTCTTCTGGAAGTTCTTGGTACGAGACACGTAGATGAGGATATGGCTGAACATGCGGATGGCGTCCGAGTAGCGGCGCATCATCATGTATGAGAAACCAACGTAATAGTACGTCGTGAAGTGAGCAGCCATGACGCGCGCAAACATGGCCTTCTTGTTCAGCTCAATATCGTCCAGCGTCTTGAGCGCCAAGGCGAAGTCTCCGAGAAGACAGTGCACGCGCAGCAGACCGATGATGGAGAAGTATCCCAACATACGGTAAAGGGGCCGAGAGCCATACTCGCCAGCCACAGCGGCGGGGTCCTCACCACGCTTGATGGCCGCAAGCTGATCGTTGATCTGGGACCGCTGGATCAGAGAGTACAGGACGTTGAGGACGCTGTAGCAGCCCCAAGTGTTGGGGTTTTCGCGGAGAAGCTGCTTTTCCTCGTCATTCTCACCCTTGCGAGCGATGCGATGGCGGTAGCTGCAGAAGCTGTTGAACTGGTAGATGAATTCATCGATGACGTCCCAGGCCCAATAGTACTGATTATTTGTTAGATCTCACTCTCTCTTTGTATAATCACCAAATTTTTTTTCATTCGCGGCTTACCGAAGGGACCTCGAGTTCAACAGGGCCGTCGGAGTTGAGAATGTAGTGGAAAAGGCTGCAGTAGTTGTCGTAGCTCGCAAACTTGGTCTCCAAAGTAGCCTGGTAATCCAATGGGGTGGCAGCCGCCGTCAACTGAGCCTGAATATCCTGAGCCTGCTGACCAGCTCCAAGAGAAGTGGTCCGCTCGAGATCGCTCATGCCATCGTCAAACTGAACTTGTTCTCGGTAATCGTTGACGAGCGCTTCCTCCTCATCATCCGAGTCCTGCTGAGGGCGGACGGGAATGTCCTCGTTCTGGTACGGCAGACGCTGTTGGACGTTCATCTTGCCTGCGGGGAGAATTGGACACGAGATGGAAATTGCCTCTATGGGGTCCTGGTCGTGGCCGATACCGATGATCGATTGGCGCTGTCGTCGTCGTCGTTGTTCTTTTGGTGTGGAATAATCTCCAGAAGGGTTTTCGCTTACGGCAACCCTATGAGAGTATAGCGCAGAAGCAGCTTATCGATATGGAACTGACCTGCCTATCATGAACTATGGACCTTGAGCCGGCAAAGGCGGCACCGGGCCAATGTGCACCTTGGCACTGACTCTTGCTGGAGAATTTCCTGGTCTCTTCATTGTCGAGAGATCATGTCTTCGCAGGAACTCATAAAGGTTGCTGTCATTCAGCTGTATGCTGAGGTGCGTGTCCTGTCACTTGCTCGTATCTTGGGACGAATGCTGATAACACCTCGCCTACAGCCCTTAAAGGTCGAGCATAACTTCAACAAAGCCGCAAACTTTATTCGTGCAGCTGCGTTCCAGGGTGCCAAATTGGCTGTATTGCCAGAGTATCATCTCACTGCCTGGGTCCCCGATCGGCCTGGCTTTCTCGAAGCTACCCGGCAATGGAAGACCTACCTCCAGAAATACCAAGCGCTTGCGAAGGAATGCAACATTTGCATTGTCCCTGGAACAATTGTAGAGTGTCATGAGGGGGAAGATGGTGAAGAGAGGGTCTTATGGAATCCAGCCTATTTCATTGACAACAAGGGCGAGATTTTGGGCAGCTACAAGAAGAAAAACCTATGGTCTGCTGATGCTCCAAATTACCAGCAGCTCTGTAATCACCATCAGTTAATATTGACACGTCTTGCAGGCATTCGGAAAGGGGACACTTGACTTCAAGTGCGCATTCGCCCCATGAAGTGATCGAGACTCCCATCGGACCTGTCGGCATGCTGATATGCTGGGATCTGGCCTTTCCGGAAGCTTTTCGAGAATTGATCGCCAAGGGCGCGAAGATTATAATCATTCCAAGCTTTTGTATGGGCTAATAGCAACGCATCTCCAAAGACGTTTCACTAACTCTATGGTTCAAAGGGACTCTCTGGGACTCGACCCCAGCGGGCATGGAGTATAACAAGACAGCAGAAGCCTTGTTCATCGACAGCTCCATTACCTCAAGAGCGTTTGAGAACACTTGTGGTATGCAGAATTTCTCAATGAGATTTCTATTATGTACTGATGTCTGTCTCAGCCGTAATTTTTGCCAACGCTGGAGGCCCATCGTCGCGCGGCTATGCAGGACTCTCCCAGGTCACCGTGCCCTTTATCGGCCCACTTGTAAGGCTTGGTAGCGGCGAGGAAGGCATGTGTGTCGTTAATTTGAATACGGCTGTACTAGAAGCCGCAGAGGACTGCTACAAGGTCCGGGAAGATTTATCCCGTCAGGATTGGCATTATGATTACAGGCATAATCGCACGAGCCACAAGATATGATACGTTTCAAAGTTGCCAAATTCTGGTAACTTTTTACCCTGTGGTGAGCTATTTAGGGCTTGTCAATATTGATTGCAAGCTATTCATGAAATGAAGCAAATTTCTCCTAATAAAATCACTGATGCTCGGGCACGAATGCTTATTTTTGTGTTGGATAGGCCAGAGGGGTGCGTAGCATTACATTTTGTCCTGCTCCATCTCTCTCGGCTGTAATCTTTCCTCTTCCGCTCGTATGCTGCAACAGAATCTCCGGGAAAAAAAAAAGTAGCCGCTGACCATGGATAGAAGCCCCTTGTCCCACCGCGTACCTCTCCTAGGCGTTCTAATCCTTCTCGAATCGGCGCAGCTTAAACCTCAGATGAAGGGCCCTTGCTGCAATGATCGTCATTGAACGGATGGCCGTAACTTGTAGGAAAGCCATACGGCTCGGCGGATTGTTGAACGTAGCGTCGACCAACGCCCGAGATAGTGGACGAGGAAATGCTTGCATATCGCTACTTTAGAAATTCTACTCCGCCCAGCTTATGCCTGGACCAATCGTAGAAAGAGCGCTGGAAAGGCGCTCGCCCTTATCAGAACCGTCTTCAGAACCATCTTCAGTTCCTTCCGTATTGAGGACCATATAGCGGTTTTTGCTCGGTTCTTTCCTGATGCCTGGTCGCTCGATCTTTCCAACCTTTTCCGCGCCAAGGGTCACCAAGGGTGCAGCGCACTCATCTGGATACCAGTCGAGGAACATGCCTTTGTAAATGGCTCTGGACAATATGCAGGTACGTGCAAAGACGGAGACACTTATCGAGTTCAGACAAATTATCATATTGCCGGCACGAGACGTGATGTCGACAACGACAAGATTGTGAATATGATCTAGATCTTGACGAAGTTTTGCAGCAGTGATACCTGCATGAACATTCCTGAGAATAAGATTCCGCGAAGCACCTTTGCTGAGCTTGTAGGCCATGGAAGGATTGATCACAAATTGGCGGTCATTCCAACAAACATCGACCTTTTGGCAGGATTAGCTATCTCAATCAACAATGCAATATTACAGCGTCCTGACCTTCGTTCCCAGAATGAATATTCCATGGCGGCTGGAATATTCGTAAAAGTTCCGCGCTGCGTCGCTTTTGACGAACGAGACATTGGCAGATCCGTCTTTTTTAAGGAAAATGTCGATCAAAGCTCCTCCTCGGATGGCTTCGATCAGCTTCTTGTGCGTAGTATGCTTGGGCAGTCCGGTGATCCGGAGCGTACGTCTTTCATCTTTCAACGCCGAATCACTACCAGTGTCAACGTCGTTGCGCTCATTGGCTTTGACCGAAGTGTTCGGAAAGCCACGCTCTGGGGGAGCTTGCAAATCATTTTTCTTGTCAATAGCCAACTGTCCCGCTTGAAAATCAAAGGACTTACTTCCAGACCCGCTATTCTTGCCTTGCATCAGCGTGTTGGGCGCTCTAGCAGCATTGGTGGCCCGAGGGTTGGAGCCCGGATCTGGTTGCTTGCTGGGTATTGGCCGTTCAACATCAGCAGCAGGTTTAGGAACGTTCAAAGCAGTTGGAGTCTGGTGCACAAGCAGCTTTCAAGGGCTATCAACTTGATGTCCGATATCGAATGAGGGCATGATTCCGTACCTCAAGAGTCTCAAGATCGACCCCGCCGAGCAATAGTGTCTGTCGAAGTGCAGCTGATTTTACGTTAATAGTTGCACCTCACCTCTTGCCTCTGCACCCATATACCAGACAATTATCCACGTGCTTGACGGTTCATGCTGAAATGGAAAGGATGCTGCTTACCATACTCCTGCGACTGACGTATCTTTTTATGGGTGTCAGCCTATAGCCGTATTGCATCAGACCTAGTCAAACTGTGCGGTTATAGTTCCTTACCAAGTTTTGGTATTCACGCCATAAAAGAATGACAGACCCATTTTCCTGAGTTATGCCATGGTTGTGAATCACGTTTTCATGCTGTATCGATCAACAATAACGCATTAGTAGGCTCTCAGCAACCGATTTCTAAGTGATGAATCTGACCAATTCCGCACTGTAAACAAAGGAACCCGTCAGCCATCAGCTCCTCTTAGCACAAAGTGAACGTCTAGCTCAACATGGCCCATACCGTCGGAGCAGGGTCTCAAAGTAACCTTTGTCGATGGTCACAGAATCTGTCATTTTGGCTGGAGCTGGCGAATGTCCAGGGAAGATTGCTGGTTGTCAAATTAGAAGTTTGAACGGCCCATCTGTTCATGGCAGCTACATGTGATGGGCACAACAAATATTCACTGGTCTTCCTCGTCATCGTCAACCAGAACGTTACCCTGGACTGAGAAATTTAAACCGCCCTATAAGTCTCTAACTATACCTAAGCTATCCCATCGTCCAAGATGCATTTTGAGAATGTTATTTGCCAGGAGCATCTAACTTATGGGAAATATATATACTTATTACATTTCTACTTGATCAACCGACAGGATAGAAAGATATCCATAATTTAAGAGCCCTCATCAATGCGTTTCTTTGCCTCCAAAATGTTTCGTCAAAATGCTCTCCTAAACGCCAATTCTATTTACCCAAAATTGCAACCATAGCGCAAGCGGGTAGGAAGTGGAGCCGCTAACTCTAGTACTTAGAGAATTTACATATGCCTATCATTTGTGGAAACTAAACAGCGCCCAACTCTTTGAGCACGCCAGCCAGCCGCCGATAATCTCTCAGCAGCTCGGAAATCTCGCCAATCTTAAGCTCGCCGGGATTGCTCACCTCCATGAACCGTTCAATCGGTGGCGAGACCTTAGGAAGCGGCCTGGCTTGCGGCAGAGGAGATGCAGCAGGCTATCAAGCACAATTTGTTAGAATTGGATTGACGCTTAGGATGTTGGATAAATACTCACCGAGTCTCTTTCTGTCTCAAACAATGAACCTGTCTCCGCTACTCCCTTCGGCGGCTGATGGCCTAATTCCTTGGACTTTTCCGCGGCGCTGGAAAGCACAGGCGGAGTTGTGGAACTAGTTCTACCAAACCCACGCATCATACTCATACCGGCCAGCCGGTTCAAAGGATTTAAAGTATTCCCAAGATTTCTCATTGATTCTACTGCTGCATTTGCTGAAGCAGAGGGCGGCGGGGCGGAACGAGTGCCTGCATTTGGGAACCCACGTTCTTTTGATTCTGTTAGCTCCTCCGAGAAGGGCAGTTTCTTGCCACTTCCTCCACTTCCTCTGCTGTCGATGCTCCTCTCTCTAGCCATATGAATATCAGGGAAGGAAGCGTTTCCTCCGTCAAAGGTAGATGACCCAACTCCGGGCAGACCGTCAGTTTGCTCAAGTAAGGAGCTGGCCGCACTCAAATTGCCCTCCTCCTCAGCCGGTAGCTGGGGAGTGCTGACTAACTTGCGTGCTTCGTCGAGTGTCTTGGGCATGAAGACAGATCTGTTCTCCCCATTGGCTCCAGTCAATTGCTGTTCTTTTAGGCGACCAAAGAGGAACTTGTAGCTCGTCTCCAACGTGTTGCTGATATTTTTGAAGCTTTGGTCAGCCGTGTTAATGACAGCATCACTTGCTGCTCCGAATGGGTTGCTGCCAGGTTGAAGCAGGCTGCTGAGTCGTCGTTGAGGAGTAGGAGTACGGCTAGCTCCCTCAGACAAAGGTGAGTTCCGCATAGGTCGACTGGACCCAGAAGGTGCCGGAGTTGCGACTTCGGGGGTGGTCGCGGGCGGCAGCAATTGGGAAGGTGATGGTTGTGTTAGGGAGGTCCGCTCGGACTTCTCAAATTTAGACGTTGACAGGCGGCCCGGTGGTTCTGAGGGAACTCGATATGCCTCCTCGGCTCTTAAACTAGGTAAATCCACCGTCTCAAGAAACGTTATGGCAGCTTCAAGGTTGGTCAGACAGTATGCAGCTTCCCCGTCCATCTTACTCAAAGAGCGGAAGCGTTGAATGAAGTGAAGATCGCTAACAACGCTCAGGTCTTCTGCTGGAGAGGTGATCAATGTATAGATAAGCGTAGGCATGATCTCGTCGGCGGAAGACGACGAAGGGAAGGATTTTGACAATGTTTCCACAATACTCTTGTGCACGGCCGTCAAATGATGCAGTTTGCCCAATGGATATTTTTCCTGGTTCATTTTGGCAAGCTCATCCCTCGCTCGCGCGAGATCATCTCGAATCTTGTTCTCCTTTTCTTCCGGGCCCGACTCACCGAATGCTGAGCCAACTTCAATACCAAGATCATTCAGCCCGATCCCAACGACCGATAAAGCTGCTATTCGAGATCGGAGCTTTTCATCATTGGCCTCATCCTGAGTACTGCGATGTCGCCAAATCCTATCATAGATATTTTCGCATACCCTGCGTTCCACAGCCTCTTCTAAGATGATTCGTTTCTGCTCCAGGCGCCGCCGCGCTTTGCGCTTGTCCGTGATTTCCGTACTCGTTAGCATCTGCTGCGATGCATTTGGATCTTCTTGAGATTTTGTTTGCTCTTCCGTAGATGCATGCTTGCCTCCTAGTTTTGACAGAGTTGATCCTTTTGTCGTTGTAGGCGGGTGTTCTGTTCGTCGCATTGACGACAACGCGGAGATGTGTGTAGCAATAGTGGCTGATGCCCGTATATAGAATTCTTGGAACAGCTCTGAAAGTCTATCGATAGAGGGTGGTGTTGGATGAACTTTGGCAGACAATGAATCGACAAACCTAAGTTGAACTTGTCAGTAGGGGATATTTCTGCGCATCACAAGAGCACGGTTTCTCTTACCGATCGCTCAAGCTTAAGAGCTCAACCGGTAGATCGGTTCCGTCACCAGGAAGATGTGAGCCAGTCGGAGAGCTAACCAAGTCATCATCTACCGCGGCATGATGGTTCGACTCTCCTCCGACGAAGATATCATCTTTTTCTGGTCGATGATCTCCATCCGGTTTATCCGGACTGAGAACCTCCGGGATCGTGCCTGCATGAAGAGTAGTGGCTCGGGTGCGTGACAATGGACTTGGTCCAGCAGGTTCTAGGCGGGAGAAAGATCGGGAGATATGCAAAGGCCTTGGGCGTCGAGGCTCTTGTTCATTCTGTTGTTGCGCACTCAGCACGGACATCAACGGATCTGTAGAATTGGAGGACGATCAGCCTTCTTTCCTCAAAACAGAAGCCAAGGGCCACAGTCTTAACAGATAATAAAAAAAAGGCTTGAACCATTTCGTACCTTCGGACATTATCCACTGGTGATAGATCAAAATTGCGTTGCCAACAATATATCTTGCTTCCAGACGTGAAGCTGTTATTGAGCACGAGACCGAGTCTCGCAGGACCTAAAAGCAATGCAATGTTCAAAGATGGGTGCTCTCTAGGTGCTCATAACGCCATAAAATGCAATAAGTTCAAACGGACAATTTATGAGATCATCCAGCAGGTGTATAGAGAGCAAATGGCAGTGTGAGAAGCGTTCAATGCCGGATCTCGACCTCTCATGTCACAATAGGGTAACCCAACTGACGCAGCTTCAGTACGGAGAGAATCGTCGGAAGTTGCGTACATGAGACCAAAGGGACTAATCCGGTATGTGCCGCTCCGGCCCGTGCTCCCCTTGCTCACGCGGGATAAACCGTTTAAGGGACCAAGTAACACTAACCGAGAGACTTGTGATGTTATTGGGGAAGTGCGAGATATGAAATGCGCAGGTACTTTGTCGATACCTAACATTGCACAACGCGTAGTGGACTTGGAAAGTACAGTCTTCGACCGCCCTGAAACGGCTAAGCTCATCACCTGCACTTCTCAACGTCGTCATTCGTCTTTCGCTTGAGCTTGACTTGCTATCGCGATATCGCCTCCGCCTTCTCCATTCTAGGCGTCAACGACGCTCCTCAATGTCAATGTGAATTTGAGCTGCAGCATGATTTGGCTCAACTACGCGCGTTGGCCATCACCTCTTCGGCTGGTGAATGGTCCACTTGAACTACTTTTTCTTTCCTTTGCTGTGTTTCTGTGTTGCATCTCCGTCGCAGGCTCCACTCTTATCAGCTCCGAACAGCCTCCTTCCTACAACTTACCTGTCCTTCCTCCAGAGGCGGGAACTGATACTGGCATCGGAGGAGATGCGGCGAGGCACTCCAGTCTACACGAATTTGTACGGTCTATTCTGAATATGCTTTATTCGTCGCTAACCGCTCCATCCCCCTTTAGAAGTTGAAACACATCTTCCATCATGGAACCTATCTCTACCCAGACCTTCACATGCGCTTGGACCTTCCTCCCGGTGCACGAGTACAGGTCGATACGGATGAGGCCGAGCCTCGGGAGGAAGATCTGCCTCTGCGAGCTCGATCAAGGCCACTTGACATCCACCGATTAGTAGACCGACGGCCTTCGAGCGTTGAGGCATTGCTAGACTCGGCGAGACTCAGCGGCCAAGCATCTGTCTTATCACCGTTAGCTTGGACGTTAGATGAAGTTTCTGGCCCAAACATCACCGATAAAGAGACTGTACTCAGCTTCGGCAGGATGTCTGCTGATGCGTATGTCCTCGAACCACACACTGGAGACTGGGAGGACGTGGGTGGAGGTTTCAACTATTCTCGGGACTTTGGATGGCAGACGGTCGGTCTCCGTGGACATATATTTGCTGATGAAGTCAACTCCACGATCGTCATTGCTCTCAAAGGAACATCGCCACCGCTCTTTAACGGTGCCGAGACTGCTGCGATGGACAAACTCAATGATAATTTGTTCTTTAGCTGCTGCTGCGCCCAAGGCGGCCAATACCTATGGACCAAAGTCTGCGACTGCTACTCTACAACGTATACTTGCAACCAAACCTGCCTTCGTGGCGCACTCAGAGACGAAAATCGCTATTACCGTGCGGCACTTGATCTTTATGCCAATGTCACTGCGATGTATCCTGATGCTGACATTTGGATGACTGGTCATTCCCTCGGTGGAGCTGTGAGCAGCTTGATCGGACTGACATACGGGCTGCCGGTAGTCACCTTTCAGTCGCCTCCAGAAGCTATTGCTGCTTCACGGCTCGGCTTGCCGTCTCCACCAGGCTCTATTCAAGGCTCGCATCAGACAAGAAATTTCACTGGAGCTTACCATTTTGGCCATACAGCAGATCCTATATACCTTGGAACCTGTAATGGCGCGACGTCTGCATGCTCCTTAGCTGGTTTTGCCATGGAGACCCAATGCCACGCGGGCCAAGAGTGCATATATGATACTGTCGAGGACTTTGGCTGGCGACCTGGTGTGGGTAATCATAGAATCAAAATTGTTCTCCGCGATGTTCTCGAGGCCTACGACAGCGTGCCAGAATGCAAACCAAACTTGGAGTGCGTGGATTGTTATAATTGGAAATTTTTTGAGAGCAACGGCTCTGACAGTACAACTACATCGACGACCACTACATCAAAAACTCGGACTCGGACGAGCACATGTCAAACGCCTGGATGGTGGGGCTGTTTAGACGAAAGCACGACGACTACGTCCACCACTACTACATCAGATCCCCCCACGTCCACATCCACGACAACTTGCAAGACTCCTGGTTGGCTTGGATGCAAGGATTCTACCACGACATCTTCTGCAAGCCCAACTCTTCCGATAACTCTGTCATCGAGCACTGGACATGTGCCTACCATAACGCCCCCTCCATCGACCCCCACCTTGACCTCGCCCACGTCAACCGCGACGGACAGCTGCACCTCTAAAGCTTGGTTTGGGTTTATTTGTAAAGACCAGACTCAAACAAGCCAGAGCTCCTCCACTCCAGCTGTGACGAATCCAGCTAGCGGAGGCCCAGACTGTGTGCGACATGGCTGGCTGGGTAACTGCAAGGAATGGAAGACAGCGAACGAAGCATCGAATGACGAGCTACGTTAATTGCATCAGGCATTGTTTTTACACAGGATATTTGGCATCCTCGGAGTTTCTAGGACCCTCTCATAAATTTTTTCCCCTCATTAAGGCCTCGAAATTCTATACCTGAGCCTGGCGTTGTATTGAGTTTCGCAATTTTTTCTTGGTTTCTATCATCATACCTCGAGATAGGATCTCCATATGCTAGCGTTTTCGCACATATTGGCTCTTTGATTTATTCTCTCGTTCTAGACAACACATAGGACACAATTGGCGAATTCTATTAACGCCTCTGAAAGCCGGTACCACAACACTTTTATGCGTACATATGGTGCTCTTTGTGAGAAGCAAAAATTGATGTGCGCAGAGCTCTGCGCGATATACAACCTCGTTAAGGAGCCATGGGTAGTTGTATTTTTGTCACCTTAGCACTATATAAGCTTCAATTGAAATCCAGCTCCAGCCTCTTCTTCGTCTCTGTTGGCGAAGATCCCACTAAAGTCGAGAGCTTCAGCATCCAGACGAGCTGCGTCCTCTCCGCGTTTTGGAGCGCTCGGGCTTGCTCGCCGGCGCCGCTTCTCTTGCCCTGCCTTTGAGGGGAAGGTTGGGAACATTGCGGTAGGCTTGGGCTTGGGGTCTTCTTTGAAATATGGGTGGTTCAAGACGGCACTGGCGCTAGGTCTTGCCGCCGGGTTTAGAGAAAATAGAGCCGTCAAGAGTGACGTCCCTGCAGAAGTCAAAAAGGGGAATTTTGACCGAATGACCGAACCAACGCTGTATTGTAAAAAGCATTAGCAAAATTCTCATAGACTGAGATTAAACCGGGCCGATGGGTAATCATTGCAAGACTCACTTTTGTTGCGTCCGTGGCAATCGTAGAGATCTGGCATTGGGAAGGCGCTTGAATCCTGGCCAGCTCTCCTCCGTGGGAATACCACAAAGTTCAAAGATCTGAAATTGTTTGGTTGGTAAGCCAGAGCAAGAAAATGTATATGAGCCAATGTCGCAAAGCATACCTTTGAGAGCTGATCGACCTCATTTTTACCCTGTAGGAGCGGCTCTTTCGTCAATAGCTCGCCGAATATGCACCCTATACTCCACAGGTCTATCGCGGGGCCGTAATTGGCTTCCCCCAGAAGCAATTCGGGAGCACGGTACCATAATGTAACCACAAGCTGTGTCATTTTTGGCGGAGGATCCCCAAAGTATCTGGCCATGCCAAAGTCTGCGACCTTCATTTGGCCACGATTGTTCATGAGTAGGTTCGAGGTTTTGAGATCGCGATGAAGGATCCAATTGCTGTGCAGGAATTCGACAGCCGACACGAGCTGGAGCATCAGAGTCTTGGTCTCAGACGGTAGGAAAGGTTCTGCCATGTCATCTTGTAGCGTCTTCAAGTCGTGCTCGAGGAAATCCATGACGAGAAAGACACTGCAGATTTGAGGAAACAAATTACTATTAGTACTGCGGCTTTGTCTGACAGAAGGGGGCTTGATCAGCATGAGGTGCACACTCACTCATCAAGTGTATCGCCAATTACTATCTCCCTTAGATTCAATACATTCGGATGTCGGGATTCCATCAGTGTCTGTATCTCTCGTAGACCGGTGACTGGGAACCCATCGCTCGCATTGTCCATCTTGAGCTTCTTCAATGCCACCACTTCCCCTGTAGCCACCTCTTTAGCCCTGGAAACCCATCCATACGAGCCTTCTTCTATGTGATTCAGTCTCTCGAAATTGTCGAGATGGCGACAGGGACCCCATTCAGGTGCGGCGAACCGGAGCAGTTTGATCGGGGCAGGCGCAGGCGCATCCACATCTCTGCTGTCCCTTTCTGGAGAAAGCTTGCGCCGTTTTGATGGATGGTATGAAGAGTCGTCCTCGTTGTTTTCTGATTTGGCTGCTTGTGCAGCAGCTGCGGCTTCCTGTTGGCGGCGTTGCTCGGTTTCTTGGATTCGGCGCTGCTTCTCGGCTTTCGCACGCTTTTTCTCGTCCTTTTCTTGCCGTCGTTGCTCTTCCAGAGCAGCATCCTCTTCTTCATTTGCCCATCTTGACTTTGCTTTTGTCGCCATTGGTCCCGCTTGGCCAGTCAATGCGTAGAGTAGATTTTGTGTTGAATTGCACTGGGTTGTATTACCAAGGTTCACTATTTATTGCGGCGCGGAGCCGGGAGGGTGTCGGCGGCGAAAGTCTCCGAGGTTGTTTACAGCTCTCCGGAGCTACAATACGTAACCACTGGGCTTCCTCCCGAGCTATGCGCTCAACAATCCATGCATCGACAAGTTTTCAAGCATCAATTCAGCAATGTTTAGGACTTTGAGGGTGTGTCGCCACCAAGCACCGCGCTTGAAGCGCCTCAGTAATGCTGGACTCTGCATAAGGTGGAATTCCGTCTCCTCCCGCAAGTGGTCTACTCCATTGGCCAAGCAGATTGCGGAAGCAATTCAGGTTGGTATCACCATGTCTCTTCTATTTCGAATATGCTTTTTCTGAAAATATGAAGACAACAGGTCCAATTTCATTAGCGGCCTATATGCGACAATGCCTTACCTCACCAGATGGAGGCTACTACACTTCAAAGGTTGAAGGCCGCGATCAGTTTGGGCAGAAGGGAGACTTTATCACCTCGCCGGAAATATCTCAGACTTTTGGAGAGCTTCTAGGGATCTGGATAGTGGCGGAATGGATGGCGCAAGGCAGGAAAGGCAGCGGCGTTGAGCTTATTGAATTGGGTCCAGGAAGAGGGACACTGATGGATGACGTCTTACGAGTGCGAAAGCTTTCTGCTACGGCGAGCAAGCTTTGATTACTGACTAGCCACAGACTCTCCGCAACTTTCAACCTATGGTGTCTAGTGTTGAAGCAGTCTATCTAGTTGAAGCCAGTCCGACGCTGAGAGAAGCTCAGAAGCGGCTATTGTGTGGAGACGCGCCCATGGAAGCTATTGACATTGGATACCAAAGTACGAGCAAATACTCACAGATTCCTGTGATATGGTGCGAAGACCTACGTTTTGTTCCTAAAGGTATGGTATTCTTGGCTCAAAAGCACGGAGTGAGATGTTTATACTGACTATTTCGCAGGCAATGAGAAGGCGCCATTTATATTAGCTCATGAATTTTTTGATGCCCTACCAATACACGTCTTCCAATCAGTGTCCCAAGCGTCCAGCAAATCCAAGCTTATAACATCCTCCACAGCTCCCACCGCGCAGCAGTCTGAAAGGCCGCAATGGCGAGAAATGCTCGTCTCACCTACTCCACCCTCTTCTACTCACGAAATGCTGTCGACTCCAATGTCGCAGCGCAGCTCCAGTCAAGTTCCAGAATTTCAACTTACCGTCTCAGAAGCACCCACGCGTCACAGCGCTTTCCTGCCTGGGATATCCAAAAGATATTCTGATTTGCTCTCAAATTCGGAATCAACAATTGAAATTTGCCCTGAAGGGCTTGCTTATGCTCAAGAATTCGCCCGGCGCATCGGGGGTACACATAAAGAAGCCAAGAAAGCCTCAGGAGCAGCACTAATCATTGATTACGGACCGTCGTCTACGATACCCGTCAACTCCTTGCGGGGCATTCAGGCCCATCGGACTGCTTCTCCTTTTACGTCTCCTGGTCAAGTCGACTTGTCAGCTGACGTGGATTTTATGGGACTTGCTGAAGCTGCACTCAAAGCTAGTCCTGATGTTGAGGTTCATGGACCGGTCGAGCAAGGCTCGTTCTTGTTAGCGATGGGAATCAAGGAACGAGCGGAGCAGCTAATGCAGGGCCAAAGTGAAGATAGTCGCAAGCGAATTGAAAGCGGGTGGAAGCGCCTGGTGGAAAGAGGGGTTGGTGGAATGGGAAGGATATATAAAGCTATGGCAATTGTTCCCTTTTCTGAAGGCAAGAGGAGACCAGTTGGATTTGGAGGTGATATATAGATGGCTACTTGTGAAGATAATTAGAAAATTTGGTTCACTATTCAAGCAGCATTTTTTGCAATTGATTTCCTCGTTTTTATCTCTCATGCGCGGTTCTTCATTTGAATTTTAGAGTGATTTTGTGTCAAGCGATGACGATATAGCTGGCCAGGGCCCGATAAGAGGCTTTTTAGCCCCTCCTTTGAAAGGGCGTCGCTCAGCCTCTTCGTACTATTATAATGGTTTCTTTTTGATCAAACTCTATAGTAAAGCTGTTAGACTTGACTGAAATCTTCGTTCTTCGCCTTCTAATCAATAAACTTTTAACACTTTGGAGCTTTTGACGAGGAAGAGCACACAGGAAGACCCTGAGATGGGCAAAGTGGGGTCCAACCCCCGTCAACTCTACTCTTTTTAGCTTCGGAAAGACGCGAGAGGTCTAAGAGAGCCATCATTACCTCATGTGCTCTCCAAATATCAACTCACTCTCGTGCCTTTTCTGACTAACGACGACTTTTTCCGCGTGTTTAAAATATATTGCTGAGAGACATATCTGACTGTGCAGTTTTCTCGTTAATCGCATTTCACCCTTCTTAATTCACCGGGCTGTTTTGCCCGACGGAAATTGACTTGAGAATGGCTTCCTCACCGTCCCCGCCGACCTCACCAAAGCTGAGCTTCTCACCGCGTGCGCCTCCAGCCCGAGTCGCTTCACCATCGGTTGGGAAGACTGATAGCGCTGCGGTACCAAGTGTCGTTTCTCTTTCGACTGATGACTTGGAATCGCGAGATGGTCGGCGTCTTTCGATCCAATTTGCGCCTCCTTCTTCTTCCGACCTGGGGTTGCCCACCGGCACCCCGAAAGCTCTCTCTCAGGGTTCCTCGCGAAGAATGTCCTCTCCTCCGCCTCCATCGTGAGTCTCAGCTTTCCCGAATTGTCATCAATATTTGTCCATCCTTGCCCTTATAAAGCATTCTCCTGTCTCTCATTGTGCAGTGCAACCGTTCGCTTAGGATACTTTACCCCGCGATGATGCCGACGTATCCGCCTCGTGATCGTCGCGATTCATCGCAGTCTTTGGAGATGGTTCCTAAAATTTGTAATTTGTCTCTTGCTAATGAATATGGCGTCTCGTAGTACCTTTGAAAGCCGTGTCTCGTTCGACACATTCGACAATCGCGATGCCAGTGATTTCTCTTTAACGTTAAACTCCAAACATCGGGACTACCACTACAGCCGACGCTCCCGGACGTTCCTTTGCGGTACAGATTCTAATGACTATTCCGAGTTTGCTCTCGAGTGGCTCATTGACGAACTGGTCGACGATGGCGACGAGATCGTATGTCTTCGAGTGGTCGACAAGGATTCAAAGATTAGCAGCGATGCCAGTGTCGAGGAGGGGCGATACCGCAAGGAGGCTAGGAAATTACTGAATCAGATCATTGCAAAAAATACAGAGGAAAAGGCAATCAGTTTAGTGCTTGAGTTTTCCGTGGGAAAAGTACACGATACTATCCAGCGAATGGTTGGTCTACTTTTTGAGAGCACAGTCGTTTCAAAGACTAACAGCTACAAAGATACGCATCTACGAACCCGCAATGCTCATCGTTGGCACTCGGGGTCGTAGCCTTGGTGGCATTCAAGGACTTCTGCCCGGCTCAGTTTCAAAATACTGCTTACAACACTCACCCGTTCCAGTCATTGTCGTTCGACCCTCATCCAAGAGAGAAAAGAAGAAGAGGAAGCGACTTGCCGATCCGAGCCGAAGAGGCTATGTGGATATCCTCGAAAGGAGTGGTGCTAAAGGAGAGCATGTTCTTGACAGGAAGAATCGGGATAATCTGGTTCCCGCAGCTCCAGCAACTCCTAATAACAACGAAGCCGCTGCCGTTGCCGCTGCTATTGGCATCCCGTCTGCTCTAGAGCCTGAGCCGAGCCCGCTCTCAAAGGTCATGTCTGTCCAAAGTGATGCTACGACTAACGAGAGTGTCGGCTACGGTGATGAGGGTATGGGAGTAATGATGAAGAGCCCTGAGCTCCAGAACCTTGACAGCCCTGTCATGAGCCAAAGCAGTGAGGATGAAGACGAGGGGGACTTCGATGCGATACCAGGACATTCTATGATTCCCGATTTGGCAGATCCAAGTGAGACGACCGTAGATCAAGCGGAACATCCTCCCCAGGTGCAAATTTCCCCACCGGAAACAAAGAAGGAATGAAGAAAATGGAAGCCGATGATACTAAGTCTGGTGCAGGAAGGTCTGAGAAAGTATTACGAACATTATCCACTGGCGTTGGTCAGCTCAAGTCATGTCTCTGGCCAATTCCTCCTGCAACGGCTTTTGACTTTTCACGTGGTTGACAGCACATTTTCTTCATTCCATTATTTTCTTCGATCTTTTTTTTTTTCCTTTCCATTCTTGGGCGTCAAGGCGCAAAAAGTGTAAATATTAATAGAAGGGAGGGGATTCAACCATACGCTGGAAGCAAATGAAAGTTCATTAAGGAATACGGCTTGGCATTGTTAGAGCTCTTTACGAATACGACCGAGGGACCAGGTGAGCATTTACTTGGTACTTGGCGGTCATTTCCGTTGCGATTCTGCCGGTTTGTCGCTTACGGGCGGTGAGACGGCCATCTAACGTCAAGACGATAATGAATGAAACCATTGAAAACGGATTTGGCCTGCATTGTTCCTGAGACACCTTGCTTCTCCTAGTTCGACTACCTGTGGAATTCAAATGTCATATAGCTGATATTTGTGTCATTGCAAAAGGTCGAATGCCATCTACAGATCTCCGTCAATAGTATTCGATACTACACTGCTCCCCATCCTGACTCTTCCAACTGGTACATTCCGCGGCCGCGCAACGCGTCATATACACATGCTATCTAGATTCGATGATTGCGATGATTGCGTCCCGTCATATATGCGGAAGACCCTGGGACTTGGCTCTCTGTCGACGATAGCCGTTTCATCAATTCCGTTTTTATTGACATTTTTTATCGTGTCGGCGACGGTTCTGCGGCGATTGTTTCCCTTGCTGTCCGGACAGGCGTCTTCAAAGGGCGACAATGACCACCATCATTCGGCCGTTTCGAACGTCCAACTCTGGAATATTTTCTCCACAAGATCTGCGCGAACAGGATCAGTACCCGTATCCAAAAGAGTAGCAGCATTGACATTTTCAACCACAATTGCTCTTTCCGCAGTACTCGCTGAACTTATCCTGTGCGAGATTTCCAACACCTTGAATCCAACAGCACGGACCCTCTTTCTCAAATTAACAATATCAACATTGCTCACGCTTCTCATTGTCGTCACCCCATTGCTCGAGCTACACTCTGTGGTATCAGCCGCAGGATGGAAATTTACCGGCCCGGACAGGGGAAGATTCCGGCTCGCGTGGGTGTTCATGACCTTTGGTTTTGCGGCATGGATTGCCATCTTTTGGTGGCTTGGGAGAGGCCTTTTGGGGAGATATCTACATGCAGACACCTCGTTTAGCGGTCACAGCTTGAGTGAGGCATGCCTGGAACGGATCGGCGTCATTGGTATTCTGCTAATGGCCATGCTATCGGGATTCGCCTCTGTCAGCTCTCCATGGCAGACTTTTTTCGCCAAGAACAGGCCAGTGACGGAATCAGATGTTGCAAGGAAGCAAGCCGGTCTACAAGCTACGGATGAAATGCTCGAGGCAAAACGCAGTCGGCTACGTGCTCTCGAGAGAAAGACTGCGGATGCTCCGCCTGAAGGCTTCATGACCAAGGTCATGGATACCATTCGGGGCAATGGGGACTTGCAAGAGCGACGAACTCTTGCAATGGAAATATCCGGGCTCGAGACCATGCGCATCTCGCTCGCCAATTCCCTCTCCATCTTGAGGAGCCGGAGACAAATGCAGCAGCGCTCTGCCACCGTGACCGGCCGAGTCCTCATCGTCGTGTCCTATATCTTCTCCGCGTACTGCATGTACCGAATCATGGCGACATTTATCGCATCGCTTCGTCGCTGGTGGTATCCCACTTCCTCCTTTGCCGGCACCGACCCGGTCAACAATTTCCTCGCTCTCATTGTCAAACACTGGGATCCGACGTTGGATCGTCTGGCCTGGTCCCGGCAAATATCCTTTTTGCTCTCCGGCGTTATTCTCCTGGCGTCATTCAACAGTGTCGTGCAGACCTTTCAGCTGTTCTCGCGCTTCATGCCAAAGCTGGTCCATCACGCACAAGCCAACCTCGCGCTGCTTGTCAGCCAGATCAGCGCAACCTATGTCATTTCCTCTGCGCTCCTGCTACGCAGCAATCTACCCCGGGAAATGGGCAGTGTCATCTCCGAAGCCCTCGGCGCTCCCCTCGAACCTCGTTTTGTCGATCGCTGGTTCGACGGCTGGTTCCTCGCTGCCAGTGTCTCAACGGCAGTAGGGATTTTCCTTGGCAGGAAACTAGGCGCCAGCGGGGAGTGGGATGACGATTATGACGATGAAATGGATCTCGAAATGGGCAAGAGGTCATGACATGAATGTGTTACGCTATCATTGATCTCGTTGTCCTAATCTTTTTAATGTGATATTGCCGTCTGTCAACGTATACTTGCCAGTTTTTAATGAATAATTTCTCGCACCACGTATTGGTATGGGTATGATGGGATGATTTATTTACGTTTGGTGGATTCTCACGTGGCGTTTTCGGATTCAAAGATGAACTAATCAATGCATTTATTTATTTTATCTATCCATTTATTTGTTATCTATTGGTGTTTATTCTGCACGCGTTTAGATAACCTAGGCAAAACTGTCCAGAATCGCAATCCAGCATCATTACCCACCTACCTACCTAGGCACCTACTTTACCTTCGTACTATAAGCTCCCAAGTCACGTACCTTTCACAGCTCAGCCCTATCCCAGCCCGTCCGCCCTGCGCATTACAGCCTCCAGCAAGGTACTACATAGAGGTCGGGGTAAGGATCCGTTATCCACTGAGTATTATATAAGGCTACTAGGCCAAATACTGCATAAGCGCAAAACGCAGCTTGGACGGGTTTAATTGCTTACAATATCACAACTACCAAGACCACCACGACCACTAGATTTACTAGAGTTATTTACTAGTAGGGATATTTTACCGTGGAATGGGCTGTGTGAGGAACCGAGGATGAAAGCTTAGTGGGAAAAGGATAAAGGGCAAGTTGGATAAGGATAGAGGGTTACTCCGTAGTTGGAAAGGCGGAAGGCGGGGCTGAGTAATAAGCAATTGATAGCTCCGTGCATTATAAATCTTCCTAAGCTAGACAAATTACCCTTCGTACGAAAGAATGATTACTCAGGTATGTAGGTGTGTATCGAAGTGTCCGGATAGGACAATCCAAATGATTAGTTTAAGCGTACTCTGTAGCTGTAAGGTAGGTCAGTTTCCAAAGGAGATACCTTGGGTAGGTAGGTTAATAGGTTACTGAAGTAAAGATGAAAGAAGCTCAAAAAAATACAATAAGCTCAATCCCGTGGTTGCATTGGAAGAGTTGCAATATAGACAATTGGAGTTGCATTTCCCTAGGGCTGAAGCGCGCTGCCCTGCCTGGCGCTGGTGGCTTTTTTTCGTTCTCTTCAGCTGCGGCGCTGCGTTATGCTGACAACTTTCCTTTCCGTATCAGGCAGGGCATGGCATGGCAAAGCCTCAAAGGGCGCTTCTCAAGAAGGTGCAAATACAGCAATTGGCTTAGCAGGGTCGAGGGATTGAGTTAACTTCAAGTGACTAAGGTACGTAAGGTATATGGAATGCTGATCCAGATCCACACCGCTTGCCCAACAATCCTGTTACAGTAGGAGATAAGAAATAGATGCAAAGGTGCAAAGGTACAAAAGCACGGTGCGTGTCGTGCTTGCGGGCAGTGTTTGAGCAATGTACACGCACCATAATGAACGTGCGTGTACAGCCTTAACGAACATTGCGAGTATACACTGGCATGTTTCAAGGGGTAAGGCTGACGACAAAGAGTCAGGTACCTCAGTGAGTTTTATCTGTCTATAAGCCACGTAGTAGGCATTGCAGAGACAATCGCCTTATAACTCGCAAATTGGATGGGGGGGATCGTCAGGGTGGCTTTTTGCTGACGAATTGTCCTCGTCACCTCGCTTGAGAGATAGCTCTGGGGACGATCGAAGGGAACGAGGGAACCAACAACCTTGTTTAGCGAGCCGAGCAGGCGAGGTTTCTCGGTTCAAGAATCTGGGGTTAGAGTGTACCTGGTGCGTAGGGAAAGAAAGTAGTACGAGTACTCATCATCGTGGGGTAGGTATGCATGGGTATATTGGAAAAGGGGCGGAGCTGATGTATGGTAGAAGGTATGCATAAATGAAGATCGAGTATATCATGATAATCGATCTGTGCAAGAGATTTCAATATCGGAGCATCAAGGATTTCGAGGACGATTCTAAGAGTCATCGGTTGCTTGGTTTTCCCTCCTCGCTCGCTTGATACTCTTTTCAAAAGCCGTCGGAGTTTGGAGCGGAAGGTCTCCGGTTCCGCATATCGATTTATGCAAAAGAATGTGAAAGTTATGCTAGGTCCTCGGCTGCACTACTGGTAGGTCCCTCGGTCGGACTTTGCGGCCCCCGATGGGAGCTCTACCGACCGTGAGTACAGAGGACCCCTTTGTCTGCGAAGAAATGTGTGCAAATAAAGGTAGATTTACATCCCTGCGTGGTATGAGTAATCCTCTTAGTTCGACTCAAGCGCCCATGCATAAAATCCGAGGCCGCTTGGCTTTTTGGTCCCTCTCGCACGTTCGGCCGTCGGCCCCAATATCCCTCCGCTGCCGCAATTGGATATTTTGATTTCCAACTTGGGTATGGAGGTAGCATTCAAATCATAGCAATTTGAAATCCTCGATGCACATGAAGAATTCTGTCAAAACTAATCAATCAAATCGATCAATCCATCCAATGAGTCACCGTTGTAGTAATCCTACGATTACATATATGCCATTTACACAATTATGTTTGTTATTCTTCATGGCCGACTTGGTAAAGCCACCACAAAATGTGTTTGTGGAGAAATAGCCAAGCAATGATCAATGGAGGAACAGTTGCGCCCTTGAGAGACAGGGCTGACATACTGGTGGCTTGTGCAGGATTACATGCATTGCCGAATCAATTCGCAATAAAGCCAACTTTTTAGAGGACTGGAGTAACCAAGAGGATTTCCTTAGTATTGCCTTGAAACTTAGCGTACAAATGAACAGCTGCAGAAAATACGCATTGTCGGCAACGACTTGGTATCGTCATGGTGAAAATTGTATTAGTCTTCAAGCTCAAAGCTTGTGCCGTCTGTAATCAAATCGGTAGTGACCCAATATCGAATATCGGCATCACCGGCTGAAACGGAAGAGTAATCAGTATTGGGGATTTGAGAGCGACTTTTTAGAGTGGAAAAGGTTGCTTCGGAGGTAGGAGGAACTAGCGTCTATTTCAACCGTCTGTGCTAAAGTCCGATTATCCGTCAGCAGAAAGGGAAACGAGGGAAACGAGCGAAACGAGGGAACCTGTATGGTTTACTCAGCCAGGACACTATAGTCCCAGCGGCGCAGTACTTTAATTCCTGACGGAGCATCTAAAGGGAAGACGGTACTCATACTAAGAGCGGTACAGGCAAAGACCATGGTCGCTAGCGTTTTATGATTTGTCGTCTTGGTCGCGGATGTAATAATGAAGGAGCTCAGCAGGAGAGTGCATACTACAGTACTACGGTAGATGGATAGCCTTGGGGCCGATGAAGCGGGTGGCCTTGGTGGTGCCGCTAACCAGGACAGTAACTTTGGTGAGCTCGGGCGTTCGGCCGTAGGCTCAGCACCAGTCAAGGGCGGTGAATAATCATTTTAATGCAGGAGTGGAAAAATGGTCCACGTCAGGTTTTTCGGCTTGATCGGTGCACGCATCAATCCAACTTCCGCCCTATTACTCACCCCCCTCCAAGTGTGTCCGTCACCGCATATGTCCCATGGACGCTATACTCCTTTGGTTGGCTGCTGACGAAGATGGATGACTCGGATCGGCCGCGTCTTTTGTGTCGCAACCGCCAGCTCGGATTTCCAAGCCTCCATCAACGCCGACCGGCCCCCGGAACCACCAAAAGTTGCTCTGTGCGAAAGTAGACAAACACCGTACGTAAGGTAGTATCAGTAGTCGCGGCTTTAACAATCTACCCGTCCGATCTGTCCGTTCATGGCATCTTATTCTTAAACAACCGTAATCCTCCACCTCAGTCTCACTTTTTCTCATCCAAACATTTCTTGCAATCCTCTACAATAACAAGACAACTCAAAGAAAAGAGCAAGACGAACATAAAAAGACACGTCCACCTCTCTATTCTTGAGGATATCAAAACATCCCGGATCATCATCCCTCGCTTGGTCTATCACTGCACCGTCCAAGCCTCGTTATTGGTAAGTTACCTCAATAGTCCCAGGCAACCCACCCCCTCACTCTGGCAGCCCCCCTCCCTCCGAACAACCCCCCATTTGGTTGCCTAAGTCCCGCTATAGCCAATTATGACCAATTCAGGCACTGACTCAATTCTGATACAGAGCTTGCAATAAATACTACCACCACGGCAACCACACAATGCCTTCTCCACTCGCATCTTTATCTACAGAGGCCTCCTCCTACTCTACGGCCGCCTTCTACCCAAAGCAGATCAAGCCTTCTCCGCGCTTTGAGCAGAAGAAGATGAGCATCTCACAAACATTCTACCTCGCACACACCGCCCGGGGCAAGCTTGCCTCTGAGGCAGCTCGCCCAGACCATGACCTCCGCCTGCTCGTCGGCCACGCAAACTTGCTTGATGGTTTGATGATTGAACTGTCCGAGGCCGAGCAGGAGCAGGAGCGCTGGTTCGACCAGTCCGTCAAGGGCGCCGCAAAGGCATCCGAAGAGCCCAAGCATATCCGATGGGCAGATACCATTGTGGAGGAGTCTGAAAAGGACTGGAGCCTAGAGGACCTTGACGACTCTGACTCGGACAGCGACGACTCCGACTATGAAGAGGACGAGGACCTCGACATTGAAATGATTGCGCCCCCATCAAGGGCCGCTCCCGCCCAGCCTATTTCTTACACCGTCTCATCACAAGAGGTCGAGGAGGATGAGGACGAGGAGTTTGAGGACGAAGAGGACCTTGCCGATTTGGCCCTGGTCCGCACCTCATCGCAACATCCTCCGGAGCTTTCCCATGACTCGGATGACTCGGAAGACGAGTCCATGCCGCCATCGCCGCCTCAACTTACGCTTGAGCTCTCCGAGAAGGAGCGCCAGCGCATCGCGACCACATCCTTTTACGAACCTAAACAGCCAACACCTTCGCAGCAAGATTCGATATCGCCATCAGATCAAGCCGTCTTCTTTGAGAATGATTACTACCTCACACAAGGAGCGGCACCAATGGTCAGCGCCTACTAATTCGCGCCTTCTTGATCATGATGATGACGACGACGTTTCTTTTTAACGATTGCGCACTGCTGCTTAGCGTTTGAGCGATTCAGCGATTACTTTAATATACTTTTTTTACGGTGTTTCGATATGGCATGGAGCATTGGGAAGACGGATACTGGCGTTTATCTGGATTTTTTAATCAGGAAATAATTGATACCACTTGATGTGGGCGGGAAAAGGGAATCTTTTTCTCTTTGGTAGATGAGGATGGAACAGGGGTACCTTGAAACTCTCCAACAATTGTACAAAATGGACAATGATCTCTCTCTCCCCCTCCGGGGCTGGCGAAGACGGTCGAGACTTGTCTATGCAGATAGCTTATACAAATAATGAAAATATATCATAATAACATTACTTCGAATTCGATCGTGCTGTGAAACTACCTATTGTTGCTACTAACATACATACTACAATTCATCCGCATTGCATCATTTACCACTTTGCATCACTATTCGTTTGATTGACAAGTAACTGCACGCGCGATCCCATGATCCCCCGTCTCGCATATCTTGTACTTCTTCTTCTTCTTCTCCCCCGCTTTCTTCAACGATCCCACAACGTCCTTGTCTCCTGTGTCACGTTTCGTCAACCTCGATCCAATGTCACACGGCATGTCAGTCTGCTATCTGAGCGTCAACACGCCAATGCGGCAATGCGCTGATGCCTCGATCTTCAGGCAGCCAAACCATCCCCTTTTTTATTTTATTTTATTTTACTTGGTTTTATTTCTCGGAGCTCAATTATTAAAACTAGTACCTTCGAACATACCATGATCATGTACAGTCACCTTTTTCTTTCGTTCTCCCTCCTCCGCTGTCGGACCATTGTTGCCTGGAAAGTGGGCAGAAATCACTACTACGTAAGTATCACAACACAGCCCGCCTCAAGAGACGCTTACGGAGTACACGCACAGACCATATCCTGACAGGAGCCGTGTGAGTCGTGAGTGGTTTTTTGTTTTTTTGACAGGCCAGGGCAGGCCAGAGAATGACGGGGCTGATGGCTCCCCTGGCGCAAGGGGAGAGAACAGGGTCCAAGGTCCAAGGTCCAAGGTCCAAGGTCCAAGGTCCAAGGTCGTAGGTCGTAAAAAACTCCCTCGCTCTACGGTGTACTCTTCTCTTCTCTTCTCTTCTCTTCGCGGCCGAAACCGATCCGAATCCGAACCCGAATCCGAAGCCGAGCAGGGCCCGCGAGTCAGAAAGGCTAAGTTACTGTACAGTGTATAGTGTATAGTGTAGTTACCGGGTTTAAATCGGACTTTATGACTACAATAGTCCTACAATAGTAACTACCTTCGTACTGGACGGAGTAATGCACATTGCACAAATAATTTTGCCTACTCCGTAATAGGATCCGTGCGCTGTTGTCCTTGTCCTTGTTCTATAGCGGAATGATTCCTAACACTAGCAGCGCAAACTTTTTACAGTACTTTGTACAATATGCAGCAACTAACTATTCCGTGGACTAACTAAGGTACTCCATAAGGTAGTTACTCGTACGTACAGTGTACAGCGCACAACGCACGGCGCGTTGGCGTGTTGGGGCATTCTGCATATGTCTGTCCTGTCCTCTCCTCGCAAGGCTCGGCATTTCGCACTGCCGAGCAATCTCGCAAGCACCGAGCGGACATCTGTCCGTTGGGGAACGCCTCGGACACATATTGCACTACTACACAGTACTTGTACGATAGAAACATTATTGATGATATATCGACTGATTGATTGACAGCCAGGCAGATAGTGGAGCCCGCTAATTTACGAATAAAACCAAACAGGATGCAAAAAGCACGGTCAAATAAGGAAATTACGGAAAGGTTTTCTTCTTTACTCTTCTTTTCTTTTCGTCTCCGTTCTCTGTTCCCCGTTCCCCGTTTCCTGTGTCGGAGCTTTTTTAATCAATGGGCTGTGTACGGAGTACGGAGTATACGAAGTACTAACTTACTAGTTTGTTCGTGCTAAATGAATTTTTTTTTCTAAACGGTCCCGCTACTGTACGAAGTATTAGGCATCAGCTTTCTGTCGCGCGAAAGTATTTTCTACAGAGTAAGGGCGTGTTTTGGGGCTCGGCTTCTCTTTTGACCGCCCTTCCGCCGTCCCACCAGCCTGCCCAGGCTGCCAAGACCAAGGGACTAAGTGATCCGGCCCCATCTGTATTTTTTTTCTTGTCGTTGTAGCTTCCGGGTTCACAAGTTCGTTTTGGGTTCGCCAGTCGCTCGTTCGCTCGGTTCCTGGCAAATCTGCACAACAAACCGCGGGCCGAGGCGAATGGAAGCGAGACGTAAAAGCGAGACCAAAGGACGCCAGACGCCCTGACGCTCGGACGAGCGACAACGCGACCTGTCGAGGATACTGTAGCAGGGTAGAAGCTAAGCTAGAGAGAGACTAAATCGCGTCATTTGCTGGTTCCGAGGTTTCGAGGCTCGCGTTGACAGATTATAGTCATTGGTCGAGTTGTTTAGTGTTTGGTCCGAGGTCGTTGTATCGTCTACTGATGCTGGGCAAAGTCCAGCAATCAGCAACCAGGGTCGATTCAACGGACGATGATGACTGCCGATACTACTACAGAGGCATCCCCTGTACGGTGCTGGTGGTAGACACTGCGGACACTTGACGATTTGTCAATTCGTCAATCTGCCTCGGTCCATGATTTTTTCGCGCTAATTGACTATTTGGAAAACATGATTTGATATCCTCTTTACAAAGTACATCTGTTTAGTTTATATTCGTTTCTACTCTTTTATGTTATCGTCATTTCACGTCACGTAAAAATTCGCTTCCTGGGGTCCTTTATTTGTGACGGGTGCATGTGCGTGGCAGGATCCGTCTCTCGGAGATTTTGTTGAGACAAATTGCTTTCATTTTTTTTTTTTTGGAGTGTACTACGTATATAGAGTAGACAAGGTACCTAAGGTATATACTCCGGCATAGCAGCCATTCAATATGTAGCACGTAGAGTAGTAAAGCGGCACATACAGTAGGTAGGCAAGGCAATTCCGCAATATCCGCATCCACTCAGCCCTGGCATGCGGTACCGGCTACTGGACTCGGCAAATCATCATTCATCATCCGTCATCCCGGCAAACAACTCCCACCTCGCACGTCCTCGGTCCTTGCGCACTTTTTACACAGTACGTACAGCGTACTTTGTGCAGATAACTCCCGCCTGTATGCGGAATCGATTCCCTCTTCTCCATATCCTCCTCGAGCATCCCTCACGCGCAGGGACCATTGGCCATTGGCCTGTGGACGAGAAGCGTAATTTGCAAATTACGCAACCTAACGTTCTGCGCTTAACCAGCCAAGACACCACTTTCTCTTAACATTATGACTTTTTTTTTTTTTTCATCTTTTAGGAGAAGCGAGGAGGAGATATGGTATAGCTTCAGGTTGATCAAGTTGATAATTGAATTTAGTCTAGCATATGTCATTACCACTCCCTATATTCCTACTAGAACTAGGGTGCACAGGGCAATTGTAACAAAAGTCATCCTGTCATATGCCCAGAAGAGAATTATGCTTATGGGGTTCGCGGAAGATTTATCCGATGCCTACTCGGTACAACGGTATATACCATTGACGGGACTAAAGATGTGAAACAAAAATCTGCAGGAGAAAAAAAAAAGAAAAGTAGGGGTCTGTTTGTCTGTTTGTTTGGGCGGAAGTGATATGCGCAATGGACACTGCAGGACCGAGGGACCGAGGAACAGAGGGACAGAAGAACCGAGGTACAGGGTGCAGTGTGCCAGACAACCAGAGTATGAGAGGCGTGGGATATCGCGGCATTCGTGGGGGTTCGGGGGACTCGCTGGGGGATCGACAATGGGAAGCTTGGAATTACGTCTGAAAAGTTTGAAGCCGAGTGATCCGTGTTACCGCGTAACTACGTAGATTGCCACTGCACAGTGCTGTACGGACTATACAGGAACGCACGGACTCGGTTTTTACTTCCATCGGCACTTATGATGGCACAATTGCTCCTTGTGGTAGATATCCCGTTGGCCACACTGCCGTCATATGTCAATCGCTGTGCCGTAGCTGGATCATATTTTTCGTAGCCGTTGGCGCCGAGTACATTATCATCATCGTCGTCGTCATTCGTGACATGTTTGCTGGGTTAACCAAACTTGGTTGACACTCTTGGCGAACCCGATTATACAGGGCGAGAATGACGAGGGGGCAATCGGCCAAAATATCATCACTCCTCGGCAGACTTCAGCCTGGCACGGTCATTGATAGCGTTACAGTGGGGTTGAGGTCGCGGAGAATTTTATTCGTCAGAGTGGCCGCAGTGCTTAAAATTCTCCGATACTTCCGTGACTGGCCAGTAGTTATACCTTAAGGCAACCTTGTCTTCTTCAGGACACAAGTGACAAAAATAGCTGGGATGAAGTTCTAATGAGGATAAAATGATAATTTGTAAATTTACAAATAAGATATAAGACGTCCCATGACTAGTTATAAGATGGAACCAAGAAATATGAATGCCGCAAGGGTATATGTAGAAGAGAAAAAGTAATCAAGGCGTCAGCGGTCGTTTAGAAATCGTAAATCATAAAGGCTTGTCCATTTTATGGACCCATATCTGCATCAGAAATATCGTTAAACTTGCTGTCCAAATGGAGAGGTACTATGGATCGTTGCATCACTTACCTCAATCTTGCCCATATCTGCACGCTGTTGCTTTGCGACGGCCTTTGCATTCGATATGGCCATGTCCAAATCATCCTGGTCGCCCATGGTGACCATATCTCCTTCGTCTTGCATCTTGCATTTGAACCGTTTCCTGAGACCAAATTTCTCCCTAACTTTGTCGACTAATTCTTCAAATGTGGTTTCTGTATTTATCATAATGTAGCGAATCTCGTCCAAGTGAACCTTGACACGAATCTATTGTCCATTAGCTCATCAGTGCTCCATTGCGAGAAATCGTGGTAGATTGCTACTTACTTTTCGGATTTCAGGCTGTCTAGATGGCGCTCGACTTGAGCCCCGTAATCGTCTTAAGCCTTGTGGTACCGCGCCGGAACCCCGGTCCTCAAAGGAAGAGCTACCGTGGCTGTCACTTCCTGCCTCTTCTTCCTCTTCAATGGACGGAGGTCGTCGGCTTCTCGATCTTGTCCCCCTCACAGTTGGTGGTGATCTCACAGTGTGATATCTGCTGTACAGTTCCGGCACGGCGTCTTCGTCGATTTCGCCGTCAGACGTTATATGGCGGCGCAGTGATGAATCTCTGCCGACATGGGCTGGAATTTCTCGACCCGGGCCCCCCGAAAAGGTCCGCGCATGGGCTCTCGGCTCAGAAGCTGTACGAACGGTTCCCAGTCGAGGCTTCTCAAGGAACTTGTTCCTCGCCACTTGTTCCAGTTGTTCCAACCTTGCCCCAGTGCTTCGTACTGAATCGACTCGCCTTGTTACTAGCGGGACAGTATCCCGCATTACTTCACCTCCCATCATCACCGACGAAGAAGATGATGATGATGGTTTCTCTGCCTCCGGAGGCGGGGTGGGCGGGAACATGTTTCGATTGATCGGGGGCTCTGACTGTTGTCTGGACCGACTTTGGAGACCGGGCTTGATCATATTTGTCGCTGCATAAGAGATATTCTCCACAAATCTGTCATCTCGACTAATGTTTGCTCGAGTGGCCACCTGTTCCCCTCTCGCATACGGGTTGGAGTTATTGGCCGCTGCAATCAGACGAGCTTTGCCCAAGTAGTCTTTAGTCTTCAGGTTTTTGACCTTGGCATTTGTCGGCCGATATAGCACGCCTACCGGGATCGAGAAGACGGTATAACCCTTTACCAAAAATGTCAGCGTGAAATGGAGCTCAAGCTGGACAGACATGGAAGCTCACTTCTGCTTCATCCCTGATCGCATCATCAATGACATTGTGTGTCTCGACCATTTTCTCCTTGACGGCATAAGAGAAATCCAGTAGCCCAGCTTTCTTCTGCTGCAAGTAGATATAGCAAAGCCCCCTATTGAACAGCACCTCGCAAGAATAGAGCTTGAAACTCAATCCTAACTGCTCATAATTGATATAAGTGTTACCTCGGAGGTAAAGTAATGTATCATTAAAATTGGCTAGGGCTTCTTCGAAATCGCCCACAAGGAAATTGGAAACGCCTTGCTGAAAGTAGGCTATTGCGAGGTACTGGTCAAGGGCAACTGCGCGTTGGTAGAATGCGACCTACATAACCGTGAGCTGGCCGAGTTGCACCCATTTTGGATCGTCATCTTGGACACCATACTGCCTTGTCATGTTGCCCAATCGTGGCATGAATTACGCCACAGTTGAATAATATCTTTGAAGTATCTGAGATTGGCTCAAAGCACATGAGCGCTTCGTTGAATTCGTTGTGATCGTAGTGCGCCAATGCTTGCACCCATGATTCGATTTCCTAGTGAACAGCTTTAAAACCTGACTTCGCGAGACGTTATGCTCAGGTTCGACTTACCTGTTTCAGAGACATTTGCCTTTGAAAAGCCCCGCCTTGGCGATCAGAAAAAAAGACGTTGATATCCGGAGCGAAAGGATCGACCCTATTTCAACCCAGGGAATTTATTGTATTTCCCCCCAAAGGCAGCTAGATTGACACGAGGCGAATGATCACTCGGACACCCAGAAGTGAAGACTTTCAATTCATCATCTGAGCCAGGACAATAGTGCTGCAGGATCACGTAATGTTTTCACTTTAAACCAAATGAAAGACGCAAAGAAGCAGAGAAGAAGAAGAAGGACCCTTGCAGCAACTAAGGAGAGGAGTACCAAGGATCGCAACGATGGAATGAAGAAGCAAAAGATGGGTGATGTCTGAAGGGTTCGGAGTTACCATGGGCGAGCGCCTATAATAACCCAGCGCTCAGAGCCCGCCAACCGGGAAATGAGAGCAAAACGACAGGCATCATGCAAGCATAGGCACAGGGGACCAAATCCGCCTCGTGCGTTGCGTTTGGTCAAGAGATGCATTGGTGGCGGTCTCTCATTGATCGTGTTCCTGTTCCTGGACATCTCCAAGGGTACAGACCAACGCCATCACGAGCCCCGATTGGCTCCTCGAACTGGCGGTCCGGCCCCCGTCATGCATCCCCAGCGCCTAAATTTGGCAGATAACATTTCAACCCCTCTGCTCTCACCTTATAATGGTCATCTTCATGTTCTCGTTCTCTATTTTCCAACGGATCCAGGCCCAGGTTCCGATCGCTTTTTAGTCAGAAAAGCCGGCGTCATTTGGCCTCTGAACTAATCAATCATGTCAGAGTTATAATCTGGTGGTCCACGTGCGCTGCCTGTCACACAAGCCATATATTAAGATACGGCCTCATTTCGCCAGTGATCCCATATACAGGATTTCGAATGTATGTTAGTTAGCCGGACGCTTGCATTTGGCTTCTTTCTCTCTGTCCTCGCTTCTGATTCGAGACGACAAACTCGTCCCAGCAAAAGTATATATATCTGCAAATTTTGAACTCTCAGGTGCGAATAAACAGCACACCTTGAGAGTTGCCTCTTGCTGGCAGCGAAATCTTCGCCGCAAGGTAATAGCTCTTGAGGAGGAGCTCGTTGCGACCTCTGGCGTGGGCCTTGCCGATGAGCTCAACAAGGATCTGGAAACTTTAAATAGCCTTGAAAATTGTTGGAGTTCCAGAAATAGCATTTCTAGGGCACTTCCCTCCCAGGTGTACAAAATGCAGTCGAATCACAGATTCGATGTCTTCACTGATGATAACTCCATATCTGGATGCCCAAAATATCGTAGCTGACAATGTAGACCTCATGCATTCGACTAAAACTGTAATACTGAGCCAGCCCGAGTGGTTGATCTCGGTCCGGTGGGATCTTCTGTTGTCCAGTGTATCCAACGCAATGCATGGAAAGCTGGGGATTTGTGAACGTCTTTTTTTCCTCGCCCTCTGCATCACTCCCGGAAAAATGATGAATTAAATGAATCCGTGATAAAAACGAATTTCAAACCATCCATATCTATCACGCTGTTGACTCTCCTCGTCACCTATCAAGTTACCGATTATGGCTTAGTGCGATTTTGGCGAGCAGACCTCGTCCGCGAGATTTCGCATATGGAGTATGCACCGGCATCAACTTCATTACTCTGATTCTGTATTCATATCGATCGTTTGCCCAACATGTCGCAGACAGTAGGCAAGGTAGGCAATTGCTTTACTGAATTAATCGATAGAATTCTAACTTGTCTCTCCAATAGACCAAGTTGGCCTACAGCCGGACATGGCATCTCCTTGATGTCGGCAGCGACTCTCGCTCCCTTGGCCGACTTGCCAGTCAAATTGCCGTTGTTTTGATGGGAAAGCACAAGCCGATCTGGGACCCTAGTACTGATTGCGGTGACTATGTTGTGGCCACTGGATGCCACGATCTTCATACAACCGGCAACAAGCGGTTTCAGAAGAAATACTATCGACACTCAACTCGACCCGGAAGCTTGAAGGAGATCACCATGGACAAAATGTTCGCCAAATGGGGCGGTGGTGAGGTTCTCAGAAAGGCTGTTCGGGGCATGTTGCCGAAAAATCGCCTGCGGGACGTACGATTAGCAAGATTAAAGAGTGAGTGAAGGCTGTGCCGGGCAAGGCCATAAATTGGGGAAAGATGGCTGACGTGTGATCATGAACAGCATTTGAGGGAGTTTCTCACCCTTACAAGGAGAACATTGTCAAATTCGGTGGAAAGACGAAGATTGCAGAGTTGCCCGAAGTCAAGGAGGCTTTGTTAAAAGCGAAATCAATATAGTACTTCTATACACCACTTCATATCTTTCTCGGCGTACTATCAAGGCATTTCCTTTATGTATATTATATTTTGTCTATATTCCCAAGATTCTAGCTATTGGGGGCTCAAGAAGACCATTTAGAGACACCTAATGACAAGAACAGATTCCAAAATTGCGCTCAAGATGCTCTCAGAACAAATTAACCCGGAAAAAAAGAAAGAAAGAAATATCGATCGGCAGACGATGGGAGAGGCAATAGAGTCCAAAAATCTTGTGACCATGTAATTCATAGCTTCGCTGGTTTGCCTTGTCGGGAAACAGTGACCTGAATTAGGCCATTGGGGTTTGTTTGGGGGGCATACACTTCGGCATCTTTGCCGGTGTTCTTGAGACCCTTGTGCCAGCTCAAGTCTACAGAAATTGTCAGCATTACGTAGAAGACGAATATGGATCGGAGATGACAAACCAATCTCAAAATAATGCTTGTTTGGCAAAGAGTAGTCCACGTTGTCCACAAGAGGAGCGACTCCGAGAATTTGCTCGCACATCTTATACATGGTGTTCTGCACGCTAGCACTCTCATCTTCGGCAAAGGTCTTCAGGGTGATGTTGCGCGCAGCCTCCCAAGCAGCATCAAATGCAGGAATGGAGGCCTTGACCTCACTCAGACCAGCAAATCGCTTCCATGTCCATCCAGCATTGACATCAGTGCTCAGAATGCGATCATAAGTCTCTGGCAACGTGGTGTATTCGTCACGGACGAAACTGTGGAAAGCGGAGCCAGTACTCTTGAGCACGGTCAGGCCGACAATGCCTGAACGGATCGAGACACCTTGGCCTTCCCGCTCCAGCAGCTCAACGTTGCGAGTCTCAGTGCCATCACGAAGGAACGAGTGGGGATGAGGCTTTCCATCAATAGACAAACGGGTCCATCGATGGGTAATGATTTTGACGTGGGCGCCGTGAATGTGCTTATAAGTAGTGATAAAGTGATTGGAGATGATAGAGGCAAAGAGTTCCGGAGGAGTGACTGGGTGCTGCTTTGCCAGAATGTAAATGGTATTCTTCATGCTATCTGTGGCAACAACAACGCTGTTATCTGCTTCCGTGTACCTTCGGTACTATTAGCAAAATGGGACCGACGCTCGCATTGGGATTCTTCAATCTTACGATGTCTCAATGTCACCCTCGAGCAGGACGCGAACAGTCATTTCGACGACGGTCTGCGTACGAGACGCTTCATCGCGGTGAACCTTGTAGACGCGGACATTGTCCTTGCCGTATCTGGCGTAAGAGACTTGAGCAGGCATATTGTTTATAGATGGATGCGATAGCAGGAGATAGATGTGATAAGAAGGCTGAAAAGGCGTTGATCCTCAAATGCGAATCAATTAAAAATATTATGGTATCAAATTTGAATGGTCTTTGGATGGAATTAAAAATCTATTACAGGTTGTAATTGATTGCCCGTTCAGTGGGAAGCTTGGTATAATATATAGAGAATACAATGCTTCCTTATCAACAATGCCTCGGACATGGTTTATCGGAGTGCGCCTGGATGCGGCTAACGCAGGGATCCGGGTACGGGTGTTGTGGCCCCAGGTATCCAATTCGTAGAAAAGAATCAGTCGAGAATAATTACTTTAGGGCAATTCAAGCAACTTCCCCAGAAATATGAGGCCTCAATGGCGACCTCCAGTCCGAAGCATGGTGGGTATCGGAGATGGCCGACGCGCTTAATCACTGCCAGCCTGTGTAGAGGCCATTCAGCTTTGAGCAATCAACCACACCGAGGGGCACGTATGATCAGAGATATGGATGACGCAAAGAGTAATTTAAACGAATGGATCTATTCTTATACCCAACGTGGCGGACTCGGTCACAGACAACTGCTATAATGCAGCATCAGGACCCTGCAATTGACAAGGGAATTGGAATATTCCATGAGCTGATCTTTATCAGCCAGCGTCAATGACAATGGTGAATCGGCCTTGTCCGACAGAGGCGTTGTGGAGTACTCGCAGAAGCGGCGACCAAAGTATCCTAGACCTTGCGGAGAATAGTATGCATGATTTAGATGGTACATTTTAGCAATAATTCTCCAGGCAAGCTACTCTTCTAGAAGAGATTCTGATTGACGCTAAGTCTTCGGTACCTTGGCTGAGAGAGTCCCTTTCTCAGCAGTCAGAGGGGCCCTTTGAAATTACGATTCTGGATAAAATGGAGCCAATTTTTCAAACGAGGGAAACGACTCCCTCGCTGGTGCTGAAAACTGCAGCAAATTTGATAATCTACGTGCATAAATGATCACCGGCTATCGCCCCCACGTTACTTGCGGTCGCCAAAGTTACCCGCTGATGGTTGTCGCAGCACCTTAATCTTCCCTCCAAGAAGGTCCTATTGGTATGAGTACCTTGGGACTCTAGGTGGGCTAGCTTCCCGCACATGACGATCCCTGGCCGGACTCCCCAAGGCTGTATTCAATAACAGCAACCTCTGGTCTAATCACAGATGATCACGTACCGTGATCTGAAGCTGTATCGAGACCGATAGTGAATGCATGGGAAATCACACAGCAGCCTGATTGAGACATTCACCTCAACCCGATAACCCTTTTGACCGCGATATCTCCGGTGACAACAAAGCCATTCGATCAATGACTCCACATCACAGACTTTGTATTCCGGCGGTTCATAGGCGACTTGTCGTTCTCCGGTAGAAAGCGGTAGCAGCTTGATACACGTCCCTGCGTTTCGTGTTACTGCCGCTTGAGTGCTCAATGTCGAACTATGGAGAAATGATGGAGAATGACGAACAGCGAGCGGCTACACGAGCGGCGAATGATGCTCGGTCAATGTCAAATGTTGCCTTGGGCTTAGGCTCAAGGGGTCCTTCAGTGCCGCCTCCGGGAAGCTTCAGTTCCCAGCTGAGATCAACCGCACCGCTTAAACAAAGCAATTCAAGGCCAGATATCTCTGTACCGTCCGCGTTCGAAGATACTCAAACGAACGATTTGTCGACAACCGAACAACGACAGGCGGAATTTCGTGACAAGATAAGCAAGGAGATCAAAATCAAAATTGGCTCGGAGAACCTTCTCGAGGCGCTCATCTCCAAAAATGCCAAACAGAGCAGGGAACAGAGGCTGAGAGTCGAGTCGGAGCTTCTTTCCTCCAACAGAAAGATTGCGCAACTCAAATTGGAGCTTGATAACGAGATAGAACGCGCGAAATCATCTTCCTATCCAGCCAAGAGGCTGCCGGATATTTTCACTAGCAATGTTGCTCGAACCTCGCCTCGAGACATTGTAGCTGTGCCAGCCGAGGAGGAAGAAGATGAAGAACAACAAGATGGTCCAGAGACGGAGACGGAATCGCCGACTTATGTTCTTTCAGAAACGCTTCAGGCGCTTGAGATGGAAGGCATGCAGCCCGATTATTATGTGGAGCGGGCGAATAGTTTGGTTGAGCTCTTTCGGAGACATCCAAACTTGAAATACGATCTAGTGTGGTCAATTTTCGGCTTGCGCATACAAACAATGCTCTTGAGCGATAGTAGAGAGGTCGTTGCCGCAGGGTATCGTCTGACAAGATACGCGATCACAGACCGCAGATCTCTTCAGACAATAAGGGCTTTACACACTGATTATCTGGTTATTTTGTCAGTTCTGCACCCTTTCTTTTCTTTACTTTTCTCCAATTGGCCCTACGTATTTCTCAATTCTTCTAGAGACGGTACTGATTTGACCCATTAGATCACTTATCAAAGAAGGCAAGGCCAGTGTCGAACGAGAACAGGCCCTTAAATTTGTCAGAGCTTTCTTGGATGTTGAAGAGGGCGTTGCCGAAATCTCCATTGCAGTGGCTCGCACTATTGTTTCTGTTGCCGAACATGTGGATGATCGTCTTCGGAGCATCTGCCTGTTGACCCTGGCCGAAATACGTGAGCAAATCCGAGACACCTCTATTTATGCAAAATGCTCACTGCCACAGTAATCCAAGACTCGTCTTTGCTCGTTGCTGCCGGGGGAATTGGTCCTCTCACAGAATCCCTTGCGGATGGCACGTATCAAGCCTCCGAAACGCTTGTAGCTGCATTTTTGTATCTTCTAGATACACCCAGCAAACGCCTGATATTTCGCTCTGGTAGTGAATTGGAGGTGAGAAAATTACGCATAAAGATTGAGGGGAGTGATACTGATATTTTCCAAGACTGTGTTTTCCCCTTTCACCGATCCTTTAGTGGTCGACGGCAATGAAGAGAAGCTCAAGTCGACAGCGAAAGTGATTGCCTCCATGCTAAAGACATGGCCTGGTAAGTCGCAATTAGAAAGACAATACAGTGCAATTTTTAATTGAACCAAAAGGGCTCATCACTTTGTCGATGCATAACTTCACTTCAATCAAGTCACTGGTATCGGCCATTTATTTTCCTATGCCAAAACTTCGGGTAAAGCCAAAATGACAGCCCTTTTTGCATTTAATGTTGAACTCACAATGGAGGTCAGGGCGTCATATACGAGTTGCTCTTTGATATCTTACGTATCAAACCACCATCATGGTCTTCCCCCTTCTTGGCGGGAAGAAGATTGACCAGTGAGCATGACCGACCACTCAGATACACTTTGTGCTGATACAGTTGAAGCCTACGGCCGTGTGACAAATTTGAATGCTGAGAATCAAAGCTCATCTTCGTCCGTTCATAAGGAGAATGAATACGAGCGACGGAGCTTAGTTGATCATTTCATATCTCTTCTCCTTGCTGTATTCCTTGAGGCTGGATTATTGGAAGTAAGACAAGCACGAGCGCCAAACTCCTAGATTGCCATCTTGCTTACCATTTCAAGGCTCTGTTGCACGTCCTCGAAGACACGTCAGATCCCGTCCTACGAAGAAAAACAACGTTGCTCCTAGGTGAGATACTGAAGCTCGCAAACAATGTACTCCCGAGCAAGTGGAGCGGCAAGATACAGACACTTCCGGGATTGTTCTCATTATCATCAAAGTTTGACGCCAGGAATCGCTTTGTTGCAACAAATGCTGTGTATCAAGTGGATAGCGTCAACCGAACTCTGTACCGGTCTGGTCCCGCAAACGGCCTCTCAAACCTATATGCCGACGTCCTTGAAGACGATTCTCAGCTTGCTTCACGGCAAGTAGAGCAGGGGAAGTCAAAGCTTGGCGTTCAGATGGATGAAGCACAGTTTCGTACTCTCTTGCTGGAAACTCAAGTTTTGAATACTGTCAATTTCACCAAGTGGAGATGGGATCTGATACAAAATATTATTGACGGACCACTCCTGAATCCAAAACGACTTGATGAGGCAATGAAAGCTACCAAATTTGTCAAGCGCGTGCTTGGGTTTTATCGTCCTTTCAAATACCGATTTGCGAATGTTCGAAATACGAAACCAAACCAGCGTTATGTCAAGGCTGGATGCTCACTTGTCCAAACACTCCTACAGCATGCGGACGGAGTGAAATTCCTCGCGGACAATAAGCTATTAAGACAGATCGCTGAGTGTCTAGCTCAACTCGATAGGGTAAGCCAATAGATCTGCAGGATACCTTTCTCATTTTCTCGAAAACTGATTTCTTTAGATGAGCGGTTTGACTTCACTCTCTCCGTTGTTTTCCCGAGACCGATTATCAGAAACTCTTACGGGGGGCTATTTCGCCATACTAGGCGCACTTGGCTCTGATACAAAGGGTCTTCAAATCATGGAGAAGTTGAAGATCTTCAACATGTTTTACCATATCATAGAGCTGAAGGACCGAAATGATCTAATAAAAACGCTGCTTGGAAATATGAACTTTTCATTGTAAGTCTGTTCCTTCTTGGTTCAATATAAGACCTGACATTGTACAGGGACAGTCATTTGCGAGTGCTCTTGTCAAAAGCAATGACTAGCTGTCCAAAGGTGTGTGAAGTACCCCTGAGACAGCCTGGTGACACCAGCTAAAATATGGATAGGATATCAGGCTGTTTGCGACCAAGCTTCTGCGCAAATATGCAATCGGCGATCTACCTGCAACGAATCTCTCCGTAGTGACCGAGAACGCTGAATGGTCGATTCGTCTACTGGTGACGCAGTTGTACGATCCGGATGTGGAAGTGTGCGAGGTTGCAATCAAAATTCTGGAGGAAGCTTGCAATCGCAAATACTGCTTGGAGTACGTTGTCAAGTGCCGGCCAGCGCTTGATCATCTGGGGGAGATTGGTGCCCCTTTATTGTTGAGGTATGACTGATGAACGGCAACTACCTGAGAATCTATTTTAACCATTTGCAGGTTCCTCTCCACTTCTGTGGGATATCATTACCTGGACGGGCTTGACTATATCTCCCAGGAAATGGATGACTGGTTTCTTGTACGTGATAATCGGAAAAGTTCCCTGCTATGCTCAATGGACAAACTGACATGTGGAAAAAAGGGCCGCAACGACAGTTATGTAACTCTGGTTGAGGCATCACTTGCTCATGCTTTCCGAGAGACACCGGAACGACATCGTCAGAGCTTGGACATCGCAATCCCACAGCCGCAAGATCACGGTATCGTGCCGCCACATTTCTATAGAGAGCTTACCAGGACAGCCGAAGGCTGCAAACTGCTCCGACGAAAAGGGCACTTCAATGATTTCGTCTCGACTATTCGTAGCCATGGTCTGGAGAAAGACGACACTGAGATCATTCTCAAAGTCAAAGGTTGCCTTTGGGCGGTAGGCAATGTCGGCTCCATGGAACTTGGAGCACCTTTTCTCGAGGAGACGGATGCTGTGCAATGTGTTCTGAGAATCGCGGAGCAGTCGGAAGTCATGTCTCTAAGAGGCACGGCATTTTTCGTCGTCGGACTTATTTCAAGAAGCTTGCATGGAATGGAGATTCTCAGCGAGCATGGCTGGGATAGTGCGACAACGTTTATGGGTGAATCGTTGGGATTCTGCCTTCCCCTTGATTTGAATCGGCTCTTCTCGGTAAGCAAAGCCCCCCTTCGAGAACTGATAGAGCGCCCACGGTATTCTGACATGAATGTAGATTCGGCCCTGGAACCCTCCGTGCCCTGATGTAAACAGCATTTCTACTGGGCCCAATGGCTCCCTGGTCGCGTTTGACGAGGATCCGATTCATGCACGAGTTCTTCGACTTGTTGTAGATCTTGGCAATACGGTTCTGACCACCCGTGCTGCGAGCGACCTTCATACGTACGTTTTCCCAGCCAGAAGAATTTCCATTGCCTTTGGCCAGCTTTCTTTGCTAACAGATTGCAGTGTGAAGATGAAAAGACCGGACACGTTTCGAAAGCCGAAGCTATTTCATCAAATTATGAATATACTTCAAATGCATCATATTCGTCTCCCTGTTCGCCGTTTCGTCATTGATCTGTTCGACAAAAGGGTCATGCGACAAATTGTTCTTGATGAAGAGGATGAAGATGACAGTGAAGAAAAAGAGGAAGAGGAGGAGGAGGAAGTGAAGAAAGAGAATCAAGGCGACGAGGAAGGCACCCCCGTCATTCGGGCGGGTTCTTCTTCAGGGCCTATTGAATCAGGCGCAAATGCTGTTCCTGTCCAGCAGTAATCAGTTTCATGATTGCCCCAAGAGCGACAACTTTTCTTTTCGGCTGTGCCTTTCAGCATGATTTCGTCGCGCGTTCGAAGCATCTGCATCACAGCTCTGCATCATGTTGTCTTCGATATCGATCGGGTGTTGCACATCTATTTCGGCAGGACTTTGTGGCATTATGGAGTTTGGCGGAAATCTTGCACTCTACATTTACGGATTCGAGGATTTCACATTATAGGCGCATTTTGGTGTTGCAAGGTTGCCCTGCTCTGGGCGCTCGTTTGTTTTACCCAGGAAACCATGGCGTCCGGGGACGTCTTTTGGCGGAGATACCCGACGGTGGTCGGTTCTTTCTTTGAAATGATGAAGACTTTTTTTTCTTTTATTTATTTATTTTTTTCCTTCCTTTTATTTTCGTGCTGAAGAAAAAGAAGAAGTGCATTTTCTATAGCAGCGCCAATTTCCATACGAGAGCTGTTTTACGGCATCTCATACAAATACGATATTTGATAAGGAGAGGAGAAATTGTAAACGTGATAAAGTAAGCAAAACATAGTCCGTAAAAATGGCAACAACGGGATTATTGTTACGTGATCGTAGCAAGGGGTGGAAGTGCGGTAAAGAGAAAGCAGAAATTACACTTGATGGCTCATCCTCCCTGCCTGATAGCTCGCCTGGGCGGCGGGGGAGCCGGGCCAACCTTAATGGAGGTTAAATTACCTATCCGTGGTCTAAGCGGACAATCAATGACGCTTCCATGTTCACACGGTGAGCGAGCCAGCCAATGAACGAAAAAAGATCACAGTCTTTCAGCTGGTGGGTTCATAGCTCCTTCACCCCAAGATCGGCCAGGATTAATCTCTCCTAAGCTCCAATCTTGGAGAGAAATTCATCGTTTTCAACATGACCTGTCTTCCTCGTTGTGAGGCCGCCCCCATGTTTGTGTGATGTTTGACTTGACAGAAATGTGTGAGAAGTGGTGGCGTCATCCATTGGCTTTGGGCATAGAAAAAATGGAATACGTCATACTGTCTCGTGCCCCAGGACGACAGATGAACTTCTACTACCTATACTCTCTTGACTGATTCATCAGCGGATAAGCACAGTTTTAGATTGGATTACTCTGTAAGGCATTTAGGAAAAGCTGTCTCTGTTTTATTTACTTCTTCTTTCCCGTTTGGGCTGCCAATCCCCAAATTGACCGTCAAGGGGCCATCGATGATGTCTCTTCGTTTGTCCCAGGGACCAATCACGGTTGGCATTAGGCTATTCGGCACTTCTGCGCGTGCCTCTTTCCATTCAGATTTCCCATGTGGCAGAATCGGCGATCCCCTTTTTGGTCGCCCATTAGACCGTCTCGATACGATCCACACTCACTCTGGATCTTGGAGTCGTTGATGTTGCGAAAAAGTGACGGCTTCTTCGTGCTACGATCTAACTAAATGCAAGCCCTGGCAAAGTCCTTTTTTTTTTATTTGCCCCCGCAAAAAGACGGGGAAAGTATTGTCATGCGTTCAATATCTCATCTTCTTTACTTCTTCTTATACTCTCCCCGCGATGGCCGTTCTGCTCTTCTGCCAAAACGGCCAAAACCATTGTCTCTTCCATAGTTGATCATCGCCGATCTCTCTGAGCTTCTCTACCTCTGCCACTTCCAGTCCCACCATCCTTACCCTTTCTGGCCAGTAAACGTGGCGGCGACGCTTGATTAGGCTTTGGGGTACCCTTTTTCCATCCTTGACCGACTTCTCCATTATTGGATCCAACACTTTTTTTATTTCGCAAGTCTCTCGTCCAGCAACGGACGTGTTCTCTTTAGACGTGATATCGTCTCTGTTCTGCCTTGCTCAGCTCGTCCTCATAGTGCGTGCGTCGTATCTAAAAGGCTGATTTGGAGGGCTCAATTATTGTTGATACTAACGAGGCAACCGCGCGAGTGCAGACATCGAGGGGTGTTCCTTGGATGAAGATAGCCGTCGCCAACCTGCCTCGCGCCTCGGCCGCGGAGAGAGAGCTTGCGGCCTCCCTCGATCCATCTGCTCGCCGTTGATGAGCGCCGATGCATCAGTCGGAGCGCTCTCAGAGCGCACCGGCTTCGATGCGTATCGGGATGCGCGGGCCATTATACGTCTCATTCAGTGTTCACGTTGCTCCTATCCTCTACGAGTGCCCGTAACTCTTCCCTGCGGCAACACAATATGCCGGATGTGTCTTCCTCGGTCACATGTTCGCGCAGGCATTTCATATCCGGCCAACCAGGAGAGACAAGAAGGCTTCACGTGCCCCTTCTCGGACTGCACAAAGGAGCATTCTCTTGCAGACAGCAACCCTGATGTGGTGCTTGGAAAAGTCCTTGAGCTGATTGGAGAAGAGGTAGCAAAGTGTAAGACCGAGTCCAGCGAAAAGCCAATGTTGCTGGAAGAGCAAGCAGTCGTCCACCCTTCAATGGCCTCGAGCGGTCTCCAATTTGACCGTCCACGATCACGGGTGCTACATGGAGGCAGGCTTCTGGCAACGTATACATTTGCTGAGATGGGCGAACTGGCATTCAACTCGGACGTAATTTACAAACCTCTATACGACGACGAGGACGGCGGATTGGCTTTGGATATGATGTTACTGGACCGTCTCAAGGAAGTGGTCCGGAACGAGTTTGATTGCCAAGTCTGCTATGCGCTCATGTTAAACCCAGTGACGACTCCCTGTGGACATACCTTTTGTCGCCGCTGTCTGACACGTGTGCTCGACCATTCCTTGCTCTGCCCTCTCTGTCGAAGATCCCTTTCCATCTCTCCCGCCTTGACCAATGAACCCAACAATGAGAGAATCTGCCGGATCTTGGCCACGATATGCCCCGAGCACTTGGCTTCACGGACCGAAACCGTGACTCGCGAGGAGCAAGGTGCTCTCGGCGAAAGCCAAGTCCCATTATTTGTCTGCACATTATCATTTCCTTCCATGCCGACCTTTTTGCACATCTTTGAGCCTCGATATCGTCTCATGATTCGCCGAACATTAGAAACAAGGACCAGAACCTTTGGCATGGTCTCATATAACCGCACCCGCGAACCGCAAGGTAACCTTGGCACCGTCGAGTTCCGGGAATACGGTACACTCCTCCGGATCATCAATGCCCAGATGCTTCCAGATGGGCGAAGTTTGATTGAAACCGTCGGCGTCTCACGATTCAAGGTCAAGGACTGGTCCATCTTGGACGGCTACGTGGTTGGAAGTATCGACCGGTACGACGACATTTCTCTGGTGGAAGAGGAGCGCATTGAGGCTGCAGAGACGGACCCTGCTCGCCGCAGCAATGCCAACGGTTCATCGTCTCCAACCGCGCAGCTTGACCATTTGTCCACTAGAGATCTACTCGACATTGGCATGAATTTCATCCGCAGAATGCGTGACAACTCCGCGCCCTGGCTCCATCAGCGCGTGCTCGAAGCATATGGGTATCCTCCGGAAGATCCAGCTCTCTTTCCGTACTGGTTTGCAAGTGTGCTTCCCATCTCTGAGCATGAAAAGTACAAGCTCCTCCCCACCAGGAGCGTTCGAGAACGACTCAAGATTACCGCGCGATGGGTTCGACGTGCAGAGTCTCAACGATGGTAGGTCACACTCTCTTGTTCTTTTTGTTTTATTTTTTTTATGCTTGTTCAATTCTCTTTGATGGCTTTTTGTATAAAGGTAGTCGTTTCTGACTGACTCTTGTTCAGGTACTCTGGAACATGTACAGTGTTATGACTATATCTGGTGGCCCTCGCGCCTCCCATTCTCATTGCCGTTTTACTAGCATCTCTTGGCGAAAATTAGCATCATCATTTTTTTTGTTTTTGCTTTTTATATTATACGACTGTGACATTATGACATTTTTTCTGCGCATTTGTATAAGATTACTTTTCTGTAGTTCTCCTTTTTACCTTCTTTCTCCTATTTTCCCTCTTTCTCCTATTTTCCCTCTTTCTCCTTCTTTTCTCCCTCGTTCATCCCCTTTCTCTTCTTCATATCTTCCATTCTTCCATTTCTTTTCTCTCTAATTATTCTTTTTACTTCTCTCATTTCTTTTTCCCTTTACTTCTCTCGTTTTCTTTTTCACTCGTGCTTCGTTTTATACACTGCCCAAGGCCTTATGCGCAAAGTCACGGTCACGATTATTGCATTTACGTGGTGTCTGGTTAAGCAAGTTTTTTTTCGGCCTTTCTTTTTTTCCTTTTCAATCCTGACGAGCGGAATCATTTGCCAACCTTTTTTCTGTTTGTTTTCAATTAGATGTTCCTGTACTTTGTACATTTGGTTATTCCTCTTTCCATTTCGTTCCTACAGCTATTTCCAATGGGGTCCCGGGGTAGAGATCTATTAATAGGCACCGAATTCCAATCAATGAGAGGACATGAGACATTTTTGTCGTTTGACAATCACGGTTTTTCTGCGTGCATTTTGAGAAGCGTACGTCATTTAAAGGGTCCGCTGCTGTGACAAAAGATTGGTATCAGGAAAAGTATCGTAGATTGCACATCCTCGTCATCGGCTGTAGATATATACAAAAATTGCCCAAAAAAGGCAGCGACTTGTGCAGCTCATACCCTGGTCTGTTATAGAACTTATTTCTTTTCCTCTGACCATCTATGCTAAGAAGAAAACATGATAGCTATAGGTATAAACTTTTTCTTTCTGGGTTGCTTGTTACTTAATCTCCTTCCAGCCTTTTTGGTCCTCCGTATCCCGCATCAACGTGCCATCTTTTCCCACGTCCGCAGGATCTCTGCCGTCGCCGAGCTGTGTTTGTGCATGACTGCAAGCATCTTGGAAAATGTGCACGAAATTCCACACGTCTGTAAATGTGTTATACAATGGCGTGGGCGCCACGCGAATGACATCGGGCCGGCGCTCGTCCACGACGACACCATGCTTTTCAAGCTCGACCATGACCAGCTCGAGCATATCGGGGGACAAGCGGACGCTGAGCTGTGCGCCTCGAAAATGGGGATCCGTGGGTGTGATTATGCTGAAAGGTAGTGCCGACTTGATGGAGGATGTGTCTTTTTCGTTTTCGCTTAATAATGAGCTGCAGGCTTGGTTGAGGAGGTATTCCAAGTAGCCTGTCAACTTGATGGATTTGGCCCGTAGGTCTTTCATGGTTGTTTTGTGGAAGATTTCGAGAGATGCGAGGACAGATGTCAGGTCAAGTGCGGATGGGTTGGAGACTTGGAAGCCTGCTGCGCCGGGGATGGGGACGAATCCTATAGCAGAATTAAGTTTGGTTAGAAAAGTGATGAGACTTGTGGAGGTATGTGTGGTGGAACAGATAAAAATAATGGAATAATGGAGAAACATACTGTTGGCCATTTTGAACCGGATGGACTTGTCACCGCCCCACCATCCAGTCAGTCTGGGCCGATAGCCACCTTGACCGCTCTGCAGCTGTTCCATGTCTACTTTTCCATGCTTTTCGTGCACAAACATTCCTGCAATCGCGCCTGGTCCGGAGTTCATGTACTTGTAGTTACACCACACGGCGAAATCGACGTTCCAGTCGTGTAGTCTCACGTCGACGTTGCCAACTGCATGTGCGAGATCCCATCCTACCATGATGCCTTTTGAGTGTGCATGAGCAGTGATGAGAGGAATGTCAAAGTATTGCCCCGTATAATACTGTATTCCGGGCAAGAGTAATAATGCTGTCGTTGAAGCATGTCGGTCAATTATAGAGAGTATTTTTTCGGTGCTCAGGGTGGGATGCTCGGCAGAGTCAGGCTCAATCAAGAGCATGGAGTCGTCTACATTGAAGTTGTGGTGACGAATTTGAGATTCTACCGCGTACTGTGAGTTTGAAAATTCAATTAGTATAGGGCTACACTTTTGCTGCCTCTGCTTATTTCAGACATGGGTGAAGCGTACATGATCGCTAGGAAAGGCCCTGCCCTCCAGGATGATCTTCCATCGTTCCTTGGTAGGACGATAGAAGCTTGCCATGGCCAGGTGTAAGTTTGCCGTCAACGTTCCCATAACAGCGACTTCGTTGGGGGCAGCGCCAACGATGCCAGCCATTTTTGCTGCTGCGGCATCGTCAATGTCCACCCATGGTGGAAGTTCCGAGGATTCTTTGAGGAGCTTGAAATGCCCAAAGACGCCCTTTGTGCTCCATTGGTCCAAGTATGCTCGAATGCGTTCAGAGGTCAGACGTGGTTGTAAGCCCAGGGAATTGCCACAGAGGTAGATGCTCTTGGGGCTGTCCTTGTTTATGCCTGGTCTTCCTGGTAAGTCTCTATGGCCCACGAGAAAGGGGAAATGGTCAAGTCAGAAAGCTACCTTCTCTTGAAATGGTATCTCTTTGTAAATCTTCTATTGTGGGGATGATAAATTCGTCTCTTAGATGCTGCAATGGATCTTGGCTGTCGAGTGATTCGGCATATGCTTTGGTTTGAGCTTCAGGAAGACTGGCGTAATTGGGCAGATCTCTAACGGAAGCCATTGCTATGTCTGCTATAAGGAGATATCTAAACTGTGCCTCAGATCCTGTCAACAGAGTAAGAAGATGTCCGTGCTGGACCGTTGCGGGACGTTTCCCTCCACCTCCACGCTGGTCGTTTTGCCCCACTATAGAGAGGGGAGGGGTCTTAAGTGGCTCACCGCCTTCGCCAAACGGGAAAGCTCAGGGCCATGCGATGACTTGCTTCCAAAAATCACGTAAAGGTAATCGAGGAAATGACACACTTTGACATGACAAATGGATGTATTCAATTATAAAATTATATCTGCAGCCTTTATTGAAACATACTGAAAAGGGGGAAATAAAACCAATTGGTACGACTCATATCAAATGCCTGTAGTCTCAATGTCCCAGATTTTGGTTATTGAGTTGCTTATAAACCAGAGAGGTATAGCTGGCGGGAAAATACCGACACGCCGACCATCCGAGCTCGCCCCTCGTCATAACCTCAATCTTTCTGAACGCTTGATAACCTTTGCCGTGTAAATCTCAGCCAGCAACATCCGCAAATGCATGGGCTTCGCTCGTTGTTTCGCCATCGCGGGCCTTGTAGCCTGACGCGCAACACTTTCTCATCACCCAAACGCCAGTCACTCGCTCATGCCGCCCCTCTAGCGGTTCCGGGAAAGCAACCGCTTTTGGACTTCCTTGCCCCGTCTTGGAGGCCAACAGCTTCGTACTCACATCTGGCCGTCAGGAGACGAGTTCCTAGCCTGGAACGCCGCCAGTGCTTTTCTTCGTCGTCTTCACGCCGTGCAGTGGTCGTCAATCCTCGCAAGGACGAAGATGGCAATGACATGATCGTTGGCATCAAGCCGCGCGCCTCTCATGTATGTATAGACACTTGCAAGATTCGGAGAATGGTACTCACCTATTGGTAGCGCCTCGCGGAAATCATGCAGTCCGATAAAAATCCCTCGCTTCTTCTTCGAATCACTGTGGAGAGCGGTGGGTGTCATGGTTTTCAATACCTTATGTCTCTGACGAATATGTCGGAGATTTCGAATGAGGAGGATACTGTATTTGAAGCAGACGACGGGACGGGCGCCAAGATAGTCATGGACGAACCTAGTCTGGAGCTGTTGAAGGGAAGTCAGGTGGATTACACCATGGAGTTGATCGGCAGTCAGTTTAAGATTGTGGATAACCCGCTGGCCACCAGCAGCTGTGGGTGCGGCACGAGCTTTGATATCAAGGAATGATGTGCACAAGGCCACTGGGGTATTATGATGCCTCGATGTTGGTCATTGCAAATTATTGCAATGCAGCTAAACGGAGCATTGGACATTTTACATTGCGTGGCGTCGGGAAAGATTTGGAATACTGTTTGCACTTTTTTTTATTGACTCTTTCAATTCTGCACGCGGCATGGATATTAGCACATTACAGCGTATTTTGTGGTAGACACCAGCGGGAGAATCTCCCCCGGTGAGACTGCTACGTTGAAAGATTATTCAATGCTACATAATTACCTTGAAAATTATCCGAAAACAGTGAGCTATTGCTTTTATGCATTCATATTATAATGTAGCTCTTGAATTTTTACAGCTCGACTACGCCGATCAATATATACTGTTTTAGGGGGATTATATATGTGGTTTTAGATATCAGAAACAGAGAAGATAGAAATTAATGGTACAGATAAACGTGATAATCATCTAGATGTAGATTCAACCATTATAAAATACCAGGAAAAAAAAAAGAAAAGAAAAGCGAGAAAGAAGAGGAGAAGGGCCCTGTATATAAGTCGATAGTTGTTCGTTTTCATTCATTTTTTACAGATACTACATTTCAAAGATTATAATTAATCCTCTCATGATTGGTCTTCAAAAGATATGCTCTCTAATAATGCAAACATTGTGCCAGTTATTGCATGGATAGTACTGGTCCAATGCGGCATTACGATTAAGTAAGCGAGACAGCCATGTTCAGTTAACGCCGAGAGGAGGATTCGTGTGGCGATACAGAAACCAGGGACTTTGGATGAAACGGGGACAAACTCTGCGGAAGGGTGAGCGGACATTAACGGCAGTATTCCAGGGCGACCAATCAAAATGATCAAGGGGGTACTGGATGCGGACTAGCTCGCCCGCATCTCGATGGAGCTAACTGCTTTCTTCGCCCGGGAAAAAAGAAAAGAAAATTTCCTTCGGCTTTGCTGGCCTGGCTCTTCTCTTGCCTTCTTTAGCGAGACCTGCGTCGGTCCCTTTTGTTTCGCGCAGTCGCCCTCTTTTTCAAATCAATCCACATTTCTCAACATTTGATCTTCACATCCACATCACTTGTCGCTCTCTATTTCTGTGGATACTCGGTTTTCATAACTTTTTAATACTACAGTCTTTACTTTTAGACGACTCGCTGATATGTCGTACGGCGGCGGCTACGGAGGCGGCTACGGAGGCTCTCGTGGCGGCGGTGGTGGTGGTTATGGTGGCGGCGGCTACGGTGGCGGATCTTCAAATGGGTATGAACTACAGCCCTTGAACTTCACAATTTAAATCAATATGCGACCGCAATTTGCTCTTTTTCTTTGCTCCGGCATGTGCTATATGTGGCCTGTCGGCTGTTGAAGGCGTTTTGCTTTTCTTGCCAACAAATTCTCTTCGAACTTTTGCTGACATGTTTTCCCCTTACAGCAATGGCTATCGCGGCGGCAGCAACGGTTACTCAAGCGGAGGTTATGGAGGTGGCGGCGACAAGATGTCGAATCTCGGTTCAGGCCTTCAGAAGCAGAGCTGGGGTGAGTTGTATGCTGATGAATCTTACGTTTTCCGTCGACTAACCCTTTCCACCTCAGATGTCGATGCCCTCCCCAAATTTGAGAAATCTTTCTATAAGGAACATCCTTCCGTAACGGAACGCTCTGATCGTGATGTTGAAGCGTTCCGCAAGGCCAACCAAACTGTGGTCCACGGAAAGAACGTCCCGAAGCCCGTTGAGACTTTTGACGAGGCTGGATTTCCCGCTTACGTTATGAATGAGGTCAAGGCCCAGGGATTCGAGAAGCCAACGGCTATTCAATCGCAGGGCTGGCCCATGGCTCTGTCTGGACGTGACGTTGTCGGCATTGCTGAGACTGGCTCTGGCAAAACCCTGACCTACTGTCTTCCTGCAATCGTTCACATCAACGCCCAGCCTCTCCTGGCCCCTGGCGACGGACCTATCGTCCTCATTCTCGCTCCTACCCGTGAGCTTGCCGTCCAGATTCAGGGTGAGATCTCCAAATTTGGCAAGTCTTCTCGCATCCGGAACACCTGTGTCTACGGTGGTGTTCCCAAGGGTGGTCAGATCCGAGACCTTGCTCGTGGTGTCGAGGTCTGCATCGCCACGCCTGGTCGTTTGATTGACATGATCGAATCTGGAAAGACCAACCTTCGCCGTGTCACCTATCTTGTCCTCGACGAGGCCGACCGCATGCTGGACATGGGTTTCGAGCCTCAAATTAGAAAGATCATTGGCCAGATTCGTCCTGATCGTCAGACCTGCATGTGGTCTGCCACTTGGCCCAAGGAGGTGCGCCAATTGGCGTCTGACTATCTCAATGACTTTATTCAGGTTAACATTGGTTCTCCCGACCTTGCTGCCAACCACCGCATCTTGCAAATCGTCGAAGTCGTTTCCGAGTTTGAGAAGCGTGACAAGATGACCAAGCACCTTGAACGCATCATGGAGGACAAAGACAATAAGATTCTCATCTTCACTGGTACTAAGCGTGTGGCGGACGAAATCACTCGTTTCCTTCGTCAAGACGGCTGGCCGGCGCTCTGTATGTTGTCCCTTATATTTCCCTTCTTCCTTGATTGGTGGCGTCATACTAATCTGTTGCAGCGATCCACGGTGATAAACAGCAAAACGAACGCGATTGGGTCTTGAACGAATTTAAGACGGGCAAGAGCCCCATCATGGTTGCTACCGATGTAGCATCGCGTGGTATTGGTATGAATAAGTGCAACCCAACTCCTGCATCCTCTCTCTCCTCCCCTACCCTCCCTGCCATTTACTCCTCGTTCCATTTGCTGTCGTGTGTGTCTGGAATGATGCTCTACTCTCAAGCATGCAGAACCCTTGTCCGGTCTTTTCGTGTATACTGGTTTCTTTTGACCAAGGTATCCCTTGGATCCCATGTGCAGTGTAGCTTGTCTAGCTCGCCAACCCCGGATCTCGTACTATTGTATTCGGGTAGAGCGGCGAAATCGGTGTCTTTATGACTTTGCTGAGCTACACCTATGAGGCTTCCAAGGCCACGATTTGTTCTCCGGCCTTGCATTGGATGCAATGGCGACGATAAATGTCGCACAGAGAGTAGAAGCAACGCCAAGTGCAGCTTCGCACGACCGCCATTTGGGGTCGCCTTTTTGCTCAAACACTTTGATCTTGTGATTGCTAACCACTAGTTAAGATGTCCGCAATATCACTCATGTGTTCAACTATGACTATCCTAATAACTCAGAGGATTATGTTCACCGCATTGGACGTACTGGCCGTGCTGGTGCAAAGGGCACTGCCATCACGCTCTTCACAACCGACAGTAAGTTGTCTCATCTCGCATCTACACATTCAAGAACAAGATGCTAACTATTGCTGTTACAGATGCTAAGCAGGTACTTTCAATATAAAACCATCCACCACTTGGGGACTTTTTTTTTTTTTTGCTAATTCCTATCGTCTAGGCCCGCGAGCTTGTCAGCATTCTCACAGAATCTAAGCAGCAGATCGACCCGCGCCTCGCCGAGATGGCCCGCTACTCCGGTGGTGGTGGCGGTGGCCGTGGCTGGGGAGGTCGCGGACGTGGCGGCTATGGCGGCCGCGGTGGTAAGTTCTAGAAGCATTTTACAAAATGAATTCAGGGCTCCGCTAATAATTTGATTTCTCAGGCTACCGTGGAGGCTCTGGCTACTCGGGATCTAACGCTGCACCGCTTGGCAGAAGCCGATGGTAATTATAATTACCTCGACTCTTCTGCAAATTTTTTTTTCTAATCGACCCTTAGATTGCTGTGAACGGTTTTCAAGTTCTTTCTGATAGACTATTCCCCAGCCGCATTTGCGGTGAATGTTCATCAATGGGTGCATAGTATCTTTGCTACTAATTTCTGCGCATATTATTTTTCTTTCGAGTCCCTCGAGGAACCGGGCGCGTCAGGACAGGTCGTTTTGAATTCTCAGGCATGCTCTCAGGGAGCAAACAAAAAAGTAAAGTGGAATTTGTCTGACAGACAATGGTTCTGAGGCGTGGTCTAAAATCTGTGGACAATCACATGCCTTGGCTGTCATTCTTTGTTTTAATCGTTTCGTTTGAAATTCAGTGGTTAATACAGCTGGTGACGCGGTTCGGTTTATTTAGTGAATTAGATCAAATCTTATTAGTTCTTTAACTTATGATTACCATTTGATTGTTTATGCAGTCGAAATGGGCTTGTTCCATGGTTGATACGGGTGTAAATCAGCCTCTTGCAAAGGATATGACGTGAGACAAGGCATGCTTGTTTGATTTCGGGGGATTTGCATACGATGGAAATTACAGGATAGTATTGACCGAAATTTCGGATGATCTTGCAAGGCAGGCCTTGACTGCCGGCAGTTCAATCCCGGCTCCCTAGACGACATTTTGGAAGCGGATAAATATTTCGGCTGGTGATTTATTTACAGCATGGGACAGAATTTTCTTGTTTTGTTTTCAAATCATGCATTTCACATGTGGCGAGGACTCATCATTTTTCATGGCTGGAGAATCCCTTGAAACGTCTCGCAGCAAGGACGGAGGGCATCTGATGCCTGAGCGTCGGATGATACGTTCCTCAGATGCGACATCACATTGTTTGCTGGGATCCCTCTCGGAGAATACTTCCTTTTTGCTCTGTTTTGGAATTTCATATGCATTTTTATTCAGATTTTACTGCCGAAAACTGCCATGTCCGAGGCAGCATGATGTCAAGATTTCTTCGGACGACCGGGATCACGCATGTATTGCTGCGCCGTCAATAATGTGAGGTCGACCTGTCATCATCTTGTGTCACATCAACGCTCTCGGAGATACTCGTACTGCTAACGCTGCGCGCCCTACTTGATGTAGCGAAAACGCGCCGAGATCACAGCCCGTGCCACAGCAAAAATATATACGACTGATGATGATTCACCCACAAAAATAGACTTTTTTTTTTACAGAGGTGAGACATATGAGGAAAGGAGCGGGAAAAATGATTTGCCATGTTTAATAATAATTTTTTATCCCCTATTGTTTTTATTACTCAATGGATTTATGTGCAGGCGTATTTTGAGGATAAACAGAAAAAATCTGCCATTACGGTGCATTGGCGCTAAGGTTGCCACGAACCGGAAAGCGATCCCCAATGGGCGCGTTCAAGTTTCACAAGAATCACCGACTTAGACCTTTAGTCTCACTCTTATTTTTCGCTTTGGCGGCCGTGGGTAGACGCGGTACGAGGAGAAGGACTCTTACCAAAGTCAAAATTGTCAGTAGTGAACCCCCTTTCGGCTGCTAAGATCTTAAACTGTTCAAGCAGGCCACGAGATTCGCGCAGATGACAGATGTGATAGTGTACCTTAGGTTTCTAACTTTCCACTTACCCGTCTGGCGGGCCCTGCTTGAGACCAAAAACCACGGTCGGTCGATAATGGTCAACGACCGTTATACCATAGCAAAGACATTTATCACATACATATATAACCTAAACCACGAGACCACGCTCTAAGTTAAGCAACATGTTCTTGCACACTTTCTGATTCGCGATCGCGAACGATGATTTATTTCCTGGATGGCACCACAATTAACCCGACCACCCCATAGGCATGGGCGACCCAGGGTTTGCCGGAGAAGTCTCGGATCAGCTCCGGGAGCTGAGAGAGATGCAGAAATCCTGACATTCTGCTCCGCTCAGCGGGTCTTTGTGAGCAACACAAAGCGAATCATAATTGGTTTCGAGATTTCATGACCTTTGCCAACGTTCTTGTGTACTGTACGGAGGGGAGCTGAGCTGGACCCCCGGCCCGATGAAAGAATCACATCTTGTCTTTGCGAACACCTTGTCGGCCAATAGCAGCACCATACCTATTTTTGCAGACAATGGATGGGTTGGTTGCGAGCGGACTTTTGTCTCTTTGCTCTGCTCAATTTCCCCAATCAGCAGCGTGGCCGAGTTTCTCCTTCAGCTGCCTAGATTCGTAAAGCAGGGGGAAAAGTTATTTTGCCTGGTGACCCCGCTTGCAGGTCTTGGACAACAGCCATTCCGCTCACCTTTGAGCAGGCTCAGGACATCACTCGAGCTTTCTTGGCTCCCTTTTTTTTTTTACCTTCGTTCGTGTGGATCTCGAGCCCAATTGAGCTCTAATTTGCATGGAGAAAGGATTTGCCTACGTGCATAGCCTTATTTCTCTGCTCCGCAGTTACATTCTGCGTTCATAGGAGGTTGCATGGGACAAAGCAATCATTTGCCATCATCCCCTATTACTTATCATTTCATTTTGCTACAGGACCCACGTTGACAGCATCAATTATGACTGCTTATTTGTTGATTTTGCTGGGTTGGGCAAAACGGCCCCACCATGCCGACACAGGTTAAAGCACCTTTCTGTCGATATGTTTCTTTGAATGCTTGTGGCGGTCGGCTTGCAGTTGTTTGGTTCATGCGACTTCGGCCCTTCCGGATGTTGTTTGAGGATTTACTTCTCTCCTGACACCAGTGAGCTACAGCACTTTGTGCATGAGGCTTGTGATAGTGGTGGTGGCCACCAGCTGGGCGAGGGAGAACTACCGGGCCTTGCGAATGCCCATGACCATGATGACCATGTGCTCTGGGTTTGGCAGGGAAGGCCCTTGGTTTCATGGCCGAATACCAACATCATTGCAAAACCCACGAGTGGAGCATGTCTTAGTCACGTAGTTGCACACCTTTTTTCTTTTTAGTGCTCGAAGATCCTCAGCCCCCTGTCGTGTCAGTCGCTCGCAACATTTCTCGGACCTCCTCCGGCGCGCCACAGAGCTGGCCCGCGGGTGCTGCTCATTGATCGTCCATTATTATCCATAATTGCTACTTTGACGATGATGATGATGATGATGATGAAGAAGAAGAAGATGAAGCTAACTGATGAGCAGGTACCTACTTTAGCTTTCATGTGCGGGTGAGCTAAATCATGTCCTTTGATACTACAGCAGCAGCAGCAGCACGATTTCTCACTTGCTGTTTCTATGTCCTCGCTTGTCTAAATAATCCCTCGTCTCGCAAACGGGGGATGGGATCCCTGTTCGTGTACAGAGGGTACGAGGATTCTCTGATATCAGTGTTCCGGCAACTTCCAGCTGGAAAATCCCCCCCCCCCCCTTGCTCAATATGACATTATGGTTCCCCGTAAACTTGGGAAAACCTTCTGCAAACGAACAACAAGAGAAAAACGCGTCTCCGCTCCCAATCTCAACCCAACCGATACCCTTGATCCGGCATATTCCATCTCAATTATCCCTGTTTCTGCGACCGAGTCCTGTACCTTTCTATGACAACTCTGCCGTCGGAATTGGTCCTGGGAGACAAGGTACCGGCCTGTATTTATTGCATCCGCTTTGCCCCGTAACACGTCCAGCAGGGCCTATTACCTTACGCACCAAAAACAAATGCTTAGAAAGCTTCCTAGGGTAGGGACTCTTGTGATTACGGGAGGGTGATCCTCCTTCCCTTTCCCTGTCCTTACCGTAGTACTCTCCAACCCCGGTACACACAAGTTTCGTTCGGGCTACCGTCCTTAGTCTGTCCCATATCGCCAAAGAGCGTTGGGTTTCGCACCGCCTGCTGTCATATTACGATCGGTGTGTCTTTCGTAAGCTTAGCTGGATCACTTTTTTGTCCGGGGGTCAATCTCGCCGCGACCATTCCCTTTTCTCCCATCAAGTAACCATTGCGAGCGAGCAAGGTTCTTGATCCCCGGAAGAGAACCGCATCAAAACACAGGTGCAACAATTTGGATTATATGAACACAATACTGTCGTAATTCCGCCTTTTTGCGCAGGCATCTTGGGTTGTCCTTGTCAATCCACGATGCTCAAATAAGGAGATGTTTCCGTTGTCTGAGAAAGAAGGAAATTATAAAAAGGCAACGGAGAGGAAACAGATACGGTACCGCCGAAATCAAATCAAATCAGCTGGCCCCCACCTCCTCTGGCAGAAAAAAAGTGGCCTTTCTAGCTATCTACAGTAGAAATCGTCAGGCCACGACGTTTTGGCCTTTTTGCTGTCATCTCCCTTGCCGAGCACACATTCTGCCACCCACCCATCCGCCCCCCCGACCGTTTTGGACCCAGTTAATAATCACTTTTTTTCAGTATCTCTGTAACTTATTTTGCCCTCGTCCTCTATCATCGTGAGAAGAGAAGGGCCCGCCTTGTTGCCACTAGCCCAAGAAAGAGGGTCCTCTGCAAAAGTGGAACGGATTCGATTCGAGACTGGTCGGTGAGATCTACGCTAGGCCACCGCATATACAGCATCGGCCACTCATCACCGCGAACGTCCTCGCTTCCCCTACTCTTTTCATCACGGCTACGACGTTGCGCTAACGTAACACCCATCGAACACAACACCTTTACCTTTCCTTGATTTTCTTTGCCTTCCTGGCGCGTCCGGAGGAAGACGAGTGTAGTAGAGAGAGAGAGAGGGAAAACATCCGCGGAACGCTGAAAGCGGTCTGTGGCTACAACTCTTTTTATTTTTTGCCTGTCGAGAAGCGCCCCTTCTGGTTGGCTGATCGGCGATTGTTCGCTGGGACCACACCCTTCACATTGTTGGTTTGCGAATTTCGCCGTTCGGTCAAACGAGATTCGACGCATCTTGCCCGTCTCGCCCTCCGTTGCGTCTTGTCTTCTCTTTCACACGCGTTTTGCCTCCCCGCCTGCGCGCAGGCACCATTGGGCTAAACTAGTCAAGGAGCGACGGATTCGACGCTAGATTCAATCAAACTATTCATTTTACATCCGGCACTTGGAGAGTTTCATCACGACATCGGGCCCCATCTCCCATCTCCCATCGTCCTCGAGGGGCGAAATAAGAAAGGGTCATTTCGATTTTAGTGCTTTGAGATAGCTCCAAAAGCAGCTGAGAGTAGCTTGGTGCCATCATTTTCAACCACCCGACAGCCCCCTTTGGGTTGAATCTCTTTGTGTCTTCTCTTCGCTCTTCTTCTCCGTTCTCCACTTGGGACGGACGCACGCACGCACGAACACTTGCCAACCCGTTTCAAATCCCACCAACACCAACCTGACCCATCAGCAACCCCCCCCTAGTCCCCTCAGCGTCTTTTGTCGTGACAACCCGGCAACCACGCGCAACCTTGGGTGCCGCTTCCAATCGCCCAGAGATTTGACCTTTCCTACTCCGGCGTCAACGTTGTCATCGACCACCTAGTACGACCAGACAAGCGAAGTCTGCTTCGATCGAAGCCAACTTCGGCGGTACGAACGCTTCTCACATCTCACCGCGGCGCCACTTTAGGGTTTAGCCACCCAAGCAGAGCGAAGCCGGTCACTGCGCCCTCTTTTACCACACACACCCCTCCACCCCCCCCCTCCCTCCTCTCTGGTCCCAAAAGGCTTTTCGCGGTCATCTAAACGGACTGCCTCTACCCGAGCGGCCGGTCCAATTCGACCTTTAACCACACTTGCTCCCCCCCAACTCGCCTCTTAGACCCAAGTCCACGTCTTACACCCGTGCTCTTGGGTCAAGCACTACTACGCCCCAAAACTCCCTTGTCTTTTGATGCACGCCGGCGTCCAGCAGGACTTGACCACGAGCAACCCTTTTTCCTGCACTACACAGACACACCGCCGACTAAAGTAGCTCCCGGCTTCGAATACACCGGTCGTGCTGTTCGTCTTCGAACGAAGGAAACATCGTCACAGAGTCGATTGAATCCCTTCTCTGGTCCGTCAGGTCCTCCTTGCACACTCGCAAAACTCCTCCCGTCGCGTCGAACACGTTTTCCAACAGAAAAAAACAAGTGTCGACCTTCTGTCTCCTACAAGGGCTTCCCCATTGCATAACGGACGGCTAGGACCTTCCGCGATTTCTTCTGCACGAACCTCGTGTGCCGTAGTATGTCCACGGCCTATTCTTCGCACTCCGTTCAACCTGTCAACGGTGTTCCTTCGAGTGCAAGTCTAACTGGCTACGTGAGCGCTCCACAGCAGCTTATGGACAGAGGTGCTTCCGATTACTCGCAGTCAGGTTTGCGCGCGTCTTTTCCACTTGTGAGCGAATCTCAGTCTGAAGGATCTTTGCCAGATCAAGCGTCTGCTGCGCAGTACCCGGCCGGTCAGGACGTTCGTCCCTCAAACTTTTCATCCTCCGCCACGCCCACGTCCGAGTACGGCATTCATCCTTCGTCGGCGCGTTCAGGCTCCTTTCCGGAATACTTGACGCGTCCGCAGTATCCCGAGGGAACTGCTCGTTACCATCCTCCTAGCAACCAGAGCGCCAGCACTGGAGGTATGGCTCAAGCAACAAGTCCGTCCATGCCTTTAGCAGCAGATGGACACACAAATGGCCATCGCACCACGCATCACGTAAAGTCTGACCCCGATCTGCCTATAGATCCGTCCATTGCCGCGTCGAGTCCCACCTATCCTCCGCCAACCCAATACTCGCCTTATCCGCCCCAGCACGACATGACCCAGCCGTATCCCGCCCATCCGGCCGCGCCGCAAATGTATCACCGCCCAGAGTGGCAGTATGCGCCCGCAGGACACGCGCATACCCTCCCCGGCGGCGCCTATGGCCACCCTTCGCCCGCCACCACGGTATCAGCAGCGTCACCGGCAGCCACCGCGGGACCTCGTCCTGGACAGGTTGGGCTCGCTTTTCCAGACAGGAGATACTATTCTAACGCGCCACAGCAGCCCCACCTCTCTCAGGTGTACTCCTTTGTGCCCATTCCAGGCGCGCAGCAGCACAAGCGCCCGCGTCGTCGTTATGAAGAGATTGAGCGCATGTACAAGTGCGGCTGGAATGGCTGCGAAAAGGCATATGGCACGCTCAATCACTTGAACGCGCATGTTACCATGCAGTCCCACGGCCAGAAGCGCACTCCTGAAGGTACCGTGTTCTTCCTTTTGTCTTCTTTCCTTTTTTTTTTTTTTTTTTTTTTTTTTTTCACTTTCTTTTGCGCCCGTGTTGCCATTGTCCATTGTCTTTGAGCAATTGATGAACCATGTGCCTCTTTTTCCAATTCCTTTCCCCCCGCCTGCTTGTAGCAGCTTGCTAACGGTTTCATACCCTTTGGCAGAATTCAAGGAGATTCGCAAGGAGTGGAAGGCACGAAAGAAGGAGGAGGAGAACGCGCGCAAGGCGGAGGAGGAGAGACAACGGCAGGCGGCTGCTGCTCAGGCAACCCAGGTTGACGGCCAAGCTGCCGAAGCTTCCCAAGCGCCTGCGGCTTCGACGTACCCGCCAGGTGTGCGCCCTCAGCTCCCGCCCATTGGATACGCTCCGGCTGGTGGTCAAGTTGCCGGACAATATGCGGCTCCGAGCGGTGGCATGGATCAGATGCATCAACTATATTCCAACTACGCTCAGTCGCCTTATACGCAAGGCAGCCAGATGTACCAACAACGTTAAAACACCCTTGCGTGGATGATGGAGGCGGACATATCACCCTGATGCGCCTTCAGCAAGTGATCAGCCAATAGACTGACGCCACTCGGGTCGTTTTCATTTGTTTTCTCCTACCTCGCAATCCGTTCTCTCGCTTCCTTGACCAAGGGCAATTTGGCTGTTTCTGCTTTGGTCATGCGGAACATTAATGGGTAGTCCTGAACATAGTGGGAAAAAGATCGCATGCGGGTGTCGATTTCCATGTTTCGTGTGCCTTGGCGGTCAAAATTTGTCTAGACGTTGTGATTGCGATCATGTTCCTTTTTCCTTTTTTTCCGCTTTTTTATTTTTCTTCCTTTTTTCTTCCGTTTTATACTTTTTTGTCTATTAATATCTTTTATCCTTTTCTTTTCCGGTTCATTTGCCAAATTCGGTTGCGGCCTTGATTGCGCGTTGAATTTCCATTCCAGAGAAAAATTTTCGTGCTTTTTCACATTATTCATACGAATCTCACAACGGGGGGTCAAGGTCTTTGATTTGTTCTCGCTGGTCCTTTGCAATATCGCTTCACAACCCGGGGTGGTATCAAATTTATACCTTGTATTTGTACCAGTACTTTTCTGTCTTGCCGATACATGCAAGCTTCATGCTGACATGGGGCTCGTGCCACGCCATTGCACTCATCTGAGGGGATCCTCATCCCGCTCAATATAAGATGTGACATGCTGGCGGGGAGTATGCTATCGGATATGCGCTGCTGGCAATTGTGACTGATTTGATGGACAAAAGGTTTCTGAATGACATGGCTCCGCGGTCAAAGAGGCTGTACAAACACATATTCGCCAGGATTTGGCCACCTTCCGGCACATTGTTTCGAAGATTTGCTCTTTTGTTTTTGTTATTCCACCTGATCTGTTTTCTTCTCCTCTTCTTCTAGCTGCTCTCTTTTCCTGTACATACTGGGGAACGTAATATGATTTCAATCTACAATTCGCCGACCAATGTTTGCAATCTCCCATGTGGGATTCTTTTAGGACGAAAAGTCTACTCCAGAACCCAACTAGATACGGATAGCGTTCCAAGCCGGCTCTAACAGGTTCTGCTTGGCATTTAGGTATGCAAGACATCAATTAGAAGGCGACAGGGCCACGGTTTAGTGAGGAACGGGCTCAAAGGTAGAGGATAACCGTTTCATCGGACCCTCCCGCCCAGCCGGCCACGTCAACTTTGCACGAGGGAGATGATAGCGTGACGCCGAAAGAAAAGAAACGAACAACGGCCGGTGAGACGGCCCGGGTTAGCGAGTTGCGATGTTAGGAAGCTTTCCTAGGGCTGTCTCCCTGCAGAATACGTAGGATATTTTGAAAAAAGGGAGACTAACACTAGCTGTGGCCTAAAAAAACCCGCCCTTGAGATTGTGCTTAGAATAAAACTATATACCTAGCATGTAGTGCTTTCGTTTCCTCTGCCGGTGCCAAACCTAATTGCAGTCCATTCGCGCATTTCGATATAGACTAGCATACGGACATGTACAGGGAAACACTAGCATTAAAGCGTTGCCAAACTGTTGGGCGGGGGTATGTCCAATGTCTTTGCAGTGATATTACCTGTGCTATTGCATCGCATCCGAGACACACAAATTTCTATTTGAATAGCGTGTTTAAGAGGAAAACCGCAAAATGTAGCAACATGATTTGCCTGCCAAGTGCTTACATTAGGGTTGGCTGAGAGGGACAAGGCTAAGGTATGTTAGTATAAGCCAGGCGCAGAGGTGTACATTGGACGGCGTGACAGCGAATTTTCTTTTCGATTTAGTCGCACTGGTTCAGTTCAAATGTGGCTATATCTCCGCCAGAACCTTAGCCATGGTACCGTTGGTACGGTTAGGTCAGTTAACCAAATCACATCGGCTAATTTGGGCGTTACAGGGAGGGTTTCTGCTCCCTGGGTCACTGCCGAGAGGTCGGGTTGGTAGCTTGGGAGGAGGTTAACTAAGGTAGAGGCGCACTAAACCTACGGGTACTGCTGTACTGTACGCAGCACTGTACATGTACCTCGGTACCTCTAACTGCCTTGATCTTTTGCCGAAAACGATTTATGCGGAGAGGGACCTTGTACCTTGGGCGAACGTGGGACGGAAAAATTGCCGTGGGGTAAAAATGGGAAAAAAAAAATATAGTACAATTTCTTCAACGACGAACGATGGGGCGGTTTGATAGACACCTAGGTGCTTGAGCTCCCCCCATCGGATCCTAGGTAGGTAGTGACATAAGGTATTTCTCCTCGTGCCTTACATTAGTTCTTCCGGCCTGTCCCAGCAGGATGGAACAGCATGGCGTCCGCCGCGGTTCGTCCTTCGCTCCCCTCCCCTTTCAAACCCGGCTTTAACTCTACCTTAGGCCCATCTGCCGGCACGTCACACAGCGTCGGGCTCTACTTTAGCCCTTGATCGGTCGCAGTCCCAGATACCCGGTTGCTCCCACATGTCCGGCGTCGAACTTGCTGTGCGGGTTAACGGTTGGCGTCGATAGTTCAGGAAGACCAAAACTTTGGGGTGAATCAGGCTGAGGGGGGAAGATCCCTTCCCCCGCCCCAACCCATGGGGTCAAGAGATGATTCATCCCCCCCCGGAGTGCACCGCAGGGAAAAAAAAAAAAAAAAAAAAAGCAAACCACACTCATACCCCAGTCCCCTTCTTCAGACCCTTCAAACTTCCCCTAGTTGTTCACGCTGCCGCCGCTATGGATCCCAAGGGACCTAAGAGAAGATTTGTCAGGTTTTACTGGCCAAATCCAACGGGTTCGGAGCCCAGTCTTTAGTGCAGACATGCTCCCCCATCCTCGTGCCAGACAAGGCTTCGAGGACCTTCAACTACCAGGATCCTGCCTACCTCGCCTAACATGCATGTCAACTTTTCGGATCTTGTCTCTGCCTTCGGCCCCGGAGCACAAGCACAAACCCCGACAAACGCCTCAGCCTCATCAGACTACTAGGATGCCTTGTACACATAATTAACAAATAGGCTGAGAATGCTTGAATCTTTTCAAGCCAGGATACCATGATATATGAATTTTGCGTTCAGGGAAATTTAAGAGGGGCTGATTTGTCTTCTTGGCCGAGTACTTGTTTTTATTCTTGCACAAAATTGGTCGCCTGCGCTTTGATCACGTGACTGAAAATCTACCGCGCGCTTGACTCTCCGAAAAAGTTCACCGCCCGTCGAAACGACCATGGACTGCTGACCAGCACGTCTTGTGAATAATATTGCCCCTGCTCGAATTTGGCAGCAATGGCTCCCTGTTCCGGCTGCTTAAGTCGATATCTACGAGCCATAGTGTCTCTCCAGCCCCAACAGGCTCAACGTATTGGTCAGCAGACCTTTCGACACCGAACACGAATTCCTCAGTCTGCGTCGTTATGGTCTCAGCGATCATATGCCACTGCCGGTACCGCGACAGTAGAACGGACCGGGTCAAGAGCCAATGACGGCGCTGGATCTTCCAAAGCCGACGTCTCTCTACAAGCAAGCAGATCAGTGCAGTTGGACCTACGTCCAGCGTGGAAACAACAAGGGAAGAGGGCGCCTACAATTAGAGGAGCGCCAAGCCCCAGGGAACTACAACGGAGAATCAGTTTTATGAAAGACCCGCTAGTGCTCGCGGACTATGTACGCAAAGCCATAGAACGAGGCCAATGGACGACTGCGGTGGAGACAGTCCGGCTTGCAAGCAAACAAATGTCTTGCACCGTCAGCTGGAATCATCTTATAAATGAACAGTTCGTACGAGGGAGAGGGCATGAAGCGTTTAGAATATACAATGAGGTATGAAGTTTCTCCAAGAATTATAGTATTTTTTGGGGGCCACACTGCTGACATTTTTCTCAACCAAGATGAAAAAACGGGGACAAACCCCCGACAGCCACACCTACACCTTGCTCCTTCGAGGTTTTGCGGATCTCGCTATGCATCCTTATGCTGTCGGTCGTGCGCTTTCTATATACCACTCACTCTACGCGCCAAACTCACCCATCAAGCCATCTATCATACACACCAATGCTGTACTCAAGGTGTGTGCGCGGGCCAACGATATGGACTCCCTATGGGGAGTAGCGGCAAAGCTCCCGGAGCAAGGAAGAGGAGCACCCGATAACATGACGTGGACCACCATTTTGAATGCCGTCCGTCAAAGCGCAATCAAGGACGCGATCCCTGGAGAGCCCGAAGAAACGGGTAGCCGTCGGCGCGAAAAGGCCATTCTTGAAGGCAAGAAAATGTGGGAAGACATTGTGTCGAATTGGCGCCAGGGAAACCTACGCGTCGATGAAGAGCTCGTAGGCGCCATGGGCAGACTTTTGCTCATAGGCAGCCGGCCAAAGGACTGGGACAGTGTTCTTTCTCTGATCGAACAGACAATGGACATTCCGCGATTAGCTCCACGACTAGGAACCAGCGCGAGACCAAGTATTCCCGTGGCAGTGGCGCGCTCTCCCGCCACAGAAACCTCTGAGAACGAAGCAGCACAACAACAGAATGAAGAAGAAGAATCTATCGGCCCCAACGGCACTTTTGCTCCACCCGACGCCAAAACGGCACTCAGTCGCGCTGGTCGCGCTGGTACCTCCGGCCGCAACCAAGCCGTGCCTTTGAGCTTCGCCAAACCCACCAGCCCTACTCTCTCACTTCTCCTCCAAGCATGCATCAAAATGCGAGCCAAACAACTGGCCTCTCACTACTGGGACTTACTCACCGACCCTACCGGCTACGGCATCCAGCCCGACGCAGAGAATATCCACAACTACCTGCGCATCATGCGGCTCAGCCGATCCAGCCGCGACGCCGTCGCCCTCGTGGACCGGTACATGATTGGCCGGACCGCCAAAGTCCAACCGACCCGCAAAACGTTCCGCATCGCCATGAGCGCGTGCGCTCGTGACAAGATCAACCCGCGTGCCTTGGACCATGCCTCGGAATTGCTCTTGCAGATGCTCACTACGATTGAAGAACCCGATATCCGCACACTCATTAGCTACGTCGACCTCGCCAATGAGTCTGCCGCCTCCAAGGACGGCCAGGTCGTGCTCAATACCCTGTCCAACTTGAACCCGGCCATTGTCAATATTCGCAGTTTCCTTGCATATGGTGGCCACGTTGCCAGACAGGAACTGCAAGCTTCAACCAAGGGACCCAGATCTTCTTCTTCCTCTTCTTTTTCTTCTTCGACTTCGTTGTCGACGTCGTCGCCACTCGCCCAACAAGTTGATAAACAGACTAAAGAAGACGCGCTCGAACTCGTCAGGAAACTCATCAGTAGCTACGATCGTCTGCTCAATAACGGCATGGTCCCCCGCGAAAAATACGGCGACTTGCACAAGGAGCGCAGCAAGCTCGCTGCCTTCCACACGCGGTATGGTAACCACCCTGGCCAGGCGAGCTGGCGGAAGAAGAAGGAGGAGAAGCAAAAACTGAGAGATCAGAAGCGAGGCGCAAAGGCGCGGGTTCAAAAGGAGGAAGAATAAGTCTGCGGATTTGTTTCGTTGTCTGAGTATCATCTTGCATTTCACGTGTCTCAGAGTATATCTTGCATTCTACCTATATATATCAAGACAAATGCGCCGTGAGATGGAATATGGAACATGGAACATGGAAGAAAGTTAAAACGTTGCCTTGAGGGAAGTGGTTATTATATGTAATTTTTACTGTGTAATATATAATTGATAGATATACGGAGTATTGGGCGGCATACCTGAGAGACAGAGGTTTCAGGTGTATAGTAGTCCTTTCATAAACATCCAATGGGAAATATTAGCAGGGTGGGAACTACATGTACGATGAGAAATATGGCATATGGCATCTGGTGAAGAATGGGCTTGGCCTGTCATGTTGGGAAACTTTAAATCGACAAATCTTTCAGAGATCACTCTTTCAGAGGTCACTCTTTCAGAGGTCACTCTTTCAGAGGGGCAAATGATGGGTGGGTATGGGCTGAGCTGGGCTGGATGCTCTCTTTTCGAGATGAGAATGCCGGAATGACTTGAGGAAATGTATTTGTTTCAGAAGAACTGCATGAACCGCTAAAAAGGTTCATCGGAGCCGCCGCACAGTATGAAGGGGAAAGGTGCTTCCTGACGTCCCATGTCCCATTGAAATCACAATATCTCTGACCACATAGAAACTCCCGGTCGAAAAGCAGCAATAGCCGTGGCACATAGGTAGGAAAACTGCACGGTTTGTTCCAAGATCCAAAAACCAGTTTTGTTTACTTTTGCTCCATTGGCGATATTACCAGCGAAAAAGATAGGTACACAAGGGCAAGAGAACCGAGAAAGACGCTGCTCCACCCATGCCCACCCATACCACCAACAACCCCACAAAATAATTTAACGGTAGGACTTCTGGAATCTCGAGCGGGCACCCTTACCGCCGAACTTCTTGGGCTCGCAGCGTCTGTTGTCGGCGACGAGGAGGGTTCTGTCGTACTGGACAAGAGCCTGCTTGAGCTGGTTCTTGGAGTGCTCGTCGACGAACTTCTGGTAGTAGGCGACGATGGACTTGCCAATGGCCTGGCGGATGGCGTAGACCTGAGAAGTGTGACCACCACCGGAGACGCGGACGCGGATGTCGACACCAGCGAACTTGTCAAGGCCGAGGATCAGGACGGGCTCGTAGACCTATTTTTCCAAACAATTCGGATCCCAACGTTAGAAAAAACATATTCCAATTCATGCCTTTTTTTCATATCCGGGATATTCGACGACTTTCAAAAGCGTGCAAGATCTTGAAAAGATAGAATTCTCGTCTTCGGAGGGGGAAATGAAAGGATTCGAGAGCGGGTTGAATGTACCTTGAATCGAAGGATCTCGGGCTCAACCAGAGAAAGGGGCTTGCCGTTGACCTTGATAAGACCCTTGCCGGCCTGTCGAATTGATTGTAATACGTTAGACTCGGGTTTTTTGTTCACTTGGATTCGCAAAATAATATCGATTATATCGTATCGTTGCGATTTCTTGCTACAGTGGAATTCCTATTGCGTACCTTGCAGTGGGCGACGGCGGTAGCTACAAATCATTCAAAAGTCAGCATTTCCCTCCAACACCATAATCTTGATCCTCCAAGATGCGCCTGAGTCCTTGCTCACCAGTCTTCTTCTTGCCGAAGCATTGCACACTCTGCGTGGAAGCCATGGTTGTGTCTAGAGGCTTGCGCGAGCGTGGGTCGTGGGGTATGATGGTCGTCGTCGTCGTCGTCGCTGGCTTCTCACGAATCTCGCCTGTCTCGCAACATTCGGAATTTCGATGTGCGCCCCCTCGGTTAGCAACCACGCTAAGGGTTAGAGACCTTCCAGACTTCCGACTACAGCGCTACGGAGCCGCCTTGAGCCGCAAGCGATCCCCCTGGACCCTATCAAAACGACTCCCAGCCCTATCGTGATGCTTTATGCTTTTGGGTCAAACGGCTCTGGCCAGCTCGGTTTGGGTCATACAGAAGATGTCTCGATTCCTTCTTTGACAACCTTGCCAGCGGGCGAAGAATCGCAAGCACCTTTAAGAATTGTTGCTGGTGGCAATCATACATTGGTACTTTTCCCATCTGGAGCGATATACGCTGCTGGAGAAAATGATAATGGGCGATGTGGCCCAGTAAACGACGCGGAAAGCTCACAATCTACATTTCGGCGTGTTTCTTTTACTGATAGAAATGGCATGCCCATTGATTCATTCAAATTGTGTTCGGCGACGTGGGCGGCATCCACATTTGTGACTGCCGACAACCAAGTATTCAGCTGCGGCTCTGGGCAAAAAGGAGAACTCGGATTAGGGCCCGAAGTAAAGGATGCTAGAGTGCCTCAAGTGATTGCAAACTTTCCTCCCCCGGAGACCGAAATAGTTGACCTGTCTGCTTGCATGGGCCACACCATCGCACTACTTTCAGATGGAACTGTCTACGGTTGGGGAGCAAGCCGCAAAGGACAACTTGGGGTTGTAGAACCCGCCTTGTGGGGTCCCAGCAGAATATCTGGCATTGACTTCTCTGTAATTCGTGCAGCTTGTGGTCGTGAATTTTCGTTTTTCAAAGGCAGCCAAGGGCAACATGTCGTCCTGGGTTCAGACAAATGGAACATCATCTCAAACGCTCCTGCGTCTTCGTCTGAATGGAAAGACGTTGGTGCTGGGTGGGGAAATATCGTACAGCTTTCTTCAGATGGCGGTCTGAGTTCCTGGGGAAGGAATGATCACGGGCAACTTGCTCCAAGAGCATTGCCAAAAATTGAGCAGATAGCTATTGGAAGTGAGCATACTCTAGCATTAACGACTATGGGAAAATTGCTAGCATGGGGCTGGGGCGAACATGGCAACTGTGGTCCTAACGGGGATGGCGAAAACAAGTCATGGAACGAAATTAGAGTGGATGATAATTCATCTCTTTCAATTAGCTCGATTGGAGCGGGATGTGCTTCTAGCTTTCTCTGGGCTGTGGAGGAAGGCCATGCCTCGCAACGTCCTCCAACCTGAAGATAACACCAGCCAGAATTGGTGTTGGACGATGTCTCTGAAAAGCTAACGGAAGCCTGATCGATTGTTGTCGCCGAAAGATTGCCTGGTATTACATAGCGGAGAATAGCAGGGCTAAATCAGACACAATTGCGTTGCAACATAGCCCTGCACCGCCATCAACTCTGCAAATCCACCTCGTACTTTCGTCAAAGGGCGCAAAGTTTCCCACGAAAGTTCGAATGTCGAAATGGATTTTTGTGCCCAAGACGGCCTTCACAATATCGACCTACTAGCTCGGCCTGCGGATGTATGGAATTAAGATTAATATCTAGCCAGTGGCTCATCACAGAATCTGTTTTGCCGAATGACTCCTTAGATTAGCTTTCTTGATGCGATGCGGTACTGTTGCGTTTCCACAGTTCATTTTATCAGTCGAACAATCCGCGAACCTAGACTATGTTAGTCGATGCCAAAACTTTTCGAGTAGCCCACGCACTTCTGATAATCTCTGGGTTGGGGCTATCCTCATGGTCGAACTGTCGTTAGGAGGGTTTTGAGATGATTCATTGGTGCCACGCTCGTCGTTGCTGAAGTGCATGGCAACGCCGTGCTACAGGGACTGTTAGCGCAAGGCTTGAGTGATATGACGGATGGTATTCATACATGATCGCCGCTAGCATCCCAGCCAAGAACGTCCTCACTTTGGTCTACCCGTTGATAGTCGTCCCATTCTGCGTCCTCGTCTTGTGGTACAAACAAACTTTCAGGATCAAGACTCGCCTTCGGAGGTGGAGGTGAGGGCCGAGGTGTCCTTTGCGTGAAACTCTCGGAGGCATACTTATGTGAAGCTGGACGCTGAGGAGGTGGCATGCTTGATGCTGAATGTGCGCCGACTGGCACGGAAGCCATTCTTGATCCATCTCTAGTGAGAAGCCGGCCATCTGCGGATAGCGCCGGTGCAGGAGTAGTAGAACTAGCTCGATAATCTCCAATCGTCATCAATGTATACTTGCAAAGCATACCGTCGCCTTCGTAGGTAATTTGAAGTGGCCTGCTGGGTAGAGAATAGCGTGCTGAGACACTGGTGCTGATCGTATCAGCGTGCATAACAATAGCCTTGAAATCTTTCACGGAAATTGCAATATGCAGCCTTTCCTCGACAGAGAAATCCTCAAATTCAAGCGTGTCGATAGCAACAGATGTCTGCAGCGGTTGCTTAAGAATCTCTTTGGGCAAAAAAAAAGTATTAATAATCGTCTTCTCACCCAAAGGCGCATTCTCACCTTTTCCATCCGTTATTTTTTCAGTATAACTGGTAAACGTGACTCGACCATTCTCTTTATACATGTCCAGTTGCTCAGTCTTTGGACCGAAGTAATCAATGAACTCCCTCAGGAGGCGTGATTGGATCTGCCACCGGTTGACCACTGCATTGTCGTCGAACAAGGCATGCATAGCCTCAGCTGGCTCGTATGTCAACTTGTATGTTTTCACCACCCCTTATGAACAACAATGAAATCAGTGATCTCGCCCTTGAAGACTTTGGCGCATATCATATACGAACCATGCATGCATATCATGCGAATCACAAGCCTGCATTCCGCCTTGTCCGGGCGGTCCTCAAGTGCTATCTCACATTTCTCAACGGCAGTATCTTTCTCTTTTGGGTCACTGATCCGCCCTTTGAATACAGAAAGGAGCGCCTATAAAAATTCACGTTAGAGACGGAAAGTTGCATTTTTTCTTCTATCCATACTTTGTTGTAGATCCGGCATGCGAATGGCCGCTCGTCTGCATCGGTTGCAGGCCTGCCCCTCGAAATCCCTGGCGAATAGCGATAGCGAGTAAAGAACCTCCCGCCATTCAAGACGAAAGAGGCATGGGCAGATTTGGAAGTGTTTATTGTAGATAGTATCAGCTGAAGAGTGCGTCAGTGATAGTTCAGAATACGGAATTTGCTAGTCCTACTTCATGACGATGCGCTTCGATATACACAGATTCACTGAACTTGGCCAGGCATATGATTGCATCATGCACTTTGTTGACCGAATCTGGTGTTAGAGTAGAGCTTAAAAATGTCATTTATATTATATGTTTTGGCTGTGGAGCTGCACAAGTTGACTGGAAGGATTGAACGCCTAAAACTGAAGTGTGATTAATATTATTCGGCTTCCGTCGCGTCTTCCGCGTCCGCGTTCCGCGTCAAGCGACGTCACAGGGAGAAAAGGCAAAACATCACGAATAAATAATGTCGAATGCAATTCCATCATAGTTCAAACGCCTAAACATTCCTCAAACTTGATATAATGACGATTACACTCCCTGACGATGTTTTGCATTTGATTTGTGAGGAGCTATGGCTGCAGCGAGACTTCAATACTCTGTTCCAGTGCGCTGTCTCAAGTAAAGTGCTTGCTGCACCTGCTTTAGCAAGTCTTTATAGGTGAGATTGGGTTGAGCATCGCCTGCCGAATATCTGACATTTGCCACTTTGTCTATTCAGTATTACCTATTATTGCTCTGACACGATAATAGGATGCACAATGCTGCGCCCGTGACTTATTCAGGAAGTGAAGAAAGAGGACTCGGCAATGCTGTCCTTGCTGAGCAAATCGTGAGGAAATGGGTGTTGTTATGGCGATCAATAATACTTTCAAGCATGAAAAAGACATTATTTCCTTATTGTCGATATATCCGGACATTGGATTTGCGAGATTTGGTAAATCTCTTTGAAGATTCCCGGTTCAAAGGCAAAATCCGCAAGTCAGTCGGGGCTTCTCCAGATTTGATGGCAAACGGCTAATTGAGTGTGCAGGTTGTTCTTCACTGGCGATCTTGCAAGATATGATATTGAAAGCGCCGAAAGCCAAAGAGCACCAAAGAGTAAAGCCAAAAGTGCGCGAACATTAGACAGCGTATCAGCCGTCGACGGCATCGGAGAAGGTGACTGCTCGGAAATTCCAACTCTGTTGTGAAACGCTAACATACAATTCCTAGTTGTGACCCAAGCTACGCCAATGCTTGATAAGCTTTCTGGAAATGGTAAATATACTTCTAAGGCAAGCATGGACGTTTGCAACTGATCATTTGATGCATATAGTTCTACCAAGTGCGCTTCCTCGCTGGGTATCCAGGCTGCCTCGGCTTCAGTCTCTAGAACTGCTTCAGGGTGCTGCATTAGAGACTGGAGTTGAAATACGCATAAATGAGACCTGCTCATCTTTTAAGTCTTTGAGTGTCTTCGAATGGTAATCATCACGCGCTTGCTCCGGGTCGTCTAAATAGCTGACTGTTTGATAAGGCGAGCACCTGATGCGGACGCCCGATTGGCCAGCTTTCTGCAAGGCCTGCGTCCTCAGACATTAGAATACCTCGAGATCATAAGCTTTTCCGAGATTCAAGCGCAAGGATTTGAGGCTCTGAATCATCATCGAGATTCGCTGAAAGAGTTGAGACTGTCCAATTTGAATACAGAGGCTATGCTGGCCCTCCCTAAACTCAAAGATTGCACCGCTTTAGAAACGCTATACCTAGAGACTACAACCAGGGGCATGGACCTAGAAGCGACACAAAACGATATATTTGTTGAAGTCATTTCCTGGCTACGCAGCTGTAAAAGTCTGCAGGAGATTTCCATCAAAAAGTTCGTCAATGGGCCTGCACTCCTATCACCGCTACTTTTAGACAATGATATACATTTAACGGGCTTGGAGTTGGAGGGTTATAGCATGGCGGGAAATCGGGCATTTCACCAGGCTCTGGCCCATCAACAAAATCTCGAAAGGATTACACTCAAAGCTGACGGCGAAGACGTCGTTGCGGATGACTTAACGACGATTGTCAACTCTCTCTCTAAGCTCACCCGCCTCCGGGTCATCAGGCTGCTGGAAGGCTGCGAATATTTCAACGGTCGACATCTATGCGACATCATTGAGAATCTGGCCTATCTAGAAGAATTCTGGTCGGGCGGTTACGGGATCGTAGATGATATTTGGAAACCATTTTCCAAGCTTGGCAATCTCAGGACGCTTTACTTCAGCGCAGTGACTGCGTTCACCTACGGAGGAATCCTTGATTACATCTACCATCTGGACACCGGGAACAAGGGCATGGCACTTTCGATCATGAATGCTGACCCTGATTCAAAATTGAGCGACGAGGAAATTGCCACAATCCGTGAAGTGCTGGCGGACCGAGTGGATGGAAGATTTGAGTTTGAACTTCTGAGAGGTAAATTCACAGAACAAAGGCCCCCACTCGAATATTCTTGAGACTAATATTTGCTGTAGATCCTGACGTTTCCGAGTTTGAAGGGGACTCCGATTGATGTAGTTATAATTTCTATAATACATGTAGTTTAGTTATACTTTGACGTGTCGTTCACTAAGAGCCTTAATCTAAGGGACTCCGAGATCGGCAGGTTTACCACGTTGCCGCTAAAAGCGTCCCCCAGTAAGTCTCCTGATTTGGGGGTTTTGATAGTGATATCTTAAGCGAATTGGTCCCGGAACGTCAGACAAATAACTTATAAAAAGCGCAAGTTTTAAATAAAGCACTTTTGCCTCGTTGTGGGCAGATAACTACGTGATGGAAAGATAAATCATGCGATGATTTATTGTATTCGTCTTGAGTGGTAATCGATTTAAAGTAGTGCACGGCTCGCTTATACCTTGAAAAGTCCCCAAGACTTTCTCCATCGTCAACCTTACATTTAGTAGAATAAAGAGGCGCCGATGACTGGCCGAAGGGTACTTGTAATTGCGGGCTCTGACAGCTCTGGGGGAGCGTAAGTATAATCCTTGCGCCTTATGCCAATCTTTCATACTGATAATCTCAAACCGAAGTGGCTTAGAGGCCGATCAAAAGGTCATTGCCGCTCATGGCTGTTACGCAATGACCGCAACCACGGCCTTGACCGCACAGAATACGCAAGGCGTTTTTGATATACACAAAATCCCTGTCGACTTTCTGAAAAAGACCATTGACCTAAACATTGATGATATTGGTGTCGATGTCGTCAAGACTGGTACGATAGCAACGCATATATTGTGACTCGAAAAGTATTACTCACGCAGTTTTTAATAGGAATGCTCGCTTCAGCAGAAGCAATTGACGTGGTGGCCGATGCATTTAAACGGCACAATATTCAGCTGTCTGTTATTGACCCGGTATTGCTCTCCAAAATCTGCATTGAATGTCATTGAGAACTCATATTTTCCGTGCAAAGGTTATGGTTTCCACCAGTGGCTCTCAATTACTCCCCCAGACCGCTGTCCAAGGGTTGAGAGAGAAATTGCTACCAATGACTACTATTCTTACTCCTAACGTCCCCGAGGCAAAGTTGCTTCTGAAGGATGCAGGCAAAGATTTCAAGGAGCTTCAAACTCTGGATGACGTTATCGAGCTAGCAAAAGCCGTCCAGTCACTGGGGCCAAAGTATGTCCTACTCAAGGGTGGTCATCTTCCTTTGACCAAAGGCAGACTTGTGTCAAGCAGTGAGGCTGAAAAGCATACTGTGGTTGACATATTGTTCGGCGAAGGCCAGACAACGATTATCGAGTCAGCCTATCAAGACGCAAAGAACACCCACGGAACTGGCTGCTCATTAGCATGTGAGTAAAACAAACTCAGCGCGGTCTTCAGATCTCCTGACTCACAAACTCAAGCCGCAATCGCGTCCAACCTGGCCCTCGGAAAACCTGTCATTCAGGCAGTGAGATCGAGCTGTCAGTACGTAGAAGCAGGAATCAGGACCAGCATAAACAGAGGCAAGGGCAGCGGCCCAATTAACCATTTCCACTCAACCTATACGCTTCCTTTTGCACCGTATGTCCATCTCTAAACCTGCTGTCAAGTTCTTTTCCCGCTTACCCTTCATTAGTGGACATTTCGTGGAGTATCTGCTTGATAGGGCCGACGTCAAGAGAGCATGGAAAGCGCATACTGAACACGAATTCGTTCAACGTATGGCCGATGGTACTCTCCCACTCGAGTCTTTCAAGTACTATCTTATTCAGGATTATCTCTACTTGGTATGTCGAATTATCTGTGCGGTTCTCAAAAAGCCACTCACAATTTCTCCAGATACAATTCTCCAGAGCAAACGCTCTTGCCTCATATAAAGCGAAGACCATAGAAGATATCAATATGGTATGCAGCACCTCTCAAAATTTGCATGGCTTTTCTCTCAATGCCCTTACTGACTACATTATAGTCTGCACAAATTGTTCAACATATTCATGAAGAAATGCAACTGCACATTGACTATTGCAAGGAATTTGGAATCTCTAAAGAAGAGATTGAGCAACATGAAGAGAGCCAAGGTTTGCAAATCGCATCATTACCTAGTTTGCTAATTAGTTGCTGACCGTCGTTCTAGCTTGCACTGCTTATACAAGGTCTGTTCCTGGAAAAATCGTCAAATTGTCACCTTAACGCCCTGCAGGACCGGAATGTTGGCTCACATTCAACTTTCTATGTAGATACGTTTTGGACGTTGGTCAATCAGAAGATTGGCTTGCCCTCCAAATCTCTCTCGCGCCTTGTCTAATAGGCTATGGAGTGATTGCACAGCGACTTTTCGAGGACCCAAAAACGCTTCGTGACGGCAATATTTACTGGAAATGGATCCTCAACTACGCAGCCGATGACTTTCAAGAAGCTGTGAAGATAGGATCGGGTAAGTACTGCGAGCCTTTTGTAAAATGATTTCGACTTCTGTTGGGATCACATGTATAAGGTGCATATCACTAACTTGCATTGCTCGTTCTAGAACTCCTGGAGAAGCATGCGATGCTTCAATCACCCGCTCGCATTGAAGAGCTCGTCAAAATATTTATTCACGCAACAAATGTAAGTGCGGTCGGTCCATATTGACATCATTGTAGTTCGCAAAAAAAGAGATATCGTAACTTTTGCCCGGAACGCTTTGCTAATAACCCTTCTGCTTGCAGATGGAAACCGGCTTCTGGAGTATGCAGCCTACTCAAGTATAATTACGATCTGGGATCCAAGGAGAACTATAGACGGGAACTTCGTGTACTATGCTTTGACGATGCTACGAATAGACTATTCAAGACTCATTTACTGGGAAGAATATCACCTACATTTGTGCATGGGGTATTGATGGCATGAAGGGAAGAAGCAAATTCACAAAATGAATTTCGTTTCAGCCTACTTCTTCACAAGCACTACAGCTAAAGCTAATGCGACCCAGCATTTGATTGTACATTTGACTAAACTATCCTCGGCGGTGCTTTTGCAGTCATAAAATACAAGAACACCCGTATCACGGCAATAAAGTATGCAATAAAAGGATACAAGAGCCACCACCCAAGCCCCGTGAAGCACGTGAAAGCAATTCAAATGCTCTTGAGAAAACTCCGTAACACCCTTCGCGCAGAAATCTATCAAATTTAGACCGGCTCCAAGTGATATACGCCGGATCCTGGATTTTACGCCCATATGCCTGGAAGATAAGAAGAAGACCATAAACTCCCAAGTGTGCTAGCAAAGAATACCCATAAAGGAAAAAAAAAAGGGGCTCGATGGGACCGGCAGACCAGGAAGAGGTATAAGGTCGAGAAGTTGACTAACTGTCGTCGATCCTTAAAGAGGCATAATCTTCAGGAAGATCCACAACAACAGGCGCGTACTCCCCAGTCTCATCGTCATAGTCGTACTCATCGATCTCGACCTCAACCTGTTCGCCATCTTCCAACTCGAGCATACCCCTGCGAAGATAGGAGCCCGTTAAATCCCAGCCATACTCTGACTTCAGAAACTCTTCAAGCTCTGATAGAGCATCGAGCACGGTACCGACATCGTCTTCGTCATATTCTTCGACCCATCTTCTGAAACTCCTGATGAGTCGCTTGAGCATCACGCCCCCTTCATCCGTGAGGTCGAAAAGGCCTCCATCAACATCATCACAATGTTGGAGTTGCACTTTGAGGGCCTTGAGGAAGCGCACAAACAGGTCCGGCCGAGTCTTGGTAGCGGAACGACTCGTAAAAAGAAGACTGACGATCCGTCTCCACTGTTCAAGACACGAGTAGTTGCCCAACGTCAGGACCATGAGGAAAGTCATTTGCAATTCGCCAATAATCTCATTCTCCAGGCGAAATGAGCAATGCCTGTCGATGATGAAGCCCAATGCCCAAGAACGGTCCTGGGCACCTTCTGTCCGCTCACGGCCGATAGCTCCTTCCCGCCATGTCCGTCGAAGGTCGACGGGCAGAAAATGGAGCTCATGCCCGGGTTCTTCGCCAGCCGCATTGCTCGGTAGACCGGCAATCTCCTCCAGATCCTCTTTTGCAGAACTTGCGGAACTTAGTGCCCAGTGACTCCAGTCGCCCCGCGTGATCCTCGTCAGTAATGTGGGAGTAATGCAGTCGGTCAGTGCTTGCCAATCGTTTGTTTCCTCAACAGGCTCATCATCGTCCCTTTGCCCCACGGTTTGACGGTATGGACTAAGTCCTTCTCGCCAGATTGCACCAAGGTTGGCTCTCCACCGGAGTTGCTCAGCTTCGTCCTTCTCGTCAACGAGCTCCTCTTTTTCCGCGTCCCATTTCTTGATCAATACCTCTGCCGGTTGCGAGCTTGGGCGCTCGACTCTTAGCCAAACCCCGTGACGAACAGAAGATGAGTTATTGATTGCTGTGAAAACGAAATGCAAACCCGGTGGCAAATGCTTGATTCCATGAAAGCGTGGTGATGTGGTAAAGGAGAGTAGGTCTATGCCACATAGTGCAGATGGGGGCACATCAAGCATAAGAAGTACGGCTTTGTCGGTACCTTCTTCCATATTAACGGTTCGATTTCCACCAAATCAGACAGAAAAACTAAGTTTAATCTCGGGAGCAGATGGCGTAGCAGGTTAATGAACTTGAGGATTTCAACTTGACAGAGAGATGTTTCCCAAGCCTATTCAGCACCCGACACACTGGATAGCTTGATATGAAGTTCGATCATTCACACCTTTCGTTCGCTAAGGCCGACTAACATTTTCTTGGATTTTGCTTTCGCCTGGAAAAAGACTTTTTACAGACCATATATATTTTGTCTTGAGTGACACCATCTGAAAAATCACTGAGATACAACAAACCATACAATGATGACTAATCAAGTTTCTACAAAATGTGTTGCGGCAGAACCGGATGCGGCGAATTGACATATGGAGCTTGTGGGCCTGGACACCATGAATAATTGAAGAATGATCTGAATTTTTATTATTTTGAGAATCTTGGGCATTTTTGAGCTCTAAGCTACCTAATTTAGAGGATGTACATAAAGGGACCCGCAATAAGCGCTGATGACAAGAAAGAATAATGAAGACCAGGCAAAAGCCGTTCTCCGCGTTTTTGTCATCAACCCTCTGCCACCCACTGCAAAGCCCATAAAAAGCAGTGCGCCAACAATCTAGAGACGGCGACCACGGCGACCACCCTTTCTGCGGGTAGAGTCGGAGGGGGTGGGGGTGACGTCCTCAATACGGCCGATTCTCATGCCAGAACGAGCGAGGGCACGGAGAGCGGACTGAGCACCGGGACCGGGGGTCTTGGTACCGTTACCTATAGAGCTCTTGTTAGCACCAATTCCAATCAAGACTCAATTTGGAGCAGAGGGAATTTAAAAAGCGTACCTCCAGTAGCACGGATCTTGATGTGGAGGGCGTTGATGCCAACCTCCTTGCAGCGCTGAGCGACGTCCTGAGCAGCCAACATGGCAGCGTAGGGAGAGGACTCGTCACGGTCAGCCTTGACCTTCATACCACCCGTGACACGGGTGATAGTCTCGCGACCGCTGTATAAAACATATTGTCAGAACGTATTCCTTTTCTCGAGCATTTTTTGGCCTTCTCAAATCTGGCTATCGGACTGGTGGTTCGAGCTGTATTCACTAACCTGAGATCGGTGACATGGACGAAGGTGTCGTTGAAGGAGGCGAAGATACGAGCGACGCCGAAGACGAGCTCACCTGGGGAAAATGTTAATTACGATAGTTATGATAGAATTTTATACAAAATGAATTACCTTCTCTCGTCTGGGGGCCTAGGGAGACGTTCTCCTGGGTGCGCACGACCTTCTTGGGAGGCATCTTGATTGATTTGCTGTGCAGAACTGGATCCTGTCGTCGCGGAAGTCAAAGTCGCTGAAGATCACGAGGCGAGGCGACAAAATTGGTGAGCCCTAAAATCTGCGTCTTTAGGGTTGATCGCTTGTAATACTAAAAGTGTAGTGGAAGCGGCAAATTCCGAACGCTCAGCACCTACAAAACTTCGGACCTTCGCGTACTATTTCACTTGTTGATTCTTTTCAGCTTCAGTGCAGGTGCGGCTTTAAGTAACACGATTTTTCACATCGTATCTTAAACCGCATTGTTGAAAATATGACATCGCACACAATGCCCACGGCTGCTTATGCCGTGGGTATCATTGGCATGGGCGACATGGGCAAGATGTATGCCCGAAAGATTAGTGACGCAGGTTGGAGGTAATCTATACCATTTTCTCCTTATGACTTTGAAAGTCATTTTGCTTTCGCGCAAGGTACGTTTCATTTTACCTTTATTATTCGCACCTGTTTGCAATGATGACTTGAGTGCATTTGGCTCGAGTACTGTCTTCTGTCCGGAACGCAACCATCTTGGTCCGCTTACCTTAAGGAAGGCCGTCTATGATGTAAAATCTCAGCTACCTTATTTCTTTTTGTCTGAAATCATCTTCCATACTCTTTCAGTCTTCTGTCACCATTTCTTGATCGAAGCTAACTGGTCTCAATAGTAGCACGTAGTACTAGATGTTTGGTATTTGTGGTAGACAGGTCGTACATGCTAATGCTGGTTCAACTCAGAGTCCACGCTTGTGATAGATTGGATAAATATGAAAGCCTGAAAGAGGAGTTTGAGGGTCGGGTAAAGGCGCTTGTACATAGACAATTGAGTTGCAGAATGCTGAGACTTGTGTGTAGAAGAATGTGCAAATATTTCCGAATGGCCATTTAGTATCCCGATCGAGCGACTATATTATCTATAGCGTCGAGGCGGAAGCAATTGACAAAGTGGTATCTTTATATGGACCATGTATGCCTTTCTACACCTTGCTGTTGCTCGGTGAGGTACTGATCTTCATGTAGCCACCAAGCAGGGCGCAATTGTTGGAGGTCAGACCTCCTGTAAAGCACCCGAAATTGCCGCTTTTAAAAAGCATCTTCCCGATGATGTCGACATTGTATCTTGCCACTCTCTTCATGGTCCGAATGTTGACCCGAGAGGCCAACCATTGGTAAAAGAAAAAAAGCCAGGCCACCTTATCCACAATACGCGTTAATGACATCCTATAGGTTCTTATAAAGCACAGAGCTTCTCAGGAGAGCTTCGATTTAGTCGAGCGCATCCTATCTTGTTTTGGCTCAAAGCACGTCTATCTTTCGGCAGAACAGCATGATCGTATCACGGCTGACACGCAAGCCGCGACCCATGCTGCTTTTCTAAGGTATGACGTTCATCTCAGTGCAACTCATATATGACTACTAATCTCCAGGTTAGTATGGGCACAGCTTGGCGCGCAAACAATCAGTTCCCCTGGGAAATCAACCGATATGTGGGAGGAATTGAAAACGTGAAGATCAATGTAACCTTGCGAATCTACTCGAATAAATGGCACGTCTATGCCGGCTTGGCCATTTTAAACCCCTGGGCAAAAGAGCAGATTCGGCAATATGCACAATCGGTCACGGAATTGTATAAGCTTATGCTAGGAGGTCATAGGGAAGAGCTCGCCCAACGAATCAGGACAGCAGGTGCAGCTGTCTTCAAGCCAGGTACCGGCGATGAGGACTTACTACTTCGCGACGAAGTACTTGACCGCTTTTCTCTTGGGAAAGTTCCAGAGAAGCGAATGCCAAATAACCATCTAAGCCTGCTCGCAATGGTTGACTGTTGGTGGAAGCTCGGAATAGTCCCTTACGATCATATGATCTGTTCTACCCCGGTACGCATTCTTTTTCCTTCTTTCAATTTCGAAGCTGTAGCGTTGCTGCTTTTCGACTCTTCTGAGTAGCGCTATATTCTCTTCATTCATCTTTCATTTGACCGACCGCGAAGCCTGTCAAATCATAACTCTTAAAGTTACTGACGAAAATGGTACCCCACAGCTTTTCCGACTCTGGCTCGGCGTGACCGAGTATCTTTACCGCAAACCTGACCTACTGGAAGAGGTCATCCGTGTTTCTGTTGAAGACGATACCTTCAGGTCCGACGATTTAGAATTTACATTTGCTGCTAGGGTAAGTGCATAATGTCGGGGGGATTTCACTAAATCTATTTTCGTCCTTCCTGGATGCGCGGGCTTAGGGGGAAAGACAATGTGACCTTCTCGGAAGATTTACGACTCTTCAAGATTTACTGTTCCATGTTCAGGAACCTTTTTCAAATCTAAATACTAACTGTCAAATATTAGGGATGGAGCGAATGCGTCAGCTTCGGTAACTTTGCCAGTTACCAAGATCGATTTGAACAGATCCAGAAGTATTTTGCCCCCCGCTTTCCTGAAGCCACAAGGGTGGGGAATGAAATGATCAAGACAATCTTGGAGAGGACCAGATAAGATTTGCACCTTTCCTTTTTTTCTCCCCCCTTTTGAATTTCTGGCATCGGCGTTGCGGAGCGGTCTTAATTGAAGATTTGATACACCTGGAGCGCAATTGTCGGTGTTTATGTCCAACTAGAACTCAACATGCTTTCATATTTGACCTATTTCTTCCTTCACCAGGCGTGAAGCTTAGTCTTATTAATTGAATGAAGCATATTAAGCTCGTCATGCTTAGCGCTGAGAAACCAGCGTCATGATATCTTGATGCAAAATTGGTGCAGATGTTCGGGGCAAGCTATTGGAATGCTCATGGCATGGATCCAACGAGCATTTTACTTGTCAATAAATTCGAAGACCAATGTCTTCCACAGTCTAGCAATTTAGCCATTATCAGGAAATGTACGTATGTGTGGACATCTAATACAAGAGCTTCATGATGGGGCATAGTTTGAGAAAGCGCAATCCACCAAACCAAAATGAGGCACATCAAGCACTGGTAGAAGCAGTGAAATTCGCATTTTGCAATGGTACTCTTCTATTCGATGAAGATACAGATATAAGGTACGTAGGTGTGTGATCGCATGGGAGCATAACACAAACAAGCACTGCGTAGTCGACGTCCTGTGCCGAGTAAATTTGAGAGCCGTCGGTTTCGACTGCCAATTTCAGTATTAGACAGTTCGGCGGTATCCGATAGCGATGGTTCGCTCCAGTCCGATAGCATGACCATCTACAAATTTATCATTGGTGGATCCGAAAGCGGTGTATCTGCCCCAGGTCAAAAGGCCCAAATTGAACGCTCATGACATCCAATCAGGAGTATTTCCCGTCGTACTTAGATGCCTTTCCTGGCAAAATTCCACATCGTTCGGTCCCTGGTCCGGCTAAAGGCGGGGACCCTCTCTGGAGATACCTGGTCCAAATACACCGTGCATGCTTTACATGATACCCCTTCTCCGCTCTACCTTATCTAACATCTTTCATTACTTTCTGCCACAAGTTTTTCTTCTTTTTCAAAGATTCTTTTGGCAGTTGTAGAGTACCTGATTCTTTCCCTTCTCATTTTTGTTTCGTGCTCCAACAGTTGTGGGCATCATGGCACCTCAGGATAACAAAAAGCCCTTTTATACTACTTCCAACGGCTGTCCGGTCTTCGATCCTGAGGCTGCGCAGAGGATTGGCCACAATGGACCCCTCCTACTGCAGGACTTCAATCTGATTGATCTGCTTGCTCATTTCGATCGTGAGCGTATTCCGGAGCGTGTGGTCCATGCCAAGGGTGCTGGTGCTTATGGAGAATTCGAAGTGACTGACGATATTAGCGACATTGTTAGTAAATCCATACTAGAATATCGCTAAGAACCAGAAACCGTTCTAACTTTCTCTCGCAGTGCTCTATTGATATGCTGAATGGCATTGGCAAGAAAACTCAGTGCATTGCTCGATTCTCCACTGTCGGCGGTGAAAAGGGTTCAGCGGACAGCGCGCGTGACCCTAGAGGATTCGCGATCAAATTCAAGAGCGAGGAAGGAAATTGGGATTGGGTCTTTAATAATACTCCCATCTTCTTCCTACGAGATCCAACGAAATTCCCCATTTTCATCCACACGCAGAAGCGCAACCCTCAGACCAACTTGAAAGATGCGACCATGTTCTGGGATTACCTCTCGACTCATCAGGAGTCGGCGCACCAGGTCATGCACCTGTTCAGCGATCGTGGCACGCCTTACTCATACCGACACATGAACGGATACTCTGGTCATACATATAAGTTCACGAAGCCAGACGGCACCTTCAATTATGTTCAGATCCATTGCAAGACCGACCAGGGCAACAAGACGTTCAATAACGAAGAAGCAACCAAGATCGCTTCCGAGAACCCGGACTGGCATACCCAGGACCTGTTTGAGGCTATCGAGAAAGGGCGACACCCATCTTGGACAGTATATGTTCAAGTCCTCTCCCCTGAACAAGCCGAGAAGTTTAGATGGAACGTCTTTGATTTGACGAAAGTTTGGCCTCAAAAGGAGGTGCCTCTTCGGCGGATCGGCAAGCTTACTCTGAATAAAAATGTATTTCATCGAAATCTTCTGCAAAAGGCTTTGCGAGTTGAATGCTAATATCCCGAATAGCCCGAAAACTACTTTGCCGAGATTGAGCAGGCTGCATTCTCACCATCGCACCTTGTCCCGGGCGTTGAGCCCTCAGCGGACCCTGTCCTCCAGTCTAGGCTCTTTTCGTAAGCCCGTCAGCTCCATTTAATGTGAAAGAAGCATCCTGAACTAACTGCTATTCAAGTTATCCCGATACTCATCGTCACCGCCTTGGTGTGAATTACCAGCAAATCCCTGTCAATTGCCCGCTTCGCGCTTTCAACCCTTACCAGCGAGACGGTTTTATGACCATTAATGGCAACCATGGTGCTCTGCCTAACTATCCTTCCACTGTGAGCCTCAATATGCAGTACAAGCCTGTCAAGGCCAGTCAGCAGCACGAGAAATGGGTCGGCGCAGTGACCTGCGAGCAGCTCCCTGTGTCCGACGAGGATTTCGTTCAGCCGGCCGCTTTGTGGGAGGTGCTTGGCCGGACTCCTGGTCAGCAAGAAAACCTTGTGTCCAATGTCGCTGGACATCTCTCTGGTGCGATCCAGCAGGTCCGACAACAGACCTATGGCATGTTCAGAAGGATCAATAATGACCTCGGAGCTCGTATTGAGAAGTTGACTGAGGAGAAGGTTGCTCAGGCTCATGCCAAGCCGGCGCAGCCGAAGCTATAATTGGACATATATTATTATTATTCTTCTGGTGCCTCATTTTAGAGAATTCTCTTTCTCATCTCCTTTTTTCCACGGCGATTTTGGCGTGTATCGACGATGAAGCGGGTTGTTGCTTAAGTTACAAGCCTTGTTGGATAGCCTACAGGAATCACTCATCCTCAAAATAAGGGCAAAAAGTTTCAAAACAATAAAGCCATCTCGGGAAGGTGCAATCATTCTCGCAGGTCACATGTTATCCAAACATGAAATTTCCTCAATTCATCAACGCATTAATGCAAAATCCAGTAAGCAAAGCAATTCAATATTGTTGCCGGACTTGAACGTGATTGTTTCATTGTAACCGAGGCACTTGAGCGATGATGAGATCAACAAGTTGCACGCCAAATGAAACATATTGCCAGGATCCATATTAATGACAGGTAACCGGTAATAATATAAGAATGATGAAAGAGAGCCGCTAGCTGATGTTATGTCCCGTATTATTATTATTCAAAGTGATGACATGCAGGGAAAGGGGTCCTAAAAATTTCGGGTCCAAACGGCTCTAGAACTGCGTCCCCTCCCAAGCCGTTTGCGCAATTCGCGTGCGGAGACGCGCAAATTGTGACGATCGATTGTTTCAGCATAGGTGGGGGACTTCTCCCGAAAACACACGGAGGGCCCTCGGGCATAGTAGAAACTTGGCAACTTGACGACCCTGACGACAAAGCCGCAAAAGTTGCCTCGGTGACCTCGGGGGATCGGAGGCAGAGGGGCAGCAAAGTGCTGGCGGCTACAGGTGATTCGTTGTAAACTCTGTAGAGGGGGAAGGAGCGCCACACCTTGGGGGGAGTTCTTCCAACTCCGCGCCCGATTAACCATGACGTCACTTGACTAGTTATTCCAAGGGTCGTCAGCTGCCATCCCGTCATTGTCGCCGTTTAGACCCCGCAGGTGCTCACCTTTCTATTTGCGGGACAACTCAGGATCTTCCCCACATGAGGTAGCCAAGGTTCATCTTGGAAGGGGCTAAGGTCCTCTGGTCGCTGCTAAAGGTTGCTTAACTGGTTTGACGGTATAGGTGCAGTGATGTAGTTTGAGCTGCTGCTAGGGAGTGGCAAATCAACGCATATATAATCGTGGCCGGGGAGGAAAGCTTTTTGGTTCTTTCCATTCTATATACTTTTAACGTTCATACTCCAAAAAAATCACAAGTGGACTAGTTCTACAATCAGCATTACTCTGTATGTTCCCATATTAGGCCGCGCTCCTTTTGTGCCTCTTGGGTTGCTATAGAACGACATCACTGACTGGGTCATTCCTGGATAAGCAGACATCTAATACCTCCAATTTCTTTTTTCTACAATCAAATTCAATCAAAATGTCCGGCAACCAGCAGCAGCCCGGTTAGTAATTTCTTGTTCCCCCTTGAACGAGACCCCAGCGAGCCCGCAACCCCCCTTCTTGCTGGTATCAGAGAAGCTTTACAGTTTCCCCCGAAAGCTTTTCCGGTGCCAGAGGAGAAGGGGCCACACTGACTCATGACTGACGCTTAGATCTCCTTGGAGGTTTGTTAGGCAACTTGGTGGGTGGTTTGACTGATACTGTTGGCAAAACTGTTGGCGGCGTGACTGGCACTCTCGGCGACACTGTCGGCGGCTTGGGCAAAACTGTCGGAGGCGTTGGCCAGGGCCTCGGTGACACCACCAAGGGAGTTGGCTCGACTGTCCAGGGCGCCACAAGTGGTGGCCAGCAGCAGGGCGAGGAGACCATTGGCGGAAAGAAGCAGAGTATGTCGAAGTTCCTTCCCTCATGTGAAATCGAAAATACGATCAGATTGTACTAACTTTCTCAAACTTTTTTAGCTGCTCAAAACCCCCTCGGATTGTAAATGACTATCGTTATGACTGGCTTTCTGAGCTTATGTCGCAAGCTTCTGTTATGATTTTGCATGGAACCAACTGTTGTGGGATATTTCATGATACTGGGCTGGGAACTTCTTTTTTGATTCGTTGATTGTATTTTTATGAAACTTAAGCTTCTTGCTTCAATGACCACTATGAATAATACGAACGATTGGTCTTAAATTAAACTCCTTATTCTGCCGTGAAACTTCCAAACTTTTCACTTGTCTGTCCATGCCGGGTTTTGATTTTTTTCAACAAACGCTTTCATACCTAGATGGACAAAGGTCAGAGCCGCCATTGCGTTTTGTGAAATTGGTATATTCCGGTAAAACTTACCGATCTTCTGATCTTGGCTTCCAAATAAGCTGTGGAACACTCGCCGTTCGTACTCGACCCCGTCTCGTAGTCCCAGCTCTTGACTTTTATTGACAACCTCTTTTGCTGCTTTTACAGCGACCTTGCTCTTGCTGGAAATTTCCGCCGCAGTATCCAGAGCGGCTTCGAGACACTTCTCCGAGCTTTCAAACACTCGGGCTGCCAAGCCCCATTCACCGGCCTGAGTGCCGGATATGCTCCGACCAGTGAGTATCATTTCCATGGCGCGTGACTTGCCAATAGCCCTTGTCAGCCGCTGACTGCCACCGGCGCCCGGAATGATGCCCAGTTTAATCTCTGGCTGGCCAAAAGTCGCTGAGCTTGAGCAGTAGAGGATATCTGCCATCATAGCAAGCTCGCAACCACCCCCTAGAGCATAACCGTTTACTGCACTAATGATCGGCTTTTTAATAGCCGTTGTCTGGGCAGACCAGAGCTCGATGAAATCAGTGGTATACGCATCCGAAAAGGTCAGGTCTTTCATTTCCTTGATATCCGCGCCAGCTACAATGAGATATTAGCACAGGACTATTTTTTCGCGATCAGTGGATTGGGGTCTCTACCTGCAAAAGCAGAATTACTGCCGGTGATGACCGTTGCTCCAATTTCAGGATCTTGATCGAACCTTTGGAGTGCTGCATTGAGCTCTCGGAAAAGCGGCGTGCAGAGTGCATTACGTGCTTTTGGGCGATTCAAAGTAACTGATTCAAAGTGGCAACCATTAGTCTTGGAAATGAAATATGGCATTGATTGAAAGTGATCGTTTAAGTCATACTCAGGCCGACGCCAGGCTTCGGCGTTGAAACCAACAGGTATTCATATGAAGATTGAGAGGCAGTCGAGTTTAATCTAATAAATTTAGTCCGAGGTAGAGCAACAAATTTGACGGCCACTGGCCTCAAAGACATCAATCGATTCATGCTTAAGTAGATTCAGTAGAAAATTAGGCTAGATTGGATCTCGATATTATGGTTTTAAAGTGTTGATTTCGTGAAGACAGGAGCGCATCCGTTGCCAACCGAAGAGAAGCCGAGGGACGGAGGGGGATGGCATTCCGGGGTAAAGCCACAAGGAGCAAAAGAGACCATGTGAGGAGCGTTGCGGAGTAATGAATACCTTCAGAATCATGTAAAGGACGTGCGATGCCAAGTACCTTGAACTCTATCGTTTGACAACTGAAATTCACCGCCAAGCTTCGTTTCAGGGACGTCCGATATGGGAGACAATGCGGCGATTGCCGACAATAGCGAACCTTAACCTGTTCAGGACTGTCGCGTCGTGGCCAGAGCGTTTTCTCCTAGAACTTGGTGTAAACTTCAACATCATCCCAACGACTGCCTCTGAGTTCAAGTGGCGCGGAAAGGTCCTTCCAAACCCCAGCGACATCACTTTCAAGGTGCAGGATCTCTATCCTGTTCAGGCGGCTTGTCTCCCTACCGTCTTCCCAGCGCAATGGATGTCCCAGAACCTGAGCAGACCCCTTTTGGGGTGGTCTCTGAACATACTTCACGCTTCGCAAGGGTAAAGTAATCTCTCAGTGCATCGGCGTGAAGTTTTCATGTTTTATTTTGCAAATCGTGCTAATAGTTTGTTATAGCAATATCAGAACTACCTGGACAAGTCCACGCCTCACACCAAATATCGTTGGGCTGGTACCGGCGTGCTCCTGCTTGTTTTCATGCTTAGGATAGTCCTCGCGCAGGGTTGGTACATTGGTATTGTTTACCCTATTCCCCTTTATTAGATGATACACGGGGCTGACTCACTATAGTTTGCTACACGGTTGGAATCTATCTACTGAATCTCTTCCTTGCTTTTCTGCAACCCAAATTCGACCCTTCGATTGAACAAGATGAGGGCATGGAGGACGGCGCTGCCGGTGGCCTTCCCACCAAGCAAGACGAAGAGTTCAGGCCGTTCATTCGGAGACTTCCCGAGTTCAAGTTCTGGTACTCTGCGACCCGGGCCCTGGCGATTGGATTTGTCTGCACCTGGTTCGAGATTTTTGACATTCCCGTCTTCTGGCCGATTCTGGTCGTTTACTGGTTCATCCTGTTTTGTCTGACGAGTATGTACATGAATCATCCGAGAGTGTGTGAGAAACAAGAAGCTAATTTTCTTTACAGTGAGGAGACAAATCCAGCACATGATCAAGTACAGATACGTGCCGTTTTCGATTGGAAAGACTCGGTACAATCGAGCCAATTGAGCGGAAGGCGCTTGAGAGTGTCATTCTATTTTAATGATGATGACTTTTGCAGGTACATCTTTGGGGGTGATTACCTGCTCTTGATGGGCCCGTCTGTGGCCGTTCTCATTTCGGAGCCCTGGAATATTTTGTACTATTATCATTGGAATCTGGGAGTCATTTTGTCTTGAACCATGTGCTCTCCGATGGAAGCCCTTGTTCTTGTCCATTATGCACGTTCGAACAGAGGATACAGGATAAGTTGGTTGCGCAGTCAATATTGCCTCACGTACATGCTCTGATCTAGCCTCTATCGCTCCCATATGCCGCGATGCGAAATGAATGTATCGTTACTGTATTTAATATAGATTAGTTCTAATTGTCCTCACACGAAGAGAAGTTCAATCAAGATATTCAAGGATAAATGTTTGATCGGAATAGGAAGAGAATGAGTCCCTAGAGGCTTTTCTTGTTGCATAGGAAATCGGCCATTGCTAGGTCTTCCAATTCGAACAACACATCTGCTGATGAGCTCCTGCATAGCCTTTATCAATGTCGATATAACAGTTACTGGACCTAGGGGCAGCGCCGCTGTTTGATGCTGGTTAGACTGAACGATTGATATGTAGAAGATGCAATGCCGACATTAGTCCCGTCTGGACTTACAAGGGGGAAAAAGAATCGAGGAGCGTCAGGTGTCAACGTCGCAAGAAAATTTCCCCAATATTCAGCGGACGGTCTCCCGAGGCGAAAAAAAGTCGCGCTAACAATGAATTGATGCAATGGATGCATTAGAGTACTGATATGGTTGCTTAGATCGAAACCAAACAAATCGTCATCACAGTCACATGTGAGTAATGTGTTCTGCCAAGGAAAGATTCTGGAAGGGAGCCATTTAATGAGAGTCGCCGATGACAATAACAATGCACAAGATTGGTCGCTCCCTTTGTCTCTTTGAAGTGGGTGGCATTGCATAGAAGTGCGGCTACTTACCTACCTAGGAAAATGGATAGTCACCGCGGTATATCCATGTCTGTCCCGTTCATATAGATACCTTCTTTTCGATATTAAGCCACATATGAGAGAAACCCTCAATTGTCTCGTCGGCGCAAGGGGACCATGTACAAAAAGGTACTTTTGATGATTGCAGCATGTGGATCGACCGGATGGGAAGTGACTTTCCATAGAGGCGCGGCAGCGTTGTGTCAGCCCACGCATACTGGTGGGCCCACGAATGGTTCCTAGACATGTATGCTCAAGCAGCATGGTGGTTTGAGGCAGCCTTACCAAGTAAATCTCCATTCCCTGGGGATCAGACAAGAGGACGCCCAGGACATTGTATGTAGTTTTTGACGACAGCGACAGTTGAGGTTCCAACACTTGTCACTGGCACAGGATGTAAATGGACAAATTTAAAAGACACGGACTTCAATTTTAGGTATAATGAAACCGGTTTGGGAAGCAAATACTTTGAATGTTACCATTGAAAGCTACCTAGGCGCTGCCCATCTCTGGACCGGTTCCATTTGGGATACAGCCTAATCGATAGACACATATTAAAGGGATTGGTGATCGTACAGAGTGGCACACCCGTCTGAAAGGGCGAGACCTCCGCCGAGACTCCTAACCAAGGCCAAATGCAAGCAAACAGATCTTGAAGCCAATGCAGATTAAGCCATAATGAATCTACCAAGCGATGAGGAATTAATCGTCGTGCTGGCCTCAAGCACCAGAACTCAAATCGGAATTGCCTCCAGTGAATTACAAGACGCCCATTTTACTTTATGGTGAAGCGACAGAGGACAGATCGCTCAATGGACTATGCGTTTATAGTTATACCTCATGTTGCAAAAAACTCGAACATAACGTGTCTTCATTTTTTAGGAAAAGAAGGTATGAAGGAAAACATTCTTTACCGGAAAAAGAATATTCACAAATAAATCACGTTACATGACGATGGTCGTACTTGCCTCTCCGAAAAAATCTACTGAAATCCCGTCGCACCGTCCCGATCCGATCGATACCCTTGGCACCCCTAAATGGAAGGCGTGGTGAAATTACCAATCGGCTAACTGCTCAGAAATTGTGCCCGAGAAAATGTCAAATAGGGACAGAGTGACACAACCTAGGTAATGATGCATCGATGGCGGTATAAATCACTTGGGTTTCTCTTAGGCAGCAAACCAGACAGCTAAACGATCCAGTCAACTCGATTATCTTTCGTAGGGAAATAGTAGAATGATAAAAAAAGCCCCAGCCGGCAAACACTTGAGTGCATTGTTCAGTGGTGGCTTACTGGCGCCTGGCGGAATGATGGTGGTGAATTCAACAATTGTGTGCGTGTCGTTACAGGTTAACCCACAAGCAGCGAAATTTCGCCCCAGGCTCTTCCTGCCCCCTTCGCCCTCCCGAACTTCTTTTTTCCTCCTACATCATCAACAAAACCTCCCCTCCTAATCTCACAACCAATTCTATTGCGGGTCCTCTTTGCCTTTGCAAAAGAGGACATTCGCCGGTTGTACAGATTTCTGTCTCAACCTCCTCATACTCTGGCGTCTCTTGATCGCCGGTCGAGTATCCACTCCTTTCCCTTTTGACGAGTGCGCCCGGTTCTGCTAGGCTTTTGCTCGCCCACCAGAAATCTCGGACAGGACAACCTTTTTTTTCCTACGTCCGGAGTTGTTGTACCCTCACCTTCCAATAGGTGTATTACAATTATTGTCGTCGGTGCGCATCTTCTGATCTTTCAATCATTCGACCCCGGATTTGATATCCGGCATTTGGATACGAGAATAGACCTGACTTTTTCATCATCCTTTCAGGCCAAAAACCGCACGCATTTTGCAAAAAGAAGTTTCTTCCTTTGCAACCGATTTAATGAGCAGCATCTCTCAACAGTCGGCATCCCCTCAGGCGACCAACACGACCAGCTCTACGCCCGCAGCGAACGCTACGCAGTCTCCCTCTCCGACCATTAGCGGGACTACTACGCCTCAGGCCGCTGCGCCGGCCTCTGCCACTGCCAGATCGTACGCCAGCGCGACAAAGAAGCCCTTCTCGCCTCCCGTCGCGCCCGGTTCGACCGGTCCCTCACCAGCAGTGGCAGTTGGAGCATCCGTTCAGTCGCAAGATGGAAAAATGAATTCGACTTCTCCAGTAAACGGAAAGAACGCCATCCCTCCTGCCGTTCCCGCGGTAGCGACTCCTGCTATTGTCAACGGCACATCCCCCCAGGGTGATCACAGCCGCAAGTCGTCTGTTACCATCAGTGCGGCCGGCACCAGCGGCTTTATTCCAAACGGCGCGCCTTCTGGAGGTCCACCTAGCAGGACAAACAGCATCCAGTTTGGTTCAATGAACGCGGCCACATCTCCCGTTTCTTCTCATAGTGTTCCTCATGGAACTCAAGGTTCGAACGCTCAACCCGTCTCGACCCCTCAGAACCCGAGAGTAACTTCTCCAGCCACCTCGCCGTCTCCCATCCCCCAGCCGACTTCGAGTGGCGGCCGTCCTCCCTCTGGGCTTCAGGGTCAGACCAACGGCCTGAGCTTTGGCAGTATGGGAGGCGAGCCTACCGATTCTACTGTATGCTATTTCCCCTTTCTCTTGCGGTCTCATATGTGTTTCTCTTTCGCTCACCTAATCAATAGGCCCGCCCCGTCTCGAACCAGAATCCTCTTGCTCCTGGACATCAGTCTGGACACCTTCGACGCGAGTCTTCTCAGTCGACCCACAGTGACATGAGCAACACAGGTATGGGTCATGCTCGTGGCGGCTATGCTCCTCAGGGTGGTAGAGGAAGAGGCTATCCGCAACCCTACCCCCAGCAGATGGGCTACTCTCCTGGACCTCAGTTCCGGAACGCGCCAAACCAGCCCCGAGGTGGCCCCAACATGGCTCCTCAATTCCCTGCCCAGGGAAGCCAGTTGGGTCCCTATCCTAACTCGCCGCATCGCAGCGCGCGGAGCCCTGCTCTTGCCAACTCCCACCCTGCAACTCCACAGGTGCAGCAGGTTCCCATGGCCGCACCCCAGATGCCGGCTCAACATTATGTCGCATACCCGCACATGGGTCAACAAGTAATGCCACTATCTTCTTCAATCTCTCAGCACAGTCTTTCAAAGCACGCGCGACAGTCGCCGTTGCTTCCCCTTCAAACTTTCCAACATCCATTACCTACACCCGATTTATCACCTGACAGCCCCTTCTTTGAGCAATATCTAATGATGCGAAATCAGGCACAATTTGGCATTCCGCCTCAATTCGACCCGGCTTATGCCCATTACCCCCAACAATATGGCATGTATCCGCAAATGTCATACATGGCGCCGACCTCCCCGCGACCGCCCTTCATCCCTCAGGCCACTCAGCCTCAATATCACCCTGGACAGTATGCGACGCACCCTCAGCCGCAGCCCATGTCACGGCAGTCGTCTGCGGTCTCCGATCGTCCGAATTCGAGCCTCGGCCAACCGCAAACTCCTTCGGCCGCACCCGCTGTGGTCCACCCCCACAACCCTGTCCTTAGCTCCAGCCCAGGCCCCAGCTCCGCCTTCAAGATTCCTACTCGGGGCAAGAGTGCAGGCATCGTCATTAAGGATCCCAAGAGCGGTGCGGTAAAGACGTTCGAGAAGACACCTGCTTCCCCTGCTCCTGCTTCTGCCTCGCCCGCGATTGTGTCTTCTACCCCTACTCCTCCACCCAGACCTGCCAGCAACAATGCTTCTGTTGGCCCTGAGATCAAGCAAAAGTCTGACGAGGAGAAGAAAAATGATATGAAGGACGCTATTCAAAAGAAGATTGAAGCGGACAAGGCGGAGGAGAGACGTCAAAAGGAAGAGGAAGAGCGGAAGGCTGCGAAAGAAAGAGAGGAGGCCGAACAAGCACAAAAGGAGGCTGAAAAGGCCAAGGAAGCGGCCGAAAAGGCTGCCAACGAGGCCGCCGAGAGAGAGCAGCGTGAGAAGGAGGAGGCCGAAAAGGCCAAGAAGGCGGCCGAGGAGCAGGCTCAGAGAGAGCACGAGGAAAAGGCCCGCAAGGAGGAAGAGGAAAAGGCCAAGAAGGAACAGGAGGCCAAGGAGAAGGAAGAGAAGGCCAAGCGTGAGGCCGAGGCCCGTGAAAAGGCTGACGCTGCAATGAAGGATGCTGAACGCGCTGCCGAAGAGGCAGAGGAGGCTCGTCTTAAGAAACGGTCCGCCGAGGAGGACGAAGCCATCAAAGCGGAGAATGCGAAAATGTTTGCCGCTCTCAAGAGTCGACGGCCTTTGTCTGCTGCAGCTTCAGCTGCTCCTTCAGAGACTCCTACTAAACCTGCTGCTGAGAGTGGTCCTACCACGCCCGCCGCTGAGGATTCCATGGCTCCTCCGGCCAAACCCGCTGCCCTCGCCAAGCGCGAAAAGCCTGCTGGCCTCAAGCTGGAGACCAACAAGCCTGTTGAGCCCGCCCAGCCAAGTGCTGCCCTTCAGGCCCTCCGCTCAGCCCGTCCCATTGCTCGTCTCAGCGACATCACTTACCCTTCTTCCATCATTTCCCCCAACCCTGCCTTGAACGCCACTGCTCCTGAGCAAAAATTCAAGTACCAGCGCGACTTCTTGCTTCAGTTCCAGACCGTTTTCACGGAGAAGCCTTCAGAAGACTGGGACAACAAGGTCAAGGAGACTGTTGGGGAGACCCTTGATTCTAGCCGCCCTCAATCTGCACGCACACCTTCGAGCCGCGGTGGTGCGTCAAGGCTCGGTGGACCCTCGTCATTCCAAATGGGAACCTTTGGCATTGGTGGCAAGACTTTGCCCCCTGGAACTACTTCTTCCGAGCGTTTTGCTATGTCAAACGGCCAACTTCCTCGGCCCCCTATTGCCGGTCCTCTTGGTTCCTTCAATAGAGGAGGCGGCTTCCCTGTTGGCGGTCCTGCTTCTCTCAGCCGCACTAGCTCTTCGTCCACTCTACATGGTCAAGGTGCGCCGAGCTCACCCAGGGGCGAAAGAGGCTCACGGCGCGGCAACCGAAGCAAGCCTGGTTTGGACCAGTCCAAGAGCCGAAGAGATGACCAACTTGCTCAGTCTATGCCTCTTACTCAGAACATGGAGATCAAGAGCCTCCAGGTCTCGTCTACTGGATGGAAGCCGAGAAGCGTTGGAGCTAACCCCGCCGCTGCTGCTGCAGCGCCTGCCGAAGGCCTCATGCCTCCTGACATGGTGCAACGAAAGGTTAAGGCCAATCTCAACAAGATGACTCCAGAGAAGTTCGATAAGATCGCGGACCAGATCCTTGAGATTGCTGCGCAGTCCAAGGACGAGTCTGATGGGCGGACTCTCCGACAAGTCATTCAGCTCACTTTCGAAAAGGCTACGGACGAAGCTCATTGGGCATCCATGTATGCGAAATTCTGCAAGCGCATGCTTGAGACCATGAGCGCTGAGATTAAGGATGAGAGCATCCGTGACAAGAATGGAAACGTTGTTAGCGGCGGTAACTTGTTCCGCAAGTACTTGCTCAATCGTTGCCAAGAAGAATTCGAGCGTGGCTGGAAGATGAACCTCCCGCCTAAGCCTGAAGGTGAAACTGAGGAGGCCGCTATGTTGTCCGAAGAATACTACGTGGCTGCCGCCGCGAAGAGACGGGGTCTTGGTCTCGTCCAGTTCATTGGAGAGCTGTACAAGCTTGGCATGCTCACGGAGCGTATCATGCACGAATGTGTTAAGAAACTCGTTGACTTTGAAGGAACCCCCGATGAAGCGGAGGTTGAGAGCTTGACTAAGCTCCTCGGCACAATTGGAAAGAGCTTGGATAGCACAGAGAGAGGTCCTGCGCTCATGGAGGTTTACTTCCAGCGTATCAACCAAATGATTGAGATACCTGATCTCAACAGCCGTCTCCGATTCATGTTGATGGTAAGCACTCCAGGCCCTAAATGCTTAGTTGAAAATAAGCTAATCGCAATGTAGGACATCATCGATCTTAGAAGGAAGGGCTGGAAGTCGAAGGATTCCGAAAAGGGCCCTAAGACTATTCAAGAAATTCACGAAGAGGTAAATAACTGGAGACTGCTCCTTAATAGTGGTATGAGCTAACTTTGGGTCAGGCTCTCGCCCTCCAACAGGAGAAAGAGCTTGAGAAACAACGTCAGAACCAGCGTGGCGGCGGCGGACGCATGCCTCTTGGTCGCGGCGACGCACGGTCATTCTCGAGCGGCGGTTACGGCATGATGCCCCCACCTGATTATCAAAAGAATACCGTTGGTATGGACGATCTTCGCAAACTGAACAACAAGGCTTCGCGCCAAGTCAGCCAGGGTCCGCCTTCCTTTGGACCAACCTCTATGTTCAACTCTCGGAGCAGCAGTGGTCGCAAGACGCTTGGACCTGGTGGCTCCTTGAGAGGCGGGGATGAGTCTGGTACTTCTTCCCGCACTGGCACCCCTCCTGCCCAGAAGGAGAAGGAGGATAAGCGCACTTCCGTAAATGCATTCAGGTAAGCATGAATATACCCATTAAATTTGTTGCAACTAGAACTAAGCATTTGATAGTGCTCTCGCTGCCTTGGATGCCTCGGGCGAACACAATGACTCCGCTTCTCCACCGTCTGCTGGCCCTTCGCCTGTTCTCTCAAAGGCTACGCCCGCCGAACAACGGCCAGAGTCTCCTTCTAAGGAGCAGGAGAATGACGGTACTGCCTAAAAGTGTGCGCCTTCTAACATCTTCATCATTCATGCATAGCTAGCTTCACACACGAATTGCATTTTGCGGGGCTTTACTTCTCATGTATCTTAAAAGTTGCCGATACACATTTTCTTGTTGAAGCGGGTTGTTTCCTTTCTTTTTTTTTTGTTTATCGACTTGCATCCTGCTCTGTTTGTGCACTTTTTGCCAATGCTAGGGAGACAGGTTGCTTGGTTGATGCCGGTCTTCTTTTCTTCATATCCGGTTGTTTTTAACTTTTTTTCATTTTGGCTTTTCGGTCTATGTCTCTTTTGTGGACAGCATGGAAGGCGAGAAGAAGACGAGTTGCTGCAAAGATTAATGGTAGCCTCTATGATTTGAGAGGGGATAGTGGGGCTCCAGCAGTTGAGAGAACCACCCGTTTATTTAATGACCCGAAAAGCCTTATATGTATGGCCGTTCTTTCCTGCGGCGTCCGACGAGGCTATGATAGATGTCTGTCCCGGCAGCAGCCTTTGAAATAGGCGGTGCTCATTAGTTGTACAAACTTCTTCTCTATTTAATTTCAGTTCCCAAAAAAGCTTTTTCTTCCAAGTGTTTGCAAATAATTTTCATTGTGCTGGTTTCTCTCTCACGCGTAATATAACACCAGAACGACCTGTTTTACAAATTGGATATTGTCCAAGCCCCAGCCATAGCTTCAGCCATTCAGGGGCCCGGAAACAGATACATGAGCCTCATATTGTAAAAGGAAATATCCAGCAAAAGCTTGTGCGCAATGGATGATACGAGAAGGGACCAAAGAAAAAAAAGGGGGGGGATTTCACGACTAGTAGGAAAGAAGAAGAAAAAAAGAAAAGGACGTGTGCTATGACACGAAAGGAAGCCTGTTTAGAACGATACTTTGGGCTGTGCTGGGCTATAGTCTGTCTAGTGACCCAACCCGCTTTTTCAGCACCACGATCACCGGTAATTTCTCCTGCTAGTGACCAAAGAATCGCTGTAAAGGCCACTGCCCCCGCCACCTTGCGAGCCACTGTATCCGTAACGACCATCTTGGTACTCTTGTCTCTCGTCCTCCATGTTGATGTCTGCGCGCTCTCTGGGCGTCGTAGAATGTGGCAGATGCGGCCGATGATGCGTGGCAACTGATGCCGGGGAAGGTCGGCCATCTTTCATGTATACGTGGAGGATTCGGCCGTCGGCCTGCATTCAAGGCGTGGTTAGCAGCAACACTTATGAGCCGATTCGACCCTGTGCAACACGAAAGGGTAGGGTGATGAAATAAGGAAATCAAAGACAGTAGTTTGGAGGTTTGCAGCAGCGCACCTTTTGGCCATTCAGCTGAGCAATGACATTCTCCGCATCCCCCTTGTCATTGAACACAAGTTCTGCCATGACTGTCGGCCGAGCCGTCATGATCCTGCATCCTTGACTCTCCACGCCCATGCCCAGCAGCGCCGCCTGGATGTCATCTGCTGTAGTACCCGGTGCGAAGTTGCTTGCTCTGACCGCAAATGGCCCTGCGGCTCCTCGAATGCTGATGCCAGCGGCAAATGGGCTTACACCTGAAGCGGTTGCATTGCGCACAACGGCTTGGTTTCCCGCGTTGCTGAGCGAGTTTGGTTTCAATGCGCTGAACAGCTTGTTCGCGTTATATTCTCGTCCGATGCGTGGCGTGGATTGGCTTCGGTGGAGCTTGGATACCCGTGATGCCTTGGGGTTATTCACATGGTGCAGGTCGTGGTTCCATCTGCCTTCGATATTGGGCTTGGGCGGCTCGGGCTTGTATACGCCTGTTGCAGATCTCTGCAGGTTTGTCATTTGTGTGAGCGCGCGGTTCCAAGTGTAATAAAACTTAGACTGAGCAAATTTTCTCGTGTCGTAAACACACACTCTCGCTCTTCCCTTCTCCTGCGTTTGTCAAAGGGCATGGGGTGTTGACAATTGCGTACCTTCACTGGAGCAGGTCCTATCCGCGCAGCAAGGCTGGAAGAAGACCTACGCCCACTTGCTACACCAGGCGCACTGGCCCGTCGTGACTTGCCTAATATCTCATTTGCCAGAGCGCTGTCTCGTTTCTGCTGTCGGCCTGGAATTTGTTGAAGAGAGCGTTAGTATAATGATAGGAAGTCCAGGTAAGGGAGTGGTTCTACCAGCTCGAATGATCTGGTCGAAGGAGACCGTCTCCTGGCCTGCTGCCATTGGGTTCAAATATGTGATAATTGGATCGCGTTGTCAAGTGCTAAGTGAATAGTATTCAAAGATCGGGTTGCCGTCAATGCAGCAAAGCCCCCGCTGGATTGTTATGTCGAGCTATGCTGCACAGGAGCAATATATGAGCGAGCTGAAGGGGAGCCGTCATGGGAACAAACGAACTGCGGTACTCGCACATTAGCGAATGCCGACATTTGGCGCTACAGTAGGGGACTTTGTGAATGCTGTTAGTTAAGACCTTTGGCAAACCCCACAACCCTCTTCACAGAGGGACAACATACCATACCCAGATAAATAATCTTGATGTATTCAATTGGAACTAGAATAGATTCAGTATCTGTGAATATGCATGATTTAAATCTGAACCTGTTTTAATTTGTTATTCGAGACAAAATGCTAAGCCCATTTTATAACTAAGACTAAGCCTTTTCTCCGCAAAGAACAGGACAATTACGGTAGACGACTCAGACCTTCAGCCGCAAAATCCAGCTGCATCCATGACATGGGTTGAGCCAGCAACCCAGCATTTCTCTTTCTCACAATTACTTCGTCCTTTGCGCATTTGGAAAGTTTCCACTCTCTCATATTATATCAAGCCTATAGTTCAAAATCAACCATATCATGAACGGAGAAGGACCGCAAGTTTCCGACGGCCCCAATGACTGGGACGAGGCTCGTCTTGAAGCCGCCCTAGAACGCCTCCAGGAAATGCACATACAGGTAAGAGATTCAATTGGTCTTGGGTATAGGTAGAGGTCTGGCATCCTAACTTTACTGCAGCTTCGTGGCCTTCGCGGCGTCCTCAACGACGTCATATCACCATTGAGCATGTCCTATGCGACCCCGGAGGACCTGTATAAGCGCTACGTAAACACTACGAAAGATGCGTCAAAGCGTTTAGAATCGTTCAAGCTCTATATGAACAGTGGGGACTCCAAAGAGGTATTGGAACGCGCAAAGTCTAGTCGCGCGGCGGCTCAGCCTGAACAACCTTGGACATCAACGGACCACCCGGATTGGTTCGACCGAGAGGATAAGACCCAAGCAGATACGGTGACGGCGCCACCGACGGTCGCAGAAACTGAAAATGTGAATGATACGGAGGATGATATGGTCGTAGAGGCATCTCCGAAACAGATCATTGAGGAATTTAAGGGAGCGCATGGCGAAATCATAACGTCCTTGGAAGATGAGACTGGAATTATCAATGTGAGTACCGCAGCATCCTTTCGAGGGGACTGCTTGTCTTTTCATTTGAGATTTGGTCATTGATCTACTGGGTTAGGTTACCCTTCCATCACCTGCAAACCTCCATTTCCAACTGGACCCAAACTCAGACGGGCAGGAATCAAAAGAATATCAGGTTGCTTGCAAAGGAACCTCCCGACTCAACATGCCGATCTTTCGCAGTATCCAGACCCACAAACAGAGTAATAATCTCAAGTACATGCTGGTAGGAAATATCCCCAATTTATATATATATATATTTATTTATTTGCGAGTCATATAACGTATGTGATCTGGGACTGACGAGTCGCAGGACATGCTCGCTTCATATCTCGATGTGAAGAGTAGAGTCTGCGCCAGATGCGGGAGACTCTTGGACACCAAAGCTCAATTTCCGGTAGTTCGATCGCTGCGGAAAACCAAGCAAGCTGATGAGACTGTACTCAAAACTTGGGAAGCTCTTCACGAGGGGTGCATCTGAAGGGGATACTGTTGGCATGGAATTGCACTCGAGAAGAATGGCCCGGGAGTGCTCCTCAAAAATTGAAGCGAAGGTCCAGGACGATTGGTTCAGCTTGAAGGGCGTGGTTTTGAGCTCGATCATGAGATAGAAGTGGCCGACCTCAGTATCAACAGCTCCAGAATTACGATTCCAGAGCTGCGTTCCTGGAGACTTACTTCCAGCTTCGAGGACGTCCGCACCGTCGAAAATGGCAGACCGGTTGCTGCGCGTTCTCAAATGTTGCATTTCAAGCAAATACTCACAAATCTGTCATCCCAGACCGCACGCTTCTTATTCCCGCCATAGGAATATCAAGCTCAACATTTGGTCCCAGCCATTGCACTTGTTCAATCAATAGGGGTCATTTTCTTGCGTTATGGCAAGTGGCTTTTCTGTTATCGTTTCAGCTGGATAGGGTTGGACAATATCGATTTTGGTCTTGGATCTCCAAGAATATGGTCGTTCGAGGTAATACTACAGCGTCAAGAATTTGCTAGAGGTGTTCTTGGATATAATTCTTTAAGTGTCTGGACACCGGTCACGACGTGGGCGAGGCTTTTTCAACCGAACCCGACGCAACACAGTCATTAAATGTTCTTATCAAGGACGAATGAGTTAGAGCCATGTATAATAGTTATGCCACATAGGTAGTGTATGCATATAATTTATACATTGTGGGTGATGCATGATATCCAAACATTTTCCTTTCGCGCATTCTACGTATCCCAGCCATCAATGTCAAACTCGAAGATTCTGTCGCCCTGCCCGGCCGGGATAGGTGTTCCATCGTCGCCGAACAGCGTCCGCTCCAAGTATGTTACCCGGCCATCGTGGTCGACCAATACGATGGTTTGCTTTACCGTCCCGTACAATCCACTTGTCCCTTGGCTGCTGACGGCGTCGTTTTTCCCACGAAGCTGGCTTTCGTCAGAGGCGGCGGCTACGGCGTCGGCTGGCTTGCACTCCTCTCCTTCGAATACAGGAACAAAAATACTTCGCCTCAAATTACGCGTGTATGTTACCCATGTCTCTCCATTCTGCTTTCGGGGCAGCGTGTCTGTATTCAGAAGAGAGACTAATCTGTCCAGTAGTTGCTGCTTTGATTCAGATGCCTCATGGCTTTCTGCCAGCGCTCGGTCCAGCAAATGCTCTCCATCGAGGACTTTTGGCCATGTATGATCTTCAAAGGTCGTATTGCTCAATCCACGTGTCTCGCCCGACGACTTCCCTATCCAGGGGACCTCCCCTGTCCGAGGCGTCCGGTTACTAACGACTGCGAGTGGTTGCCGGTTCTTGCGAAGTACTCCGCAGACCAGCGAGAAGCCGCCTACACCGCGAAGACCTTCGTGATCTTCAACGAGATCGTTTACAAAGTCTTGCGTGGACATTAAATGTCTTGCGCTTCCGGATCTTGCTTGCTGAGCCGGTGTGGAACTTGGGCTCGGCTGGGTTGAGGCTGCCAGGAACGATGAGACCATTGCCCCCCGACTACGAGCCCCCGCGAGGAGTTCCTCCTCCTCTTCGCGGAAATTAGTCAAGACTGCGATGCGTCCTTGGCGGGTGATACCCAGCCAGGTGCCCTGCTCGGACCTCATCAGGTCTCGACCCGCCAACACGTCTGCGTGTGGCTCATCCCAAAAGCGCGCCGGAGCTGTCGGCCTGCCGATATACTCATCTCGATTGTCGAGAAGAACCAAATGGTACGATGGGTGATTGGTAGAAATAAGAGCGATGCACATTTCTGGGGTGGCGGTTATTGCGTGCTCGTTGAACCTGCAGGAGGAGCGACGAGACAATCCTGAGTCGACTGGGGGTGGGTCAGTTTGTGGGGGACGGGATCAGGTACGAGCTTAAAGCCACATGGGCCGAAGGTCACAGGATATATGATAGGCAGTACTAATGCCACAATTGTTCCATGTCAACTCTCTGGGCACAAGCTGATGATACAGGGTATTATGGTGATGATGCTTGTTTTCCAGGGATCCTCTGAATTTTCTCCAAAATCACGCTCTACAAATGTTGAACAGGCATGGTTTTCTCAGCCATTCGAGTCACTTCATTCAAGAACTGCGCCAGACAAGAAATGACAATAATATACATGTGGGAGAATCAATGCAAGATTCCTTACATCCCCAGAGGAGACACGGAAATACCGTGGTTTGCAAACCACGCACAAGGATCTGATTGTTTAGGAACGCGTGATTGGATAGCGGAGACATTTCAGTAGAGGAGCCAGCCATTCTCTACAAAGGCATGTCACAGGGACTGTGGATATTCGTCGAAAAACTAAAGCTGACCAAAAAATATGCCTCAAAAGCCGCGTCTGCACCGCAAGTTGCCTTTGGTAGCCGTGGAATGTATAACTGAAAAGTCCTTGCAGTGCAGAGGAAAGGTTGATGCAGCCTTGACCGCACAAGCCACAACCAGATGATGTTCTCCCGTGACGATGAGGTTGACGCTTTCCCTAGTGAGGCTAGGAGTAAATAGATCCACTAACACTATCTGGGAGACCTAGCCTAATGCGGCAGGGAGGATATATCGATAAGATCGATAACGTAAGCTCTCCGTTGCCTTTCCCCAAGTCCGAAGAAGCTGCCCCTCCGTCCGTAGACAATGCTCCGGCCTCAGCTTTCGGCAGGGAAGCACAAATTTCAACGTCTGCTCTACTTTTACCCTGGAAATCTGCTGCCTGGGCATCATAGCTGGTCTATCAAACTCGGCCATCTGGCCTTTTCCCGACCAAGCTTTCATAACAAATTAAAAGCCTCCTTCTCAAGAATAGATACGGATACATTTGTCGATTTTGCGATAAAATCAATCAGAGCTCGATTCTCACTTTGGACCATCTAAATCTTCCTGTGAAAAGAAGGGCTTCCTGTAACCATACTCTTCGGGACATTTTGAGTATAAAATATCCGCGAGCATGTTCAATATAATTGCCAATTTTCTCTCGTAAGTCATGTTTCTTGAAATCTGCCCGACCGCCGCCTTGTGCGGGAAATTTGCGCCTCATACACTGTAACGCAACGAAACCCCTCGACATCACAGATTGTGCAGAAGCCTTTAGCATAATATAAAATGGGATATCAGCTAGAGCTAACAGCATTCGCAGCTCCATCATCACAGTCCTCTTTCCCATCTTCGCGTCTTACAAGGCTCTCCGAACGTCTGACCCTGCGCAATTAACGCCATGGCTGATGTACTGGGTTGTGCTTTCTTGCGCTCTCCTCGTGGAATCATGGACTGAATGGATTCTTGTATGGTACGTGAAAAACCATAGCCACCAGCTCCTCTGCTTTTGTTCCCCCCTCCCCAAACTTTCATATCTTGCCCTATCTCTGCTCCACAAGCTCACTGCTTTTCTGACCGCTGAATGCAGGGTTCCATTCTACCCATGGATTCGTCTCCTCGCACATACCTACCTCGTACTCCCACAAACCCAAGGAGCCCGACAGCTTTACCAGGAGCGCATTCACCCGTTCCTTGCCCACCACGAGGCTGAGATTGAAGCGTTTATCGGCAACGCCCACGAGCGACTCAAGGCAGCTGGTCTGCAATACCTCAAACAAGCTATCGATATGATCAAAGAACACGTTCTCGGATACCCACCCGCTAGACCTGCAACACCGCCTCCGCGTTCTTCCTATGGAGCACCGTCATACGCGCAAACATTGCTCGCACGCTTCAACTTACCAAGTGCCCGTGAAGGCCTTGCCGCCCCAGCTGGTGATCTGTACGGCTTCCTGAGCGCAGCACTTGGCCAAACATCCTCTTCAACCAGGGAGGTACCGGCGGAGGATGCAGCACATCTCATTCCAGCCGAGCTTTCTTCGGACGAGGAGAAGATGAGCTTCATCTCCACCCAGCGCGACCGTCTGCGCTCCTTACTCCGTGCTTTGGATAATGAAGCGAATAATCTGTCGACCAGTACCGCTGACGCATCTTCCGCCGCAGCTGGTACATACTCGGGCGATGAAGCAAACCTGAGCAAGAGCAGGAGTGAGCTAGAATTTGAGCCCATCTCGCGCGATGAACTTGGAACTGGTGAAAAGGACTCCAAGGCCGCAGCTGCCGCGAAAGGTGGTAGCTGGATGCCCTGGAGCTGGGGCTATGGGTCTTCCAAGTCCGCCTTGTCTTCGCCATCGGAAGAGAAATCAAAGGAAACTGCTTTCCCTACAGCCCGCGGAGCCTCTTCTGGTGTGGATATCTGATCTCACTTTCACTTGGGGCTAGATACACATGTCGCTTCACGTACAGGTACTAGGAGTCTTTACCTTTGGCGTTATATAATTTTCCGTTTTTCTTATTCCTTTTCTATCTTTTCCCCATAAGTTTTCCGCAGATATTCCTATATTGTTTTGCTCCGATAGTGCTCTCTCTTCTCTTCTCTACTTTCTTTTTATTATTTATTTTTTTTCTTATATTATATCCATTTTTTTTATTAAAGTGGCGATTGCTCGTCTTTGCTCGCCACTACAGCCACAGAAAGCAGGCTCGGGCCAATACCCCTGTCATTTTTCTATTCTGTTCTATTCTACAATTCTTTCATTCATATCACTAGGGTGGATTACTTCTTTTAGTACTCTTTCCACTTTCTTATTTTCCCTTTCTATCTCCCCCTTTCTTATCTCGCCCTCTTTCCCTACTTTATTTCGGATGTCGGATGGATGGTGCTATTTTTCTCGGGCTATTACTTTATCTCATTTTATTTGCTTTTTCTTTCAGTGGGATGAGTCTTTCTTGGGTTCTGACTTGTACTTTGCGCTTTGAGCTGAGAGCTTTGAACGGGAATCTAGGTCGGTGGAGTGCACGTCAGGGTCGTTATGGTCGTTATGGTCGTTATGGTCGTTACTTTGGGGATCTTAGGGAATGGATTACGGACGGGTGTAAATCAAGGTTGATGGGCAGATGGACAGATGGACAGAAGGGCGGGGAGCACTGGGAGATTTGGAGAATCATTCTTTATCTTTACACAATACACTCACTCCTTTTGCTTGACTTATTACTCGTACCCTCGTACATTTATCGTCTTATGGTCCGTCCTTTGATCGATGTTCTATATGGTGATGTCTTTGTTACAAAGCACCTTCAGTGTGAAGTGAGTGAGAATTGAAATAAGTTTTTTACTGCTTCTTTTGCTTCTCTTGCTTGCTTCTCTGGATCATCTATGGGCTAAAACATGTATTCTGATGATGATGATGATGATGATGATGATGATGATGATGATGATGACGACGACGTGATTAATTATCGAATTTCAATTATCGAATTTCAGTGTCCTGCAAATAAAGGAACTTGTTATACCTTCCGCTTGACTAGGCCCTTGAAGAAATCAAAACTGTTGCTGTCGCTTTGTAATTGTATGACGCGGCCGGTAGGTCGATCTTCCCAACCGAGTTCCTCGGCGACAAGCAAGCCGTAGTCGCGAGTGATGCCGCGGATGCGAGCGCGGATGCTGCCTTCTGCTTCTAGAGTGACGATTTGGTCTCTGTGTGGTGTGTACTGGTGTCAGTCATGGATTTTTTTTATTTTATTTTTTATTTTTATTTTATTTTTTTTTGGTTATGTATGAAGGGAGTGAGAGGGAGGGGAAGTGGTGAAAGGGGAGAGAGGAAAGGGAAGTTGTGAAGGGGAGAGAGAGGTCAGGGGACATGGAAGGAGACAGGACGGAAAAGGAGGAGTGGATGGTAAAGACGAGGGGGGAATTGAAATGGGGAGGCAAACGAGGAAAAACAAAAAAGGCAGAAATTGAATGTGAGGGAAACGAGAGAAAAATGCGATTTAAAGGAAAGGAAGGGAAAGGTGTATGTAAGAGGATATGGAAAAGGATATGGAAGAGAGAAACATACGTATGTAACCAAAGCGAATAATACAAACTTTCCAGATCGTGATTGAAGCCTGTTCGGAGAAAACTGTTGTAGATGGACTCAAAGCTGGACAGGATACGCGCGAGGAGTTTCTCCAATGTAAAAGGCGGTAAGTGTGGAGGAAGAAGGTCGTTCAGGGACGTGGTGGGTCCGGGATTCATCGTGTTCAGCCCGATGCCTAGATGCCGTTAGAAACGAAAACTGATTCTTCGGGGCAAAAGCAGGGACAACAAATAAATGTTATGCGTATGGAGACGTACCAACGACAAGGAGAAACTCGCTTCCAACATAGCTTGAGTTGACGAGGATACCGCCAATCTTGACGTAGTTTCCTGGTCCTTTGGAGGGATCCTGCGCGTCTATTGTCCCAGTTAGTTAAGGAAGCTGAAAATAGAGAATTGAAGTGATTGGGTGCCAGGAGGAACTGGAACTGGAACTGGAGATCAGCATACAAATGTCATTCGGCCACTTTAATTTCACTGGCAGGTCCGCGTATCCAACGTCATATGACCTGATTCCCTCTACGATAGCTATTGCGGCGAGATACTGCACAAATACAACCGGAGCGGCGTTCATCAGGTGCATTGGATGTCTGATGCACGTCGAGAACAGCAGAGTCCCGGCGGGTGAGACCCACACGTTGGAACCTCGGCCTCTTCCGGCGACTTGAGTGGTAGCTGTGGCGGTAAAGCCTGTTGGGAGGTGCTGAAGGAGCTTCAGATTTCTGAGAGATCATGTTATTGATGGTATCCATTAATGAGGATGAAATTAGAGGGAGTGGTGTGTAAAAGGTAAACTCACTTCTCAAGCAGAGTACTTGTGCTTGTGACTACTTCTCCGTATAATAAATATCGTCCAAATGCCCCTTCGCTCTCTTTGGAGCGAGCATGGTAATTTTGAAGGTTTGCGTAAAATGATGCGTGGTTAAAGTATGGAGTCTCTTTGAATGATGGTTGCTCAGTCTCGTGCACGTGTATGCGTTTGATGATTTTGCTGTAATCGATATCGATCCCTGGTTGACCTGCATCGTCATCGGAGTTGGGTTTACCGGATAGACCAGGAAGTGCCTTCGCAAGAGAGCCCAAAGACCATTTTGAAGGATGGTCAATTTCGAATGTATCATTTTCGCCCTTGATATATTCTTTGCCTTCTTCCTTGGTGATGAGTTCCTTCCAGGAGGAAACAAGCTCGGACGCAGCAGGAGGCTCTGCTGAGGACAAGTGCATTAGTGATAGAGATGGGACAGTCGTCTGCTCTTTGCTGACTCGCAGGCCCAATTTGCTCAGACAGGCTCTGAGGAAACTAGCTCGTGCCTGTTCATCGGCTGCCAGTTCCTCGACGAGCTTTGGATAGTCTGGGCCATTGGCAGATTTGTCAAGATTCACAGCGGCAAACCTACAGCGGTTAGTAGATTGTCGATAAATCGATGACAACGGCTGAGGAGTTACTCACTCAGGATGCGGCCCTGTGAGCACTGCTGCTCCCTCTCCGACTTTACAATACACAACAGCTGCTGCTCCCTCTCCTGGGTCCACATGTAATTTCTCCGTGTAACTTGCCAGGATCTCGACGCCTTGATTTTTCAGATTTGGAGCGTCAACAAACACACCGCCGCCGTTGTAGTAAGTGCGGAAAGAGTCCGGAAGCTCTTCTTCGCTGAATGCACCCTTCTCGACCTTCAATTCTGCAGCGCGGGCTCCAGCTTCACTGTGATAGACAAAGCCTGAGAACGCGCAACCCCGACAGATACCAGGAAAGAGACCAAGCTCTCGACTGCCTATCACCTCCATCTTCTTATCACCTACTTCCCATTCGCAGCGTTTGCAGCCATAGTAGCCTCCTGCGCAGAGACCTAGGTAAGTCCCACCCCTTTGCAGGAATTGCTTGATACGCCTATTTCCCTCCCCATTAAGAGTGCGGCAATATCCAAGGTCAGCACCACCCGGGAATACAAGGAGAGCACAAGAAGCAGTCCATGGCTCCTTGAGGATCACATCTCCGGTGACAGGAATGACTGCGTAATTGGGCGAGAGCAGTCGTCTGAGGCTATAAAGACAATGACGGACTGACTCTGGTGTGCTCCCGTTGCCTATATAAGATGGTTAGCAATGTGGGAACATAATGTTGTTGAAATGTCATACCAGCATAGACCAGCACATTGACCCGTTTGTTCGCCATGCCTTGAGGCAGGCACTGCTTATGGCAGTATTGGTATTAGGCCGACTTTCTACCGAGAGCGCAAAGGAAATCGATAATTCCAACAAGATTCGCAGATTCGAACTCGAATTTCCAGTACACCCAATTTAATCAAAATGTCGGATTCACAGAAATACCCCAACAGCAACCCAGCAGTAGACGATGATGAACCAGATGAATGGTACGAATGCCCAGTGTCTTTCTTGTTCTTGTGGTGCGTCGTTAACCCAAGTCTGCAACAGGGACAAGAGAATCTTCAGCACAGGATGCGCTGGTGAGTATATCTATTCAAAAATGAATATCGACAACTCTCATATAACACATATACCGTGTGCAGTGGAAAATGCAAAGATGACCGACTGCTATTTCGACAATAAGAAGGATTGGCGTGCATGCAAGAAGGAGGTAAGTTTCTCAACTTAAGCCTCCCGCCCAACACCAATTAGCCGACGTTCCGTACCGGAGTCAACATTCTATAGCTAGAGCGCTAATTGTCGATCTCCAGATGGAGGCATTTCGGGAATGCTGGAAAAGGCAAGGCAACGTGCAGCGCACTGATTCAAAAGATGCTTAAACTTGTCTATTCTGCATTGAGAGGCACATGTATAGTCATGTAAATTAATTTGATATTACAAGTAAATATGATATGGAATCCTCGCACTGTAAATTGCATTTTCCCCTTGTAAACCCCCGTGGAAGCTATGGCGTTGCGGCTCCGAGCTGCAGACGACGTCGGAGAGACGCGATGTCGCGACGTCGCCCAGTCTCTTCAACACCAACAACCAGTTTTGCCCCATGGCGTCGTCCACCTTTTCTAGGCCAGGGTCTTTCCTGTGCAAGCAATTGTCATCAGCACGAATTGCACGCTCTCTCTCGACATCGTCGCTGTCTTTTCGTTCGCCAACGTCACCCCAGTGGAGAGCTGTCGCTGTCCCTTCCAACGAATCGTCATCCAACACAACACGCCAATGGAGCCGTTGCCTTGTAACAACAACTCGTCAGAGAAGAGCAGCGCAGGGCTCTCAAGCTGAAGCAAATGCTGCGGCCCCCAGCCCTGCGGATGATGCAGTTGCTAGCCAGTCTATTGAAACTCAGAACCTCACCAATGGGCTCGGCGACGAACCTCTTATTCTTGACGAAGGAAATCGACAAGTGGATTGGTCGCGGTCATTCCATGGACTTTCGTCTGAGCCATTTCCCAAGGAGACAGCGGACACATTATTGCAGGAGATCCATCCCGATGATATCGAGGTAAAACCAGATGGCATCATCTACCTTCCCGAGATCAAATACCGAAGGATATTGAATAAGGCTTTCGGGCCTGGTGGATGGGGTCTTGCTCCTCGAGGGGAGACGATCGTGACACCGAAGTCTGTCACAAGAGAATACGCACTCGTTGCTCACGGACGGTACGGTGCACATGTTTCAAATGGCTTGAGCCAATGCTGATATCCTCCCTTTAGGCTCGTTTCCGTTGCACGTGGAGAGCAGGACTATTTCTCGCCCGAAGGCATCCCAACCGCTACCGAGGGTTGCAAATCGAATGCGCTGATGCGTTGCTGTAAAGATCTTGGTGTCGCCAGCGAGTTGTGGGATCCGCGCTTCATTCGAAAATTCATGTCGCAACATGCAAAGGAAATTTTCGTTGAGCACGTTCCATCCAAGAGAAAGCGGAAGATATGGCTGAGAAAGGATGATCAAGTTCGCTATCCTTACAAGGAGACCAAGGGTTTCGGGGCCTAAGATGCATGGCATATTACCGGGCAAGGCTATGAGTAAATGCCTTTACTGTTTGTTCTGGAAATCAACATAGCGACGGCATGGCGACGGCAGCTATTGTACAATACTAAATCTCAAAATTCATTCAACTCTCGAGATAATTTTGTCTTTTGGACTCGCTCACACCAGTAATGTGTTCGCAAAGCGCACTGAACCCCTTATGACACATTGAATTACTAATGTCCGAAGCGCATTTGCGATAGAAATGCTTTCTTAAATCAAGGATATAATGGCCGGCTTTATCTGCATTTGAACTTTGCATTGAGCTAGCTAGCTGTTCAATACTCATAGAAGCCTTTTCCAGTCTTCTTTCCTAGCCACCCGGCATCAACCATCTTGGTAAGAAGACATGCCGGTCGGTATTTGCTGTCGCCAGTTTGCTCGTGAAGCACTTTCATGATCGCTAAACAGGTATCAATTCCAATAAAATCAGCCAGCTGCAACGGACCCATCGGAACATTGGTTCCATTCTTCATGATATTGTCAATATCGTCCCTTCCGCCAACACCCGTTTCTAGACAAATTATGGCTTCATTTATATATGGCATTAGTATGCGGTTAGCCAGAAAGCCGGGTGAGTCGGCGCTTTGTGATGGTATCTTGCCCATGCGTTTGACAAAAGCTACCGCTGTGTCAATCGTGCTCTGCGAGGTTTGCAGGCCAGTGATGATTTCTACTCCCTTTTGCACCGGCACTGGATTCATAAAGTGCGTGCTGATGACGCGCGAGGCAGCCGAAAGATCCGTAGGGTATCCATTTGTCGTGGCAGCAGCGATCTTAGTCACGCTGATTGAAGACGTATTTGTAGCCAGGATGGCATGTTTCGGACAGGTGAGCGCAAGCTGTGAGAAGATGCTTGTTTTTAAATCGGGAATTTCCTGCAGTCACATTGATCTTAGCCCTAAGTTCAAGATATTGTAAAGACTTTCTGCATGCAATACCGGGACAGCTTCTATTACAAAGTCCACGTTGGAAAGGTCATCCATAGTCGTCGTTGCATATATTCGTTCCCGGGCTGCCAACGCATCGTCTTTTGTGATGCGCTGCTTCGCAACATCTTTCTCAAGTAATTTGTCTAAGGTAGATTTTGTTCAATATCTTTGCGCCTCCCTTTAGCAATAGAAGAAAAGCATACCGGCGAACTTTAAGCTTTTGTCGATTGACGCCTGGGAATTGTCTACCAAGGTGACTGGGACTTGGGCTCTTTGAGCGGCTACCAGTGCAATACCAAGCCCCTAAGATTTGTCAGTATCTTATGTACTATATTGGAAATCAAACTGATTTTCAGGAGATACCATTTGTCCTGCTCCAACAACCCCCAGTCTGTTAACTTCGGCTGCTCCAGCCTGGCTACTGAAATTTCTGGCATTCTGCGCGGCGACTTGCCGGAGGAGCTGTCTGCGAGCCAACAAAAATATCATAATAGCCAGTTGATTCCTTCTGGAGAAGGAAATCTATTTTGAGGATACAAAAATCGACCTTTAAATCATCCAGAGTAAAGTGAGCGGAGAACGGTCGCCTTCACTTGCGCGGAGCTTTGCGGCATACTTCCGCTACCATCGAGGCACATTGGCACATGCCTCGGTAACCAACCGGTCCGACCCCACGGGGTGATTTAACCATATCAGACCGCTCTAACCAAACCTATTTACTTGAACTTGAGACCCATGACAATCGAAAATTTTAACCATCAACATAACAAAGAATTGGGGATTATCATAACCATGAGCTGATTGCCTTGATTCTCCTATACATTTGAACGCTCCGAAGAAGTGGAAGCCAATGATGAAATTGGATCTTATCTTATCGCATCTTATCCGCAATCTTGTTCGAACGCGTCGCGATGTTCGCGTCGCGTATTCCTGCACAGGAAATGCGCCGAGATGATATAGGCTTCGAGCGGAAACAACGGGAGTAGATGTGTCGTCACTGTCAAAATGAATCCCGACAATGATGATCGCGATGTCATAGATCCAGAAGTTCGGGCCTATGTTTACAGTCTGGTGTCAGCTGTGAGTTTAGTGATCATACCGTGGCGCGTCAGTACAGCTAATTCAATGGTAGCTTGGTGGAAGTGCGGGGGACGAAGGCGGCAGGTATATTCTCGGAGATGATGCTCTAGCATGTTTGAAGGATCTTAAAAGGTGGCTCAAACTCTACGATGAGCGGACCAATCGACTGGATGTTGCAAGATGTCTGGCGGAGGCCAACCTGGTCAATGGCGACTTGCTGGAGATCCTTGCCGCTTGGCGGGAGGATGAGCCTCTGAACAAATTGAAGTCCAAAATTGCATTGGCATGCTGTTCGTAGTGCACTTAGGCTCTATTATATGAAGTTTTGGAAAGTGGATGCTGACTCTGAACGCAGTGGAATTACTAGTGCCTTTAACCTGGCCCATTGAAAAGGAGGACGGAGACGTGACTGTCAATCATCATCGACACATGCCATATTTGCAGCTCGCTCACGTCTCGTATAAACGCGGAATATTACACCATGATTCAACCAAGATTCTCCGTACAGCAGTTCGCATTGGATTACCGTCCATGGCCCTCCCGCTCAAAGAACGCAGCAGTCGCGACGAAGGCATCATCAAACTCATCCTATACTTTTTCCGAAATGTGGCCTTGATTTCTCCGCCTAGGAATCTACCAACGGAAGAAACGCAAAATGATATAGCTCGCTCTGCTACAATTGACTCGTTCGAAGAGCAGGATATTCTCCATTTGATTTTGACCGTGTCATCAAGCATGGGCGATGATTTCGATACAGAGGATGTCGTGGTACTTGAGTTGCTCTTTCATCTCCTCAAAGGCATTGATGTCCCTCAGCTTTTCCTAGACAACTCGGAGCTCTCGGCCAAGAAGGAGGACGAGTTGCAAGACATGCTCAACAAAGAAGCCGGAATGCGCCGGAGTTATGCGCGTGTTGCGCCTTCCAGACATAATAGATTTGGCACGATGATATGGCTGAAGAGAGATGACGAAAAAGTCTCGACACTCTCTGGCCAGGATGTGCTTCGCGATGGCCAGCAAAGCTTGGCAAAAATGGATAGATCTAAAAGGTCAAACAAGTCGAAGCGAGGAAAAAAGGGTCAAGAACCGGTTCATGTGAGGATTTCCAGAAACCCTTCAATTATTCATCTCTAACGGCGTCAGAATGACTTTTCCATGCCTGAAAATATTTCCTCTGCTTCCAATCGACGCCTCCGTGCCTTCGTGGAAGAGTTCCTCGACGCTTCTTTTAATCGTCAGTATCCCCCGGTATATATGTAAATCGATCTGCTAACAATCGGCAGCGCTCTTCATTCATATTCGCAAAGCAATTGAGCGAGAGGAGGATCGTGTATTAGATATCCACATTCGTCAATATTTCTATCTGGTCGGATGGTTCCTAGAAGCCCAACGTGAACGCCGCGAGAGGTATAGGAGACTTATGAAGCAAGGCGGGGATGTTAAATCTCCTGATACGGAGAGCTTCGCTCTCGTAGCCGGTGTCTTGAATCAGGAAACGTTTATTTCTCTTAACCGGTCCATGCAGCAGGCACTCGATAATAAGTCCTGGCATGACTTAAACGCCGGGATGAAGTGCTTCACCCAAATTGTGAGTTCCAATTATATAAAATGGAAATGTAGACTAACATACTCAGCTTTTGACTGTACATGAAATGTCGGAATCGCCTCTCGAAGAAGACCAAGAAATTGCGGAAAATATTCAGAACCGTATATTCTATGAGGAAACCACTCACGACCGACTCTTCGCTATCGTTCGCGCTTATAAGGATCAAGGCTACAGCTTCCTCGATACGACAACTGAGCTGACTCACGTTTTCCTTCGCATGTTAGAGCGATATTCTAAGCAAAACGTGGACATGCAAGTCCGATCTCGACGGCGAGCACGGAAGAAGAAGGCTGCGAATCCCGTTGCAGGAGCCGAGGATCAGCAGGAAGATGGCTCAGAGGCTGAAGAAGTCGCTCAAGCACAGATGGTCTCGAAAGAAAGAAAGTTTGACTTCAATCGATTCGCCTCGAAGCTCGTCACGCAGAAGTGTGTCGACCTGTACGTCGCACTCACACAATACTACAATGATTTGGATACGGAACAACTTAAACGGCTGCATCGATTTTTCTACCGCGCAGCGTTTAAGATGGAGATGAGCGTCTTGCTCTTCCGTGTTGACATCATAGCCCTGTTTAACAAAATGATAATGGGACCAGATGGCCTCGATCAAAGCAGCCCTGTCTTCAAAGACTGGAACGAATTGGTTAGGCAGATTTTCAAAAAGCTCATCCGAAAGATGCAGGAGAGGCCCGAGCTAGTTATCGAAATCCTTTTCAGCAAAATCCCCTCAACCTTGTACTATTTGGAGTATGGCCACGAGAAGCAGACGGTATCGAAACCAAGAGCGCCAGCCGAATTGGAAGTTAAGCCGGGCTGGGACTTTCCTCAACAGATTGGTATCGCTGTTACTGCGTTACTGGACCAAGACAAGCGCAACTTGGTCCAATGGATTAAAAATATTCTCAGCGAAGCGGCAACCGAAAGACAAAGCTGGTCGGATGCTGCGCAGGCATCTGCAGGACTTGACGGCTCTGATAACGCAGCTGAACATGAGTCAAATACCCGGGAAACCGATAATGCTCCCTCGATTGGTAAGATATCCCTCAGCCACTTTCATGACGCGAATGCTAACTTGGGCATAATAGTAATCAAACCAGATAATGAACTTACTCGTGTTGCCATGTTCAGAGACAACCGGCTTCGTCTGCTTATGAAGCTCGTTGGTTTTGAACGGCTTGGCTTAGATGACGAGCCTGACGCAACGTGGGTTATACCCTCGATTCTCAGCGCCCAAACACTCAGTCAGAACCTTGAATATATCAGCGCAGCTGAAGTTGAGCCTCCCCAATTGGACGGCAAAAGTGCAGAAGATTGCATACGACGGAAGTCGGCTGCGAGGCGAAGAGCCGATTATGACGACGACGACGACGATGCTGAGGGCGATGTGGGAGCGGATGAGGACTTTTTGTTCCCCGCTGGGGGGCCAACTATCCGTAAATCAGACAGTTTACAGAAGCTAAAAACGAGAAGGCGTCGAAAGAATAAAGACAATGACGAGGGGGATGAAGTGGACGAAGAAGCTGCGAAGGCAAGAAGAGAAGCCCGAAGAATAGCGGATCTTGAGAAGAGGCGGAAAATAAAGAGTGAGCTTTTTGTTCACGATAGTGATGATGAGGACGATGAAGATAGGGATCGCGAGTTCTTTGCTCTCGAAGAAAAGCGGAGGCAAGAACATGCTAGAAAGGTCCATGATACTCTCATGTCCATTGAACAGCCCGGAAGTAACTCCAGAAAGAAGAGGAAAAGCGAAGGAGGCAACATCTCCGGAAAGAAAAGAACGAAGAGGACCGCGACTGTTTTGGAGAACGACGAGGAAGAAACAGGCGTCGAGAGCATTAGCAGCCGCTCTTCAATTGACAGAGATGATATCATGTCGGACAGTGCAGATCCGGCAACAGATACACCGTTTTCTTCGCCACATGCTCGACTTGCAGACAATTTTCAGAAACGGCATAGGTCTGAATCTATTGCTACTGTCGATTTAGACACTTCTGAGGCAGTAGTCGAGAACTTCGGTGCCGCCGAACAGGAGGACGATGAAGATATTGATGAGCCCTTGGTTCCAGTGGCGGCAAGACGGCGCATGAGGGCTGGTTTCATAGTTGAAAGCGATTCTGAATGAATGACTCGCCTTCTTTTCCCCCTTTCCTTTTCACATGCAACTGTAATGGGCCTGAAATTAGCGCTGGCGTTAGGAGGTAGATATCAGGATTACAAATATACTTCCAAAGTTAAATTCTTGAGTTATGCATGCGCATCAGCACTCCTATAACCCGGGTGAAGAGCAATGCAGTGCTGAAGTATTTTTCATATAAAATTCAGCAGACCGATGCAACAACTAAAAAACACATGAGACTTAAGCATATTGAACGAGAGCCTGATTGCATTTAAAGAGCGCTCCATGCTTTCCTTAGCCTCCAAACTCACACTTGTAAACAAGGCTGAATAATCAATGAATGCTTTCGTAACTATTTTACAAAGTGCAGCAAGACAATTACTATCTTCACAATAGCACGCACCGTGAATGACAATTCCGTAACCTGGGAGACGGGAATATCATATTCAAGCACCAATGCCACTGTGCCTTTTGAATCTCCTTCTCTTTGACTCCAATAATTGGGCTAAGCAAACCCTCGTAGGTCTGATTTTCTATGCACAACATTCAACTCGACCCTAGCTGCATAAAAACAATTTCTGAATGCTTTCAATTCAATTCACATACATTCACCTCTTTTTCAAAAGAGACCCTAATCTCGAAGAATGAAACAATCATCGCCATCCCTCTGTAATATCCAACATTCTGAACGCAACGGAGACTTCTCCAGTAGCACACATGGAGATGTCTTCATCTCAAAGAACAGTCCACTTCAATACTCTCCCACCGGACAGATTTCAACAGAGGCAGCCAAGGCGGCCACTCAACCTTTCTACTAACATACATCCTAGCCTAAACAAACCTCTCCCGCCACTTCCACACAGCACTCCTCTGCTTTCATATCCTACATCGCCTCTGCTTGTCCACTCTCAGGATCTGCATTATCAATCCCGGAGCCTCTTCCTGGCTTCTAGACGGACTTTCTCAGAAAACGCTCATCTCGGGAGAGACCGCTCTCAGCAAGAGGCTCCTCCATCCATGGCACTTCCGCTGCTCAGAAGTCCGCATAGACGACAAACAACTGCCTTTCTGCCCCGACGAGAATCGATACTTCCCTCCACACCTGTCCCATCAAGTCAGATTCCAAGACCCTCACGAAACGGGAACCGCCGTCTAACGGAGGTGTCATGGAGAGCTACAGGAACCTTACTAGAGGACTCAACAACATGGAGAACAGCAAGAACGAACAAAGCTGGAAGATATCGAGAGATGCAACCTTCAACGGCAATAGCCTCCAATCCATACGCTGCTTCTTCCGCCGCAAGAAGATACATCAGCTGTTCAAGACGAACTTTAGAAGCGGAAGAAGGCGCTCGTTTAGTCAATGGTATTGAGAACAGAAGCAACAATTGGTTTTGGTCCAAAGATCGAGGAGCTCGTCACGGTGCGTGGCTCCCCAGAGAAGAAGATACTCTAGGGTACTCCTCCAGGATACCAGATCCACACAGGCCAGCTCCACGAAGAAGACAAACGATAGCGTCGACAGCTACGTCGACGTTAAGCTCTGGCAGCTTTGACCCAGTTGATCGTACCGGACCTTATAATCCGTGTCCCACGCCGCATCCTCTTGTTGCGTTTTGGCCGAAGTCTCGAGTTCCTTTGCCTGTGAGGATGGCAGAGATAAAGAGGGACATTGGCAGTCCCGAAGAAGAATTGATGACAAGCACCATAACTACTCTGCCTGCTTCTTCTTCTTCTACGCATGGGCCAGAGTCAAATGACGAGGCTGCGGCGCAGACTGAAGCTGAGCAAGCAATTGATGAGCCAGTGGTGGATTCCCCTCGCAAGCTGTTTCGGCGCAGAACATTGGCGGCATTGAGGGAACTATCGGTGACTCAGGAGAAACCGAAAGTCCCTGCTTGCTCGTCTTTGAATGCATCATTGGGCTCGCGAAGAAAGTTAAAGGAGGAAGATAATACTGTTGGTGATCCAGCATTTGTATGTCGTGTTTATGATGATCCCCAAGCCGAGGCCCTCCTTTTTTTGGTTTGTGTGTATTAGGAAGTTTGGACTTGGCGGCGGTGCTGATGAGTCTTCAATACTAGGTAACTACTGCTCAGCCAACAGCGTATTGGAGCGGGCGATTTGTTGCGGTGAATGATTGTATACGAAATGAGGAGTTTGTAGTTGCCGACCGTCAGCAATTGACGCCGAGTCCGGAGCTGGCGGCTACGGCTTTGAATCATGGTTCTTTGCAGAATACGCCTACGGACGAGAAAAGGATTAGTCGAGTTTTTGCAGAGTTGAAGTATTGTTGCCAAACGAAGGAGGCGAGGGATAGTCTACAGGTACAGTTTGTTTGCATTTTCTTTTTCTATGCATATTTGCATGCATTGAATCTCAGTTTCGACGGTGTTGACCCAAGTGTAAGTATAAACTAACCTCCTGTTGCGGTCATAAGGTATTTAGGGACAAGTACGAAAACAAAAATCCGCGTTCTCAGAGGATTGGTACGGTCGTGAGGGAGAGGACAAAGCTATTTGACAAGATCATGGGGAAAAGAAACGTTTCAGACTGAAGAAGGGTTTAAAAATGGAGAAGGGCAGTTTCAATCCCGGTGCACTGCTGTCTCTATAACCATGAAAAGGCCTCATGCTCGATGATGCGGCGCACGGAAATCATTGTTGAGATGCTCAAGATAGGATCGAACTAGTTGTTTTCGACATTATTTAGCTTCAAATGCTTCTCTAGATGTATTTAAACAAGATCGAGGGGGAAATAGAAAAACACCCCTAGGGAATTCCCCAGATATGCCCAATAAATTCTTTTGTTGTCAAGGCTATAGTCTTATGCCACCGCCCGGTACGCCATGTAATGCAATGATAGAGTTTAGCTTCAGATTTTTGACCTTATGTGAGCTTCTTCGGTCTGTTGCGAAGATAGGCTGCAATTTGTTCGTGTCTTGTGACGAAAAACATTCTTCTCTTGTCACTTCGCCAAACAAGAACACCAACCTCATCAGCATAATTGGCCAAATTGTCATACTCTTCAGCAGTGACAAAGTCTTTGAATAGGAACCCGCCTGTGGCTTTCATTCGCTCGCCTTCAATCTGCCAAAGGCGGATTTGATCCACAACGGTAGGCGGCAGGACGGGAACATTTTTGCGCATCTGCGGATGCGCGTGTGTGCCGAGATAGCTAATGATCTGGTCACTTGTGATACCAGTCTGAATGGCGCGCCGAATAGATTCTCGGCTAATTCTCCCCGCAACCATGTTGGGATATCGAGTGGAAAGCCTGCTGAAGAGAGCGAGCACGGCAATTTGGAGTGGAGAAGAAGTATATGCGTAAATGCGGTAGTTGGTCTCGATGACAATGAATCCCTTGCTGTCGCCACCGGCACGGAGAGCATTGTCGAAGCCTGCGCTGACGGTCCGAAGCGCACCAGCGTCAGACGTGAGCGTTGTCGCCAAGCGCGTCGGATAGAAGCGGCGCGAGGATGATTTGCGCTGATAAACAATGCCAAAATCGCGTAAATCGTCGAGCATCTTGACTTGGGTGGGAGTCAGGGTCGTCAAACTATAATCTTGCCCAAGCTCAAGGCTTCCCAGCATGAAGAGAAAAGAGAGAACATCCACAGGATCCATATTTAGCTGACACACCGAGATATTAGCTTGGGATCTAAAAGGGTCCAATGTTCGAAAGCGTCTCATGTCACTCACACTCTCGGCATTCTCCAAATAAAAAATCAACAGTGTCCAAACTTGCGCGTTGATTTCCTGAAGAAGGAATGAGAAGCCCGCTTGCGTAATTTCGACCCTTCTCCCTTTGATCTCTACCAGCCCACCCAGCTCTAAAAGCTTCTTCACGCCCTGGCTAACTTCCTCTCCGCCCTGCATGCCTATGCCCGTACTGCCCACCATATAATGCAGTATACCCTCCCACTGAGCTCTTGCAAAGTCATCGAGGAAATCGACGTCGACAGAGTGCTTATCAGGCGTATCGCAAGGAACACCAAAGGATTGATGGTCACCGCCACCGGTAAGGGCCAGTCGCAGAGACTGCTTGAACGGGTTGGTGAGCGCGTAGGCTCGAGGAGAATTAGGATTCAACACGATGGAGAGGATGTGTAGACGTTCGAGGAGGGAGAGCGCCTGGTCTCGTTCACGCCTGCTATCTGGTCGCACCCACTGTTCGAGATCTGCAACCGGTAGTGGGTGACTGTGGTAGAGAAGAGCCATGACAAAGCTTTTTGCTGCGCGCGAAACATTAGTACTGGAAAATTCAAGACTCTTATCATTATGACTGAAACAAACCCAAATGAGGCAGCATTCGACGGAAAATAGCAAGTGCAGTCGAAGGCTGCCGGTACAGGCGCTTGAATACTGTACCGGGCAGCGACTCGAGATATTCAAACGAACGGAGAGACGAGGTCGACATCTTGATTGATTCTCACTTGATGAGCTCCAAAACCAAGATAGACAAAAAGTCGCTATCTATCAATCATGATTTAGAATTGGACGGTGTCGCTGCTGCGGCTTTGCCGCTCTGTCGCGATGGGAGAGACGTCGAATAATGACTTCAGCTTTCTGTGGGCTGTTACCTACGTCCGCGCTTGTCGCGCTAAAGCTTGTTGCGGGCCGCGCTGATGTCTCCGTGGGCATATAGACGAGAGGAACCTCCTATTAACTGTGCCACTTTGACAGCAGTCTACCTCGTAAAGGAAATTTAGTGAGAATGGCAGCATTACGATTCGTGAGAACGGTGCGTCAGTTATTCATTCTTGGTTCGTAAATTTCAAAGCCAACGACTCATTTAATTGCAGGTTTGGGAAAGTTTCCAAACGACGTCAGGCTTAGAGCCAGCGTGAGGCCCCGAAGCACAGTACTAGAAAGCGAATCCGCGTGTTGACCAGGTAACTCATATTATACCATGCAGTCTTCTTCGCAATGTAGGTCCTACGGAAGATTTTTGTCATCTTTATTTTGTTCATATGTTTCGGTACCCATTTTCCCTTTCTTTTTCAATTCGTGGAACGCGCGGTTTTTTATTTACTGGACCATATTCAAGTTTAGTGATGACGCAATGCTAAGTTCCATCTACAGCTCAAAATCACTGCCGCACAACCTGGGACTGTAAATCTTGAGTTGGAAATTCAGAAGGAGCATACGGTATATATCAACCATTTCTGCTGCGCATTTTGACCTTGCCTTCCATCAAATTATATGCTAATTGCCACCGATGTTCAGAATAGACTTGGCATACTTCATGGAGCGACTATTGCAAGCATTGGTAGGACATGATAGACTATTCGAGAGAGCTGGTGTATTGCTCATGTTTCCAAAAACAGTCGATAGCGGAGGCTCTCTCGCTGTGGCTTCGAGGGGCCTGCATGCCACAGGAGTTTCCACTGACCTGAATGGTGCGTGAATTTATGCCGGAGACAGACATCATCTGTCTGTTCCAAAGGCATGCCTTAACCAAATTATTTCCCACAGTTACGTATCTCAACTCCGGCGGCAAAATTGGTGACCTCCTTCGTGCGGTAAGCATTGGTTACCCGTCTCTGATGGATGCTCGTGTCTTTTCGTGAGCCGTGCTTACTTACATCTCATTTCAGGAAGTTACCTGTGACAAATGTATGCTTCCTCCATAAGCTCATCTCGGCTCTGTAGTTCACGATATCTGACTTCTTAATGCAGTCGGCAAAAATCTCGCCTACACATCTATCAAATTCACAAATATAAGGGATGAACTGGTTGCTCGAGGAAGCCATACCAAGTAAGTGGCTCTATGAGCAATGATATCTTGCTGGGGCTTGTTGTCTGCAGGCCACGGATAAGCACATCTTCAGACGCTAATAATTTCAGATATATTGCAATGGCTTGGAAAGATCCTAAAAATATTGTCGACGAATTGTCGCCGAGGGAAGAAAAGTCCTAGTGACAGGATCATCAATCACAATGGGACTATATCATTCAAAGAAAGCGGGCTGTTTTAAATTCATGATAGAAACTTTACCATATCGATTTTTATACCAATTCCAAATCGCTTATTCCAGGCGTGCAGCATAAATCTATATATAGAGCTCATGAAAATTGACCCACGCCACCCGTTACCGTGCAAGTTTGAAAAGAAATGAGATCAGGGAAACAAAGTCGCCAATACATACATGCTTTTGTGTTTTGACGTTTTCGGATAGCAAATCACAGCTCTTCAGCCGCCTCGGGCTCCTCTGGACGATTGTCTTCGAGATCATTATCGACCTCCATGACTTCTGCATCTCCAGCTGGAGCTGGTAATGTTTTAGATGGCTGCGTGCCATCTTGTTCACCACTTAAAGCTGCCAATTTGGCTTGGGTGATGTCGTAGACGTATTGACCAAGATGTTCAACTCCTTCCATTTCTGCTCCCTCGGGCTCATCATTGACCGACCGCTGTGTCGGGAACATCTCCCCAGGCACGAGTTGGAGCTTGTCGGGCCGTTGCAAGAGTACACCAAAGGCCTCCTTGAGCTCATAGCAAGACTCAAACACTTCCCGCCGACCGAGAACATACAGACCGAGCCTTGCACGGGAGAGGGCCACTGTCAACCGACGGATATCTCGAAGGTATCCCACGCGGTTCGTACGAGTAAGTGAAAGGATAACATCTGTGGCCGGGCGTCAGCAAGCTTCTTGTCTGGATCAAAAAAGAAAATAAAAAAAAGAAAAGAAAGAAAAAGAAAAGAGAAAAGAGAAGGGAAGAGAAGAGAGAGGGGAAAGAAATCATCACGGTACTCACAGTCATTTTGCTCTCCCTGGTACTTGTCTACTGTAGTCACGATCCGTGGTAAGCCAAACAGCCGGTTTTTTGCGCAGCGGTGGTTCAACACATCCTTGATCAGCGCCCTTTGGCCCGCATATGTTGTCAAAATAGAGATTTTGGAAGCAGGATATCCAAGCAGCCGCATGTAAGAATAGATTGCGACAGCATACTCTGCTTCGCCAAGATTTTGTATGAAATGGGGTGTCGGCTCCATTTCACCTTTGCCCTTGTAGTCTGTGACGTTGATGAATTGAAAGTCGTACCGAAATCCGGCGTTTGCAAGGCGGAACTCAGGTTGCTCCTCAACCGCTGGAAGATCACCGAGCTGCTTATACCTCCATCTGTAGAGTTCAGCGATGCTTGGCCGAGCTCTGCCTTGCCGATCAAGATCTATCGTTGGAACACCGAGTCGAACTAAACGGAGGAACAGGCTCTGTTCCAAGTTCGCATATTGACGGAAAGCGAGGTTCTGTACAACCGGAGAATTCTGTAAATGATCACCGCAGAGGACTACGCGCTGCAGCGGCAACTTGCCATCTCTGGGATTCTGAAGGGCCAAGGGGATAAAATTTTCGATTTCGGTAATTTGAGCCGCTTCCTCCATAACCACATTGTCGTAGTGAAAGCCTGATGTTGCGATCTCATGCCGACGCATGGCAGCATGTGTGGAGGTCATCGCAATAATGCGTGCTTCCTTGACAAGCAGATAGTTTGCCCTATCTCTTGAGGTGCGGAGAATTTCAAAAGGGCGAATATCCTCTAACTCTGAGAAGATCTTCTGGACATGCCTGTAGCAGCCGTGAATAATGTCTAGTATTTGATCCTTTGAAGCATCAGGAGGAAATAATGGTTGTGGCGCATTCGAGAAATAGTGCGCAAACGGAAAGGCCGTTTCTAATTCCGAGACGGTTGAGGTACCTGACTGTAGGACGTCCTGGTACTTCATCCACGCTGGCTTGACATACACCGAGTTGAAGTAACTTGCCGTCTCACATGAATTACCATGAGCACCCGGGGCTCCAAAATTGGCAGCCAATCGATCGACTTCCGCAAGAAATGTTGCACGGTTTTCCAAAAAGGACTCGACACGGCCATGCTTGCTATAGCTTGCTGTAGTTTCGAGCTCCTCCTCACCGTGGCCCAAACGGAGAAGATGACGCTCGTCAATGTCCAGCGCCATGATCTTTTGGAATAATTGGTTGAGAGCTTGGTTACTGTGTGCTATGAGGAGTGTGCGCTGTTCGGGGAAATTTTGGTATATATTATTGATGATTTGTGTTGCCACATCCGTCTTTCCTGTTCCGGGAGGACCAACAACCACTGTAAGTCCAGGTTGTGTCCCAGAAACAATAGCTTCGACTTGAGCTGGCGTGAATCGCACCTTGTTCAGCTTGGGAGCGTCCATAGGGTACGGTCCAGTATTAGGTGGTTTATAAGTCGAAATTCTCAGGGACTTTTCCTTGTCAGGAACAGCAGCGTCAGGCTTTTCACGCCTCCGTTTCTTTGTGGATTTGGGCTGCGGAGACGGCGGTCGTGGCCCGACTTCCGGGCTTTCCAAAACATAAGGAGGACCAAAGCTCGACTGTGCGTCACCACTTGGCTCGATCGTCGTGCCAGGGAAGCTCTCCACTAGATGCTGCCAATCCAAGAACGTGTCCCTATAATCCAGAGACTTCAAACGGTTGGGTAGTCGCTTGTAATTAGCTCCGAGTGGATCACCATATCCAAGGAAGACTTCCTGTAACCATGAAGGCATGGGTACATCCGATAAAATGAGGCTTTGAATAGACTCCAGAATCGGCTTGAAATTATTTTCCCGTCCTCGTCGGCGAACTAGCAGGTTAATGGATTCGTAGATGTCCGGTCTCCCATTTGCCGCTCGTTCGTGATCAACCTTGTACATCCGGCTGTCCAACTTGACGAGAAGCCTGCGTTGACGAGCGCGATATGAATAGCCATTCATCGACTCTCCCTGCCGGTCGTGAAGAGATTTGCCATTCTCATCGAGCATTTGCACAACCTGAGCCGCCCGTAGATGCACTATACCATGTCTATCTCCGCTTGATAGTCTTGGATTTCCGTTCATGACGATGTCCTCACTGTCTACGGCTTGGACGGCCAGCAAAAAAACAACATCATCAGGACGTAACGATTCCCATTCCTGCAGAATCCCGGCCGTTAGTCGGCTTACGTCCAGGGTAAGCTCCGCCCGAACATATGCTGGAGGCTCCTCGCCAACTTTGGGAGGTACAACTTCAATTATGCTGTAAGTAGGTCAGCACATGCGCAAATGACCCAGATTAGGGATACCTACGCTGGCTTCGGAATTGGGAGCGCCATCTTTGAAAATCCACCAAACCTCGTGCTGCCATCCGGTGGACTCAATGTCGGCTGCAGTCTTTTGACTGCGTCCTCCATATCTTTGCGTATCTCGAAAAAGGATTCGCAGCGATGGAGGATAAACGAGCGGAACAGGAAGTCACCCACTGTCAAATATTGTAGATTCAGCTTCGGAATAGCCAAGGGTCGGGAGCCGTTATAAGTCTCATTGCGCAGCAATGTCTGTTCGAATAGGGTGCTCTGCAAAGAATTAGCAACGGGGTGGACATCATCATTTTCATAGCATTTACCTCGCTTGGAAGGATACTTAGATCTTTTGCGATCTCCTGGAAAGTTGGCCTTCGCTCATGCGTTGTAATAAGCAATTCGAGGAGAAAAGTTCTATCCACCGTAACATCGGTACCGGCTGGATAATTTGTTCGAAGATTGAGAAATCTGCACAATTCCGCTAGCTCGACGTCTGAAAGAACAGCTAAGTGGCTCTCCAAATCACCTCTCTGATCGATCGAGGCGTAATTCGACAAAGCTAGAATTGTCAACTTTGATTTAAAGTGCTTGAGAGCAGTCCGCTGGAGTTTTGCCAGATCAGCACAATGTATTTCGTAGGATTCTGTTCGCGACCGCTGAACACCGGTGTGATCGTCTATCGAAAAGTGGATAAAGTGCCGCAGGAGGTTATAAAGGTCGCGGAAAAGGCCATACTCCTCTTCGTTGAAGAGAGGCGAGAGCCTTATGGCTGGGAGTAGATTCAGATCTAATATAAGAGAGTTGACATATCTGCGCGTTGGTAACTGGCTTTCTAAATCGGTCAAAAATTCGAGGAATCTTTCGCAATATAGGAGGTTTTCTATATTTCCATGATTAGACAAGCGATATCTATCTGGCGAAATGGACTGTTTCTTACCAAGCGGCCTGTCCGAGGGCCGATAAAGGCGGTTCAGGAAATCGAGCATCATAGAGTAGAGCCAAGATCGTTCAAACCGTAACCTAGCCTTGCCAACTTCATCTGCGGCATCATACCGCTTTGCTGCTGCACGCCAAGCCTTTCTCAATTGACCATGGTGCTCAAACTTTGCCTCTCTCACCGACTCGCTTGAAAGGTTGTGCCAGATGGAAATTGAAACGAGGGGGGCGCATTCTTTACGAACAAGGCCACTGTCCAAGGATTGAAATGAACTGATTATGAACGAGAGAAGATAAGTCCGCGATACCAGACCAAGCGAGTCATCAACGATCATTGATAGCACGCGTCGAAAAAGCGATGAGAAGTCGGCAGGACGGTTCGCGAAATGATCTAACACCGAGATGAGCCAAAACGTCTATTACAATTCTCGGGTATCAAACTCACCCCAGATGGGGAGACTTTCTCGCGTCTTCACATTTACCATTAACGTTATGAGGATAATGTGGTAGTTCGATGCATCTTCGTTAAAACCTGGCCAGAGGTATCTATAGAAAACGTCAGCGAAAAGTACTCTTTCCATTGAGTTGTGAGCGGAACGCGGACCTCTCGAGAAATTGAAGATTCTCAAGAATGAGCAGATCTTTAAATTGGAAACCTCCAGCTTCTAGCTTGTCCCAAATCTGGCTTTTCAACACATCTTGCTTCAACTTGGTTGGTTTGGAGCCCTCAAGCCAGTTTTCACGTGCAAGTTGGACGAAGTAGTTGTCCCCTTGCAAATCCGAAACCGTTGGCCGCGACTCATGCTCAGACGGCGCATGTTTAGTTCCAGCCCTGGGAGCCATGCCGGCGATTATTATTGGCAATGGCGGACTTATTAATATTATTGTTGTTCTTCATGCATTCGCCGGCAGCTATCTTCAAAGACAGACCAACTGTCGTAGTAGACACGGCATGTACCGCTTCACCGGGTAACACTCTGTTTTATACGAGTTTGGCCCTCCTCCCTCGCTCGCGGCGACTTTTTTCAGTGGATCCTCATTTGTTCTCACTTCCTTTCCCTAAGAGCAAGGACTCCAGGAATAAATAAATTTGTTCCTTTTTAGTTCTTTCTTATTTTGGTGTTCACTTTGAAGTGTTGCCTTGATTCTCTCTTCACAGAGCTCTTTCAGACGCACAGTAATAACACTGCTTTGCAGAATCATTGTTTTCACTTCGATTGGCGCAATGTCATACGATTTCAAATCAACCTTTTACTATGACTGATTATATGCCCGGCCACTCAAAATTTGAATCGATATTATCGTGTTTCAAAGCATCATATCTGAGATGGAAGACTATCTTTAGATTGATTTTATACTGTGACTAATTCTCCACAACCTTTTAAACATGCACAAACCTCATATAAAATCAAGAAAATAGCTCCTGCATGCGATCTATGGTGAAGTGATGAAGCTCCGTCAACTAAGGTAGTTAAGGCAGTTGGCAGGACCTTTGCCCTGGCCATCAGCCGACGTTAATCTGCAGCGGGCCGAGCCGGGAAGAACCCCCCTGTTTCCTACCTTATGTTCCCCACGGTTCAGCTGCCATTATAAAAGAACCGACCACAATACCGTACCGTCACGGGGTGGTATTGTGAGGATGCTTTCTCAGTGTCTACCTACCCAGGTAATTTAATGATGTTTTTGCAATGAGGTTCAATAGGCGTGCCCGGACTTGTTTCAATACCAGCCTCCCTTTTTAATTTTGTATGCGAATAAGATTAGAGAAGCTATGCTTTGTACAGATTCAAACCCGGCTATCACTAAGAGAATCAGCTCACCATCCACACTGAGCAAGCGAGGAAATCGAGAATCCCCTCCTCCAGCTGCGACCGCTCCTCCCCAAAAGGCAACAATAAAACCAGAATCCTCGTGTGAAATATGATTAGCGCATAATTCAGAGATTCCCCGAAATTCCAGAAAGGGGAACTACCCCGTAATCAAATGGAATTCAATGGAGTTTTCGTAATGTGATAGAGCTGTGACTGGGGTATATGCCTCTTTACGAGGAGCCACGCAATGACCACCATCACCACCACGACGCTGATTACTGGCTTATCTCGGCCCCTGTCCAACGAAGGACGGACTAAACGTATCCAGAAGGAGCACTATTAAACTCACTGTAGCGGTCTATCTTAGCTTCCTGACTCGCTCAAGGCCTCCTGATCTGCAAGCAATCCTGGTCGACCACAACCTTCTAATGGCTCAATCGGCGTTGCAGCTATCCCCATGGTCAAACTTTCGCCCAATCACTCTACCAAGTCAGCAACGCCTCAATGTCCGAACGATTGATGCATCACTCGGTCAACAGACAGTCATGCGCAGGCGATGCCTGGCCGGTGTGGCTTTCATCGGCCGTACGAGATATTGTGGTAAACTGTCTGAAAAAACAGGGTTCATGTCGAAATGAATTCAGCAATCGGCCATTGCCGGCGAATCGTCCTATGTTTCATGTCAAAACCTCCTGCCTATTTGGCAAAGGGCACCGATCTTGCCTCATTGAAATGATTCATCCACGTCCCGACATTTGCGTAGAAGATACGGTCAAGAGCTGTTACCCCTCACTCGCCGATAATCCAGCAGCCTCAGTGCGCAATGGAGCTAACCGTCTGGAAAAGAGGATAAAAAAACCTTATAGCCCAAAAATTTAGCTGCGGCGCACTCTGATTCCATTTCATGCGTTGGCTAAGAGATTTACAATGCAGCTTTTCCTCTTCCTAGCAGCCTTGCTGGCCGTGGCAGGTCGAGTCAACGCGGCGCCTCTCTCTGAAAAAGACTCGCAGCTCCATAACAAGCGATCATTCGTTGAACGCGATGGCGTCAATTACACAGTGTTTGAACACGCAGCTACGGGTGCACGAATGGAATTTGTGACGAATTCTGGCATCTGCGAGACTACAAAGGGTGTCAACCAGTATTCCGGATACTTTTCTGTGGGCTCGAATATGAACAGTAATTAATCTGGTTGAGCTCTTTGCTTCAGCTATGCTGACTCGATGTAGTGTGGTTTTGGTTCTTTGAAGCCAGAAACAACCCAACTACAGCGCCTCTTGCAACATGGTTCAATGGTGGACCCGGTTGTAGCAGCATGATCGGTCTTTTTCAGGAAAATGGGCCATGCCATTTTGTTGACGGATCATCCACACCCTCACTGAATCAATATAGCTTCAACAATTATGCCAATATGTTGTATATTGATCAACCAATTGGTGTTGGCTTTTCATACGGAACTGATTCGGTTGATTCAACGGTCACTGCAGCTCCGTACGTGTGGAAGTTGATCCAAGCCTTTTTCGCCCAATTTTCACAGTATGAGAATCGTGACTTTGGAATCATGACCGAAAGCTACGGTGGTGCGTATGGCCGGATTTCAAGATGATGAAAACCTCCTAAATTGCTGCGAATAGGTCATTATGGCCCTGAATTTGCCGAATATTTCCAACAACAAAATACTGCGATTTCTCAAGGCTCTGTACAAGGAGAGAAGATAAATCTGATAGCTCTCGGCATAAATAATGGTTGGTTTGATGCCAAGCTCCAGTACAAGGCCTATGTCGACTTCAGCTACAATAACACATACTCTCCCTTGATCTCCGCCTCGCAATACAAGTCGTACATGAACAGCTATAACAGCAACTGCGCACCAGCCGTGCAATCCTGCTATAGCTCAGGTTCAAATTCGGCTTGCGAAAATGCTGAAAATGTCTGTTACCAGGACATCGAGGGGCCTCTAAGTGAAAGTGGCAATTTCGACGTCTATGATATCCGGGAGCCGAGCAATGACCCATATCCACCTGAAACATACGTAAACTATTTGCAGAGCTCAAGCGTGGTCAAAGCCATTGGAGCTCAGACAACTTACCAAGAATGTCCGAACGCCCCGTATAACAAGTTTGAGTCAACGGGAGATGGTACGTTCGCTTCCGTTCAGATCCAGTCAGCATAGGGCTCTTGACGCATGTCAAATGCTAATGCCATTCATTTGGACAGATTCCCGCTCTTTTATCAGCCAGCTCAGCGATGTTGTTTCGTCAGGAGTCACCACGTTACTTTGGGCGGGTGATGCTGATTGGATTTGCAATTGGTTTGGTGTTCAGGCTGTCGCGGAATCAGTGAACTATTCGGGTGCGTCTGCGTTCAAAAACAAGGCTCTGGCCCCCTACACAGTCAACGGCGCCTCGGCCGGCACGTTCAAATCAGTCAATAATTTTTCGTTCCTCCGAGTCTTCGGTGCCGGCCATGAAGTCCCATACTATCAGCCAGCTGTTGCGCTTCAAGTTTTTGAACAAATCATGCAAAGGAAATCCATATATTCGACTTAGATGGAGGACCTGAAGGTGTGGTACAGATCGCGCCATTCAGGTATTATCAAGATAGTCCTAGCCTGACAAATGAATAAGCCCAATGGTGAGGGCGTTATTATAGGAAAAAACCCTACAACTAAGTATGACAGTCATGGCTTATGCCTTTAATATTGATTTTCTTGAATTGGTTAGCCAAAAAATTCCAATTCTAATGTAATAGTCGCAATCAATCCTTTGCATGTGTGAATGCCGACGCGATTCAGCGTTATTTAGGGACTACAAGAAGCTCGGGCGGTGAGGCATTCTGCCGCCTTTTTGGGTGGATGATCTGCCTGCTCTATCGCCAATTCAATCGCCGCCTTTCCAGTTATGGCACAAGTACCACTTTGCCTGTACCGAGCCATCAAAGCTGCCCGTTTCATCGCGAACCCAGATATAACCTTAAATTATCTTTCACGATCACAACTCTTCAAAGGATATTCTTCGACTCCATATCGGAACCTCATTGTGCGACCTTTTCTTCGAATATCAAGCGAGATTGGACAGAAGGGGGGAGCGGCTCTCGGTGTCGGCGCAGTGATGTCCAGCGACGGAGTCGTGTCTGTGGACCAAGCCACGCAACAACTACGCAAGCTGCTTCAAAAGGCCCAAGAGGTTAAAACAAGCGGAAGCATTGAGCCTCCGCTTCTGGAGTCCGACTTTGATGGAGCCATCAACGACAGGATATTTCGAAGTGAAGAACAAGGGACCAACAATACTCAGCAAGCTGAGATTGGACGACAAGCGCATTATGCTATTATAGAAACGGCTGTTCGAAACATCTTTTATTCTACGCTTGTAAGCAAGAATTCAGCCGGGAAAGCCTAAGCCAACATTATCTGAAAACGGATTCACAGGCAACGATACCAATCGATGATCCCCGATTCATTCGATTATGGAATTTACTCGACATCGTCTCGATTCTATCTGACAATGGTTTGTTTCACGGCATCATTGATCCACTCACGGAACTCTTCTGACTTGACACAACTCAGAGCAATGCGAACCAGGGCTCATTTTCTGGCTCATAGAGGAGCTCCTCGATAGTCAGACAATCGACGGTTGCAGAAAAGTGTTTGATTATTTGGAGTCTCGGCGGGAGAGACTCACCGCGGTGAGGTTCAACATTGATACTGCTCTGGAGGATTCTGCTCTGACTTATGCCTTTTCTACAGAAACACTTCAAGCAAAAGAACTTGATCATCCTCCGATCGTGTAACGAACTTCTGCGTCGATTGTCGCGTGCTGAAGATGCTGTCTTCTGCGGACGCGTCTTTATCTTTCTGTTCCAAAGCTTCCCGTTGGGCGATAAAAGTTCGGTCAATCTGCGAGGTGAATATCATGTCGAAAATGTTACAACCTTTGACAATCTGGCCTCAAAAGATGGTCAGATCGCGGACAAAGCGAACGCGGATAATCAGATGGAGGTGGACCTGGTACAAAACGACGCTGAAGCCGAGAGTTCAAAAGAGCGCGATGACGAGGTAAAGCCTGAGGTTAGCATAGGAGATGACAATTCGACGAAGCCGACGCAGACAACTCAACCTTCTCCCCGTCCTGCTGAAGAGCAATTGAAATCCAAGGAGAAAGAGGATGCGGACAGATTCTATTCCATTTTCTGGAGCTTACAACAGGACTTTTCGAATCCCACGAGACTGTTTGACCAGACATACTTTGGCCCCTTTAAGTCCGGGCTTGAGACTGTCGTCGAAAAGTTCAAACAGGTCCAGCATACACTTGTGCCCTGGGGCTCTGCAAGGGCATCTGCAGACTACAAGAGAAGCTTGAAACGAAAACGTGCCGACGAGGATGATGGATTTGCAAGCACTTTCAATCCGAAGTACTTGACAAACAGGGACTTGTTCGACTTGGAGGTAGCTTGAAATTCCATCACCGCGGTTTTTTCAAACAAAAAAGACTAACACTATGCAGATCAGCGACCTTGCCTTTCGAAGGCATATCCTTGTACAGGCGCTCATTCTTCTTGACTTTTTAGTTTCACTGAATCAGAGATCAAAAAGCAAGTTGACAGGACTCCAGTCGCAAAATCGATCTGTATTATATAGTCACACTTTAAGTGAAGAAGACGTAAGTACACATCGATGAAGAGACCTTCAACAGATCGTTCTAATAATTTTGTCAGAGTGCATGGGCCTTCAAGATTAGAGGTGAGGTCGCAAACTATTTGCAAGATGGAATGGAAGGTAAATTTTATTATCGAATGGTGGACACTGTACTTTCACGGGACAAGAATTGGGTACGATGGAAGGCGCAAAGCTGTCCACCTATAGAACGGCCGCCTGTTTCAGTACAAGAGCATCAGGATGCAAGAGGAGTTGCTCGCAGAAGCTGCGCCAACAAGCGAATGCGAGCAGCACCTTTAGGATCTCTGGACTTGAATTTCTTGAACGACGCCGAAACTCCTAGCGGGCTGGAGAAGCTGAAAGGCTCAGATAGGTAAGACCAGTGTACGTTTACACCTCGTACGGATACTGACGGGGAACAGATCCGAGATGCCCAGTGTCGAATCTTTTGAAAGACCGATTGAGGGAGATGACCTTGATTTGGACATGGCCATGACCGACGAGGACAAGCAACTGTCTCTGAACGCAAAAGCTAGTAAAACGTGGCGAGCCTTACGGCTGGCCTCAAGAGGGCGATTGAATTTGTTCGACAAGATCGAAGATGGCAACAAGCTGCAGATACTATTTCGGTCCTATCGGGGAGAAGATGGAAATCAAAACCAAGATTCTCCAGAAAACATGGAAATTCCGGATGGCGCGCAGGCCAAGCAAGGCGACCAGGAACGGGAAGCTGTTGATGACGCTTCGCCGAAAGGAGATCACGACAACGCTATTTTACAAGAAAAGTCGGCGAATTTAGCGCCTTCTCAAACGACTGAAGCACAATCTTCAGGAGCAGATGATGCTGTGGTCAAGTAGGAAAGGAAACAAGCCCGCATCAATTTTCCACCGTATCACCGAAGTCTTATTAGTCATAGCGCGACAATGAGCATCGAATTTAGTGTGATTCTAGAAACGTCCCAAGGCTTGTGGACTCTCCCAATATCCCATTAGTGCCGATGAATAGCCGGGAGTCTTTGTGTTTTTCATTCGTTTTGAGCATGGCTTGCAAATGTTGTCGTGGCTGGATGTTTAATCGGTTTGGCAGTTGATCACGTGGGTCATTTCATTCAACGCAGTATCATGGAAGATTTGTGAAGAAGAGCAAAAAGCCTCGACTGAAAGCGCCTTGGATCTGACCAATTATTCTATTTTCGACTGGCGGAGCAGGTGAATGGAGGAAGGACCTCTGAAAAGCATGAAGGATGCAGCTCCGAGTTGCCCATTCACCCTGGGCCAAATTAGGTCAGAAAGTGACGGGGTAGTTCTGGTAACTGTGGGTGCTTAGCGTTTCGGGGGCAGCTTAGACTACAACCTGTTGCTGAGCTAGCCGCTTTAGGCCATCTGATGCTTGGGTACGCGGAGGTTCTCGGTCCAACATTAATGATGCACCCCCTGAAGGGGGCCGAGATCCTGTGGTAGAAGACGGCTCATCCTTGCAGGGCCGGCTGGGGGAGTTACAATGACGGCTGCTAGTCCAGCCTGAGCGTCGGTATTTGTCTCCTCATATCCTCCATACGGGACGGTCCCACTTGGCACTTCTAGGCGGCCCACAGGCTGTCGCGCGTGCCGCTGCTCATCTTTACTCCGTTGCTCCAGATTCAGTGTCGTCGGGACAGTACGGAGGCAATGGAGGCATAAAAGCCGCAAAGCGGGCTTGCAAGGAAACTTGATTGCACAAATTATTAATGGGAACCTTGTCGTTGTAGATGCCCGACATAGCCTCTAGTACCGTACGGTACAGTGGCCTGCGGCAGATGTCCAGACAGGCCGAGAATGAAGTGACCCGATAATTTCTAGCTCAGCCATGCACGTCTGCAGGTGTGTCGCACAACAAAGGCGGTGGCAAGGAAGTTTCCCCCAGAGTTAAGATTGCGGGTTATGAGCTTCCGAATGAGAATGCCACTATCCTACAATGCTTAGCTCTTCTTGCATAATCCGCACGAGGTTTGATGACTTCTTTGGGTAAAGTTCGAAAGGGAAGAAGCTTCTTTTTTTCCGGTACAAGGAAATCTGTTGCCCCATTGGCCGACTACACGAAAAGAATAACTCGATCCTGCCCAAAGCGTACACTCCATTGACGCGTTCCTGAAAAAGTTTTTCCGAAAAGGAAGCAAATCGCTTCGGAAAATCTTTTTGACTTTTGGTGGGCGGGAAGTGCAAACGCTGGAGCTCGGGGCTAAGGGGGGGCCCGGGTTGATTTTCCCCGTACCGACGAGCTCTCGTTGTCCCTCTAATGCTGCCTAGCTCAACATACATCATCTACTCCCAGGCTCCCGAGTAGATCGTCTGCTTTCTGGAACCAAGGTCACCTCCTTGAACGAACAAGATGCCCATACTTTTTTTGACAGCATTTTTTTAATTCTTGCGCTCTATACTCTATAGACATCATTAGGCTGAAGAATCAATGAATTTGCTGACTGATATGAGAAAAGGGCATCGGCGATTCGCAATTGGGGAAAAAAAAAAAAAAAAAAAATAAGCTTCACGATTCATGAGTATTGATCGTCGATTGTGCCACTACAAAGGGTTCCCGTCTTACGTTTCAAAGTTTTATTTTTTCCAGCCTGGCAATGCTTCGCCATTCACTAGTCCCGTTTTATTCCATTACCGCCGGTCCCTGCTGCCAGACATCATTAAAATGGTTCGCCCCAAGGTGTCATTGCTGTCCCGCTTGTCGGTGAAGGCACGGGGTACGCGTGGCGATCACGTCTTTTGTGGCTGACAGACGCAAACCCATCCAATTCAATTCTGATTTTGGATCTGTTCTTCTTTTTCTTTTCGGACCTTTAGCCCTAGGATGGCGGGCAAGTGTGCAGTCTGCCCCGCACCCCACTATTATCGTGATGGTCTTATCCATAACTGGAAGGTTGGCGCCTGATTGTCCGCTAGAACTCTATATCACAAGTTCACAACCTGCTACCTTGACCGCATCGGGCTCCCCGGAGAGTTACATTACGGCAATCGAGGCGCGAACTGAGATGCCGGCAACTCTGGCGCTTCAGCACTAGGCTGGTTAGCTTGATCATGAAGCTACTCAGCCTCCAAGTGATTTGGCCGCAAGATACTAGAATGATTTTGAATTCTGTTATGAAAAAAATACACACTGAAATTACGGTTCTACTTGACGAGGGTCGAGGTATGCTCCAACTTTCTTCGCGCCTGTGGGATGTGTGTATAGGTGTGTTGCGTGTTAACCAAAGATTGACAAGAAAATTTTAACCATTCGGGGCTTCAGCAGCCTGATATTCTGCCATGAAACGGCCAATCGTGGTGGCCAAGGCTTCGTCGTTTCTTCTTCTCCTTCACCGTTTAGCGTATTACAGTACGACTACATATCTCTGGTCCCGTCTACTCCCTCGTCCGGTAGTCGTCCGACAGCTTAAAAGGGTCCGAGCTTCACAGAGAATCGTCACTGGAGGTACTCGAGGTGTTCCTGCCCCTTGCTGAATTTACAGTTTCCGACCTACTTGTCAATCGTATTTTCCGTGTCACGCTAACTGTGATTCTTCTTGGCTGACTGTGCCGCTAACCCTGGGTCCCCCTTGCAATCGACAAGAACCAAGGACGTACAGGATCAGCATATTGTACTGCTCCAAAACTCAAATGACCCTCCGAGCCTCCGACATCAAAGGACTCACGGTCTGGATCGAGCTCGGCCCCTTCTCAACCCTTTCCCAGGCCCGTACCTTGCTGGGCCCACATATCCTTCGGCCTAATGATGGCATGACGAGGTCACATTGAATGAGCCTTAAAATATATCGAGGCTTTGGTTGTCTCCTGTGGCAACTGGCTCATCTGAAATTTGATTTTCCGGTTCTTTCCTACCACCTTTTTCGACGTCTTCCACTAGCAACCAAACAACACGGGTCGTTCACATTTAGAACATCATACCAGATTTTGTCTTCTCGTCCTGTCTATTTTGCAGTGGCGATACTTTGACACTCTGAAAAGAGGTTGATCAGGGACTTTCAAACGATATATGCGTTTGTAACGTGATGTTATTGTAGGATCAACCTCTCCGGCCTTTGTTGTGCATGACAAAACTCAGCCAGATGCTTGACCGCCCGCTACCATGTCATGCGATGCTTTCTTCCACTACAGCAACCAAATAAAAATTGGAACAAGTGAACTGCTTCATAATATGCGCTTCAGGTAATTTTCGTCGGACCGGAGAGACGGAAAGCCGTCGTTGTTTTTTGCTGCTCCACCCCGCGCTTCTGCACTAACCAAGGAAAAGGATTCTTCTATCGTAAGCCCCGACGGACCGTTGTGGCTCTCGTGTGGTGGAACCTTGGCTTGGCACAAGGCTATGACCATTTGTAGTGAAAAGGATACTCAACCCTTTGGGCCACGCAAATAGCCATTATCTATCTACCTATGCTTGATTAGTGATTTGCCCTGTGATTGGGTTGGTCCTTTTAAATTCTGCATTCTCACGTCTGTGCACAACGTGGACTCCGACAAACCGATCAGGGTTGGGCACCGTTTCAACAAAGATTTTCTTTTTTTGTTTTTGATCACCGGAAGATAAGCCGTCAATCTTGAAGGGTTTCATCTACTGCTAACGCAAGATTACAACAACTTCAAGCATCTTCGGTACGAGGCTCTAAGCACCTACTTACCTTCGTGGTGCTTTCTTATCAGCCATATGGAGGTCAATTTTGTTTCTCTGGAAGATGTAACAGAGACGTTGCTTTTGGGCCTCCCGTTCAACGTATGCTAAGTGTCGAATGGACCTTTTTGGCGGACTTAACTGAGCAATTATTGGGCGAGTTGCCAACGCTCGGCTCTATTGAGACATTCTGAAGCAGCGGTCAAGCAATCGGTCCGGTCATATTTCATTTCCTCAGTACAGACAAGGGACCCCTGGTGTGTGTTCTCGTGATTGAGCTCTTAGGAACTAGAGCATTCTTTGTGCAACTCATGGATGAGAATACAATGAACGGGTCCAAAGCCCCGCCAAACGTCCTCAAACGCGAACAAGACGAAGGAAATCACTTCATCCAAGCTACGCCAATCCAGGAGGCCAAAAGACGTTCAGATGACCATAACCAGACGGGTCATACTCTTACCTCCAACATCTCGCTCGATCATGAATCATCCGTGCTGGAGAATGAGATTCCTTCAGAAGCCAGGCAGAAACTGTGTTCAGGATCAAGACACATCAGTGAAGATGAACGCAAAGAGAGGATCCTCGAATCTTGTGTTGACTCGTCTGCCACTGAAGAAATTCCAGAGGGGGGCCAAGATGACAACAAAAATGACTCTGACTCGACGGATCACACAATAACTTCAACATCGCCCTCAGATCAAAACAAACTAGATCGACGCAAGATGAGAAGATTCCGGTAAGAGTTGAGCAGAGGACTTGGCAGCGGCTCTTTTGACTGATGAACGGTTGACAGACTCACCCATAATCAGACAAGATTTCTCTTGAGCGAATTCATTCGTGATGCGCATCCTGATGCTGCACAACGAGAAAGGCTGGCAAGAGAGATTCCCGGCTTAAATCCTCGTCAAGTACAGGTTTGGTTTCAAAACAGGTATGATCATGATGAAGAGCTACGTCGATGATTCCATGAACAACGCTGATCTTATTTTTTTCATACGCAAAAGGAGAGCAAAGTTGAAGCAATTCTCAAAGGCCGATCAAGAACGAATGCTCAAGTCATGGGCCCTCCCAGCAAATTTTGACGCAACTCGGCTGTTATCCGTATCTCAGCAGGGGCATGCTGCAGACAATGAACCTTCAGATAGAGTTTTGGGCCCTGCGCAATCAAAGGCCCTTGTGTGGCGCTATCTGAATCCTGCGACGCTAAATACCATAGGTTCATCCGAAAGACAGATCTTTGAGCCGCTAAACCTGGAAATACATAATACTGCATCGCGGTCGAAGCAGATAGCTGAACAGGACAGCTCAAGTTCAGCAGCATATCAAAGCAGGAACGCAAATACAAGTCATGGCAGGTCGACAATGGTTTTACCAGGTGGAGGTATATCGCCAATCAAATCTCCAGGAGTCTTCACATCGCATGATTTTCAAACACAATTTATTGGGCAGAGAAATCACAATTGGTCCAGCAACGCACCAGAAGGCCATTCACAGGACTATCCCTCTTCTACAATAGGTTATAGCCAGAGCGCCAGTGGAAATCCACTTCAGATTTATCCTCACGGAAACCCTTTGCCTCTGGCCACAGCCAATCATCATCAAACTGATCTTACCACGGCACCGGCTGACACTGTCCCTCAAAGCGCGAATGTTTGGAATAATACACTTACTCAAGGTATGTTTACTAGTCTCGATTTTGATTTTCATTGAAGAGTAATTGAAAACCAGCACCAGAGGAGCATCATCGCTCTCAATTTTCGAGGCCCTTTACGCCAAGTTTTGCTTATGCTACACACACAAATTATCAATCAAGCCCCTATCCGCATTCTGCTCCTGCGTATATGGAGGCGTTTCATTCGGAACCTTCGAATACTGCTCCAGTAACCGCACAGCCGGTCGATACGTCTCTCGGAGGAGGCACGGTATACAGGGATTTGCGCATCAACTATCTTGAGCAAACCTCTCCTCAGAGTTCCAGCCTACCGGACAATTCGACGTTTTCTAGGTATTCCCAGGAAATGGATGGCGATTATTCGTCTCAGCCTTTGTCGACTCCGCCGATTCCCGGAAGTCATACGTTGCCTCGGGAGGAAGAATGTATGGCAATAAACGGTTTTTTCTACCCGCTGCTCCCCTACGATATCTTTCAAAATCAATAAACGACAGAAACCTTACTGTCCAGGGTCATTGCGCACTAGCAACCATATCATCAAACAAGGGTCCCAAATCAAACAGCCGCATTAGTTCAACTGGAGGTTGTACTCGTTAATTCATAGTATGGTTCTTTGGCTGAGGAATATTCCTTAGCTCAAATCATTGAGAGGATCGTGCATCCGTAACCAACCTATGTGCCTTCAATACATGCCGCAGTCAAGTATATATGAAAATGTCGACATCCAGTCACAACTTCGCTCAAAGTGGGCATCGTCTACCGAATTGTGCAGATACTCTTTGAAGATAGGACGAAGGAGGTTGACTTATCATTTCGAGGCACTGAAGGTCAAGCCAAGGCATGTGCATAGAATAAACCAGTGAGCCGAAGCCGCTTGACGAACCAAACGAATCTTTCATAGCAATATTAATCTATAGACTCTCTACTCAGGAATTATTCATTCGTAAACAAATGGGATATATGTCTTAGAATGGTTTAAATTCAAGGCGCCATGCAAAGAAGATGCCTGTGCACAAGAAGGTTGCCAAAATATGAAACGAAGAAATGAAATGGATATATCATTCCCAAAGAGAAGCACAATCTCAGGGAACCAAAAGAGCAAGATGCGGTCCACCATGCATTCTCTAAGCCATGACGTCTATGCATCTATTATGAGAAGCCAAAGGGGAGGGGGAAATTAACCCCCAAAAAAAAAGGATCTGAGGTCGAAAGGATGCTCTACAAGGAGAATTCAACTATGCCCTAGTGACGGCATATTTACTGAAACGACGGACTCGCACGCCGTACCGGTAGAGGAGATACGGAACCGGGGCCATGATGGCACTAATGATAGCCAGAATAGTGAGCGTCCAATGGACACCAACATTTTTATAGAAAGGGATGCCGACAATTGTCATGCCGCCAGCAGCAAGGTAACGGGTGAAAGCAACAAAGCTGAGCGCCGAGGCGGCATAGATCTCGTACGAGTCGATGACATACATGTACGCGCTGATGAAAATGTTCATGACACCGTATCCAAAAAGGACAGACGAGGCGAGAGGAGACCAGAGACTGATGCTGGGATAACTAGTCCAGCCCATCCACAGCAGACTAATAGGAACAGCAGGAGCAGCACCCAGCATCGCATACCAAAGTCTGGTCTCTGGGTGAAGCTTGAACGTCGCTCTCTCGGTTTCCGGAACCTTTTCAAATTCTGCACGCGTCCATTTGTACACAACAGGTACCAACACGACAGCTGAGAGAATGCCAATCAGCATACCGAGCCAGAGGATATTGGTCAGTCCTTGAGAGAGGCCGTGAATGTCGGAGAAGATGAACGTGTATCCATCCAGGAATGTGAAAAGGACGATATAGATCACAGTAAGATAAAGTGACATCAGGAGGATGATTGGCTCAGTCCATGTCAGAACGAACGGACGGTAAACGGCAGTCATAAGACGCTGCAACAGAGTCGTCGTGCGGATTTCCATCTCCGACCGGAATCGATCATCGCCCGTGAGCTCGCGGTAGTGTTTCGCTTTCCAGCTCAACAGCAATGGTGCATATGTCTCTGGCTGGAAGAAAAAGACAATACTCAGCACTAGCCCGCCAATAATGAGCATGATCCATTCTGACCACCGCCAGCTTATAGCCCCGGGTCCAATATAACTTCCAATTACAGGTCCCAGGACCGGCCCACCGAAACCGGCAATAGCAAAGAGGGGGAATCCAAATGTCTTTTCTAACGGATCCCACAAATCTGCTACTGTTCCGCCGGCGCAGGTCAGTGGCGTGGACCCAAAGAAACCCGCGAGGAAACGGAATATGATCTGCGCGCCAATGTTGGGCGCCAGTGCCGACGCCATAATCCAGATCATGAAGAGGAGCATGGTGCTCATGTACACTGCGTTGCGACCAAATGTTTCCGAGAAGGGTCCGGCGAACAAGGCGCCGCAGCCGAAGCCCATCAAGAACATGCCTACGAAGAACAACATAGTTAGCTTAACTCCAGGTCCAAAAAAAGACACAATAATTTTTTTTTTTTATTTTTCTATTTTTTTTTTTTTCAACTTACCTGTTGCCAGAGATCCAGCGACGTCGCTTACGCCAAATTCCGCAGCGGACTGGGGGAGAACCGCCGAGTCAATGGATGATGCTGCCGTGACAGCAATGGCGATACAAGAAACAACAAGCGTGGCCGCGACACGTCGTGGTATGCTCCAATTGTGTGGCTTCAGCGGGTCATTGTCGCCTTCCCATCCCACCACGAAAACCTTGCCTTCTCCTCCTTCGTCGGGCGTTCTATCCCGGGCATGGATTCCCGTCAAACTGTGGCCGAGAGCAGTGCGCCCCGTGTAGCGCGTCTTCACGGTGGCAACTCGATCCATGGACTCTCCCGAGGATGATGATGACGACGAATCATCATCTTCTTTATCTTCACTTTCACCTTCCTTCTCTTCCAGTTCGTCTTCGGTGTGTTGCCCGTCACGGTGGGCAAAGTCGCGGTTTTCTGATTCTGGAGGGATCACTATGGGGTCGTCATTTCGTGGGGCTTGGTTGTCGAGTTTCTCCTCGTGAGGGGGGTGCGAGAGAGTCAAGCGCGAGGCCTTTTCTTGATCGCGCTCAAGCTGCTTCTTTGCGGCTTGCGCAAATCGGCGATATTGCAGATATGACTGCATTTTCCCTTGTCAACTCTCCTCCAATAAAGTTTGACGAAACAAACGCAGAATTCGTCTATTTGAGGAAAACACGATTCACTTGCGGCGTTGCCTGGGTTCTATGTAACAATCTAAACTCAAATAAGTGACGGTCTAGGATGGCATCAATTGAATATATAAGAGAAGGCTGCCAGCAGTCTTCGAGTGGGTATGTTGGAATTTCTTGGGCTTGGGAACCACCATATATTTCGAAAGGTCCGAAAACATGACGTTACCCCCGGTCACATTTTTTTGTTGTCTTTAGTTTCTGCTGCAAATTACTAATAATTCACTATCCACAAACTTAAACATTTGCTGTGCCGCCTAAGTTACTGCGACACGGCCCGGGGTCTTAGACTAGCCAGAAATGCAAGTAATGGAGCTCCCCAGCTCAGAAGTTGGTTGGTTGTCTGTCTCCAACGTGGTTGTGATCGCTGTTGACATCTCTGACTCAATGGCATTTTTTTGCGGACTCTGCGCCGGTTTACCGAATTTTCGCCGAACTGAAAAAAAGAAGCTTAAAACCGAAAACCGAGACTGACGGACGTCAGAACCGAGATTTCAGCCAATCGATGCTGTTATTCTTGTCTTATCTGAGCCATCTGCCTCCGGAATTCATGGCAAAACGACACGGGTAATCGGCATGCTCGTGCCTATCTCTCAACGACCGGAGTTAATGGGACAACGGGAGCACCCTTTGGCCCAATCATATTACACCCTCGCACGCTGAGTGTCAATAGGGAAATGTCATCCCCCCTCTTTGGGCTCTACTAAACCCCACACAACTGCATCGTTGGAGCCTCGGAGCTCCACACCGGAAGGCGGAAAGCAGCTCTTTAGAATCATACAATCGATGAGCTTAATGCTTACCTGCCAAGATGCTGGCCGCGTTGACTTGCATCCCCGCAGGCTCATTGTCAATTAGTAAGTTATATGTGGCGGAAGGCCATGCTGCATCCTCGGGGGCTGGGTCATCCGGCTGTCAGTCTGTCATGCCATTCTTCTATAATCCGTATTCGTAATCTCTGTGCTTTGTTTTTTCGATTTTATGTCTTTACGTCTTTGCAGATTATGTAATTGTCAGAGACCTTTTGCTATGAACGGTCTATTGAATTAAATGTATAGTTCTTTTTTTTTTCCCTGGTTTCATGTCTATTGTCAAACAATAGCTGCATTTTACTTGGTAGGATACGCTCGCTCAGTTCCGACTGTGTGCAATGCCAATTTTATTTTCCCCGCTCAAGATTTTGCAATTATTCTGTCAGCCACCCAAGTCCTTACCAAGTTTCCTATCACCTCCGTGAAGCGAGGCTGCGCAACAGTCTCCATTGGTTCCCCTGCACCAGATGGTTAATTGCGATTAGCGGACAGGTTATCCGCGATTGCTACAGCAGGATTAACACGCATTGAACTTGCAATATGGGATCTCCGGCCTTCCCTTCAATTTTCTGGAAAAGAAAATAAGTTCAAAAGACTATGGCGATTTATGCATGGCAGGAGAACGTGTCGGGAAAATGTGCAGAGAGGCGGATTTGGAGATCTCGGTCATGGTCTCGGCATCTTGTACTGGAATAGAAGGCTGGCCCGCCGCAGGTCAAGAGGAGAAGTACGCGTCTGATACGATTAGGGGATAGATCGGCTTGATGCAGGCTGTTGGGACAGATATTCTTCTCGTAAGCACGATATATTAATACCGAGGATAGATTTTGTTGATGTTTTTTTTTTTTTTTTCTAAGAAAAAAAAAAAAAGGGGGTTAAAAAATAAATTAGAATAAAAAGGGAGTTAAATGCCAAGTGCTAAATCCTCTTACAGGTTGCCGCCTCCGATGCAGATGGCATAGCTCCAGGTAGCTCTGAAGAAGAACTTGCGCAAGACCTTGCTACAGCTTGCTGTGCAGGATTCCAGGTTGCCTACGAGAACACAGTTGGATTACACATGCTCCGACTGCCGATTTGGCCAAAACAATACCACCACAGGGATCCACATTTTACAGATTTCGGAAATATATAAGCCGTTTTGGCCACTCAACTCTGCAAATATAAACAAAAATAGACCAAGAGGGCGGTGGGCGATGAAATATCGGCCTTTGCCTTTCCACACCCAAGGCTATTTGCCCGTTATTGATGGTGGCACGTGCCGTGCTTAAAACGGGTTTCAGAGGGTGGTACTCCGCTGACATTTTTGAGGGGGGAGGAAGAAGAGTTCCTCGTTTGGACAGCGCAGAGAAGCAGGCAATGGATGGCATGACTGCACTTGATTAGGTCCATGACGCTTGAGTTGATGCACAGTAACCCAATCAATGTTCAGGAAATTAGAATGACAAATGGAGAGAGAGCTTGTTCCTTAAAGAGAGGGATGGGAGCCAGTCAGAAGAGCGTTAATTGTGTTTACATGAACCTATCTTCAAGATGTTACATGAAGTCAAATAACTTGCTTCTTATTCGACGGGAGAGCACTCATTGTCTTTCATTAGACACTCAAAGAGCCAATCCGAATGATTGTAATAATGTTTACGAATGCTAAGGACTGTCAGAATCCAGGCATGAGTGCTAATACATTCGATCTCATTCGATCAAGACCCTATTGCTGGCTCTAAGAGGAGGGCGTGAGCCAATCGGGGACTCTGTAAAAGTGTTTACGCAGAGATTGTCATGACAGAAGTTTGATTTCTTGCATCGATCCGCAGTCATCAGCATTCCGACGCGTCTTATAGGACAGAACTGCGGAAACTAATGCCGTACAGGCCAATCTTAGCTGGTCGAAAGGCTGGAGCGAGGCGGAGTGGAGTGAGAAGAAACCAGGAACAGCCCACTGCCGGATCCACCTTCCCCAGCTTTTCTCGCCTCCCACGTGGCCGGCGACCAATCAGCGCTCGTCTGTTTCTAATCATCTCATGACATATTTGTGCCTCCAAACCTTATAATAAAGTATAAGTATTGAGAGCGATGACCTTGTGATTTCAGATCATCAGCTCTCAAGTTCTTCCGTTTTAAACAAATTCGACGAATCTCCGAAAGACGATTTTCACCTTCAGCCGCTTTACCGTTAGCACTTCGCTATAAACCAAAGTTCAACTTCACTTCGACAATCCTAAACAGACAAAATGGTCGTCCCTACTACCTGCTGCGGCCGTGACGGTCAGGGCTGCATTTGCGCCTCTGAGGCCAAGTGCTCTTGCGGCTCTCACTCTGCTCTCCACTGCACGTGTGATAAGGCTGCTACTGAGAACACAATCTCTGGTGCTCGTTGCTCATGCCGTATGTTAAATCCTTGGGAAGACATTGGTCCTCCAAATTATCAGAGAGAATTTGGTCTGACTCAATATTTAGGTGCTCGTGCTCAGGGCCAGTGCAATTGCCACCGTGCTGCGACCGAGAACAAGACCATAACTGGTGATGCTTGCGCCTGCGGTCAGAGACAAGCTGGTATGTGCAGATCGGTTTTCACCATGGCTTGATCATCTTCTTACGAGTTTCTTTTTAGGTGCTTGCACTTGCGAGAAGGCCGTTGATGGCGGACTCTTGCCCACCGAGACCGACTTCACCACTGTCAAGGCATAAATCTGTCGACGTATATTTGCAAATGTTTTTGGCAGAAACGCCAGCTTATCTCTACAAAAGCGAACACATTCGGAAGGCGGTTGGGTGATGATTTTTTAAATATTTACAAGGTGGCGTTGCGACGAGCTCAGGCATTTGGGATAAGAAGTTTTTCACGGGACGATATTCTAGTTGATTTTCTTTTCAGTTTTCTCGTCTTAATCCCAATGGCGGGATGATTCATATTTGAAAGTTATTTTTCTAAGAAGATACCAAATTGAGATTATTCGTTCCAATTAGACTTTTGAACAGTAGCTTAAATATCCTAAATGGCGTTAAGTGTCATATGTGAATTGTCTGGCGCTATAGATGTTGCTGCCTCCTTGGGATGAGGGGCGATGAGGGGCAATGAGGGGCTACAGGAACGTCTAGACTCTCAGATCACTAAACTTTCCTAAAGAAGAAAAGAATCGGTGCACGGATGGAGTTAAATGCCGATGGTCTCAATGAGGATTAGCGCGCTGGCTCTCCGCTCCCATGCACGGAACAAGAACTATGCTTCCATCAATCGATTCAATCGAATAATCAGCTTGCTGAAGCCACAAAGGTCTCACTTTTATCCTGTCTCAGATCGGGGAGGCGGAGAAACTGATTGATTTTCTCATTACCGAAAGGTTGTTCGTTATTCACACACCAAAAAATTCTCCACCGAAAGCCGATCGACCCGTTTTGCAGCTCAGGAGAGATAGGGGTTACCAGGGTTACCATGTGCGATCATACCCGAACCTTGCGGATTTGACTGTAGCACCTGGAGATTGGACTTTCAACTATTACAACTGCCTTGCATTTTTTCCGGTTGACATCAGTGCTTTGAGCGCTGTAAATCGATCTCTAAAAGACGCAATTTCGACCTGGGATCCGCCGCCGCAAACTTTCCCGCGTCGCTGACGGAATCACGTTTCGGGTGCACCGCCCTGTCTTCCGCACCGAACCCAGGACTGGAACGCAGCATAACAGAGCACAATTGCTTGGTCTACAAACGCTCGTAGAAGCGTTGAAATAGCGGCAAGATGTCGTCGATGCGAGGTGGGTTGCAAAGAAATGCAGTACAGGGATAAGCCGCGATGAAGGTGCTAAGGGTTGTATAGGTCTTGTGCAATTCATTGCGGATCTTCGAAATGCTAGAGCCCGGGAGTTGGAGGAGAAGCGAATCAATAAGGAACTGGCAAATATAAGGTGAGTGGGGGCAAAACAGGTCCTTTTGGGTTTGCACAGGCTAATTGATTTCACGGCAGACAAAAGTTTAATGGTATGGTTTGCTTATCTGGGGGCAACGCATTGAAAGTCTAACGTGCAACAGACGGAAATCTCAATGGATATCATAAAAAGAAATATGTTTGCAAGGTGAGACCTGCAGACGACCTCGGACATGGTAACGCGACCTTATTCTAACGGGAATCAAAATAGCTCTTGTACATTTACATTCTTGGCTGGAATGTCGATTTTGGTCACCTGGAAGCCGTCAATCTTATCTCCGCGACCAAATATTCCGAAAAGCAGATTGGATATCTGGCGGTCACACTCTTCTTCCACGAGCAGCATGAACTACTTCATCTTGTCGTGAACAGCATTCGCAAGGACTTGTTGGACTACAATGAGCTGAATAATTGCTTGGCACTACATGCAATTGCCAATGTTGGTGGTAGAGAGATGGGCGAGGCATTGAGCGCCGATGTACACCGTTTATTAATTTCGCCGTGGGTTACAAATCTAAGCGTGGGATGACGCTGTGGCTGTTGCTGATTGGAGTTATAGGACATCAAAAGCTTTCGTTAAGAAAAAGGCCGCATTGACATTGCTGCGACTATATCGCAAATATCCTGGTATTGTGCAGCTGGAATGGGCAGAGCGAATCATTTCGCTCATGGACGATCCTGATATGGGCGTGGCCCTTTCGGTCACTTCGTTGGTCATGGCTTTAGCGCAGGACAACCTCGACCAGTACAAGGGATGCTATGTCAAAGCGGCTAGAAGATTGAAGAAGATTGTTGTGGATAAGGATTATGCGCCAGACTACCTTTACTATAAGGTACCTTGTCCGTGGATCCAGGTTAAGCTTCTGAGGCTGCTACAATATTACCCCCCTTCTGGTATGTCTTGTCCAACTTAAGCTGTTGCTTAGGACGTGTCGTTTTGGGAATAGCCAAGCTGATTTATATTTTGTAGAGGACACTCATGTGCGTAGTCTGATCAGGGAGGGGCTGCAAACGATATTGGATGCTGCCATGGAGATGCCCAAGAACGTCCAACAGAACAATGCTCAAAATGCCGTTCTCTTTGAGGCTATAAATCTGATCATTCACCTCGATACGGAGCATGATTTGATGGTACAAGTCTCTTCGCGACTTGGTAAATTCATCCAGTCGAGGGAGACAAACGTCAGATATCTTGGTCTCGAAGCAATGACCCATCTCGCCGCGCGATCAGAGACTTTGGATCCTATCAAGCGACACCAGAACATTATTATTGGTTCTCTCCGGGACAGGGACATTAGTGTGCGTCGAAAGGGTCTTGATCTCCTTTACAGCATGTGCGACGCCTCCAATTCCCAGCCGATTGTCTCGGAGCTACTGAAATATCTTCAAAACGCCGACTACGCTATCCGCGAAGAGATGGTACTCAAGATTGCCATTTTGACGGAAAAGTATGCTACGGATGTACAGTGGTATGTTGACATATCGCTTCGGCTGATTGCAATGGCTGGCGATCATGTCAGCGACGAGGTGTGGCAGCGTGTCATCCAAATCGTTACGAATAACGAAGAACTTCAAGTTTATGCTGCGCAGAATATTCTGCAGTACGTCAAAGCGGACCATTGCCATGAGACCCTTGTCAAGATTGGTGCGTATCTACTGGGAGAATTCGGTCATCTTATCGCCGACAGCCCGGGTTGCTCTCCGATCGAACAGTTCTTAGCGCTGCAGGCCAAGTTTCAGAGCTGTTCAACAAGTACGAAAGCAATGCTCCTGTCCTCCTTTATCAAGTTTGTCAACCTATTCCCTGAGATTAAGCCACAGCTGCTGCAAGTATTCAAAGCCTATAGTCATACTTTGGACTCGGAATTGCAGCAGCGGGCATGCGAGTACTTGACTCTGGCGACTCTTCCAACAGACGATCTTTTGCGAACAGTATGTGACGAGATGCCACCCTTTCCTGAGCGGACATCAGCATTACTTTCTCGGCTCCATCAAAAACACGCAGGCACAAGCGACAAACGGACATGGGTCATTGGTGGAAAAGATGCGAATGCGGACCCAGCTGAATTCAATTTGGTGCAAAACACTGGTCTCAAGCGATCATTCACCAACGCGGGAGCCGCAGCCAAAGCGAACGGCAAACCAGCAGCTCTTGCTCCATCCGCAACAAATGGAACCAGTACTTCTCTGGCGAAGGATCTTGCGGGCCTGGATCTCAGCGCTGATACGCCGACAAGTTCCCAGGCGCCAAACCTTGCCAGCGCCGCACATCTCAGTCCCGACTGGCAGATTGGTTACAACCGCCTACTGCTGCGCCCAGAGGGTGTGCTTTACGAAGACGTGCAAATCCAAGTGGGGCTGCGGTCCGAATATCGCGGTCAAATAGGCTGCGTGATTTTGTATTTTACCAACAAGTCTTCTGCTGCAATCGGGTCCTTTACGACAACCATTGATAACCGCTCCGCCGACCTTTTGAAAATCGACACCAAACAGCTTCCCGACGAAACCATTTACCCTGATGGCCAAGCGCAGCAGATGATCATGTTTGAAGCAAAAGGACTCTTTACTGACCCGCCCACCATTCGCATCTCATATCTCGCAGGCGCTCTACAAGCCCTCACTCTCCAGCTGCCCGTCGTGCCACACAAGTTTATGGATGCCGCTGGATTGAACGCGGAAGACTTTTTCAAACGGTGGCGCCAGATTGGCGGACCCCCGCGCGAGGCACAAAAGGTGTTTGGTCTCGTGGGCAAAGGTCGCACGATTGATCCGGTCTTCACAAGAAACGTTGTCGAGGGATTCAAATGGGGCGTTCTCGATGGAGTAGACCCTATTCCAAAGAATCTCGTGGGCGCTAGTGTTTTGCATACGAGCGAGGGCGGCAAATTTGGATGTCTCATGAGGCTGGAGCCTAATTTTGAGACCAAGGTGCGTTCATTTTATTTCCTGAACTTTGAACTTTCTTACTCCGCTCCTCTCTTTTCTTTCCTTTTCCTTTCCTTTTCTTTTCCTTTTTCCCCCTCTCTTTTTCTCTTTTTTTTGGTTTGATTTCGAGGCCCTTTACGGCCAAAGATGTTGCTTTGTTGCTCTGAATTTTTATTTGCTGACAACCTGTAACAGATGTACCGACTGACTATCCGAGCCACGGATGAAAATGTCCCAGAATGCTTGCTCAAGGCCATGGTCGATCGACTTGCGCAGGGTATATCTGCGGATGGTATGGCCAATGGTCGCTAAGATCCATTCAAGCTGTTCACCTTTAATTATAGCTGTTTTTTTTATTCAATATTGTAGCTGTAGCTGTCATTTATATAAGCCCATGGGATCTTTCTTTCTTTTCTTTTTATGTTGCTCTTTTCCCTTTTCTCGTTTTCCCCCCCCCCTCCCCTATAACGTCGTTGTCGTTGTCCATTCTGGCTTAGCTATCATTGTAGGAGTTTTTTTCTTTCCTTTCCTTTCCTTTTCTTTTCCTTCTTCCCCTTTTCTTTTTTATTTTATTTTATTTCATCTTCCCCCCTTTCTCCTTTGTCCTTTCCCCTTTCTCCTTTTCTCCTATCCTCTTTTCCCTTATCGCCTTTCTCCTTCTCCTTCTTCTTCTTCTTCTCTTCTTCTTGAGGCCTTGGCAGAAATCATCTCAGATTATATACCGTTATCTTACAAAATAACTTTTTAATTTCCTCCCTTTACTCATTCTTCGTTTCTCCTCTTTTCCAAATCATTTTCGTTGTTTGATCATTAATTTGTTACTTCCATTCGGTCCAACAAAACGACAACAACAACAACAACAACAACAACAACAACAACAACTCACATCAGCATGTTTTTACACAGATGCAAGGCTTGCTAGCGAGCAAGCAAGCAAGCACGCTAGAATATCTATTGTACTGCATGCAGCATGCATTTACCGTGTAGTAACTAGAGTTATTTTGAAATTTCTGACTTGTTGTTGTATACTGCACACACACTGAACGCTGCACGCTGAATACTGGACACTGGACACGTACAGACTAGCGATTGATGTCATGATATAAAAAAAAAGATTTCTTTTTAAAAAAAAAATTAAAGCTCGAATGATATGGTATATAAGGTAAGGTAATGAAACAACACTTCTTACGGAAAGGAAGAAAGAGGTTCAAAAACTTTTTTGTCGTGACGCCCAGCTCGTTCGCGGATTGGGATTGGGAAAGCGCAATCAATCGTTTTTTGCAAAGAAGTCTGATCTGAGCCGAACGCCTTGCGCCTGTAGAATCGCCTTGCACCTTTTTCCTCGATCGAATAAAAAAAGAAGAAGAAAAAAAAAGGTTATACCACTCTCGCGTCTGCTTTATTCGTGGGCCGTTGTCCAAAAATTGTAGTTCCGACACGCACTTCATCGCTTCCCTGGGAGATGGCGCCCTCAAAGTCGTTGCTCATGCCCATACTCAACTGCAGGTTTTCTCGAGGAATGCCCAGTTCGTCTGCAATCTGATCTCGAGACTCGCGGAGGGTAATAAAGTCTTCGTTTTCGGTTTCGGCCGTGGTGGCGCGCGATCGTGCAATGGAACCGATAGTCATGACGCCGAGCAGTTCGAGGTGCGGGCACTTTTCGACGACATGCCGACAGAGATCGATTGCTTCTTTGCCCGGACTTGCGCCGGACTTGGCGTCTTCGCCGGATGTATTGATTTGCACGTGGATGCGGAGTTTTTCGGTAATGGGAGCTGTCTCAGCAGACGAAGTCGAAGAGGATGAAGCATCTGAAGCAACCTTTTCCACAAGACTTCTCCGGCCTTTTTCGAGCTGATCGGCTTTCTTGATGCTATCGACTGACGAAACGCACCATAGGTTGGGAATCTGCGAGGCGAGAGGTAGGCATTTATTGGATTGGAGGCCGCCGATAAAGTGCCATCGGATGCTGCGAGGAAGCAGAGCGGCCTTTTCGAGAAGCTCTTGCATGTAGTTCTCCCCAAAATGGAGCTGCGGGGTCGGCAGTCGGTGCAGCGTGAGAATGTCGCTGGCGGGCTTGAGTTTCGAGACGGCGATGAGGCGGATCTGTGTAGCGCGGCAGGGTTAGATGAGGGTTTCCCCGCTTGAGATGGGATTGGGGAGAGGAGGGGGGAGGGGGGGGGGCCAAGCTGAAAAGCATAATTGCTAGGGTGTAAAGACGGGAGAAAGGGATCAAGGACGATTGTGCTGTTGGGTATTGGATGAAAAGACGTACGTTTCTATTCGCCGTGTTGACGGTTTGTATACGAGCAGCCACCGCAGCAAGGTTGTCGGCCAGCTGTTTGGTCCGCTGGGGATTCATTTGCGTCTCGACCTGCTCTAATGTCGGCGCAGCAGTGGTCATGTTTTGTTTGTCGCCTGAAGTTTGTAGTTGAAGTGTTGGTCACTGGTCGAGGGCGGCTCCAAGAACAGTATGTCGCTCTTTTAAGGGAAGAAGGAAAAAACAATGCCTTCCGTAGAAATAGAATTATTGACGATATTGAAGTGTCAATGTGTCACGCATGGTGAGGGCGGATATAGACGGAACCAAAAGAATGGTAAGAGTAGAGATAGGCAAGACAATTATTATCACCAAGGGCGGGTGAATCAGAGAAAAGTGACCTGGGCCGAGGTCTAACATGTAACCAATGAGAGCCATAGAATTGTAGCTACGGGATGAACTTACTTGGTATGGTTAGTTCAAAGGGGGTTTCGTCCTCGTGAGAGGTGGATCTCCACCTTGCGCTAGTCTTGATCAGGCTCTCAGAAGTTTTGTCGTCAAACGTCTACGACCAGAGTTCTCCGTCAAAGGCGCTTTTAGCTTCCTCGTTGTCATCCGGACACTTTCACTCTGTCTCGGTCTCTAAAGTGCCGAGCAATTCTGGCCAAAGAGGCTACAGTAATCATACCCTCGTACCTGCCTCTAGTAACTACCTCGGAGATATTACTCTCCTACTCGCCAGTCATGGTCAAGGTACGAATTCGTTAGAGGACATAGTAGTATGCACTGTACAGAGGCCATCTATAACTGGGGAAATCTGGGGTTAATGCTGGCCGATGAGATTTGTTCTTCTATTTGAATGACACTCTTGGTCTTGTGGTTGGGATGGAGATGCTGATCAGTCGACTCCAATACCAAAAGGCATGGCTGGCAGCATGTGGCGTGAGACCAAGATCTCGTGTGGACAGTCAGAATGTAAATTCATCTTCTACAACGAGTCCAATTAACTGAATTTGCTTCCTAAAACATTAACTTACCCATTCTTATACAGAGGTATACCTGAAGAAAAGGATTCTAACCAAGGGCAGACAAGTATAGTCAAGTGGGTGACGTTGTAATTAGCTCGGGGCTCTCGCGGTTCCTGACTAAAACTTCCTCCTTTTGTCCCCTGAAACCGAGAAAAAAAGCCACAAAGCCCGAGCCGAACCAAGTTTGGAACTCCCACGAAACCCCCCCTTGTCTTCCCCCGTTGTCTCCCCCTCCTCTAACCCCCTTCTCTCTCTCTTTGTGTCTCGTGCCCGCAAATTTCAATTCAGGGTCTGGTTGTTCTCATAGATTTCTCTTGTCCTCCTTCGTTTTCTTCGACTGCACTCGTGTTTGGTGCATGTACAGTCTCTTCCTTTTCATTACTCTATCGTTTTGCTGGGCATAGACGACATCCTTTTATATTCACTTTCTTTCCATCTTTCTTTTTCTCGCTGCCTCCACTTTTGCAATTGGCTGGCCGATAGAATAGCGCTTTCTTTGGCGAATTGATCGCCCCAATTCCCCACTCGACGTCATTTGTGACCCCTTTTAAGGGTTCACAGATTTTCTTTTCCTCTCAAGATCTCAGATCTACGCATTACCTACTCCTAAGGGAGACGCAGCTGGCCTGAGCGTCTCTGACGGCGACACTCCCCTCCTCCGCGAGCAATCCTTCCTTGGTCATTTCACCTTTTGATCCCGAGCCAATTGGCCCTGGAGCCGTTTCATTTAGTACGATACAGTCATTCACATTTATTCCACTTCACCTGCCCCCTGCGGCCTCCGTCGGAATGTCCGCCCGCTCGCCGAGCTTGTCACGCACGAGTCGTTTCTCCCGCGAAGGCTTTCAACCGTTGGGCGGCGGCAACATGCAAAACAACATGAATCCCAACGATGCCACAATTAACATTCCCATGAATGAGATGCAAGGCCTGAACAGGTCGCCTTCTGGCGTCCGTCAGCCGAATCATGAAGGCGCAGGTTCGCCTTCAGATGAGTTCTTGCAACCTCCGACCGAAGGTGGTCTCGAGAAGAAACAAAGCATCTTCCGTCGCGGTCATGGAAGCCGGGCTGGCCGCCGAAGAGTCACCAGTTATGGCACCCCGGGAGGAGAAAAAGAGTCCAATCGTTACGACGGGGACAAAGACTACCTGAACCGCATGGGCAAAGTCTATAATAAAATTCTCAACTTTTCCATCATCACTCGCTACTTGGTCTATATTGCTCCTTTGGGTATTGCCTTTGCTATCCCCATCATCATCGGCGCCACGGTCGCCAAGAATGCCACCTTGGGCGGTGTTCGGCTCGTCTGGTTCTTCATGTGGATCGAGGCGGTTTGGCTGAGCTTGTGGGTGTCCAAGATTGTCGCCAAGCTGTTGCCCTATCTCTTCCAGTTCCTCTGCGGCATCGTCAGCCAGGGAACCCGCAAGTATGCTCTTATTCTCAAAGCTCTTGAAATCCCTCTTTCTTTGGCAGGATGGGCGCTGTGCTCGCTGGCCACTTTCAAGCCGGTACGTATTGGATCCGTATCCAACTCCTACTAGAGATGATGACGTGAACTGACCCTCGACTGGCAGATTATGGTCCGCAACCCGACAACCCGTGCCGAAGGAAGTCAAACTCGAAAATGGGAAGACATTGTTCAGGAAATTCTGGCGGCATCGCTCATCGCATCTCTCATCTTCCTCGCAGAAAAGTTCCTCGTCCAGATCATCTCCATCAATTACCACCGCAAACAATTCGACTTCAAGATTCGAGACGCGAAGCGAAATGTTCAGCTACTCACGTTGCTCTACGAAGCGTCTCGGTCCATCTTCCCCCAATACTGTCCCGAGTTTGCAGAGGAGGACTATGTCATCAACGATCTCATCAATATCTCCCTTGGCAAGAAGAAGGGACATAAACACTCGGGATCGGGAACACCAATGAAGATTATCCAGAATGTCGGTCGTGTCGGAGACAAAATCACCTCGGTCTTTGGAAACGTGGCACAAGAGATCACCGGCAAAGAAGTCTTCAACCCCGACTCTGCGCACTCGGTAGTAGTCGGCGCGCTCGAGAAGAAGCGATCTTCCGAGGCTCTGGCCCGACGAATCTGGATGTCATTTGTAGAAGAAGGAAAAGATGCTCTGTACCTGGTCGATATTATGGAAGTCCTCGGACCGGACCGTCGGGCCGAGGCCGAGGAGTGCTTTGCCAGCTTGGACCAGGACGGCAATGGAGATGTCAGCTTGGATGAAATGGTTCTGACGGTGGTCAACCTAAGCCGCGAGAGGCGATCCATTGCTACGAGCATGCATGATGTTGACCAGGCCATCAATGTTCTCGACCAACTGCTCTGCGCGGTGGTGGGCATTATCGTCGTCTTCGTTTTCGGTATGTATTTCAATTTGAGCATTTTGCTGCCTGTGCTAATTTTTTTTAATCTCTAGTTGCCTTTCTCAACAAATCATTCACCACGACTCTTGCCACAGCTGGTACAGCTTTGCTGTCCATGTCCTTTGTCTTTGCCATTACGGCCCAGGAGATTCTCGGATCCTGCATCTTCTTGTTCGTCAAGCATCCTTACGACATTGGAGACCGAGTCGACATTGGAAATGACCAGCTCTTCGTCGAACACATCTCCCTCCTCTTCACCGTCTTCAGAAGAGTCGCCAACAACCGAATGGTCCAAGTCCCGAACAATGTGCTCAATACCAATTGGATTGAAAACGTCTCCCGCTCCAAGGCAATGAAGGAACAGCTCAGCATGTACATTAGCTTTGACACCTCTCTGGAGGACATTCAACTGTTGCGCAATGAGATGCTGGCATTCGTCAGTGACAAGGAGAACTCGAGGGACTTCCAGCCGGATATCGACGTAGAAGTTACTGGTATTGCTGAGATGAACAAGATGGAGCTTCGTGTTGAAATCAGGCACAAGGTAAGTGATTTACTCGTATTTGGTGGTCAGAAGCACAATCTGACTGTTGTCACGCAGAGCAACTGGTCCAACGAAACTATCCGCGCAGCACGTCGGTCCAAGTTTATGTGTGCACTCGTCCTCGCTCTTCGAAAGGTTCCCATTTACGCCCCCGGTGGTGGTAGCGCTCCTCTTGGTGACCCTGGTAACCCGACATACTCGGTTTCTGTTTCCAACGAGATAGCCGCCGCAAACAGAGACGATTACGCTGCCAAGAAGGAAGCCAAACGTCTTGTCCCTACCAAGAAGCTTGAACCCGAACCCGAACCCGAACCTTTTGCGTCAAGCGATGCGAATAATACCGGTTATGCGACCGGAAACGAACTGTCCAGATCAAACGGCACGCTCACCAGACGCGCTGGCATCGAACGAATTGTCTCCGAAACCGATGCAGTTCAAACACTCAACGCCCGGAACAATACCGGCCAGGACATTGGCGACGACTGGGACGGCGAGCGTGGCGACGAAGTCACTACTCTCGGCGGACGCGACAGCTCTGAGACCAAGCGCGGAAACGATCTTGAAGAAGTTCGAGGCCTCCTTCGCCGAGAGAGCACGGTCGGACGCCGAAAGCGTTCTGCCAACTCGGATATGCTCAACGTTCCCTTGGACACTGATTCGCCGCTTGCAACCGGCTATGGCGCTCAGCCTTATGGCGGACACTCTGATGCTTACAACGGAGGACAAAGTGGAGCAATGTACGCTACAAACCCGTACCAGCAGCAAGCATCATCCATGTCGTCGCAGTATCCTCAGTATCAATACCCGACAGCACAGCAGCAGCAGCAGCAACAACAGCAGCAACAACAGCAAGTACAGTCGTCCCGGAATCAGCCTGCTGGTACCGTTGCGGGACAGCACCAACAATACCCATCAGCCATCTAAAAAAAATAATTACGCAAATTCCAACATGCCTTATGCTATTATGAGCGGTCATTTCATTACATTATCATCATATCCGTCAAATCACATCATCCATCTTCTTCTTCTCATCATATCTGTGCAAATAGCACCCATCATCATCATGTAAAAACACCACAATATGATCAAAAAAGTACATGATCATCTAGATAAATTTTAGCATAGTGTCTCACGGGCGCAATAGGCAAAATTTAGGGCTGATCTTTTGTTATTGATAAAAACTAAGCTGTGATAACAGTTAAAAACAAATACGCAAAGCAAGCCAGTCAAAGCAAAGAGTGAAAACATGATTTTCGTGAGCGCATGTTCAATCAAATCGACCCGCGATTTCCTTTCACTCGAAAGCTTTTTTCCTTTTTTTTGTGGGGGTTTCTTTCTTTTACACCTTTTTTGGTGGTGATTTTCTTGTTTTCCACCTTTTTTTTTGGTTATTTTTTTTCATGTTTTCATCCGAGACGTTCCTGCGAAAAAAAGGACGGGCATGCATGAAGTGAAGCAAATATGAGCAAAGCGAACAGCGAAATAACAAGAGATCAGAAAGGGACAAATGAAAGGCTGTGCAGAAACACAGGGTAAGAGCAGTGTCTGTGTGACTGTAGACCGTGGTCCGTGGTCTGTTAAAAGTGTGTCAGAGCAAGAGAGAGATATTCCCAGCACTAGAAAAAGAAAGGGTTCTCAGTGCTGTGAAGCTGTGGGGCATTTGGACCAGCAAATGCACGTTTTCCTCAAATATTTTGAGGTACAACTCTTGCTCTGCACATCTTTAATAGTCCTCGGTCCTCGGTCCGCAGTCGTTAGTCGTTAGTCGCGGTGAGTCGTGACTGCTGTGTCATATTTGAATGCAAAAACTGTGATATACAGAAAAAGCAAACAAACAATGACAGATATGCAGACAAGCAAACAGCAATAACAGGACTGTGACTGCTCCAGGACTACAAGAGTCCGACAAGACTCACAAGAGCCACGACAACAGTGACACAAATACACCAGGCAGCTGGAAAGCGATGAATCAGAGAATTGGTAACCCCTGCTGCTGCTGCTGCTGCAGATGTGGTTGTGGATGTAGTGGCCAATGCAGGTGCAGCAGGTAAAGTGCCCGTGGCAGAGCAAGGGACGTTCATGTTGAGTCGAGGATCGAAACACATGCCATACCCTGGGGCGCTGGAGGACCGGGAAGTAAGAGTTGGCCAGTAACTTGTCGTAGTATCTGTGTTCATCGAAGAAGTAGACAAAGGAGGGGAAGAAGAAGATGGAGAAGAAGAAGGAGAAGGAGGAGGAGAGGCGACAGTGGCCAAGAGTAGATGGTTGATTGAGATAGTGGAGTTGGTGTCGGAGCCGAGCGAGAGCAAGGTGTCGCTTGGAAGCGTAGAGATAGGACGAGAGGTTGTGGGTGACAGGTTCGAGTCAACTTCCGTAGGAAACTGAATAAAGGTGGCAGACGAGTCCTCGCTGAAGAAGGTACTGCTTGATGAAGAAATCTCGGAGTCAGAGAACGACTTGGCAGATGGAGAAATCTTGGAAGTAGCGGATGAAAGAAGAAATGTCTCAGAAGGAGATTGAGAGAACCGAGACTCCTGAGCTGAAGATGCTTTTTCGACAGTGATTGTAATTGTGCGAGTGGACGTCGAAGTCTCAGTCGAAGTGGGAGAATGCTTTGGCATCAAAGTATAGAGACTGGGATACTCTTCCATTGAAGTCCCACTTCCATTCTCAGAAGGGCTTTTGAATGTAGCATCATTCGTGTGAGGAGACTGCGAAGCTAACATGAGATTAACCATGCCTGCTGAACGCTCCGAGGGAGACTTGGGGGAACCAGCTGCAGTAAACGCTGAGATCATGGTCTCGGCCGGGCTGGAGACACTTGAAGGGTTCTGGGTATGAATGACCGGACTCTCAGTGTACAAGAAGCTCTCAGCAGGAGAGACGAAGACAGAGCTGTCAGTAAGAGAGAGTGGCTCAAATGCGGTGACTGAGAAAGTGGCAGCTGCCGAGTGGTTCTGAAAGCCACGTCTGAATTTGAGCGGTCCCAGAGTGGTTTGAACATCCATGTCCTTTGAGGTGACAGCAGCATCCTCATGATTGTATGCCTGGGTGGCTGGGACTGAATTGCCTAAATTGACAGGACTGTTAGCCTATTCCTTATCTTGTGTAAGACCGTAGATAGGCAGGAGGTGAAGAGTATCAAGGGAGAAAGAGGAAGTTGAAAGCTAAAGGCATGACAAATGGTGAAATTCAGCACTTACCAGCAAACCCCGTGAGCATTTCGAGTTCTGAAGTGATCGAATCCTGAACATGAGTAGTTTTGCTCTCCGTGTTATAAACAGATTCAAACGCAGAAGCTGAGGCGTTGCTCATGTTGTGATTGAGGTTCAGCAAGTGCTCAAGTGGGTGCTTGTCTGCGTGGAGATTGTCATGACAAGCTTCATTATTTGCCAGGGAGGTTGCTTTGGCTATGTCACGAGGAAAGTGGGCTGGAGTATATTTGCTGCCATGATTGTTTTGATTGTCATTGTCCATGGTACCATTGATGGCAATACCTGGGATGCAGGAATTAGCTTTTTGTACAATCACCAATTGTGTTTTGCAAGGTCTTGCTTCGGCAAAATTTTCAAGCCTGAAGTAAAGAAGATAGCCACCGAAGTCGCTGCAAAGATGGAACAAAAGGGACAAGAAGGGAAAAAAGTCAACATACCAGTTGGAGTGGCAGAGCTGGCAGTTGGTCTGGGCACCACAATCGAGAAGTCCCACAAGGACGAAATGCCGTGCTGGGGAATAACATGGGTAAGGAACCAGATCGTAAAACCCATCAAGAGAAACACGGTCATTGCAGGGATTGTCGCAATGAGCTGTTCAAAAATGAAGCAAATATAATCCCAATACCACTCTAGAAAGCGATGTTCATCAATCGCCCGCTGGAGTTCTTCTGGATCCAAATGCTCAAGCCAGGATCGACGTCGATGGCGGCCACGATGACGGTCACGGTCACGCCCATGCCGGGATGGAATATGGGCACCGTGGATATGGCCACGGCCACGGTGGTAACCATCATCGTAGTAGTCTCCCGGCCAGCGGGTAGCCCTTCCAGTTGGACGTCCATTGAGATTGAATTCATAGAGGGTCAATCCAGAAAGCTCGAACAGTCCCTCATAATCATCAGCAGAGTCGTCCTGACCAGCATAAGGGGCATAGCTATGATTGTGATTCCTATTGCGGAATTCTCCCTGCTGATCAGCCCCCGAGGACATGCCAGCTGCTCCTGAGAAAGCCATTTTTTTCGTTTCTTTCTCAGAGTTGTTTTTTAAGGTTGTTTTTTCAAGTTTTTTCTAAGGTTGTGGCAAAGGATAAAGAAAAACAAGATGTTAACTGGGTCACGAAAGAGTGAAGAATCAAAAGGCGATTTAACAAGAATGCTCGAATCGATAGCCTTTTGTGAGTGAAACGTGTCTGATGGTAAAGTGGTTGAGTAGAATGAGTGGAGTGAGAGATGGGAAATTGAGAGTGGATGTTGACGTTGTGGAGATTTTAGATTTGCGGGGAAAGTGGGGTGTGATTTGTGGGGGATCGCAGGGTCGATCTGGCGTTTGTGGATCAGGGACGGCTCCAAGGGCATGGGGTAGGGTTTGGATTTGCACAGTCTGGAGATTGAGGTTGGTTGACGGGGCAATGTCTGCTTCCTTGGGCCGAGGGACAGGAGTCGCGGGCTCAACGCGTGCATCGTGGGAACGGAACCCGCAGTTGAGAAGGTTGCTGAGGTCCCCAATGGCGGGTCAACGTACCACCTAAATGCAATTCAGAGCCAATGATGAAATTTTCTGAAGATCCAAGACAGAACTTATACTCTCTAAATAGTCCACTGTCTTTTGAAGGCAAAGCCTGAGTTCACCAAGATTCGACGACGGTGATTTGGGCGTAGAGGACTAGCGGTTGCCTTGTATTGACCGGCAATTGGCGCTCTGGAACAAGAATCTGTCGCCAGCTCAAAGAGAGAGCTGCACAAGACGTCCCTGCGTAGTCTCCCGAATCATTGCCGTTTTCAGAAAGCAGCACAACTTCATTTCGTAGTAGATTTGAAGTACGCCTTACCTGTTACATTAGCATTCAGATACCCAGACAAAATGACAGTGGGGATCCTTCTTGTATTCGCAGAACATAGGAAAGAAAGAAAGTCATCTTGCAAATTGAGAGCACGGTAGGCACGAATGGATATTGCGGTATCAGAACATAATGTGACAGGCCTCATCAACAATGATCTGGTCAATTCAAGGCACATAGAAAGCGGCCACTTGGATGCACATCATGCAGAGCAACAGCCACTTCTGTAACGGCAAACGAGGCATGACCAGCAATTGTATTGATAGTAAGCTCTGATGCTTGAGAATAATATTGTAATTTGACTCCAGATTGTACCACTTTGCAAAAAAAGCACGCAGAATAGCACATCAACAAGCACAACTCACGAGTCAAACCATTTTAATCCTTCACTATTTCGACGGCGGTTTCGGCTTCGGGCTGGGGGCGACTTCGATCTAGAGACATATCGGGATGATTCCACACATTCCATTGACCACTGACATTATCTCCAGGGCTTCTGCCTCCCAGAAGATTTCACTTGGAGCAAAAAGTTTCCTGATGGCTTCGAAATGATGAACCTTGGACGCGATGAGAGTGTGGCAATGATACCAAAATGATGTGGGAGGTCGGAGCGATGGTTGATCCGGGGGGCGTCGGCGCTTCAGAAGGGGCCGCTTCCGCTCGCTTCACGAATCTCACCTCTTCTCCCTCAACCACCGCTGGAGCTCTATTGCTCTTCCTCAAATTCCAAATTCCCCTCCAAAAACGCGTGTGAGGTTGTGGCTGAGGCTTACCGGTTGCCGAGAAAATGGCCGTTAGGGATGGGTAATATTCAATGGTCTTTCGGAGTCGAGCAAAGGGGATATTCCAAATGGACAGGCTTCGAGACTGCAGGGCTTACTCATGACGATTTGTACGTACGGGTAAGATCACGGGTTAACTCCAACTGAGAAAAGGGCTTTGACTGAAGCAAGTTTAGTGAGAGATACGAAAGAGATGCTAGCGGTATTAGCGACCAATGGTGCGAACGTTATCATGGCTTCCCTCGTTCGGGCTGATTCATCAAGCCGCTAACTGAAGCTCCGCTTTCTTGTCCCTCCCTGCCTCCCGTTCGCGCTGCTCTGAAAGGAATTGAAATACAGGGTCGAGAAGGGCGGGTTATGACTAGGAAGCACTGCCATGTTACTAAAAGACAAGTATTTGAAGTCTTCCATGTGATTGACTTGTTGGCGTGTTGTAACTGCACTAATTGTACGAGCATGTCCGCCCGGCTACTCGTACTTGATAATATTTGGAATGACAAAGCAAAGCAGCCTTACTCATAGCTCGTGGTTTATCGCTTGCTTGCCGCTCTTCTCCACTCACTACTGATATACTCCACCATGCAACTGCCTTGACAAGGGTCAAGCGGCTTTTAGCCCAGGGAACAGAGGACAATCATCCTACCACTGCTGCTTAGGTTTCTCCGGAGCAGTCTACTGTCCCCTCCGCTCATGCCCATTATCAGGGATGACAAGAAATTATTTCCATGCTGCGCCGTTGGATAAAGTGGAACATTCCAAATTATGGTGCGAGCAAGCCGTGTTCTTCTCCCATCAATCCAAAACCTGTAGAAACCTTGGTGGTTGTGTTATTACCCTTTTGAGACTGGAAGTCAACTAAATACATCATGACTGCTGCGCCGCGCCTGACACTCTGTGTGTAAGACACGGGAACGTAGATGTTGGAGGAAAAGTCAATTGCTGCTAAGAAGAGAGAGACGGCTGAGCAAATTGTCATAATCATCTTAAATTATAGAAATCTTGATCTCTTTGCGATAATCTACCTTTCGTTCATATAAATCATTCCTGCCGGCAGCTTCGAGCAGCCGAGTTGCAGCCGGACCAGCCCAGCCCTCCAGCCGTAACTCTCTTGACCAGACAGCCATCCTCCCAAACTACTCGACCATCCCCGCCACCACCACACACACCATCTCGTCGAACCTCCCTGTCCTTTAACATCTTAAATAAAGGTCCCCTTGCGACACTGATTTCAAGACCTTTCAGACAGAGATTCGTTCTCCATCCCTCTGCATCGCTTCCTAATCGCGGCTGCATTCGTGTTGGGCCTGTCGCAGTCCTCACCATGGACCTCCTGAGGTCGAGGTTCCTCGCGACAGTGTTTCTCTTTGCCCTCAGCTTCACCTATGCAAATGCCCAATATGTGGTCCCTTCTAATTTCTCCAGCATGGAGGTGTCTGTGAATCATGTCACGATGGCACTGGTGGTCAATGATAACGCTAGCCAAAACGTCGCTCTCGAACCACTTACGGTTGCTGCTGGACGTCATGATAACTCGACAAACAGTTCTTCTTCGTCTGAGGTAATCTTCATGTCTTTTCATAGTAGCATGCGATAGTGTGAGGAGAGCGTTCTTTGGAGCATGATTTGAGCGAAGCTATTCAGAGAATCTCGAAGCTGATCATTGCTTTGTGCAGAAATCCATTACTGGCTCGCTCCAGCTCACCACTCCAGACAGTTACTACAATCTTCAGAAGGGCAATATTCCATATGTCAGCTGTGATCAAAGCTCTTATCCTGGATTGTTTGATGTCAACAGGATGCTTGACACCGTGGCTGGCGACAACCCACAGGCCATTATTCTTTTTAGCAAATCAGCTTCTGGATGCTCGCTCACCCCCAATAGCGGATTCAGCTTTCAGATGCTCTACAGCATGACGAACTCGAATGAAGGCAGTGCAATACAAACTGGCCTGTTGAATCGGCAACAAATATCTGCCCAGATTGGGCCGGACAATTCCAATTCCAATTCAAGCTCGGGCAATAATAATAATTCTGGTGGCAATGGTGGCAATGGTGCTGGAACTCCTACCACCGCTGTGGCCATGATTATCCTCTACAGCGTAACAGGCGTCATCACTGCTCTGTTTTTGCTCATTATTGTCACGGGTGCTGTCCGTGCCCATCGTCACCCTGAACGTTATGGACCCCGGAACGTGCTTGGACGCACCCGGCAGAGTCGTGCCAGAGGCCTTGCTCGTGCCATGTTGGATACAATTCCGATTGTTAAATTTGGCGAAGCACATGAGCAACCCAAGCCTGCGGACCAGGATGTGGAGTTGGCCAATACGGCTGGTCAGCCAGGAAATGAGACTACCGCCACTGGAGGTGGGACCAAGCATGGTGGAATCGAATCTGCTGCCGAAGTCGTTGCAACCCCAAGTGATGGCGCTTCCACTACTATGCCTGGGGCCTCAGCCTCTCATGATCCCGCTTCTCATGATCAAGTCCAGCCTGTGTCCTCAGCAGACCACCTTGAAGAGCATCAGCCGGCAACAAACAGCAACGAGGAAGGTCTCACATGTTCCATTTGCACTGATGAGTTTGTCAAGGGACAGGACATCCGTGTGCTTCCCTGCAATCACAAATTCCATCCTGAATGTGTTGATCCATGGCTGCTAAACGTCTCAGGAACTTGTCCGTTGTGGTATGTACTTTTTAGGCCGGCCCTCATTCTCCGAGCCCTCTTGTCTTAACAAGGTATGCTAATTTATCTAGCCGTATTGATCTCCGTCCTACTACCTCTCGCACCTCGGAAAATGACCGCCAAGAATCTGATTCCCATGATCATGGACGCAATGGCCTTCCTCCGCCACTTGCCGCTGATGCCGAAACTGCTACCGGCGGCCCAGGAAATCGCTCCTCTCGTCGCTTTAGCGCCTTCATTCACCAGACACTTGGCCCCAGCCGGATGCAAGACGCCACTGCTGAAGAACGCATTGCTGTTTTACGTCGATTCCGCGACCACTGGCGACAGAACAATGAAACCTCTGCTTCTGACCGTAATGGATCTGGTGTTGCGCCTAATTATCCCGATGGCGAGCAAGATCGCTCAACCCGTCAACGCCTGAATGCCCGATTCCGCGATACATTCCACATTCGCACTCGTCGCCGGGATAGCATGCTTGTAGGAGCAACTCACGATCAGCATGGTCCAACGGCTTCATCTGCTTCGAACAACGATCAGCCGCCTCCGGAAGTAAACGGCGATCCTGCTTCGCGGGTCTAAGCCCTGGTCCTCCATTGCCTCGCATTGCATGACACAGTGTTTCTCGATTGTTATTTCTCATCGGTCTTTTCGCCTTCTCTCGGAATTCTCGGCTTCACCACAAGAAGACATGGGATTTACAAGCGAGCTACAATAAAATCTAGCGCTTTTAGTGGGGGCATTTTTGTTCCTCACAGTACCTTACGGAGTTTATTTACAACGAAATCCATCACCTGCGGGCAGGCGTTTATCGGGTACGGGTTATGATGTCCTCCTGAATCGGCGCATGGCCTTCATCTACTCACGATATTTATGATATGACGGGAATTTATGGAGATTAGCTGCACTGACACTGGGACGACTGATTTTTACTATGGCTCATATTTATCTATTTACCTATGGATATCTCCGGTCTCAATTGGCGTTTTTATTTATTTCGGCGGCACGTTCGGTTTCAAATCAAATTTCAGCGGGTCTGATATTAAAGCAAGCAATGGAAAGCTTGAATGAGCGTCTCTCATGGCAGACATTTCACCATGGAGAAGTCCGTCTCGGTACTCATCCAAGCCTTCCTTTGTTCTTTGCATTCATGGGTTGCGGCGGGGCGTTATTCACTGATTTTCTACTTGCTTGCAATCCCCCTTTCGGCCTTTCCTGGTCCATGGTCGATCTTAGCTGATCAACCGATTGGATCTCATTGTAGGATAGGATTCGATAGGATGGAGTGGATTAGCAATATGAGCTTGAATTAGCATGGTATTTAGCATAGCTTGCTCAATTAACCTAGCTATTTAAGCAAATTTATTCAACCGGTATTCAAAGGGACCTCGTTTTTCTGTGACTTTCACTGTATCCTTCCTAATTCTATTCATCCTTTTTCGCCTCCGTTGTGCTCGCTGCCTTTTCTCTTCCCGACAACGACGCTTTCTTCTCAACATCGGCCCGGAGAAGGTTGAGTCCGAATTTGCGATACATGAAGTAATCCTATACACATTTTTCCATCACATGTAAGCCAACCATATCAAACATGATACAGGACGCCGTTACCAAAAAAGGTGGACAAAGTGGAAAGACTAAAAAGGGGGAGACAAAAGAGAGCAGAAAAGAGTAATCTCACCAAAACCCATTTCGGCGCAAATCTGTGCGCAAACCACACCTTCCAGGCCCCGTTTCCTTCCCAGATCCACGCACGGGTCTGTCTCCAGTAAAAGCCCAACCCGCTGGTTATGGTGCTGCTGCCAAACAGCCACGTCGACCATTTCCGCCGCCGTTCGTGGCGAGATATTTCCTTGAGCACGCTCCCCACGACGGACGCGGCGTACGCCTCGTTCGGCATGGCGCCTTCTTGGCTGAATTTGACGCGTCGGTCGTAGTGTTCCTGGATAGGCGCGTACAGGGAGTCGTCGATGAGGAAGCGCTCGGTGCGGGTGATCCGCGAGCGCACGCCTCCCGTGATGATGGTCAGGACTTGGACGCTATGTGTTGAATTGTGTTAGTAGGGATGCGGAGTGGGAAAGGGGGTGTACGGGTGAGGAGAGACGGGAAAAGCAAGAGAGGTGAGCAGAATAGGGTGAAAAATGGGAGGAGACAGAGGGAAGGAGGAAAAGGGTGGGAAGGGGAGGTAAAGAAGGGTGGAAGGGTGGAAGAGAAATGTAGGGACAACAACATACTCGAATGGCTCGAGCTCAAGACGGAGCGAGTCGCTGAAGCTATGCAGCGCGGCTTTGGAGGCGTTGTAGATTGCTATTTTGGTAAGCAGAGTTAGTATCTCAGATATAAAGATGGGATAGAGGTGTAGTAGGGTGGTTGGTACAGCTAATAGAAAGAGAGAGAGATATATATGGGTCTGAGTGGAGGTGACCAGGGATGGAAATACAGGGCTGAGACTTACATCCAAAGACAAAAGGCATGGTGCCTGCCAGGGATCCAAGCTGGACAATAGTTCCCTTGGACTTTATCAGCAGCGGAGCGAATTCCTGACACATTCGCACGACAGCGAAGAGGTTGACCTCGAATGTCTTGAGGATTTCGTCCTGTTGTGCTTCCATTGCGGGAACGGTGTAATCTGTCCAATGTTAGTATCATGGACAGCTTAAGGAATGTTCAAGACGAGTCAAAAACGCTTACTTCGGCCCCTATTTAAGTTAAAGTGCATGTTAGTACATATCCATCAGTTATTGCGTTGCAAGCCGCATGACCATAAAGAAGAAGCCTTTTTCTTTTCTTGTGTGGCGCATATATGACCAAAGAAACAGGTCTGACATTAATGCATCAAGAGCAGCAAATTGATTGGTCCCAACAGAGACGAGAAACACTCACGCATTGTTAACCAACACATCTAGCCCACCGCCCGTCAACCTCTCCACTTCGCGGCGCGCTTTCGTCACGCTTTCCTCATTGTCCACTTCGAGATCAAGCGTTTCGATCCCGAGCGCCTCGAGATCGGCCAAGACTGATCTTGAGCGCGCAGTGGCGAAGACGCGGAGGCCTGTAGTGTATTGCATTAGTTATATCCTTTTATTTCTATGAATACCGGCAACTAGTCCTTCCAGCTGCATATCCTTAACTTCTAGTAGAGTAACATTATCTGTTCCTTCCCAGCTGCATATCCTTAACTTCTAGTAGAGTAACATTATCTGTTCCTTCCCAGCTGCATCCAGACCAAAAGTTTCAACATTCCATCAGTTTCCGCTCGCGATGATGTAATTTGGACTTGCTCTTTAGATCTAGAAAAATGGGGTTTGAACGCTCTCAAGAAAACAGGCTTTGACATGAGACAAGGAGAAAACTTTGAACATCCATATATCAGGATAAAGTCTTGAAAACGGCTCAATTGGACTGCACCATCAAACGAATATCAAGCTTTCATAAACAGTGGGGAAAAATATATATATATATATATATATATATATATTGAGAGACTAGAAGCAATGGCAGTTAAAAGGCCAGTAAACAATGAAAACACCTACCTTTCGCATGAAATTCTCTGGCAAAGGAATTTCCAATGCCGCCAGGACTGCACCTATATATTGCAGCACACCAACGCATTAGCACTTGATATCGGATAGTGATATACTTCAAGCCCTGAGCCCTTTTTTAAAGGCTCTCAAGCCCTCCGGCCTCTAGCCCGGGATTGTGTACAACGTAGACAAAAAGAGCGTCTCGTCCGCCATGGCCACTATATGTATCGCGGTGGTCCACCACGAGGGTCAGTCCATCTTAAACGCTTGACCGTGCTGCCATTCTGACCTACCTCTCCGCTTTCCGCCATCCGCTAACCGCTGCTAGTTGAAGTAGCCACTCTTCGAACAGAGATATAGGTAAGAATGACGGCCCGATCAGTCGTTTCAGCAAGCAGCGCTTATTGAACAGCGGAGAGGTAGATACGAATGGCAGCCCGGTTGAAGCGTCTACGATGGACTATCCGACCAGTGCAATCCAAGTACCAAATGGAGTAAACCAAAACAGAGTAAACCAAAACCAGTAAAACAGAATGGAGTAAACCAAGACGGAGTAAGAGGAACATACCCAGTAATTAAAACCGTCTTGCGCTGGTCCGGCATTATTAAAAACCCCTCGATATAAACCGATTATATTATTTGGTAGAAAAGCGCAGGTGGAGCAAGACGTCCTGACGTTAGGATTAGTGGAGCTCGAACCCCAGGGTCGTTACGAAGTATCGGAGTACGTAGTATGTTGGGGAAAGAAGTCGGAGCTGCCAAGTAGTCGTGGCGTGAGCCGAGACACATGCTGCAGCTTTATTTGGATACCCGCACGAGCTTCGATGTGCATTTAACGAGATGATTGGTTCAGACACAGTACTCTCTAGGGAGGCATGCAATATTAATGCCCGAGCACGTTGAAAGAAAAGGAGGGTTTACTTTGTCAGTTGTAAAGAAATAGAATGGAATATATCAGCCGTAAGATGGTAGAATGGAATAGATTAAGGTCGACTAATCTCATAATTCAGGGTATCTCCCTAGCTACGCCGACAGTACAGACAGACCCGGTGGTGAAGTAGGTAATCACTCCAGGAATAAGTTACAGCACACATACAAAGTAGAAACAATAAGAAAGAAAGGAAGAAAGAATCGTAAATCCGCTAATTCCCCGTCTCGGGGTCAATCGCTTCTTCGTCGGCCTGCCGCCGTCTGACACCGTTGTTGTCGGAAGGCGATAGTATATCTTGGCCCTTCCAGCCACCTTCGTCTCTGTCGTCTCCCTTTTGGGGCCAGAGAATCTGGCGCAAATATATGGCTCGAATCATCATTGCAAAGACGAAGAACCATGCGATGACCAAGGCAATAGTGAAGATGCAACCGACAATTTCCAAGCCATATGCATCGAATGCTTCAGCAACGGCAAAGGTCGCCGTGATCAGTGCGGTATTGGGAAAGACGAAGCTGTACCACGTCAGTGTAAAGTCGAGTTTGCCTGGGCCGACGCATGACCAATGGGCGCCGACTGAGACGAAAAAGAACCATAGCGAGAGCCTGGAATTTATTTTCCCTAGTTAGCCGATCCTTCTAATTATTGACAGCGCCAAAGACATCGATGAAGGCGAAGGAGACACGGAGGGTTAGGGGCGAAAGTAAATGGTAAGTCATACCCCCAAAGCCAAATCCCAGCAAAACTTCCAACGACATGTAGAATAGGCGCAGTGACGGAAAGATCGCCCAGGAAATTCTCTGGCAAGGTCCGTCCGGCAGCGCTCGACATGGATATGATCCCTGTTGCGGTGAAGCCGGCAGGACCCACTGAGACAAACATGCCAGGCCTTAGATTCCCGCGGGGAAGCTTCTGTGTCATGAGTCGGTAGATGAAAGCAGCATTAATAGTCAAAGACACCATGAATCCAATGCCTTGTAGAGTCCAGCCGCCGATGAGAATAGACAGCGCCCGCTGCGATGATAACTTTGTTGCCAAGGTTCCAGCGTGGGGGCCGATAACGAGAAGCGGATACGCCGGGAAGATCCAGATGGGAGTCATTTCATTAATGGTAAATGTTTGTGTAGACCATCTAAAGGTGTAAGTTTACTGGCATATAACAGATAACTGGGGATCATTTACATCTCAAGATATATGCCGACGGAGAATAACAGTGCGATTCCGGCATAAATCCAAAAAATAATCATGACGGTCGTATTCAGCCAATGTCCGACATTGAGCAGACCATATTGACTGATGTTTAGCAAGATCAGGCCAACACTAACGATAATGGCAGGAACAAAGAGGGATTCAGTGGGATGCACAAGTGAAGCTCGCAGGCATCCCGGGTGAAGGACGAAGCGTGTTATGATCATGCAGCAATTGATGAGAAAAAGGCATAGATTAAAAATGAAAAAGATGCAGCCAATCGCAAATAGTCCAGGGAATCGGAGCGATACTATTACATTTTGTTAATGCTGATGCGTATCCATGGCGTAAGTAGACGTCAAGAAGAGATGGACTTGCCAGTATATAGCACATTGGCCACCCCGCCAGTGGCCATGTTCATTGCGAAGAACGACCATGTAAAATGCCGTATGCGCTTCTTAAAGTCCAATTCATGATGAAAGCCTCGGCCACACAACATGGCAGCGGCCCAGAGCAACAGACACCAAGCCCTCACTTCTCGAGTCGCTTTTTGTCACTTCCCGCTTTGCCGGACGTCAACGATAAAGTTGAGAGTATGATAATCGATACCTCAGTTAGTAACCTAAACCCGCATTCCAGACTCTCCCGTCCATTCATCCTTTTGGGGCTATGGATGTCAATACAACTGCAAGCCAAAAGGTGGGCGCGAGTGAATGATAACAGGTCAAAGTGTAGGATAGCAAGGCGTAATTTGAAGATGATGAAGCAACATTCTATTTATAAACCACCACAGGTACTCCGTAGCCAAGCAACTCGATTTCCTACTTTCCTTGATTCTCGTCTTGTCGAGCGTAGGTCAAGTGCCTCTGGCACCCGTGCATATCATGTCGAGAGGGACGAGTGGCCCGAGCATATCCCGAAATCCAGCCGATGCTCGCAATTTATCGGAGTATATCGACCCCAGCACGACGGTTCAATGAAAATCGTACGATGCATGCGATTGCGAGGGAGCCCCCTGGGAAATTTAAGCTTAAAATGCCAAGAATGCGAACCTGCATCAAATGAGTGATATACATGGAAGTTGCTGACGTCATATGCAGGCCAATATCAAATCTCCAACACATTCCAGTCTTCAAAGGGCACTGTATCACAAGTCGGAGCAGAAACCAGAACACCAGGCTTTGATTTATCGAAACTGGTCAATTGCCATTTTGAGCTGAAGAAAAATCATCGTAGCTTTCTACCTTTAAAAAGCGGAAAGGACTGCTATTGGTAACAGCTTTGTGAATTGCGACTGCGTTCCAGAAGTTTAACCGATCAGTACCATGGGTGGAAAACGAAGATTGTAGGGGCCACAGCCATATATATTCAAAACACAAGATAGGTCTATCCAGGTTCTATGTATTGCTCCTAAAGTTATTCCTTGGCAATGGGAGACTTTTTGTACTACGGATTCTTCCGGCAACAACACTTTTTATTTATCCATGCCATAGAATTTGCAAAACGAAGTCACAGCCACGCATCATCGAATAGTGAGGAAGAAACGCATCTGAGAGAATTGTATTGTCTTGCACTTTAGGGCGAGGATAGTGACTAATCCATTTCACTTAATTGTCGAACCTGTCTGCAAGAATAAGGAGATAACTTGGCAGCTAATGAATATGTACTGCTTACGCAAGTCTAAATCTCGGCATCATTTGCATCACGAAAAAGAATGGAAGTCAAAATGTATTCACACAAGCTGTATTGATATACCACCAGCAAAAAGCAGCTATCTGCTGAAAAGACACCCGAGAGGGATGCAAACACCCTCCAGCCACGTCGTCAAGACCAAAGACGACCACACAACCGCAATGTACACGAAGGCGATATAGATGAAACGATATACAAAAGACAATCTCGGGCCGTCGTCAGAAGCTATCGCGGTAGAACATCTAACAGAGTCGGCCTATATCATGAGGGAGAAATAAAGGGGGTCAAAGTGGTAATTTAAATACCGAGGGTGAACTCGACACCAACGTCGATGTCACGAGCTGAGATGATTAGTTAGCTCGCTATTTCAGCTCAAGAAAAGGTGTCCATCAAAACTTACCCATCTTAACAACCTTTGAGAACTGAACTGACTTCTCAGCAGCGCTCTGCAGGTCGTCAATGGAGAAGATCTTGAGACCGGACTCGTTAATCTGCAGCGAGAATTAGCATAATCACGAAACCTTAAAAGGGGAAAAGCAATTTATTGGCGACCCACAAGCTGAGCGGCCTGCTCCATATTGGTACCCTGGAGACGGGCGATGATGGGAGTACGGAGGTTCATCTGCTTGACAACGGAGATAAGACCGTTGGCAATGGCATCGCAGCGAACGATACCACCGAAGATGTTGACGAAGATAGCAGTGACCTTGGGGTCAGAAGTAATGAGATCGAAGGCCTCCTTGATAGCCTCAGCGGTAGCACCACCACCGACGTCTGGACGGCGTTAGCAAATTATCTCTAGGACAAGAAAAGCCACGAGAAATCTCTTACCCAAGAAGTTAGCGGGGGAGCCGCCGTTGAGCTTGATAATGTCCATGGTAGCCATGGCGAGACCGGCACCGTTAACTAGAGCGTATTAGCGTACATGACCCTTTGAAGTAGGTGAATGTGGTACTCACCCAAGCATCCAATGTCACCATCAAGCTTGATGAAGTTCAAACCGTGTCTGAAGCACAAACGTCAATTGTAAATTCATGGATATGAGATCCATAAAGCAAACATACTCAGCGGCCTTGACCTCCTCGGGGTCCTCCTGGGTTCTGTCACGGAGAGCAAAAACCTCCTGTTGTCTGAAGTCGGCGTTGTCGTCGAATCCAAGCTTAGCATCCATAGCAAGGACCTGGTGGTCGGAGGTCTCAGAGAGAGGGTTGATCTCGATCTGGGTAGCATCCTTCTCCATGAAGAGCTTGTAGAGCTTCTGGATGGTGTCCTTGGCGTCCTCAATGCACTGCTGGGAGAAGCCGATCTTGGTAGCGATCTCGCGAGCGATCTCATCGGTAACACCCTCGTGGATGTTGATCGACTTGGTGATGATAGCCTCAGGGCTCTCCTTGGCAACGGTCTCGATGTCCATACCACCCTGGGAAGAGGCAATGATGACGGGACCCTGGGTAGCACGGTCCATGAGGACGGCAAGATAGAACTCACGGCGGGCGAACTTGCGCTCGCAAATGTAGACGGAGTTGCAGATACGGCCCGCAGCGCCAGTCTGCTTGGTGACGAGCTTGTGGCCGATCATCTGCTCAGCGAACATCTTGGCCTCGTGGGGACTATATGTAGAGGATATAATATCAGCCATTGAGGCTCAGACGCAAGCCAATAGTGCCCAATTGAGCTCAATTAGAAGATATCCTTACGAGTAAACCACTCTCACACCACCCTTGAGACCGTTATCGAAGGTACCCTTACCACGGCCACCAGCAAGGACCTGGGCCTTGATAACCATGTCGTTGTCGCCTAAGTACCATGAGCATCTTACTTAACAATTCAATCAATAGCTGGCATGTAATTCTTACTGATCTTCTTGGCGATGGCCTCGGCCTCGGCCGCAGACTTGGCGACCTCACCAGCAGGAACACCGACGCCATACTGCAGAAATCAGGGTCAGCTTCATTATAATCACCAATTGAGCGAGAAAATGGGTGGTTTCGTACATCCTTAAGAATCTTGCATGACAAGTACTCATGAAGAGACAATGCACGCTTCTGCTGAGCACCAACAGTTCTCAATGGGGCGCCCTGGTAGCAGCTATGAGCTCTTTGTTCAAGATCTTCTGCGGTCGCAGCTTAGTGGTAATCGGATAATACGAACCTGGAGCGCTCTGGTCGCACTCGCCAAAGGCCGGTTCCGAATCAGTTTGAACATTGCGAATGGCTTATGCCGGCGGAGAGGCCCAGGGGTTGGAGAAAATATGGATTAGCGGGGGGTTTGGTTTCGTCGACGAAGATTGTCGATGAAAGTTGAGGTTGCGATCCTACGGAGGTTCGTTCTTGGTTGTCGATGTCACACCCGGCAAGCGAAGCCAAAATTGACGAGACTAGAGAGACCTTAAGCGCAAAACACCAACTGCCATTTATGAGTCTAATAACGCAAATATTTATCTTAAAATTGCAAAGGCTTTCGCAACGGGCTAATTGACATTTACTCTAGAGAAATTCTTAGCCATGCCAGCGACGACATCTGAAGCAGATATCGTCTTCAACAGAGCCAATGTTGCTCTCGCAAAAAGCCAAAGGCTCATCGCATCCTGGCTTCCTCCGAAGACATCTGATGAGTCTGCAAATGCGAAAACCGAAGAGGATCTTGACCGTGAAGAGCAAGAAATTTTCACGCCTGTGCCGGACCAGTAAGCATTCTTTCAATGAACGACAACTCATATGAATGTTGTTTATATTGACGCTTGATTTCACACAGGCTAGGCCTAGGCGCCCCTCTTCCGAAGGATGTGCCTGATGGGGCCGTCAAACGAAGAGATCTCAGCTCAAACGAGGCTCTTCGAAAGCGTCTCCTTGGAAAGAATGCAAACAAAATACAGTCGAAATCTCTGCCCGCGGTACATGGATCATCGACGCCGTTGCCAGGAAAAAATACTTTGGCGGGCAATAAGAAGGGTGATCTTTCCCGTTCTGGTCCTGTTCACGCGCGCTACAGCGCAGCGACCAGCGACGACGAAGACGATGAGGGCGGCCGATCCTCATTAGGAAAATCGAAGAAGCGTGCTACCAAATCAGAAGAGACGATTCCCAACCTGGGAAGCAAGTCTTTACCCGAAGCAGAAGACGACGAAAGCAATGAAGAGGGCCGGGCTTCATCGAAAACACAGCCTTCCTCTGTCGCGCAGTCTACCACTAGTAGCGTGAAACGCGCCCGGGCAGCGAACTTTTTGGACGAGATGCTCGCAGAAAAGGCACAGAGAAAGAAGAAAAAGAAGAACAAGAATAAGCAGAAAGAAGCGACAGGAAACAATGAGTAGAACATCCAACAAGGGCTGATGGTTTGCATGAGGTTCTAGTCGCCTCAGATCCAGCTCCGATACTATATTGGAATGAATGTCACTCTTGGGGCGACTCTACGGCAAGCTCCCCAGTAATACTTGATTTCAAGCGTCCGGGAAGTTCTAGAGAATTGCAGCCAACCTAGAATACGACTTACTTGGATGTGAGGTTGACTTTCCGCTAGGACAGCCATCCTCAGCGCTGATGATGATGTTCGAGGCAGCAGTATGATTCAACTCTTGCGCGCAGCTCAGCTCATGATCTTAAATGTCAACAACGCGATATTGCTGGTTGGTCATTCAGAGCAACTCAATCTATTTGTCTCTCCGATTGATACCTAGTTCGCCATCTTGTCAGCCAGCGAATTTATACAGGCGCCAGATCAGGCTAGGTCCAAGCTGTTCTGCATGCTGTGCAAGAATTTGCGGCTTGACGATGAGATGTCAAATATTCCTCTGGCGCATTGACACATACTGGCACATTCTCTGCCATTCAGCGGATTGTGAATAGACTTGATATAATTAAATATTTGGATGTCGAAGAGTTTCCCTCCAGACCGTGTCGCTATTAAACAGATAATCGATGCACATGCACAAGACTGCTCCCTTTCGCTTCTGATTCGATAATGAGAATGCTCATGATGGTCAGTCATCCTTGCAGAGGGCCAAGGTCTTCCATTGGAAAAGTGAAATGAAATTCAAAATATGTAGACGCCTGTCGCTTGCTAATATGTTGGTTCCTCTGCTGTCATCCACACATGCAGCGGTCTGTCTGCGCCTCCCCATCTTCATCCTCTCTGAGCCCTCTGTACGAGCTGATAAGAGGAGAAGACGTAAAGAAAAGAAAAATCAAAAGAGCTAAATATGAAGAATGACAGCGCGCTTCCCATTAGGTGGCATATATATATGCAAAGAAAATCAGACATTCCATTCATCTTCAGGTCGACTCCTATCCCATGCGATATTGGTAAGCGCGCTCATCAAAAAAGAAAGGTTCCATATATGGTACAAATCGAGAATTTGGCCGCGACTTTTGATACAAAAAGAAGTGCTATTATTTGAAATCAGAAGCCAGTTGGATATCATTCTGCAAAAAAAATCGTTCTGAATGGCGTAGAAATAGATGCAAAATGCCTTTTTTTTTTCAATCATTGGTAGAATGCTTCGGCGACATTCCAGTTATTGTAATCGCTTGCGCTTTCGATCCTCATTCGCTGCCTCGTCCTCGTCTCTCTCCATGGTATCGGTTGGGTTGAGAAGCGAATGCACATTCGAAGCCATACTTGACCGCCGAGTTGGCGGTCCCGGCGTATCGGTCGCTTTGAGGGGGTATCGTGGCGCCCCGAGGGACCACGCGCTGTCAACGCTCAGAGTCGAGGGCGTCGTGTCATTTGTCAAGGGCGGCGTAGCCTGTCTAGAACCCGGAGGGCGGGGTGCACGGATCTCATAGGATGCTAGCGCATCACGGAGTTGTTGGTCGCCATGATTTGGTGTTCGCTGGGGCGAAGATGGCCATTGCGTGGAGGAATGACCAGAAGCAAAAGGAGAGTTTCCAGGAGGCGGCGCTTGCCAACCGTGAAGACGTATATCGGCAGAAGTATGACGACGTGAGAGGTTGGCAGGCGGGGAGGATGTGGTTATTAAGGGATTTGAGGGGCCCGGCCCCAGCATTGCGTGAGGCGGAGGAGGCGGAGGAGGCACATACGGTCGGAGCGTAGCTGATGACGCCGAGTTGCTGATAGATCCATAGCGACGAGGTGAGGCAGCTAGGTGGGGCGGCATGGGAGCCCGGAAGAAGCTTGGTCGTCCGTTGCCGGCGATTGAGGATCTCCGCGGATCATCTTGTGCGAGCTGCCGTGGCGAAATCGGTGCCGAATCCAATGTCATATTCGAAAAATAGGGTTGCCGGCCGGACAATAAGACTTCGTGCGGGTCTTCGAAGCTTCGCAAAAGATCCGTCTGCCGAGCAACTTCTTTTTGCATCATTGAAACTATGTCTCTCTTAGCCAATGAACGCGAACAAAGGGGAAAAATCGAAGTTCTGCAGGACTAGCTTGCTTACGGTCACGGCGGAGCTGGTGTTCGGGGTCAGGTACTAATGCCATGATTGCATGCGAGAGATCATTATTCCACTGCACCAGATTAGCGTACATTTCCAGTGGTCAATGTAGAATAAAAGGTCGTCGTACCTGGTGGCATCTCAAGATCCCATCGAAAAGTGCTTGGCACTTGGCAGTCATCAAAGCGTAGCCTTCTTCCGTGCGGGCCAATCTCGCACTCATATCGTACATTGAATGCTCAAGGTTGGTCAGCCGTACATCTGTGGTGTCCGGCATCGGCTCAGCAGGTGTCCCCGGTTGTGATGCAGCTCCTTTAGGGCCAGAGGGGAATGAATCCCGATGGATCAATGCATGTCGCGACGCTCGACGTTTTATTTCCCTCAACCCCATAAGATCACCCCGGCGAAAACTGCCATTTCCGTGTTTAAACTCCCACAACGGCGAATCTGGTGACCCGGTTTGGAACACGTCGCTCACTAAGAGAAGATGTGAGTTTGCAGAAGTTGGGATAGAGGAAGTTTGACAGACCTTTATGAAAACCGTACATGTTGAGTTGACGGACAAATGAAGATATATTTGTATGCTTGAAATATTGCCTGCCAGTTGATGTTAGTCGGGAAAGAGGGTTGCGCTCTGGGCGGCTGGTGTTGCTTACGCAAGAACCTTGGAGAACTCATTTGAAGGAGACATGACGAAGCTCTCTCCGGAGGTAGACCATGAAATCAAGTGTGAGATGTTTTGGTCTTCCAGCATACTGTGAAAGAAGCATGAGTACGACATTCAACTTCAACTACCACATCGAATTGGTACGTACTTGTAGAGCTTGTGGATAAACGCCGTCTGTACAACCTTGGGCTGTTGGGTGGCTGCTGCCGCGGCTGCTGCCCCTAATCCCGGACCTGGCCCAGGAGCAGAAGTCCCATTGGTCGACCGACCATTTTCGACAGCGCCATTGTGATTGCTTTCCTGTGCGCGATCTTTGTCGTGATAAGTCGGCACAGGCGGCCTCATCGTAGCTGATGTAGGTGTCGTCACATCCATTGGGTCTCCTCTCGAAGCAGCTTCTGAGGAAGCAATGGACGGTAAAATAGGGATGGTAGTCTTCAAGTTCCCGCCTTGAGGTTGATCACTAGCAGTCGAGATTCTGACCGGGCCCTCGTCCGGCGAAGGCATGTTGATAATACAGGTGCTCGAGAAGCTGATAGCGAAAGACTAGTTCCTCGTCGAACAAATAGACGCGGTGCTCGCAGTCGCTGAGATCTGCGGAAACAAGCCAAGGGAAGCAATGGCAGCCTCAACGCTGACAATTCGGTCGACAGCAAGATACCAGTTCGAAATACGAGTTGAGCAGCATTGACAAGTGAAAAGAGTAATGTGCAGTCCCCTCACACTGTCAAGACAGACCGATATCGAGCCTTGTCTCGATGGCCAACGCGCATTCGACTAACAACCCAGTTCAAGACGTATGCCGATATCAGTCCATGTATTTCCAAGTCGATCCTTGTGGCAACGTGCTTGGCTCAATTGCAGGCTTTGGATTCTGAGAATTAGGGCTGAGGCAGATGACAAGAATGAAAGTAGCTTTTGGTCGCCCAAAGGGTGCGTGTCGAATGGAACTGACACCGGGCCGGTCCGCGAGATTCCTTTGTTCAATGGGCGGATGATGAGGCTGCTGTCTGCCGCGGTCAGGTATTCAATCCAAACCAAGAGGATTCCACAATGAATCAGGTTTGAAGCGCACAATGTTGAAAGACCAACATGCGCCGTGAAGAAGGAGAAGAAGCATGCGTAAATGGCAGGAAGAAAGTGCGTCAAGAACAGAGAGGGAGGCGTCTGGGATGGGGATGGGGATGGGGATGTGGATATAGCGATAACTTACCTCAGGTCGGTAACAGTGGTTAGCTCGCAGTGATACCACCCAGGGCCGCTCGAGGGCCAGACGCGGGCCACGGGCGGCGACACCCTATCGGACACCAACTAACTAACTAAACTTCTACGGGTGGCGGAACACTGAACACACGCAGCTTTAGTTTCCCCTCTAGGATGAACCAGGTGAACGTGCGTGAGTGGTTGAGTAATAAGAATCAGGGCAGAGTCACCGTGTGTTCTTGTCGTGACCAATACAAACGAGTTACGACAGTAATAGTGAGCACGAGAAGGAAGTTAATGTACAGCACAGACACAATTTCCTGCGCCGTTGAAAAGATCGGTTGTGTTCCGTCTCAGGGACGACGGCAAAAAGACACTGAAGGTTACCGGCGGGTACGTTCCCTCCTCGCTCTCCCGGTTCCTGTCCCCTTGTTCCGACTATCTGTCGCGATTGCTTGGGTGGCTGGTTGGTGGATTGAACAGCCGGGCGGGATGCTGATAGCGTAGGGAAAAGAGAACGCAACAGGCCAAAAAGTACAATTGTCAGGGCTGTTGGTGTCATGTCAGAATTTCTCTGCTGTCTTTCTCTCTGTCTCTCTTCTCTTCCAAAATCTCAATCCATGGATGTACAAGAGGGGCGGAAAGGGGAAAAAAAAAAAAAAAAACAAAGCATACTGCTCTGTTGAAGGAGCCGAGCACGCAATTCGAGAGAAAAAAAATGCTAGATGTGCTTCTTAGCTTTCTCTAGAATGGTGCTCGAAGGGCGGAGACGGCGCCGAAAGGCGTTGGCATTTGAGTATGTAATGATATCTGCTTTCCCAATCCCCAGAACCGCGGCCGAACCCATGCCGCCCTAAGACTGGTGAGGGAGAGCTGGCGCACTTACTTGGAGCTTAGCAAAAGGGTAAGTTAATGCATCGTAATAGCTTTGCATAAACAAGTGAGGCTTCCTATTTTTTGGGAGCACTTGTGCTTCACTCTACAGTGATCCTGAGTCACAGTCGCACAATGATGATCTTAGTCTCGTTTTCTCTCCAAGTGATGATGGCTATATCGACAGCCAATTCACCCTTTGAGGCTCATGATTTCGGGCCACCCACCGTCATTCCCGACATGGGGGCAGTTTCGCCATCGGTTGCCGCCGCCGCCGCCATCCTCCCAGTGGCAGGCCATCAATGGCATTTGGTTTCCGCGTGGCTTGCAAGGGGTACAGAGCCGGATCAGCATGTCAAATCTTTTTTTCTGTAACTGACCATCCATGAACGAAGCCTCGGTTTATCAGGCCAAACTTCATGCAAGTAAAACAAAGCACAGTTCAAGAGAGCGCATGACAAGGAGCAAAACAATTTTCCAATCGCTGTTCCTGGATTAACTGGGGGAGAAAGTGCGTGGAGCCAAACCATAACAGATCCCCCCTTGCAGGCGAAAGACATGCAGAACCTTTGCTGCGGGAGGCCACGAGCGGACAAATAAACAAAGAAAGTGGACCATCCCAGACGTGAGTAGTGTTCGGGTTTTTTTGACAACCCACGTGCCAATAGAAAACACTTGCATGCGGCCGCATTGCTTGAATCGCCCATTCAAAAGGCCAGAGATAGCTGGTGTTGACGGGACTTTCTCCGTCCTATCGTGGACACTGGCAACATCACCATAGCAGATTATCACACGAAACACAAAGTGGCTGATGAGCCTTGTTGATTGCCTGTACTTTGCCTGTACCAACAGAAACGTGCGCGATAGGAAGATATCATATGATGACGGGCGTGTCGTGTTCCGCAGAGAGTTGGAATTCCAATTCGATCGGACTCAATTCGGAGAGTAATATTTAAGACTGAACTGGATCCATCGTATCCTAGCTGGGATCACTAAAAGGCACCAGAAGAGAAGAGAAAAGGAAGGCGACGCTTGGCCCTTCAAGACAAGGCAAGAGCAGGGCCAATAAAAAGGCGAGAATTGGACACCCAGGGTCGTGACATTATTTCGGTGTTTAGCTGCTCTGTATCTCCTTCCTCTTTCTCTTTTCTGCCCATGCGCCGAGAGGCAGGTGAGGGAGGCCACCGAGAGTACGTCACATCAGAGTATCCAAAGATGCAGAATGAGGCATGGACCCTGCGATTATCGGACATGACACAATCCAATCATCGTCCTCTTCTGTCCAAAATTCTCCCGACCCGCATTGGCGCATTTGGCCCCTTTACTCGGGAAGGACATGGCGATCTCCCCAACTTCGGTCCGTTCAAAACTAAAGGAACATGGCCCCGCCAGATAAGCTCTGCGACTCCCTGGCCCTTATCACGGCACTGAAGCTAGCCTTGCATTTATTTGCTGCCGCCGTGTCCTAACTGCAAAGGTGCCTTTTGGTGACATCTTAGCTCGGCACACGCATAGAGTGTCTCTTCTAGGAAGCTCACAGAACTTACTCCAGTATGTCGTCGAGCGTACGAAGTAGCTATTAGTCTTTGCTTTAGTTTTAAGCAAGGTAAAGCGACGCAGGCAAGTGGAGACCCCGGGAAAGAGGAGGGATGGTTCGCCTCTGTGCCAAGCTTCGAATTTTCTTCTCATGACTTTCGTTGTGCATGGCATCGTCGATCCGGAAGCCTCACATCCGCCTGCATGCAAACCATCATCCCAGTAGAGATAATTACGATAACATTTATCAGCAAATGAAGTCCTCGCCACTGCACACAAGAATTATGTGGCAATGAGATGTTTTGTCCAACCCGTCCATGGTCCCTCGGCGATTCAAAAGGAGGGCGGTAGCCAATTCAGGTCACGTGATGTTCTCACCGCCCTGGCAGAAAGCAGCGGTTCATATTTGAATGCGGTGATATTGTCCAAAACAAACACCCCCTGCGTGCACGACAGTGACGTTAAAAGAGGCTAGCTAAGGTATATACTGAAGAAGCATTCAATGCGCTACCAGTAACTCCAACAGGAACGTCATCGATATTACCAGATGTTTGGTCTGGGTCTCGGAATCTGTACATCCAGTCAAGCTTGTCAACCATGTGGTGCAACATGTTAAACGACGCAAAAATGCCCCCATGTCAGCTCAAAGAACCATCGGCAAATTTGTTGAGACGCGAAATGTGAGGTAATTTAGATCTTTAACTCGAAGCCTGATACTAAATTGTCTTTCTCCTTCCAGACTTGATCGTTTTGTACAAGGACTGAGTTCATATGAATGGCGATATTTAAAAGATCAACTCAATGCACGGACGTTCCAACAAGACCCCATGGCAGTACTGCCACTAGAGATAATTTGCAATATTGTTCCACACGTCAGCCCTACCGATGTAGTTCGATTAAGAAGGGTGCGTGCCCTTTCTATCCCTTGTCCTGGAAGATCCGCATTTAATCAAGCTTTCTTGCGGTGATTTTATGGCTTAGATTAAACATCAACAGGTTTCACGGTTATGGCGGACCATGTTAAGATCAGACGTAATTTGCGCCGCAGTACTCGAAACGCAATTGGCTGGTGAATGGGAAACGCCCTCCCAAAAGCGCCGACAAAATCATGCCCGGGTCTATAGCTTGGCGCAACGTCGGCATGCATTTGCCCATGGAAGGCCACACAGCGTGATAAAGGTCGACACTACTGTTGATCTATCGGGGCACTCCCATCTAGAGCAGACTGAATATCGTCCACGGCAGCTGAGATGTGCAGCATATTGCCAGGGCAACTTGACATGGATTAGGAAAAGCAAACAAAATGATAGCTCTTTAATGGTCTTCTTTTTATTAACCGGAAAGAGCCACGAAATTCGGCCAAGACAGCGTGAGCGGCTGCTTTGGGCCACTATATCGGAATCGCTCGCGGCAGCGGTGTCGATCATGGGGTAGTTCAATGATCTTGTATAAGACTAAATCATTATGGCTAATGATCTACTAGGATTTGTTACGTTTACGATTTGGAGAAATGCGAGCAGCATTCTTTCCGGTTGCCGTCAATATCACTCTCCAGCTTTACCAGCAAAGGGACTTTGGTTGCTGCGGCCCTGCGCGAGAAACCCCATACTGTTATCATCTGGGACCTCAAAACAGGCCGAGCGCGGTCCTTTGACGGCCTCGATGCATTTTACACTATCGTCCTAGATCCACAAAAGGAAACCCTATTTACTTTCGACATTCAGTGCCTTGACACGGAGCGAGCAACATTAAAATCGAGGGAAATGAATTTCAAAGGCGAAAAGCTTAATTCTAAGGAATTTTCCCTCGATATTTGGCTGGACGAAGTCACAAATGGGGATATTTCCAACTTGGGACAAGCAAACTATGCTCGAGGAGCCTATAGCTCCTTTGGTGCCGTCCCATATGATGCCAATGGTCGATATGTTTTGCATCGGTTGGTTAAGGCTGACCTAATAGATTTTACACGCGTCGAATATATCGCAGTGTTTGATACCAAAAGTCATAGCTTGGAGATCAATGAACCACTACCAGTACGCAAGATTTTGGAGCGGGATTTTATTCCTGATATCAAACATGATCATTGCTGGAACGATGTCGTTTACTACCTTGGTTGCGCACACTCCCCACTGCCTTTATCATTTGTCAGGGATTTGCATGAGCCTTTCACATACAGCGTCTCTAGGCGGAGTTTCCTGCAAACGCCCAATTTTTCGTTTGACAGCAGACGCAGATTTTTTTCGTTTCTTGATGAAGGTGGCGAGGAGCTCGACGATCAGCTTCATGGGGATGATGAAGATGACGACTATTCAGATGATGTTTTGTCCAGCGCTGACGGTGCCTTTATGGTTGAAGCCAACTCAGAGGAGTTCACCATCTGGTGTTTTGATGAAGACTTTGCAAAATATGAAGTTACCTAAGCATCTCACGCGGGGAATATTTTTCCTTTGGTTATTTTTTTCTGCACCCTAGGGGTCATGTTCCCGCTATTTCTCGAACACTTGTAATGCTATAATTCCCCTTATTTTTTTTATCTTGTATTACCAAGAATTTTGGCTATAATGGTCAGTCCCCAATAAATGCTGTGGGCACTCCAGCAGGATGAGGTGAAAGAGAATGTTGAAACTGAGTCTTTTCTGCTTATTGTGTGATTTACTGGGGTGTACTGTGGGGTTTGGCAGTGTCGTGACATTGCTGCTGAAGGGTATGACTGGTACAATTTATCTTGCAGGATATTAATAAAAATAATTAATCAAATAATTAATTAAGTAAATAGGAAAAATAAAATCAAATTAAAATGATTACATATATTTAAATTTAGTTAAAAATATCGACCAAATAAAACAAGAAATGCAGAACTCGTGAACACCAAAGGCCGAAATTGACTGATTGACGCATACCTGGTATCAACTGTGTTTATTCCTCTAGTCAGGACTCCGTCAACTTTTGGAAGAGAAATCACTTTCCGAGGAAAAGAATGAGACCGACTACGCCTGCAATTTCGCATGCATGTTTCGTTGACAAATATATTTGTCATTCGTATGGGGATAAATGGTTAGTCCCTGAAAACGACGGGAAAATTTCGGGGGCGGCCGATGGGGCATCTCCAGAACAGTAAAAGGTTAGAGAAAACGTGCCCTCAGTATCATCGATATCTAAACCTAGAGGCACCGAGAAAAGAGGCCTAATTTCCAAGCTGCAATGCAAAGATTAACATTTGGACAAATCAATGAAATTTGCTTGCATTTTCTGCAGTAAATGTTGTATTTTCTACATTTAGGGCGGGGCATCAGGGCCCCATCGGACGAGTGTCAGGACAAGTCCGACGATACAGGAACACGAGTTGCCTGTTTTGGTTTAGATTTTATAAGCGAGCCAATCGATTGTTCGCATTAGCATTCAGACGTCAGTGCATCGCCGAGCCGCCAGCAAAAAAAGTGTCGGAACTCTCCACCTCGATTTTGCTGCAGTTTATTGTTGCGACCGTTTTATTCCTCTCCACCTTTTTGAGTCTCGTGTTAACTTTTTTCTCTTGCTTTGCTACTGTCTGATTTGTGCTCTTTGCATCTATTCACATTTAGAGACAAAATGTCTGTCCAGAAGGTCTACGCGACGTATAATCAGGTAGGTGAATTTCCTACTTTCTATTTGCTTGTGTCCTGGCGCTAGTATGACCACATTCGCTATCGCTATCGTCACACTGTGAAGATTCGCGAGGAGTATAATGTTACTGCTTGCCTTGATCGAACAGATTCAAGTCGAGTAAGCTTTACAAGAAGTGTGGGACAGAGCACTTTGGGGTCGCAATGTAGCTGTACAGACTGCGTACCTCCCCACCGTTTGACAACCTGAGAGGAGGGGCAGCTGTTCAAAGAAGACTAGACTGAAGAAGGTGTGCTGACATGTCTGTTTGCTCTAGATTCACAAGCTCTGCCAGGAGTCCGCTCCGCAGATTCTTGAGGAATTCAAGCCCAACCTTATGATCGCCATTGGCGGTGGTGGTTATGTTCCCGCTCGTATCCTCCGGTATAGACACCTCCCTAGGATTTTCCCTGTATCCACAGCTATACCTGTATCCCACAGCTATATCAGTATTCCACAACCATATCCCTGATGCATTGGCCCAACTTGGATATTGCAGTCATTAGCAAAGCAAATGCTGCGCTACACTTAAACTCACATGAGATGAGAATGAATCTGTGTCTAATACGGCGATTAGATCCTTCCTCAAGCGCCCCGGCAGCCCAAACATCCCTATCCAGGCCATTGGTCTCTCGCTGTACGAGAACCTGGGCACGGCCGATGACCCTGTCGAGACTCCCGGCACCAAGGTCACCCGGACACAATGGCTGGACATGAGCAGTCTGGAGATGGCCAACTTGATTGGCAAGAACATTTTGATCGTCGACGAGGTTGACGACACTCGCACTACCCTCGAGTATGCCGTCAAGGAGCTCCAGAAGGATGTTGAGATTGCCCAGCAGCGTCTGGGCCGCACGGGCGAGAAGACCAACTTTGGCATCTTTGTTCTTCACGTACGATTTATTCCTAAGCTCACAGAGCCACATGGTTCCTTGCATATGACTACATCTCGAATCTGTAGGAACTAACAATTTGTGCAGAACAAGGACAAGACCAAGAAGGGCGCCCTCCCCGAGGACATGCTCAACGAGAACCGCTACGTTGCCGCCCGTACGGTTCCCGATGTCTGGATCTGCTACCCTTGGGAAGCTACGTACGTATTCACCTCTATTTTCCATCCCACTCATTTCAAATTCTCTACTCCTACTATCGATTTCTTCAAGCAATATACTAATTGGTACGAATAGTGACATTGACGAGCACGACCGCCTTGCCCACGAAGCTGAAAATGGCGGCAGCTCCGTCCAGCTTCAATAAATGGCTAAAGAAAAAAAAAGAAATCAGAAAATGTTCATCCCGAATAATCCCCCTCTTTCTACACCAATACCACAATTTTTTTTCTTCGCCCAGAATTTTGCAACAGACCTCGAGAAGTATATAGAGCAAAAGAGCCTGGATCTTGGAATGTCGAACGTGGAACGTTGAACGTTGAACATGGAACGCAAAGCATCATCGCGCTACTAACAATCGCACACCCCGCCATTCACGATTATATGGTTCCAGAGTCTTGTCCCCTTTGACCGAAGAACATTCAAGCGGGCCGGATCATACGTCGTGTCGGTGAAGATGGGATGCAAATCAAGGACAAAGGACATTGGAGTTTCATATGGAAATAACATTCTACCCCCAGAACACTTTACTTAAACACCCCCCGGCCCAGATCATACGCTTGCTTAATGTCGATAATGAGAAAAATAATGCCAATTTCATATTCTTTAGTTTTGATACACGCTAAACACTTTTGAGCCATCTTGTCCCTGTTTCCCATCTCCCATGAAATTAAACGCCGCTTTCGAACGCCAGATATATCTTTCTGTATCTACACCACGACATCCCATTCCGCCATTCCACCATACCAGCACATTGTGACAGATCATCACGTGGAAAACTGTCCCGCGCCCAGCCCAAACTTTTTCGCCAACCACCCACTGCCGTGCTCCTGGTACTCTTGCCTCGTGACGACAAGATGCTTAAGCGCGTCGCGGTTCGTAGCAAGTCGTGCACCACCTGTCCATGTCGATTTTATAGGACTATAGATAGTTAATTAGTACCCATTTCGTTTCATTTCATTTCATTTCTTTTGGTTTTGGTTTTGGTTTTGGGTTTGTTTTGCTTCTTTCATTCGTCCTTTTCCTTTTCTTCCTTTTCATTTCTTTCCGTCCGCGAGCCAGGCAGGACAGAAAAGTGATATAAACAACAATCTTTTGTTGAAACCATGAACTGAAAAGAAGTGAAGAGGCGTGAGGTGAAGCGAAATGAAATGAAGGAGGAAACGAAAATAAAAAGAAAGAAATAATGAAAGATTGAAACGAAATGAAACAAAAAAATAAAATAAAATATGTTATAAAAAAACAACATTTAAAATAAAAAGAATAGAAAAGAAATGTCGTCTCTGTGGATCGAACACAGTACCTCCAGATAACGCGCTGCGTTAAAGACAGAAGTTGACTTCAGTCTGGCGCTCTCCCAATTGAGCTAAGACGACGAAACGACTTGTTGGAAAAGCGGGCGCTAAAGTCGTTTATGAAACCAAGTTCGTAGTCGCCTCGGTTTCGAATGCACAGCTCTTGGGAGAACTACAGAAGCTCAACCGACGAAGCTCAAGAAGCCCAACAGACGCTCGACAGAAGAGATGCGATGCGATGCGATGTGATGGAACAGCAGATAAAGGTAAAGAATGGTAAATAAAACAAAATAGAAATGAAGGGAAGAGAAAAGGGAGATAAAGATCAGGAAGAAAAGATAAAAAAGTAATAACGTAGCGTATACTAATAATGAGAGGTAGAAAAGAAAAGAAAGGAATAAAGACGAAAAGGAAAGGAAGGAAGGAAGGAACAAAAGAAGAAGAATGGGGAAAAAGAAGGAGAAAAAGGAGGGGAAAGACGTACTCTGCTGATTTGACGACTCGGGTGGGATATTTACTTGGTGCGAGAGCTCGAATGTCGTGTTCTCTGTTGCGCGCGAAGAGGTGTTAGTAGACGGTATGAAATGAAAATGGAAATGGAAAGAGTGAAACAGAAAAGAATGGAAAAAAAAAGAAAATAAAATAAAAGGGAGAAAATAGATGAAAGGAGGACAAACGGAATAAGGAGAGGAGGATAGATAAATACAAAAATGAAACTGATAGATACTGGGGGGCAAAAGGACGTACAATCTTTCGACAAAGCCACGAATATTTGCATTGCCACCGACGACCATAATATTGGCCAGCATGGCCGGCCACAACGCTTCAGGCAAGACAGACAGACACTGCATGACTGCGCCCGGAATGCCTGCTTGCTTCATACCCACGTCTCCCGGGCTGAATAAGAGCTCTGGCACCACGAACCGCTCATTGCCAAGGGTCATAAAATCCTCTGACTTGCCGCCTGCTGCGCCCGCGCCGAGCTTGCGCAGCTTCGCCGCATGCAGGGAGTCGTGAGGGCGCATGTAGCCTTTGGAATCGATATTGTAGTCTGGCAGGACGTAATCGATTACGATATCGTCGTCATTCTTGCCGTCCCTGTCGTCGTTGTTGTTCTTGGTACTATCATCGCGACTATCGTTGTCCTGATGTGATCGCCGTCGCGGCCTGGACGGTTTTCTGTTTCTGTTTCCCTTCCAAGTACCCTCTAGATCGCGACTGAAATTGCTGCTGACAAAGGAGACGGCTTCCTTGACTTCATTCATGAGATGCGTCTCGTCCATCATGTTGTAGTGGCGTACTGAGACAAGCTCTTTGAGGTAATTTGTCAGAAACTTGCCGCCGATTTCGAGACGGCGGATCGCAGTGTTGATGGGCTGGCCGCGGTAGAGCGGCGTAATGGTTGTATGGGAAAAGCCAGAGTCTACCACGAGCAGACATTCCGCAGGAGCGATGGGAGTGGTATCTTGCTGTGGAGGGTCTTCGAAAAGCGAGCGCGTGTCGTTGTATGCGTTTAGAGAGGGACCTGGAACCTGTCAGAGACTTTCGGAGACTTGATAGAGGGGGAGTATCAAGGGAAGCCGGTCAAGACGTGCCTATACAGCGGTAGTATGATGCGAATTCGTATTCTTCAAAGATAATTTGATCGCAGTTTGTCTGCAGGATAGGAAGAGCGTTCGGTGCTTCCGTCAGAATCAGATTCGTGTCGTGGGGATCGCACTATCGGCAGAAGGTCAGCATGTCTTTCATATTCGAGGATGAATGCTGTCCTCCAAGTCCTATGGATGGATTTTTTTTGCGCACCTTAATCGCTCCCTTTTTGTCAAACAGCGAATGATCCCATATTTCTTTTTCTGCTTCCCAATTCACCGGATACCCTTTCTCGACTGGTCTTCGAAACGCCATTTCGCCAAAGTCGCGGCACTTGTCTAGTTGTGCGCCTATCCAGATCTTCTTGTCGCGACTGCGCGTCATGCAGTTTGGAATGACATGGCATTCTTTCGACGCGTCCGGCGTTTCTGTCGTCGCATATCCTGCTTTGATAGTGTATCCTCCATTATCCACGACCAAGGTTCGCTCTGGCAGCGCTCGGCCAGCGCTGGCTGGCTGTCGAGGCATGCTGCTTAAAATATGTTCCTCGCCGTCTTCCGCAGCCTCTGAAGTCCCTTTCAGCGGATACTCTCAGGCCTTTTATAAACAATTGAATGAATATGTGGCAGAAAGACCTTGCCAGCTGCAAGTGAAGTGAATCCTCAGGACCTACAAAATATTCGACGGCTGCCAAAACAATTGTCCACCTTAATTGCAGCGAACCAAGGGACCAATTCCAAGTTAGTATGACGGAGCGGAAAACTCCGCCCCGCTGACCGGGGTCTCAACTGTAACCCCCCGCTAAATTTATTGGAAACTCCGCCAAACAAATCACAAAATTTATACCTGGCCGTTTTCGAATCCTCTCACAATCGCGAAGAGTCACAATTATAATACCTCAGACTCTCCTCTGGTCAAAAAACATTGGTCTGAGTTGAGAAGAAGTCCAGGATCTGGTTTCGCAAAAATGTCTTCCACTTCAACGAGTCAGGTCGGAAAAGACTTGCAATCTCTCCGCAGCACCGTTGAGTCAACACTTGGATTATTACAGCAATTCCAGACTTCTCTCAACCTGACTGCTACTGCTTCCACCGCCGTCAACGGGAACAAAAACGACCATAACGACAATATCGAGAATCAGACGCTTCCCAATGACCTACCTAACCCTCTCGACGTGCTGCACACAGCCGGCACTCTTCTCAGAGCACACACGACCAAGCTCGGGCTGCTCATGATCAACAAACCATTTACTCCGTCCGCAATCACCACCGTGTTGCGCGAAGTCCAGACTGGATGTCTGCCAGCAATAATGGGCGCTGTGGAAATATGCTGTGCCCAGAACGAGTCTACATCCAATTCGAGCTCGAAACCTTCGTGCAGCCAGACTCTCCAGACCGAAGTCCGCGCCCGCGTGCGCCGCGTCTTTGCCGAGCTTCCTCATCTTATGCACGAAATTCTGCGCATTGCTGAAGTTGGTCGTGGTACTGCTGCGTCGCCCGCGTCAGCTGCTCCTTCTCGGCAGGCTGGGGTCATTCACGGAGGAAGCGACAGCAGAGACAGTCTGGCCTCTACTGGTGTCGTCTGGGACGCATGCGATTCTCTGATGGAGCTGCGCGACAAGGGCCTCGCAGGAATTGTCGTCAAGAAGGCAGAAGGATACAGAGACATGCTCAACGACGCGATCACCGAGTTGCGCGAATGGTCCGAGGAGGTCGAGTCGTCGGACGATGACGACGAGGACGACGACGAGGATGATGCCGAAAATAGTGATGATGACGAGGACAATGCTCAGGCCAAAGATCTGAAAGACGAAGACTTTGACGATCTCTTTGCCTCGTCGAACAAGTTGCCGAAAAACGACACGAAACTTCGCGCGCAGCTAGAGTCGTCGCTGAAGAAGCTGAAACTGTTAAGTACGCTGTATCAAGCGCTTATCAAGAGACGCTTGCAGAGTGTCCCGACTGAGTCTACTGTTGGCACTGATAGTGGAGAGGGAGAGGCAAACGGTGATGCGTCCAGAGAAGACGATATCAATGCGACGATTGATGCTCTTATGGCCAAGCTGAAAGCTATTCCCGACGGGACGGACGAGCTGGCTAATGCATTTTACGAGCTGGATGGCGAAGAAGCTGCGTCCGAAATGGACAAGTGTGTCAACCTCGCCAAGGAATCAATTGCTCTCGTGCGGACAAATTGGGTTGGAGGAGGAGATGAGTTCACCGCCTGGTCAGCAAAATGGATTGAATTTGTTGAGAAGGCTTGAAATGCTTCAAGATTTGCGTCTCATGCCCTTTGATCTTGGCATATATTGTAGTGCATACTAGGCTCGTCAGTTTTATTGAAGAAACGAAAAGCAAAATTCGGATTGCAAAAGTCATAGATTACGATATCCTGGATCAAGAAAAGAATGGAATTGTTATTTCTGCTTGAAAACAGGCCCAAATCATTAAACGCCATATTCAACTCGTCTAAGCCTGATATGATATAATATGAGATGACAGTGCACGTGTACATGTGCATGCTTAGGCTGCTGGCTTGCGTGATAGTAGAACGACCCAAGCAATAACCAAAGAAAAAGGAAAGGAAATGGAATAGAGATTAGAGGAGACATAATCAAGCCAAGATAAATGATTCTAGACCTTGAGGCTGTGAGAATGAATTGAGCGTAGTTGTTCTTGGATTCAATCCCGTGTGCATGTCGCTCTGCTTTCATGATAATATAATTTGCACACTAGGGAGAGACATGCCTTGATATCGCCGCTATAATTCAGGAACTAGGCAACGAATTCCTTGATGTCAACTCCGAGGATGGGACGGAGAGCATAGAATTCTATATGTTAGGCGATAATTGATCGTATTTGACGCAGCGCTCAACCTAAGTTTGTAATCACATATTAGCATGAAATACCGCAACAAGGTTATCAGCTTTCCAATCAGGAGTAAAAGATAGTAGCACAGATGATTAATGAATGTAAAAAGTATATGGTTGACTTACATCTGCTACCGACGCGCGAAGCCACCCACGGGCCTCAAGTCCCACCCAGACCTTGAGCATTGATATATCTCCACTGCGAAGCATAGAGCCACCGCTCTGTGCGCCGAGCTGGCGCAAAATAGGCAGTGCACTATAGATCGTGTTAGCCCAGAAAGTGAGAAACGAAATTGCGTAGGGTTTCAAGGTCAAACTGAAGATGCAACGTAGCACGTGCAATGAAACTCAAAAACATGACATTTGAACATACCTCTTGAACAGATCGAGATTGGGATCTAAAGTGCGTCCAATGCCCTCCAATAGCAGACAACTCAAAACGACATTGACGAAATCTCCTTCAAGTCTAACGTGATGTGTGCGAACCATTGACAGGACTTCATTGAGAACATCTCCGATCTTGATATTTCCAAGGGCAAATGTTCTAGACTTGATGCCGAGAACTAGATGCTGCATCTTCAGAGCAAATATCTCTTCGTCAATGACCGCATCGGGCTGACGGCATCTCTCAACCATTAAATGCCCTGCTCGGTATCCATCGAATTCGGCAATTGCTTTGAAGAGATCGAGAAAATTTCTACGATTCATCTCGTTAAGTTCTGTGACAAGGCCAGTGTCTATGAAAATTAGTTGCGGCCTGTATCCTGCTCTTTCAATATTGGCTAGCTCTGCAGTCCACGCTTCAGGATCGTGCCGATGCGGGATCAATTGGTGTGACACTTCTTCTGTGACGTCTACAGCTTGACCGGGGTTTTGAGATGAAGGATCTGTACCATCAGGCTGGCGCCTGCGAAAATCGGGCTGCTCTGATTTGTGGAAGCGCACCATAATGTTGCCAGGATGGAGGTCTGCATGGACAAAGTTGTCAATCAGCAGCATGCGGAGAAAGGCATCAAGGCCCTCGTTCGCCAGGTCTTGCTCGAAATCGCCGCCACCATTTTCGAGAAATGCGGATAATGGGATGCCATTGGCATATTCCTCCACAAGAACTTGCCTTGTGGTATATTCAGTATAAGGGTATGGAAACCAGGCTGTGGTCCGCGCCCTAAAGTTTTTTCGGAACATGACCAAGTTGGCAGCCTCAATGCGAAGATCGAGTTGGAGTTTCATCATCTCCCCGAATTGTGCCACCTCGTCCGGCAATGACAACCATTCCATGGTCGGTATGTAGTTGATGAGGGCGGCAAAGAAGCCCATTATACGGAGATCTCGCCGAACGACACGTTCCACAGACGGATGCAGAACTTTGATCGCGACATAGGACGAGGGAACCCGCTGAGGCATGCTCTTCACTAAAGTGTCGACATTTTTTCGGACCTTTTGCCGCAGGGTCTTCTGCTCCGGCGCATCGAATTTGGGATCGACAGGTATAGCGAGATCAGGTTTCAATTTGGCGCGGTATACCTGAGCAATGGCGCCCACGCCGAGAGGCTTTTCTTCAAACTCCTCGAAAATATCATCAAACGGCCGACCGTTGAATGCATCGACAATGGTACGTTTTGTTGCTGCGAGCGAGTGGGCCGGAGCATTGGAATGCAGCGAAGACATGATGGCGCATAATTCGTCTGGAAAAATGTCGGATCGTGAGGCGGCCCATTGTCCTAGCTGTTTGAGCCTTGTCAGAAATGCTTCTGCTCATCTCTCCTGCAGATGTGTGCCATATCTGCTGGCACGGGATTTCTCACCTTGATAAAGGCCGCTCCAGCCCGTTCCATCGAGCTGACCAGGAATGCATACCACCATAGTGTTCCACTTCGTTCATCATCGCGGTCTTTATTCCGACGTCCAAACCAGATGACTGGTACTGTTAAAATGACTGGAACGAAAATAAAGACAAGGTGAACGAATCGTAATCCGGTAGCTATAGGTTCGATGATATATGTGTCTAGCCAGAAGTATATTGTTCGTCGTACTCGACGCGACGATCGTAAAATCTTTGGGACTGCCTCATTTATCTCTTGGCGTGAGGCTTCAAGCATCTGCTGTTCTCCAGTCTTGCCTTGCTCCGAATGCGTTTCGCTCAATTGAACAAAGGCTGCAGGACTGAGGGCACCAAGTAGGAGCGTACCGGCCCATGGAGGCCGTCGAAAATTTCGTCTTGCGCTTCCCCATTGTGATGACCATCCATGCTTCTGCCCTCCATATTGGTGTATTGAAGATGTGTGAAGAGGCCGGACTCGGGGGATTGTTCGCGCAAGACCCTGGAATCCCCGATGCAGACCGAACCGGGAGAGGAGGAGGGTGCCCCTCATCGTCTCCTACTACGCGTCGCTTCCGGGTGGGATTAACAAAAATATTCATCCATTATTGTCGGGAAGTATGGCGGTTTGAATGCGTTACTAGGAGCCACGCAAGCTCTTGAGCTGTTGAGCGCAAAAGTGTATCGGAACGACGGGCTGTTGACAGCCGACGTCATGGACATTCACAGTGAGCTGTGCAGCCTGCTCGGCTCCTTTCACAGTTGCAGCCATAACGATCATAATTACGTTGACCAATCCATCAAGGAAATTTCCCCCGAAAAAAAGAATTGGAACAGTTAATTAAGGTAGATTTGGAATTTTTATTATTTTAATAATTGGTTTTTTTTTTGTTATTTTCCTTCTTTCGCCTTTGTTGGTCCTATCTGAATTTTGTACGTAGCGGAGAGTCGTAGTTTTAGGAGGAGAGTTGGATATCTAATTAAAGCAAATCCTGCAAAGAGAGAGGGGTATTCATTGCAATCGCCTGAAAACGACCGACATATAAAGGATTATTCCCATGCATAATATTTCCCATGAATGATTAGAATAGATTATTTTGCCTCGCGCTCATCCTCCGCCTGGCCTATAAGCTCGCTAAACGAGAGGTGGAGAGCATCTTGCCCTTGAAGCAATAGCTCGTATGCCCGTTTCCTGGCAGGCATGATCTCATCCGGCTGTTGATAGTCAATCAGTACAATTGTTCAATCGGCATAAAAAGGAGTATTGGAGAGATCCTTACAATGTTCTTGAGGGTCTCAGTCAGCAGCACCATCACATTATCTCGATCCCTCCGCCTCATCTCTGTTTCGGCATCATCCCCGGCCTGAGATCCTTCGGTATCTGTTTCAGATACTGGGATAATATCATCTTTCTCGTTAAGCACGCTCCTTCCCGTCACCGCCTTTACAACCCGCTTTAAGACTTCAATGTTTTGCATTGCCTCGTAGACTGCTAAAGCGCCCTCTCTGGTGCGTGAGATGAGGGCAAAAGCAAACCAGCCCTCGGATCGGATAACTGGCCAGTCGTCTTGGCAGACCATTGTGACCAAGGGGCGCCCAATTGCTGGGTGAAGAGAATAAAGACGAAACTTGTTATCTTGGAGAATTTCGATCGGGACTCCCTGATTGCCCGAATGAAGGGTACGGCAGACAGCAGTGACGAGCCGCGCTACTTCTGTTTTGGTCGGGGCTTGGTCAGATTTGTCGTGCAGTCTCAAAAGGAGGGAGAGGTAAGTCTGTGCATGAGCCGGTGAGTCGGGATCAGGGGAAAGCGGCGATAGCAACTTTTGAGTATTAGGAAATGAGCCGCCAATTACTTGGCGCGCGAGACTGGCAGACGAGTATTGGATTTGTGGAAGAGTGTCCAATTCCCAAAGCCGCGCCATCGTCTCAATGAGATTGCCTTCCCCTAGAGCCGTCTTGTTCTCCGCAGGAATGGCCAGATTTTTTAAAAATCCAGCAGCAGCATGCAAGAGCTGCGTATCATTGCTTGTTTCTAGAATATTGACGAGCGGATCCTGAACTCGAAATTCGTGAACCATAGTTCTACAGACATCATCGGATCGGGCAACGTTGCCCAGCATGACACAAGCACAAAGTTGGAGCTGGATCTGAGAAACGGAAAGCCACATTCGGAGAGAACCAATGAGCGGGCTGTCGAGCGGATAGGCTTGAGAGAATTCAGGCAGATATGAAATGTCCGAAAGGGCACGGATGAGATTTCCCCGCATCTGTGAGAGTTGTTTTGTGGTATCGTCCTGCTCAGAAGGTGTCTCGCCATCTGGAGTAAAGCGAGAATAAGACTCCACTAGGAAGGATAAGCTGGTTTCCACTGAACGAGTGAGAATAAGTTGTCGCTGGAATTTGACGTTTTCCAGAAAAGAAGCAGCAGCATTGACAATGGCCACAAAGTCGTCTAGTTCGGTTTCGGGTGTGGATGCAAGCCAAAATAGCGTCACAACCGTACTCTCCGGTGACATATCCGGACCTCGCGCTTTGAAGCATCAGCATGACCGTATCAAAAGAGGGTATCGTTTGACTTACGAGAAGAGCCAATGAGTTCAAACAATTGGATTATGTATGTGAATATGGGCAGTGCGGTGATGTTTGGCGTCTCGACCAGCGTCCTTGCCAATGCATAAGCGAGCCCATTCTCCGCAGCTTGATGACTTGCTGGTTCTGTTTTTGTTCGAAATTAGGATACTGTTGAAGCACGCATCATTGTAATCGTAAACTCACCAAAATCTATGCAAATATTATAAATTACAGGAATAGCTATTCGTAAAAGGGCCGGGTTACGAAGAAGGTCCATCAGCGGTATGAGATAATTACTCTGAACAACACGGATACGATTGTCATCTGCCGATTGTGTGTGTCAGTGTTTAATCGCATTAATAAAACGAAAGCAAGGATTCAAAGGCCGAGGAAGAACAGACCAGTGTCGGCACAAGAATTGCCAATGAGTCGCAAAGAGTGCATCATGAGGTCTTGAGGGATGTCAGGAGTCGCGGTGATTTTAAGGAAGAAATCCAGGATGCCTGCTTCGCCGTACGGTTTGCGCCATGCAGCTATAAAGGAGAATTAGCAAACGTCACGGCAAATAGACAAAGTCAATTGCATCAGACTTGCCATTGCGGCTTCCATCAGCTAGAACTTCTGCTGATCTGACCAGAAAAGCGGATCCAGACCACCACATCTGATCGAGAATCCCCCTCACATCCCTCAAGGCCTCAACCTTATGATCGCTTCCGTCGCCGGCGGGGAGTGATGAGTCCCGCAACTCGCCGATACCAATACCTCCTTCTACTTCCTCGGCACGCTGGAAAATAGCCTCGAGGGTACTGAGCATCTTCCTTTGTTCCTCATGCGAAAAAGATTGTTGCATCCGCTGTCCAAGATGAGCGCTGGCGTTGTCTGGCTTAGGAAGGCCTAGATAAACGCCGATTGACTTCTCGTTCCGAAGAAGGGCATTGGACGAAATTTGGTTTGGAGAAGATGCGGCCGAGGCCGAATTGGGCGGGGTGAATAGCTGCTCCATGTTGGGCAACCTGAAGAGTAAATAATGCAGCGTCGCGCGCCAGAACAATCAAACGGAAATTTCGTTGTCCCTGTGGCCTCTACATCGGCGCTTCCTCCGGGTAGCTTGAGGTCGGGAGGCCAAATGAGCAGGGGGAGGCGAGTTTAGACTGCGGCAAGGATGATTCATACAACTGTGAGCTGCGGAGATAGGAAGGAGGTCAGATTTAATTTTTTGACCTTAACGCGATTGGGGGAGCTGACGGCTTACCTACGTATATTTTTTGTGGTTTCGGAGACAGGGTCGAGCAGAGAAGTGGTGGCGTGCGGCTTGTGCTCAGAAGCCACTCCTGCGCCAAAGTGGGCAGGGGATGGAGCTCTAGGTTCGCGACCGCAAACGAAGAAATGGTGATGACACATCTGACTCCCTGGAGGGGCCGCTATCATCAGTAGAAGCGGTCACTAGTCGTTGGTCAGTCAGAGTTAGGAACAAGTCGGGCCCAACCTTAACCTGGGTCTCCCGGTTCACACAGGCCTCCCAAGCGAGCCGTCAGCAAGCCCCAAAGGCCACGAGGTGGACTACTCCGTAGGTAGAAGAGCTAGTGTCGAGCAATTGAGAAAGAATACTGTACCTGAAGAGACACATTCAAAGCAAGGACATGGTTGCATCAGACCATTCCCATAGCCCAGCTGTCGTCAGCATCACGATCAAACTTTGGGATTGAAATTCGAGAGAACGTGGCTGAGGCAACATTGGACAGTTTGAGATCGTAGCATATCACGGACGTAGAATGACGCGTCGCAAGCCATAAAAAAGGGGGAGGGATATCAAGATGACCTCTCAGCGATGATATTGATGATGATGATCTTGTTATTCGGCGATTGAGTGGAGCCTAGAGTGGTAGAATTAAGACTTTCGTCGAAGGATTGACGTTGAAAGTGTCCAAGCTTGGCGAAATGCGGGATGCCGCACGTCACAAGGCAACTCCAGGCAACCATGTTAATATGGGTGCCTGGTCAAGGCCGCATACGTAAGCGGGGCGAAAAAACATTCTAATGCATGTGGCTCAGCAATGCTAACAGTGATAAACACAGCATCAAAGGGAGGAAAGAGTCACATCAAATTTAATTAGGTTTCGATCATTCTCATCAGACGATCCTGGGGAGATCGCGATGCCTATGGATGGAACCTCGCAGAAGGGTGAGGTTATCCTCATTACAGCCGAGGGCCGAGAACCCGAACTTGAGCAAAGACTCACCTGTGGACCCAAATGACCAAGACAGACATTTAGCTTCTGACCCAACACTTTGAAATTGAATTTGGTTTGAAGCCCGAGAGATTTATGCTAAGCTAGAGGGAAATAACCCGGAATGGTGGATATTCATTGCCTGAGCACCTACCCAGATAGTTACCTCGCTCCTAACAATACTGTATAAAGCACAAAAGCAGCTAATAATCCTTGCTATAACTCAGTTAAGCTTTGCTAAATACCCGCTCGACTCATCTTAACTTAAGATCTATTGTATCAGAAGAATAACTACTGAAGCAGCAAGACAAAGGTTTAAAGTCTTATTATGAATTCCATTAGTGAGCAAGAGCCATTATTTTCATAAGTTCTGTCTCGTAATAATACATTGGAAGTGCTTGATTTTTGTGAATTTCTTTCCCCAGGAAAGGTCTCTGACATCTCTCTTGCCATGTGTTGATGACTAATCAGAGGAGAGCCCCTGGACAGCAACATGAAGCGTGGCTTAACCTGGAGACGGGCAAAGAGGGAGAAACACCATCAGTCTGCCAAAAGATAATTCCCACTGAACACGTCGCTCTTTCTAATTTTTCCTTTCAAAAGATTTCCTGATATTCACCCATTGACGATTCTGTTAAGATATCCAAATTTCCTCGTGAATCCAGCCAGCATGACTCGGGCGCAGCAGACTCTCTCCCTTGCTCTTCTCATCTCCTCTGTACGTATGATACGAATCCGTTGTTGCGACCCATCATTACTGATATAGCATTAGCTTTACCTTGTCTGTTATCTCGGCTTGGTCCCCCTACCTGCTAAAGTTCAAGAAGAATTGATACCAGTGGTATGTCTCTTGGGAGCTATGCCTATGCCCCTGCTGCAGATTTCCATCGAATTCAGCTACTCATCAACTTCTCTAGCTTCCTTTCTGGGCTCTCGTCTCCTTTGGCGCATTACTTTTATTCAAGCTCGGCTGGGGTGTTTTCACATTCAATGACGTACCGAATGCGCATAAGGAATTGATGGAGGAGATCAACTTGGCACGGACGGAGCTGAGGGCAAAGGGCGTGGACGTGGATTAGGAAAACAAAAGAACTATATGCATTGAACTATGATATCTCGCTCGCATAAATCTATCGACGCATTTCTATTCTTTCTGTACATGCGGACATCTTGCCCCGCAAGATCTCCCCTGGGTATTGAACTTCGACCAGTATATACAAACGGCATGGTTCCCTCATTCCCTCGCTCTTCTAACAAACCGTATTAGAAAACGCTATGCAGTAATATCTGTACAGTGCACGCGCTTCGGTTGCTCGGCAGGGCTTCAACCACGAGCGCTGCCCTCCCGAAGATGCTTCTCCTTCAATTTCTTTTCCGTACGCATGAACTCTCTGATGCCAATGGGAATGTCCGCGAAAAGATCTTTCTGCTCCGCTGTTGTGCCGCCGGCAAGGCCAGTTCCCCATTGTGATCCACTACCACCGCCGTCATCATCCATGCTGGAAGCGACATGCTGTGGAACGTCTTTAATTTCTTTTGCGGCAGAAATTCTGCGTTCCTCTTCCTTTTGCTTTTGCAATGCCTGCCGAGCCTCGGCCGTCCTTGCTGCCCATTCTTCGAGCTCGTCGCGATATCGATCCCAGACACAATTGACGCAGCCCGACATGCAGCAATTATCAGGCTCGCCTGGCCGAGGTGGCACTTTAATGCCTGCAATAGTCACGGACTTTGATGCAATTTCTTCCCTTCGCGCCTGGCGCTCGACTGGCCCTGCCAGACGCGAGCCAAAGACCACACGAGCCTTGGCCGCGCGCTCCTCTCTGTCGCTCTTTGTTGATCGCTCCTTGCGAGCTGTCGCAGCAGGCTTCCTTGTCGTAGGCTGAGTCGGCTGAGTCCCGTATTGCGGATCATTCAGAAGTACTGTAAAGAGGGGTCAGTCTGTGACCACCGCCACAACTCAAGTCTATTACTGGACGCACATTTGTAGTATCCACTGAGTGGTTTCGCTTGAGGCGGTTCTTGACCAGCTACCTCATTCTCTTTCCCATTGTCGTTCGATTTGTGGCTCTGAAAGCGCCAACCTATCCGGTCGCTATTTTGTAGACCCAGTCTTCGGGTGGGTATCCTTATTCTAGAGGCATTCAACCCCAGAGAATTAATGGCGGACAAGTGAGACATGCTGGACGACACCAGTAGTGGCCTTGGTTACGTCCAGTTGAGGTTGAGTTTGCGTGGAAATGACGCTCTTTAAAGTGCGAGGGAGGGCAGAGATATGCACCCACGGTGATATCGTGGGTGGGCAAAATAAATGACAGGAACTGGCAGGCGGTCGGCGGCACAAGAGAAGTACCAACGTCATCCCGCAGCTTTTCGGTATTTGATGTGAATGGAAGCTTTTGCCGGAAACACCTCGGGTAAACTTGCAAATCCATGTCGCTGCTCAGGGTCCATTGTGACGAGTTTCAACGCGACGTGAGATTCTAAACACTGCCCGGGCACAGCCAGAACAGTCGCAGCTCCTCTTTTTCCCACCGGCAGACAGCAAAGGGACTTACAAGTCTAGCTGTATGGGAACCCTTCACAATGCTAGACTCACCAGCCAAACGGCAGAAAACATCCGCGTCCAATACTGCCGACGCGCTATTGGCGACATCCACAAATGCATCACGTACGCGTGACTTTGACGCACCAAGCCTCAGACATGCTTCATATCTTTCTCCAACAAAAGCGAGCCTGCCGCGATTTATCCCTGGCTTGCGTCCGAAATCGCCTTTGAACCCACAATCCGGAAGGACTCTTGATGCTGGAAGCAAAGTGCCACCAGACGGAGCCCATGTTGGAGATTCCAATGGGACTGGATTTCAGCATGGGAAGGCTAAACGCGGACTCTTCGGGCTGAATGGACGGCCCAAATCATTATCACAAAATGACGAACCGAGAGCGCTTGATTTCAAATCCATCTCCAGCGCTGGCTTCTCTGCAGCCCCTCGACGTTCATCTCGTTTCTCAGGCCGGTTTTCGTCGCCAATACGTGAAGAGCGCGGTCATGGCGGCGCAAGCTCTACAGCAGAGACATCTGACAATGTACATGCAAGTCAGAGGGCAAGGCTAGAAGGGGTGGCTTCAATCGGTAGAGAGAATGAGGAAGCACATGAAGACGCTGAGCCGGATCTACCGCCTACACCCACCGACAGGAATGATCCTGCTGCTGCTCGACCAAAAGGCTTATTCAACAGTCCAAGTCGGAGGCGACTGCGCAAACAATTAAGCCGATCCACATCCCCAGCAAAGCAACACATCCAAGCGCGTGCAGGTGATGAAGGGGGAAAGCATCATGAAGATGGAGAAATCGAGGCACCGCCTTCAGCTGCCGGTAACACGATCAATCCCGAGAATTGCGCTGTAGATTTATTTCTCTAATGGATTTTCCCAGGACCGTTGACCCGTAGACGAGCTGCGATCAAAGAGCAGCAAGCCACTGACCACACCGCTGTGGCAGAGAAGCGCCGCTTGAAAGCCCGACTTTCCGAACGACTCGTCAAGATAAAACAAGATATTCAACGCTGCGAGGAAGAGCTAGCAAAGACCGAGCCAGATCAAGAATCCAGCTGGGATGATCCCAAGGACGTTCAAGACTACATGTACGGCTATCTTTATTCTTTTCACTTCTAACTCCTCTCAACTCCTCATTCGCAATTCGCAGACAGACTAACTTTGCCTCCCAGAACTCTCCTGCTATTCTCTAACCCGCCGGAGAACGACACCCCCACTACCGACACTTCTTCCGCAACACCAGAGCCGCCTCCTCTCTCACTAGCAATAACCTCCTTTTTACCGTTTTCCATACCTCCACCACCCGCCCACGCCGCACTCCCAACGCCCCCTCCATCCTCACCTCTCCGACCTATCCCATCACATCGACCCATCGATCTCGCCGATCCATTACCGCACCTTCAAGTCTTCACACCACTCACATTCACCTGCTCAACCACCACTTTTCCTTCGACCTCGTCGACCTCCTCACCATCTTCCACCATCCTCCAGCAACACGTAATAAACATATTCTCGCCCTCTAACCTGCTCACGTGCACCGTTACACTCGTCGTGGACCTTTCATCCCACAGCATCAAATCCCTATCGACCCACTCTCTCTCGCCATGGGCCGTGTCTGAACTCCAACCTTTTATCGCATCTCGTGAAAACGGAACTACTCCTGCAGGGAAAGACATAAGTACTCTTGGCTGGGCGTTAGGGAGTTACTGGACTCTTGCCGTCCAGCGGGCCGAAGCCTGGGCAAACGCGGAAAAGACCTACCCAGAACTAATCTCCACAAAGCTCGCTATAGCTTCATCAGAAACTGCAGAGCGTGATTCCCAAAAAGATCAAAATACCGCTGTATCATCCTCTTCTGTCTCTCTCCGCGCTCTGCTCACCCATCTCGGCCGCCAGACCCTCACGCTTCAAAAAGGTCCTGTCCAAGTGCTTATATCATGGCGCATTGAAATCGACTGGACAGGTGAGGCTACGTCGAAAATTAGTGCCAACGTTGGCGTTCCTGAGAACTGTACGTTCATCTTCCTTCTCCTTTTTTCTTCTCCCGTTTTTATTTCCCTTTGCCGTTTCTGAATTTCCGGCCCTCTTTTAACTTCCCTTTACCCTGTTTTATCCCCCTCCATTCAATTTCTCCCTTCCACTTACAACACGTATCCAGGTATATCGATGTGGCGATATACCGATATACCGAATCCCGCACTCGCCAAAGCAACCCTCTGCTCAAATACTTACACATTTGGAAAACATTTACAGGGCGCGAGACAGATTCACGAGCCTCTTTACCAAAAATCAACCATGTATTCGACACGCTGGTTCGTGAAAAGGGCATGGCTCAGGCACTGAGAGTTGTGGTCGGATTGTTATTTTTTTGATAATCACAGAACCAGAAACATCATTTTGAATACCGCGTATCCTAGTATCATTCAATGGGTTGCTGCGGGGTTAGCTCGAGGGGATTAGCTCGACTCTTGGGAACAGTGGTCTCTTTATCACTGGCGTTCAATCGGATTACTGGAGGGACTGCACGGTCGTGGTTAAGTTCAGTGCTGGAGCGTAACGGGCTTATAGCGCAGGTATAGACAAATCGGTATTAATGGTAATGGTATTAATGGGTCTCTTTGACATTGCTTCTTTCTCTCTTTGCCAGGCCATGTGCTCGGCGTAGGCAAAGCATGAGCGTGGAGAAATTTTTTAGGTACTTTGTTTCACATGTGAGAATGAGCTTTTGGAGATGCAGGTATAGATCCCCATGTAGGTACCGGGCATAGATGTAGGTATATTTATACGGCTAGCCTGCGTGCGAGATATATGAATGAGTTGAATATACCCATTAATATGAGAAAGTGTCGGAATGGCGGAAGGCGGATAAAGGAGATAGAAGGTCTTCTGTATCACTGTATCATGTGCATCTTGTTCACGGCAGAATAATCAAAACAGCAGTGTTTAACGTCATGAATATTAAAAGCTCAAGTTTTTTCGTGTTGATGTCAGAAATACATTTAGGCCATGAAAATTGAATAGACCTAATGAAAACCCCACACGCAAAAACCAGCTGGACACAACAGCCGTAATCCCCACGATTATCCCGCACCTTTTTATTTCTTGGCGGCAGCAGCGGTCTCCTCGGCCTTGGCCTTGGCACGCTTCTCCCGGACACCGACGAGACGGGCCTCGCTTCGGGCCTCGCGGAGTCTTCTGAAAGCGTTCTCCTCGCCCTTGGGGAGCTCGCTGGTGGCGACCTCGGTGTAGGCCTGCTCGGGGGTAACAATGTTGGTAATGGGGAGAGTAGCACCAATAGTCTTGGCAAAGTTCTCGCCCTTGGCGGCCTTGACCTCCTCGGCGGTGGCGTCGCCCTTCTTGTGAACGCCAGTGCGACGGGGGAAGAGGATGAGGCGGGCACGGTAGTCCTTGAGGCGCTGGACGTTGGCAGCGAGAGCCTCCTCGGAGCGGGTCACCCGGCGGTGGTCAACGGCGATACCGACGGTACGAGCGAACTTGCGGGGGATACCAGCAGCCTATTTTCCCAGCATCGACCAGTTAATTTAACCATTTCCAAGTAATGTATATCCTGACAAAAGGACGAAAACCAATATTTCGGCAGAATATTCTTCGGGGAGGGAAAAAGGAACGAACCTTCAGCTCATCGAAGGTGAAGCCGCGGCCGGCCCGAACGCGGCGGTTGTACTTGACGGTAGGGCATCGCACAACAGGGCGGAGCAGATCGGTGGGCCTGGGGGCAATGGCAGCAGCCTTGGTGGCACGAGCAGTGCGGCGCGCCTTCTTACGACCAGCCTGCAAAATGAAAAATCCATGTCAGATCGGTTGTTCATCGCAATTATTCGATCTCCAATCGTCTCGTTGATCGCGTGTATCCTCAGGGCGTTCGAGTCTTTCGAATATAGGGACAAATTTCTTCATCGTTCAGGGATATTTACCTGGTCGAAGTGGGTGCGCACGCGACGCTGCCAATCCTTTCGGAAGTCTAATGTTCCCAGTCAGTAAAACTGGCTCCGGGCAATTCAATATCCTCTTCTTTTTGCGGAATCACTCACGGTTGTGGGGGATCTGCTGGTTGTGCTTGATTGCCTATATTCCCGAAACATATCCCGTCAGCCGTTCGCCGCTCGAAATTTCCACAAGATCCATCCCAGAATTGCTCTCTCAATATAGCAATCTGTAGAACTTCATCGGATTGTACGCACCATGGTGACGGATGGCAATCAGTAAATCGGCGTTGTCGTTGTCGCTGTATCGCCTTGCACCGAAGTCGCCAAAGATCTGAAGGTCCTCGCTTGCGAATCCGTTTGTGTGCAGAGCCTCAATTCGCTAGCGCAAACCCTAAGCCCTAGAAAACTTTCCCAATGTAGACGCGACACCCGAGACCTGGAGACTCCAACTAACATAAGGTACCTCTGGCGAGCAATGGAACGTCACGCATAAACAGGAGACAACATCGTACCTAAAGCCTACAAGGCATGTGTGCGGATTCTGATCACTATCATCTGAACAAAACTTCAATTACGACTTTATTAATGTCGTTGCTTCTCATGCTGAAGCGTGGCTAAGCACCGTATGTGCCATGGAATGAAAGACGAATCGACAAAGCATTTGCATGAGAATTGCTGGCAACATGAAACGAGCAATGTCAATATTTTATGCTGTGAACAAATCTGCAAATTCCATTGAATATTTCGTAACTTCGTAACCAAATCGCTGAAAAGCAGGCTATCAGGTCTCGCCCGTAAAAATAGATGATATGAAAAGACCTTCGGGAAATGGACACCGCTTCGAAATATCACCAAACGCAATATAAAACGCCCCCATCCTTTATCATGAAATGCATCAGCAATGCGATAAAGCAGCAAGAGTTACGGATAATGCCGACGGGCTACGCGTGAGGAGTCTGTGCGCGCTAAGAAGCAAAAAACCTCGAATGAGGGCTTGGGATGTTAGTTGTTATCAATGCCTGGAATGGCTCCAGCCACCGATGCCCAAACCTACGCCTTCGGTCCGTCTTCTTTTTGCTGCTTCCTCGTCGTATTCATGATGGTTGTCATCAATCTTCCGCTTGGAGTGAGTCAGCCTTCTTTCAACGCCAGGTTTTCTCACTTGGCCGAATAGTTTGGTTTGCATCAAGCCTGGTTGACGGTTTGAGGGAGGGGGAACGCCAAGTGCCTCCGCTCTATGCCCAAGTGAAGTGTGGGGCATCTTCGCTGGATCGTGGCTAGGCTTTTCCTCGGCACCATAGGCGTCCTGGCCATCGTCACTCATGTCAGAAGCAGAAATCGTGCTGTCCCGACTCTCTCGTCTGCGATGTTGGTTGGACTCATGTCTGCGATCGTTTGCTGATAGAGCAGGACCAGTCTCGGCATAGCCAGCTTTACCCACAGACATGCGGCTATGTCGCGGGGTGACAGGAAGAGAAGAAACTGAATGTGTACCGCGTGACTGGCCGGGTGGATTTTGCTTCGAAGGCCGACTCCGTGTTGGACTTGTTGGTGCGCTTGCGTTTTCCTGGCTGAGAACTTGATCGGCTAAGAGCAAGGCAGCAAAGTTGGCTGCTTCTTCACCTGGGACGCGATTGCTAGGGGCATGAGTGGGACGACCACTCTCACCGTGATGAGGTGAACCATGACGAGGTGATTCATAGCCTGGGTGTGACGGAGCAGATTCATACAGACCGCCGGGACCACGGAGCTGATTAAGATGTGCACGGTTCTCCCGGATGCGGTTGCGTAAACGCTCATTCTCCTCCAAAAGAAAAGCCTGCTCATCCTCTTTCACCAAAAGCAACTTCTTCGAATGGCGTAATCTCTTTTTCAACGCATCATTCTCGGCTCGCAACAGATTACATTGCGCTTCAAGCTCAACCTCCCGCTGTGATCGGGGCGGAATCTCAGCTTCCCTGTGCGGCTCTAATGGCGGGTGAAGGCTAGCTTGGCGTTGCTGTTCCTGGAGGACATCCATTTCACGTCGAGTCATCTCGTGCTCAACTGCCATGCGCTTTGCGGCTTCAGATGTCTCAATGGAAAGGAGGCTGTGTTGAAGCTTGTAGTGCGCTTCGGACATGCGCGCTTCTCGGACATTACAACTCAAGTCATTGACCATTGAGCGAAGCTCGGCCGTGGATGCCACTGCTATCTGCTCAGGTGTAGGAACGGGTTGCGTGGATAGGTTGCTGAGATTGGGGCCAAGCTTGGCGGTCATAGGTGGAGAAGAGAGAAGAGACATGGCAGGCGTTGCAGCGCGAGGCTCAGGACTTGCCGTCGATGCTCCCGTGTGGGGAATCTGAGAAGATGGTGGCGGCGTCATGGAGGAAGAGTTAGGGTGAGAAGGAGCGTGCTTGGCTTGCTCTACTCGAGCTGATTGCAATCCTGAAATCGCGGCTGCCGGACTTGGAGAGGAGAGGTGATCTGGAAGGGATGCGTGTTTAGGTACGGGGGTGCTTGGTGCTGAGTTGTTTGTCGTCGAACTGTGCGTGGGGCTTTGATTACTCATGATGCACCTGGAAAGAAGACGATCCAGCGCAATGAGCGAATGTGAAGCTGCCGCCTGCATGAACACGTCAATTAGCCTCATTTATGTATTGACGAAGGATGATGGAGGAGGAAGCTGCATACAAATGCCCCAGGAGAGAGCGTCAAGATTGGTTTTGCAATCGCGCTGGTCGTCTGTTCAGGGAATCCTGGATGGCTAGGCGCGAATGTAGTGAACCAGAGTATTGAATAGGTAGGCAGAAACTATGACGCAGGTGGTTGTCGCAGGACTTTTAGTGTTATAGTGTTTGAATCGCGAAGATGCGGCGACTGCGATGAAGGTATTGCGAAGACTGGAAGACTGTGGGTGAAGTTGTCTCTATTTTGAGGGCATTGATCCCACACGGGAGGAATGCTCTCGGTCCTGGGAGCGGGAGTTCGTGTGGAGGGAGGAGGCTGGGTGGATGTCGCAGATGAGTGAAAGCGTGGATCCCTTTGGGTCAGTTTACCCACACGATGCTTTAACGAATTGAATGGAAGCCTCTCATTGGTCAGATGGCGGACGGAGTAATAATGCTTCCAAGATAGGTATAGCGTGGTCACGAGGAGCAACCAACGACGTAAATAGCAACCCTTCACACCAAAAGGGTCTCTGGCGACTTCTGACGTGAAAGGAAATATCAAAGCATTTGTTGACGTGACTGCTGGTCTGTCATTCGTCGTTTCCGGATCAGTCCAGAATAATCTGACCATGCATCTATGATTATGTGTATTTCAAAACATGCTGTCCAAGTGTTCTCTACATATTTGAATGCGGTGCACGTGGTCAAATTTTTGATATCTGAAAGGTCCTGAATATCTCCCAGCGAAGGATTAATATGGATCAGATCAATCGTCCTAAACAGTCTATAAGGCCCAGCGCATTACCGCGCCCTTCTAAATTACCTCTGCCAACTTCATTTCAAACGCGAAGTCTGCGCCCCTCGCCTTCACGGGAGCGACTGGAGGCAGATAAAGGATTATCAATTAACAGATTGCGATCTGCTCCTCCGCGGCAACCATTATTTTCTGGTGTGCCTACTGGAGCGGGTTGGGCGGTCAGACGTGATTTGAACAGCGATGGACAGAGGCGTACCGGTGTCCTCCATTCCACTCCAGTGAAAACTCGGAATGTGCAAGATAGTTCTTTTGCAGGAATAAAGAACCAAGATGAGGCAGAAGAACTGAATACAGATATTGCTGTATCAGATGAGGAACTTCCAATTGCTGCCGAGTCAGCTTTTATGCCAAGGTCGTCTCGTCTTTCTCTCTCGGAACGCACAATTGAGACTCTCTCCAACTCGCCTCTAGCAAAGGATCGAAAGTCAAGCTTTTATTCAAACAAGAGTCCCACTCGTCAACAAAGCCGGCTAGGTTCAGGGGCAAGCAGTAGGAGCAGACGCACGTCTGGCTCTGTATCTTCTTCAAACACTTCCTCTAGAACTGCGAGCTACGAGCAAAACTATCAACCCCCCTGGACACAATCAACGAAGCAAGCGCCGAGTTTATCGCTTCCTTTAGGAAGCTCTCTGCCACGTTCAAGGATTAGCTCCGGCCCAGAATCTGTACCTGCTCAAAACCAGAGTGCCACAAGATCTGAAAGTTGCTCACGTCCCAATGCGACTTCAAACATGTCTGTATCAGCTTTCAGCAAGAGATCCCTGCCGAGCCGCTCAGAGACCAGCAGAGAGCCTCTCAAGGCGGGGCAGCCAAGACAAAGCTCAAAGGAGAATCCTACTCCACGATCGATGAACAGTACGGCTAAAAGGATGGCAAACGAAACCCCAAAGCGTGCTGTTATTTCTGCTGCAAAGTCGTCCGCTGTACGAGGACCATCTCAAGCAACTAGGCCTCCAATCTCAAAGCCGGTGAATGCGTCGGAGGAAGGAGAAGATCCGGATCCGGAGTTGGAGAAACGCAAGGTGTCCAATTCTTCTAGTGCTCTTCGTGAGACTATTGCAAGAGCTAAAGCGGCACGGCGGGAACTGGTAGCTCGGCAGACAAGTACAGGCGAGAAGAAGAACAATGCTTCTAAAAGTTCTCAAGTGAACGCGGCTAATTCTTTTGCTGCCGAATCTATTGTGGATGATTTTGAGCCGGGAATGCTGCAGGATGAGCACGTTAACTTTTTAAAGAAGCGGGTCAACGCAGCACGCACAGATGGACGCCTCAACATATCTGGAATGGGCCTAAAAGCAATACCCAGCGAAGTCATTCATATGTATGACATGGACTCAGTTGAAGCGGCGGGTGGGTCATGGTACGAATGCGTTGATCTGGTTCGCTTTATAGCGGCAGATAATGAGATCAGCGAAATCGAGGACCACCTCTTCCCCGACAAACAACTGAGTTCTGCAGAGTTTAATGAGGATGAAGATCATGGAAACCAATTTGGCGGTTTAGAACTCCTAGACCTTCACGGCAACCTCTTAACTTCAATTCCTCCCGGCCTGAGAAGGCTCGAGAGGCTTGTCACGCTGAACCTGGTAAATATTGCCCTTTTCCCGTCCCTTCGCACGTGTGCAATTTACTGAAAACATTGCTTGTACAGTCCAACAACAAATTAGGCCAAGAGGCACTCGACATCATTAGTGAAATCGAAAGCCTTCAAGTACTGAAACTTGCGAACAACAACCTCGAAGGTGAACTAGAGCCTAGCATCTCGCGCTTAAAGAAGCTCGAAGTGCTCGATCTTCGCGGAAATTCCATCACCAGTCTGCCCAGAAGTCTAGCAGATTTGGCCGAACTCCGTAACCTAAATGTATCAGAGAACAGAATCTGCTCTCTTCCAATAGACTCGCTCGTCTCTTTGCCAATCAGGGAACTCGTTCTTTCCAAGAATAATCTCTCTGGGATTCTCTTTGGTCGCAGCGTTGTTTCATGGTCCTCTCTCCAGTTTCTCGACATCTCCAACAACAATCTTGTCGAGCTTTCAGAAGAGGAAGAATTTCATCTTCCTTTACTCCATACACTAGCACTCTCATTCAACTCCATAACGTCCTTGCCGAACATTAGCTCCTGGGCTGAGCTGGTTACTTTGACCGCGGAGGACAACAAACTTTCATCCATCCCGCAAGGTCTTTCGTCTCTGTCGAAACTGAAGAGCGCCGACTTTACAGGCAACAACATTGTCACACTCGACGAACACATTGGCAGAATGGACAGCCTCGACGTCTTGCGTGTAGCTGGTAACCCTCTGCGCGAGCGGAAATTCCTCAACATGTCCACAGACCAACTGAAGCGGGATCTCGCAAGTCGCCTTGATCCAGAACCTGTCGATGGCTCCGATGCGTTTGACTCGGAAGTTCCCAACCCAACAACCGGATACTCGTCAGCCAAACATCCTTCATCCGCTTCTCTGTCGAAATGGCCCGTTCAAACGGATGGAAAGCTCGACTTGTCATCCAAAACACTAGACGACAGCAATATCCATTCCATCCCATTCGAAGAACTCGCAATAAGCGAATATACTATCCGCAATCTCCTCCTCTCCCAAAATCGGCTGTCGCTTATACCCATGTCTTGCCTGTCTATTGTTTCTCACAGCCTCGTCAACTTGGATCTTTCACACAACTCCCTCAAAGGCTCGTCCTATCTGCCTCTATCTTCTCCATCCCCTTCTTCCTCTTCCTCTCCATCCTCTCCATCCTCTTCAACGGCACCATCAACCTCCCTCCCCCTCACCCTTCCAAAACTCAAATCCCTCTCCCTCGCATTCAACAGCATCACCTCCCTCGCCCCTCTCCAGTCCTCCCTCCAAGCGCCGCTTCTTGAATATCTCAACGTCTCTACCAACCGCATTACCTCCCTCCCTGTCCTGCGCTCCACTTTCCCCAGCCTAACCACCCTCCTCGCTTCCGAGAATTGTATCCAGGATCTTACCTACGAAGCTGTCGAGGGCCTGGCGGTGGTCAATCTCGCGAGCAACGATATCGGTTCCTTGCCGCCCCGGATGGGTCTCCTAAAGGGATCTCTAAAGAGCTTGGATGTCAAGGGCAATAGGTTCCGCGTGCCAAAATATACGGTGCTTGAAAAGGGAACGGAAGCTACGCTGGATTGGTTGAGGGGTAGGATACCTGCTGATGATGATGCTGAGGAGGTATTTTAACCCTTTTGGCCTCACTTCGTTCGGTTTATTCGTTTGGTCTGTCTCGTTCTTGGCTCATTTCTTTCGGTTCATTCGGTTTATTCCCTTTATTCGTTTGATTGGTTTTATTCATTTGTCGGTCTCGTTCTTGGCCCATTTCGGTTTATTCATTTGTCTGTCTCACTCATCGCTGATCGTGGCCTGTTTTGTTGTTATTGGTGGTAGTGGTAGTGGTAGTAGTTTGGTCTGGTCTGATTTGTTGTCGTTGTTGATGGTGGTGGTTGCATTTACTGCCTCCTTGGCCCGCTCTTCTTCTTCTTCTTCTTCTTCTTCTTCTTCTTCTTCTTCTTCTTCTTCTTCTTCTTCTGAGCACTTGAAGCGATTAGAGCGATTAGAGCAATTGCATAGCGTCAGATGCATGTATTGTATACACATCCCTTAGGCACGTTGCATGTATACATTTATGCATTTTATGGAGTCCTGTTGAACATTATAGCTCTTATTATACTTTATAGCACCGCACTGCACTGCATGGTCTACTGTACCACACAGCACAGAACAGAACAGCGAAGAGCAGAGCGGCATAGTGTACTGTATTGTATTGTATACTATAGTGTCGTACTTTTTTCCAGCTGTCAGGCATAAGCATACGTACCTTACATGGCACGAAAGAGCACGTAGCTTGTTTTGTCGAGAGCAGCTCTGACAAGGCTTAATTGCACGTATGTACGGAGTAGAGCAACTTATATACCCGCCCAACAGAACTACCTGTAGATATCATACACCCTTCTCTTATTCAATGTACCCTTTGGCTTTATTCTTTGAGTTCTTTTCAGAAAGTGCACGTCGATGATATGATGTGATACATGAGGACAGAATGATGGAATAATAGAAGGATAAAGGATAGGGGGGTAGAAGGGTAGAAGGGTAGAAGGGTAGAAGAGCAGAGGACAAACAGTACGTACGATTGGATAAGACAAAACATAAATTATGTGACGCAAGAAGCATAGAATGAGAGATAGTACGATAAATCACGCGACACAAATAGGATAGAAAGAGATGATAGATATAATTGGAGAATATATCCCACGCAAAAGAGGGATATAATAAGAAGAAGAGAGGAAGGGAGACAAAACGGAAAAGAAAGAAAGAAAAAAAGAGACATTAAAAGAATGGGAAAGAGAGAAAAGGAAAAGGGGAAAAGTAATTGTTCTATTTGTACAGAATCTAAAAAGCGAGATGAGATATAAAAGTATATCACAACGGACTCTAGGGACTCTATAATATACATTGACGGCAACCAAGCGTGATCTTCCTCTTCTTCTTTTTTCTAATAAAACCCAGCAAAGACGTTGTATATAAAGCTTCCGCACATGCCCAAATTTAGAAACCGATAACAACATTTTTGGTGTCAAACGAGAAGGAGACGCGAGTCAAGCTCAAACTATAGCCGCCAGATTATGAAATCGGGAGAAATGTACTAGATAGGTAGGTAGGTAGGTAGGTAGGTAGGTAGGTAGGTAGGTAGGTAGGTAGGTAGGTAGGTAGGTAGGGGACTAATGCAAGTCAAGGCGGGACATGGCATCAGTAGCGGACTTGCGCCATTTGCGCTCAATGTATTTGCCGGTGGGAATGTCCTTGTCGAGGACATCGACGAGGCCTTGGGCGAAGAGCTCGCAGAGCTGGTTCTCGTGGAGGAATTTGGTCTGGTCGAGTTTGTGGTTCTCGATATCGGCGAATGCGCCAGCGAGAAGCTATGCATGTTAGTATGGTATCAAGTGAAAAGACGGGGAATAAAAGAATCAGGTTAGAGATGAGGGGATGAAGGAAGAGATTGATGTTGGGAATAAAAACTGAGAGGAATGATAAGAGAGATAACTTACTCTATCAAGGGCTTTTCTGAACTCAAAAATGGTCTTGGCTTCTCTGCCGTCGCTGGACCAGGTGGTAGTCTTGACCCAAAAAGGCAGCCAGCTGCCTACTTGGATCTTGCGCGGCGGTGCGTGCGTGAGCCGGCCACCAAAGAGGGCGGCAGCAAGCGGGGTGATGAGCGTGGTATCTCTGAGGAAGGTGGTCTTGGCGTCTGTTGATTTGGACAAGGTAGAATAAGTCATGAGTGAGGTTTCCTGGTTGCCACCACCGGCCTTCTTCATCTGTGAAAAGGGGACATGGTTGATTGAAGAGGGGTGCACAAAGCATGTCTTTTCACTCTCCGTACGCCAGCTCTTTGTGCCACGACCACCGGTTATACCGATATTGTTGCCCATGCCGGCAAGTGCAATGGCTTTTAGGAGTGGCACATTTGCAGAATTCTGATTCAGTGAAGGAGTTCCCACTTCGGAATTGGTACGCTGTTTCGCTGGTACCTTGGGAATCAAACCAGACTGGACAAGGACATCTTCAATCTGGTTCACTGTATTCTCGACCGATCGGAAAGCTCCATAATGGATAAAGTTCTTCTCGGCGTATTTGAAGGCCTCCTGGTTTGTGCGGTTGTCACGGTACCAACGTAGTTCCCGGAAGGCATTGATCATGCCGATATGGTCGCTTCCAGTGCCTTCAGCAAAAGAACGACGGGCTTCAGCTGCCTCCTCTTTCTTACCAAGCGGAGAGACGAATATGCCACGATCTGATGCCAGAGCTCCGAGGACCAGCATGGGGTCGAGACAGCGGAACACCACAGCCAGAACCATCATCTTGCCAAGGTTGGGATGAACAGGTAGCGAAGCCAACAAACGTCCAAGTGGAGTCAACATCTCATCATCGGTCAGCGCTTCCAAAGCCCGCAGATTCCGTACAGAGGCCGCAACGGCCTCTGGTGCCGGTGGTTCAATGGCTTCTGAGAGGAATTGATCGATGTTCGTATCCAAAGAGTGAGCTTTGACATCCAGACAGACTTCCTGCAAATCGGACCGAAGCATCTCAGGCAGACCAATCGATCGCAAGGACTCGTATCTTTCTTTGGTGAACAGAGCATAGTAGTTTCCATCCCGGACTCGTCCAGCACGTCCGGCCCGCTGGCGAGAATTTGACTTGCTCACCCAGCAGCACTGCAAGCGAGTGATGCGGCGAAGTTGGTCATACCGCTTCTCTCGAAGCTTGCCGCTGTCGATCACGTACTGCACATCCGGAATAGTGATGGAAGTCTCGGCGATGTTCGTGGCCAGGATAATCTTGCGGCAACCCTCCGGCACCTCGCTAAAGACATCCGTTTGCCCCGAGGGTAGAGACGAATGTAGCAAAGACACACGATACTTTGAGCTATCGTCAACGTTGATGCCAAGTGGACGCTCTTTTCGCAAAAGGTTTTCCACTTTGAGAATCTCTTCAAGACCAGGGAGGAAGACCAGAATTGCTCCTTCGTTAGTGTCGCGAGCAATGAGTCCAATAGTGGCCGCCACCAAGCCAGAGGGCACTAACGCGTCCTCTTTCTCAGAGACAACTTCACCTTCGGCATTATATTTCCGCTTCCAGTCAATTGCAGCAGGCTCGTCGTCGTCCATCGATTGATCCTGGTTTGCCGCGTTGTTGAGAGGGCTCTTCTTAAAGCTTTCTTCATACGCCAGATGTTCTCTGGTTTGAGGATCTCTTTCCAAGAGACGTTGGATCTCTCGGCCACCATTTTGTTGCAACCGCCCCAGAACTTCGTCTAGGTAGTGGTAACTGACGGGGAACGTTCGGCCGGGGACACTCAACGTCGGGCATTCCACCAGTTGACCGTCCTGACCCAGTTGTTTAAAGTAGCCAGCAAAGAGTTCCGTGTCCAAAGTGGCACTCATAAGGACAACCCTGGGCACAGGCTTTCCAAGACGCACGCGGTCCTTGACTCTGCCCTTGAGAAGGATCATCAAGAAATCAATGAGGATATCCCGCTCGTGAACTTCATCCACGAAAAGGTGGGAAACATGATCAAATACCGAATCTGGATTGTTTTGCAGCTGTTGAAGAAGTATACCTGTTGTGCAGTAGGTAATGCTTCCTCCTTGTTCAGGCGTTGAGCGGTCAAACCGGACCTGGTATCCGACCGATTTCCCTAACGACTCATTTCGTTCTTCAGCAACTCGACGGGCCACTGAAGTTGCCGCAATTCTTCGCGGTTGAGTGCAAATAATATTGCATTGAGCACCCTCGCCTCGAGAAATGGCATCATCGAGCACAATTTGAGGGGTCTGAGTCGTTTTTCCACTTCCAGTGGCGCCTACTACGATGCTGTAGACATTTTGATTCACCATATCCAAAACCTTTGCGTGATACTGGTTCATTGGAAGGCCCTCTCGCTTAGACCTCAAACTTTCCAGCTCAGGATCCTTCAAGTATCGTTCTCGGCGCTTTTTCAGCTTCTCGCTCTTGCGTTTGGCTTCATTTGGAGACAAGGCTTTCCGAGTGTATCTGTCCTCATACTCCCTTCCTTCATATCGCATAGCTTCCTCCCGTTCGTCAGGTAGACCAGCTTTCCTGACCTCATACAGAGTCTCTCGCATCGAAATCAAGCAATCCTGTTCGACTACAAAGTCGACTGGCGGCATCGGTCTTACAATTGCTCCATTCCCCTCCTTGAGGGCCTCGAGGAACTTGGGATAGAGCTCCGGATCCTTCTTCTTGAGCGCAACAGCGGTAAAGAGCGCCGATATGTCTTGACCTTTGTTCTTCTTGCCGTACGTGTCGAAAGGATCCCCAAAAGGCTGTCCATTCATAAGGCATTGCCACCTTGTGAGCGGCACACTCACACCAGTCTCATTCTTTGGAATATCTTTGGCGTCATTGTCAATTTTGGTGCCCGTGTAGACTATTCTATAGTACTCGAGGAAGGTTTTCGCATTTTGGACGGTGAGTGACTGGGAGTCATTAAGCGCAAGTGACTCTGTACCAAGTTCGGATTGAAATTTTTCCGCTTCCTGCTTGAAACGAACAGCGGCTCCAACTTGCGCCATCTTGTAGGACTGATGTCGGCCTCGGACATGGATCTTGTGCTCGGGAAGCTCAATTGAATACTCAACGCACCAAGGGCTTCTCGGATCGAAGGGCGTATTAACATGGCTGTAAGTAATGCTTGGAATGGCATCAAACCGAGCAGCATAATTGACAACATCCTCTATCGCGCTGTCGTCTTCTTTGTAGATTGGGTTATGATGGTTAATATCGGCAAACTCGAAAATCTCCTTCAGGATACCAGCTTCGTGAAGCTGTGCTAGTAGATGGAGATATGCCGCTTTCTCCGCAATTGTCTATCCGGGCGTTAGGAAGGAAAGGTCCAGTAAGAGATAATGATGCATGGGTGCATGGATGCATGGCTTACCTTGTTCGCTCCCTCGCCGACAGCATTCATCTCCCCGCGGGCTCTGAGAAAGCCGCAATGTATGTTGCAGCGCATCGCCCCGTACGATCGTGAGAAGGAGAGCCTCATCCTGAGCACCTTCTTTGTCGATTTTCGAAACGCCTCCCTTGGATCAGTGAAGAGACTTTCAGGTGCTCCTTTGTAATCTGAAGGCGATGGTAGCTTGAAAGTGCGTCGAACATATGCTTCATCCTTGAGGTCTTGCCGATTCTCTTTGTCGAACCGCCTTCGTTGCGAAGGCGGCGGCCTAGTATTACCCTCCCATTTCCGTTTGCCCCCTTCCTGGGGTCTAAATCGTCCGTTATGAAACTGTCTATTTGATGGACCGCCACCAAAATTCGACTGTCTGTTACCCCACGACGTGTGCTGGGGCTTCGAATTAAAGGGCCGCGCCTGCGGATTCAACGCGCCTCGCGGGTTAGGATTGGGGTTCGGATTCGGATTCCGCCATGATGAGCGGGCCAAGAACTCGGGTTGGTTGGCAGTTTTTGACATATTTAAGCAATTATATATACGCTTGAAGGCGCAACATGAGCATGAATACATAATGCAGCCTTTTGAGGCGAAAGTCCTAGGGGGAAAGAAACTTACAAGTGCTCTCCTCATTCCTTAGCAAAAAAGCGACTCGATCACTTCCATCACGCGAGAACCAAGAGATTCTCGAGCGGCTGAAATGAATGCGTATTGCAGCGTGCGTATTGTTATTCCAGAACTGCCTATACAAAGGAGTTCCTGATATACAAATTTTTTGAAAAGTAAAGCGACAGTGTAAAGATAAAAAAGTCGACGTTTCTTTCAAATTTGCTTTTGTTTCTTTTGGCGAATCACTTTTGCTACCCTATGACATCCGAATTTCGACAAATTTAGGGGCGCTAAGCCGGGAGTTAACGTCACTAAGGTTCCACCCTTTTGGAGTTCCTTTTCCCGCCTCGGCCACCCCAGAAAGACTTTCTTCGGCTCGCTGAGTCCTAGGCAGACTTTTCCCTTCGCTGCCTTCTATTTCGCCACTCCTAACTAGTTGAAGTTTACACTGTTGGTACAAGGACCAGTAATTTCATCGTGTTCGAATATTTGCCTTGCCGGCTCTATTCTATAATCGAATAATGCATGAAGATGAGAACTATAAAAGTTTTGTATAGGCTCTGCTACGCACCAGCTGCACAAAAGAAAAGCCGAGTACGAAACGGGGCGTACATGGACGAATAAATGCTCCATGAACCGAAGAGTGATGGGACATTTAGACCATGCCAACAATATAAATCAACACAAAACGCCATTGCCGCCCCATTTTAACCATTCATAAAACGTACTCCAGCCAAATAAAAGCGCGGGGCTTGCCCTGGCGATGCTTCATGTCTGAGGCTCCAAGGCTTGGCTGCGCGGCAGAATTTGACTGGATAAAAGAAAAGCCCTCCGGGAATATTCATCCAATATCATCAAGCATCATTAATAAAAAAAAGAAGAAAAAAAATACTTTATTGTAGCCCCCTAACGTGGTGTTCGGTCCTGGCCGCTCTGTTGGTGAAATGATCCGTCAAAGCCAGAATCTACGCCACCACCATATGGAGTGGAGGCGCCTTGGTAATACACATTCTCATGTGCAGATGGCAGAGGCATTGCATCATTCTTTGGGTATGGCAGATGCGACGAAACGTCTTCGAATGGTCGAGAATATGATGTTGTGGGGGGCGCGTTGACAGACGATGTGGAATAATCCGGGTACTCGGTCCATCGCTGAGAGGCTCCAACGGCACCGACGTCTCCATGAACGTCACTTGCGACCGTAGGACTGTGCGCGATCGGTCGTCCAGCTATGTATGGTCCAGATATAGGATTTGGACCCGGTTGTGAAAGAAGCTGAACGTCTTCGTCTCCGTCATCTTCGGGTTGATATCTTCCTGGCATTGATCCGCCGGCATAGCTTTGCCCTGGCTGCAATGCGCCATCAGATCCGCTCCCAACCTTATGAGCATTGGCTCCATATGAGGGGTCTAAGAATCTTCGTTTTCGGCCGACGAACACCCATCGCACACCACGGCTGAAGGCCTTGACCAAGTCCCAAGGGTTGAAGGCATCAACAATTGCCAAAATTCCTAGAATGCCGCCCTTCTTCTGTGGCCGCTCGCCACTAAATCCGGCGCCGGGGGCCAGCTCTGCAATTGAATTCCTTGACGACGAGTAATGTTTCCACGTAAAAGCATAGACATGCATGACGGAGAATATAGCCATCTCAATGCACAAAAGGAGCGATTGCATGCCAATATTGATGTCGGGTAACGATAGCCGCTTTGTGGGCTTGATTGCACCACTCGAAACAAGGAATGATATCAAAATCTATTTCCAATGTCAACACAGGGCTTGAATTCTCAGAAGTCAACACGACGCGGTAACTTACCGACTGCCAGAAAGAAAAGAATATGACCAGTTTGATACACAGGATTTTGAAGAAAGGGCGGTGCTCCGCAATCTCTCCTTTGATCTCAAAATAGAATTGAATCAACGCATACATAGCAATGGAGACAGCAGTTGATTCAAAGACCATTACCTAAGTAAAATTGTAAGCAATTGAGTTCCAATCAAGTCTGTCTCTTTTATTGATGGGCTGGCCGCTGGCCAACTTACCCAAATGTGAGCAAAGGCAGGGTTAAGTGACGATTCACAATACCGTCCCATTGATTGGGTGATGACTGAAAGAATGGTGAAGATGACGCGGATTGCGCAGTACTGAAATATTGATATCCATATGATCTTTTCAATAGTGTTACCTCCAGTTTTGGAAATTTCCAGAGAGTATTATGCAGACCTACATTGAACCATGTGAGGCCACTGCGAGGGGTCCTCCAAATGCCGCGATCACCGCCACAACACTTTTTTAGCCAGGTCAATGGCCAAATCCAAGGTTTTGGTTTTAATCCACGAAACCATTCTTTTTGCGAATGTAGATCTTCGGCGATGTAATGGCACATTAGGGTGAAGAAGCTCGCAATGGCAAACGCCTCGTAGCAATCTCGGATAACTTCAAAATAAACGGCATGACGGTAGAAGTAATACGACAGAAAAGAAACGGTGGAATAGACGGGTATCATAAAAAGGATTCGGATAATGCTGTTTTTAGAAGGTCAGCGCGTTCCAAGGTAGATTCAGGAAGTGAACTCACTGCCTCTGTTCATATGGGCGCAAATAATTGGTGGCATGTTTGAAGATGAGATAGAATGATACTATGACAGAGATGAGAGCGAAGATGGCTGAGAGTATCAAGCCGAAATGGTGAAAAGTCAGGGAATGCCAGACAGGTTCTTCGACAACTAAGGAGATGTTAGCCCAGGCTAGTCTTGCAAGGTGCCGTATAATGTGATCTTACTCCTCTCGTCCTCGAGCGTGGTATTGCAGACTGGCATCCTGGCCCAAGCAGCCGGTCAGTCCGTCGCCAGGCTTTTGATTAGCAATTTCTCAAGGCCAGGTAACCTCCCAAAACAAGACCACCAACGTCGCCGCAGGTTCTCGGAGGTCTGAACAGTCGAGACGTCGCTACAGACCACACCCTCAGCGACCAGACAGCGAGAGAGCGACTAATATGCACGATATACAGAAGAGGGTTCAAGAGTCCTTTGGTCGAACATGAGCTGGGGGTTTTGAGGAGGAAGATGGGTTTGCAATGCTCGGCAGGTGCGATGGATGGGCTCAATACCTGTAGTGAGGCTGATTAAGCTCGAAACAGTTGTAATTTCAGCTTCGCCCCAGATATGCGCCCGGGCCAAATTTCAGATAGATAAAAACGGGTACAAAGATTTTGTGGCAGTGCATCAAGGTCCACACAAGTACAATTTAAGCTTCGATATAGCCGCAAATTACGTTAATAGCTAGTTTGGCTGCCGACCTGCCTTTCATTATTCAGGTCTCCGCGCACACTTCTCGGATACTTTGGGCCGGGGAGGGACAAATCAAAGGCAACGAAGGGCCCTTTCGGGCGTCATTATTCTCAGACTCGCAGGGGTGCGTTGGCTGGTTTACCATCACCGCTGGTTACAAGTACAAGTACAGAAGAAAACTTACAAGTTCCGACTCGTATAAGAGCCAACAACAGGGCAACATGGGTACTCGTATTGAATACCTTGAAAGAAAAGGTGGCTGGAGCCTGGCGGGAGACGCCCCTTGGCTCACAATCCTTCTTAGCCGCCGGATAAAACTAAGTTAGCCCCCAGCAAGACGTATCCACGCGCCAAGGCAGTCAAGAGGCCACAGCGAATCAGGTAACCCGTTGGCGCAAAAGATCTTCGCCTAGCTCTGACTGGGTCACCCGAAGGCGTCGTAAGGCAATTCGTAACCATGTCCGAAGATGACTTTTCAGCCAAACCACATGGTCACTTGGATTCTTTTGTCACTGGTGACCTTTCTGAAAAAAAAAAGATTAAAAAAAAATTCATTTCTTGACGTTTCTCTTTCCCGTTCTTGTTTTTAATTGGCCACTTTTTAACTTACTTTCTATGCTTTTCCATCTTATCTTGATAAGATACCAGTGCTTGCAAATTCTAAAACAGACGCAGCCTAGAGCAGAAATGCTTCCAGATTCCATACAAAATTGTCCATCTAAAGTCAGGCTACCTGGAGAAACAAATCATCACCCGGCTCAGATACCTTTTCTTTGAACTATCAAGCTGGTCGTGGTTCGATGCTGGCTTTTATTCACGCATCAGCTACGCGTTGCTACATTGATCATCAAATTCTCATGATATAATAATATGTGGATAAATATAGGTAAGAAGTAAACCCGTCAGATTCAATTAGAACCTGCAGCGACCCTTGAAGTAAATGTAATTTGGGATCTTCTTAAGATTAAAGTCGTTTTTGGTTTTGCGTCAACCCATAACGTATAGAAATTTCAAGGACACCTAGAAAATAAGATAAAAAAAGAAAATGATAAGATCCGAAGCTCATTACAATTTATGTTCATTCGACTATATATGGAACTATCCAGTATATCCTCTGAAGGTGCATCATGAATACGAGAATTTGTTTTAATGCGATTTATTCCGTCTTCATTAATATTACTGTGATGGCTAACTTATAGCGACGAGGAATTGAAAATGCACATATGGACAGAAAACATACGGTGATCAGCAACTTCCAATAACGCAGGATCAGGACCCTCCGAATGACGTCCGATAATTCCAGCGCCCAGTTTATGTTACCCCTTGAGCTCCATACCCAGCATTTTGCATGTGAGATCGCCGCCGCATGAATATTTGAAAAGGTCGAATGATTCTACTATAACTGCATACATTATCTGCGCATCGACTCAAGTAGATTGGACCCCCCAATCTTTGCTCTTTCTCTGCTGTCGCAACAAACTCCCTGTTGACTGGTTATTCGCTCGCCTCACAAGATGTGGGAGGTCGACCCGGAAACTAAGAGCAAGGTACGGACTTGAAGCGCATCTTGACGACAGCTATGGCGTCAAATGTCGAATCGGAGTACAAAGCTAACCAATAGTCTGTTCCCAGCTCTTAGAATTGCAAAAGCGCGATGACAACAGCCGCTGCTGCGATTGCGATGCGCCCTCACCCCAATGGGTACGTTCCCATTGCAACGTTAAGGCAATTCAATAATCTAACTTGATACCCCGAAACAAGGCTTCACCCAAATTTGGGATATTCATTTGTCTCACTTGCGCTGGCACCCATCGTGGTCTCGGTGTGCACATCTCCTTTGTACGGAGCGTGAGCATGGACGCATTCAAAGTCTCGGAAGTCACTCGCATGCAGAAAGGAGGCAACAAGCCATGGAAGGAGTTTTTTGACGCGCACGAGCTCACTAAGCTAGACGGGCGCAGCTTCGAGGAATGCACAATAGCAGAAAGATATTCAGGCGATGTTGGCGAAGAATATAAAGAACGTCTTTCAGCCAAAGCAGAGGGTCGAGAATATGTGCCCCAGGAGAAGAAGCCTGCTAGATCGGGCACTGCATCAGCGACAAACACTGGTCCTCGCGGCTCGAGAGCACCTTCGACGGCGGGCTCACGGACGGGCACCCCAGTCGGCCGTACTGGCCACTCTTCTTCTCCGGCTCCCTCAATGGGATCAAGGAAAGCCCAAAACGAGTCATACTTCGCGAAGCTTGGTGATGCTAATGCAGCTCGTTCTGCCGATCTACCTCCGTCACAAGGCGGGCGATTCACTGGGTTTGGAAGTGCGCCCAGAGAACCGGCAACTAGTTCCAGTTCCGCATTACCGGGAGTTGATGATTTTCAACGAGACCCTATGGCAGCGTTGACCAAGGGATTTGGATGGTTCACATCAACAGTAGGCAAGAGCGCCAAGACCGTGAATGACGGTTGGATCCAGCCCACTGCCCAGAAGGTATGAGCAACGTTTATTGTTTCTCAATTCGCACATTTATCAAAGCTGATGTTGATGCTAACCTTTTTTTTTTTTTTTGGAAACAGCTCGCGGAAGGAGATCTTGCCGCAAAGGCGCGCCTGCAGGCTATGCAGCTAGGAAAGAACATTCAAGCCGGAGGCGCGTATACTGCAGATTCATTCAACCGCTTCGTTGAAGGCCCACCCGCCTCTTCTCGTGATCCGGACAATTTTGATGAAAGCAAGCGAGACTTTTGGGACAATTTTGGCGGAGGAGCCAGTCAATCTTCAAGACCAAGCGCAATCGGTACTACCGCGATGCGCGGTGGCGGAGGAAATTCCGTATCTTCGGCTTCAGGAAGTACAGGCTTCGGAAATACCGGCTCTTCGTCAGGTGCTAGCGCGACAAAGTCAAAGTCAAAGGAAGAAGGATGGGACGATGAATGGTAGACAGGCGATATATCTAGCCGATATAGATTATATGGAAGCCCACAGTCAAGATTAAAAGGCAAAACCTGCGTATGTTTTGGACAATGCGCATGATATAAAATTAGAAAGTTGGAAGATATATGATGGGACATGCCTTAGTCATAGCGGAGAGTTGAATAATACCACATTTTTAATGTTTCGCGATATCTTGAACAGGAACAACAGAGTGAGTTCTTGACTGGAACCGACGGGCCATTAAGCATGGTATAATATTCAAACTTTTAGGCGGCATAAGATTTATGAGTTTCATGGAGGTATCCACATATGATGGTATCGCTTTTCTAAGTATCTCTTCTTACATGTCCAGCCCTTCACCAAGTGATAGTCATTGAAGAAACCGGGACGTGACGTCTTCGCGAAATAATAGATTGATGCTAACTAGATGTGCAGTGCTATATGCGAGCAGCGCACCGACCTCCTAGTTGACCGAGGCAACGTTGGAGGAAAACAATAGTAAAGATAAGCAAATCATTAGGGCAGGGGAAGGTAAATTTTTTTTTCTTTGAGGAATTTGTTGATATATTCGTGGCTGAGGAAAACGTAAAAAAACCCATATAAACCGAAGCTCAGATCTGGTATCCTATATGGGATGCCATACCTTCGCAGTAATAAATGTCGCATGTTGTAGTGGAGAGGCGCTAAGATCCTAAGGGACCTTTTCGCTCTCCGTAACCCCTTCGCTACGGTATTCGAGAAACTCGCTTTCCGCAACCATTGTATCAAACCATCGAAATGAGCTGTGTAACCTGGAGATCACCGACAACAGGTGATCCCAACCAGTGACACTCTCAAGAGATCCATCACCATATCTCTTCCATATAAAGTTATTTTTTGCTGATTAGCATCTTCTCACGCCGACTTTAAATCAGCCATTCTGTGAACCGTCCCGTCTTGTTGCTGAAGTGCAAATAACCACCGACCGCTGCATCATATCAGGGTTGTTGCAGAATGTTGGACTGGCCTGCAGCATGATCACCTCAGGTCCTTAAGACTCAAACTGACAAGTTAAGCAGAATCATAAAACAAGTGACAAACAGGCTAAAAAGACAAACTTAATCCGAAACTCCATGATAACCGCCCCTGCTCTAGCTCCTTTATGGAGACTAGACGTCCATGAATGGAGAAACATATACGACGAAAAACAAATACAAAGAAGACCTCAGAGCAGAAACATTACGAGCCAGTATATTGGGCTCCTGGACTTTTTTTTCTTAATTTATCATTTTACTGTTTTTTTTTCTTTCTTATTTTTATATCAATGATGTGTTGCGTGACAGACGAAGCCGTGAATATAGATATAGGTATACCTGCGAGTTGATTGGTATATAATATACCACACCCTCTCGCTGGTGCCTGATATCCAAATCCACCAAAACTTCTTCCGAACATATTAAAAGACCCTCCGTTGGGAGGGCTGCGAGAAAGTGATCTTCAATTTTGCTTTGCAAATGCGTCGCACGCGTGAGCCACTTGCAAAGCTGTATATTGCATTCAGGGAGCGGCCGCGGTCGTTGGGATTCTAAAGCTTCGCGCTTGGGATTGCAAGTGCTCTGCTCAAGGATTCGTTTTTTGTACCGACGCCTCCTTCAAACAGTTATCGAATCCCAACTCCGAAAGCGCTTTATCGCTGTCTGACTTAACCGCTTTGATCAATCCGATTATATTGTCGCACTCGTTGAGTTCCGCGAGAGTGGTGCACATATGGCGGTCCAACGCTTTGCCTTCTGCCCTAAGCCTTGGGGAGCTTTGGTCAGAGAGAACGGAGGCCGCTCTCATTGAGAAAACAATTTGATCGGTAATATTTTTGCGGAGTTGATGGAGTTTAAGGATAGAGTATTCGACTAATTTGTGCTGCGTTTCCACAACGTAAGCAAATTTGTCCATGTCTTTGACAATGCCGACCACCTCCTCAGGCGTCCAGACTTCAGTCGGACTAGTGAATTGCGGCTGACTCTCTTCAGTGGTCATTTGAGCGGAAATAAACGCGGCGTTTCGATGATTCGTTGCAATTGGAGCCGAATTTTCGCTCATCAGTCTACCTGCGTGACTACTGTTTGAATCTTCGGCAGTGAAAGCATCAACAGAGTTGAAATAATCTCTGAAAAAATGCTGATCTTTAACCATCTCTGAAGGAGTGATTGATGCCGCTGGAGAAGCGGTGGCACTGCGTGCTGGGGCATTCCAGCTGCCCATCATCACTGGGGCTTGATTGTCAACTTTAGGATCAAGACGAGGCTCCTCGGCATAGCCAGCTTGTCGATTCTCAGTACGAGTCTTTTCAAAAGACGTCATCCGGTTTGCAGTAGAAGGTCGTTGAGTCTCGCGGGCCTTGCCCTTCTCAACAACTTGCTTGGCAGGTTTCTTTGCCTCGCGGATTTCTAGGGCAAGCTCGGCATTACGACCAGCAATGGCAGGCTCTGGGTCCGTTGTCAGCCTGTTTTTGCTAAAGGCTGATTGTCAAGCATAGATTAAGGAAATGAGACTTACGACCACGTTCCATCCTGATTGGAGCGCTAGAGTACTCTCCAGTGTCCCAGTGAGCATAGCCACAATCGTCATCGGACTTATTGCAATGACCGTACTCAATCCAATAGTAACAGGTCAATGGCTTGCTAAAATGCTTCGGCAATCTGGGACCGGTGGGAGGCGAGAAAGATTTACCGCGAGTTGCTCCCATATTTGGGGCAGGAGCCTGGCTTTCTTCGTTCGTAAGATTGCTGGGAAACTTTCTGAGCGTTTGGGCAGAGCTGAAATTTGAAGCGTTGGCAGAACTTTCTCCCTGCCCAGATACCTGGCGATGTCCCCCAGCCTTCTTTTCAAGCGACTGAATGGGAGGATTTGCGATGGAATCTGTCCAGAAGTGAGAGAATTGGCATTCATTGTCTGGCCGACGGCAAGAGCCAAACTTGGCAAAGTAGAAGCACGTCTTCTTCTTTGATTTAGCACCTGCGGACTCCGTTTGCATCTGCATGGCAGGCGGTGTGCGTCTCGCGTCTGCAAGTGATTCCATTTGAGCATTAGCTCTGCCGTTCCTGCATCTCGCGTTAGTTTGTCTTCAGATCAACCCGTCAAGGCAAAGGGCTGTGAGGGTGCGTTGTTCCGAGCCCCTCGCTCTCCTCGCAGTTTCTCACCTCCAGTTCTCAGAATGGATCGTGGAACTTCCAAGTTTGGCGTGATGTTTACGAGCAGGGGGTTCGAATTTGGAGCTGAATGATTCAGCAGGTTTGCGAGTGAGGTTTGACATGATTTACTGTCAGTTTGGGGTTGTCGAAGATATGGAATGGTGATGGATGAAGAGGTTGAAGTGAGAGAAGAAGAGGTGAAAGTGAGAGTGGAAGAAGGCGGAATGAGGAAGATTGAGCTGAGCGTGAATATCGAAACTGGCGTCAACACAAACATGACAAAATACCAGCCCCCTCAAACCTTCACTGGAGCTTTTGGCCAATTTTCTGGACTTTGCTTGTTCCTCAACCCGAACACGAGTAAACAACCCAGGATCCACTCACAACGCTGCCAGATGTGACTTTGAGTGTATATTTTCTCGAGCAAGATGCCTTGGTCAATATAGGCCTGTATCGTTGCAAGAGTATTTGTGATTTTTACCTACGTATGTTTCTTTAGGTTTGCTCATAATTCACGTGGTTCTGGATCCACACAGCTTCAATTACTCTTAAAACCGAGCTACAGGCCATGGACAAGTCCACCACCGGAGAAAGGAAACGGTAACAAATTGAAGCATAATAATCTCTAGCGGAAGGTCACTTGGTGCTATCTTTAGTCTAATCTACCTTCAAACACATTATGGCAGACCCGAAGAGCGCACATACAATCATTTAGCCTGATACCTTTGCTGCATGACCCTGGATTAAGCCTTGCAATTTAGCTTCACTTTCCACGACTTCGGGTAATTCTTTCTCCAAGCTCCTTTCCTTGGGTGACCACCCTAGAAGCTCTCTTGCTCTTCTGGCTTTGCCCCGAGAATTAGAGCCCCAAAGGATAGCTCCAAAGGGGTGTATAGCATTCGCTTCTTCCGTAGAGAGCTGTTCTACCTTGTCTGACGTAACAAGTCCCTTCTTATAAGCAATTGATGCGATCTTGTCTGAGATTTCCTTCCATGTCTAAATCCAGTCAGACGAGCGTGTCTTGAGAGAACGGTCATGACTTACATGCTCTCCATTCTCTGCAAAGTAATAGGCCTCCTTTCCCCATGGCACATTATCTGTTCGTTGAATGGCTGCGTCAAACAATTCAGAATAGACATTACTCAAGTCATACACATGGACATTGTTCCACACGGCAGTTCCGGGTCCGACCTGGAAGACTTGCTTTCTCTTGAGACTATTCTCGGTCAACCAATAGACCTGAATGCTTCGCTGATTTCCTGGGCCTCTCCCTTGACCGTAAATGGTGGGAGGGCACACAATGGCTGTCTTGACTCTGTCTGCGTCCACCGTGCCCGCTTCCAGGACGACCTTGTCCACATCCCGATGCGGCGCAAAGTCCGGAAGCGAGGTAATCTCACCAACTTTGTCCAAGTCGTCGTAGACCTTTACTGATTCCTCGCCGAAAATTTGCCGTTCCACATCGGCGTATGCAAGAACAGCTGAGCCGGACGTATGGATCCAATAAGCTGGTCGATCCGGGGTATGGGCCGCCAAACCCTTCGCAATGGCATGAGCAGCACCCAAGTGATCGGCGTCTGCCCAGTCTACATAAGAGGAAGTAAGCAAAAGCAAAACCACAGTAAGCCATCTAGAACCACTCATATCATACCGAGGACAATGTCAGCTCTTTCCGCCTCCTCCTCTAGCAACTTTGAATCGTCCAACGTTCCATAGACTAGCTTCACTTGCGGATACTGGGATGCTAATGCGGCGCCTCGGTCGCTATTGCGCACAAGACAGGTATACTCAAAGTCCGGATGAGCTTTAGCTATGACAGAGAACGCGTCTCCACCGATATAGCCCGTCACACCGGTGCTGGATGCTCAAGCCGTCAATTGCCTTACAACGCTAAATTGACGTCATTTGAAGCGGGGTGAAGGCACGTACGCAAAGACTTTAATCACCATTTTGTTGGCTGTTCAACAATAGAACGTACGGGAATCTGTGGGTCTGATATGAGTAGAAGCGCACTTCAGCTTATTTTTTTTCTCCCTTTTTTGTTGATACTGTCAAAGGACTCTACTAGGTAGTTTGCCAACCCCAATGTTGAGTAGAACGACCACTACCCCACATTCTGGCAAGGGCGCTTTATTGGAGAGCTCGGATGAAACCCGACCTAAACCCACATGGGGAAAATCAGCCGCCCTCGTCTAGTTGTCTCCTGCACGTAAGAATCAACCTTAATTTGGGTTTATCCGACGGCTTGATGACATGTGCATCTTTATTGGGCATCAACAAGTCGAGCTGAATATTACTGTTGAACACTCGAATTCCTCTTTCCAAGCCCTCCAGCAAATGAGAAGAATAATATGTGAGATCAGGTGAATCACATTGAGAGTATACAAAGAAATAATCGTGGGTGAAAGCACCCAAGAAATTTGTAGGCTATGTTCAATTTTTAATACAAGTAATGCAAAGAATAAGACTAATTATATCACTGAACCAGTTTCTCTCTACCAGGTCACCTTATAATGCTCTTCCTTGACAATTTCCTTTTGTACTTTGTTGTCAACGGCAGTTGTCCAAAATGGGACGGTGCGAACCTGACGTCTTATGTAATCAAGAGTCGCTTACGGCACCAAGCAGATCAATCGGCGGCTTGAGCTTTGACAGATTATCGCAGTAAAGTTGCTTGGGCATCACGAATCCTCAGTTGTCTCTGGTTAAATTCATCTCTTCCACGACAACCGTCCCTTATCCCACGCGATACATCGTGAATTCTTATTTGGAATTATTTGAGGCTGGGATATTCTGAATTTAACATTGAACCTAATTCCGAAACTCAGGGTTACACGGGATCTGATTTCCGCATTAGTTCTCACTACACTCTTTTCATGCGTTCCGATTAATATCTTCTTCTCTGCCAGCACAGAGGGCCTCTGTGTGGTCGAGTCCGAGAGACGGAGTCATGGGAGGTCCTGGAGGGAAGCGCAAGCGGGGTGAGCGAACCTACTCTCAGGACAGCAACGATGGATCTCGACCGTCGCCGCATCGTCCGGGAAACTTGAATCTCGCCCAACAAAACCAAGCCCATCAAGGTCATCAACAACAATATGAACATCGTGGCCGAGGTGGTCGACGCTACAGCCGTGGAGGTCGAGGTGGTGGCATGCAGCAGAGGAGTCCGTCGAATGGCGCGCAATCCAATTTTACTTCACCTCGAAACACCAACGCTCTGTCCCCGCCAGCACCACCATCGCAGCTTAGAGAGAGTGTGAGACGCGCTCAAACACCGCCAGCACAACCGTCAACACAACCGTCAACACAACCGTCAGCACCATCAGCACCGGCGCCCCGACCTGACGCTCCAGCACCAGCTTCTGCGCCGATCCAGCCCGTAGCACCCGCCCCGAGCCCGCGACCACCTCAGCCACCAGTGGAGAAAAAGCCTCCTACTCCCTATAACTATGAATATTTGACAGCTGAACGGGTAGCTTCCTGGAAGGAGGCGGGTCGGAAGGATATTGTCGGCCTGGGTACGAAAGCTCGCACCGGCGAAGACCCCATTATACTCGGAGGGATCTTCCAGGAGCTGCTGAAATCCGGTTTAGATGGCAAAATTGAAGCTATTGATGCGGGAAGTGCTATCAAAGACCTTTTGGCGGGGGAGGCGTCTGCCGCCGAAGATGACGCAGCGGACGGCGAAGAGAAGTTTGACCCCCAATCGCTCTTTCTTGACTGTCTCTCTATCCTGACTGAGAACGATGTCGCGAATCCGCTCCTGCGCACAATTGTTGTGGCGACCGAGGTGTCTCCTGCATTGATGCGACAGGAACTCGAAACCCCGTTGCTCCAGTCCCTTGGAATGATCAGAGATACTTTTGGTCGAATGGGAATTCGGAAACAGACGAACCTCCTCTACCGTCAATCAAACTACAACCTTTTGCGTGAAGAATCCGAGGGATACTCGAAACTTGTGACGGAGTTGTTCACGACTAGCAGCCATGAACCTCCAACAAGTGAGGTGGTGGAGGAAACTTTTGAGAGGGTCAAAGCCTTGATTGGTGCATTCGATTTGGACGTTGGCCGAGTACTCGATATTACGTTGGACGTCTTTGCTGCAGTTCTTGTGAAGCAGTATCGCTTCTTTGTTAAATTTCTGCGAGCAAGCTCCTGGTGGCCCAAGGAGAAAATTTTTGAAGGCATCCAATCTTCTGACCAAGGCGTTGGAACTCTTCCTCTGTGGGCATTGCCTGGTTCAGCTGGTTGGACCATCGACGATGAGGAGAGGGAAAATCTTTCTCGCTTGAAAGAACAGCGGGATCATGCGTTCTGGGACCGAGTCCGTGAAGTAGGCATGGATGCTTACTTTGAACTTGGTGGTAGGAGAGTCATTGGAAAATCGGGGCTGGCCCATACGAATGATATTGCTCATCAAGCATCGGATGCCGACAAAGACATGGAATGGATCGAAACCACTGGGACTCTCCCGCCACAGGGAAACCGAGTCGCTGCTCAGCTCCTTGGCTTCAAACTACGATTTTACGCATCGCCTGCACGGGACGCCAATGATTCTTTGCCGGTAAATCTGATATACCTGGCTGCTTTGCTCATAAAAATTGGTTTCATCTCTCTTCGAGATCTCTATCCTCACTTATGGCCCGCCGACGAGGCAATGGAAGCGGTTCGGGAACAGAAAATGAAGGAGAAGGCTGAACGGGAACGCGCAAATCGACCTGGTGGAGGCGCAATGAATGCTCTGGCCATGGCTGGAGCTCTTGCCGATGACACAATATCTGTGCCATCACGACTCCGAGAGATCGACGACAATCGAGGCACACCAAACAGAAACGAAAGCGAAGCGGCGAAGACTCCTGGCAAAGAGGCAGCACAAGAGAGCACCACTGAGGAGGCTGAGAAGGAGAAGCTCCCGGAACCAGCCGATCAGAAAGTTCAGCTGTTGAAGAGTCTCTTGTGCATTGGTGCCATCCCAGAGTCTCTTTTTATGCTCGGTCGCTTCCCGTGGCTTATGGATGCGTTCCCTGATCTACCGGCTCACATCCATCGCATATTACATCACTCTTTAAGCAAGGTTTACGAGCCATTGCGGCCGTTGAGTGATCGCGAAGGCTTGCGACACTCGAAGAAGATACCAGATCCTGATCAATCTGGAGTGCCAAAAGGTCAGGTGCGATTAATAAACGCCCCTGTTCGCAAGGTCTTGCGGTGGGCTCAGATTGACCGAGACGACACGAATGAAGCAACAGATTATCGTTTCTACTGGGATGAATGGTTAGACCATGTTCCGGCCTGCCAAAATGTCGATGATGTCTTCTCACTCTGCTCAACGTTTTTGAATTACTCTGGAGTCAAGATTGGCCAGGATCCAGCGCTCTTGATGAAGCTTGCTCGCATAGGGAAGCACAGCCTCAATACGGATCCTTCGCCTGAAAACCATGCTCGGTGGATCGACCTGTCAAAGCGTCTCTTGGTACCTGCACTCAGCTTGACCAAGAACAATCCCGGTGTCGTCAACGAAGTATTTGAGCTGCTGAGGAACTTTCCCACGAGCACCCGCTACTCGATCTACGCTGAATGGTATACTGGTCAAATTTCTCGCTTGCCGGATATCAAAGTGGCGTTCGATCAGGCCAGAGCAGAGACAAAAGATGTTCTGAAGCGTATCAGCAAGACCAACGTAAAACCCATGGCCAGAGCTCTTGCCAAGGTTGCCTATGCCTCGCCTGGTGTGGTCTTCTCCGTCGCTATCAGCCAGATTGAATCGTATGATAACCTTGTCGAGGTGGTCGTTGAGTGTGCTCGTTACTTTACTTTCCTCGGATATGACGTCCTGACCTGGTCATTGATGAATTCCCTTGGAGGCAAGAATCGCAACCGCGTCCAGGCCGATGGTATGCTAGCCAGTAAATGGCTGTCAGCCTTGTCTCTGTTTTCTGGGCGCGTCTTCAAGCGCTATTCTGTCATGAATCCCACTCCGATCCTACAATATGTGACAGATCAAGTTCAAAAGGGAAACAGCACGGAACTTATTGTCCTCAAGGAGATGACGCTTGCAATGGCTGGCATTGTCGCAGACACGAACTTCAATGAAGCTCAAACACAAGCAATGGCCGGAGGTAGTCTTCTTCAATCGCTTACTCTCCTCCAATTATTAGATAAACGGCATGAGACGAAAACCACAGCTAAGAGGCTATTGAGAGCCCTGACCGAGCCAAAACTCGCTGGGCAGCTGCTCATCTCCATTGCTCAAGAGCGACAAACGTGCATTTTCAAGGTGCCGGAGCCGGACGCTCATTTGAAGCTCTTGGGTAACCTCCTCGACGAGATCCACAGAGTACTCGCACAGTACCTTGACTTTCTTCGCAGCAATTTGTCAGTCAAGGAATTTGATGGACTTGTTCCAGATGTCATCAGCCTCATCCGCGATTTTGGTCTTGACCCAGCCATAGCGTTTTGGTTTAGCAGGCCAAGCATCGTACAGGCCTTGGCCGATGACAGTCAAAGCGCAACTCCAATTGTACAGGCCTCATCGAAGCCGAGCGAGTCACCTGCAGTTGAAGCTGATGAAAATGTGAACGAGGATGGCGATGTCAGCATGAGTGACGTGAAGCCCGAAGAGGGTGAGCAGACTGAAGATGCGGATGCAGATCGCGAACAGGGTGAAGAAGTAAGGACACCTGATGTGAAGGAAGCCGAAGAGGTCACGACGAACGGAGACCTTGACATGCAAGATAATCTCCCCTCGACAGATGTGCCAACACCGGTGCCAGGTGCTGAGGCTAACAGTACCGGTGAGCCTTGGCACCCTGTTCTAAAAGATCTGGCAGAGAGAATAAAGGCAGCAATGCCAGAGGAGAACTGGGAAATCCTCAACGCAAACTTTTATATCACCTTCTGGCAATTGACCCCCCAGGACATGCTGGTTCCGACGCAAAGCTATGATGCTGAAATTACTCGTCAGCAACGCAAGCTGACATCGATTATCAACGACCGCTCAGATATGACTGTAGCAGGCCTTCAGCGAAAGGACAAGGAGAAGAAGCATCTCGATGATCTAAAGGATCGGCTTCGTGGTGAAATGAAGACGCAAGTTCAGTCTTTCTCTCAAACAAGAAGTCGACTACAAAGAGAGAAGGACCACTGGTTTCCCAATTTCTGGGGCAAATGGGATGCTCTCAATGAAGCCCTCATTCAAAACTGTTTCCTTCCTCGCCTACTTCTTTCGCCCTCTGACGCTCTATATACGTTCAAGATGCTCAAATTCCTTCACTTCTCAGGCGCCGCTAATTTCCGCACAATGGGCGTTATCGATAATATCTTCAGGGAGAAGCAGCTGACTGCACTAATGTTCATGTGCACTTCTCGAGAAGCGGAGAACCTTGGCCGATTTTTCAATGAGCTCTTTCGTGATCTCAGTCGCTGGCACGCCGACAACGCCATCTACGAAAAGGAAGCCTATGGTGTCAAGCGTGACCTCCCTGGGTACGCTAAGAGGTTAAGCAATGAAACCAAGGGCCCAGAAACATTTTTGGACTTTGAAGAATTCCGCAGACTGCTTTACAAGTGGCACAGAAGCTTCAACAATGCTCTCAAAGCATGTTTCACCGGTGGCGAATACATGCACATCCGTAACGCGATCATTGTTCTCAAGGCTGTTCATCTCTACTTCCCTGCAGTTAATTGGATTGGCCGAGACCAGCTTACGTGCGTTACGGAGCTCAGCCAGAATGAGAAGAGAGAGGACCTCAAGATTGCCGCTACATCTCTTCTTGGCAACCTGAAGCGGCGGGAAAAGCAATGGATGCTTCCTCAGGCATTCAATCTTGTAAACGCAGGCCTAGTCCGCCAACAAGCTGGCTCAGGAAACCCTAGCAGCCGTGCTGGCTCGGCGGCTCCAGGTACACCTCAACCAGAGTCCAAGCCCGGGACACCACTCGACGCAACCGCTGTAGAGTTTAGACCAAAGGAGCAAGCAAGGTATGCAACGCCGAAATCAATCGCACTACCGGTATACGACAAGAATCTAACACACATCTAGTTCAAATGGTATTCTCGCTCCCCAAGCGAGTACTGATCGAGCTGAAGTTGAGGATGGCGAAATCGAAGACGCCAAAATGAAAGATGCGTCCACCGCAAAAGCAGAGTCTAAATCAGGAGAAGGCGACAACGCGCAAGATAGGGAGGCGCAAAAGCCGGGATCCTCGACCACCCCTGTTTCGCACATGACGGAAAATGTAACGGAAAAGACTGAAGACGTTGAACCCGAGGCGTCACAACCCCCAGCTGAATCTGAGGCACCGACCTCTAAATCGCGACAAGCCCATGAGCAACCGGGGCCAAGTCCAGCACCCTCAGGACCTAGCCTCGATCCACGCCCAAATCTTCGACGAAATGCATCTAATTCTGCAATTGGACGCCCTCAGCATGCTTTGCCAGTACGACCGGAAGGCCCGCCGCCCAGATCTCATGACCGCCGAACGGGAGAGCAGTTTGGCGAACGGCGTGAAGGAAGAGATCATCGATTTGCTGAAACAGGAAGAGCAGATCGCCAGGGTGATTACCTGCATGATCGTCGACAAGGCCCGCCGGCCGTGGGCCGTGAGCGGTATATGGGTAGTGATCGGGATCGCCGAGATCTGCCTAGGGCAGAAGAACGTGAAGGCTTTGTTCGCGCGCAGGCAGAGGAACGTCCTGGCAGACCTCACAGGGATTCTCGTCCGAGGTCAAGAGAGGGAGACTGGCATGAGCGTATGCCGAGCGATAGGTCTTTTGGCCAAGGACTGCCACCCACTTCGCGAGCGTCCGATTTCCCTGCACGACCGGCTCGAGAATTGACAAACATGGGACCTCCACCGCCAGGTCCGCCTCAACATCATGAACAAGGGGGTTACCTGGCTGCGCAGCCTCATCCTGATCGGGCTGCTCTTGTCAATGGACCTCAATATCCCGAGCGGGGCGCTGCTGGTGGCGCCGATGGAGGCCGAAGGGAATCTGGGAGATATGAGAGAGACAGTCGTAGAGAGCGTAATTCGCATCCTCAATCTCCATTGCGCCCGGAGGATAATCGGTTGCTTGGGCAACAAATGCGGGAGGATGGACGTGAATACAGCAGCAACTATGGACCACGCTATGACGAGAATAGACCTCCCACAGGACCAAAGGGGGATCGGCCGCCTAGGGGCGGCATGGGTGACCGGGAAGTGCCTCCACAATCAGGGCCTCTCCCTGGTGCCATGGATCAAACTCATGGTCGCTTGAATCAAGATTACAGGCCCCCAGCCCGGCAGCAGGACCCCAACTATGGACGTCTTAACGCCGGACCAGAAATCCCGTCAGGCCCGCGCGGAAGGGGTCAAGGCAGAGGCGGAAGAAATACGAGTAATGTGCGTCAACAAGAACCACCTTTTCCTACGGGACCTCAGATGCCCTCGCCAACCATTTCTGAGCGTCAGCCGCCAAGAGGACCGTCACGCGGTGGGCCACGGACTTCGTCTGCGCAATTCGAGTACCCACCATCATCCGGCCGAGCGTCGCCGCCATCTACATCCCACGAAAACGCTCCAGACATGAGTGGAGTACACCCAGACCGGCTGCAGGCACTTCGCAAATCTCCGGATACTCCACCCTACGTCAAATCAGCCGCATTACCGCCACAGCCGGCAATGGCGGCTCCTCCCGTCCACCCAGGCCCTTCGCCTTCTGGCCCAGCACCTTCGGGTCCTCGGAACCAGTACGCTGCACCAGTTAGCCCTGGCGGGCCTGGTTCTGGTGGCAGAAACCCTCCAACTGGACCGTCATCGGGAGGCGACCGAAACCGGGGCGACAAGCGGTTCGCCGGTATTCAGAATGTCCTTCAGCAGAGTGGCCCTGAGCGCAGTGACCGTGGGCCCCCTGTTCGTGGACGAGGCGGCAGGTCTGCCAATGCAGGCGGAATGTCGTCTTTTGGCGGCAGCTCTGAGCCATCGACACCTGGCGCAGGCGGTCGCTCCGAAGGCCGACCTGATCTCTTTTCTGACCGCGTGACTATGCCGAGTGTTGCCACACCTCCAGTCGATGAACGTCCGTCAAGCCGGGCACATCGCACGCGAGGCGGAGAAGGAGACCGCCGTTCGGCTCGGACCGAGTCCAGCCGACCTAGTAGTCAAGACCGGGCCGCAGGAAGTCGACGTGATGAGGAGCGCGCTCTTAGACGAGAAGATGGGCGTGAATCCCGCGGCAGCGGACGAGATGACCGAGAGCGCAGCCGTCGATCACGCGGAGACGACGGGCCTTCGCGAGAGCGCCGGGATGGCCGCGGTCGTGACGACGCCGAGCGCAGAGGCGGAGCCAGCACAAGTGGAGGAACTGTAGGCAACACTGTCGGCGGATCAGAGGAGGGACAACGGTCTTGGGGAAGTGAAACCGGTCGTACGCGAGGCAGTGACAGGCGAGATGATCGTGATCGCGAGCGGCGAGACGGACGCAAACGCGGTCGCGGTGGTGACGATTCTGGAACTGGAGAAAGGAGCTTTGGAGATGGGAAGCGGCCTCGCCGAGCGCAATAAGCAGGGGTGACCGCCAGCAATACGGGATGAGACGCTCTTATTGCCGAGAGATCTCATTAAGTGTATGAAGGCAAGACTGGATGTACGAGAGGCGGAAGAATCAAGGAAGAAGAGAAAGCGATATAAAACTTATACTCATTGGGATACCAGATCTTGCATTCTGGAATGGGCGTTTTATTTATTTTATTTTATGGTTTGGATTGCATGGTAGCGAATGTCAAGCAGCGTCAGCGAAGAGAAAACCACAGACAGCAAGCCTGGAGTTATTGGGGTTATCATTCATCTTTCCCTGTTCAAATTTATTTCGATCCTTTTCAAATCCATTTCTTCCATCTTCTTCATTCATCTCTTATTTTCCTTTTCCTTTCTTTTTATCAATATCAGCAGCGCAGCCTCGGACGCTGTACCGCCGACGAGGACATTGGCTCTGCCTAACTTTGTAAAGTACGGAGTATGCCAATAGTTATGTACATTATAGACCCAATATGTGACCGCTCAGTCATCATCCAATTGAACCAAGTCAAATTTTTATCTTCTTGTATGTAGTCAATTTGTTAGCATAAGATTCACATCCATTGTACGAAGTATGTTACAAAATACGGCGTTACGAACGTCGTCCGTTGTCGTTTTTTAGCTGTCGGACTGTCCGCAGTCAATTTCAATGCCGAAGCTTTAGTTAAGTTGGATATGGCAGACGTCGCGGAACATACCGTCCCCCGGTCATAGGATTATAAATGATGCCATGCTGCTCTGGCGCGGGCCCTGGCGCGAGCGAGTTGCGCGCCCCACGGGTCAGGGTATACTAAACATTCGTACGGTTGCGGGGCCCTGGAGCTACAGGATTTATAATATTGTTTTCCCCTTCCCCTTTCAATCTTCTTCTGCTTATTCTTCTCCTTCTTTTGATACCACCTAATCTTTTAATATTATCTCAGAAGCCTGCGTCTAAACTCACTGGCGCATTACGAGGCGTAAAGCTATCGTCCAAAAACATGACCGTTACGCCGTTTCAGGTATGTCATGAACCTACCAGAGAGACTGGGGTGCGGGGCGGGGGAGTCACAATTAGGAAGGGAAAAGTTAAGGGAAGAAGAGGGAAAAGAAGGAAAAGAAGAGGGGAAAGGAAAGGAATAGAAAAGAAGGGAAGAAGAGGGGAAAAGAAAATAACAGAAGCTAATATATGGTTTGGGCAGACTGTGTTTGCGGTGCCGTTGAGCTGCGAGGACTGTATCAAGGATGTTTCTACGTCGTTGAACAATATCCAGGGTATGCAGACTATGCGGACACTTCTTTACCTCCCCTGCACTATACTTGCGACGCAAAAGAGAAAAGGGAAAGGAAAGGAAGGGAGATATGAGACGATGCACCGCAACGCATCGCAAAACAGGGATAATGTAACAACAAAGATAGCAAGGCGCTGACTCACCGTTCTTGGGACACAGGTATCAACAAGATCGACGCAGACTTGAAGCAGCAGTTGATTTCCATTGTGGGCACTGGTACGTTTTCCAGAAGATTCAGAAGGACGACGAGGGGTCTCGTCAAATAAGACTATGTTGGAACTATGTGCTGATAAGATTGTATTTAGCTGCGCCCTCTGCCATCGTTTCTGCCATCCAGGCTACCGGCCGCGATGCAATCTTGCGGGGAAGTGGTCTTCCAGATAGTGCGTAACCTAAGTCGTCCCCCTTTCTCCCGTCAAACCAGATCATCTCGCCCATCGCCCATGGAGATAAGTAGCGCTAACCACCGGGGATGATGGTGATGATTAGGCGCCGCAGTATGCATTCTCGAAACACATTCGACAAGCGTCGCCGACAAGGTGCGCGGGATTGCGCGCATGGTGCAAGTCTCGCCGACCCTGACCGTGGTTGATCTGACAATACGCGGCCTCTCGCCGGGCAAATACTGGGCGAGTGTGCGGGAGACGGGCGACATTTCTCAGGGCCCGGCCTCGACAGGCGGCATCCTGGGGGCGCTGGAAAGTAGTGCTGCTGCTGCTGGTGCCAAAACACAGGGACAAGAAGGTCAAGGTCAGAAGGCACAGCCACGAGGGCTGTTTGGTACCGTGGAGATTGGCAAGGGCGGAATGGGCAGTGTGTTTTTCGACCGCCCGATACAGATATGGGAGATGATTGGACGGAGTATGGTCGTGTCCAAGCAGCAGCCCGAGGGGGGGAACTTTGACAAGGAGGACCCAGATACCCTGGTTGGGGTGATTGCGAGGAGTGCGGGCGCGTGGGATAATGATAAGACGGTGTGCTCGTGTACGGGCAAGACGTTGTGGGAGGAGCGCAAGGAGCAGGTGGGCAAGGGGATGATATGATTAACATTTGTCTGGAGGCGTTTGGAGGTTGGGCGAGGGGAGCGGGAGGGAGGGCTGGTGGCGTGGTGTTCGGGAGTTTATGAGAAAGTGGTTCAAGAGTGGCAGTATAAAGGATGAGGTGTTTTGAAGGCGGGATTTACGAAAGTTCTGAAGGGATCATGAGTTGGATGATGATAAGAAAAGGCAAGTAAGTAGGATCAGGATCAGGCTCCATGCGCAGCTAAGCTACATAGCGTTTTTTTATTGCAAATATATTCAGAAGTTGAACAGTTTGAACTACCCTGGTAGCTTTCTCATCCTCATGCTATACTGCTGCACACAGTTCCTTTCTAGTCACCTTTCCTTTTCTCCTTTTTCTCCCTCCTCGCAACACTAAACTCCCAAAACGCCATACTCGTCCTCCTGCCTCTGTACATCCCTCAAGACCCTCTCAAACACGACACTCACCGTCTTCCTATAATGCCCGGGGGACCTATTACTCGCCACATACGCAGCCGCCACGCTCCAATCGACTTGTTCGAGCACGGTATCGAACAACCGACGCAGTTCGGCCGCAGATATGTCGACGGTGTAGTTGTATTGCGGGATATGTTCGTTTGAGCGCCGAGCAGGGTCGGGGATGTAAAAGTGTGGATGGTTTGAGAAGAGCGGGCGAGGGGTCATCCCTTGTCCCTTTTGCTCTTCTTGCTCCTGGCCATGGTTTTGTTCCTCTTGTTCCTTTTGTTCCTGGTTCGGCTCCTTCGGTTCCTGTTTCAGAAACCTAGCGTGCTTCGCAAAAGGAATCTTGACATCGTGAGTCTTGGCAAACAGGCGTCGGCGGACAGGGGGACGGCTCAGCGTCTCATGACTCTGTGCTGCGTCCCTGTCGAGCTTGCAGCTGCCAGTGGTTTTGTCGGTGTCAAAGCCAAGATCATAGTTGTCAACGTCGGAGAGTAATTCGTCAATCGTGCGTTTGCGATTCTGTTTCTTGAGATTTCCGGAGTAGTGGTCAAGTTCGCGCTGCGGACAAGGAGTTGTGGGGGCGTACGGACGATGCGGTCTGTTATTATTGCCGTTGACGCTGTTGCTGCTGATGAGGTCCCTGTGAGGGTGGTGTACTTGGTGCTTGCTTTTGGCGGCATCTTCAACAGATCCAGCAACTTGAGTCCTTCCAGCGCCTTCAATGAGGGTTTCAGTGCGCAAAGGCCGCAGAGGATATCGTTCTTGACGACCACGAGAAGAAATCAATCTAGATTCAAAGTGGCCTGGATTCTTGGAGTCATTTAAAGACGAGTTGGCGTCTGCTGAAGCGGCGGTGAGTGGAGGCGTAAGAAGGAAATCTGCGTCTAGGGAAGAGTGTTGTAGAGAGCTTCCACGGTTTTGGCACTGATTGATAGAATCATGAGAGTATATCTCCTCTGTGTTAGAGCACTGATGGTAAAAAGTCAGTATAGCTTAAAAAGGCAAAGAGCGTAGAGATGTCAAATGGAGAGGAAATAAGAGATATGGCGGGATTGAACTCTCTGACGCTCTTTCAGCATCCAAGGGGTCAGAAAAAAAAGGTAGAAGGTAGGCCGGTACACCTGAAATCAAGTCTGAAAGGGAGATCAGAGGAGACAAACTTACAGTCTCAGTTGAGGCGGGTGCTTGCATATTTCCTCCTTCTCCCACTCCCGGGGCGGTTAAAGTCCCTTTGGACGAAGACGGAGATGGATTGACCGGGTGCATGCAGGGCTGGTGAGCTGGAGGAGACATGCTCGCTCCATCAAACATGTTGGGTTGAACAAAGTTGAAGCGTGCGTTGAACTGCTGCAGGGTATTAAAGGAAGAGTGGATGACTACATGAAGGAGTGTGGCGAGCGTTGAAGATTTGAGGAGTACGGAGAAAGGAGGTGGCTGGTGCCTGGGGCCTGGGTTTTGACTGGTAAGTCGAGAAATGAGTGAATACAAGGACAAGGCCAGATGGAAGGGTAAAAAAGAAAGACGTAAAAAATGTGATTAGCTACATGTGTTTTTGAGAGCATCAAGTGGGACTCAAGAGGCGGCTTTAGAGAAACGCTCATGTCCAACCGCAGCACAGTGCTGGAGGCATAGCCAAGGCGTGCAATCACATCAACGACATTTATTTTCCAGATATTTATCTCTGCAGCATATCACAGAGTTAGAGTCGATTAAATTCAACTGGAATGAAAGAGACCGCAAGACGAAATGAACCACTGATGCATTTGAGCAAGACCAAAACTTTAGATTGCATGGCAAAGTGCGGACGAAATTGAAAATTCTGCGTAAAATTGCTGGCTGTATGTTCAGCTTTGGCTTCATAGGAGTTACGGTAAAATCAATGGATGACTAGCTGAGTAAATGACATCCTGAGAGATACGTAAGACTTGGGAGGTTAGAAATTTGGTTGAGAAGTCTGATTGATATCAGATACGCACGTGATATGCATTTCCCCGTCATTTTCTCTTCGAAACAAAGAATTACACACTGACACCCTGGCAGACCAAACACCGGCTGACTGCGTTTCACACCTGTGTTTATGCTGCATCCAGCCGCCAGACAATCCTCAACATGTCCATATCACCGCTGAATGGCAGCATCCCTATCATTAACAGCAGTGTCCTAGTTTGGCACTCTAGGTACACGTAAGTACAGATTGATAGAGTGCTCTTACTCGACTTTCAAGTGTAGAAGAACACTCCATGCCTGCAAAATGGTTCGGCGTCTCTAGACATCAGAGTCATCATGGTGACTGCTCTTTTCATGAACAGAGCGGTCTCTGTACTGCTGCGGTTCCCAGCATGAAGGGTTCTGATACCAGTGTGTTTCAGAGTATGAGACTATTACTCAAACATGCCCTCATCTCTTGTTTATCCCACCACGCGTTCTTCTCTAGAAGAACTTCTCATTCGAATCTACCTTTCTTCCCTTCTTATGATTGCTTCCTCCCTGAGGCCCTTGTGAATTGTCTTTTCATACCTCGACAGCCTGAGACTCTTTTATTTGAGCGCAGATCGTTATGGGAACTCCGCCTCTAGATCAACCGGCTTGCACGGTTGAGCAAAGAGGGAATGGCGATGACGATGTCATCTTCGTTTCCTGCAGACCTTGTGCCCACAGAGCAGTCCCGCAGGCCTCAGCTGATAAGTCTGTCCCGATTGAACCTGCCGCTACTCCCCAAACGTCAATTGCAGAATCACTTGCTGAAAGAGATCTCTTGAGCGGCGAGCCAGCTGTGAGTAAGGTGGAAAAGTCCGATGGAGAAGCCTCTCAGGTCATTCCCAAATTGGAGCCTCCGGTTGAAACGCCATCAGAGCTTAAAAGTCGGCACCAGTCTGCCCTCCGCGCTTGCTCAGAGCCCAACATTAGCCTTGACAGTTCCAAAGTGGTTAGGCCTCAGCCGCCATTGTCGTTTGGCGGACCCGTCGTGGAAAATGGGGAGGCTAATTCGAAGCAGGCCAAGCTAGACCTTGCAACTAATGGAACTGGTCGCCAGCATATCCCTGGAAAACCCGATAAATCGATTGCAGGCCCAAAGGAGTCTCTGGGTACTGCACGTCGCCGCGCAAGCTTCGACGCTCCTCCGATCAAGACTCATGACTGGGTGCGTCCAGAATGGTGCCATGATTCTCATTCTGAGAAGAAGCAGGAGAACCCAATTCCACTGCAGCCACCTGTCTCTGCTGTAAATCTGTTGCCCAATTTAGAGCATGCATCAGTTGAATTGGCTCGTCCGAAAGAAATTGTTCCTGCCAAAAGGAACCAAGAGTCGATAGGAAACACCGGTCTGAAGGAAAATAGACATTCAGAGGAGCAGCAGCAGCAGCAGCCAAAGAGAGCCAGAGTTAGTCTTGGAATGAACCAGGACCCCAAGGAGAACTTGAGTCCCGTGGTCTCCGATCAACCGCCCCTCGCAGATCCTAAGAAACGGTACGCGACTTTAGAGTTGTTTGGACCCGCATCGCGTCCATATTATGTCCCGGGAAAAGGACTAATACGCACAAACCCCCCTTGTACACTCACTCATCGACGAATTGCTGGAGAATTGGTGGCAAGTTTCCCGCTTCGCGACCCGGAGGCTGAAGAGGGAAACCCTTCAGTCCCGGGGAATGGTACTGTCGACTCGCCACCCCGCAACCAAACACTTTGGTCAGTTCCTGCTTTTGATGCCTCGGTGGATCCGCGACTCAATCCAGGTATCACCACCACTAGAACACCCAGAGGCTTCGGATACGAACCTGCCAACAAAGACTGTGGAACTGCACAGGCCACTGCAACGCAGTATCAGCGCCCTCAGACTGCCATGATTCCCCCAGTCGCGGCTTCACTCCCAAGCAATGCTGGTCCTGTAAACAGAGGCATCAAGGAAAAGAAGTATACTTGGACACCAAAGATGTATCTTGATTTTAGCTTGTCCTTGTATCAGAACTATGGGTTCCAAGAGTTTGCGCACAGACATGGACTGCCTCTCACCGAGGTAATCGACAAGTTTAGTGCTATAGTACAGCTTCCGTTCCTCGACGAAGCAGAAAATGCCGGGACGGAGACTGTGTCAATATGCCGGAAGAGAGTTGCGTCGTTTAAGCAACGTGAGAAAGAAGTGCTCGAAATTCATAAAGCTGAGGAACGAGCTGCCAGGACGGCAGAAAAGGAGCGTGCGAAGGCTGCCACCCGGGGAGTTGAACAAAGGGTTGCTCATGACGGGTTCAACAGCAGTAGCATGAGAGTTGGCGGTGAAGTACCCCCTCACGGAACTAATCCCAGAGCTCTCCATGCCGGAAACATTTCAACGCGTGTTGTGGCGAATTCGCACGCTGTCTCTGATCCAGAAGCCACTGGCCGAGATGTTGCGACCACACAGACCAGCATGGCAAAACTGCGTGAGACTCTCAATGGCAGCAGCAATGTTGCCCACAGAGCGTGAGAACCAGTGGCGTGGATTGTTTGTTGATGCCAGTACAGATTGTGGTCGGATCCTTGCTGCTCAAGCAATTGGCAGTCATAAGAAGAGTTCATTGTATCATAGTCGGGCGGGAGAAGATGATCAAGGCTTGAGAGCTCACGAGACCATTTCCGTTTTCTGCGATGGCTTAAGTCACATCAAGCCGTGCAGGTGTTTTAATTATTCTTTCTCATGTTGTCTTCGCCGTGGTGTAGTGACATCGAGAATAGCTTTGTATCTGGAAGCTCAAGAAATTTCCTTTTTATTCCATTCCGAATAATCTTTTTCATTTGTTGTCTTTCATGGATGATTTCAGGCGTAAGTCATCGACATTCGTGACAGGTTGAGTCTGATCCACAAAGGCGGTGACTAGATTGAAGTGGCCTGGGACAGCCAAAGAATGACAGCTCGGTCAAGATCCAGTAGATCAAAGGCTCACGACTATTTTCCACTTTCAATATTGCTTCTCTTGGATCAAGCCTACTTAATGATATCGTACCTTGAAACCATGAAGTCTCCTGGATATTGGCGCTTTAAATGGACATTTACTGCTCATGCAATCAGGTGAATCGCTCTTTTCAAATTCATATCAATAGTGAAGGGAGTCCTGGACTATAAGGCGTGTGAGTGATCTAAAGACCTCATATTTTCATGCAACCGGGTACAGACCTCTCTAATCCTCCAAATATCAGACGCTTGCTTCTCCAGCAAGCATCTTTATCCTTCCTCTCCAATGCTAAAGTCCCGATCATCAATCGTTTTGTGCGAATTCAAGAATCAACGTCCGTCTACCTTCCGTCAGCGGAATATCTTGCTGATCAGCTAATCTGCCATAGAGAATGTCTGATATGTACAGCACCGGTGAACTGTCATTGAAACCTGATAACTGGGGCGATGAGCATACAAAAACTGTTCTCAAAAGATTCTTTGCCATCAAGCTCTATCACTGCTCGACACCGGAAATGAGATGCGAGAGAACGAAAAATTGCAAAGAGACCTATTGGCTCTGGGTGAGGAGGCTAGCTCGAAACAGGTACCGCAGGACGGACATGCTCGGATTGGCTGGGATGAGTGAGGCAAAGGCAGTCAACTTTATTGATTACCTGATTCAAAAGAAGAAAGCTAGTATGGATAATATCTGATTTTACCTATGTTCCATAGAGCATAAAGGGAAAGAAGCTTTAAAAAGAGCAATAACAGAAGATCATTAAACAAATATCTATAGTGCACCGAGCTCCTTGAGCTTGCCAATGAGCCCATCCACGCTATCGACCTTGCCGCCACCTTTTCTCGGTGCGGGTTCTACAAAATCGCGTTAGTAAGAGATTTGTTTCACAAGATACCGTCAAAGGTGGGACCAAGAGAAAGAAATACTCACCCGTAACCTTGACTGTCTTCAGCCTTCTTGTCGCATCTACACCCAGGTCCTGCAACGTCATCTTGTCCAACTTCTTCTTCTTTGCCTTCATGATGTTGGGCAAACTGGCGAAACGGGGTTCATTTAACCGCAGATCCGTAGTGATAATCATAGGTAGCTTGGCACTTAGAGTCTCAACTCCGCCATCGACCTCGCGTGTCACAGTGACCTGTTCACCCTCCACATCTACTTTGGATGCCTGTGTGGCCTGAGGCCAGTTCAGCAGACCGGCGAGCATTTGGCCCGTCTGATTGGCATCATCGTCAATGGACTGTTTGCCAAGGATGACCAGGTTGCGCTTCTCCTTCTCAACCACAGCTTTCAGCATCTTAGCCACACCTAGAGGTTCGAGGTCCGGCTCGCCCTTGTCGGTGGGAATTTCAACATGGATTGCTCGGTCGCAGCCCATGGCCATGGCGGTCCGGAGGACATCCTGGGCCTTCGTGGGGCCGGCGGAAATAGCTACAATATCTTCGACCGGGACCTTGCGCTCTCGGATACGGACGGCCTCTTCCACGGAAAGCTCGTCAAACGGGTTCATGGAGTGCTTCACGCCAGCAGTCTCCACAGCAGTCTGAGTCTTATTGACGCGAGGCTTGATCTGTCGGGAACAGTCCACAGTTAGCTTAGAATCACTTATCCAGCTAAAAACCAATGTCTGCGAAGCAACAATTTCCCTTCCATTTTGTCCGCACACCTGCAAATGCACCACTCTTCTCCGTCATCCATCATAACCAGTGCCCTTGAGCTTGCTTATGTTTGCCCTATTCGGAAACCAACGTGCCTTGAATGGCGAATTCGGCCGAAGACTGTCGGGGTCTGAAGATTCGCATCTCGTAATAACCTCAGGTCACTTGGGAGGACGCATAGTCAAGGAATAATCCGCGTTTCAATGCTCAAATTATGGCGTTTCCTCCCTTTTGCACTTTTCCTCCCTTCAGCTTCACATGTTGATGAGCGTGTTCCCATTTGCTCGAACTATTGATTGTTGACGTTTCTTTTTCCGCGGACCATAATATTCCAACAGCAATATGCAGCATATGTTTTTGGTTCTTGATTTCTGAAAAAGAAAACCTCCAATCTCCAACGGAGCATAAGAAAGGAAAGGACCTACCGCATAGTCAATAACCCGCTTGACGGGCACAAGGATACGCAGAGAAGACATGGCGAATATTCTTTTTTAAGCCGCGATATTGTGAATAAACGAGTTCGAACGGCCAATATCGGACTTATAAAAGGAAGGTCAATCAATTCGACCGCTCAGCAGTCTTCAAAATGACTTCCCTCGTCAACTTCTCGTCAGCAGAGCGGACTGATTGAACCTGAGTAGATCCTCAACTTTACACTTTCAACCTCGGATCTCCAGGCCCTCCGAATCCCTGTCCGTGCTGTCCCGAGGCCGGAGCTGCCGGCTTGACGCGGTCGCTTATGTAAGCCAATACGTCGCACATATCAAGCGCGAACTGTCAATAACGGGCTATGATGATAATTTCAAGGTCTAGAAACACAATCTTCAATTTCAGCTGTAGCTTATATCAGTTGCTTGCTATATTGAAAGCTTAACTTGCAAGAAAGCTGGTGTACGTTGTGATGTTATCTGATCGACTTCAAACTCATGCAGATGATTTGGCAGTAGTGCTCTATTTATGCTATTTACTTTTCTACCGATCAACTTAGGAGAAACTTCAGGCACCACTGTCTGATTATGCGAAGCTGCGCCAGAATTGAATGTTCAATACTCAGAATAATCAGAGAGGTTGAAACAGGAACATTTTTGTTCCGATGCAATGCACATTAGCAGTCCTTTTTCCCACAGACGTCAGTAGCACGGGGAACGCCCTCGACATGCTCTTCTCTGAGCGGGGAAACACCTTGCTAAAGTCACTCGAGGTAGCCCCTCTCTTCTTCCAAGACATGCGCTGCTTTCATTTCCGATGACGGATGCCAAATCTCGATGTGGTTGGTCCTTTCCACAACAGTGCAAGCCCGATATCCGGTGAATGTAGGGCTTCAATGAAGTGGCTCCCAGGAACATATAGAGGGCATATGAGCCATAGAGGTGATATCAGTTCGTAAGAGGCGTCCAGACCTAGCTATTCCTCGAAAAGAGAATAATGACCTCTTGATTTCACCAGGGCAGCATGAAAGTACTCGGCAATTCTTGGCAACCATAACGGCTCGACCCCCGTATTCAGACTTTCGACGACGTGCAAATTTTACCAGGTCTCTTGCTTATATCGACCTTGTTTCTCCATATTCAAGAGATAGTTTTCCGCGTTCTGGCGGTCAGACTTCCCTTCCTTTTGAAAGACCTCTATGAGAGCTTCACGGACTGCTTGAGGCATCTTGCCAGATGACCTGAAAGATTTTTGTCAGTTATAGAATTGGAGCGTGACTGTACTCGAAACCTACCCGCATATGTAGATGATACCAAGCGCTTCATGGAGAAGGCGGTAGACCAGCTCCGATTGCTTCCTTACGAGATCTTGAACATAGATTTTTCCTCGCTGCCGATATGTTAGCGACGATCAATCAAGAACATTTATTTCATTCACCTGATCCCTAGAAAAGGCAGCATGGACCTCAAGATTCATCTTTGAACCAATGTCATCCCATTCCTTTTCGAAAAAGAAATCAGCTTCACGGTTTCGGCATCCATAGAAAAGCGCATTTTCTCCCACAGGGGAAGAGCTTTCACTTTCTGAAGATTCCCCTGCGTCCCTTTTAACCGGGCTTTGTTTCTCCTCGGCAAGAGCATACCGCTCCCAAATCAGAGACCTCATTGGCGCAACACCGGTGCCTGGACCAATCATGATGACAGGTTTCTGCATCTCGCTCGCAGACATGTTGAGGCCACCTCGCTGCAATAGAATGTTGAGTTGTGTCCCTTCCGGCAGCTGTGAAAGGTATCGAGTACAGACGCCTTGTCGAATCCTTTTGATTACAGTTTTATATTTGACGATGGCGACCAAGAGCTCGAACTTGGCATTCCCATTAGGGCACCTCTTCAAATTGCCACCGCTCGCAATGCTAAATTGTCTACCGCGTATTGGCGGGATGACGTTTGCGATCCATCTCCAAGTGATTTTGACCGTATCCATCTCCTGAAGGACTTCAAGTATGCTTCGCCTCGGTCGAGAAGTGTAGTCATAAAGCTCGTCCGTGAACTCTGGATTTGCAAATTCTTGGAGCCGCTCCTTTTGCATCGTGTCCTTGGTGAAGTGAGCGGCCAGAGCAAAGAAGGAGCGCCTTGGGATCGAAGTAATGTCCAAATAATGAGTCAGGAGGCTTCGAAGGGTCAATTGAGGATATGGAAGTAAATTTGAGACGGGCGGCGGAGGGTATGCCTGTGTATTCTGAGACGGGTAGGTGGGGACAAACTTGATGGGCTCATCTGCATGGGAAGTCCAGCCCATCAATTCCAGTAATTGCTCCACATCCTCTGGAAAATTCTTCGGGAAGAGCATCAACAGATCACCTGGTAAGTAATCCAACTTGGCTGATGTGGTCAGTGTAAGATGTCGAACGTCTTGCCAATGGTTTGACGGCGTCACACGCTCATTCCTCGACAACGTCGCCGTCAACGTGTTTGGGATCGGTAGTATGGCCGGATCTGGCAGCCTATTTGTCTCAATCGGCTCCGCTGGCTGAGCTGCAGGCTTTATATTGGGCTCAATTTCGGAAGCTTTGCCGCCCTCTGGCAGATTGACAAATTCCAATGTCCACTTTGGTTGCAACAGAACATCATCAGGGATAGAGTGCACTCCTTTAGGCAAGGGATACCGCTCCAGAAGGTGCTTCTTCAAATCAATAGCCCATGGAAGTATGCATCCGTCAAGTCTGTGTATAGTCAGAGCTGTCTTATAAGAAATATCGTAGAGATCCTCAATGTGACAATGCAACTTACCCTTCAGGATGACGTTCATCGGCCTCTCCACGTGGATATATTTCATTGGCGCCTAGCTGGAGAAAACGTTTATGAAGTTTACGAACAGCCCAGTTGAACCTGATCACGTGTCAGATTTCATTCATATTAACCTTTAGCAGATTTTTCTTACTTTGGATAAGAACTATCTCCCAGTCCAAATGAGGTAAATTTTACATGTTGAAGGTAGTCTGCTGGAAGGCGTTTTCGAAGGAGGCTCTTCCAAAACGCCCTCGCATTTGCGGGGAGATCACCCTGGCCTGTAGTCGATATAACCAAGATGACAAGGCTGAATCGAGAGAGATCAGCCTTGAAAGGGCCTAGTTAGCATCAATTGGTGGCAGGTAGGCAATAGTAGATCTCATATAAAAATTTATGTGCGCGTACCAGCTCCACGGCATTCATCTCGGCCACACGGGTGACAAAATGAAGGCGTTCGGCGAGGTGACCCAGGTCACCAGCCAATTCTTGCGCATTTCCAGACTCGGAGCCATAACAGATAAGACACGTTCTTTCATGCAGACTCTCATTCTGTGTCAACGTGGGCGAATGCATGGCCTTGTGTGTCAAAATGTCAGTATCAATCAGCAGCATCTGATAAAGAGTGTGATTCCAAAAGCAGTATCACAGTCACGTGCAAGGATAGCTCAGATACCTGAAGAGTTCCACCTGGCGGCCCATGACGACACAAAGGACCACCAAACGATCGATGAACAGAAAGTGGATCGCTCCGTCCTAGTCTACTACCGTAGTCATGAACACTTCCGTCACTTCTACGAAGTACGGCTTTCAATTGCTGAATACTTTGTACAATCATACATCATCATCAAAATGTGGGTCTCACGTGTAAAAGGTGACCATGTACTGCCTGCGAGAAGTATACTTTTTGCCCACAGCGACCCTCATCGAAGAGGCTAGTACCTCATGTCTCCTTTGGCCGGGTCGGGAGCAAACAGTCCCTGAGAGCATCTGGGAGGGTTCATGACGAATCATGCAGGGTCTCCCAAGAACAAAAAGGTCAAAATGCAGACAATGGACAATGACGGTCTCGAATATGTGACTTGATGTTGTCACAGTGCTTGGCGGTCAGAGGGAAACGATACTTCATCATAGGTAGTTTTTGTATCTGTGTTGGTGAAAATTGAATAGTATTAGCTCAGACGGAACCTATGTGTGAGTACCTCGCTTGAGTCTTGGCAACCCACACACAAAGGGCTGGCTCCCCCTGGGTTCTGCCAATCAACACCCACACACAACGTCAAGGCCCACCCTTATTTCCGTCACTCACCAACTGTATGTTGTCCTTCTCCTTCTCTTACTTTCCCCCCTTCATCACCAGTCAAGCTAGAACCGTTCCATCCCACAACTGTCAACTTCACGATCTTCTCCCAAGTCGGTCACCTTTCGGGCACTCAGCTCCCCAGTTCTTTTCAACTCTCCCTCCTTTCAAGCTCAACGTTCCTCTCCACGCAGGCGGCATCACCCACCTCGTGTCATTCAAATCAGATCGGCAGACTATCCAAGTTCCACTAGGACAGCTTTCCCGCTTCTAGTGTCATCTAACCCCTTTCCTACACGCGATCCTTTCCATCTCTGAGGCAGTTCTCCCATCTCGCGAGTACTTCCTCGGTCAAATACATTTCAAACGTTCGCGTCCGTCAACAGAAAGACTAGAACAATCATACAAAATGTCCGCAAGTGCCGTCGACAGCGCCACCGCCTCCATGGCCAACACCACCCTCAATGAGCCTTCCGCCTCCGCTGCTGGTGCCAACATCGGTGCAGGCGGTGAGAAGCCCATCGATGCGGCTCACAACGAGGCCGTCATCGCCAGCGCGGCCGAGGGTCGGAGACTCTACATTGGGAACCTCGCATATGCGACCACCGAGGGAGAGTTGAAGGAATTCTTCAAGGACTACCTGGTGTAAGTAACTGCCGTCTTTCGCGTCGGACATCCATGTCTCTTTGTCGCCGCATATCACAGATGCTAATAATTCCTGTTTTTAGGGAGTCTACTTCCATCCCTGTCAACCCCAGAACCACTCGTCCCGTCGGCTATGCCTTCGTTGACCTTTCCACTCCCTCAGAGGCTGAGCGCGCTATTGCTGAGCTCTCCGGTAAGGAAATCCTTCAGCGCAAGGTCTCCGTCCAGCTCGCCCGTAAGCCTGAGCCTGCTGGCGAGAAGGCCGAGGGTGCTCAAAGTGGTGGTGAGGGTCAGAACGGCGAGGGCCGTCGTCGCGGTGGTGGCCGCGGCCGTGGCCGTGCTCGTGGCCGGGGTGGACGTGGCGGTCGTGGTGGTCGTGGTGTAAGTTAGACGATTTTCCCCCCGATTCCAAAAAAAAAACGAAGCACAATTGCTAATTTGGGGTTTCAACGATCAACAGCAGCGTAACGCTGAGAAGGATGAAACCGCTCCTGTCTCCGCTGAGGGCCCTACCAATGTCCCTGGTCAGGTTGCTCCCTTGACTGAGACCACTAACGAGGCTTTGACTGCTGAGCAGGGTGCTGAGGGCACCATCACCGTCGATCCCTCGAAGGACAAGGCCCAGCGTGCTCCCCGTGAGCGTAAGGCTCGTGGTCCCCCAGAGGACGGTGTCCCCTCCAAGACCAAGGTCATGGTGGCCAACCTGCCTTATGACCTTAGGGAGGACAAGGTATGATTATCTCTTCTTTGACCACAACTTTCTGCAACATACTGACGCCGTTTGCTCTGTAACAGCTCAAGGAGCTCTTCTCCGTGTATGAGCCAGTATCAGCCAAGATTGCTCTGCGCCCTATTCCCCGCTTCATGGTCAAGAAGCTCCAGCAGCGCAACGAGCCCCGCAAGGGCCGTGGCTTCGGTTTCGTCACCCTGGGCTCTGAGGAGCTTCAGCAAAAGGCCGTTGCCGAAATGAACGGAAAGGAAGTTGAGGGCCGTGAGATTGCTGTCAAGGTGGCCATTGACAGCCCCGGCAAGGAGGACGATGCCATTGAGGGTGCTGCTTCTGTCACCGAGGGTGAGCAGAAGGAGAACGGTGTGGCTCCTGCGGAGACCACTGCTTAAATTCCTTGTTTCTTTTTCGTCGTTACAAAATTCCACCACACCAACCCTTCTACTATCTCTCGTCTCTCTCTTCCCCTCTTTCCCTCTTCTCTCCCCTTTTCCTCCTGTGACGTCCAATACTCTTTTTGTTCGTCCCTGTCTTAAGTGTGGTTTAGAAATGAATGGTGTTTGGGTGATGGGTTAGCTTTGGGTGCATAAAACTGTGGGCAGCGGCCTGTCAGAGACGGTGTCGATTACAGCCAATGGTTAAGCTTGCTTAGATTCTGAAAAGAAATGAGCCTTTTTATTTTTCCTTTTACCTTCTCTTCCTTGACTCTTCTCGTCTCATTTTTCACTTTCAAAAGCTGTGTTATTATCGTCCCTTTGTACCCCCTGCTCTCCTATTGTTGTATCATTGCTTGTGAAGGAGATTTTGTTTCTTTTCGAGATGTCTTCGTGTCTGGAGCGTGCACGTTGTGCGCTCTTTTATCCTTGTCCAAGACCCAATCTTGATGGGGACAATGATGTGGAGGAAATGAAGGTGATAATAATGGCGCCGTGGAGGGTTGATTGGTCGAGTTGAGTCGAGTTGAGGGTTTAAGGGTCAGAGCATGGCAAATTCGTTTGTCGGTTTCTCCATCTTGGTTGCTCGTTTTATTTCTTTTGTCTCTTTGCAATCTTCATTCTCTGCCTCTGACGGTTGCCCTCCCGGCAGTATGCAATGCGTTTCCCTTTGACGATTCATCCATCTCCCCTTTCCACCGTTTCATTCAAGTCTTTTCCTTAGGACATTTTCACGGGTCTGTTCAAAAAGACTTTTCCCCTTCTGGACTTGTCATATTCCTCGATTCGTTCTATTCTTAACCCTCTTACCCATTTTCATTCCGCTCGCTTCCTCAAAGTCTACCATCCTATCCACATCACAAAAAACACTCTCTACCTCACGCTTTCCCACAATAAGAACACACGCATTTTCTCCGCGTGCGAGAATATCGTTGTATTTTAACGGACATGATTAACGACGAAATAAAACTTCTTCTCGAGATGCATTTATCTTCTTAAGGAGAAGGAAATAAAATGACCTTTTCTAATAGTTCTTTTCTTTTTTTCTGATGGTTTTGGTTCATATTCTTGTCCAAACAGTGTCGCGTATTTATGATATGTGCACATGTTTTATTTGCCATATTTCTTGCTACGTTACACGATCGACATGATGAACATGAATTACAAAACCAAGCAACGGCAGCGGTAGTAGAGACATACCTTAACTACCGTACCCAACACACTACTTTACCTTACTTACCTTACTTACCTTACGTACCTACTACCCGTTTCTTCTGATACGACTGTCCTTCCTTCCATTCATCGCCGCATTTGCATCAACTTATCAAGCCATACATCCCACACATCCACACATCCACACATCCGCCCAGAACGCTTTCCGTCTTCCAGGACATCTTGCTCTTGAACATTAGGGATACGCATAAGGCGAGTAGATACGGGATAAGCAGAACATTACGATTTCACAACATTACAAGTTCGCAGATACGCAAATACGCAATACGCAGTCCTTGCAAGTCGAGAAGTGTATCTGGTTGTATACCTGCCTTGACTGAAGAAGAGAAGCGAAAGATATACGTCAAACGACGAAGAGAAGATATACCTTAATGATGAAGAGAACCTTAGGAAATGCCTAAGACGAACCCTAAGATATGCCGAAGACGAAGACAACCCTGTGTGGTGATGACCAGTTGTAAGCGTCTGGCTTGAGAAAAGGAAAATAAAGTAAAAAATATAAAACAAGTTGAAAAGCTAGCTAAGTACCTAAGTGCAGTATAATACCTGCGGTGTAAACTTCTGCCAATGATGTCGTCCCGTCAAAATATAGTGACAATCTCTATACGATTTACTAGGTGCTCAGTATTGTTGGTTTCATCGCATCAATTTAACTTCAATCTGAATCTCACAATCAAATTGTTCTTTAAGAGTCGTCGAACTGCGCAGGACAGCTTGTCGCGTAGAAGTCGAGGAAAGAGTACAATGGAAAGAACAGAAAAAGAAGAAAAATATCTCCAAAGGGGAAATAGGATGGTATGATTAATAAAAAAAAATAAACAACTGTTATTATAACGTTCTTTAATTATTGCTAGAGATTTTACATTGGGACATCTTCCAATTTATCTGCAACGCCAGCTGCTCCGCCGGCTGTAACTTCGCCAGGGGGGACGGTACCTGGCCCACCTGCAACGGGAGTGGTGCCACCACTTCCACCGCCAGCGCCACTCGTTGTGCCGCCTCCTTCTCTGCGCACGCGAGCGCCTTCTTTGAGTTTGGACCAGCGCTCACGATACCGAGATACGACTGTGCGGAGCTTTTCGTTCTCATGAGCAGTCTTTTCGAGCTCGCGGCGCGTCAGACGGAGTTGTTCTTCAATCTCACGAAGTCGGTCTGCATCTGAGCCTGGAGCTGTGGATGCTGCTGTGGCTCCGACAGTAGCAACGCCTGCTCCTGTTCCAGTGGTGAGACTTGCAGGCTTTGATTGCTGCATTTGAGGCAACATGTTGGGATGCATGGCGCGCAAACTCTGCTGCAGAGCCAAGGAGGAAGATTGAGCATTGGCTTCCCACATGTGTAGTCGACGGCTAAGTGTGTCTGAGAGTTGTTTGAGAGCTGAATTCTCAAGCTGGAGCTCTTCCATAGTCTTGTTTGCTCTGCGAGACGTAACACCCAGTCCTATTCCGGATGCTGTGCCTGTCGCCGCGAGCCTGCTACTACTCGCCGACCCTAAGCGGCGGTGTAGGTTGGGCGAGCTAGGCTGAGGGCTCTCTCGGGCATCCACGAATTCGTCCATTTGATCATCACCGGCTTCGCTGGTGCTGCCGAGTCCCAAGGCAGAGTTACGGGCGCTATCCTGTTCTGCGCGGGAGAGGATCCCCGCATAGCTGATTGTGCCGCCGGTGGTGGGTACTACGTAGAAGCTTTCCGCGCCGCCAAATGGTCCGCTTGTGCTGGCTCCGTTCTCTTCACGGATGGCGCGCAAGGCAGCGCGAGAGAAGAGCTTGGTGACATCGGGATCGGCCGATGCACGTTCTTGTTTGTCGGGTTTGGCAGCTGTCTGGACCTGACTTGGTCGTTGCCGTTGGACTAGTTCTTGGGGCGGCGCGGGTGGAGCGGATTCCTCGCTGGTCAAAGGAAGTCCGGCAAATGCAAGCGGAGCGGATAGTCGAGATAGGAAGCCTTCAAATGTCGAATAAAAGCGTTGAAAAGGTTCGTCGTTGGAGGCGGGAATCTTCTTGGAAGCTGTATTGGCTTTTTGCTTCTCCACCTCTCGAGTCGGAGATTGTGCAGTAGGAGAATCTTTCAAGCTTGTATTTGTCATGAGTTTGGGTGGAGACTGTGCGCCAGCCTTTTCCGCATTGGAGGAATTCGTTGCCCGTGTTCTGGCCTTGGCGGGACCTGACACTTTTCCTCCAGCATGCTGTGCCGTGAGCGTGGGAGAGACCGGCTGGGCTCGTCTCTGCTGGTTGGCGGGAATTCCACGTGCTGTGGCAAGATTGCTGGCTATGGACGAGCTCAAGTCTCTAGTGGGTGCACGGGAAGGTGTAGGCAAGGATGGAGGCTGCTGTTGCTGTATTGCAGTTTTCAGGGAAGATGGCGATTGGGCAGGAATCGGTGACCCAGGCTGGGGGGAAGGCACAGAGGTTGCGGCATCTGAGGTTGTGTCGACCTTTTCAGAAGGCCCAGCTGATGCAGTGGGAACGGAGGATCTGAATTTTAGAATCTGTGCAAGCTTCTGGTGATGCTGCTCGAGCAGTTGCAAGGTGCGAAGGGCCTTTGCGATAAGCATTATCAGCACATAGATCGAAACACCGTGTTGTCGTCTTCTATTTCACCTCTGCATCGTTGCTTCCTTTGGCAGCGTGTGCAAACTCGCCGGCTGCCAATTCATGTTCCTCGCTGGCAGCAGTGGCATTTGACTTATGAAGCTCTTTGACAGCACTTCTCGCGTGGGCATGAGCCTATCGGGTGTTAATTAACAGTCAGTGAGATACAGGAGCAGAGAAGTAAAAGAAAGTGTCTTACCAACGTGAGTGGTGCAGCTTCCATGATGATTTGAGTGGAGATAAATTTCCTATCTCACTATTCACAGATTGGCCATCTTTCATTTAGAGATATGCAAGGGAAACATGAGACCACAGTGCAGTTGCGTGAACGTGAGAGAGAGTTCCCATGTTTCGCCAAAAGTGACGTTTTTGGGATGGTGAGATAAGGCGGGCAGGTGCTCGTACCGTGTAATAAGATAGGTACTTTGGATCCAGGGCGGAGGCGTTTAGAATCCGGGGTACCGAAGAAACGCGGGAACGAAGAAGGAAGGAGCGAGTCGGGAACCAAAAGAAATCAGGAAGGAACGACCAGAAACGAGTCGAGACGAAACCCCGAGGGCGAGCGAAGGAGGGAAACAAACTGGACGGATGGGGCAACTGCGTCACGACTCTATATTAACCCATAACTTAGGTAGGTAACTGCACCTAGTCGGTTTCTGCCCCTCTACCATCGTCATCAACCCCCATCACCTTTATGTATCGTCACTCTTCTTGATTCATATCATACCCGAGTTACTAGTTGTTCGTCCTTGCCTGTCCTCTCTCGTTCGCTCTCTACCTACACTGCCACTCGCTTTGTACCCACTACCAGCGACATCCCCACCACGAGGCATTGCGGCTGAGTTTACTACGCCCTACCATCTCCACGCAGAGACCTCAACTCCCGATCGATCTAAACGCAACTCCCCCTCTCTTCCATTTGTCCTATGATCAACTGATTTGTGGTTATGTGACTGGAGTGCCCTCCTCCATCTACCAATCTTTGGTGATTCAGTCATGGCCACCACCGACATGGAGCCTCTCTCCCCTCAGTCGACGCGGAGCTTGTCGCAGAGCGTTCTAGGACTGCGGGCACACAAGACTTCTAGCCTTTCAGCGCAATCTCTACGCAGCAACGACGATGCCACTCCTTCGCGACGAAATAGTATCCGCTCTTCGATTGATTCGACAATGGATAGACTAAGGTCCCGCGCAAACAGCGAACAGGCCGAACGAGGAAGCTTCTCCAAACTTTTGCCAATCAAGAAGGATCGCAGAAGAAGACGCTCACGACGGGACAAGGAGAATGATACACAATCCTCAACGGAAGAATCTCTACGAGGCCGCAGTCTTGAACCGCGACTTGATTCCACTCAAGGAAGTGCCGTTGTTGATGATGTTAGTGAGGGCAACAAGAGCAGTAGCAGTCTGATGACCTACGATGAGTCGGAAGTAGATACGTAAGTTTTTTTTTTCTTTTTTGGAAATCATTTGTGCTTTTGATCTTGCCTGCAATTATTCATTCATTTATTATTTTCGCGGTAATACATGTCTATTCTGTTTTGGCGATGGCAAGAGAAAATGGATGACGTTGTTTGGCTCGGTCGGCGACATGGGTGCCCGAGGGCCTCCCATATCCACAGGGGTCCACTGGAAGTCCCCGAAGCACAGGTGTCGCGTACGCTGGCGTGCACAGCTGCCACCTCCAGTCCTCTGTGCCATGAGGAGAGAGGTACACGCACTGCTCCACTCAGCCACCTTGAGTAGGGGTCTTTTGGCACTGCCTTCCACCGAATCTCACCTGTTCTTGCTCGGCGCCCTTGATCCATTCGTTATTTTTTGAATGTTTTCTTTCCCTTTTTGTGACTATAGCATTTGCTTGTGATATCCTTCTGCTTGCTTGACCTGGCGAGGGCACCATGTGGCTTTGATCATCCCAGCATCTCATGGTTGTTTTTCACCGCTTTTTGAGTTTCCACATGTCAATGTTGCTGATGATGATACCTCACTCATAGATCACCGACAAGGCCAACCATTACCCCTCACGACTCGCATTCGGGCTACCTCACCCTTTCATCCCCCTTGATCAATGTGTCTTCCCATCCCGACGAAACACAGGCGCCGGCTCCATCAGGCGAGACAGAGAACGACTCTGCAGTCAACACCCTAGAACTTCCTGCCCCTGTCCAATCACCAGCCACCTTGGCCGCACCCAAGTCGGGGTCCCGCTCACGCTCCGTGTCTCCCCTGGGCAAAATTCGTACTGCATTTTCGTCTTCGAAGGGCATCTCGAGCACTCAATCAAGCCCCGATCGTGCCTCAGTAAAATCGTCGGGTAGCGGAAAGGAAAGTGCAAAGCGGATCTCAACTTTTTTCGCATCGAGGAGCCGTCGAAACAGTGTGGATTCGCGCACAACTTCCAAGCCTGAAGAGAGCACAACTTTAATCCCTACTACCGAGGACCCCACGTCGCCATCAAAAGAGCCTTCAAAACAAGCACCAAAAGAGCGAGCCGGTCCGACACCCTTGCCACAATTAAGCATCTCTGCAGGCAAAACCCTAATCAAGGACGCTCCTGCTACGACCATTACTCCTCCCACGCCCACTGATCCTCGTATACTACCGTCTCCGCCGACCTCTCCTTCCAAAGAGCCGAGTAAGCCTGCCATCCAAGTCACATCACCGCGGTATTCTGGATTAGGCTCCAACCCCAATATCGTCACGTCCCCGTCGGGAAACATGATATCACACCGTCGAGTGCGCTCAGCATCGGCAGCCAATCATCCAAGTAAACTCTCGCACTCCATCACGCCGCTTACGCCTACGGTTGAAGAACCGCTTACGCCCGGCGGCTCACTCTCGCCATCAGCAGGTGCCGGCGGCTTCTTCTCCACAATGTTTACCGCCGCGCAAAATGCGGCCACTTCTCTCACCAACAGTCTGTCGAACACGTCCGTTGCTCAGCAGAGCCCCTCGAGAGGTCGTGCGGGTACTCCCGTGGCCGAGAGCCCACCAATACTGGAATCCAAAGAGGAAACACTAGTGCCTGGAGAGAAAGGCGAGGGCTCACCTACCGATGAGCCCGTACCTGAGCCGAAGAAACTGGCCGTTGAAACACTTGGTATGGGTGATTTGAGTCTGAGTCACCTGGGCATACCAGTCGATTTGGCTCCTCCGGCAAATGATACAACACCGAGTGGAAAGACGGAGAGGACATCTATAAGTCCAAAGCGAGGCCGATCGCGCACGACTACCCAAATCGAAGACTCTCTTCGGCGCGGCCATGATCACTCTGCGGGAAGAGCAATAGCGGCGGCTTACGCAGCGTCGGTTGACAGTGCGCCCGTAGCTAGGCCACGCTCGCTGCATGAACAGAGCCTCGCTGGGGCTGATGGTGCCTCGCTGAATGGAAGTGAGCAAGATAACGAGAGTGTCATTAGACGAACTGGTAGTGTTCGCAGTCGCATGGCTGGACGAAATCGCAAAAGTTCAGCCGCGACCAATACTACGTCTTCGACTGCTGTTGGAGGGGTTAATCCCGCCGCTTCTGCCAGCTTGCCACGCCTGACTGGTTTTGCGGTGGCAAGCAAGAAGAGAAACAGGGATTTTCATCAATTGTTTCGAAGCGTCCCTGAAGATGACTATCTAATCGAGGACTATAGTTGCGCGCTGCAACGGGAAATCCTTTTATCCGGAAGGCTTTATGTGTCAGAAGGACACATCTGTTTCTCGAGCAATATCCTGGGGTGGGTCACGACATTGGTCATTAGCTTTGACGAGGTCATGTCGGTCGAGAAAAAGAGCACTGCGATGATTTTCCCTAATGCCATTGTCGTTCAAACGCTACATGCCAGGAATGTCTTTGCAAGTCTTCTCAGTCGAGACGCTACCTATGACCTTTTGGTAGGAATTTGGAAAATTAGCCATCCCAGTCTGCGCAGTTCACTGAATGGCGTGCGGCTAGAAGAAGCTGGAGGAGGTGACAAGACTGAAAAGGCCGAAGCGAGTCCGAGCGAAGTTGGGTCTATCGAGATGGATGATGAGGATGAAGAAGAGGTCTACGATGAAGACGCGGATGACGACGGTCTTGGCAGTTTTACTGAGCCTGGAGATGGCAGCGTTATCGGCAGTGAGAATGGTGACGGAAAAGTACTCAGCCGAAAGACCTCCATGAACATTGGTGCCTCCGCGGGCGGGACAACAAATGGAGCACAGACCAATGGCGATACGACTGTATCTGCCAACGGTCTGGCTGGGGGTAATGATTTCCCCGGTCCTGCAAGTCACGCACCTACCGAATGCGGTGATCAAGACTCTCACTATGACAAGACAGTGAAAGATGAAGTTATTCCTGCTCCGATAGGAAAAGTATACACCATGATGTTTGGCCCATCATCTGGTGCTTTCATGTCGAAATGGCTTACGGAAGATCAAAAGGTGCTCGAATTGCAGCTTGATGATGATCAGAAGGGTTTAACGGATGACAATCGCACGCGGACTTACTCATATATTAAGCCTCTTACTGCATCTATAGGACCCAAACAAACCAAGTGCATTATTACGGAGACCCTCGATGCACTTGATTTAGAAAAGGCGGTATCGGTGACGGTAGCAACACAGACCCCTGACGTTCCTAGCGGGAATGTCTTTAGCGTCAAAACAAAATATTGTCTTTCGTGGGCACCCGGCAACTCCACTCGGCTAGTGATGAACTGTACCATTGAATGGACCGGAAAGAGTTGGCTCAAAGGTATGTGCCTGGATTCTCTCTGGAAAATTAGAGCTGCTTTTACTAATATTTAATCTCATTCGCAGGCCCTATCGAGAAGGGCGCAAGCGATGGACAAATGACATATGCAAAAGATCTCTTTGCGGCGCTGCGTGCAGCTGTTTCGTCAAGGTCTCGTGCTGGCACTATGACCTTGAAGCCAAAGGGCAAGAAGGGTCGCAAGCGACCTGCAGCAGAAGCGGCCATCGTTGCTGCCGCTGCCAAGGAAGCCGAAGCAGCGGCGAAGGCGGCGAAAGCTCGAGAGAGCTGGGGTATTCTCGAGCCACTGCGAGGGCCGTTGGGTCCTGTTGTCGATCTTCTGAAGCCTATATTGACCGGAAATTTCGTTCTCGGAATCATGTTCATCCTTTTGGTAATGATATGGATCCGGCAGTCTCGACTCACTGCGATGACATCTGGAGGTGTTGGCATAACCGGCCTAGGAATCCCGGAGAGAATTGCCGCATACGAAGAAATATGGGCCAAGGAAGAAGGCGAGTTATGGAATTGGCTCGAAGACCGTGTTGGTCTTGCAGATATTGCAGCCCCTGTTATGGCCGGCCGTCGTGACAACGAAGATGACAAACAATCCAAAACAAACAAGTATCGTGAGGGACTATCGCGAGGAAATGAGCTAGCAGCAAGACTTGCGGCAGAGCGAATGCGGGAGCGTGAGGTGGACGATGCCATCCGAATTACCGAAGAGAGATTACGTACATTGAAGGATGTTGTTGAGCGAAAAAGGGCGATGCGCAAACAATCTGAGCAGCCTGGGGCCAAACAGGCATCAAAATCACAAAAAACCCATCTCACTGTTTGAGAAGAGACGGTAAACATTTTGGCACAAAAGCTGCACAATTTTTTTTCCTTCTTCTTTTACTCATTGATGGCCAATCTTAAGCGTCTTGTATATAGCTGAGGGCGCTGCAATCACTCCGGTGCGTTGGTTCCTTTCCGTCAGATGCATCGTGAAACAACTGTTCTACGATGTTCAGGGACGAGTTCTTTCATTTTACATATGAAGCGTCTTTTTCCTTTGTTAAATAGCGGTAACGGTGATATGGTGCTTTCACAGCAGTGCATTATCGTTAAATTTTTGTTTCGGGGCGCGAATTCCGATACCCTTTAGGGAGATAGCATCAATTCAGGCGCTAGTGGTTTCAAATATCAATCTCTCTTTTCTTTAAATACAAAATCACCTCTTGTACCTTGTGGCTTAAGAAACTCCCATAGTGCATTTTGTGGAGCGTATGTGATGGTGGTACCAAACCTTTTCTGTTTATGAACTTCCCCTTTGGGGCGAATAAGTTAGGCGGGACTTGCAGAATCACATGCATCCTGGGGACTACCGAGGGTAATCTACGAAATCAGCCTCTGGCGATCTTGCTGCAAAACCGATCACTTATTGTGATGTTGATTGGAAGAAAACAGCTCGGTCTACCATTGAAGACTGGGTATAATTCTATCAAAGTACTTCTAGATCATTGCTTACAATTTTATGCCACCATTTGATGACTGATAGAGTGACTCTTGTTTCATTCCGCGCTGACCGGCTTCGAAATTGACTCTTTGCTTTTCTTATCCATCATATTATTGATCTATTTTGGTCAGTATGGCTACGCTATTTACCATACCCATCTCATCAACACTGTCCTCGCCCGATGGAGAATCACCTGGCTCGGCTTCAGGATCAAGTCCGGCTGCAGCTCCTCCAGGGTCTCCAACGGCCGGTACCCAGAAAGGATGGAATATCACAGTCACTCAACCTTCCCCCAAAATCTACTTTATCAATTTCGGTTGTCCCCCAGACAATCGACTATCTGTGTCCTTCTGCAACGCTCTTCTGCTTGCTCTTGATATTTTGGAATTTAAACATCCTCGTGGAGTAATCGTCACAACCTCGGCAATTCCCAAGTTCTATTCAAATGGATTGGAGATTCGGCAGGCGCTGAGCATGAAGGGCGGCGCTTACTGGGAAGTTTTGTACAGTGTTTGGAGGAGATTACTTACGTGAGTTGACTTTGACCACTATTCTTTTTATTTTATTTTCTTTCTTTTTCCCTTTTTTGGTGGAAATGTAGACTGCCTTTCATATTGATCACCTTTCGTCAATCTTCATTGGTTTCCTCTGTATCCCCTTTGCGAGGATCATTCCATTTTCTCCACTAGACATATGCAAATTTTGCTCATGAGATAAGGTTTTTTTGCTTGCTGAGCCCTGATAATATTATTCCGAATGGCCTTGTTTTCGGCCTAAGATATCGTACTGTCTTCAATTCAGAGCTTGTGCTGGAGATGTATACAGCTCTTACGCTGGATACCTTTCAATTGACAACTATCAAGCTATCCTATGCCTACAATTGCCCTGATCAACGGGCACGCCTTCGCCGGTGGCCTCATGCTTGCCATGATGCACGATTATCGCATCCAGAACCCTCACCGGGGCTTCCTTTGCCTCAACGAGATTGAGCTTGGCATGCCTCTAAAGCCACCCATGTCGTCTATTTTCCGGCAAAAAGTCACGTCTCCTGGGACATATCGTACATTAGTGCTCGAGGCCAAGCGTTTTGGTGCTTTGGAATCGCTCAAAGAAGGCCTGGTTGATGGGCTAGGCGGTGTTGATGAAGTGCTCACGTTTATCGAAGAGCTCAAGCTTCTTACGAAGACCGAATCGCCAACTTATGGTATCCTCAAGGAAGAAATGTGGAGGGAGACGGTGGCATATTTGGATAATTGGGAGGGTGAGGAAAAGAGACTTCAGCGGTCGGCTAAACGGAAGGATGAGAGAATGAAGGAGGCAAAGGAAAGAATTGGAAATTGGGAAAATGCGGCTGGGAAGTCGAAGCTGTAGAATGTTTATTGATCGAAGTTGATGCTTTTACGAATGAGTGCTGGGCGGGATCGAGCACAGTATTAGCTTTGAGACCAGTTCCGCATCCAGATTTTCTTGTTTGTTCATGAATATATTCATTCTCTTCTTGTTATTTTTTTAATTTTGAAGATAAATTTTCTTCCTTGGCTTCTTATTTGGAGGTATTTAAATCGTATAAAGGAGTGATGTCTTATTCTTGGATGATTTTGCTAAATTATCTCAAATTATTCTATTAATCAAGCCGAAACGGGAGATGATCTTGCTGGACAAGGTCCAATATCTTCCTTGGCTAAGGTAGGTATGTATCACGGGGAAATGCTAGAAGAATGACGCAATTCTCAGGATTGGGATATGAACACTGACTTGTCCGAATGAGCTGGTCGAAAAACGAAAAAGTGCATCCAATCTAGAATTTTTCATTATATCAATCCTCCTTCGATACATTACTTGATCGATTCTGGAAGGTCTTTGTACCTGTCTGTCGGACAATAGCAACTCTTGGGTAGGTGGTGATGCTACCGGGTACGCTGTGCTACCCCTGTCAAAGATATGATTTCGGTGTGGCTTTTGGTATCCTCGTATCAGAGGGAGTCGTCATGTCGTATCACCACAACTCACCTTCTCTATCTAGTTAATCTGGCTAACTCACTACTGTGTCGCAGCCTTGGATACCCTTGCATATGTCACGGCTAGACTTGCTTGATCATGACTGTATTCAGTTGAACGGACAAGCTTCCTAAAATCAGTCCGCGATATGACCGAGCGACTGCGAAGGAAATAGCCAAAAAAAAAAAAAAAAAGGAATTTTATGTTCAGAAGTTTTGTGTTGGAGTACTGGTACAACCGATTGATAAAATAGAAACATTACCAATGAACGATTCTCCCGACCACGTCGCATTTGGTCCCTGGATCATGGTGGAGGTGGGTTTGCCGAAGCTTGGCCTGAACCCTACCCGCCGCCGACCAGAGAATGCCCCGCATCAAGATCCCGGAAGGGGAAATGCTTCAACCATCCTGCCGACCTTCCCATCTTTCTTATGGTCCTTTCAGCCCCCGAACACCCTGGCCATTTGCTGTGATGGCGGACCACTCACGGCTAGCAACGCTTGAAAGCTGACACTACATCCGACCGGGAAGGTCTTCCGTGTTTTAGTGGGTTCAAGCATTAGACTCATTTGTTACGATTGCAGGCTGAAGTGCTTTATCTCGGCCAAACACTGAGCTTGCTTGGAGTCCTACCTGCCCTGCGCCTGCATACTCTGGTAGAGGGAAGCTGGCCATGCTGCAAAATGATGTTACCATTGTTGACTAGGCTCCAGAGCCGCCAGGCACCTGGACGCAGTTCACCTTCTTTTATGCTCCCCTCACCCCAAACTGAGAGATCAAGAAGCTAGTAATATTTTATTTTTTCCCTTTTCCATCACACCCTGCAACGGTGTAGTATTCTCGAGCTCTCTCTTTTTATTGCTTTTGATTTCATTGCTTCTGAGATATTAGCACTCGGCGTCTGAGCGACATGGTTCGCTTGCTGACCTTGACTGCCGTCGCTGCCCTGCTGGGCGCGGCGGTTGGTCAATTCCCACCTACTCCGGAAAATGTCACAACCATTAAATCTAAATACAACGAGGACGTCACCATCTCCTACAAAGATGTGAGCTTGCACAGTCGGCACCCTTATATTGATTGCAATAAAGTGATATACTAAGTGCGAGTGGTTTTCAGCCCGGTATCTGCGAAACAACTCCTGGGGTAAAGTCGTATTCTGGATATGTGCATCTTCCTCCTGGCACGCTGGCCGATGTTGGCGAATTCCAGAATTACTCAATCAACACATTTTTTTGGTTCTTTGAATCGCGCAAAGATCCAGCTAATGCGCCCCTCTCAATCTGGATGAACGGCGGCCCCGGTTCATCTTCCATGATCGGCCTGCTCTCCGAAAACGGGCCGTGTAAAATCAATGATGATTCGAATTCGACATATCTCAACCCTTGGTCCTTCAATAATGAAGTGAACATGCTGTACATTGACGAGCCCGTGCAAGTTGGTTTCTCGTACGATGTTCCCTCCAACGGCACTCTTGACTTGACCACCTTGGAGACGACGTATATGGACTTCTCGCATGGCGTTCCGGAGCAGAACAATACTTTCCTCGTTGGAACCTTCCCCAGCGGATTGTTGAATTCCACTGCTAATGGCACTACCAATGCTGCTCGTGCGCTGTGGCACTTTGCTCAGGTTTGGTTTCAGGAATTCCCAGACTACAAGCCCAACGACAACAAGATCAGCATCTGGACCGAATCGGTTTGCCTCTCTCACTAACATATTTCCTTTCAATGTATGTGCTAATTGATTCCAAGTATGGTGGTCGCTATGGCCCTTCGTTTACCGCCTTCTGGGAGGAGCAAAACCAGAAGATTGAGAACGGCACTCTCAACAGCACCGGTGAGCTGTATGATATTCACTTGGATACGCTTGGTATCATCAACGGCTGGTAAGTCCTTCGTGGGTATGCTCCGGAAAATACCACTGATTTGTTTCAAGTGTCGACCTCCTTAGCCAAGAATTATCCTATCCGGAGATTGCATACAATAATACTTATGGCATCGAAACCATCAACAAGACAATCTACGACCAGGCCATCAATGATTTTGAGCGACCGGGTGGCTGCAAGGACCTTATCATCGAATGTCGAGCTCTTGCAGCCGAAGGAGATCCTACCAACCAGGGTAACAATGTGACTGTCAACGACGCATGCATGCTGGCAGACATGACCTGCGAAAACCTAGTTGAAGGGGGTTATGTCAATTACTCTGGCGTACGCTTTTCTTTCGTCTCTACCTTCAACATATTCTCTATACTAACTTTTGACTTTCAACTTCAGCGAAGCTACTATGACATTGCCCACCTCAACCCGGACCCATTCCCGCCGTCCTACTTCATCGGATATCTGACTCAAAACTGGGTGCAAAAGGCGCTCGGTGTCCCTATCAACTTCACCGAGAGTATCAACTCTGTTTACTATGCCTTTTCGTCGATTGGCGACTATCCCCGTGGTGGATTTCTCGAAGACCTTTCTTATATTCTCGACAATGGCATCAAAGTTGCCATGGTTTACGGCGACCGCGACTACGCCTGCAATTGGATCGGCGGCGAACAAGTCTCGCTGAACGTCAATTACAGTCTCAGCAACCAATTCCGCTCTGCAGGGTATCAAGATGTGAACGTCAACAGCACCTACGTAGGCGGTCAGGTCCGGCAGTATGGCAACTTTTCATTCACTCGCGTCTACGAAAGTGGTCATGAAGTGCCCGCGTACCAGCCTGAGACGGCGTATAATATCTTCCATCGTGCCATGTTTAACAAGGACATTGCGTCTGGAAATCTGTCGAGCTTAGGAAACTACAGCACACACGGCCCAAGCTCAACGTGGCAGATCAAGAATGAGGTGCCGCCGAGTCCGGATCCCATCTGCTATACACTTGCGCTGGAATATACTTGCACTGAGGACCAGATTGCAAGTGTTCTGAATGGCACCGCGCTGATCCACGACTGGGTGTTGATTGATAATACTACGTCGGGATTCTTCAATTCGAGCACTTTCAATGGGACAAGTGCTACGCCGAAGCCAAAGGTTACTGCATCGCCGAGTGCTGCATCCAGCTCGGCAGTTGCGCCGGTCGTCGGTTCAGTCATTGCCCTTGTGCTGACTGCTTTGGCTGGTGGTGTGTTTTAATGGTTGGAGGGCATGTAGATGAAAAGAGTGATTGCCTTTACTTTTTTTTTTTTTTTCTATCCTTCTTTTCTCGCACCTGAATCGCAACTTTATCCATAGCCCAGCATAGCGATTGGCCATAATGTAGGGGAAAACTCCTAGGCTATTATCTAAATAAACAAGGACATTGCATAGCACTGATAGCGATTTAACTGAGTCATCTACCTCTTATTTATTTTGTCTAGCTTTGAAAAATGGGTATGAGTGGATCTGTGCGATGCATCAGGTGCAGGGTGAAGGTTGAGGTGACAAGAGCTGGTCACAAATCAGTGGAATTTTGTTGTGTGGACGTTGGGACGAAGAGCTGCTGCGCGGGTAAAACGAATGGTGAATCGCAATTTCTACAGAAGAATTATAGACTACACATAACGAGTCATTTCGCTGCCTGTACAGTATTTTATTCATAAATACTCGCTGCATTGTAACTTAAGGGTAATTCAAAAATTGGTCAGCAACATCATCATCGTTGTTGTTACTGTCATCATTCGGGTGGATCGGCACAATTTAACCCTCTTCTTTTCTCTTCCATGTCTGGCTGCCGTCAGCTGCCGAAAGCGTTTCCCATGTTCCCTTCCAGCACCCTTGTCCTTTTCTATCCCAGAGTAGTTCTCTCGACAGGTTAGTGAGCCACACAAGTTACTTGTAATCAAAGAAGAGATAATGTCAGACTCGCTCTCGGTCGGCGCGGGAAAAAGAATTGTAGAGAGGGAAAGCCGGGCTGGAGCCAGGCAGGCAGGAGTGGAAGGAGGCAAATTAACCGGTCCATCCCTCCCTTCCCTTCCTTCCCTTTCGTCTGCGCGCGTACTTTGTAATGCCTCGCACAATCAGTAACTTACACTTTAACCCTTTTTCTCTTCTTATGACATTTCCCCGAGAATTGCTATAGCCATGAGCAGCAACTAGGTTGAACTGTGTGCAGCTCTGCATTTCTCTGGCTGTATAGAGCACCCCCGGCTTATCTTATCGTTTGTGACTACCCTCGTCCCGTATGACGACGACGACGTAATCGCGACAGCTTCAGCCGGCCTCAGCGACTCAGCGACTCAGCGACTCAGCATAATCCTCCAACGACAACCAGCGGGACAGAAGGGATTCTAATATATTGGACCTTTTGACATTTATACATATTTATATATTGTGTTCGAGATCTGGTCAACACGTAAGTCTGCATTCGCATACATATGTATATTTTGCCCTACGGAGACTGGTCGCGGGGTTGGTTCCCGACCTCGAGTGGGGTCCTGAGAAGCTCGATGCCGATCGTCTGTTGTATTTAATCGAAAATCGAAGCTGGACCTCAATTGAGCTACCACTTACTCTCAAGGCTGGAGGTGGGAATCGAACGTTGAGTTCGCAAGCTGGACTGGGAAAAGTTGAATTCTGGACTACCTAAGGAAAATGACGCTAATTCGAACTGCTTGAGATTACGCAGAACAATAAGCCAAAAAAGGGCACCTTGAATGCTCTGCTTCCCCTTGAGACGAGAGACGACTGAATTGAGCTGCATGGACCGAAGAAGACGTTAGAGGAACATTTGCGAGTCAGCAGCAGGAAAAGCAAATCACACTCTGAAAGGGCAACTGCTTAATTCAGCTACAACTTGCTCGAGCATCGAATGATCCATACCAGGTATATAGCAGTCGTTTTATTGAGAGCCTCCGAGGATATCCAGAGCCAGAAAAGGAAAGAGCGAACGTGAACTGCGAAAAAGAGGTTCTTGCCAAATCGATAGCCGGTCGAATGGTATAATCCACAGGTGTCCGGTTGATTGAGATTGCGCGCCGATAGATTGGGCACGGTAACCACTCTGGGATCCGCCGATTGTAAACTGCCCGCGACGATCGTTCCAGTTATCGTCGTGACTGGCATCGTTAATCCAGCGCACCTAATACTTCCTCGCAAATCGCATTTAGTCGGGACGGCTTCAATTCGACACAATGCCTAGCGGTATGTTGGACAAGACTTGGACTGGGGGAAAGAAGGGATTCGACAAGGTCTGGGGATGGGCGGATAAGCTTGGAGCACCAGTGAATAAATTATCAAACAAACTTGGCGCAGAAGCGTTCTGGCCAACGACGCTTGACAAGGAATGCGACAAGGCGGCACGAATTTTGAAAAGCTTTTGCAGTATGCCACTCCTCCTGGAAGCTTTGTAACTTTGTTTTCTAATTTAGTATATAGAGGATGGGTTCTATGAGGAGACGGTCCAAAAGGGCGTCGACGGCCCGAAACAGAAGCAAAAAGTGCTGAAGAAGATTCCATCAGAGGTAAGTATATCAGAGGAGCAAATTGCAAATACATACACCTGGAACCTTTTGCTGAGTATATCAAAATAGGTAATTGCCAAGGCTAAGGGTTTAGCAATCTTTACCACGATGCGTTCAGGTCTATGGATCTCAGGCGCAGGAGGAAGCGGTATTCTTGTGGCGCGAAAAGCAGATGGCACATGGTCTCCGCCGTCTGGTATTCTTCTCCACACCGCAGGGCTAGGCTTTCTGGTTGGAGTGGACATTTACGACTGCGTCGTAGTCATCAACACTGAAAAAGCACTCGAGGCATTTATGAAGATTCGATGTACGCTTGGAGGCGAAATCAGCGCCGTAGCAGGCCCGGTCGGCATTGGTGGTGTTGTTGAATCTGAAGTGCACAAGCGACAGGCTCCTGTCTGGACGTATTTGAAAAGCCGCGGCTTCTATGCTGGTGTGCAAGTGGATGGAACCGTCATCATTGAGCGAACGGACGAGAATGCTCGATTTTATAGCCAGAAAGTTGGAGTCAGGGACATTCTGGCCGGCAATGTAAATTTCACGCCATATACTACGCGGATGTTTATGGAGACGCTCAAGGCGGCACAAGGAGACCGCAATATTGATGAGTCTATCCTGCCTTCAGAGCCTGCGCCGGGCGACATGGAAGTCGAAAAGCAGGGCCACATTTTCGGCGTGCCAGACGAAGGTGACGAAGACCCGTACGGAGTTTTGGCTCTGGAGCGAGAAGGCATGGAAATCAGGGAAGCGGGTACAAATTCGCGGCCGACCAGCGAGCAATTTGAGTATCGACCTGCTCCCACGAGTCCTGTGTATGCCACGTTCAATCGACGAAGTACGGAGAGTTCGTCTCAAAAGTATGGCGAGGGGAGTCGCCGAGTCAGTCGCATGAGTGCAGTGAGCAACGATGTCGGTACGCAAACAGCAGAGAATGAGCAAGAGCTGCGCAGCCCCGTGTCCAGATCATCTTTGAAGAAGGACGCAGGATATGCTGATGGACTGGTAACGTCACCAACAGTATCCATCTCCGAGCAGGAAGAGCTTGCACTGGAAAAGCAGAAAACCCACGATCAGCCATCGCCATCAAAACGCGCAGCTGATGACGATGATGAGAATAACCACAAACAAGAGAATGGCCACGGACCTGAAAACGAAAATGAAATGTCTACTATCCCTCTCGACGACGAACGCGATCACGAACATGAACACGAACACGAACAGACGGCCGCTTCTCACGATGACATTTCCACCGAAGCAGTCCCCGTCCAAACCGCGGCTCAGCCACAACGCATCTCTCGAGCCCGCCTCGTCACCATTCCCAAGCGCATTCCGCCCGCTCTTCCTCCCCGCAATCCCGGCCGCCGCATGCTTAATGCCGAGCCCACCTCGTCACAGGAGGTTTCTTCATCAGATGCATCGTCGCCATCAGCCACTACTCCTGCTATCGAAGCCGGGGCATCTGAAGCTCATGAAAATCATGAGACTCCCACAGCCCTTCCAGCGGACGAAGCATCCGCGCAATCCGAAACCCCAACCTCAACCTCTGCCACCCTCCCTGGCTCCTTTGCCGACGATGACGACGAAGAAGACGAAGCCGGATTCCAGCGCGTCAGCATCATTGCCAACCATCGCTCCTCGCAATCTGCACCTGCACCTGCAGATAGCAATGTCAATGCCAACCATGAGGCAGAAGCAGCAAAGGAAGAATCCGCACCGCTCACAACAACCGAATCTTCTTCTGCTTCTGCAAAAGCGCCCGCAAATAATAACACCCTCGAAGGCGACGAATTCCATTCTCTCCCTCCTTCGCCAGACCGTCCGGCCTCTCCTGCCGCACCAATACTCGAGTCGCATGCTGCATTCAACCATGACAGTCACAATGGTGTTGCAGAGGCGAAGACTGAAAACGGCAGTGCTAAGAAAGATACGGAAGACAAGGAAGATTTTTCGTAGTTCGTCTTTTTCGTCCTTTCTTCCCCTGTTTTCTTTATTTCCCCGTTTCGTCCTTTCTTCTACCTCCCATTTCCCATTTCCCATTTGCCTTTCCCTTTCCCTTTCCCTTTTTTTAATTTCCATTTCGCTTTCATTTTGTCCTTTGCTCTCCTATGCTCTCCTTGTCTTTGCTTTTCCTTTCCCCCCTTTTTTTCATTTCTTTTTTCTTTATTTCTTCTTCTTTATAGTCTCTTCCTTCTTCCCTTTTCCTTTTCTTCCCCCTTTTTTTCTTTTCTTTTTCCACTTCAATTCCAGTCAATGCCAGTCAAGCCTCTATCCCTGTCCCTGTCCCTGTCCCCTTTTTTAAACTTTTCCGTATTTTCTAAAGTTTTAAGTATTTGCTTTTCCTTTTGTCTTCACTTTTAATCCCCATTCTGTGTATCCTCTTCCCCCCCCATTCTGTGTGTGTGTCAGCCATTCCGTGTGTCTATTTATTAAATCATGCGCCGTTTCGTTATTCAGCGCGGAAGTGACCACGTACGAGTACGAGTACGAGTATCAAGTGTTTACTTGCTGTTTACTGTGTTTACTTACTGTTTACACTTTACAACTTACGTTTACTGTTTATGTTGATTCCTTACGTTGAGTGTTTACGTGAGTGTTTACACTTTACGTTTAGTGCTTAGTGGTTAGGTGTATGGTATATTTTATACATTTCAGTTGTGTAGTGTCTTCACATGAGTGTAGTGTCTTTACATTAACGTTTACTGTGTAGTGTCACGTGTGTAGTGTGTAGTGTGTACTGTGTCACTACCTTACCTTATATCACCTACCTACCTACCTACCCACCCATCTATACCTACTTATCTTAATCCAAGAGGATCTTTTTAAGCAACCTGGTATGCTAGTACCAAGCCAAGTAATGAATAAGTTAGTAGGACGATACCTTAGTGATTAGTATTGCATGTTTTTTTTTTTAAGAGAGACTGAGAGAATATAAGGTAGGTATTGTAGTATTGTACTTTGCATGGCTACACGACCGCAATGCCAGAATGCAGAATGCAGAATGTAGAATGCAGAATGTAGAAATATCAGTAAACTTGGCCTCAGGGACGGATGTAATTCTCGACTCTTGATATACTACCAATGTGTCAAGGAAGCAATGGAGGCAATGGTGGCAAGAGAAGCAAGAGAAGTCAATGCAATAAACATGTATCATTGTTCACTCTGGTCTGGTCGTTTATAATACTGCATTGAGCCATTGCGTCACTGATGTTGTACGTTGTACGTCGTGTTGTACGTTGAGTTGTACGTTCAAGTTTTACGTGGAAGTTTGAGTTCAAGGGTGGATATGTTATTCAGTTTATATTCCATTTCTTCTAGAAAAGATAATAAAATACTATGAAAAGAAACCTTTTGAATCAACGACAAACGACAAATCAATCAATACAAGAAGAACACGATATTTGCAGGTTTACGCCCTTCCAATTTCCCCCCCGTTTTGCCTTTCACGAAATAACCAGAGCATCAAAATAGGAATTAATAAAGGTGTGACAAGACCATTAGGCAGCGCCGGCGGCAGCGGCAGCGGCGACGGTGCCCGGGTTGGTCGGCTGAGTACCGACACGCTCCTTGGCGAGCAAGTCGACGAGGAGCGGGCTCGGACGGCTGTCACGGGTGGGGTGGAAGATGCTCTGGTTCTTCTTGTAGGCCTTGACGCTCTCGAGGTAGGCGTCAAAGAGGTACGACGAGTCGAGCGGACCGCCCTTGGCCTCGGGGTGGAACTGGGTGCTGAAAATAGGGCGGGACTTGTGAATCATGCCCTCGTTGCTCGAGTCGTTGAGGTTGACAAAGTACTCCTTCCAGTCGCTAGGGAGCGTGTTGGCGTCCACGGCGTAACCGTGGTTCTGGCTGGTGATGTGGCAGCGACCAGTGGTGAGGTCGAGCGCAGGAATGTTGTGGGCACGGTTACCGTACTTGAGCTTGACGGTACGGGCGCCATTGGCCAGAGCGAGCAGCTGGTGGCCCAAGCAGATACCCATAATGGGGATCTGAGAAGAGTCCATCAACTTGCGGAGGTGGTAGACAGTCTCCTGGCAGTGAGTCGGGTCACCGGGGCCATTGGAGATGAAGACACCGTCAAAGTGGTGCGCGACCTTGTGGAAGGGGTAGTCATAGGGGAAGACGGTGATGCTGGCGCCACGGCTGACGAGGCTGCGGAGAATGTTTTCCTTGACACCGCAGTCAATGACGGCGACGTGGAGATCGCCCATCGAAGAGCTCACGTGGAAGGGAGCCTTGGTGCTGACGCGGCGGACCAAATTGATTTGCTCGGGGTCGGTAAAGGCCTCGTCCTGGTCGGCATCGTATTCCTCACCAATGGTGATGCGAGCGAGCGAAGAGCCCTGCTCACGGAGGAAAGTGACAATCTCACGAGTGTCGACCCCGGAGATGGCGGGGACACCCTCACGAGCACACCACTCGGCCAAGCTCTCGACGGCGGTCCAGTGGCTGTACTGCTCGGCCACATCGGCCACAACGATACCAGCGGCCTGGATGTTGGGGGACTCAAAGTACTTGAGAAGGCCATGCTCGTCACGCTTAGACGAAGGCACACCGTAGTTGCCAATCAGGGGCTGGGTGAAGACCAAAATCTGACCACGGTAGGAGGGATCGGTCATGGACTCGGGGTAGCCGACGAGAGAAGTAGTGAAGACGGCTTCACCAGAAATGTTGGATCTGGCACCAAAGGACTTGCCAGAAAAGACAGGACCGTCCTAAACGACAAGCGAAATGAGCACAAAGCGGCTTTTTACATGATCTGTAAGAATGTCAATGGCAACAACATACCTTGATAGTGAAAGTGGCACGGTCACGGGCAATGCGAGTGCCACGGGTGGTGCTGGAGACGGGCATCTGACGACCAGTGCTACCCTGGACGGTAGCCATGAGACGGCTTTGGATGCCAAACTTGGCATTGACAGGCATGGGCTTTGCAGCCGCCTGTCTAACGAAACGGGCAAACATGATGGTTATATTATATGATATTCAGAAGAGAGAAAAAGCGGCAATGTTCTGAGAAAGGACTCAGTTTACCGAGGCCTTCCACAAGTGGTCTGTCATGTCGATTAGTATATAGGGCGTCAATCGTTATACTCTGTACAGAGCATCGTACCTGAGATGTAGTCCTGCAACGCGTCGAGTCAGCATCAATTGATCATTTCCCGACATGAACGGTATATAGGAAGAAGGACACAAGATTCAGAGGGTCAAGGGTAACATTCGGGGACATGAATGACAATAGGACGTGTAGCTTAGAAGGCCTAAAAGGTCGACGGGGATGAGGCATACCTGGGAAGTGTATAGGGTCGCAACCACACGCATGCGGGCAACAGTAAGCTTCGACTTCGCTGCTCTTTTAATGGAAAGGGCAGCGGCTCGAAGGCGAGTTGATAAGGGTTTTGTTGAAACTGGGGATGATGAACAAGTTCAAGCTCAGGGACGTTGGATCGTCTCGTTGAAAGTGGATTGAAGTGACTTTTGGGGGGTAAAAGAAAGGGAAAAGAAGAGAAAGAATTGGCGGGGGGGGGGGATTTTGATAGAAGAAGTCGGGAGAAGGAGAGTTTAGGGCGCGAAAAAATTGGCCGAAAATGGGCGAATCATTTTAGTTCGCTTGGGCTTATCTATCACACGAGTACTTGTTGCTCACACCCAAATTCTATGACGAGAACAAGTACCAATACTGGACCCTGACTCAACTTTTTCGCTACGTAACAAAACACCAAAGAGAGTTTATCATCAACCACCACCACCGTCACCGCTCATGACTTTTCCAATGATTATTCACCTCTTTCCTTGTCTTTGCACATTTATATGGATCTTTCAAAGTGAAATCAATGTTAATACCATCCTCACCGTAGTCCGCACAAGTATCTTTACTGACTTTGAATCTTTATGATGCCTTGGTATGCCGAACTCATTCAATGACTGGTTGCGGGTTACGATATCTCGGCCCCTCAGGGTGGATTCTAATTACCTCATCCTTATTGGCGATTAATCTAAGTTAGCGATGAGTCAAATAAAGACGCCTCTGGGGAGCTCCATCACTCCACAATCATTCTCATCAATGGTGTCTATGATACTTTCCACAGATTATCTACATCTCTTTTATCGTCTCCTTGCTTTCATCTCGTTTGAGTGCTCTTCGGTTTTCCCTCGACATGATTCTAGATATATATTGAAATCGTCATCTACTGTATCACAGTACAAAGCTAGAAGACTGCTTCTAAAGTTGTGCGGCTAAAGCTCCGACAGGAGAGTACGAGTAAACCTCCTCCGGTCTCGGACCGATATCAAGGATCCACTTTATTCCTAGGAGATCTCCCAGAGGACGCATTCTGAACATGATCGTCTTGCATTCCGAGATGACCCTCCCGAAGCCACCGATGCGCCGGAAACGCAAATGCCGCCTTCTTCATCTCTCTACCGAAAGGGTTCAGTGATCCATGTCCGCGGTGGGAAAAGATCAAGCCGTCGTACGCGTTATGTGAAGCCCCTTTGGCGGTGCTGATATCAAAGTCCATTCGTGATTTGCCAGCACGTGACTATCAAATGTTTTCTCAAAGCAATCGAACAAGGAGCATTGGCCAATCAACTGTAAGTAAACTAGAATCAATCATTAAATTCCTGAAATTGACTTTCACATCCAATTCTCTTTCCAAGTGGACGTCAAAGCCCAACTGTGATTAAAACTGATACATTGACATGTGACCGTGAGACAAAATTTATCCCAGTCCTTACCCGGCATTGATGACTCAGCAGCACTTGTCCTCAGACGAGCCCATGACGCCAAAGTCGCAAACCCGACCCCCTTGGGAGGAGCTTCGTCGCGCGCCCAATCCAAAACACAATTCACCCTTTACACACAACACTCATTCAGAATCTCCTTTTCTATCGCCAGGGTTGCTGTCGCAGGTATTAGACTTGCGTGAAATCGCATCTATTCCATGTGATCATCATCACTACACGTTAACTCTCTTTCTCGCTCTTTTCCTTGCCCATCATGACCGACTACAGCAAGCTCAAAGTTGTCGACCTCAAGGCGGAGCTCAAACAGCGTGGCTTACCACAGACGGGACTGAAGCAAGCCCTTATTGACCGTCTTGTCGAGGATGATGCCAACTCTCAATCGGCCGCTGCGGATGAAACACCTCAAGAAGCCGAAGCAACGCCTGTTCTTGACCAGCCTGCACCGCAAGAACAACCGGAGCCGGAGGCCCAGGAAGCTGCAGGTGGCAAACCCGAAATTTCCGTGAACAAGGAAGAGACCGAAATTCCTCAGAAGGAACAGGAGGAACAAGTGACGGGTATTTCAAAGCAGGAAGCACAGCCGGCTCCTGAGACAAATGGCCACCCCACTTCGCCCACTGGAGCCGACGTCTCGAGTGAGTCTAGAGGCGGCGATGAAGCTCAAACGGAAACTGCGCAACTGCCCGTCGAAGCACCACCATCATCAGTGCCAGAACAGGCCACAGAAGCTACACGAAGTGAGGATTCGCAATTGCCTGAAGTTGCGCAGAAACCAGAGCCAGAAGTTGTGCCAGCATCTGTAGACAAGACTGGAGATGCATCGAGTGCCGGCCAGACTGTTGCGCCCACGCCAACTTCAGTTACAGCGGAAGAAACACAGGAAGACAACCGGAAACGCAAACGGCGAAGTCACAGTCCCCTTCCATTGCCTAGCGAGACGGCGCAGAAACGCGCGAAGCAGGAGGACCACGGTGGAGAGGTCCAATTTCACGAAGACGAGGAATCAGAAAATAAGGATCAAAGAGCTCAAAAGGAGGGGATCCCGATAACACCAGAGGAGCATGAAGAAGCGAAAAGCCAGGAGGAACTGCCTCAGAGGACCGCTGGCGGCGACGAAGCTGTTTCCGCCTCTGAAAAGGAGCAAGAGAAGCCTGAGCGCAGAGAAGAATCACCTCATGCTCGCGCGTCCCCGCCTGCGCGAGGCGCTGGAACAGGGGACCGACGACTCAAGGACCTCTTTTCCGAATCCTTGAAGGATTCCACGCGTGACAAGTCGCCGTCACGGCAAGCCGGCCCGTCGACGACATTGGAAGAGGAAGCGGAAGAGGAGGAGGAGGAAGGTCGCACGGTCGGCCCCGCTCTGCACCCTGCCACCTCGGCTCTGTACGTCCGGGACTTTATGCGGCCTCTCCAACCTCATACGCTCAAAGCGCATTTGATTTCCCTTGCCACTCCACCAAACTCGTCTCCTGATTCGGAGATTCTTCGGACCTTTTTCCTCGATCCTATTCGCACCCACTGCTTCGCCAGCTTTTCCAATGTATCTGCCGCTTCACGGGTGCGCTCCGCATTACACGGCCGTGTCTGGCCCGATGAACGCACCCGAAAACCGCTCTGGGCGGACTTTGTGCCTGAAGAGAAGATGGGACAGTGGATCGAAATGGAGCAGAGCTCGTCCGGTGGGGGCAGGCCCTCTGCCGCCAAGAGGTGGGAAGTGGTCTACGAACCTGCCGAAAATGATGGCGACATGATCGAGGCAGTCTTACGAGAAGCTGGAGCTGGCTCCTGGAGACCAGAAGCAGGTGCGGGAGCTGGCCGTGGGGTCCAGGGTGCGCCCGAAGGCCCACGTCGCAGCGAGGCAGACTTGTACGACCGCCGAAGACCGTCGGACCAAGCGTCCCGTCGACCCTCGAAGCCTGCGAATGCAGGTTTCATGGCCCTCGATACATTGTTCAAATCGACCTCGACCAAACCCAAGATATACTATTTACCAGTATCCAAGGATTTATCGGAGAAACGATTGGACGAGCTGGCAGACCGACTGGGTGGACCGGGTCGGAATTTGAGCCGAGGCGAAGACGAAATGAGACGTTACACATTTGAGGATGGAGACTTGCTGGTCGACCGCGGACTGGACGTAAATCCGGGACGCCGAGGTGGCCCAAGCTATAGGCGGGGAAATAGCTATGGCAGACGCGGAGGTTGGCGGTAAATTGATGGCGCGGTAACACGAGTAAAAGGTGGATGCTGTTTCTTCTCACCCCACCCTTTTCCCCCCTTGTGTGACTTTAATTGGAATTGGTCATGGTTGATCAATGGCTTCAACTTACAAGGAAAATGAAAAGTTTGCAGCGAATGATAGCCGGGAGATCTCATCAAAAATAATATTCTATTCGTTCATTGGAGCAAATAATGATCGAATGCAATAAATGCAGCATTTACGAAGTGAAGATTGGGTGACTCTGCACTGCACAATCAAATGAGATCATTGGGTCTTATCTTATCGATAACGATTTTTCACGTGATAGCGATGACTGTACTTTTTCTGGTCTCTACCAATCCCGATTAGTCATTTTTTGCCATTTGACTCTTCAGACTTCCCCCCTGCCCCTCGACAGTTATATCATGAGCACCCCTCTGCCGCGAAGTCTCCTGGTGAGATCTTCGCTTTCATCCTGGGCACGCAAGAGGCCAATTTGTTCTAGGTTTTGCGCAGATGGCTACTTCCACTCCAGAAGCAGGAGCACCCCTCAATGGGGCGGCTACCGCTCCGCCCGAGGGCTACAGTGAGTATTCACCCTCGCCCAAAAAAAAAAGTGTTACTTGCGCTCCGAAGATCGGCCTTCACAATGTAATCTTCAAATGAAGAGATCAATGCCAACTAACGTCCCCAGGAAGAATATCCAGCCAGCCTGAGAATCCATTTGCGACATTGATTCCTCACCAGAATATTGTGGTGATACCGTCGTTTACGCTAGAGTCGGGAGTGACTCTGCGTAATGTGCCCGTGGCATACACTACGCGGGGCAAATTGTCGCCGAACCGCGACAATGCCATGATCATTTGCCATGCGCTGACCGGCAGCGCAGACGTGGCAGACTGGTGGGGTCCCTTGATGGGCAAAGGTCGAGCATTTGACGCCTCACGATTCTTCATTGTCTGTCTGAACAGTCTGGGAAGCCCGTACGGCACTGCCAGTCCAGTGACCAACAAGGACGGAGATCCTTCTTTGGGACGATACGGACCAGAATTTCCTCTGACGACAATCAGAGACGATGTCAAGTATGTTTTTGTTCTCTCACATAATTGTCCAAGGTGTTTGACTCCGCTAACATAGTCCCGTTCGAATAGTCTGCACAAATTGATCCTCGATAGCTTAGGCGTGAAGCAATTGGCTGCCGTGGTAGGTGGATCCATGGGCGGCATGTTGGTCTTGGAATGGGCATACTTTGGCAAAGACTATGTCCGGTGCATTGTGCCCATTGCCACGTCTAGCCAACACAGCGCATGGGGTATCAGCTGGGGCGAGGCTCAGCGACAGAGCATCTACTGCGACCCGAAATATGACGACGGGTACTATCCCTTTGAAGACCCCCCCACGGCAGGACTGGGTGCCGCCCGCATGTCTGCGCTCCTGACCTACCGAAGCCGCAATTCGTTTGAGTCGCGTTTCGGCCGCAACACACCTGATCCGTCGCGGCGGCAGAACATTAATGAGCAACCACGACCGCCGACGCCGTCGAACGAGCACTGGGCCGTACACAATGAAGGACACAAGAACCGACGATCTCCGCGCCAGTCGAGCGTGTCCCTGAGCAGTGACGAGCACCGTGCCGCCTTGGCTTCTACCACGTCTACTCCGGCATCCACCTCCTCCGCTTCCGCTTCCGCCTCGGCAGCATCTATCCACACTGCCTCTTCCACTCCTACTCCCGTCCCTACTCCCGGCGCTGCCGCCACAACCATCAACGGCACGAGCGATACCTCCTCCTCTCATCCGCTCACCAACTTTACAGACCCGCAATTCAGCGGCGCCACGACATTCACGCCTCCCCCGCCGCTTTCGACATCCAACTCCTCCTCGTCGCTCTCGACCAACCCCCGCAAGCGCGCAGCCACGTACTTCTCCGCGCAATCCTACCTGCGCTACCAGGGCGACAAGTTCGTCAAGCGCTTCGACAGCAACTGCTACATTGCCATTACGCGCAAACTCGACACCCACGACGTCAGCCGGTACCGCGTCGACCCGTCGTCGCCCAACCCCGTCGGCGACGCGCTCGCGCTCATCCAGCAGCCCGCACTCGTCATCGGCATCGAGTCTGACGGCCTCTTCACCTTTGCCGAGCAGCAAGAACTCGCCGCGAGCATCCCCAAGGCGCGTCTGCGCACCATCGACAGCCCCGAAGGCCACGACGCCTTCTTGCTCCAGTTTGAGCAAGTCAATCACCACATTCTCGACTTCTTTGGCGACGTCTTGCCGGACATTATGACCTCTGCTCCCATTGACCCGGACTATCGCGATGAAGACGACGTCGACGATGTTGATGCCGAGGCCGCGACGGGTGAGCAATCTGGTGTAGGCAAGCTGAAGAAGAGCAGCACCTTTGGCGAGGCCGAGGTCGATGACATTACGTCTTGGTGATTATTATCCGTTTGGTAGATTATCATCGTCTTGCTATTTTGTCATATCTCGGCAGTTGTCATCGTCAGGGTAGTTTAGTCGATGACGTTACATCTTGGTAGTGTCATAGTGTCTTAGTTGTCTAGTCGGCATGATATTTCTTTTTTCCCCCCTCTGTTTTCTCTTTCTGTGATATTTTTTTTTTTTTTTCAACAAAAGAGCAACTGCACTTGCTGTCCCTGTTATTTTATTTTTCTTTGGAAAAGTCTTGTGGACCGTGGTATATCCTTAGACCGCCCTCCCCCTCATGAATCCTTCAGAGCGAGACATACACACACAAAAAGCAAGGTTATAGTACCTATATCTAGATGCTCCATCTTATTTTACTTACCTACCTACCTACCTACCTACCTAGGTACCTTGTCTTACCTATCTATCTTACCTCAGGGAACCAAGTTATCTAGTTATCTAGTCTAGTCTAGTCCTATCCAACTAGGACATGAAATGAAAATATATACACCTACCATCCATCCATCCATCCATCCATACATTCATCCATCCATCCATTCGTTCTGTTGCACTTTCGTTTTGTTGTAGTCGAGTACTATACTATACTACTATACTACTACACTCCACGAGAGGATGGATATGAATACATACGCCACGATATATACGCCACGATATATACGCCACGATATATACTATACGAGACGATATACGAGACGATCAACAAGATGACATCAAAGTGAAGAGATGAAATATCTACGACAAAAGCCAAGTTCAAGTCAAGTCCAACTCGACAACAGGACTAAGGACTTACTTACAGATGATGAACAAAACGTATAGGAATATTTAAAGTTGAAAGTCAAAAGGCAAGAGTCAAAAGGCAAGAGTCAAAAGTCAAGGCAAGGCAAGGCAATTCGAATACAGACTATGGTGTATAGATTATCGACTGGACTCTAGACCATCGACCATCGACTAGACTATAAATTGACGTACGGGAATGTCAAGTAACCATTAGTAAGGAACACCAAATCATAAGAGTAATTAACATCAAATCATAAACGTAAGATCAAATCATAAGGTAAGATCAAATCATAAGATAAGTGTAAGAATCAATAATCATAAGACTAAGAAAGAGTATATAAGAGGTATCAACATATCAAACGACTCTGTGAGTCTAGAGTCTAGAGTCTAGAGTTTCGAGTCTCGAGTCTCGAGTCATGGAGACGGAGCATCTGAATTGAGTCTTCAAATCTAAAAAAGCTCAAAATCTCGAAAACTCGAAAAACTCAAGAAAAGAATAGAAAAAAAGGAAAAAGAAAAACAAAATGTGTAAAAAAGGAAACAATAGAATCAAGAGAAAAGAAAAGAAAATGAGCAAAAATGGTCAATGAAATAATCAATGACAGACATGACTCAAAACGTAAGACGTGATCCGTAACCCTTAAATGCCTCCCAAAATTTTGTAGCCACTGTAGCTTGTAGCTAGTAGCTAAAACGCGGTGCGGAACGAGGTGCACCGATTCGAAAACTTGCAAAATGCAGAATTGAAAAATTGGAAATGCAATATGTAAACTTGATCACTGAGAACGAAGAATGAAGATAACTGCTGATTGAGGATAGAGACTGTCGGACGAGGATAGAGGATTTGAGGAATGAGGATAGAGAGGCGGATGAAGTAGGATAGAGAGACGGATCAAGGATGGATGGTTCAAGGGGAGGAGAAGAAAAAAAAGCAAAACTGATTGGAGATATCATCGTCGTAGAATAAGCATAAGCATAAGCACGAAGTGTATAATAGGAAAAAGGAGAAGAGAAAAGAAAAGAAAAGAAAAAGGGAATATGGAATGGGAGAGTAGAAGTAGAGAAGAAAAAAAGAAGAAAAGAAAAAAGAAAAGCTCCGCCGGCAATCCTAGGAATAGTACCCCACAAAGGCAATTGTATGAATGAAAGAATGGATGCAATAATGAATGCAATAATGCAAATGAATGGATATAATGCAGCAAGCACACCCAAAGCAACGCCAATTGTCATTGCCAATGACCCGTCACTTGCAAGGTATACCACGTCTTTCGCAAAACAATCAAGCCTCTGCTCTGAGCTCTTGACGCGAATGCTTCTTACTCAGTCCGAGTCCAAACTTGGTCAACTTCTTTCTCCACCCCGGCGAATTCTCGTGTTCCTTGGAGTCATCGTCATTGTGCACACCCATGCGCGATAGCTTCTGAGCAAGTTCATGCGCGTCGACAGGTCGGCTTCCAGAGTGCCCATAATACGATTGCTGAGATCTGCTTGATTGCATCCTCTGCTTGGCGTCCGACGAAGCAGTGTCTCGTCCTGAAGCGGTGTCTTTTCCCTGAGCAGCAGCAGCAGCGCCGCGCATCTTCTCTTCAACCGTACGTCGAAGCCTATGCTCTCGTGCGCGCTCCTCGTCATAGGAGAGGGCACGATGCATTCCATACTTGTCGACGACAACGGCATTGCTTTCCGTACTGGACGTGTATTGATGCTGCTGCTGCTGCTTGGATTTACCAGATGTTTTCGACGGTTGCTGTTGACGCATCATATTGGCAACGTGCTTCTTATTATCCGGCTGCTTGGCAGACGAGTCAATCAATCTTATTGTTCCTTCCGGCGGCGTCTCCTTGTTCGCATCCGCGTCCCACATGTCGAGACTTGGCAAGGGCGGGAGCGCCCGATTCAAGTATGTTCGAGTCTCTTCCTCTTGCTGCTGCTGCTTTTGCTGCTGCTTCTTTTCTCGCGACGCTGCCTTGAGGCTTGACCGACGCGTGATGCCGCTCCACCACGAGGGCCCAGACGATTCCTTGGAGCTATCCACGCTGCGCTGCGAACGCTTGCTGCGAATACTGGCCGAGGATGACCGGGGACGAATGTATTCCTTGATTCCTTCCTTGATGCTGCTCGCTCGGCTCAAATGGCCCGTCGGTTGCGAAGCAGGTGTGGCGGTACGTTTCTTGGCGACTGAACCCACGCGCGACACTGTGCCCGTTCCTCCCTTGGAGAATGATCGATCTTGGAGACTGGGCGAAATGGCGACAGACGTGACAGCGGTTGAGCGGGTAAAAGAACGATCGGTGGTGGTGTTGGAGCGACTCGTCGACGAAGAGGTGCCATATGAGGCTCCAGCCGGTATAGGGTTCCGGAATCGGTTGATGTGATACGCTGCCGCTCCGGCCAGTCCGGAACCAGGCTCGACCGAGCTATGTCTCTTGTGATGCTCTGGTTGTGTGTACGACGCCGTGGCGTTATCATCACTACTGTAACCAAAGCCACCTGCTGCATGTCTCGGTGCCTGTTCCTCTCCTGTCGAGTCGCTGAGACTCCAGGGATCTTGGACGCTGAAAGTCGGTTCCGAGGGCCTGCGGTGATGCTGAAGCGGCGGTAGTTGAGGCGGTTGCTCAAAGGCTATCTTTTGACGGTCCTGTCGAGTGCCCTCGCGCGAAATGCTGTCATCGAATGCAATGTGGCCATCATCGTGGTTCGTTTGACGAGTAGCAATATCTCGAAGTAGCTGAGCACATGAATGTCGCAATTGCGAGTCCACCAGCGGTGTCAATGGAAATCGGCGGACGATCAAGGGTGAGGCGGGAATGAAGACGGGCGATTCCGCGCCGTTGTAAAGAAAATGGTCCACATTGTGAACCGCAGGTGAAGGTATGGCCGAAGAAGTCACCTTCTGCTGTAGCGGTCAGCATTGATTTCCCTTCTTTTCTTTTCTTTTCTCCTCTTTTGGCCCGTCTCCCTTCTCTTCTTGCCCTCTTGTTTTGACCCTGACAATATTCGGTGTTTGAGAGAGAGACATCCCGTCGCCCAAGGTAGCTAGTGTGTGCATTGTTTGCCCGAAACAAACCCTCATCTCAAGCCACCACATACAGTCTCTTGTGCGTGAGAGGGTAGAAGAAGGGAGGAGTAGCCACGGCAGACGTAGGGAAAGAAAGAAAACATGTACTTACAATCGGTGTCAGCCTCAAACCAAACTTGCGTTTCATGATGCTGGTCTCATGAAGTGGATCGTCACAAGAAGTAGATCCAAGGCGAGGAGGTGAGGAGGAGAGGAAGGAAGGAAGGAAGGAAGAAAGGAAGATGTCGGTAAGGAGAGGTGAAGGATACAGGAGAGGATAGGGGAGAAATGAAGTGAGGTGAGTTCGAAGGGGAATGCCCAGGGGAGCAAAGAATAAGTTAGTGTGTAAGTGTATGGAATGACAGCACGGATATGGCGTGGCTACCGTGGTCAGAGGCAGAGCCAAAAAGGACGGCGGCACCCTTTGGCTTGAGGAAGAACTGCGTTCAGAGCCTTTCCTTTCACTGGGCCCTTTTTGCGGCTTTCACACCGCACCTAGTCTGAGCGTATGCACACCCACACTACACATATAACGCGTAAACAAAGAAGCAGCAATAGCGGGAGCTATAGCTGTCACCGAAGCGTGACTGGGAGCCGAAGCCAACCAAGGACTCAAAAAGACGTAAATGTCGACGTTCCCAGGTCCAGAAAGTGTTTTGTCGCTGTTGGCGGCCCGAAGCGAAGCACACACGGCGAGACGACAGGAAGGGGGAAAATCAGAATATGGTTACTCTTTTTTTCCCTTTGGGTGCCGGCGGGAGCGTGGCACGGGGAGCAAGTAATCAAAAGGGGACCCTGGGGGTTGGTGAATGAGAGCCCAGAGCGCCGAGAGAATCAAGACGGTTAAGATTGGAGCGAAGCCACGCGGTGACAAAATGTGGACAATCAGCGCGCTTGATAGGTAGACAACATAAAGTGGCGGCCGATGAGCGGGGCACGCATCGCAAGTGTCGTTTTGGAGGCGCAGGCGACCGACGACGAAAAGCGGCGGTAATACGGGAACTGCAGACAAGAAATGCAGGAATGGAGGAGGGAATGCCCGTTTTGGAGGGGGGGAAGGGGATCCAGATGCCCTCGATGGTGATGGTTATGATCGGGGGATTCGGAAGCGATGGGAGGCTGGGGGCCTTGACGCGCCAAGCAATTATTTCATGTAACTGTGCTGCCCTGCAAAAGAAACGTTTTTGGATAGGGTAGGAGGTAAGGTAAGGTAAGGTTAAAGTAAGGCAGGGACAGGAATGTCCAATGATTATAAGTTGCACGCGAACGAAGAAGAGCGAGCTCGAGCGGTCGGAGAGAGAGAGAAAAAGAGAGAAAATTGAGATCGAGACAGATTGGAGGAGGTGAGGGAAGGAGAGCAGTTAATTACCACTACAGTTCACTAACTTGCTACTACACCAAGCTGTTGCTGCTACTACACTGGACTGAGAGCATCTGGCGTGGTTGACGGCGCAAAGGTGCAGGACATGACTATCCGATGACTGGGACCCTAAATCCTTTAGTTTGTCGGTGGTGGCGCTTCTCGCCATGGAACTTGACTTTGGGCTGGTGTGTGTGTGTGTGTCTAGCTGTCCGTCTATCCATCCAGCCATTCAAAGAGAAAAAAGAAGGTGTGGGAACTGACTAGACACGGACAATGTACTGTAACAGCATGGGGATCCGAAACGCGGATAGATGCGTTGGATCGTGCTCACAAGAATAAAAGCAAGCAACACAAGAATCAGCCAAGTAAAAAGAAGCATGGGACGGGGATCGACATGCAGCGCATTACGTATGAAGGCCAAACCAAGGCCTTGTCGATGACAGAGCGCGCATAAATCACTATACGGTACAGCATAAGCATTGTCCTTGTCGTCATTATCACAGACAAAAAAAAACCCCCCAAGCCCTGGCCATTGTGGGTCTCAATCGGCGAGATTTTGCAAAAGTAATCGGGAAAAAAACAACAAGCAAAGAAGAGCAAGGAGACGATGGAAAAAAGGCACGGTGAATTGACAAGGATGGGTCAGACGGAGCTGGCCAAGGATTCGGGACGTGAGAGAAAAAGAGAAAGAGAGCCAGATGCCTGCAAGATGCTGTGGCTCCCTCGCTCGGTACCCTCTTATTCGTGGTTAGAATCATATTAATGACAGGGGCGCCATGCTCACCCCATGATCACAAGGTCAACACCGAACACCTTCTCGTCGTCTGGACTTTGGGTTCTTTTCTCTTGTTTTTTTTTTTTTTTTTGGCCTTTTTCACTCTTATTTTTCATTCAGTTTCAAGATCTACCCGACGGCGTTGAAAAAGTGGCCTGTTCCTGTCGCAATTCATTTTAAAGATACTTTTGAGGACCGCTTGCGCTCATAAAGTTGTTCGTATCGTAAGTATCTTTGAGTACCGTCAAGGGTCCAATTTCGGCCCCTTGCTCGTCCCGCTCGAGACCTGACCATGTCCGGCAAGAGAAGGAACTAAAAGGTCACGAGAACTTTTGTTCTCTCGCCTAAACTCGCCGGCGCAAAAGTATTGGTTACTTAATTTCCACCTTACCGCCCTTCCTGCCATTAGACTGACCGGGGTCGAACTGCAAGCGAGCCGAGCGAGGCGAGGCGACAACGTGGGATTCCCGGTTTGGAAACGACGAAACCACACTGATCGCTTCATCGCTCAATCGCTCCGTGGCTTCCTTCCCTCTTTCTCTTTCCGATCATCGACTCCGACCCACCGCAGGCCTAACCACCGTACAAGTACGGATTACTCGTCGTCCGTACTCTGAGGCTTCCGAAAGTTGTCAGGTTGTCTGTACGAGTTTGAAACCCAGCCGTGACATTTCGTATTTTATACTCTGCTGGTCCTTGCATTATCAATTCACAATATTCTCTCCGTTTTATTAATTCTTATAACATAGAGCAAGTGTTTTCTTTTTGGAGCAGAATCAACATACAAATTTCATCGCACTCAACGTTGGCACCCAAGGCCAATCACATAACCCTAACCCTCTTGGGCCTTGTCTCCCTTGCAGATACAAACCACGTCAGTCATCTGTTTGCGGACAATTGTCTATCCAGTCTCCATCTTTTCTCAGCCTTTTGATCCAATAACTCTTCGTATTCTTTCAGCTCCTACCGAGTAACTTAGTTCGTATCTATCAAAACAACTACTGTAACGCCCATATTTTTTTTTCCCGTGCAAAAGCACTCACAACGCACATGCTTACTTCAAACCGGTCAAACATGACCCACGATTTTGCATTTGCCCTTGTTGTGATAGATAAAAGCACCGATATTTTCCTTGCAAACCCTAATACAAGATCGGAAGATTGACCGCCCTATGAAGTGAGGGGTTCGTGGTCTCCATCTGAACTGTGCTTCGTATACGCGTATGCATCAGTAGGTAGCTTATCACCACCAACAAACCGCTGAACCGCTGAACCGCTGAACCGCTGAATCGGCGGAATAACGTTGGACGATCCGTCAACGCTAGTCCTCTATTTCATGTTCGATAACCATACCTATACCAAGTACATCTGACGTACTGTTTAACTTTCTGTAGTCTAAACAAAAACGGAGATACTGCATCTGCATCCTGTATAAAAGACTGATACTGATGCTGCACAATGTTTCAAACTCAAAAGGAACCGAGGAGTTACGCGTTAGTCAGTCCGGTTCTGTACAGGCGAACCGGGAATTTGACCAAGTTGGGGGGGGGTTAGTTATCCGAAACATGCTAAACAAGACACCCAACCCCCGCCACAGCACAGAGGTGCGTTGCAGCACCGAGCACCCGCTTTTGAAACGGGGGGGATTTGAGAATGCTCCGTCTGCCGCATGGTTTTAGTTTAGCTGAGACTCGGTTTTACTAAGAGACTGTGGACTTGGGCTGTTGCATCTGCATCCACTTCCGTAGGTCCGTACATCCGGACTTCTTACCTCTGTGCTCTGGTAGGTCAGATACGCCTGACGGTAAGGTCGGTTGGGTCCGGAGAATGGCCGGGTGACTAAGAGGACTGAAGCTCCGCACATGTGAAGAAGTGGGTCCCGTGAGGCACAGAGACCGCAAGTCTACTGGAACGAGGAAGAGCCCTCAGAGATCGAGAGGGCCAAGGGCGGAGAAACTCCTCACGGCTTTGTAAACCAGCAAAGCGTAGACTGAATCTAGAAGGACATTAGCAAAAGAGGAGGAGGTTCTAACTTCTGTACACCGCTTCGCCCACGCACGCCTCAATGCCTGGGTTGGCCATAACTTACCATATCCCGCAACTTCGGGGCTGGGCGCCGGCGTGATGCGGGGGGGTTCCCTCGGGATATCGCATCCACGGTACATGTCGTGGCATATAGCCAGCCACAAAACAGACTACCAAAGGTACCTTACGTTATAGCAAGTGGATCTAAATAGGGTAGGTACCGTAGATACCCTAAGTGAGGTAAGGTATGCATTCGAATGCACTTCGGATGCCATTGCAGATATGCATGTTTCTCTCGGGTTTGGGATTGGGATTCGGGATGTTTGTCCGACATCCTGGCGCCCAGCTTGTCCTTGGCTATAATGTTTGTATTATTATATATCTTATACAGACTAATAAATTAATACGATTTTAATGTTTTGTTCCTGTATGTGCGTTGCTGTTTTATGCATATTATTATTCTTTTTTTTCTTGTGGCATACGTCAACGCATCTATTGCATATCGTAGTTGCTCCGTATTTTGTTTCATTTACTTTTTGATACATGCATATTTATTTTCGTTTTATTTCCTTTAAAATTAATGCACAGTCATCCTAACCAACTCTGCCAGTACAGCTATAATCCGTCAAGCCTGTCTTATCCTTTTCTTCTTTCCGAATCCGAATACTATCTGCATACTTGTCTCCACGCAGTCATGTACAATTCAATGCATATACAACATGGCATTACTCTCCAATAACGCGTACATCGTACCGTGTGAAGCATCAATGAACAACCCTTCTGCACTGCATCCGTAGTACCTTATAGGCTACTCATCTACCCTACCTACCCGTTCACCAGGGCACCTACCTGTTCATGTTCCTTGGGCCACCGACTACCTTATCTGGAACGGACCACTAACTACCTTACCTTACCTGCCTCTCTACCTATACGAGCGAGGAGCATCACCCGCCAGGCCGAGGCCGAGGCCGCGGCCGCTCCTTTCCCTTTTGCACGTTAGTTATCAGAGTGCGTCATTCGTCCATCCCCAACAAAGTCCAACGCTATTTCTCTCTTGCGAGATAAACTAGCGCATGTTTCGCAATCGTTTCAACAATAATTCATACATCGTACAGTGTGCTATCAGTACTCTAGCGGCATGCGGCACGCGGATTGCGGGATCGCGGATTGCGGATTGTGGATTGTAGATGGTGAGATTGTGGGGCACTCTAAAAAGTCTGTGGCGTCATTTGTTGCTGTGTATATTGACTACTAGACGGAGTATAGGGGTGCTACGGAGTACAAGGAGTCTGCATATCTTTACTATTCTAGTAGATCTAGTAGATCCAATAGAAAATGCCAATTGGGGACCAGGACTCTTTAGGTAGGTAGGTAGGTGCGTAGATTTCACATGTCTCTATGATTCTAGGTCTAACGTGGTATAATCAATAAATGCGTGGGATAAGACGCACAACGTTGGCGCAATGCAGAGCTGGACTTTCGGAGTTTTAACTCTGGGAGATATAGAGATAAGGCTGGAAAGGTTGGTAGATATATATATATATCTTCATCCGGTTTAGGTACAATTGCGCTGCGCTTGGCTTGTATAAGAGTTCAACAAGACCTAAGGTAGTGATAGGATAGAAGGCTCTTCCATGGAAGCTAGAAGGTTGGCTATACCGAATATTATTCCTCCGAGATGCGGTTACATACGGTTGCTGCAGATAAGTAAGCAAGTTTCGCAAGACGTGGCGGGCTGCGGTGCGTGGGATGGACGTAATGGGGCCAGCGATGGAAGTTTATTAGTATCAATGTTGGGAAATGCTTTATTTGATTGTTGTCTGGCAGTGGATGGTGAACTGGGGCCTATAGTCAGGTCTAGAGGATATTTCTCGAATTCAAACGAGAATAGGGATGACTGCGGAGAGGATTAAGTGTAGAGAAGACCAATTTGGGAAATGCAATAAAGTAAAGTGCAGATAATGCAGATGACTGTTCCAAAAGCTCATCTTAATTTTGATGCGGATATCTCAAAGTTAAATGTTATGAAGAAATGCAAAACTGGCCGCTTTGATGGCCATATGCGGTATTGTAAATGTCGAAAATTACCCAAAAACGCCAATGCTTATGCAAGCAAAAGGTGAGAAGACGTGTCGCTCGCTGTTACATGCATCAGTAGTAATCTCCGCCGCCGCCTCCATCGTCATCGCCCCAGTCGTCTGCTGCATCGTCTCCGCCATCATCAAAGTAGTTTTCTGCGTTGTAGTCTCCTCCCATGTCATCGTCATCTTCGGAGAAGTCGTCATCGACATCTTCTTCCTCGGGCTCTTCGTCGAGGGCCTTGTCCTCGTCATCTTCCTCCTCAACCTCGGGCACATTGTCAATGGCGCGCTTCTTCCTCTCCATATCGTCTACGTCTTCCTCTTCGTCGGCGGCTTCCAAATCGTCCAAAGCACCCGTGCGATTCGTCGAAATCATCAATCTCTTGCGTTTCTTCGAGCCCGGAACATCGGACTTTTCGTGGTGTGGGTCGAGCGTCGACCAGAGCTCTGCCGGAAAGAGACGCAGAACTGTGTTTCACAGCCTTTATTAGCTTTATAGTCCCGCCCAGAGCGCTGCCCTCATCTTCTGGGCGCATCTCGTGAAACGTCTGCAGTGTGACCTACCATATGGACGGGTGTCTAATCTGGGAATCTTTCTGCGCTTCTTCATATATTTCATGCCGTAGGTTGGCATGCTGGTAAAAGGATCGGCCGTGGCTGCCGAGGACGTGGCCTTTTTCGCTTCTGCTACATTCTCTCCGAGTTCTGTATAGAGCGGTCCTTCATGTACTCGATCGCGTAATGTGCGGTATCGCGCAACTTGTGTTCGTTCCAGTCGAGAGAGCTGCTTTGCGATGGGCGGAATAACAGGCTGTATGATGCTCAGCACGGATTCGCTCCAAGGAACAGTGACATGTGTTGGGCGCGCAGGGTCCATCGAGGTAAGGCACGGAGTAATATGAGAAGAAGGTAATCAAAAAATCGCCCAAGATACTCCAAAAAAAATATGTACGGATAATAGTCCGGAACAGCTTGAGTACGTGGACGTCACGGCGCAGTTGAACTCACCGGAAAGAGCTCAGAAGGCCTGGTGTCGAGATCGCCGTCTAACTCGTCGTACCAGGAAGCATTGGCGCCAGCTATCCTGCCCATCATTCCCCCACCCCCTCGTCCCCGAAATCCTCCTCGCCCGCCTCGCGACATGACTTAAACGAACTTGACGGGCGGGCGCTGATTTATTGAGTGGCTACCTCGCAATACTGTGTCGATTGAAAGAGATGAATCCGCAGGACATAGTCCTCTAGCCCGGGGGCTGAATGGTGATGAGTGCGACAATGGTGGATTATGAACAGGGAATTTTTTACTTTTGATGAAGGTTTAGAATTTCTCCGCAAAATTCAGCCAGCAAACATTCGCTGGTGGGGCACGGCCTAACCGCCCCCCACTAACTCATACGTAAAGTAAATGGCCGATCCTACCCGTCACGCTTTTAGCTCTAGGACTTCCTACTTGGCCGAAGCATCTGTTGTGATTATTGTTCTGTATCCCTTCACCCCAAGTATATCATGTTTTTGATAAATTAGGCATCCTAGGGTAGCGACTTATTGTGGTGCGTTTGGGCGTTTGAAGTTGTATGACCTTGCCACTCGACCGTGGACCCTCATTTTCGCCGTCTTAGCTTCGTCTGACCTACTTGAAACGTGCGCTCTGCTGTCGCTGTCCTGAGGCACTGTCCCCGATCCTTCAACAATCTTCAAGGTCGAACCAGTTTTCTTACGGTGTTGATTGTCATCTTTTCGCCCGCAGACAACTTCTTTCCCAGACACTCCTGACCGCCTAACCCCATGTCGGATCAACAAATGTCTTCGCCCTCAGAACGAGCGGCGTCTGTTTTGCCCGCAGGCTTGCTTGATGAGGTGCAGCGCCACTTGGAGGAGGTCAAGACGATACCAACAACCTCACTGGATGATAGACTACTCGATCGTTTCGATGCCTATGTTCCTTCATTGATTGCAGGTACGAACTGAAGCTTCGTTTTTACCCAGCAGCCGTGACTGCATGACTGACAGTGCTCGCAGACTCGCAGAATCGATCACTGATCGATGGTCTCGTTTTGCAGCTTTCATCCATGATTTCAAGCCTTCAACAAGATCCTGCGCCCATAAATAAACTTCTCATTCGGCTACTCGAACCGTATTCTTTTACTGATGTCTTAGCCTTGACGCCAGAGGTCAATTTTGCAGCTGGCCTTGATATCTCTCTCCAACCCTTCAATATATTGGTTTTGACTCTTCTGGAAAAAGCGTCTCGATCGCCGAGCGAAGCTGCAATAGTTGCCGGGAAGGCAGAAGTTGTGGCAAATCTCATACGGTTATGGCTTTGCACGCCAGAGGTTGAAATCGCCGAAAAGGCCGGTCGAGTGCTATGGGGCCTGTTGAAGGTGGATTATGCAGAGCGGCCAGCTGGTGCCCCGGCGCATATACAGGATGTAGATTCGATTGTTCAAAATGAGGCAAGAGGCCAGGGGCTTATGTGGAGAAGGATATTCAAGGACAAGGATACCTATAGCTTGTTCTTCTCCCTGTGCAGCCTCAAAACGCTCGGTCAAGAGGGCCAACTTAGCAAGCGAGACAAGACGCTTGCTCAAGCCAGACTTATGGATTTGATACCAAAGATTGCTCAACTGGACTGGAAAGCCATCTCTGAGACGCAAATCTCAGAGGTTGAGACTGCATTCGGTCTACGCTCTGGTCAAGCCGGTTTGCTAGACTTCGCCGCCATCCACATGGTAGACATTAAGGACGACGTGCTGATGCACATGACCCTCATCGACTTCTTCTCAAAGCTTCTCCAAGCACGTCCAACATCAAAATCTGAGAGCGTAACGCAATCTTCACCTGGCAATCATCCGCTGCGATCATCTCACACCCTTGAATATCTCATTTCCCGAGGTTTACACCGGCGGACGACCTCCTTCTACCTTGACCCTGAAAATCCGCAGCACGACCCAATAGATGTCATTTATCTCGGAAGCCGCGCTGCAAATTATCTCTCGGTTTACGCTTCAACATATCCCCTCCATCTACTTTCTGCCGAAGTCTCAAGCCCGACGAGTATCGAACGGATTTTGGCGCGGGTTTCCTCTGCTCTGGACGTGTCGCCGGGTAAATGGGCCCAGGGGGACTCCCCCAAGAATGATTTGCATCTGCTTGCATCGCTACCGCGCGTGGCACTACTTCCGCGGTTTGGCTCGAGCCAACAGCGAACCTCTCGTGGCGTGTGGCATGCGAGTCCGGTCTCTCTTCTTCCTACCTCTCCAGCCAATGCAGATGCTCTTAGCACACTTGGGACTATCTTCCATGGACCGTCTCGAACGCAGAATGAAATTCATTTCCCACCGCGACCATCGGATGACCACATTCAACAACAATTCGTCACTTCTGAAGCTGTAGCAGCGCGGGCCCTCTACCTTCTTTACGTCTACAACAATCAGTCCATGTACAAGCACGTGGTTCAGCACGCTGAGACTGTGGCGTTGAAAGAAACCGCTCTAGCGGCAATCGATATGCTTGCCAATATCATTTCAGCAAACTGGACAGGCCTCGCAACTTCAGAACCTACCACAGAAATAGGTCGGTTTATGCTGCCTTCAGATGAGCAAATCATTTCGCTGCTTCCAATGTCTTCAATGCCGACGCCTCCCACCGTTGTCCCTGCTCTTCTCGCGTCTCCCGGAAATGATGCGCTGGTACCTTACCTTCTTAAGCCAGCGCAGACATTTAGCAACCTGGTTGGCGGCCGAGGCGATACCGAAAGTGTTGCTTACAAGGTCGCTGTCGCCAAGTTCGATACATTGAAGCTGTTCCATAGAGCTTTGGACGACACTTCTGGCGATGTAGAGGGTTTGACGGATTTGATCAGTATCGTGAATGGAAGAATTGCTGAGGGTCCCTGGAGCCCTTCAGGCGAGGTGGGAGGTCGCATTGGTACTATTGAGCTATGAACGAGCGTGCAAAGAGTAATAAACGGTTGTAAGGACATGGAATATTACGACGAAAAAGCATCTGCATAAAGAGGGGTTTGGCGCTTGCTATGACTGATTGTTCTTTTTTTTCTCTTCCACTCACGATATCCTAAGAATCATCAACAAGTTTGTTTCACTGCCTCAAACATTTCCCAAGTCAAAAAATTAGAAGTTAATCGTTACGTATGAATCGGAAGTTATTTGTGAGACGTCGGAGCATCCTCCTGAGTGGTTATTTCTATCGAGGCAGCCGTCCTGCTGTCCCCGCAATAACCGAACCACGATATCGCTTGTAGACAAACAGTGCAAACAGTGACCTCAATTCACCAAGAGCATGAGCATCAAGACGAGCTATAGGTCAGACTCAACTGGTCTCCCACATGATAAAGCAGAAGCTCACTGCTGAGCTTTAGGTCTTTTTCACTTGAGCTTACCGCAGACAGCTATCATCAGAATGGCGGAAAACGAGCACAATCCTCTACTCTCCGCACACCCATCATCGGAGTCGAGCTTGCTCATCCACCTTCACCCGCTTGTCTTGTTGACAATCTCAGACTATATCACCAGACATACACTGAGGAATCAGGAGGGTCCGATTGTGGGAGCAATACTTGGACAGCAACACGGCCGCGAAGTTAGCTTAGAGCATGCATTTGAATGTAAGCTAGTCGCAACAGACGACGGCAATGTGATGCTCCATCAAGACTGGTTTGAGGAGAGATTACAGCAATGTAAGTGAATGATTCTCACTTTTTAACTCATTTTCAAGCTTCTCCTCGAATTATTTGATGAATCTAACATCTATTTTGTCTCTCTAGTTAAGGATGTCCACAAACCTCCAGCTCTAGATCTTGCTGGCTGGTTCACTATCACTCCCAAGTCTGGCCCGCAGTCTCACCACCTACCTATCCATCGATACATTTTGCACAAGTATAATGAATCGGCAGTTCTGCTCGCCTTTCATCCGTCGAGTCGAGAGGACGGTCCCGTTGGAGGTAAACTTCCTCTGACCATCTATGAGAGCATATATGAAGGAGACAGTCATGCCACCGCTGGCGGGGAGGCAGGCGACAATGAAATGCAGGTTGAAGGCGAAGATGCCCTCAAGCTGAGGTTTCGCGAGTTACCATATTCTGTGGAAACCGGGGAGGCGGAAATGATCGGGGTCGACTTTGTTGTTAGAGGAGGAGGCGGTGCCGTTGCGGTTGATCCAAGCACAAAGCTCGGATCGAAGAAGGCAAAGGCTGCAGAGAAGAAAACTGATACGGACTCTGTCGTTCTGTCTCCCGAAGACGAAGAATGTAAGCTTTGTTTGAGGACTTCTTGATATACATAATGCATGTGCTAATACCTCGGTAGTAATTGCAACTCTCACTGCTAAAGCAAACGCCACCAGAATGCTGCATTCGAGAATCAAGCTTATCAGAGCATATCTCACTAGCCTCCCTCCATCTTACCTTACTACTGGCGTTGAGTCTACCTCTTCAACGGAAAATGCTGCTCAGCCGACCTCGCCACAGCATTCCGAGATCAACCACACCATTCTACGATCAATACAAGCTCTCCTCCAGCGGCTGCCGCTACTGATACCTGCCAACAGCCAAGCTTTTGAGCAGGAGTCTCTTGCCGAAAAGAATGATGTATCCCTGGTGACGTTGCTTGGAAATTTGAGCAACGGTGCCAAGGACATCAAGGAACTGGGAAGGAAATTTTATGTGAGTACCTGGCTGTCACAAGCCACACTATGGATTTGATACACTATGGCTTGGAGTTAGTTGTCGGTTTTCACTCTGCTAATGCCAATGATACAGCTGATCGATAACCATCGCCAAGCAAGACGTAAGACCGCAGGCGTTCCGGAGGACATGATTCCTATGAGCGCTGGCGGTGCAGGTGCTGGCGCATATGCCAGTCCGACTGCAGACTTTGAGAGGAAAGATGGCTTGAGTTTCAAAGAGTTTGAGCAGCTTTCGGCGATGCAAGCAAGCAAGTAATGTACTTTCATGGAGGTAAAATCCATTTACTCAATTAGGCAAGGGGACACGCATGTGCTAAAACTTCTCGGCATTTTAAGGAGTGCAAACAGTCCAAGAATTTGCTACTGGTTTTGATGAGGTATTTCAAGGCGCACGAGAATAATGAGCTATGGCGTTGATGAGTTTTTCGAGATGTTATTGCATACATACAAACCTTAATCTGAAAATATCCTTTAATGAATTTTTGACACGTGTATTCCGCTTGCGCGTTCTTCCTGGTTGAATGGAGACTCAGGTCTCAGTGACAACCATCTCACATGCAGAAATTGTCTACATACTTTCTAGTGTGGTGAAGAGACGCTGAATATTCATTTGGCTTTGTTTCACGGACTGTAGCCCGATTGAAGCTGACGTGGTTAATATTCTATGGCTCACAATTATGAAGTTATCAAATAGAATGATAAAGGCAGAAAAGCAACTACTAAGGCTTTAGTTAAGCCTGATTGGACCTGAAATACACATACACGTATAGAATTGTATCACCCTGTCGACCGGTAACAACGAAATCTTGCGCCTGTTTACGATTTACTATTGATTCTTTGATGCAGTTGGTATGCAGACGTTAGACATTCGGCACCAACATGCTTCAAGTCCATTCAGATCACCCATATCTCGAAATGGGTCCAATGGCGTACCTTGTTGTAACACTGACTAGTTGGGACTTGGAAGCAACGGTTGACCAAGAGCCTTACGTCTTTTAGTTGATGGTTCAGACCCAAGAAGCACACAATACCTCATAAGTAACAGGGTTTCCCTTCTTGACTTTCCCAATTTGGCCGGCACATATCTCTTTCACCATTGTATTAGATAGCATGAGGAATTGTAGCCTCCAGATCCTTGTGTTCATTGAATCAAAGGAAGCATATAAGCTGGCGGGTCTGCTTCAAATCATGAAAATAAACCCAAATTCTACCAATAACATTGCCACGAAGCTTTCCATAACGAATAGATACAGAATTATCGTCCCAGTCTATTATTGAGATTCGCACTCAGCGTTCTTTGATAGGGCCCTGACTTCTTCCTGGATATTTCTCGAAGAAGCCTTGCTGCATCCGACCAAGAACAGTCTTCCCCTGCCGTTTATGTCATATCCTTTTTCACTCTGATGGGCGAGACACAACAAGAGAAGGTCATAAACCCTCGTCTTTATTGGTTATTTTCTGCTCTCAATTCTGCTCGGGGAGGTGCGAGTAACCAATGGGGTTACCCTTATATTCTTCCAGTAGATGCTCGTCTGGCCAAACAACCTTTCCCGACTTCTTTCCACCCCGAGGAGTACTGTCCTGCTTTTCCATAGTGTGAGTTGCCTCCTTTAGGACAAAATCCTCTTTCCATTAGTGTATCCATGCGATGCCACATGAAACTTCTCTTCTACCTGAGTGTCGGTCTTGAAGGCAAAGGTGCCATGCCAGCCTTTGGGGTCCTCGGTATGCATGCCATCGATGGTAGTTGTATTATGGATGTCAGCTCTAAATCGCCGTCTGGTTAGCACTTAAGAATATGTGTACTGCCTGAAGTATATCTCAGGCACATGGCAATTGACCGAATTAAGGACCAGGACTTACCGAATGAGAATTGCCTTAGGTGCCTGCTGTTGGTCTCGGGCAGTTGCGTAGGCCAGGGAAACTAATGCGCTTTTCCGAGCAGCAGTGATTGTGTTGCCCTCATAGAAATAGTACTTGATAAAATTTACTCCTCCTTTAGCAGCAGCCATGGCTGCAGAACAATGAGTACTTTTGCTCAAGCCAGAGCACAAGATTCAGATAGTACTCGGTATGATGAAGAGAAGACCATCTTGCCCCTTTTATTAATTTATAAACTGTTACCCTGCCAAGCGTTAGCCGTAGGTCACAAATATATCAGCTCATATGCTACGTATATGCAAGATGGTATTTTGGTAAACATTACAGAGCGTCTAGTGGGACTAAATTTAGAGTTGTTCCTGGGGTTGGATAGTTACGGCGCCTAAGTTACCCGAATGAGCTGGGGCAATTCCGCCCTCAGTTCCGCACTCGGGTATACCTGGCCATGACAACGAACAAGAGCCACCACCATTGTTTTAACATGAGGCGCTGCATTAAAATAGCTGCTTCAATCATTCCGGTCTTCTTAACACCGAGCTCGCTTCCAATTTTTGCTTCGATATCACGCCCGCTATCTACTAGTTGCTCTTGGAGACCTGATTTTAGAGTGTTCAAACGGCTGAGCTCCACCTCTAGTCGTTCATCAACAGCAATGTCAAGCGGCGAAGAAGACGCCACGAATCGTCACTACGAGTACAACTGGATTGATGGCGCGGAGAAGCTTGAAAAATATAGACCTGGGGGCTATCATCCCATCATGATTGGGGATGTACTTCACGGACGATACCGCATTGTAGACAAGCTCGGTTTTGGGGGCTATTCGACAGTTTGGCTTGCCCAGGACACTTCACTAAAGCGCTATGTTGCTGTCAAAATCGGCATAGCAAACTCGATTCCACGAGAGACTAATACTCTCCGAGCTCTTTCTGCGCCACTACCACCGTCTTCGTTGAGACATCCGGGGTGCGATTCAATGCCTCTTCCCCTCGATGAGTTTGAGCTGAAAGGTCCCAACGGAACACATGTGTGCTACATAACGGCTCCCGCACGATGCAATCTTAGAGAGGTGTCTTATAGTCGTCTATTCCCTCTAGACGTTACGCGGGCATTATCGGCTGGTCTCACATTAGCTGTTGCATATATGCACTCACGAGGCTATGTTCATGGAGGTTTGTTATGGTGGTCACGGAAACTGTTGATGGTTTGACTGGACTCAGCTAATACTCATCGTGTCTTTATTTAGATATCCATCTCCGCAATGTCTTAGTGAAACTCCCATCAGGTTTTGACCACCTTTCAATTGAGCAACTATATAAAGAATATGGCGAGCCCGAGACAGTCCCCATTACACGATGCGATGGGGAACCGCTTCCGCCAAATGTCCCAGCAAAAGCAGTAATACCACTCTATCTTGGAAAGGATGCGAAAGAGTTCTTACTATCCGACGCGAAGTTGCTTCTGAGTGATTTTGGCGAGGCATTTGCCCCAGACTCGGAGTTTCGTCCGGGAAAAGACTGCCACACGCCGCTACCGGTGCGACCACCAGAGGCTCGATTTGAACCTGACACCCCTCTCTCATATTCAGCGGACATTTGGAGCTTGGCCACAGCGATCTGGGAAATCCTTGGCATGAAGGCCATTTTCTTCAGCGAATTTGTCACCCCGGACGAGTTGGTTGCAGACCACAATGATTTGTTGGGGAGCATGCCTCACAGGTGGTGGGAGCGCTGGGAAGAGAAGAGTCAATTCTTTGACGACAACAGGCGTCCAAGAGAGGGCCGGGAGGTATCGCCACCGATTGATAAGGCGTTCGAGGAGAAGGTGCAGAAGTGGCGACGGAAAACCGGTATGGGCGAGTATGAGAAGGAGGAAACGGCCGCCATTTTAGATTTAATGCGTCGAATGTTGGCATTTGAGCCAGACGAACGACTAACGGCCGAAGAAGTTTTACAGTCGGAGTGGATGACCAAGTGGGCATTGCCTGATCTTGAACGAAGCTTGCAAATGGAGTAGATGACCGCCTTGTAATCCTGGGACTGGTCTTAGGGGTTGTGACGAGAATTGGAGTCGAAGCACGCTCTGGATGGAGACGTCCATGTCTTCATCGATTGAGAATACATGGTGGGAAATCATTGTCAGATGTTAGCATTGCTATTCTGCAAGCATCTACGTCCTGGGAATTCGGGGCAGATCTGTGCAATACATGCAATGCGCTGTATTTTGTCCTTTTACTTGGTCGATTTGGCTTAGGACGTTGCTATGACCGGGTGGACGAGTCATGGGATGGTCGGGCTGAGCTCTGTACGTGGACTACAAAAAGGATTGTCAAGGTGAAGGGGACGAGCTTAGCTAGGGACTCTTCCAGGTGCAGTAAGCCATTCAATACATTGATTTAGGGCTTGACTATGATCGTGTTGCATGACCAGGCTAGAGTCGTCTCTGGTCGCAGCTTTGCCTTCCTCTTGAAAATATCGTAGATTGAATCTGATAAAGGAAGCAAACATCGATATCAGTTTCTGGCTCCATAAAACGTGAGCCCGGATACGTCTGTATGCATAGGCTCTTCACAATATCTAATCGGGGAACGTTGATGCAACACAACCTAAATGGCACGCTTTCCCGAAGGTCCTGACAGCCTTCGGTATCAATTGCCGATGGCCTCGTGTCTCAGCTCAGATTACCCGGTCACTCGAGCGAGGCCATTTTCAAATGAAAAGAAGAAGGAGAGAGAATAAAGAAAATTAGCTCTCTGTTTATGCTGGACTGCCTGCTGCCAGTGGCCGAGGCCATCAAGGACATGGTTAACGGCCGGACAGCACATAGAAGCTTGGCACTCCGAATTACGCTGTTATTAACCGGAACGTAGGCACCGGGATTTTTGTTCTTCTGACACCGTTGTAGCTATCTAAATGAAAATACGGAATTTGCAACTTGCGGCAGCGAGACCGAAATGAATCAAGCGGTGCGAATCTCTTACCTGTCAGGGCTATGACGCTGTCACGTCAACGAGTACTCTGCGTAGTCTGATGGAGCAAAAAGTGTCATAGAGCTCGCTTAAACAGGCACTAAGGGCTTCTGATGCCCGAAAGTGGCAAGTTCCAGAAATTCCAGGGACGCGGGAAGAGTACCCGTTATCCGGGGAAATAATTCCGTCACACGACCAATTTATATGCAGGAACCGCGAGAAAATCCCCTTGTTGCTTACTGTAGTGCTTATCCGACCGGCTGAAATGCAATAGAAATTCTTCATAATGCAAATGAAATTGTGTTCTTGTGTTTTCGAAAAGATTCTCTTTCATGAAAGCGAAGATGGAAAACTCTGATCAGAGAATCAATTGCTTGAAATTCGCTCATAGCGCCATCCATGTCCAATCGGCGTAGACGGTTCTCGTCGGGGTGAGTGTGCCGGGCCGGGCGAGGGCGCGGCTACATTCGGCAGCAACCTCCGAGAGCCCGGATCAACAGATAATCCGCGCTTATCGAGGCCTTATCAAACCAGTCACACACACCGCCAAGGCAATCCTCCTAAACTAATTTCCACCCCTCCCTTTTCAAACCCCCTCTCTCCATTCCTTACTCACGCCAATTTTATACTGTCATAGATATGGCTGCCCACTCCTTCGTTTTCTATTCCCTTTTCATCTAATCGTCACCATCGAGTCTGTCTACACATCATTGCTACGATACAGCAATCACAATGGGTACGGCTGTCAAGGCAAAGGCCGGAGGAGCCGTGCGAGTTGTCTTGACCCGCACCCACCAGCGGCCTTCTTCTCGGGAATCCTACCCGCCTGCTCAGCCTCCCCATCATTATCAGGCACCAAAGAGATCCTACGTGTCTTATGAGCGCAGCGGCTGCTCGATGCAGCCAGGCTCGCACACTCTTTACGATTTCACCTCTCGATCTTCTCCTTATCGTCGTCAGATGCTGCCATTGACGATTGAACAATCCCTCCAAATGCTGTCCCGCCGCAGCCTTCTCAGTCTCCGCTTCAGCGCTGGCCGCTGTGTTCGTGGCAATCGCAAATATTCCACGGAAGTGAACAATCATTCGACCTCTTCTTCTCCTTCTTCTGCGTCCTCTCTTCCTCCTGGCATGGGAACCAAGCCGTTTACCGCGCCGCCGCCATTCTCTCATGAAAACCACCCTGCTGCAACGACGCCATCCGGCTCTGGTACATCTTCCGGCAACAGCACAGTGTCGATCAACGCTGCTGGTCCCCCGCCACCTCCGCCTGCGCCACGAACTACGACGGCTTCAATCGTGCCAGAACCTGCACCAAAACTCCCTCCAGCAAAGCGGAAGACCATTGTTCGTCGATTAGTCGCCGAGCCGTTTGGGTCGTTTCACAAGGGCTACTCTGCAGCCAACCACCGGCGGCCATACATTACACAACTGTGCACCGCCATTGTCACCTACTTTCTTGGAGACCTCGCCGCGCAGTCAATTGAGTACTATTACCTACCCAGAGAGATCACGGGTGCAGGTGCCGCCGCCGCAGCCACCGAGGGTGCAAAGGCCGATGGACAATCTGACAAACAATCCTTTTACGATCCCGCACGGGCACTGCGAGCCATGGTGACGGGTGCCATTACCGCTATTCCGCTTTACCACTGGTACATTTATCTCGGGCGAAACTTTAACCACCGAACGAGCTTCAAGATTTCCATTGCCTACAAGATTCTCGTCAGCCAGCTTGTCTTTACGCCCTTTTTCAACGCCTACTTTTTCGGCATGCAGTCCCTCTTATCGCATGTCTTTCGTTCGCCTCATTATTACCAACATCACCACCATCATGCGGCCGCTGCAAGCGGCGGTGCAGCCGGCAGTAGTGGTAATGGCAGCGGCAGCGGGAGTGGTAACAACGGTTTCGGAAGCCTAGGCGCCAAATTCTCCGAAGCATGGACACACATCAAAAACACCGTCCCGACAAGTTTCGTCAATAGTCAAAAGTTTTGGCCGCTCGTTACGGCAATCAATTACACTTTTCTCGATCCCCATCTGCGCCCCCTCTTTGCCAACACCATGGCTATCGGCTGGCAGGCGTACCTGTGCTTGCTGAACCAGCGAGCCACGCTGGTCGAGGAGCGAGAAGAGGAATTGGAGGAGAAGACTGCCAAGGATACCGAGCCCCATGGCCTAGCTGCCGTGCACTGGATGCATGCCAAGCAGAAGGATGCGACTGCGGCGTAGTCCGTTATATCTCAGTCTTCTGTTTACCCGGTCATTCTATTGATATCTCGGCGGTCTTTCATTCTGTCTATCCATTATATCTCGGTTTTCTGTCTACCCGGTTATTCTATTGACATCCCGGCTTTTCGGTTTATCCAGTCTGGTCATTGATATCTCCCTTATTCTACCCATTCCTCGTATACTCATATGACCAAGGTATGGTCAGATTCGATCAGCAGGAGAATACAGAGACGGACGGACCACAAAAAGAGCAAAAGTTTTTGAATTTTCATATTCAACAGATACATTTACACATACACATACACGTACAGGTCTATACCTTATAAATAGATGTATAGATGTTAGATTCTGTAGACTTCACAAAGGTTCTACGGAAATTAGATACCCAATATCATATCAAGATTACCTTTTTTCTTATTTATTTGATTTATTTGATTTATTTATTTTATTTTTATTTATTTATTTATTCATTCATTTATCTGATATCTAGTTTTGTTTGTGTGTGAATTTTTGTGTTATTTGTGTGTGATTTGTTTTGTGTACAGAGGTATCGACGTCTCGTCCTGGCTCCCTCAGTGTGTAGGAGTTGCAAGTTGCAACTTATGAAGCGGTCTGGGGGTCTACCGTCTTGAGTTGCTTCAATTTGGCCTCACTGAGTTCGGAGTTCCCCTTTCATTCATTTATTTCAGGTAGTTTTATTTAGTTTTATTTGTTTTGTGTACACTGTACAGTTATATCACATGCTTTTTATTTTTTCCCTCAGTTTTCTCCCTTTTCTCATTGTTGTTGTTGTTGTTGTCGTAGTCCTTTTCCCTTCATTTTCTCCCTATTGTCGGAAATTCGTAGATTGGTAGCCTTGTACTTCGTAGAATCGTAGACTCTAGACTCATAAATTCATAAATCCATAGTCCATCCCCCCACGGTCCACCGTTTTTGTTCGGGGCGCGGGAGGAAGAGTCAAGAAGGGGAAAAGGGAAGGGGAAGGGGGTAACGGGGGAAATCCGCTGTGACTCTGTCTTCATTGCGTCAACGTCCTAGAAAGTTGAAACACTTGGATCATCATATATCCATTGATTCATTGATTCATTCAGATGTACTGTTTACTGTTCACTATTTACTGTATATACTGCATTTACTATACGTACTATACGAATACAACACTGTGGAATATATACACGGTACACTCTTTTTTCCCCTTTATATACCTAGTACCCTAGTTACCTAGGTACTATTAATCTATCATTGAATCTGGTTTTCTGTGTATGACAGTATGGCTTTGCTGCTCTTGGTACAATTTAGACTTTCTTTCCTTGTCTTTATTCTTGCCATTGAGTTTGTCCTCGAGTTTGCCCTTTGCTCACAAATTCACAACACTTTCTCGAACAAGGCCCTTTCTAGAGTCCTTGTTGTAGTCATCGTGTAACTGTCTGTACAATTTACAAAATACAAAATACAAAATACAAGGTATAAAATATAAAATACAAAATACAGTATCTCCTAGCCTTCTTCGGTGCGTCATCCATTGGGATACAGGAGAGACGAATATAGTATACATCTTATATCACTGGACCGAGGGTCCAAGTGATACATCACACTGCCAATTGTCAATGTGGTTGCCATCCAATGTGTCCTTTCTTTTTTGTTTACTTGTTTGTAGGTATGACACAGATGTGTGGACTGGGAAGGGGAAAATAAAGGAATGGGAAAAGAGAACAAAAAATAAAAAGAATGAGCAAATAAACAAATAAAAAAAATGAAATAAAATAACAAACCTTCCTTCAAGGAGAACCTCAAAAGGAAGAATGAATGAATGAATAAATGAATAAATGAAGGAAGGAAGGAAGGAAGGAAGGAAGGAAGGAAGGAAGGAAGGAAGGAAGGAAGGAAGGAAGAAAGGAATAATATTAAAAAATAATATTAAATAAAGATAAAATCAAGTAAAAAAATATAAATACAAAACCTTTTTCCTTTTCCCCACGGTCCCCACCTAATAAGAACAAACTCAAATAGAGAAAAGGAAAGAAAGAAAGAAAGAAAGAATAAGAGAAAAGGAGAATGGAAAATGATAAAATAAAACAAGATAAAATAGAATAAAACAGAAAAAAATAAATTAAAATAGAACGAATCAAATTAAAAATAAGAAAAAAAAAAAAAAATACAAAAAGAGCAAAGTGGCAGACAGTAAATAACTAATGCGTCGTACCTTATGAACCGCTATCAGGAAAGCCGGGATCACCAGGATCAGGATCAGCAGGAGGAGGATGAGGATGGGCAGCAGGAAGAGGGATGCCGGCAGGACTAACACCGCCTCCGTGAGAAATACTACCACCACCACTGCGACCCCTCCCTAGAACGGTACTAGGAACACTTCCAGGAACACCAGGACTAGAAAAACTACATCGAAGAACACTGCCAGGAACGCTAGTATGAGGAGCCCCATGACCACTGGCTTCCCGCGCAGCGCGGAGTCGTTCGCGCCACAATTCGCGCCCTTTGCCTTCTGGCTCAGTGCCGCAGTAGCGCCCTTGCTCGTCTTTGGCCCAATATTTCAAGTATTCTCCCCTGGTCATCTGGACGATTTGATATTTCTTTTCCCGTGCCTTTTTCTGGTTTGGGTGTATGAGACTTGGGATAGTCTTGGTGTTGCTGTTACTGGTGCCGCCGCCGCTCCTCTTCCACCATCCCGTGCGGCGGGTCTTGGATTCTGTGACTTCGGGAGACGATATCGCCGGGGTGGGAGAGGTAAGTGGGTTTTGCGGCGTTGAGATGATGTTAGGTCCACTCGCACCGAGTGCGTTACTGGGGATAGTACCGGGGACAGTAGGAGTGTTCATCATGTTGACGCTGACTCCTTTATTGTTATACACATCACTTCCGCCGATGCCGGTGCTTCCGCTTCCACCTAAACCTGATCGCGCAGTTGGATGACTCCATCTGCGACTGCGAGCCTCATTTGCAGGCTTATCATCATCGTCCTCATCAGCGCCGTCTATGCCTAAAGCAGAAGAGGTAGATGTCGACGCTGTAGTCAAAAGAGTCAATAGGGCAAGTGATTTCTGATCTTTTGGTACGGCGCTGAGCATACCGCCTGTGCCTCCTAAGCCACCAGCAACAGATGATTCCAGGACAGTCGCTGCACTGGACGATGCGGTCATGGGTTTGTGCACAATTGAGCGGGCGACATTGAAGAATTTGTCCACAAAAGATGTGGCTAGTGCGCGGCGGGGAGAAGCAGTCACTGCTTCTTGTTGCTGTAGGGCTTGTTGCTGGAGGAGCGCACTAGATTCTGCTGGTTCAAAAGCAGGTTGTTGCTCAAATGCATTTGCTGGATTTATACCACCTCCTGATGCTCGTCCTCCAGCTTGTTGACCGCCACGAGATCTGCTGCTTGAAGTGTTGCCACTACCACTACCACTGCCCGTGTCCTCTGTCTGTTCTGTCTGATCTGTAGAGGAGGAGGATGGAGGAGATTCAGATTGGTCATAGTTGTCATTGTCATTGGCATTGAGATTATCAGTGTCCATGCCACTCGCGCTGGAATCCCCCCGGGCAAACTGATCGAGACTACCGCCTTGACCACTCCCGCCAGCACCGCGGTTATCTGCAACACGATGACGACCAGTGCGCAGATCTTCATCGTGAGTCACTGATGGAAAGGCCTCGTCGGTGAAATCATCATCCTCATCAATTGGAATGGGGACCATGATTTTGTCCGAATCCCGAAATTTCCATGGTAGTAATTGCGGTGCTTGCGCAGTGAACCCTGAAGGAAGATTGGAGAGCGCCGAAAACGGCGCCTGTTTGGGCATGCTACATTCATATTTATGTGTTAGACATATATTGGTTGTTCCATAAGTGTGCAAAGCTTGATGGCGCAATAGAAAGCAGGCTGCGGAGTTGCTCAACGAGGACATACGGTCTTCCAGTTGCAGTGAATCTCTGCATACCTCCGTCAGAGTATGCATTTGCGATGCTCTGATCCGGAGATGGGAACCCGGCACTTCCGGATCGTCGTCCGGGCCCGGATTGAGGGAAACTCGACGTTGACATATTTTCTTTCGGATGCTTATTTGTTTTCTGCTGATTCATTTTAGAGATAAATGTCTATACCGCCTACTCCTTCTTTCATGAATCATACATGGATCTCTGTACCCGTATAGTCCAGTCAGCACATGTTCAAACAAAAGATCCAAGAGCATCCAAAAATATATAATCTTAGATATCGCCCGTACAATGACCACAACAAGCGGAGATTGCCCAAGAGCCAATTTACAAAAAAATCTTGTTGTATCGGATGAGAGCATCAACACGTATAGACTTTAATAAGGAACGTGATGAGTGGTTGAAGAAATATGCAAAAAGTAATCAGAAGACTGCAAGCTCTCAGACTCCATCGACAAAACGCTGAAAAGAATTTCCTCTTCCCATTTGAAAGGTGAAACGAAGCAATAATCCCAGAACGCATACAAAGTAACGGTAGAATTTAGCACACGCAGTCAGCTTACCTAGGCAGTCAGAGCTATCAGATCGATGTCCTAATATGCACTACCCTTTGGAACAAACCCTTGTCACAATGTACAATTACACGAAAGTGGAATATTGATTTCAATCCAACTTTCGATTGAGAGATTTGGACGATGGGACAACGTGTTGAAGCTAAACTACGTCGGATATTGGCCGTTGAATATCTCGATTGGAAATAGTTCGTGCATCATTCTCAACGTCAAGTAGGATGAGACACTGAGATGAATATAGGCGGGATTCGATAGTACAAGGTGAGATGAGATGGAAATATGATGAAATTAGAGATTGAAAGATGATGAAAGAAAGATAGAATTGAACTTCTAGGCAGTCCGTAACGGGGTTGCATCTCGATGTGGTCTCTCATATAATTGACGGGATGTCACGATACCTGCCTACCTGGATAGGGCAACTTTTAAGGTTTCGCGTCCGAACAGCAGCTTAATTCAAGTGGCCACACGCGCAAAAGAGATCATGACGCACTGTAGCCAAGGTAGGTACTTATGAACTGATGCAATGTTATTATAGTCATGTGATATTGTTGTATTCCATCCCATTATATTTACTCCAAATCTAACCATGAGCGACATGATCAGTCCTTCCCTTGTCCCTGTGTCCCTGTATCCTTGATACCTGTCCACACCAATCCGATTATATCTAGCCCAGAAAGTACCGAATACCTGGTATCCAACATATAAAACAAAAATCCCCCAGCGAGGGAAAATGGGGATCAATGGCATATCCAAACACAATGTGGATAGCCCAAGGGAAGAATGCAAATAGAAAAGTTCTACAGGAGGTATATACAGCTCGCGAAAGCGATCCCCCAGTCTATAGAGAGAAGTTCCCACCGCCATTGCCATAGGTATGCCCATTAAGAGAACGAACAATGACCTGATGATTCCACGAGGCAAATCAAGGAGGGGCGAATAGCAAACGAACATGTGGCGCTTTCCCGCTGTTAGCCTCGCTGCTAATATCGGTCGCAACGTGGGAGTATAGGCCATGTGCTCGAAACAGTCCGCAAAGAAGAAAAAGAAGAAGAAAAAAAAAAGAGGGGTTTGTAAGAGCCAGATGCTTTACAGCCTAAGCCCACTTGCCGAGCAAAGCCATGATACCGGCTCCAAGCAAGACGCAAATGACCATAAAAGTTAGCTGCCGGTTATCGCGAGTGCGATAGGGGTTGAAGAGGAAATCACGAGCCAGCAGCTCGACGAAGCCAGTGTAGATGAGAATACCGGCAGAGATGGAGTCGAGAACGCCTGAAACAACGTTGGCCGTATAGGACTCGGGGTTGTACGTCGTCCTGACGCCGAGACCAATGGCAATGGCGATGGGAGTGGTGACACCATATGCGAGGCAGAGCAACCAGGGCATAATGCTGCGCTTAGGAAAGGGAATGGCAGAGAGTCGCGAGCCGATACCAAGACCTTCAAAGGCTTGGTGAAACACGATGACGGGATACAAGGTTTTGAATTCATCGCCAGCGACACCGAGATTGAGACCGATGATGACGGAGTGGAACAGTACGCCAAATTCGAGAATGTAAAATGCCGCAATTTGCTGCCTGTACAAGAGACGGGCGCTTTCTTCATCTTCCTCTTCGACATCCGTGTCGACGCCGCCCAGCTTCTCCTTGGTAGGAGTTGGTGGAGCTTCCATGTCGGAGCGAGTTGAGTGTGGGTGAATGTCGGTTTCCGCAGAAGCTTGAATGGTTGCATTGCCCGTGACAGCACTCTCGATATTCACATGCTCATGAACCCCGTACTTGACCTCGACGAAGCGCTCCGCAGCAAAGTCAAGCAAAAAAGTAAAGACGGCAGAAGTCAATGCAATGGCGGGCGGCCAGCTGTAGACGGCCCAGTTGCCTGTCATGCCAACACAGCTGGCTGGTCCAATCTCCTCATAGGCAGGGTCGAGCAAATGGATGAAAGCCGTGGCCACGATGACGCCCGAACCAAAATAACGAGCAAACAGATAGACATAGAGAGGAATACGCAACCATCGAACCTTTTTGGCGATGACAGGAAAGAAGGTCGTGGCGGTGGACGTGATCAGTATGACAAAGAGGGCTGAAATGCGGGCCCCGAGATGGCCGTTATATTCATTACCGCCCTTGTTGATGTAGCAGACGATCTGCGCCGGGTCGGCGTCGTTGAGGTTGACGCTATTGGGATCGAAGTCGAAGTGAGCCATCTTGAATGTATCCTTAACTTAATATGGATATATAAGGTATATCGAGTCTGGCTTTTACTCCAGCCTGGCCCAACTGCAGACGAAGCGTGCTTCTTGCTTCCGCCGTTCGTTGATAGTGGAAGATTTCTCTGAGGAGAGGAAAATATTTTTTTCTTCTTGGTTCACGCGAGGGAATCAGGCGGTTTTTCAATTACATGCAGAACGACGATTGACCAGGGTATTAATGAAGCCACATGGGAGAAGTGGAGAAAAGAGAAAAAGGAAGAAAAAATCAAATGCGAGTGGAAAAATTAATACGGGGGGAACCCGGTGGGAAGACGAAGAGAAGACGGACGGGTGGGGAGGAAGAGTTGGTGTGAGGGAGATGAGGGAGACCATCCGAATCAGGCCTTAAATGTGAGTCCCTTGGTGGTGAGGAGGATAATCATCATGATTGAATCGGTGGTTGGTGGTGCTTGAAGATGCCCCATGCCTTGTACCCTGTCTCGTAAATTGGGTGGAGAGAGACTTGGGCAAACAGAAAACTCAGCGACAGAAGTGGGGCCAGAAGCCACACACATCCACAAAACACTCCATGGTAACTTCAGGCTAGAGAGAAAACAAATATCTGATTTCTTCATTGAAGGAACTTTTGATCCATGTGTTCTTACAGAAAAAAAAAAAAAAAAAAAAACCCTTTTTCCAATCATCAATTCACGACTCTGATACTTTTTTTGCAGGCCACATCTCCAACTCAATCAACAGCACTCCCTAACCACTCTCGTTGCGGCAGGTCGTGTATGCATGCAGCCCAGCCAGGTCCTCCCGAGGTCCTCAAAAAAGGAAAGCGCTTCTCAGCATTAGCGAGCACCCAGTGTGAGCGGGCTCGGAACCGAGCCGCGACGGAGCATTTGCCTCTTCGATCGGAACAGACCAACACACCACCATACTTCGTGTACCATCCGATGCGTAGCACGAACATTTACTCTCCCTCGTGGTCTCCGCCAAAGATGTTCATAAGGTAGTTAAACCTTAGGGATTGTGTACAGAGGTGTACGTCCTGATCACACTAGTCCACACGCGCGCCTCATGGCTTAGACAAGCTGCTTTAGCACGTTTTCTATAGCAGATAGTGGGGGCTGACATTGGCCGCTCGAAAGAAGCTTTCGCTATACATGACCTCTGATTCGACCATTTTCACACCCCTGGGCACCGCTTCGTAGCCAACAAGGGACCCTAACCTTGTAACAGAAAATTTCTGCAAGAGAAATACTCATTATTATGCAAAGCTTTTGCCGCCTTTCGAGCGGGGACCGGTAGCTGGTCTCGGAGACAGCCCCGATTCCAGCAGCACGGTTCATGACCTTATTGTCCGACGCCATCACTTAAACAAAAGTATCATCGACCGATTGGGTGATTTTACGAAGCCTGGCCCTGCAGAGCTTTTGCAGTACTACTTGGAATACAGAATTTGAACCTTGCCGTCTTTGACAAACTTTTATGACCCACGCCGGTAATTAACTTATGCTAATGTGTAATAGTCCGTGGATACCTTGCCAATACTACACCCTTGCAATAGCTTGACATCAAAAACGAGTCTTGGCTTGGTGGGTATTGAGTTGGTCGTGTCAAATGATAATGTTCCGGAATTCTGGCTCAAATCTGAGGTTCTATCATGCTTCCAAATCAGTTACATTGCAGCACAGATGAGCTGAAGACAAGCGATGCCCTGGGCATCGCAACCCAGGGATCCCCGAACCACCAAGGTACCCGCGCTAACCGAACAACTTAGGCCGTCCTTTCTGCGTTTCCTTCTCTTCTTCTTGTCTATCTTGTCCCGCCTCGGGCAAGTAACCTTGACTTTCCTGCGGTCCTCTCTGTTGGTCTTACTAAGAGAATCTCTCTAATTGGTGAATGCTGGCTCTGTGGTTCTTGTCAATTTGACAAATGAAACGAATCATTCAATAATGACGATATGCTCCATGCCACCGGTATAGTACTGCTATGCCTCATCATGATACTTTGTCTCCATTCCACACTCCTGGGATGATTGGAACGACTAGTGTGCCTGTCAAAAAAAAAATGTCTAAACTCCCATCCCTCCGTACCAATGTCAAATTTCATTTCTCAAATTTCAAACAAAGACTATGTGTTGAACCGACCACGGGAGCAGGAAACATTCTCATATTTGAAAAATCACGCTATTCGTGTTGCTTAGTAGGGCAACGAACTGTATGTGTCGAGCGCAAAGTTGTCCAGACTGCTAGCTTCTGTAACAATCAAGGCCCCATCGACCCCTCTTTTCCCGTCTTTTGCCATCTGCCGGAGACCCTCGGGGTCAATAAAAACAGGCCGCAAATTTTTTCCGCGTGCTGGCATGCCCAACGCCCCGCTTCTGAATCCATAGTCTGCTAGAATCTCCACCGACGCGGAAAATCTCTTCCCTGACAGAGTGTTGACAATTAGGGCAAGGTCGATTTGCCTCGGCATGCCACTCTTGGAAATTTCATTCTCCTTGATCGTGAAGACAATCGTGGCTGCCGGCTCTCCGTATGTGACACCATGAATGACTAATCTGTTTTCTTTGGTCAACGCTTTTTTTCGATTGTATCCAGCGCCTGCGCTCGCAATGCCGGGCATTGAAGCTGCTTGTGCAGATGCCTCAAGAGTATGCTCAATAGAAGCCGTGGAAACAGGACCCTCATAGAGCTTAGGATAGAATTTCACAACCGATGGATGGGCATTAGATGCCATACTTTGATCTATGGGTGCGTCCTCGAATGTAATGGTCACCCTTGCCTTGCGAATTCGATGCATCCAGCTGTCTGATGTTCGCTGAAAAGTTAAATGAAATCGAAGCAGCACAGCCGTCAAACCGTTGAATGTTCCCAATTGGAGGGGTCGTTCGAGCTTTGCCTGGACTCGGGTGCTGCGAACTTCGTCGACCATGACAGCGAGCGGGACTGAGTCTACGGGCCCACTGGGGCCAACAATGACAGGAGAGACGAATGGTGAACTGACGGATTTCGGCCCTTTTGGGCCCAGAAAGATGCCATGTCTTCTTTCCTGAACCTTTTCGATATCTAGAGGGATAGACCAAGAAAAAGGATCGTCAAAATCGCTATCGTTGTAGGTATTGGTATCGACGCCGACATTATTAACCTCAGTATTCTCAGTCGTTTCGTCCATGACCTCTGCACCAATGCTAGTGTGAACGTCTCGCTTTCCAGAAAGGTAATCTTGTGAATCACACATTTTTCTTCTCATTGAACGACTGAAATGCTTTCCTGTCGTGAACCGCTAATCCTGCGGAATACTTGCAAGATTGATTGATATCCGGCAATTAGAGGCTATAGCACATTCTCGAGTGAGATGCCACTTGAGGGGGAGGGGATGACAGGAAAAGACATAGAGTTACATGTTAAGGCGCATAATGGAAGAAGCAGCATTCAGGTATACTTTTGTACATGCTGGAATTCCAAGCCATGATAGGCAGCCACACTCGCACGGGAGGTCTGCCTGCGACGTGCAAGGTCATGGCGCTTCTAGACCGAGCGTTACAATCTGAGTCAGGCAACCCCATTGGTAGCACGCGCGATGTGCATAACATGGCTGATCCCAAAGCTGACACAAAAAGCAGAGGCAAGTTCAGACGCAAAAACGAAGCAGAAACTTTGCAGATTGTGATGCTATAAATTGATTGTATAGTTTTCAAAAAAGCAACACATAGAGTCGATGATTCAGGGGGCTCGGAGTGCATGGCCGACCCCACCGCACAGATAAGCGACGAGTGAACTGGAGTACTCGCTCAGCGAGGCGACCAAGACGGGGAACGAACGAAGCCAGGGAGCTCCGGCTTGTCTCCTCACTAAACTTATAAGGGACCTATAGCTCTCTAAGGTAATCCTCCCTCAGCTTTCCCGATGTACTGCCACTGACAAAAGGACTTCAACTAGACGAAAAGCTGATTGCTACTCTCAACCCCAATTGGTTCAGAACTTCAGATGGAACGAGCCTTGGCTTGGCAGCTCCTCTTCACGCATGTTCAGCCTTGGCGCAAATGATAGGATATCTTTGTATCCCGCCCCTTTCCTGACCATGCAGCTGTTCGAATCCGGTCCTCCTCGTGGCTGGGTAATCAGGACACTGAGGGGTCTCCGATGGTCATGTCACGTTCACATTGGGGCTTACCATTTCACCAGAGGTCATCACCGGCTTTTCACTTTGCCTTATTTGCTCAACTTCAATAATGCCAAGCTCGATGTGACTGGCCATGCCTGAGCATTGATCGGGAGCCATTAAGGGCTGATAATGTAATAAAGGCCAACTGACCCTGTGAAGCAACGTCAAAGTTCTGCTGCTTGATTTCAAAAGTTGGGCCCCTCAATAAGTTGCCAACAAGCCTGCAACTCTCTGTCGAGAGAAATCATTGTTCTTTTCAGTCACCTGTATTTGCTTCTCATGCATTTTGTTTGAACCTTTGCGCAACTTACCGTCTAGCGTCTTGTGTCAGGTAAAACCCACTTGTATTCATAGGCCACTGCGCCGAGCAGGCTAGGAAATCAAGTAGATTCTGTTTTTTTAAATGTCTTATTATGGAGCAAGTTTCGAGTTTACGACACTACACCGGCGTTCACACTTCGCTGTATGGGAGCCTAGACACAGCCTCAATTGCAAATCTCGAAAAGGCCATCCTTTTCACAGAGATTGGGCACTATGCTCAGGCACATGCGATATTTGAGACCGGTTTCCTTACCACTCGGAGTGTTCCTGTGGTAGTAATAGAAGAGGCGGAACTGGCGATGCAACAGCTCCATTATGGAGAGGTTTATAGAATTTTGGGACGAGGACTACAGGCAGCACAAAGGTCGCCAGGCTATGATGTCAACGAACCGGCCTTGCGTTTCATGAGCTTGTTCCAAGCCATGGCTGCAATCCACTATAAAGGAACTGTAACCCCAGCTATTGAGCAGATTCATCGGACCCAGCAATGGCTCAAGGACGTTCCAGTATCCGAATATACAGACATCCAGGTTTGTATGTCATGTGAGAACGTTGCGGGTTTGAGCTGACCTTTCCTTGCATTCAAGGTCGACGTAATCAGAAAATATGTGCTTACGGTTTTGCTTGTTTCCATGTACTCTCATTTTGACGAGCCGGAAACATCTCTCATCCCCAAGCCCACGGAACGACGTATTCCATGGCAAGGCCTGACTGACCTGCGAATCTCTCTACTAAACCGCAACATGCTGAATGAAGTATTGTCACTGTTCCGAGTTGAGCGAAGCCGTCTCCCAATAGCAGAGAGAGCAGGGGCTATTCAATCTGTCCTAGAAAGAACAGAGTCCCTCTCATTTCAGTCCGATGAACAGCGGCTATGGATGCAAGCAGATCTGAAACTACTTCTAGCTTTCTCTGTCAACGAGCTTGGGAACGTGGAAAGAGCCAAACTCGAATTAGATAAAGCTGATCAATTGTTGAAAACTTGGAGTCAATTGGCGGGTATCGAGAGCGCAGATACGCTGAGCACATCTCTCAGTATCCGATTCTATCGCATGGAAGTCTCTCCCGAAGAGGAACCTATCGGCTATCTAAACCAGTGCCTTAGCATGCTAGATGTCCTACAGACAGCTGGCCATCTGCGCCTTGTGACCTGTTTTCATCGAGCCACAGAAGCAGCCGACAAGGTTGCGCTTTTGACTGGATCTAAAGGTTATCGAGACCTCTATTATCAATTGCATGAGGCAAGACAAACTCACCAGGAGACTGTCTTGGAGGATATTTCAGGGATGCTTTTTGACCATGCTGACATTGTCTGTGACGCATTAAAAAGTACGGTCAGCATCCGTAAAACCATCGAATGGCTGGATGGATTTGAGGCAAAATACCCTGCGTTTGAGCTGCCATCTGGACTCTTAGAGATCCAACGTCATCGTAGCCGGCTTCATTGGAGGCTCGGTGACGAAGCAAAAAGGGCAGAAGCACAAGAGAAATTAGACGTCTTAAAAAAACAAGGGCCGCGAAGGATTGGTCCCATGGTTGGAGTGCGCTCAACTCAAATTACAGAATCCATCGATTCCTCTGCTGCTAGTGCTTCGCACGCGTCGAAGCCGCCCGCTTACGACCCCGACGATGTTGAAGAGGCAAATTTCTTTATGGAGTGGGTTGATGTCGAAGGCACAAAAGACAGAAAAAACAGCAAAATAATGACGCTATTGTGTCGATGGCTTCTAGAGGACTTTTCTCACAAAGTGATTTCAGAGAACGAATTGCGTCAGATCAGCCAGCTTCTCTTACGTGACGAAGAAACTGAAGATGACATAGGATCCAGGGATGCAAATGGAATTATTCAGCTAATTGCATCTCTCTTGCCAATGTCAGCGTATCGGAGTCTTTTCACACCCGGCGGACATCTTCCGGACTTTGACTCTTGGACTCACAGCCTCGAAAAACTTGAGGCATGGCTGCGGCGTCCCTCATCGTCATCATCATTCAATGGCCGCCAATATCTCTTCTTTTCGCTGCAGGATCTGCGCAAAGACCTTGTCTATGCAAGTACGCATTCGCTAGCTACGAAAATCTCTGAGGTTGAGAGATGTATGGATATACTCCCCAAGTTGCCAAAAGCTGTTCAAGAATTGATCGGCAATCGACCGTCATTATGGCATGCTGCTATTGCCAGTGCGTCAATCATCAGTCTTTGCACTCCCGATCGCTTTGTCAACATTGACGCTTTTAAGAGCGAAGAGACTGGACAAATTCTGGATAGGGCCGAGCTGGAGGCCCAGAAAGCCATTCGTATGGAAGAGGATAGTGGTCATATATACGCTTTGGTGATATGCCAGCGGACTCTAGCAGAGATCTATCTCCTCAAGATGCATCATTTGCTGTTGGATCCAGTGCATAAGTCACAACTGGACGACAAGCTCACTGAATTGATGGAAAAAGGACTGGCAGAACTTGAAAAAGTTCAAGCTTATCAAGAACAGTGCCTGTTGGACTTTACAATGTCGGACAAGCTTGAGTCGCACAATTCTAGGGAGCGAGAGTTCGCTTTTGGTCTAAGCCATCGTGCTCTGGCATTAGCTTTGCATCTTCTCTTAACTGGAAATTTGCTGAGGTCACCACCTGTCAGACCAGATGACAAGCTCGTTGAAAGGATGTGGCACTGGGTACAGCGGTCTAAAGCCCAATCTTTGGCGCGCACCATGGGCCTGAGGAATGTTGTACCGTCCAGCATCCTCAAGGACATTCGAGCATCGGAGGAATGCAATCACCTATATACTGAAATGATTGAGCTTCAAGAGACGATTGTGCGGAGTAATTTGCACGAGCGATATAACCTACGACGTCGCTTGGAAGCTCATATAGACACAATGAAACAGAATGCAACGCTCAAGCAGCTTCTGGGCATTCAACTAGGCGAAGCACTTTCATATGATGATATTGAGAAGATATCTGCGGCCAGTGATTCACCTGTTGTCTTTGTTGATTGGCTGTTTCTACCGGGATACGCCTCACTGGGGAAGATTCTGCTATTTACGGCTGCAGCAGGCCGCCCTCCTACCATTGACTTAGTCTCCGTGGGAATGGAAGTCGTAGAGGAATGGGTCAGGGATTATCTCGAGGATGAAGAGCCGGACGATTTTGGTCTCCTGCCATTGGAGACTTCGTTTGGACGGGCCGAATCGATGGCACGTTTGAACAACCTCGTCGGGCCACTCAGCCACAGAACTCGATCAGGGGACTTGCTGATCTTTTCGCCGTCGTCGTCTCTATACCGTGTTCCATTGCATGCACTCCAAGTTCCGAGCACAGAGGGACCTCAAAAACAAGCAATTATCCGCCGAAATCCAATCGTGTACAGTCATAGCCACTCAATCCTTCGTCCCTGCTTTTGGGCATCTCAACTGGCCGCTGATGCAGACTCACCAGTTTGTTCGCTTCTTGTTCATGCGGTTCCTGATGGACCAGACGATGGGAAGAGCAGTGTTAAAGAGATATCGACCTCCTTTGCCTCTAATGACCTCGAGGTGCGCTCCTTATTTGAAGCCGATGCAACGAAAACGGCGCTTGTCAGGGCCGCCCCCGACTCACGATTGATTCACATCCACACGCATGGATGGTGGGAATCTGACGACCCCTTATCTCATAATCTGGAACTTTTCCATGGCATCTCTGACCTTGAGCCGGCGGAGGCCGACGAAAGGACGGCTCATGAGAGAGGTGAGCAAGAAGCCGATTATAAACTTACTGCCCGCGAAGTCTTCTCTATCCCGCTCGCACGTGGCACCCATGTCAGTCTTATCGCCTGCCGTGGAGGTCTTGCGCGGATCAATCAGGGAGACGAGGTCATGGGCATGGTCCCAGCACTGCTTGCTTCGGGTGCTAGTTCGACTATATCAACCTTGTGGCCTATATTCGACTCGGATGGAGCTCAATTTGCGCGTCTGTTCTATTCCCATCTCTTCGAGGAAAGGCGTCAAGCTATGGCCAAAGGATCGGTTTCACCTGGATTTGTAAATCTTGCCAAAGCTTTTCAAAAGGCAGTGTGCGATATGGATACTGATTCAAGGGAACCCTTGATCTCATGGGCCGGATTCATCTTTCACGGGTTTTGGTCGTACTATCTTCCGCCTGGTAACATAAAAACATGACAGTAGATCCGTCAAGGGTCAGGTTCAAGCCGCTTTATTACTTTTTTTACTATCGTTTCATAGGTTCAAGCACTGCCAATGCCATGAACTCCGCTGCTGTTATTGTTATTTTTGCGCAGCTATACCATCTATCGTCATGGCTCAAAACGATGCCGCACAGGGGCGTGTTGGTTAGCCAGTTTTGAGAAACAAAATCAAGGGCGACCATACAGCAAGTACAGCATTTTCGTCATCATTGCTTTCTATCATTTGTATCAATTATTCTAAGATGTAGGACTCTAGGCAAATCACTCTCCATCGGCTTTGGACAGTGTTAATTGGGAGATTAGTCTGTCCGACTTCGGCGAAAGTGCGACTCGGTTCACAGCCATGACTGATAAGCTCATGAACTGTCAGATAGGCCCTCCCGCTAAGCACTCGGGTAGTCTTAGCCCACCGTCACCAACAGCGTTTATGGATAAGACTGTTTATGACCGCGGCTACTGGTTTATCGCTGGCTTTTAATTCGAAGATGTATTCTTTCCGAATATCTTCCCGCTGCGAAAATTGTGAGAAAATGGAGAGCAACCGGCAGACCGGGTTGCCATGTGCTCTAGCCGCTCTACTGAGATCATCTATACTTATCCCCGCCATTTGATTGGCTCTGTCCCACAGACGTTCCTGAATCCATTGCGTCCGTTGCCGTTGACTTCGCGGATCGACAGGAACGCCAGCAGACTCAATGACATTTCATGCAGATTCCACCCAATGGCTTCTTTCCTTATCACTGAGCAACCTTCTAGAGCCAAATTAGCGTTCGGAGCTCACCGGACAGGTTCGACCTAGGAGGGCAAAGAGTGGTCATGACAACTTACTCTCGTACCTGATGATACTGTATAAACTCATGGAAACGACAATTTACCTTCCCCACCACTGCGCTTTCCATCGGAAATGCCCTATCAGCTCACAACCGACTTCAGTTTGGCGATATGGACAGTCCATCTTTCTTTTCTTCCATATCTGTGGGACCAACAGTGACGGTAAATAAAAAGCCAACCGCCGCCTCGACAACATGCCAATTTTCACCGCCAGGCCAACACTGCTGCAGAGCCAACCGGCTAAAGGTTCTTCAAGACTCAGACCAGTCTTTACTGAACCTTCACCAAGCTTGCTCTCAGCTCTTTCCTTCCCGGGTTGAAACCTCACAATGGTCCGCCCAACTCTCCTCGTCGGGGCGCTTGCGTCTCTGGCACTGTCCTTGTTCACCCGCGCCACGCTCGCCGCGCACCACCCTGCGTCGGAGCCCATCTCTCCCAAAGTGATGATCATCACGGGCTTCACTCCCGAGCGCGAGATCTGGTACCCCTACAACCTGACCAACGACTACCCCATGCCGGGCTTCATCCCTACCTACCAGAACGTGAGCTGCACCGCCAGCGACGAGATCTGCGTCATGACCATGGGCCAAGCCGAGATCGGCAACGGCATCGCGATGACCCTGCTGTGGTCCTCGCCCATGTTCAACCTCACCGAGACGTACTTCCTCATCGCGGGCATCGGCGGCGTCAACCCGCGGTACTCGACCATCGGCGGCGTCGCGCTGGCCCGCTACGTCGTGCAGGTCGAGATGGGCATGGCCTTTGCCGGCTCCGACCTGCCCGCCAACTTCTCCGACCTGTACTTCTTCCCTTCCTTCGTCACCTCTCCGAACCAGTACCCCTCGCTCGCCGGCACCGAAGTGTACGGCCTCAACGGCGCCCTGCGCGACAAAGTCGCCTCCCTCGTCGCCGAAAAGAACATTTCCTTCGCCGACAACCCGACCGCCCAGGCCTACCGCAGCAAATACACCTACGCCCCTGCCCGCGCCGCCCCCACCGTCGACAAGTGCGACGTCGCCTCCGCAGAGGTCTACTGGAGCGGCGAAGTCTACGCCCGCAACGTCGAGTACTACGTCGACCTCATCTCCAACGGCACCGCCAAGTACTGCAACACCAACGAAGACGACACCGGCACCATGGCCGGCCTCCTCCGCGGCGCCATGCTCGGCAAGCTCGACTTCTCCCGCATCGTCATCGCAAAGGGAAACTCGGACTTCGACCGCCCCCCGCCCGGCCTCTCGGCCTATCAGAATCTCATGGAAGTCGCGCAGAATGGCTTCGAGATTTGTCTCCAGAATCTCTTCGCCGTGGGCAGCACGTTCATTAATGACCTCGTTGCCAACTGGCACTCGACCTATAAGCATGGCGTCAAGACCCAGAATTATGTCGGCGATGTTTGTGGCTATTTGGGCGGTACCCCAGATTTTGGCCCCGGTCATTGCTAGTTAGCTTAGCTTCAGCTTCAGGTTTTATGTTTTATGTTTTATATTTTAGGTCTTGGTATTTTGGGTTAGCTTTTAGGTTTTATGTCTTGATATTTGCTTTAGTTTTTAGCTTTCAGGTTTCATGTCTTGATATTTAGCTTTATGTTTGATGTCTTGGTATTTGGGATTCGATTCGGGTTTTAGATGTCTCGGTATCCAAGAGTCTATGTACCTGGCATCTATTATCATCTCTGCATTGAGGAATTCCTGCATATGGAATAAAAGTATAGTTGACCATTGCACCATTTATTCTCTTTAACCAATGTATCATACACAATCAATGCCAATTGCGCAGAGAAAGTATGTAATAACGACTGTATTCTATAAGGTAATTGCTTACATAAATAACAAGAGTAAGAGAGATGGCCACCCATAATCTAATATAAAAAAACCGAAAAACTGAAGAATAACATGTGTATATACGGATACCTATATCTTGAAAAAAAATAAAGTAAAATAGGTGTGGTATATCGGTGGGTATCACGCTTCTTTTTGTTTTGTTACTTTTTTTCCCCTTCCCTTTCCCCTTCCCCTGCTACGATAGAATAGGTTGCACAGAGATGGCACAACGACCGACAGGCAGAAGACGAAGACGAAGAGGAAGACGATGTAAAGGCGGGACGACATAAAGAAGATGCAACAGCTGAGACAGTAAACGACCCACAAATCTAAGCATCACCCGCAGTCTTGGCATCCACGACTTTCGCGCCGTCATCAGTCTTGCCAATGCCGCCATAGCTCCACTGGCGAATGACATGGCCCTTCCACATGAGGAGGATGACGAGGAGGAAGCTTCCGAGGGAGAAAAAGGCAGCCATGCCAAAGACCCAGCCAATGCCGACGCTCTTCTCCCAGGGCTCGGTGAAGAAGTTGATCGCGAGGCCGAGGGCGAGACGGTAGCCGTTCATGACGGTGCCGACTTCCTGCGGGTTGCCCGCAAAGGACTCGACGAGGTAATTGATGGGGACGGCGACGGAGGAGCAGGCGGCGTAGGCGATGAGGAATGACGCGAGGGCGAGGACCATGTAGTGCTCGTGGTACTGCAGGCAGGCGCCGAAGATGCCGAGGCCGACGGGCATGAGGATGACGCCGGTCAGCCAGAGGGTTTGGAGACGGTATTCGGGCTTCCAGACGCCGCCGCGGCGTTTGCAGAACCACATGGGCAGCCGGTCGTTGAGGAAGTGGGCGGATGCTTGCGCGCAGAGAATGCCGAACCAGATGCAGAAGAGGACTGTAGATTGAGAAGAACGGGGAGGGTTAGTGATATGAGAAAGACATGGGAGTAGGAAGGATAGAGAGAATGAGGGAGCGAGGGAGGGAAGATAGGGAAGGCGGGAGAAGGGTGAGAGGGAAAGTTGGAGGGAGAGAAGAGGAGGGAGGAAACATACATGCGGCGTTACGCTGGGGAGTAAAGCCGTAACCACCGGCAATGACGGGAGGTTGTAGGAAAATAGCCAATTGGGAGTTGATCAGGATAAAGAAACCGAAGAGAGTCATTCCGAAGATGCCGACGCAAATACCGGCAGGAGAAAAGCCGATGAGGTAAGGAGCGACGATGAATCTGGTCTGTCAAGGGCGACGCATGTATGGTCAGTAAATTATAACTTTGACAATTTTGTCAAGAGAAAAAAAAAAGGCAGATGAGATCTGATGAGCCGGAGAATAGGGAATACGCACCAACTGCTGGCCGGTAATATGAGGCACGACCTGGGTACCGGGAAAGAAAGTGGCAATTTTCTTGGGGATAAAGCTTTCAGGGACGTGAGGATAAGCGGCGGTGCGATCGCGGTTGAAGCCAGTTTCTTCGAGGAAGAAGAAGACCAAGACGGCGCAGATGCCAAGAAGAGCCACAATCCACCAGTATTCAACGGCAAAAGACTGATGAGAAATGATGAAGCCGGAAAAGGTAGGTCCAGCTACCGTTCCGAGAGTAAAGCAGGTGGAGAAAATGGCAAAAGCCTTGCCACGCTGGTGCAGGAAAAATAGGTTGACAATGGCGCCATTGCCCAAGCACTGCGGGATGGAAGCAAAGAGACCGCCAATCAATCGAGAAATGGTAAAAGACATGTAGTCGCCCTGGCCAGTGCAAGTAGCTGACCAGATACAGCAGGCAAAGGAACCCAGCAGACTCCAGAAGATGCACGAGCTGGTGCCAATCACTTGTGCCAATGGCACGAAAATGAGCGGTCCGGCAATTAGACCAGCTAATGCTGAAGAGACCTAACAAGTTCTCTTGTCAGGACTGAGAAAGAGAGAGAGGCAAACAGATTGGTATTCTCGGAATATATAGAGAAAAGGCTCACCGAGTAAGACATCTGTGTAGTAGTCTTGTGGTAGACTTCAGCCTGGACCACAAGAGAGCTCATGTGAGCCGTCGACGACACCAGGCCGGCAAAGGCTGAGAGACAGAGCACAACAAAGATGGTACATTTCTTCGAGAATGGCCAGTTCTGGTAGCACAAAGGTTAGCATACCAAGTTGTTGAAAATCATCTCCTCTCAATGGCAGCGACATACCAAAGGGTCTCTTGGGTCATCAGTAGGCTGAGGAACAAGCAGGAGTCCTGCATTATTCCTCTTTCCGGCCTGGACAGACGCCGTTGGAGAGTCATTGACGCTGACAACATCCGTGTTCTTTTCCTCCACGTTTGACATGGTGTTTATTCCCCGCCTGGAGATGGACAACTAATCTGATCCAAAATAAATAGAACAATTAACGTCCGGACTGAGTAACTATTGTCAAACGCCAAAGACGTTCCACCTTGCTCCCCACGCAATTGGATGGAAAAGGACGCTCAAGAGGAAAGAGAATTGGGAAAAGATGCTTGCAGGAGAGAAATGGGAAAAGATACGAGCGATGCTTCAATGTATAAACCGTCCAGCACCAAGGTCCAGAAACCTCGCTTGCTCAAACCCTTTTCCCCCCTCCATACCATTCCCACTGGCGTCGCGAAATCCCTTGACCCAGAGAATCGGAAAGCAGTGTAAAGTGCGCCATACAATGGGTCTGTCATGAGAAAGTCAGGGATTCGCAACGTGTGGCAGTTCATGTCAAAGTGGGACCACGCGAGGGAAGATAGGCTCGAGAAGCAATTTGATGGGTCCAATCATGACATGATGGACAATCATGAACCCTCTTCTTGCTCCTCTCATTGAAGGTTGCGTTTGAGATGCAGCCACCACGACGTGTGGGACCAAAACTTCCCCCCTGTGCTATAGAAGTGCAAACGAGGTGGGTTTGCGGCCGAAACTCCCTGCATCGATGCCTGTCCAGAACTCAGGTCCCGATTCAAGTCTCGGTTGAGAAGAAGTAACACCCTCAAGGGTACGATTTCTCTCTGTCACTTGTCCCCCGCTGGAGTAGTTTTGGATTCTGTCTGGTTGATTGCGCACCAGAAAACTTTGCTAAGTTACTCGATTGGGATTTTCTTCCGAGACTTGGGGCGGGCCCCATGCTCTCGATCGAAAAGTACTGTCGAACAGGGTGGGGGAGAGAGCGCCATTGGATGCTTTGCGACAGCGCCGGGGAGTTGATACGATGAATAATTTCTGAAATGGTTTCTAGTGCTCTTTCTTGTGTCGCAGACCCATGATGCCTCAGCAGGAAGCGATGCAACTGTGGCGTGTAGGGATGGCTGCAGATGCCTGTTCGGTACATGGAATGATGTATGTCGGGATGTTTAGAAAGCATCGTTTAGTAGTGATTCGGTCCAATATCAAACCAAAATCCACCAACGGAGTGGGGACCACGACGGGGGCCTTGCGCTGCCCTGTCCACTCGCGCAATCAAAACCCCACCTAGAGCCAAGACGGCCAATACTGTGTAGAGTCGTATATCATCCAATTGACGCCACCAAGAAGAGACGAATAGACCAAGAGGAACGGACCAGAGTGGATCCACGAGCAACCAAAAGCAAAAGAGCACTGGAAAACACTCCGAAAGGGCCGACGCGCCTCTTCCGAATGACCCTGGTCGGAACGCTTAATTTGTTAACCGCCTAACCGAACCAGCCGCACTAATCCCGGACATTATTCGCTGTCCGGCGGCTTATTTCGCTTCTGTCGTGACCAATGATCGCTTTTCGGGCGCTGTAAACTAAAAGATAGTGAGAAGGACTATAGCGGGAATATTATTCATTCCGTCCATCTTGAGGTGCCCAGAGAACACTCTTTAATTTTGTAATCGGATGATTTTCACGACCCAGGTCCAGATTTCAAGGGGCAAATGTTTCTTTTTCTCAACTCGAAAGGGAAGGCCGTTTCGAATACGTCCAATTGATTACCTCTCGAGGAACGACCGTTGACAATGCATGGTGTTAAACCTGGTGCTCGGGTGCAGTCACATGCCCTTTTCTCGTTTCTGAACAGGTTGTGCCTATGAGCCGAGTACCTCTCGAGCAGACCAGGATTGGAAATACCGGATACCAGGTATGGAAGATCAGGCACGTGTCTTGAAAATCTGGTGAGGCACTCATGCGGCACAGCCGCAAAGCCGATCCCAGCAATTTTGAAAACAGGTAAAATTTCCAGCAGTGGCTCTTTTTTTTTGGCTTGTCAACCTTGCTGCAACTGGTGGAGCAGTTCTTCAAAAAGGTGGTCTAAGGATGAAAGATAAAGGGGTAAAAAGATAAGAGGCTCTAATTGAATTGGCCGAAGATGTTACGCTCCGGAGCGTAAGTTGATGAAGGTGTATACGAATGTAAGAGAAAAACAAATTAAAAAATTCTAAGAGAGCATTGTCACTCGTAATTGAGTTGCACTTCATTTCGCACTTGAATTGTGCCCATTGGTAGTCCGCTCTCCCCCCACATGTCCTTGTCTTCAGACCTGTCTCTTTTGCTCAACGCATATGCATCGACAGTATAATTGTCAGACTTGTTTGGTTCCTCTGTGAGCCTTGTAAAGCTGCTTGCGTCTCCATTGACCGTATGGTTCGTATTGTTGGTCTTGCGCTGCCAAATAGAGGCCGAGGACGTCACAGCATTAGAGGCCGTCCGTGATTGATTCATAGATGGGAATATTCGGTGGATGGCTTCTTTGAATAGAAAGCGCATTGTAGGGAGACATGCACAAGTCAATGCAATGCTAGGTTCGACAGCTGACCAAAGACCAGCTGGCACATAATTATCTGGATCAAGTCAGGAAAGTTCCTTCGTAAAAAAAAGCGCCCAGGCAAAATCGATCCCATTGGAAAACTTACATGGAATATCGCCATGGACAATTTCAATGACCGTCACCAAGCGAATTACGCTCACAACGACCACGCTGGACACTTCTTAGCGGTGGCTTACACTGAGAAACCCATCAACACTTACAAGCTACCAAGCAAAAAGATGGCGCATACTGCCATCTTCTGCGACAGTGGAATCTGTAAAGTCCAAATAACGGGTAATGGCATAGCTAAGATTGCAATATCTGTTGCAATATTGGGCACAGCCTGACCAATAAACCATGCGTCCACGTTGATGCATCTTCCTGGTACTGCGAAATTCCAAGCTTTATGAATCGGAATACACTGGAAGATGACGGCGAAGTTCATGGCAATTAGCCAGCCGAGTACGATACCTCCAACACACCAAAGAGCTATTCGCATTCGCCTTGTGGGGAAGATTCGAGAGTAGAAAATCAGGATAGAAAACTTAACGGTCGACAGACCAGTGTTGTAAATCATTTCGTCAAAGTAAAGATTGTGAAGGTAGACAGAAGTTGCATTGGCGGGGAGCGCAGCTTCATGGCGTCCAAATCCATAATGAACAGCTGAACAGTAAGTCAGTCAAGCTTCCAGTTGATCGTCATCCAATTTATTAGCACCCTACCTATGAAATTGCAAATGTTTACTCCAAGGACGAAAGGCTGTAATCACTCTGTCAGAGATGCTTAAAGTAGATTATAATGCGTTGCATACCAGAGCCACCAATATCATCCAATCATCAAACCAATAAGGCGTTCCTGCCAAATGCCTCGACAAGAAACGCAGCGCAACAGAAGAGCAAGACAAGATTGCCAGGAAGGCGTTGACACCGACAACGGTCGGACCCTTATTGGCATCCAAATCGACACTCATTCTGAGGGCAAAGAAAATCAAACGTCATGAAACGAGCGAAACGACGACTGCTACAGAGCAAGAGGGAATTGATTGCATTTCAGTAAATCATAAGTAACGGAGGGATCTTCCTTTCTTTAGGAAGCGATATATCCCCCTTGATCCATGTATCCCATGAGTTTGGAAACATGCACCAGCCGGAAAGGTGTGGCCGTTCGTGTTCTAGGAAGACATGATTGGAGCATTTGTGAGGTAACGTAGTCATTTCCGGTAGGGCAATTGGTTTCAATGGCCATGGGCGGGCTGTCCAGAACCACGACATCTGAACATTGCGGCGAACGGTTGAGCTGTGGGCCGTTTGATCCTCTCCAAGGCTGTTGAGCCTTGCACCCTGGCTGGAGGAGATTGCCAGCCAGACCCATAGAAGTTTTTCTTGCCATGCGGCCCAGGGTTGTTGATTGAAAATCTCCTGACTAGGGTTTGGCCATTACATGTGGAATTCACGTCAGCTCTGTGGACAGCTTCGCAATTCCTTCGCCTATTCTGCAAGCCATCACGAGCGGAAACGAGCCAACTTGGTTGATGGGTTGGTATCCAGAGTACTGCATGTTCCTATTGTGACTTAGTGACGAGATCCCTGATCGCTCGGCTATAGGAGGTGGTTTCTCACCCTGCAAGTTTTCTGGCGCGGCGGGAAGACTAAGGGGTATAGTGGACGGGGATAGCTGTCCAGTCGATCCGTGGTTCAGCACCGTCGGCACGAGGAAGAAGCTAGGTGGAGCGAGTGAAGGGGAGCCCTGTGCCCGGTCCACCCGGAGAACCCAACATGCCGCTCGAGCGGGCACTCATCGTATGGCCCCCTTTCCTCGATTCCCGCTTCCTATTGAACGACCACGCCATCAGATTCTTCAACCAACCATTTTCTTCATTGTTCATTCGCGCCCGCTGCCGGGATCCGTGGTTCATTGTAACATTGTAGATTGACGCGCCACCCCTCTGACGGATCTCATCGCTCATCGTTCTTCGATCGACCTGGCTCCTGAGAAAGCCCTTGTATCGCCATTTCAGGAGTCTAAAGCGCTCCCGATCAAATTCTGCAAATTCTTCGATCTTGGACCCACTCGTGGGCTGATCTTTCTGGCACGCGTGCGGAACCAGTGCCGTTGGTCCGCAATTGTCTTCTTGATTATTGTCGCTGCTGTTCATGCTCGATATCAGTTGCAGGTTGTGCCCCGCTCAGCTGCGTGTGTGCGGGCAAAGGACTCTTCTAGGACCCTGGTCGAGCCAGGCAAGCTGAAAGCTGTCTGGACCCATGGGTTCTGTTCCCTTACACGGCGACGCCTTCTGCGAAAGGCAGGAGGGCTGTCGAATGCCGGTTGGATCCCCTCGCCCACCTTCTTTTGTATTTGCCGTCAAACATGCAGTGGATCCTTGTCGCTCTACCCTTCCCACAAAAACGTGTGCTGAACAATGGCCTTTGGGGCACCCTCCCTCCATAATAGCTCTCGGCGCACTTTTCATGATCCATCTACCGATCTCAAAGCCGAAGTGTTAATTTGCCCTTAGGTAACGAACCACTGAGGATTACTGTGCTGTCTTCTTGCGGCGTTGGTCTGGGTTGTAGCGGAGCTGCTGGTGGTAAATGACCACCCCGCATTGCTGATATACAGATGGCACACTCAAACCCTGGTGCCCTTTCCAAGGGTTCAAAAGCATTCAGGCGGCGTCAGTAGAATGTTCTCGCGGTCTTTCGCTGTCGCTGCTTCTGATAGAAATCCATTGCTTGCAATATTTCTTTGAGCTTTGACTGAATGAGCCTGAGATAATGGGGTCCGATCTCGATTATGGTAGAAGGCTGGTGCCTACAATCATTGATGAGCGGGCTCGTATGGGATACGCAAAACCGTATGCCTCCATTCCACGAAGCACAGATGTGAGCTTGGGATTCCGTGATGTCAGTTACCGTGAACTGGCCAATGCCATCAATCGCTGTGCATGGTGGCTAGAGGAAAAGCTTGGGAGGAGTGATGGTTTTGAGACATTGGCATATATCGGTCCCACTGATCTCCGATATATCATCCTTACTGTAGCTACGATCAAGACAGGCTACAAGGCAGGTTTGCTCCAATACCAATGTTCATCTCGAGATGCACTTGCAATTAACACTTTCATAGGCCTTCTTTACCTCACCCCGGAATAGCATAGAAGGTCACGAAGCTCTTTTTGCAGAGAATAATGTCAAGTCTTTCTTATTTCCGGCCGCCGCACCCCCCGTTGTGAAAAGCATTCTTGCAAAGAGACCAACCCCGACGCTTGTAGTTCCCGAACTCGAAGAATGGCTAGATGGCGAAGATGTACCAACTTATCCCTACAACAAAACTTACGAAGAAGCACGATATGAGCCCTTTATTGCTCTGCATACGTCTGGATCAACCGGTTTTCCCAAGACAGTCGTCATGACAAATGGAACCATTGCCGTGATTGACGCTTATCAGAAAATTTCTTCTTTAGGGGCGCCACCGACTATTTTTGACCAGCTCAAGAACACGAAGATTTTTGTACCGTTTCCTCCATTTCATTCGGCTGGAATATGCATGATACTTCCAATGACTGTCTACCTTGAAATGACAATCGTAATGGCACCAGCAGCTCCACTCACCGCTGAGGTAGCAGATGCTGTCCACACCTTCAGTGGCGCAGAAGGAAGCGTTTTGCCTTCATCTGTACTTGCAGATCTTGTCAAGGTACCGGAGTTTCTGCAGAATATGAATCGCCTCAAGTATGTCTCGTTTGGCGGAGGTCCTTTGCCAAAAGAAGTCGGAGAAGCTGTTAGGACGGTGACAAGACCAATCAACATGATCGGCGCAACGGAGACCAGCCCACTAGCTACAGAACTTGTCGAAAATGATGATTGGCAATATTTCAGGTTTAGTCCTTACCTTGGCTTCGAGTTCCGACATTTTGCTGGAGATTTGTACGAGGCAGTGGTTGTCCAGGATCAGAAGTTGGACCTCTTCCAAGGAGTATTCTCTACTTATCCTCATCTCAAAGAATATCCTATGAAGGATCTATATTCACGTCACCCAACGGATCCTCGCCTGTGGCTATACCGAGGAAGGGCGGACGATATCATTGTTTTTGTCAATGGCGAAAAACTGAACCCTGTCACCATGGAAGGTGTCATCAGCAGTCATCCCGAGGTCAAGGGCGCCCTTGTAGTCGGCCAAGGACAGTTCCAATCAGCTTTGCTGATTGAGCCGAGAGATGACTTGGAAACAGAGACTCAAAGGAGAGATTTCGTCGAGCGACTGTGGCCTACAATCGAGCGAGCCAATCGTGAATGCGTTGCTCACGGAAGACTCGCCAAGGAGCTGATCATTTTTACGAGCGCTGAAAAGCCCATGCTGCGAGCCGGCAAAGGGACGATTCAGCGAAAACTGACCGTTGATCTTTACAAGCAAGAGTTTGACGAATTGTATTCCGCATTTGAGACTGGCTCTGGAGAAAGGGACCTCGTCTTGGACACCAATGATCTTGCCTCTTTGCAAGCTTCCCTGCGCCAACTCATTACAGAGATATCCCGGCTGGAGATCCCGAGCGATGACGCCGAATTCTTTTCCCTTGGCGTCGACTCATTACATGTCATCGCCATATCTCGCCAGGTCAATAACGCTCTAGGAAGACTGGACAAGTCGAATGCCATTGCCCCCAAAACAATATATGCAAATCCCACAATTAAGAAGCTTGCTTCAGCCTTGTTGTCTTCCGCCAACAATGTGAACAGAGGGGCAACGACTAAGCCGGAAGACAGATTAGAGAAGATGAAGAGCTATCTGGAGCAGTACGGCACTGATCTTCCTATCACAGCACGGCCGTTTGCCCAAAGTCAATCTTCCGACAAGTTGACCGTCGTACTGACAGGTTCTACCGGGTCTCTGGGTTCATACTTGCTGGACGGCCTCTTGGCCGATCCCCAGGTAACGAAGGTGTACTGTCTCAATCGCAGGGCTGATGCGGAGGAACGGCAGAAGAAAATACACAAAGCCCGTGGCCTTTGTGGCTGGTCCGACTCGGATGTAGAATTCCTGCAATGCAACTTTTCAAAGGAATACTTTGGGCTTTCTCCCAACACATACCTCGAGCTTCTCCAAGAGGCCACTCATATCCTCCACAATGCCTGGGAAGTCGACTTCAATCTGGCTATTGAATCATTCGCAGGTGTCCACATTCGAGGCGTGCGCCAATTGATTGACTTCTCCTCTCGTTCAGCCAAACGTGCATCCATCTTTTTTGTCTCATCGATCGGCACTGCCATGAACTGGGGCGATAAGCATTCTGGTGAAGTGCCAGAAACTATTCTCGAGGACTGGGACATGCCTCAGGCAATGGGCTACGCAGAGTCCAAATACGTCGCTGAGAGGCTGCTTGATGAAGCCAGTCGGATAGCTGACATTCCCGCCTCCATATGCCGAGTTGGCCAAATCGCCGGTCCTACCACCAAGCAAGGCATGTGGAATAAGCAAGAGTGGTTCCCGAGCATTGTTGCAAGCTCCAAATATCTCGGGAAACTTCCATTGTCGCTTGGATCTTTGGATAAGATTGACTGGATTCCCGTCGACATTCTGGCAAAGGTGCTATTACAATTGCTCAAAGGTGATCGGAGCCATCCCAATGAAGTGAACGGTCTCAATGGCACTAATGGAACAAACGGCGCGAACGGCCATGGGCACCATACCGCTCAACACTCAAACGGTGCCCGAGTATACCACACGGTCAACCCTTCAAAGACTTCTTGGACGTCCCTGCTCCCGTCTGTGCAGAAGCACCTTGGATCAGCCCTTGACGTCGTCTCCTTGGAGCAATGGCTTGCTGCCCTACGTGACAGCAGCGGCGGCACTCCAGACATCAATGCCAATCCCGGAGTGAAGCTCATTGACTTTTACGAATCTCTAGTTCCTTCTGCTGGCCGGACGGAACCATCTCTTGCTACATCCAAAACCACTCTTCACAGTAATGTCCTTGCCGATCTAGAGCCAGTCAATGCCCAATGGATGGAGACTTGGATGCGCCAATGGAGTTTTTAAACCGCCAGTTCTCTACTGAACATCGTGATATTGCATTTCGGGGTCATTCAGCGTTTCCGAACCCTTCTTTCTGGCATCGTTATTTGGACGTATCATCATTTGCGTCTTTTTTTGACTTTTATTTAGACTTTAGGGACATTTATTATATCGTTTTTCGGTCTTCATGAATAAAGTAGTCATAATTAATGAAGTTGTAAGGTTCAGTTTCGCATTTGCGTATACCATGACCCGGGTTAAAATTAATCGCACACACGGTCGTTTCATTCTATCGACTCGGCTGGACAAACCGCCAACAGAGAGAATACTCCGCAAGGGCAAAAACTAGTTCGAAACCAGTTCGTGGTAGACGTTTGACGACGTTTCTCAAATTGCCTAATTCGGATTTCGTTGGCCATTTTCGTTGAACGTCTACATGGCTTGGCACGGCGTGGCCGGCCGGGTTTTCAATGCTTGCTTCTTGGCGTGCTTGGCGAGGTCTCGGATTTCGGGTAAAGCTTGGGGTTAACGGTTAGCTACGCTATGGTTATGATATAGTGGGCGGGCTTTCCGTGGCTTTCAGTTCAGGATCTTCTTCAATGACGGCCCTCGGCCTAGGGCATAACAGAGCGTTATTAAGTTGGCCCCCTTTTTTTTGGCCTTTTTTTTTGTTGGCGGTAATACCACCACGGGCCGGACATGTTCAATTAGCATTTGATAATTGAGAAGTTCTCCACAGAACGTACTCGTTTTGGACCTCTACGTAGCGCGTAAACAAAGCTTTTGGTGATGAGAATATAATATATTCATCTGCAAATATTTGTGGAAAAATTCCCACAATTTATAAAGTATTGTAACCTCGTCATATATTTAATTTTCGCAGTCACTAAATACAGTGCCAATTGATCCCATCATAAGATTTAGCCTGTTCATACCAGTAAATAAATATATCATCAATCAATAAAATATCGCGATTCGTACAGTCGTTACTCCCAGCTCATCCAAACTCCCACGTCCTGGTATATATAATTAATCATACGTATTCATCACCGCTCATCCAGCCCAGCTGTTTCCACATATGCAGCTTATCCCACTCCTTTGTAAAGCTATAGACCTTGCCGTCGCGGACCTCGAAGATGGCCGCGGCGGTCCAATGCGCCTTGCGGCCCGTCGGCTCGATCCCGTTGTGGGGCTTCCCGCAGTGCGAGCCCTCTGCCGAGTAGCGCAGGAGGACGTGCGGGCCCTTTGCGAAGACGACGTCGAACGAGACAATGTGCAGGTCTGCAATGGCCGACATGACCTTGGCATGCGAATCAGCATAGTCCAGAGGTGTGTGGGACTCGGGGAAAGTAGTCGGCGCAATGAAGACGCTGTCCGGGGTACAGAGATGCTGGACGGATTCGCGTCCGTGGTTCTCGGTCGGCGAGTAGGATATGCGCATGTATTCTTTGACAACGGCGATATTTTCCTGCCGAATGGTCAATATTATGAGAGTCCGAACTCATCTAATGAAGGGTAATGAACGGGAAAATCAATTTTGTGAAAAAAATTGGACTATAAAAAGGAGAAAGCGGAGGGCTATAATTTACCTTCTCCTCGTCGGTCTGAGATGTGGTCAGTTTGCTGGGTGGATGCTTTTGTCCTGCCATGATAGATTTATGGTCTTGAAAGAAGCAAATGCTCCAGCAGTATAGTTTTCGCAAGTCAATGAAATGAAACTTTCTTCAATTAATAATTATAGAGTATTTTGGCACTAAATTTTAAGCTTGGATAGCCACGATGTCCCAGGACCCTGCGGGGTAGCTAGCGTATACAGTATACAGTATACCTGAATGGCAGGTGACGTTGCGAATCGTCATCATTTCCGACGTCTAGTCCTCTTTGACATTTCAATATTTTTGGAAAATTATTTAGTATTGACCACGTCTAATTTGAAGTTCGTCAAGCACCTCGTGGAGGGAAATTCTCCGGTGGTGTTTTACGTTGTTCTTAGCGTATTTGGTTCCCAGGGTATTCTATGGGGTGGCTTAACATTGGTTTGGACTCTCGCACTACTACGGTACAGTATGAAGCAGCGTTTACAGGTCACGAATAGCATGCTGTGCTGGCTTTGCCGCCGGAATGGAAGAACTGAGGGAACAAGGCTCAGGCGGCACAATGCATGCTGTAGCAAGGACCCTTGGCTTCTCTGATGTGGACAACCGTCATTGGAGGATACCTGCATACAGGATGCCTGCAATGCTTCGCCGCACCGAAGCATTTCACCTGATACATATCAACAAGGCTGTGTTCGCGTTCGTTCTGGTAGAGAGGCTTCTGCCTGATAAGTCTCTCCCGACGAGAACTTATAATTCTCGGAGGCGCTCCGAATTCACCGCTGTTGTTGTGGTGGTTCTCTGGCCAATATTAGACATACATTTACATTGAAACAATGCAGCCTTCAGAGTGCTCTACTGCCGAAAAGGAGCTCGTGTATCAACACTGCAAAGGTGCCTTTAGATACCAAAATGCAAAGGTTCGAACGAAAAAGAAAATCAGAGATATCCTCAGGCAACAAGACGGCAATCATGCAATCATGACCCTTGGATGGGGAAAAACCGTGCTCATATTGGAAGAGCTCCTTTCTGAAGAAATATTTGAATCTCAAAATAAAGCAGAAGAGAAATTTCCCCGCCTGTTTACCACACCAAAAGGGCGTGAGATTGAATGTCAAAATTCGGAGCTGGAGGCCGCTGAGTCCGAGTACGAGGTTCTTGGAGAGCCAGAGGAGCGTAAGTTTTGCATAATTAAAAATTGTATTGACATATAATGACTAAATAGAAAATACTATCCTCTCCCCAACTTCAACGACCCTAAGTCCCGCGACCATGCCTGTGCCGTCTTTGTTCCCTATGTATCTTCCATTCAGAATTCAGCATCGCATTCTGACATCCGCTCAAGCGAACTTGGAAGAGTGCTGCTATAGTTTTGGCAGCAAATATCTGCCCGATTGGATGGAGAAAAAGGCTTGGGACTGCCCAGAATCAATTGAGCTCGATGTCTGTGCCAAGCTCTTTGCCAAACGGAAAAACCGTACAATCGAAATCCCCGGTCAAGAGCCCTTGAGCTTTCCAGATGCTCAAGCCATGATGGGCGTGGTCGAATTGCGAAACCGTGCCGTACACCGTGAGCGTGTCATGGCAGTGACGGTTAAAGAAATGGTTCAAAATGCCGTCAAATTTGCGAAGGCTCTTCGTGAAGATGGTGCTGCAGATGCAACCCAGAAAGTATACGAGAAGCTGGAGGAGAGTATTGACGAATTGCGTCGCGGCAAAGAGTTCCTCGAAAACCAATTATCTGATAAACTTCAAGAACTCGACAGACGTCGAAAGGAGTTGGATTGTCTGGAACAAGAAGCAATCGAGCACATGGTAAATGAGGATGCAAGGACAAGAGATTGCCTTGGTTCAGCTTTAGAGAATGCATTGAGGGAAGTCAACATGGATGAGCTCGAGCAGCTAGAGCGGAGGGATCCGTCTGTTGAAGATCCTGCAGAGAATGACGAGTGCAATCGCGATGATGAAGCTGTGCAACGCATGGAGAGTGACGAGACACAGATCAGCTCCGAAGAAGCGCAACTAAACTGGTCAGACACACCTGATGTCGTTGCGGAGACGGAGGAAGGTGTCTCCTACCCGGAGCCTTCTGAAGATGCTGAGCCCACTGTGGAGGATACGGAGCCTGCCAAGGAAGACCTTGAAGAGGCCCACCTCGAAGATGTGGTCCCAGAACTAGATGAGCGGCATTCACAGCAAACATTAGATTGCCCGGTAGAAGAACCTTGCGAGCGGACTTATGCAGAGGAAAGTCCACCATCCGACGAGATATATGATGGCGAGAACTATGCAGACTGGACCAGTGCTGCAGAAAGGCGACCTGAAGTGGACGACAATGTGGCCGAAGAAGCTGCCTGCTTTGAAGATGATGTTATTGGGGATGAGCTACAAGTCGCCGACTCACCAGCTCGAGACGAAGAAAATTTCCATGGTGTTCCTGATGTCGCAGAAATTGACTGCTCTTGCGCTCCAGCAGAGTCCCCAGCAGAAGCGTACCCTGAAAAGGAAGAAATTTCTTATGTTTATTCTGCTGCCGCAGAAGCTGATTGTTGCTACCCTCCGGAGGAGTGTGTTGTCAGTGAAGAAAACCCAACAGCGCCGTGCTCTGAAGAAGAGCAGAAGAAGGAAGACGAAGAAGCTCAAATGAATTCACGTCTCGATGCAGACCGACCTGCAGGCGAAGAGCTTTTTGCTCAACGGCCAGATCCCTGGGGAGCATTGGATGAAATGAATACGCAGCCTTCTTTTGAGGAAAACGGGACGGCATATCCAAGTGACGATGCCGGCCCTAGCGCGCCTCATCTTCCTGTCGATAATGGAGAGTTACCAGTCGAAGAAGCTCGTGACAATCTTGAGGCCCCTCTTTCTTGTTCACCTCCTCATTCTCCGCCGCCGCCGGCTTTCACTGCCGAGTCACAACTTCTTGAACGGAATGTATTTCGATTCGAATATGTACATTCAAACGTCGCAAAATTCGGCGATCAACTATGGGTTGGTCCTTTTTGCGCCCATTGCCACCAGGAATTGGTTTGTAAGAAATTGGCTAATAAGAACAAGAAGAACAAGAAAATGCAATGGAGGTGTCCTGAACATGATGTTTTGTACTCTGATGAGCGAATGTGGAAACCATGGGATGAACCGCTTGACCCAAGCAAGCCTGACAACGAAGATTTTTCTGTCAATGCAGAGTCAGTCGAAGAACCCGGGAAACCAGCAGAGCATTATGCTCCTATCGAGCCCGAGAACTGCATGGTCGAAGAGAATCCCGAGCAAGAACAAACAGAAATGGGCGAACCCGAAGTACCTGTTCAAGAAGCCATGCCCGAGCCTCTCTCCATGCAAGAAGACAACCATCCCGACATCTCAAAGGACACACATCCCGCAGAATACGCTCCTCCTCTTCCTCTTCCTCCTGACGAATCCAACCCTCAAACCACGTCTCACAGCAATCTCCATGACGACACGACTCAAACCCAAGAAAGGCAATTCACTCTAGTTCTCCCTGATAGGATTTTTCAGTTCTCGAATACTGATCTCAATCCACATGATTTGTCTAATGCCATACACGCATTCGTGCGCGGTTTGACTGCTAGTCAGACCCAGCAAACGACTCTGAGTAATGCTAGCGCGGAGACACATGCGGGTGTACATATAGATGGAGATGGAGATGGGCGAGTATCAATACCACCGCCTGCAGGGCCGCTCGACGAGATCAGTCGAGATATAACTAGACAAGAAGAGTCAAAGTGGCGTTCGTGGCTTTCTGAGCCCGAACATAACGACAATGCAGAGAAATATGCGAGCCGGCTTGGAGATGGGGTTGAGGATGAAGAAGGAGAAGGAGACGGAGAAGAGGACGGAGAAGAGGACGGAGAAGAGGACGTATTCTACGACGCGGAATAATATCGCCGCTATTTTTCTTGTCATTGTTTTTATTCTTGTTATTTTTTATTAAGTAGTAGTGCTGGTGGTGTTGTTGTTTTTGTTGTCGTCAAGAACCTGTATATAGCGTAGATATCTGAGAATCCCAGCATATAAAGTATTGTCAGCCACTAACACTGGGGTCAGATACTGCCACTGCCACTGGGCCTACATCTTACATCTCACATCTCAAATCTCACACCAAACACCAAAAATCATTTACCCCACATGAGAAACGAAAGTATAGAAGCGAAATTGAAGACAGGGAAATTGTATTTTTCATAACGTATAACGTATTACGTATTCGAGACAGTGAAAACCGTTGAATACTGGAATATTGGAATAACACAGCCCTATTCCTATCATAGACTGATCCTGCATATACGTGTGCCTTAAAGTACCCAAAACCCTAAACCCTTGAAATCCCAAAACCCTAAAACCGAAGACCCTCAGAGAGATCCTAAGACCCTAAACCCCAAGATCCTCAAACCCGAGACAAGATCCTAAGCCCCTAAAACCTAAGACCTAAGACCCAAGACCCAAGACCTAAGACCGAAGACCTAAAACCTAGGACCGAAAATAAAACGCGCTCCGACGTACGCAATTTGAAAATGTCAACGTCAACAAAGATAGAAGTCGAAAGTAGAAGTAACAGAGCATGTGGTGCCAGATCCCAGCTGTCCGTCATTTAAAGAAAAAAAAAGAAAGTTGAGAAAATTGAGATATCATAAAGAATAAAGGTGCAAGCTGAAAGTGGAAATGGAAAGTTGGAAGCTGGAAAGGCTGAAATAGAAGGTAGGTAGCTAAAGCGGCAAGTTGATCTCATATTTGCGGGGATGGAAAAAAGGGAGAAAGAGAAAGAAAAAGAAAAGAAAAGAAAAGAAAAGAAGAAAAGAAGAACAAAGTGAGAAAAAAGTAAATAAATGAAATGAATAGAAACAATATGATGAAACCGGTAACCGCACGCTAATAACGCCAAACTTACGCCACTTTTTTGCAGACATGGTTCATGAGAAATCGACTTGCATTGCAGAAAAGCAAATGGTGGAAAAGTGGAAAAGTGGAAAGAAAAGGGAGCCGTTAACAGAGGAAGGAAAAGATGAAGGAATAAGAGAAAAAAAAAGGTGAAGTGAAAAGTAGAGTAAAGGTCAATAGGTAAGGTAGGTAGAGTAAAGTAGAGGAAGCCGATAAGGGGGAGTATGTTAGGTAAAGATATGGTGTGAAGATGCGCTTATTTGGACCCGACCCAACGCAGAATTCGGAACCCAGGTAATCCAATATCGGACATCACGCCTGATGATCTTCTGAAAAATATCGTTTCGATCGACTCCTGACGGCCATGGCTTTTGGATCCTTTGGCATATTCGTATGATGGACTACATGCGGCCGGTAGACTGCATCGACGGGGGGCATCCAATCGTCGAGACCGAGGGGGAAGTACTCGTAAAGCGAGTCGGCGCTTTCGTCGGGACTGCCGAGGAACTTTGATGAAAAGGAAGGAGGACGGGGAATGGAGGATAGGCGGGGTGTTTTGTTAGAGCGGAGACTCTGTGCCGACTGTTGCGCCGCTGATGCATTGGCAGATGATGAGGAGTTGGGCATGGCCGAGCTCGTAAAAGCACAACCACCACTATTCGTGATGCCCATGGATTGGCGTTTTTGAGAGAGTGATTGTTGAGGAGGATGGTCGTCGGTGAGGGAGAGGTTTATGGGAGCAGGAACGCGCATGGCGCTGGCCATGCTGGTAGAGTAGCGTGAAGCTTCGGGACTGGACTGTGCGTAGACGGGAGACTGGCGGGCGTTGGAAGGTTTGTGGGTGGGATTTTGGTAGTTTTGATTGGGGATGGCGGTGAGCGAGCCAGGCTGGTTCTGTGTCGATAGTTTGACCCAATCGACAAATCCGGGGGACATTTGCAGGTCATGCGGGTCGTATTGGAAAGCTATTTGTTGTGAAGTCATCGACATGTCCGCCGCAGGGGCCCCTGTGACCGCCACTGCTGCTGCAGGTGTTGATGTTGGACCTGGTCCTGTCACTGGTCCAATTCCGGTATCTGATGTCAGAGTGCCAGTCGTGGCGGGAGTGGCGCTGGATGGAGCCGGATGCTGCTGCTGCTGTCCTGACTCCCCTGTCGATGTCCGTGACAAGCTACCTCCAGATGGGCCGTGTTGATGCTTGCGCGATGTCGAGCCGCCGCCGTTGAGCGGAAAATCCTTGCGTGATTGAAAGTTGCGGGGGCTTCTGCCGCGTACGATGATGGCGCCGGAATGAGCTTCGGCAACGGATACTTTGTTTCCAGTGGCAAGGGTCGCCATGAGTTTTATATGCACGACGAAATGTTGCTGGAGTTCCTTTCTTCGGCCATTGTTCGCCGTGGCAATACGGAATTGAAGACGTTTCCATGCAATGGGAAATGTAGCGTATTCAGCTTCAACGTCTGTTGAATTGAGGTCAATGGGTAAAGGCGGAGGCTCCTTTTCTGTTTTATCTTCTGGGATTTGTCCATTCAATGTGGGGGTCTTCCATGGGACTGAAATGACCTTGACGGGATTTCCTTCGACGGATTCAGTGGCAGATATGGCTAGGTCTTGTCCGATGATAGGGATACGCTCCCCTTGCTCGGTCATGATACACTGCATGGTCCGTGACATGGTAATTTGTCCAGAGATTTGGAAAAGGTTCCTTCGATAACAGGTCAATTCCGTCGCTGGCTTGGACGGTTCTCCTGTAGTAGCCCAGGGCGATTCGGCAAGGAAGAACATGCCATGTAACTGCGCAGTTATCGAGACTGATGTCCGCATTCCGCTGAAATCCAGGAGCGTGTAATTGTAAGTTGGGGTACTAAAACTGAGAAGCTTATTGTCGCGATCAATTGATGGGCTCTCGGGCATCATGTGATCCCGCACAGTTGAATCATAGGCGCTGGCGGCATCTGAATAGGGCTCATCTAATGCGCTGGGAGCATATCGAGAAAGGTTAGGATGAGAATGCGGCGGCATCGATGGCGGCGGGGCGAATGCCATGGCATCTTCGCTCCTAGATCAACGCAGGTTGAGTTAATATTTGGTCTTGCATTCTGGCGCATGCATATCGCAATCGCATCGATATGTGTCGACGACGATAGCAGAGTAATAATTTACAGTGAAGCGTGAGCTTACCCAACATAGGTATCCGTCTCCAAACTGTTATTCTGCGGGTCGACCAAGTCAAGCAGTTGCATAGAGTCCACGCCGCCAATGCCTAAACTCGTGGCCGGCAGGTAAGACATGGCCGTCATGGCATCGTAGCCCTCCATGGTGATTGTTTAGCTGCTGCGAAGAGCAAGCGGCGACGGCGTGGGGACGGCCGAGTCCGCAGCGGCCGCGGCGCATCTAGTCGGCAGCAGAAGCCAGTTTCGTATTACGCTTCAACGATGTGAACGACGATGTTTGATGTTCAATAGCCAAAATAAACCGCAGCACAATCGGCGTGGAGGAGATATGTATCGCGATATCGACCCTTGCTGGAGCAAACGTGAAGGGAGAGCTTGTGATTTGCCTCCCTGTCCTTTTCTCTCTTTGTCTGTCTTCTCGCCGACTGCCAGCGACAGGTTACCGTAGTAAGATTATGGGCAGTTCGATAGGTGTTAGCTTATCTCCAGCGTTCGGGAAGTTGTCTCGACAAGACTCCCACTATACTCTAGCTTGGCCCGGCCGAGGCTCTAGCTGGAGGCACGGGTACCAAATAAGAATGGGCCAATAAGGACAACTGAATGGAAACAACACCTTTACCGTCTTCCTCTTCACACGATACGGGATAGGGGATGATATGGTATTTCCAAGAATAAAATGCAAGCAATCCAGCGGGCCGTTGAATCAGCTCCGAAGGCTTCTTTTTGGTTCCACAACGGACATGGTTGCCCCTATCAGGCTGGGCGACATTGACAAGGCCGAAAGTCTGGAGAGTCGAGTGCTTGAAGCGACACGATTCGGTGACTACCCCGACGGCGGGGAAGAAAGGGGGGTTTTCCCCTTGGTTCTGGTACAGCGCACGAGAGAGAGAATGAGTGCTCGTGTCGGAGAAGGCGGTAGGGCATTGCTGTATCTGTACAAGCTGGCCCCCCCCCATGACCCGCAATTCTACTTTTGTGGTTCCGCGTGGCGGGCCCAGCGGCGGCGACACATCTCCCACTTGACTAATTGATGCTAGTCTCAATCCATTGCCTTTCGAACCCATTATCTGGGGCAGCTTTGCGAGGGGCGAGGGACATTTCACAGCTCATTGTCACACCATTTCGCGCTCGCCGATTTGGTCTGATGTTGTCTTTTTTCAGATGTCATTCATGTTGTTATCCAAAGAAACATCGAATTGCATCGCCAAGAACATTGAGTCGTATTCATTTCAAAATTGCGCCGAACGGTTGGATTCAGCGCATACAAACAATCAGGGGAATAATCGTCGCAAAACCCCACGCCTGTCCTTGCGTGGCATAGGGATCCAAAACAAACTCTAAACATGCTGCATCTTTTTCTGCCATCTGAAAGCGGATCGAAATTGGAATGTCCATCCGTGCCGCTTGAACAAAATTACCAAAAAGTCGCTTGAGTGATTGAAAATAATGTCGCAGTAATAATAAGTAAGCTATAACCCGCGCCAAACTCCACCCTTCGTCTCCTTTGCGCGCGCCATTTAATCTCTTCGAAACCCTTTAATGTCGACGGGTGCAACGAACATTTTTATTCATCTTGTCAACCACAGCTGTTTTCTTGAGGATTCCTCTTTTGGTGCACATCCGTTGGTTTCACGACGGTGGTACCATGGTCCACGTTGCTGCATCGCACGTGACTTCTTCAAAGCTGTGTAAGACATGGAAGCCAATCGCAGAAAGGCTATCAAAATTTCCATCACCGTCGATCTGTTCAGAGATTAGAAATTGACTTTACCCAGACTTGCTCTTGGTAGAAGGTCTTTTGTCTTACATGATCGAGAATGCAAGTATTACATCCTTGTGCTTTGAGCTGCCGGACACCTAGTAATATGAGACCTTGCAAAAGGGTCGAATACTCGCCAACCGACGGTGATATCACCGGGGAGGAAATGCCCCCAGTAGTCTCGTGAGTATCTCGTAGCGAGGGGACGAATTCTGCAAGAGCTGAATGGTCGTTGTAAATAATGACACTTCCAAGCACGGCGCCATCTTCAGGTCGTTTCGCGCGGATGATTCCGCAATTTTTCTGGTCGGCCAACGCCAGTCGATACATTTCCGCCACTCCCTGTCTTGTGTTTGTGCGTATATGATCCAAGATATTCTCGGCATAATCCCATCCAAAGACCATGTCGAATTCTACTCCTGCGCCTGCCAGGCTTCTTGCGAGCCCCTCGGGTGCAGACCATGTACTAAGGTTGCGAATAGCCATGCTGCACACCGGCCGTGAAAGGGCTGTGTTCCAGCCCATGTTGGCAAACCATTGTCGTAATCGCTTCTTCTCCACCGAGCTGCCAGAGGGGATGCCTAGAAAGATGTTGGGGAGCCTGGACCCCAACTGAAAGCGCTTAATTCCTTCCCGCTGCAAAAGGGTGCGGATTGCGCGGTTATGCAGGGAATGGCCGATGGAGAGCTTTCTTCGCGCGGGGTCAACGAAAAGAGAGCCGATCACGCCGGTCCCTGTACTGCGGAAAAAGTAGGTCGAGCAGAACCCGTAGAGAGCCTTGGTGCTACTGTTGCGGACCACAAAATGTGCCTCATCAATATCAGGATTGTGCAAGAGAAACGAATTTGAAGTCGTGTTGGCAAGCTCTGACCGATGACCTGAGCCTCCGTCCACACAAGCTTCGATGAGTCCATCGAGCGAGTTGGCATCTCGCTCTTCATTCCAATTTTCTACGAGCCAGTGTTGACGCGACAGATGCAGTTTCTGGCTCTGGCTGATGGTGCCGGGAAGGGCGCCGCTGGGATTGATTTCTCCATAAAGCACCTTGACCAAGGCAGTCAAGGCAGTCTCTGTAAAATCGTAAGTGCAGACATAGGTGCCAATAGAAGGATCCATGGCAAAGTCGTAAGGCGAGCTCACAGAAACCACAATAAGCGGCTTCTCACGTTTCTCGCCGCCGTTTGATTCCTGCATGTTACAAATCATTGAAATGTGTTTGGTGAAGCCATTTTGGTAAAGGTTGCGGTTTGCATCCGCTGTGAGGATAATGACGGCACCTGCGCGGCTGATGAGATCTTCATGAACTGGGCGTACCCCATTAGCCGTGTAAGAGGTATGCAACACGCGTCCGCTTCGCTGCCGAGCCAAGGATCTGCCCAGTTCTCGAAAGACGCTCTCGCCGCTCATGACAGACGCACTGCGCTCCCAGACGGCTGGCTCTGGCGATGCCATCACTGCATGATCCGACAGTTCACGGGACTGCGCAGATGCTGGAAGGGGTTTCACCAGCGGTGTCAGAAGAAGCAATTCCTCCTCGGGCTCCAGGATGTTAGATAAAGGAATGAAATGATTCTTGTCACGAACCACCGTAATTGAACTATTATAGGCTTTTGTAGACAGGCTTGTGTGCGAAGGTTGAAGAGTTGAGAGAAGGCCTAGTCCAGGAGGATTCAGTGCTTTCTCCCAAGAAGTGGATTTTGCCTTCATCGCGAGGATGCGTCGTAAGGACTCATAAATACGCTTCTCGGAGATCATGCCATTGTCCACTCCCAGCTTTAAGCCGTTGATTGCTTCCTGTTGTACAGAGAAAGACCGGCAGAGCAAGATGGCATCACATCCAGCTTTGACTGCCATGACGGTGCCACCTCGCACACCAATGTTGTGACTCAAAGCTTCCATCTCGAGACATTCGGACACAACGACACCATTGAACCCGAGATCAGAGCGCAAAAGATCATCGACCACGCGGTCAGACAAGCAGGCATGCATTACATTCATGCCTTCCGAAGACATGGCACAGCCGCCTACCATCATTGCATCGAGACCTTGCACAATGGCATTGCGGAATGGGACCAGCGCGCTCATCGTCAATTGCTCCAAGGAATCTGTAATGACCGGCACATCGAGCGCTGATCCCAGAAATTCAAGATTTCCATAGGACGGGAAATGCTTGCCGCATGTCACAAGACCGGCTTCCTGGTAGCCCTTCATAAAAGCAACGCCGTACATGGAGACTTCTTGAGGATCGTCTCCGGATGCTCTGACGCCCAATGGTTGATTTCGTACGTTGGTTAGCACATCCAAAACGGGGCCGAGGATCCAGTTCACTCCGATCGAGGACAATTCCTGTGCAGTTGCTTTTCCGACCTCGTACGCCAGTTCGGTGGATCCTGTGGCAGCGAGGCCCATGGCGCTGGGGAACTGTCGAATGTAGATTTCATCAAAGAGGCTGTTGACGCCTCCATTCTCTTGGTCCAGGGCGATAGCCAAAGGCACCGGGTGGCCTGCATCATGGGCAATTTTCTGCAGCTCGTAGACCAAGGCAGCTGTTTGTTCGGCAGCTATATCGAGAATGTCAGTTGAAGAGATATATGAGGAAGAAACCTCAATGATTAAAATGGACTACAATGATGCCGGTGAAGAATACGGGGAAATTCTATGCACAGTACATTTGAGATTTTTGGCGGTCAAGAGAACTGAGCCTAGGTGATGCTTTTCGATCAGAGCTCGAATCTGGGGTGTGACTGTAGTCCCATCAAAGCCCATCATAAAGAGCTGCCCCATGGACCTAGCTCCCCCGCAATGGGGCGCATGTCAGCATCGGTTGCGTCCTGGCTACTGCGAACAAAGTCAGTGACAGACCTATCCATGTTATCCCAAACGGGATCCAGCTTGTCGTCTCGCGAAGCCATAATCGGAAATATCGAATTGGATAAAACACAATGCTAATCACATGGCAAGTGACCCGTGTAGGGTAGCGTTGCAGAGGTGCGCTGTGTGGATGATGTGGGTCGTCGATGTTACTGTATCGAAAGTGATTAAACTCAATCCTGCTCGGCGGTTCTTGGGGTAAATACGAGGATGGATTGAAAGCCAAGTTTTTAGTCGCGGCGCAGAAGTGGTAATATCATTTGACTGGGTCCCTTTCATCGAGAAGCCTTGCATTTAGTTGCTGACACTTGAACAGCCAATCCAAAATGACCCCAGAGCACTTCAAATCGTGATAATAATGTTACAGAAAGTTGATACAGGAAAAGGGTTATTCTGCGGGGTGGGCAAGAAGGGGCTTTCCAACACCTTCTAGGGTTAATCAATGTTAACCCGACGATATCAACCGATACATACCAGCATCAGTGTCTCATAACCTCTACCAAAATGTCACTTGAAGTCTGCTTCAATCGTCTCCGCCCGTTGAACATTTGCATGGCCCATTCGCAGGCCTTCTGGGATTTGAGGGTATCAACAGGTGTTCAAGACATCTGTTGTAACGAAACTATGATAGCCGGACCCTGTTCGGATCCCCCCGATCTCACCACGATAATAAGAGCGCTAAAGGGTGCTGAAATAATTGGGGTGGCTGGAGTGGGACTTGATGGGTGCTAATGAATCACTTAGTACGGAGTACAGTTATATTCGATCGGCGCGGGGACTCGCTCCCAAACACCGACAACGAATGTAACGGTTTGGGGGTTGCGGTTAAGCAACCTACCGGACCTTGGGAGTAGTCACAGCGAGCCGGCCTGACCTGACATCACCCCGAAGAGGGCAAAGCTGGCCAGTAGGGTAGAGAGGAGACGACGACATGGCAGCATAATGGCACGCTATTAGCTGCTATTCGCCAGTCTCTCAAACGGCATGGCATCTGCTTCTGATCAATTGAAAGCTTCACAATTGTGCTACATTCTACGTCTTATGATATACTTCACCTCTTCAATCTTGTGATGATTTGATTTACGTTGACAATTGCTCTTTATCTGTGCTATCTCCTTCTGTATCTCTAGCATCGTGAGAATTGTTCTGAAGTCTTCCCCGCGTCACTTATCTGAATTATCTACCCATTTCCAATCTCAAATTAACTTCGAAATCTGTTGATTTTGGTTCTGCACTTATATATAAATATTCGATTTCTTCTGTCATTGGTTTTGCTTGCAGTTTGGAAGGCAGTCTATCAGTTTACGGCACCAGCGACATGACGACGACATTGCATTCCATAGCTACTGCGCCGACGGCAGGAGTGATCAAACTCACCAATTGCTTTCTGATCAAAGGCGACGAATTAGCGGCCGAGGATCTCTGGATCAGTTCCCGTACCGGCAAGATTCTCGACGGTCAAGACACCTTTTATGGCGGCCAGACGTTGCCGGACGCCACTGTTGACCTGGGCGGGCGGATCGTCTCTCCCGGGTTCATTGACGTGCAGCTTAACGGCGCATTTGGCTTTGACTTTTCCGTCGTGCCAGAGGACTTGGAGCATTATTCCCAGGGCGTTCGACGCGTGGGGCAAGGTCTCATCAAGACGGGGGTGACATCGTATCTACCAACGCTAACGAGCCAGCGCAGCGAGGTGTATCATAAGGTAGGATGCGCAACAATGTTCAATGATTTTCTTTATCCTTTAACCGCTGTGTTAACTGTCTATGAAATCTGATCGGTGTATCAATCGTTTTCACTTCGTTGCATCGCATGCTCTTTTGCTCCCCTCTCCCTCTCGCAACCCACCATTGCGCTCCCTCCACATATTTCCTTCGTTCAAACCTTAACCCTAAACTACCAAGACTGACGGCCCTCCCATCCAGACCCTTCGATATCTCGGCCCATCAGGCGGAGCACGCCGTGCAGAAGACGGGTCCGAATCACTCGGCGCCCACTGCGAAGGTCCGTTTATCAGTCCCGGCAAACATGGCATCCACAGTCGGGACGTGCTACTCTCCGCGCCACGCGGGTTTCCCGATCTCGTGGAATGCTACGGCAAGAGCAACCTGGGCGATGCTGCTCCAATCCGTGACAACGACGACGACCCTTTTGCCGCGCCCCTGCCGATCAAGATGATCACTGCTGCTCCCGAAGTTGGTCGCATCGCAGCCGCCATTCCCGAAATCACCTCGCGCAACATCATCTACTCGATTGGCCATTCCGAAGCAACGTTTGAAGAGGCCACTGCCGCTGTCGAGGCCGGCGCGACCATGATCACGCATCTCTTCAATGCCATGCGACCGTTGCATCATCGCAACCCAGGCATTTTTGGCGTCCTCGGTCGCAAGCCCGAGCCAGCAAGCACGAATACCACGAGTGCATCAGCATTATCATCATTATCATCTTCTCAACCTGGAGGCGCCGCCACTACCAAGAAGCAAAAGGGAGGTACAGCCGCAGGACCCCCCTATTTCGGCATCATTGCAGACGGCCAGCACTTGCATCCCACGACGGTCAAGATTGCGTATAATGCGCACCCAGATGGTTTTATCCTCGTTACGGATGCGACGCCGCTGGTTGGTCTGCCGGATGGGTTGTACGATGCTACGAATGGCATGCGCATTTTGAAACGCGGTATCGCAGTGACGTCGGAGGACTCGAAGACCATTGCGGGGAGGTATGTTGCTGCCCTTGATCCTGATCCCCAGTCACTCTTCGTTCAAAAGCACAATTATCATTTTATCATTTTATCATTTCATCATATTTCATTTCTATACTAAATACCCGCCAGCTCCATAACCCTAATCGAATGCGCCACCAATTTCCTCAACTGGACTGGCTCTTCGCTCCCACAGACCATCAAAACAATCACGTTGACACCCGCAAAGATGCTCGGACTCGGCAACGTCAAAGGCACGCTCGAGAGCGGCGCCGACGCGGACCTTGTTGTCCTCCGAGTCGTCGACGCCGCCGATGGCGCAGTGGCATCGACTGGTATCGGCGAGCCTGATACCTCTTCGTCCCAGGACCTTGGCGACAAGGCTCCTGATACAGCAGGCAACGGTCTAGGTGTCCCAGAAAGTCAACGCCAAGGGCGACGAAAGAGCGAAAGCGCAATCCCCGGTCTCGGACCCACAGAAGAACACCGATATACAGGTCGGAAAATTGTGCTTGATCAGGTATGGAAGTTTGGGAGAAAGGTATTTGATCGGGCGGATTGTAAAGAGTAATTGTTTGTTTCATTTGTTTATTTCTATTATTTGCTTATTTTTTTTTTTTTTTTTATTTGTTCAGTCATTCAGTATTTTCTTTTTATTACTGTATTTATTGATGAGATACGAGTTCGAAGCTGATGCAAGCGGTGTCAATATGTCATATATCAAGTAATTTGTATGGCTATACCTTGACATACTTTATCTAACGTAGAAACTTGGGACTGGGTGGGCGTAGGCCATGGATATTCTATAGTCAAACACTTTTTCATTTTATGGATGTATCCAAACTCGTAAGCATTGATCCTGCCTTGTAGAAGAATTGTAAATTATTTTGGATAATGTCTAGACTATCCTCTAGATCTATCATGAGTGGTATATAGAAGAAAATGGCCAGACCCTTTTCCTGTGAATCCAAAATTCACATCGATGCTGGATTTCGAGAACCTAAGAATACGTTGGAGACATCCTACAACTTCTACAACCTTGGTCGGTGGTCACCCCGCCAGCCTGCATCTTCGGCAATGAGTTCGGCGGCGCGCTCGCCGACAGCCAAGACGGTCAACATGGGATTGATAGTAGTCATTTCAGGAAAGACGCCGGCGTCAGCAATGCGTATTCCCTGGAGACCAGCCACCTTGAGCTTGCAGTCGACGACCGCCAGCGGGTCCCTTTCAGGATCGCCCATCTTGGTGGTGCCTGCAGGGTGGTAGACAGTGTGAGCGACCTTGCGGCCGTAGTAGCTGAGGTCCTCATCGGACTGAACTTTTGGACCGGGCGCAACTTCGCGCTTGATCCAGCTCTTGAAGGGTTCTTGCTGGGCCACGCGACGCGCTGCTTTGAGACCGGCAACGACGGTGGCCGCGTCGTAGCCTTCTGGGTCGGTAAAGTAACGGAAATCAAGCGCCGGCTTGACGGTGGGATCGGCCGACGTCAGAAATAGTCGTCCACGGCTTCGAGGACGGGGGATGTTCGGTGTCATGCAGAACGCGTCAATTGGGGCTTCATACCCCATTCTATAGCGTGTTAAAATTGTATCATTCTTTTTCGAGGAAGATACAGGCTTACCTTGATGTGTTGAGGGCAAACGGAATCTGGTAGCAGTGCATCATCATGTCGGCAATATCTCCATCGCCGCCAGCAGCGTTGGGAATCTCTCGACGGAGGAAGATGCCGGCGTCAGAATCCATAGTGGTTTGGTTCGGCGGTACGGGGCGGTTCAACTCCCACATGATAATACTCTCAGGATGATCGAGCAAGTTCTCGCCCACGCCGGGAATGTCCTTGACTACAGGAATACCGAGATCAGAAAGTTGAGTTCTGGGGCCTAATCCAGATAAAAGCATCAAGCGCGGCGTATCCACGGCGCCTGCGCAGAGAATTGTTTCTGACTTGGCCTTGAGGGTGCGCTTTTCACCGCTCTGCAGCGTCAGGTCGACTCCAGTAACACGGTCATGTCGGACGTTAATTCTATTAACCCACGCATTGGTGAGGACTGTCAAATTCTCTCGTTTCTCAGCTCCGCCTAGGATCGGGTGGATATATGCGACACTGGCGCTGCTTCGGCGGCCATCGTCGGGATTGTACGAAACGGAGAAAAAGCCAACACCTTGCTTGAGAGCCCCTATGTCGCGGATTTCCTTGTTGAAATCGTGGATGACGGGGATATCGAGCGCGGCGGAGCAAGCCTCGACCCAGTCGAGACACAGCTGATTCCGGTGACGCTCGTGCACCGGCTGAACAGTGTTGCGCAGGTTATCTAAGACACGAGTAAAGGTCTTGAAAGACCAGCCGTAGCAGCCCTGAGCCTCCCATCGCTTGCAGTCATACTCAAAGGGGCGGAAAGAGATGAGAGTATTGTGCGAAGAGCAACCCCCAAGGACCTTGGCTCGAGAATGACGGATATGCGAGTTGCCTTGATGGTGTCGGTCAGCTTGAAATCCAACTGTAGACGGCCATTTTTACCAAAGGCTCAATACTCACCCATTGGCTGCTCGGTAGTGGGATAGTCATAGTCCAGCTCACCACCCAAAAGGTTGAGCCAATCCTTAAGCAGCAGCACGCGGTCGTCCATGTAGTCGCTGGGACCAGCCTCAATCAAGAGTATCCTCTTGTCAGGCAGGTATTCGGACAGACGACTTGCAATGACACAACCGGCTGTGCCGCCGCCAACAATGACATAGTCAAAGGCGTCGACAAGCGCAGGATCGAGACGGGTGGTGGTCATCTTGTTGAAAGAGAGAGGCCGTGGTGTTGAACGTAGACCTCGTTGTTCAATGATTCAGTGAACCAGAATTGTGAAGGGAAAAGAGTGTGTTCAAAAGAAAGTCGGGTGAGAACGCGGGGCTTATACGAAAGTAGTGACGGATCCTGCATCGTCTCAGCCCCACGCGCACACCTGTATCTTACTGTACTACATTAGTGAGTATTGGCAGTCTTTTTCTTTTGATGCTATTGAGACTATATTGATAAGCTAGGTGGGCTATTCTATGAACATTGCAGAGTTCTGTGTGCAAGCTATACTGAACTTGATATGTCCAAGATCCATTCAGCATCCTTGCCTTGTGTGGATTCTCCATTATATTCCTATTGCGCCCTCTCAAAAATTTCACAAAAATAATACGCAATAAATCTTTTTCTTGTGCCAAAATGTGTGTACAAAATGTCATGCCAAGAGCTTTTAATGAACGAAACCGGCAGAGCCCTGAGGGGCAGTCTTAACCCTAACGGGTAAAGTGATCCCGCGCCCTCCGCACCTGTCCCCAGTATGATGTATGGACACTGTAATTCCTGCAAACCCCAAGGGCCATACCACGCAAACAGTTACTCTGGTCTATAGTTTACGAGTATCCTTTTTCATTCTCCATTGCTAATAGTCACGTAGAAGCCGCGCCACAGTATTTCAGCGCTCAAGTGGCACATTGTAAAGGCGGACTCCGTTCCGCGCCGTTTGTGGCATTACGTATTTCCGTACCGTGGGGCCTCGGCATTTATACTACTACTAGACCAACGCTAAACCCTACCAGGAAAACTAGTCCTTATCGATAAGACATCTCCCGTCACTGCAAATTCGTCATCCCGAGTCCGTAGAGAAACTTACCCAACCCTTCAACAACCTTACGTTTATCCAGCTCTTTCAAAGGCCTCAACTTGGTGAACACCATCGATCGATTCAACATCATTCGGCATCAATCACCAGCCAAACATGACCGTCTACCCTCCACGACAGCTCTACTACGACGGCAAGGTCCAGGCCGCATCATCAGGCAAAGCCTTCCAGTCCATTGACCCGTCCAACGCAACGCCCATTTGCGACATCCAAGTCGCATCACACGCCGACGTCGACGCAGCAATTGACTCGGCGAAGCGTGCATTCCCATCATGGTCCGCGACTCCACCGATCCAGCGAGCGCGCATTCTGCAGCGCGCCGCACAGCTGCTGCGGGAGCACAACGACGAGATTGCGCGCGACGAGACCCGCGACACGGGCAAAGCATACTCTGAGACGAGCACAGTAGACGTACTGTCCGGCGCAGACACAGTCGAATACTACGCCAATCTAGTCGGCGGAGGCGGACTTAACGGCGAAACTACCCAGTTGCGTGAAGACGCGTGGGTGTACACGAAAAAGGAAGCACTGGGCGTATGTGCAGGGATCGGAGCATGGAACTATCCAATCCAAATGTATTCACGCCCTTTCCTTTATATCCTTACATTTTCCCCATCCCATCTTCTGACTTGACACTGACACCGATCTATAGAGCACTGTGGAAATCCGGCCCATGTCTCGCCGCAGGAAACACCATGGTCTACAAGCCCAGCGAATTCACCCCTCTCCACGGCGAAACTTTGGCCAAGATATACACCGAGGCCGGTCTCCCCGCCGGCGTATTCAACGTCATTCAGGGCGCAGGCGACGTAGGCAGCTATCTCACTTCTCACCCAGGCATTGCCAAGGTGTCATTCACAGGCCAAGTATCGACTGGCCAGAAAGTAGCTGGGTCTGCCGCTGGAGGGATGAAATACGTGACGATGGAACTCGGCGGTAAAAGCCCTGTGCTCATCTTACCGGACACGAATCTCGAGAATGCCGTCGACGGCGCGATGATGGCAAACTTTTATAGTACAGGCCAAGTCTGCACGAACGGCACCCGCGTGTTTGTTCCCCACTCGCTCAAGGCGCCGTTTGAGAAGCGCCTCGTTGAGAAAATGGACCATGTGCGCGCGGGACATCTCATGGATCCGAACACCAATTTTGGGCCCCTCGTGAGCAAGGTCCATTATGACAAGGTCGCCAAGTACATCTGGCATGGCATCAAGGTCGATCAGGCCAAGTTGCTGTATGGTGGGAATTTGGGGGAGTCTAGATCTGGTGACAGCAACACCCCCATCCTCCCTCTCCCGCAGAACCTCCCTGCCGAGCTACACTCTGGCTACTGGATCCCGCCTACCGTCTTTACCGACTGCACCGACGACATGCTCATCTGCCGCGACGAAATCTTTGGGCCCGTCATGAGCATACTATACTATGATGACCGGGCCTCTTCTCCCTCTTCTTCTAATCCCTCTTCCTCATCTCCATCTAATCCTGCCCCGGCCCACGGGACGTCATCTGATCATCATAACTCCTCATCTCGGGCCCCCGTCCTCGCCGACCGAGTCCTAGATTCGCTGGTCCGGCGCGCAAACAACACCCCCTTGGGTCTCGCGGCGGGCGTATTCACGCAGGACATCAACCTCGCGCACAAAATCACGTCCCGGCTCGAAGCGGGCATCACGTGGATCAACACGTGGGGCGAGAGCCCCGCGGAGATGAGCGTCGGGGGCTGGAAACTGTCCGGCCTAGGTGTAGAAAATGGGCGGCAGGGAATCGATGCGTGGACGCGGAATAAGAGCACGTTGGTGGATATGGCAAGCAGCGGGGTGCAGACTGTGTTTGCGAAGATTTGATTTTACATTTGATTTTACATTTGATTTACATTTGATTTGCATACCTTGCCTACCCTACGTGCCTTACGGACCTGAGATCGTACGTAGGTACCTTGGATGAATCGAGTAGTTTATTAAGCAAAAAGTGCGGGCGTACATAAAGAAGAGGCTGACGGGACTACTGTGTGGCGGAAAAGTTACAGGATATGATTGAGCTACGCTAGACGACTAGGCTTTTCCAGAATGATTCATTGTCATTGGTAAAAGGTACTATTATTCACAAATGAAGTGAAGATATAAAAAATATGGAAAAATAGTTTCCAAATGAAATGGGGAAAAAGAAAAAAAAACGGGAAAAGAAACGTGAAGGAATCATCAAAATACATTAATTCAAAAAGACATTCTGATATCATGAGAATACGACATACCAATCGCACAAGGTATCCAAGGCTAGCGCACCAAAGCGACAACATATGAATTTGAACCGAAATGACAAAAGATGAAAGTACGGGAAAAGAAAAGACAAGAAGAAAAGAAAAGGAAACATGCAAAATTAGCGGACCGTCTTCTCATCAGGAGGAATCTCAGTATCGGTGGTAAATGGCGGGGCAGCCTCGTGCTGCAGCACATTCGAGGCGGCCACCTCTTCGGCCGTCTCGTCGGAAAATTTGAGATCCTGCTCCACGGGCACCGTGTCCTGGACCTTGAGCAGAATGACGGGCAGGGCGATCAGCAGACTACCACCGAGCAAGGCCCAGCAGGAGGCAAACTCGTTCATGTACGGAATCTTCAAAGCGTCCAGACGCCACATGATGGCCGCACCGGCCGACTGGATGCCCTTGTAGAAACCGGCAAAGTTGGCCAGTTTTCGGCCATTGTTGGTCAGAGAGCCCATGAACCTGTTGCGATGACATGTCAGTACAGAACCGCGAAGATGTTTAGGGCAAACGAATAAAGGGAGGAGGGAGGGGAAGAGGTTATGAAGAGAATAGGTTAACATACCAGTAGACGCAGGTCTGCCAAGAGGCGTCGTAAAAGCCGTAGAAAATGTACAAGAACATGCCACCGACATAGCCCGAGTGAGTCCAGTCCCATGGCTTGTAGCCGCTGGCGGGGTCCACCGTGGCGCGAGTGTATTGGCGCTGCCAGGCGTACCCGCCGCCCCAGATGGCCATGGTGATGGTAAATAAAGCGGCCCATGCGGCCTTGGCACGAGTAGTTCGGCGCACACTCTTGATATCGAGCAAGTTGCCAAACACCGAGGCACCAATCATTTGCGAACTCCAGTAGAGAACATTGTTCAGGGCTCGTGTGCGAATGTTGAAGCGCGCCAGGTTGACGCCGTTGAAGTGGTACGTGTAGAACCAATTGGAGGAGAAGAACATGGGAAATAAGGCGATAATGTACCAGTCTGTCTTGAGCACCTCGAGCAGACCGAGAATCTCCGACTTCCAGGTCGGGTTCTTCATGATGATGACGTGCGAACCGTCGGGCCGCTCAACGTGCTTGGAATCGCAGAGGAACCAGGCCAGAACGGCACCGAGAAACATGAGGACCATGAAGGCGACATACGTGCCGTCATTGACGTGGTCGACGGTGGAGTGCATATTTTGGCCGAGAGGTATCTATTGTAATGTTGTTCGTTAATAAATGGCGCTTGCAGTGGAATGGTCAGTGGCTTTGGATCGAGAGCTTACCAAGCTACCAATGACACCTCCAAGGTTGAAAATGACCCAAAAGATGAAAATATATCGTCCCTTGGAACCCTCGGGAGGGTAGGACATCATGATTGAACCCTGTGCGGCCCATAGCAGACCTGCGCAAAGACCAAGCAGCGCACCGGCGAAGATGACGAAACCGGCATTCTGGGTATGGTTAAAACAGAGCAGTGAGGACGAATAAACAAAGTATCCAATGCCACCCAGAGACAGGGTCAACTTGATGCCAATTCGATTGGCAATGGAGCCGGCAAAGAAGCCAACGACGGAAAAAGTACTGTAGGTGGCGACGGCGCCGTTGTTGGCGGCGGTCGCATTGAGTTGTCCTGCACCTCCAAGACCAGTGAGGGAATTGTACATGCCCGGGCAGAGGAAACACACAAAGGCGACGAGTATGAGCTGGGTCAAAGGCGAGGCATAGTACGGCAGCGTTACAGGGCCGATCCGCGGTGACCGGTACATCCAAGACTTGCGGTGATGAATCTCACCAGCCTCTTCTGAGCTGTGAGTTTGGGAAGCATTTTGATCCTCAATGGTAGGCTTAGGCTTCTCCGTCGTTGGTTCGGCCATGGCGCAAGTTGCACACGTGCTTTGATGGGGAGGCGAGGGAAGACGACACGGAGCTATCTGCTGCTGATCTCCCTCCTCTCAAACCACGATGGCTTTTTTTCTCTTGTCTCCCTTACCCTCTCTGAGTCTTAGCTCTGAAGCTTTCAAATTATTGGGGGGAGGAGGAACAGTCTCAGGACTTGAGCTGGAGCATCGTGAGGGCAGGAACAGCTTCCTTATAGCTTAAGGGTGAGAAGAGGGTCAAAGAGCAGGGTGGTCTCAGCTCAGTCGCCTCCGCACGGTAATGGTGGGTGTGTAACGAGAGCATGGTTGCTTCTGGGCCTCCCAAGGGGGTCAGAAGTGGTTGTTGTTGGTGGGAAAAGGATTAGATACGGGCATGCTAGATCCAGTCTGGCTATCAGAACGAGGAAACGGCTTACTCTCGGGAGGCTTCACTATATTATTAGTTCGAGTGTTTTGTGTTAAGGGTCCATGGAAAGGCGCATCGTTTAGCTTGAGTTGGAATATTTGTCCATCCCAGCTGTCGGATTATCTCCCACGTCTACAGCGGGCGACAAACGAGGATTGACCCCGTTTTCTTCGAACGAAGCTTTCTTTTTTCTTTCTTATTTGTTCCATTGACCTGGTTCGCATTTATCGGAGTATAATGGGTCAAGGGTAGAGCGGGCATGGATGAATAATTTCATGAGAAGAGCAAAATATCCGATAACTACCTAGGGATCAAGGCCAAGGGTGTGCGCGTGCTAGGGGGCTGACAGGGTAGACAGATATGGGGGAGTTGATTACTCGTACTCCGTAAAAAGGGCACTGAAACACTGAATCTTCTGATCGAATCCGAAAAGCTCCAGCTATCTCTCGTGGAGAGCTATCTCGTGCTAGGATGGAGTACTCTTTAGTTAATTGATCAATCAGTCAAACATTAACCATCTCCACCTGAATTCCGGGGTTACGAACTGGCGGATGATGGAAGGTTGTCGGCAAGGGATAGACGAGCTTTCCCCCTCTCGGCAGGTCATTTCTCCTGAAGAAGTTAGTCCTCCGCGAGTTATCAAAGGGTGTCCACGACAAGTACTCAGTACCTTATTCTTGCCGAAAATGACCACATTCTAAAAGTAATAGGTACGATTGGTATCACCTTACCCACTTGTGCATGGACTGCAACGTGCACTAATGAATGTAACGGTTGCCTTCCGCCTTTGCCACTATTCTGCTCGGTTCCGTGTCCAATGAACATCACCTGCCAGACTCTCATGATCTTCCCCTTACAACTCTTCCAACCGTGACAACAGGAGTGGTGATAGCTCCTTGAGCAAAATACCACAGTCGCAACAAATGGCTTCAATTGGCAAATGGCCAAGAGCTGCACACTTCACTCAGGAAGCAACAGTGACTTCTCACGAAAAAATATTTGGTTAATCTCCCGTAAATTTTTGATCAAATGGCTCCCTGAAACATTCACCATGTTACCTCGGCCATGAGGGTTTCATGCCGATGCATCCTACGGGAGGCAGCTTAGAGAAAGTATGGCCGAGAAATGAAGAAGACAAAGGGAAGAGCTATCGTTAAGCAATTACCGTCACGTTAATGTCTTCCATCAGCACTTATCTTCTCGTCAAATTCACATTGCTTTCACTTCCCGGGTTTCCGCTGACTGTATCTTTTTGCCTCTTAACCCCGGATCCTGATGATATCACTCCTACTAGCTTACCCGCGCCGATCATCTTTAAACTTTCTTGCTCACCTTGACCAGCGCTCAATTAATTTTCTCGTGCTCAAGAGTGAAATTCTCTTCAATTGACCAAGACTCGATTTCTTTGTTTGAATCACCTCAAGATGTAAGTCGCTCAGTCTCATTCTATTGAGTGTTTCTGCAAATCAAAGCTCTGATGGTCTGTAGGAGACTCATTATTCGCGAAGACCCCTTTGCAGCGTCAAAGTACATTGCCGACTACATTATTGGTAAGAAGATTGAAATCTTGAGCTCTGATCCTCTATGCGCCAAATACTTAAATCTTTAATAGACCGGATCAAGGCGTTCGGCCCTACGCCGCAGAAGCCGTTTGTGCTGGGACTGCCGACTGGAAGCAGCCCCGAGATTATCTACAAGCATCTCGTCCAGCGCTTCAAGTCTGGTGAAATCTCCTTTAAAAATGTAATCACTTTTAACATGGTAGGTCGTCATTGCTGGTCCGAGTTTTGCAAAATATCATCGACTCTAAATATCAGAACGTAGGACGAATATGTGGGCATTCCGCGCGACCACCCGGAAAGCTACCACACTTTCATGTACAAGCACTTCTTCTCCCACGTAGACATTGACCCTGCCAACATCAACATTCTCAATGGCAATGCACCGGACCTCGAGGCTGAATGTCTTGCCTACGAAGAGAAGATCAAGCAAGCCGGCGGCATCGAGCTCTTTCTTGGCGGCATTGGACCTGACGGACATATCGCTTTTAATGAACCCGGCTCCAGCTTAGCTTCACGCACGCGGGTCAAGACTCTAGCTTATGACACGATTCTGGCCAATTCTCGTTTCTTCGGAAATGACCTGAGTCAGGTGCCTCGCATGGCTTTGACCGTTGGTGTCCAGACCGTTCTCGATGTAGGTGTACCGCTTTGTGGACGAATTCTGTCTCTTCACGTGTTTCACATCAACTTGCCAAATCTAGAACAGGTTTACTGACGAATCTTCCTGAGCCAGGCACGAGAAGTGGTGGTGATTATCACGGGGGCACACAAAGCCCTGGCCTTGCAAAAATGCCTTGAGGAAGGCTTGAACCACATGTGGACCCTTTCAAGTTTGCAGATGCACCCTCATCCCATGATTGTGGTCGACGAAGATGCAACCTTGGAGCTCAAGGTGAAGACTGTCAAGGTACCAACGATCCCGCCGATCAGCATTGTATTTCTGTACCTGTCTCAGCTGACCATGACTAGTACTTTAAAAGCATCGAGCGCGTTGCCTCGGAACTTGGATGGGGCCAAGGACTTCCGTCGGCCGCGCATATTGAGACCAAGCAAGCTGCCATTGCGCAGGAGTTGTCCACTCCAACGAAGGCCAAGAACGCCTTTTCCATGCCACCTACCCCGATTACCCCGGTTTCCAAGGAGCTCCCAGAACCCGAGATTGCCGACGATGAGCTTACCCCGGATCGCATGTCGTCGCGGATATCGGACTCTGGCAATGTAGCTGGCCTTGATGGTCTCATTCCAGGCGACGTACCACTGAAGTCTATGGGATCGCGGGTGATCACAATCGGGTCTTAGATCTTTTGCCTTTGATCTTGTCTCATTTGTGCTGGATATGTTCCCTCTCTCTCCCGCAGCATCAACCATGGGCATTACGAATTTGACGAAGTGACGAAGACTCACCATTATTTTTTGCATTTGGTGTGAACAATCTCTAAGGTTGAATGATATTCATTGAATAAACTCCCTTTCTTGCCCTTTTTGTCCTATACACATACAGAGCTCGTAAGACTTCCAATTACTTGCTTTACGGTGATAGGCAGATATTAACGATAATGATTAATCAGCTCTCATGTGCATTGTGGTAGCCAGATGTTAAATGTCAAACAAGACATGTGTATCATCCTCGTGCTCCTCCAGTGGTAAGCTGATTGAGAGAAAAGAATACCATCGTAGCTAGCCACGTGCACTGGTCTTTCAAAGTGCTGACCAACCAGATCACAGAATTGCTCTTTCTTATTTTGCTTCTCTGCATGTCATCATTTAGTGATTGAAATCTGGGAGATGAGCATCGAATCGACCAGGTTGATTCTGCCCTGCCTGTGGTGTTTCTTTTTGGGGGCTTGCATCTAGCATCCGTGACGTGAAAGGCAATAGAAGCGGTGCTCTGCAAACACCCGCATGGTGGCTGTCTGCGTGGCACCAAAGCCAAGCGTTGGCTTGCGGCATTGAGCGGCTTTCGCTTAGTGTCCAGATCCAGAGTGATATGATAACGGCCGGCAGCTGTCATGCTGTAAGCCCCTCCAAACTATCGGCTCCATACTCTTTCTCGAAATTCAAAATGAAGGGAAATGGATGGTCCTCGCAGTATGACCTTGGCACGAGATTTTTGCAATCTTGCTTTTAGAAGATCGGGATTTGTGACCGAAATACGAGGCAGGTGGAGAAGGTTGCGACCGATAGTAAAAATGACGAGGAGAAATCGATTTTTGCGGTAAAGACACGCAAGATCTGCGCCTTTCGGAAAGCCATATTCCGCACCGAATGCGACGACAGTTGATAATGTTACATCCGTTGCAACCTCTTTGGCCTTCTTCTTCCTCTACTCCCACTGTACACCGTACACGGTAAATGGCCGACTCGGCAACAGAAATTACTATGGACTTTTTTGCATCATTCAATCTTCTCTGTCACTAAATTTACGGGACGTTTCAATTTTTAATCTGTGTCCTTAGTGAATATACCTGTGCGGTTGGGGTTTGCTGTCAATACGCGCCACCCTCATCATATTCAATGTATTGCTACAATGCATTAACAATTGCTCGATATGGTCATAATTCCGACTCGGATAACAATCCTAAACAGGATTCGGCGGCCGTTTGGTTTGTCGTAAAAAGGAAACCCGGAGGAAACAGAGAAAAAAGATGAAGCAGAAAAACCAGGAATCCATGTCCGATGATCTGCCGACTTAATTCCGTCATATTCCGGAACCGGGAGAGACACAGAGAGGGTTGCAATGGGGAGAATAATGGCTCCATTTCGCCGTCTTCGCTGGTCCCAGCTCTGGCTCAGGTTTACGTTGAATTATTCATTACGAGCATATCTAAGGTAACTGACTACGATGACGAGAAGTGCTACTTGACTTACCTTTTTGCTGTACCGTTATGTTTGACGTGACTCGGAGGATTGCTCGGCACGGGCTTGTTCAGTCTCCGTTTTCACTTACTTCTGTCTGTCTAACTCTAGCGCCTAGACTCTTTTCTCGCCTGGTCGCCCTCCCCTCGTCCGCTCTCCTCCACCGTTTGACATTGTCTGCACATCCGGATGCGACCCTAGAATTTCCCCATCTGCGCGGTTACTGTAGCGCTCGGCCTTTGGGTCTCGTCTCGCCTCTCGTTTTGTCTGTGTGTGAATGAAGTGCGTGTGCATGTGTGTGTGCGTGTATGAAAAAACGCCATGTCTGTCTCTCTTCCTACAGTCCTGCAGTGTCATGCTGCACCCTTCTCCTCTTCCTCAATTGTCCTTTTGATTTTGTATTTTTACTGCTCCCAGCACGCCTCCTCGTCACGGGCATCTGCATAGCTTCTGCGCATGAGTTTTGTTGATCTCCTGCTTTATTCTGCCATTCTTGTCTACCGCGCACACTCCACTGCTCGCCGCCCACATCCCACTTTGTGATGCTGGCCCCCCGTTGAGTCTCCACTGTTCCCTGTTACACTTATTTTTTTTAAACACTCCACTTGTCTTTTCGCATTTTCCTGGCATATCTGGGTCCGGTTCATATTCCTTTCCTTATTAAACAGAGGGGGGATTTCGTGGTCGCAGCATGCTCGATTTGCTGCCCACATTGAAAGCAGTGTTGAAAATGTTACTAATGCTTCCATCCTTGTTGCGGGCGTCAACGGCGCCAACCGCCACAAACACTACCACAACAACAATACCAGCCACTGCCACAACATTTCATGATGAGGAAACATACCGTCTGGAAAGACTACAGAAGTATGCGCTACAGGTGACCGATCATTTCCTGAATCCATTACAAATGACAACCTTGCTCGACATTTCCAAGCGACTACAAGAACAATTCCATAATAGACTACAGTCTTGCCGGAGCTGCATGCTGCCATCATGCAATCACCAACTTCCAACAGGACGAGAACATGGGACGTTTCTCACTATTGACGTTGGTGGATCGAATTTGCGAGTAGCGCTTGTTGAATTATCGGGCAAAAAGGAGCAAAGCCCGGTCCGCATTGTCCGGGTTGAGTCATGGCAGATTGACCATGTCGTAAGGTCTCTTCCAGGACATGTCTTCTTTGACTGGATGGCAAGCAAAGTAGGAGAAATGCTAGCCAAGGATGGTGATCGATTTGGACGGGGTTCTGGATCACCTTTACGCACTGGGATCTCTTGGTCGTTTCCCCTCGAGTACGTTCTCATCGCCGAATTTTAATTTCGAGCTTTTCTGACAATCTCATGTAGTCAAATATCACTCTGCTGCGGACTGCTCAATACCATGGGAAAGGGCTTTCTTGCTGCAGAAGGTCTCATCGGGCAAGATCTTGGAGAATTAATCTCTCAAGCCTGTCTGCATCGGGTATGTTCTGTAACCTGTAATATGCTTGCTTTCTCTCAAGCTGCGGGGAAGGAAGAAAATCAATCTGGTAAACGAAAGCTCATAATTTTATACAGAATGTGAATATTCAAATCGAGGCCATTGTCAATGACTCCTCGGCCACTCTCTTATCGCGAGCCTACGTTGACCAGTCTGCCCGAATGGCACTCATCCTCGGAACTGGCACGAATGCTGCTATCCACCTTCCGGTCACCTCCCTTGGGCCTGGCAAATTTGGATCTCGTCTCCAAGACCTTCGTCCCGATCAACGCCATGTTCTTGTCAACACGGAACTCAGCATGTTTGGCAAAGGCATCTTGCCCACGACAAGATGGGATGAGCAATTGACGGCGATGCACCCCTTGCCAGACTTTCAGCCATTTGAAATGCTCATCAGTGGACGCTATCTCGGCGAGATTGTGCGCCTGGTCCTAGTCGAGGCTGTCCTTTCGGTTGGTCTTTTTGGCGGGCATCTACCAAGCGGTTTCGATCAGCCATATGCTCTCGACACTGCCACCATTGCCGTAATCGAAGCGTACGTTTAATCCGTCAGTTTTCAAACACATTTTTCCCATGTTCTTTATACCATAGTGTTTATTCGCTTTTATTCTTCCAGTAAAGTGAGTTTGCTAACAATAATAATCAGTGACGAATCGTCGTCTCTCTCCGCTGTAGCGACCATTTTCGAAACCCTCCATAAATCGCATTTTACGTCTGATGATCTTCTCTTCACTCGCCATGTCTGCCAACTCGTTTCTCGCCGCGCCGCGGGCTATCTTGCTGCTGGTGTTCATGCATTATGGTCACTGCGTAACACAGCTGAGGCAGGTTGTGTACGAACAGCGACGGTGACAACACAAAACACGCGCACATCGATTGCCTGCACAGGTAGCGTTGTGGAAAAATATCCACATTTCCGGAGAACCTGCCAGGAATACCTAGACCTCTTGACACCCTGTCCCGGTCTCATCTCGCTTGATCCAGTGCAGGACTGTAGCATTCTCGGCGCTGCTATCGCCGTAGCATGCTGTGATGCAGAGAACAGCTCATGTTGATGAAGTTCAATATTGCGGCGGTTGCATAACTTTGGTGGTTCCTTCCTCGAACTTGGTGGTGTCGTCCTTATAATGTCCATCTCCTCAAACTGGTGGTGTCGTCCCTATAATGTCCATGCAACGATACGGTATAATACCTCATTGCTGTAAATAGATTTTGGAGTCAGGGATTCTCATTGACTCATGGCATGTCATCATGATCGCACTGGCGGCGTTTCCTCATCTTTTTATGCATTCATATCATCAGTTACTCAGCATCCTGGCATCGTCTGGTCTTTTCAATGCATCGTCATACCCATGCATGTCAATCTGTTTGGTAATGTACGACATTACGCTACTCAAGAGCGATTCATCCACGTCCACCTTTTCCACAATATCTTTGTGAGATCTATGATGGCTTCATCTGTTTTGCTCCATGTGACTTTTCCTTTTTTTTTCCCCTGCTTACACTATCATGACTTCCTCTTCGCTCTTTCCTTTTTCGACGACAGCATGTTTACTCATGTTTTTACTATTCCTCAACCCTATATTTCCGGTCTCGTTTACACATTTTTCAGCGCCGTTATCATAGTATTTTATTGCTGTACAAGCGCTGCATACATTATACCGTTCATCCAGTCTCTCGCATCTATAAACTTAATCTTACTTTTATCGTTTTCCTGCAGTTCCCCAACCATAAAAGTACCAGTCTTGCACCTATTGCTTACTCTTCCCCTGCCCTGGCTTCTGTGATCTTTCTCTATCCTTCAGCCTTATCTTTCAATCCTTGCTTTGTCTAATCGAGACTGAATTCCAGTTTGACCCTATCGCCATTATCACCATCATCAACATCATCAATAGCATCAATAGCATCATCATAAATAATAGCTTAAAGTCCATCAGCAACAGTCCCTAGCACCGCACAATAATGGCGACAATCGAACAAGAGTTTATCCCGACACGCCTCCGCCGCGCTTCGTCCTCGACGTACTCCTATTCCACTGCCTTTTATGATCCCAGTCACCCCCACGGCCACAGTCACAACCACAGTCACGCACACGCTCCACGTCGTTTCTCACATACGCCTACGCGCCTGCATGATGATCCTGAGGCCGTGCCTCTCACGCCGACCGGTCCAAATGGTATGTCCGTCCTGTGTTTTTTCTCTTGTTTATCCCTTTTATTGTTTCTTACTCATCCCTTTCATTCTTTCTTATTCATCGCTCCTGTTCTTTTGGCCTTTTCATCCCTTTCTTTCTTTCTTCCGCCTCTCATCCGTCCCAGGACTTGACGTATTGCGTATTGCGTATTGCCTATTTATCTTCTGACCATTTCTCTTTCTCATTTCTCACTTCTCATTTCTCATTTCCGTTCGACACTTTGGACCCCAGCGTGATTTCTTATCTGAATTCTAGCTGACAAAGATATAGATGCCGCAAAAGGTCCTTATGGCCCTAACGGTCCTAATGGTACGGATCGTCTAGATCACCTGGATCATCTGGATCGTTTGGACCACGGGGCGGAAACCAACCTACATACAAACCTAGCCGTAAGTACCGGCAAACACACAGATGTTGCGTCCACACACGCATCTACGTCCGCAACCGCCACGACAGCAGCGCTGCGCCACCGCCGCGGGACAGTTCGCATCATTGAACACCCTTACGCGGGCCGACTGGGCGCGAACCAGGAACACGCCGTGGCGAGCGACGATCCCGAGTACGCGGAGATTGTGGCCCGCACACCTGACGCGGCGCCCTTTTTGACATGGCGAGAGGCGCTGCTTGATTGGAAGGGGTTTGGGGAGGTGGGTTTGTGGAAGGCGGCTGTGTGGGAACTATGGGGTTTGTTTTTCTTCTTCCCTTCTTACCATTATTCGCAGTAGTTTGTATCATCTCATTTTTTATTTCATCTTTCCTCCTTGTTTTCTTTCTTCGTTTCTTCTCTTTCTTCTTTTCTTCGTTTCTTCTTTTCTTCGTTTCTTCTTTCATCATCAAGATCCCTCTTGGTCATCTTTATGTCCTCGTCGCATATGTCATACGCCAGATATACCACTCCTATATTCGCAACCCCGTGTTGTTGATCGTGTTATATCCCTTCCCGTCCTCCTCATACCCTTCCGATCCACCTTTATCACTTCTACCAACCCTCTCCCTCCCTTTCCTCGTGTTATATTTCTTATGCCGATTCAACAATATCATGCTCCTACACGGACTGACAATCTCGCAGGGACAATGATGCTCGTCGTGCTCACAGGCGCAGTGAGTATCGGACTCGGTCGTATTTCGAGGTATTCGCCCTTTTATCCTGACTCTTTCTCTCATTCTCTTATCCATTCTCTCATCCATTCCACTTCTTATATCCCTATTTCCCTATATCTTCCCATCCCCCATCGCCCTTCCTCCCTCAATGTTTACCTTTATCCTTTCACGTTCCTCTACACTATCTGTAAATTTCTCAGTCAAGGAATACCTCAACCCCTCAGATCTCTGCATCGTCGTATCGTCGTACACTAACATACCAGTCCATACATCTACCACTCCACCATCATCCCCGCTCTCATCGGCAGCGCAGCCACGACTATCATTCTCCCGCTGCTCATCTTCGCCGCCGCTCCCGTGTCGGGGGGTCACCTGAATCCGCTTATTACGATTAGTACGTTTTTCGCGCAGATCTCTACGTTGCCCCGGACGCTGCTGTACGTGGTCTTTCAAATGCTGGGCGGAGTCATTGGTGCGAGTTTCTTGCGTGCGGGGTTGGGGAGGCGGTTGGTATGTTTTCTTTTATCATTTTTCGTTCCTTTTTCCTTTTCTCTTTTTCTTTTGTCTTTTTCTTTTGTCTTTTTCTTTTCGTTTATTCATTTTTTTATTCTTTTCTGCCTTGTTTCTCTCATTCCTGTTCTTTCCCATGGATCCTTTCCCGGCTCTCTTGTTTTATAAATGCTCTTTTGCTATTTGGTTGCATACTCGGTTTCATCCCATTTTACACTTGCCCTGTTTTGGTGTCACAGTTTGATTTTTTCGGATTGTCCATTCTTTGCTCTAGGTTCTTCCCGTATCTTGTCCTTTCACCGGCATCCATTATTTTTATACCCCAATTCCAATCCCAATCCCTGTCCCTGTCCAGTCCCAGTCCCAGTTCCAACTCTAGGGCTGCCTGACGGACTGACAAACTGACGATCTGACGGATAGAACCCCCCTGAAACAGGCGGCTGCACGATTCACTCAGAAATATCCTACGGCTCGGCATTCGCGCTGGAACTCATATTCGCAACCACGCTCTTGTTTCTCGCCTTTGGCACGGCCCTCGATCCGCGCCAGAATAAGTCCTTTGGGCCCGCCCTCGCGCCCATGCTTGTCGGCCTGGCCTTTGGTATATGTGGCCTCGCCTCGGGCCTGCTGAGGGCGGGGTATACTGGTGCTTGTACGTCCAGACGTTTTCTTATTTTCTTATCGTTCTGTGCATTTTGCCTCCTTTGCTTTGTCTTGTCTTGTCCTCCTTATCTTTCTCCTTTTTCCTTTCTCCTACATCCTCTTTCCTTTAACCGTTTTCTCTCGGTTTTCTTCCACGGTCCCATGGTTTCATCCCATCTACACGGCTGCTTAATGCGGGCTTTCTTCCGCCGCTTTCTTCTGCTTTCTTTCATAGTCCCATCTTACATATCCATGCCTGGTATCTGCTTGATGTGGACTTTCACCGCGCATTGACCCTACACAGTCCCACCTACAAGGCCCCGGGGGTGGGTGGGCGGAAGGAAGAGCAAAGTAAAGCGGCGAAGAAAGACAAAGATAACAGATAGAAGATAGAAGAAGAAGAAGAAGAAGAAGAAGAAGAAGAAGAAGAAGGGGTCTTGTGGTGTTGAGGGGAAGGGGGCAAGAAAGAAAGAAAAAGACAAAACAACAGCTAACACTATACTATACTACAAATAGCACTCAACCCCGCACGCTGCTTCGGCCTTATGTCCGCGTCCAGCTTCACGCACCGCTTCAACACGTATCACTGGATCCATTGGATCGCGGACGTTCTTGCCGCCGGACTGAATGCGTTGGTGTGGGCGCTCGTCCCGGTGTTTAGGCGGAAGATCTAGGTATTATACCTAGTCCTGCAGCCTGGCAGGTAGACAGCCAGACAGTCTGCTCGCCGAATCCTTTCCTCCTCCTCCTCCTCCTCCTCCTCCTCCTCCTCCTGCTCCACCCGCCTGGGGGGGGCCGTGGATATATGGGTGTCTGCGATATGGAAGGTTAAAGGTGAATTGTAGGAGGAAGGAGGTGAGCTATAGGTCCTTTGTGAACTGTAGGTCCTTTGTGGACTAGTATATAAAAAGAGTGCGAAACACTCATAGGGAGGCCTGGAGGGTAGGATGTCCAACGGGATGGTTGTAGTGAGTACTGAGTACCGAGTGAGGGAGTGAGGGAGTGAGTACCGAGGGAGTGAGGAAGTGAGGGAGTAAAACTGTGTTTAGGCATTATGAAAGGTAATGTCGGGATGGGTGTAGGCAGCTTAAATATCTAAGAGAGATATCATTTTATAACACAAAGCAGCACTATGTATAAAGGTGCAGTGCGTATGATGTACGCTGTAATGGAATCAACACAGATTGGAATGAAGAAATGGAGTGGAACAACACAATAAATGGAATGAAGAAAGGAAGTGGAATCAGCACATGAAGCTAATGCATGATGCATGTATACTTTGTATATTGGTATCAGGCTATACTATCCACAGTTACAAACACTTTTGATTGTCCTAGCATGGAAATGAGACGTGGAGATGGAAAAACAAGAGAAAAGGGAAAAAGTAGAAAACCTACGAATGAAGAATATGAATGCAATAGAAGTAGAAAAATATGAAAATAAGAGAAAGGAAAGATAGGAAAGAAATACTACAAAACTATCCGAATAACTTCTTCCCGAAGCGTCGGTTCTCGCGCTGTCTCTGCTCCTTGGCTGCTTCTCGCCGCCGGCGTTTCCATCCGCGGTTCGTGTCGCCACGATTCTCCCAGAACCATTTCGCAAACGCACTTTCCTGTCCTTCTTGCCCGCCTGCGTCTGCATCTGCACCTGCGTACTCGTCATCAACGTCGTAGCCGTCGTGGTCAGCGTCATGGTCGACGACATCGCCTTCGGCGTTCCAGCGGAGATATCGATCGTCGGCATGGGCATGGGCATGGGCATCGGTATAGAATGCAGATGGGGCAGAAGCTACAGGAAGATGAGAATCAGACGGAGCAGCATGATCAGCAGTAACATCCGGCTCGTCCTCTTCGTCTGCGCCAAAGAAACTGAATCCGAATCCTGAAGATTCTTCTTCCGGTTGTCCAGCTGGTTGTTGGTGTGATCTGGACGAGGACGGACCTTCGCCGGCAGCGTGAGAAGAAGGAGCGGAAATAGAAGGAGGGGGTCGCTTTTTGAAGAGTGCTTCGAGGGGGTGGATTTCTTGTTCCTCGGCGGTAGCAGGAGAATCAATGTCCATTGCTTCTGCGTCTGGGGCTTGATCTTTGATGACTGCGGGCTTGGATGATGATGACGATGATGATGGTTGTGGTTGTGGTAATGAGGAGGCAGACTCTTCGGAAGAGCTCTCTTCTTCGGCAGAAGAGGAGGCGGAGGCAGACTCAGAGTCCGACTCGGATGATGCGTCTTTTGAGGCCTGAGATTTCTTCGTAGAAGCGATTTGGACAGTTGGCTTTGATGCACTAGTAGTCTTCTTCGCTGCCACTTCTTCTGCTTCAGACTCGGATTCTTCGTCGTCTGACTCGGACTCGGAGCTAGATTGTGACGCCTCGCTCTCCTCTTCCTCTGATGATGATCCACTGGACGACGTCTCATCCTCTATCCTTTTTCTGTCGTCAGCCCCGTCCTCTGACGAGTCTTCCGAGTCTTCCGATTCTTCCGACTCCGCCTCCGAGTCCTCACTCTCACTATCCATCCGGACAAATCGTTCTTTTGGCAACTTTCCTACCCCCTTTACACCCACTGGAACTCCCTTCTTTCCCTTCTTCGGCTCTTCCACTAGATTTCCCTGCTCGTCCACCCATCCTTTTCCATCAACATATGCCAACGGACTCTTTGCACCCTCGGCGGCAGCGCCAGCTTGCTTCAGAAAGCTCAACTCCTTTTTAGTATTTGCAAACTCATGCACAGTCGTTTCTCGTCCTGATTCACCCGTGAGCTTGCCCTTTTTCGCCTTGGCCCCAGATTCAGACCCATCGGCATGAACTGAAGACGCGACATTCGGCGGGAGCGTCGTGCGGAACAGACACTCTGGGTTTGGCGTGTACAGAGACTTTTGCGTTCTCTTCTTATGCTTTTGCTCTTCCTTTTTCGTCATTTTTCTATTCTTCTTATATGACGGAGGCTCAGTCCAGCCGCGCTTGACGTTGCGGTTATCCGGTAGTTGGAATCCAGGCAGAACGCCGTCCTCGCGCTTGCGCTTCTTGCTTGGTTCAGGCAATTTTCCTTCGTTCAACTCGTCAAGTTTTTCGCTTTTATCTTTGCCTTGGTCCAATCCAGCCCCGACTTCCACAGCAGTGGCCGGCGGATCTGCAGGGTCAAACTTTTTGGGCGCAGCTTCTTCAATGCGAACTTTTGACCCTTTCAGAATTGCCCCGTTCAGCTTCTTCTTGATGCGTTCCGCGTCTGCTGTTGGCAGTTCCACGTAGCCGTAGATGCGCTCGGGAAATGTCTGAAGAGAATGAAAGGATATGTTCGTCGCACTAGGCAGTAGAGACGGCGGGATATACGCTTTCAATAGCGTCTCATTTAGCGGAGTAATGTGCAGTCGCGTTCGCTCTGGGACAGTAGTATCAGCCTGTCCCTTGAGATCTTGGACAGTCATGCTGAGAAACTGTTTGAAAAGGGAAAGAAAGTTACCTCCGCATTCCCGGGGAAGCTGGATTTATTTTGTTGCTTCGAATTCTCGTGGGCGGACAACTATTTGGAATCGAGACTTGAATATTTTGGTATTTCGGTCGCGGCAAATTCCGATGTCGGCATGTCGGACCCTGAAGATGCTAGTGGATCACGCTAGCTGCTTTTCGAATCATGTTTTTTGTTCTTGGGGCCATTTGGACTAAACGGATAACAGGCAAGAGCAGAACGTCCACAAGCATACCATCTCGTAATTGGGTGTTAATTCCCAGTTCATTGTTTTATATAATATATGAATGAGCGCGCATTGCTAGTCTAAAAACTCCCACTATCCCTGTCCAGCAACAACCCAAGACATTCAATCTAGAGTTATGACGATATGTTTCCGCAAAGGAGTTAAGATGCCCAGTCCTGTCATCACAGATCAAGCCTCAAAAGAACCCAGGCTCGTGATTCCGCGCTTACTGTACCGCTTCCGGGTCAGCGCCAGAGAATCTCGATGTTTAAATCTCGCAATCATGTCATCTCGGGTCGCCATTGCGGGAGGCTCGTCTTCATTCAGAGCTGCCACTGGCTTTACAGGAGCTGAGAGCACAGAGCTGCGCCGGCGATGCTGACTAGCCCCGAGAGCATATCCCATTCTCACTTCGTCTGCTTGACGTACAGGGGCCGGTGAGTGAAGAGCAGAAGTCTGTTGGTAGGCTTTGTCCTCCTCTTTCTGGCTTGGATTCTTAGTAGAATCAACAGGACTGCTGCTATCATTCTCCCGGCCTTCCTGCCTCTGGTCATCTGGAACTCCCCTATTCTTATGCTCCTCATCTTTGAAGCCAGGGACTATGCCGCCGTATTGGTCAGCGCATTCTGAGCACCCAATTCCCTCAGTGATACCTCTCCCCTCTTCTTTCAAATCTGGGACAGCTGCCGGAAATATGGTCGCTGGATTATTACTCCAGTCCCACCTAGCAAAGTTGGACGCAAGCCGATTTTTTTCTTGCTGATATTGCTGCTTATCAATAATGCTCACCCTGCGAGAATTGTCAGGAGTGGTAGAAGTATCTGAGCCTGGCAAAATTGTAAAGCCCGAGCTGGCATTGCTAGACTGGCGCGAGTCCCTGCCCTGTGCCAGCGCCCTAAGGCATGTGCTGATACGCTCCAACTGCACGCTCATTCTGGGCGTCATCGATGCAGATGAGCTGTAACTCTCCGACGAATAATCATCCTTCCACAGAATTTCATATACACTATCGCGTGACTTGACCACCTGCGACATACTGAACGTACGGGCCGGGCTCGGAGAAATACCCGTATTGAATCGCACCATGTGCACGTTTGCGTATGTTGTTGCAGCTTTTGCAGTGGAGCTTCGACGTAAAGAATTATCATAGAAAATCGATCCTTTACCAAAGGTTGGCTTCTTGACAGATTTTGACAATGTTGTCGTTGGTTCCCCTTCGTCATCAGCCATATCCCCACTGTCATTACTCCAGCCTCTTTCATCGTTACCGCTCCATGCAAAGTGGGCTATGGCTTGTCTCGCTTCATTCATGCCATCGGCCACAGGAGAAATCGGATACCCTGGAACCTCCTCAGGCACGCTTTCCACGTCTTCCAAGGTTCGCCGAGACTGTGGTATGACAGAGCCAGCCAGGCTTTGTGCGCGGTCAATTGGCTGCGTACTAGCCCTTCTCAGAACAATGGTTGCAGGTATATCCTGTGTGCGAAAATTTTTCTTTTGATGTTGCAGTCTATGCTTCACACTCGGCACTTCTCCTGGCATAGTCGTCTTGCTCTCCCTCAGAAGTGGTCGATCAATAGGGCTTTTACTCGCATTTGTTTTGAAAGACGGGCTACGAGGGCTGCGGGCACTTGTGAAGCTCCAACTTCTTAATTTTGAAGAAGGCTGAGCAGCATAGCGGCCCGCCTTCTGTCGTTGCGACATGTCGATCGTTAGCTGCAATGACCGTCTTAACCATCTTTCGTGAGGCGAATGGTCACCCAGGATTGGAGGGCGTCTAGTGGCATCCTTAACCAGGCCTGCCGGCGAACTCTTTCTGCGGACGTGAACGCCCTGTTCAATAAGTGGCTCAGTCCCCTTTAACGAGGAGCTTGATTTGGAATCACTGATGACCTCATGTTCCATCTCTGTCTCTCTTATATCTCCTTCATTCGGCACTTGGCGGCCAGTCTCTGAGGTTGATCCTCCCCGAGAAGCCCCAGAACCTGTGTCGTCACTATGTATGGTAACTTCAGAAGATCCTCCTTGCTTGCGCAATCGGTATTTGGCTGCATCAAACATATTCAGGCTTGACCTATCATTTTCTCCTGGCTTGAAAGGTGGAGATTCTGTGTCTCCCTCCGATATTGGCGGAGTCAAACGGGTAAAGTCAACGCTGCTGCTGTGGGCACTGCCAAACCTTCGTCTCCCGGGGCTGCAAGATCTCGTCGATGGGAATGGTGACGGGGGACGGTTTGTTCGTCTCAAAAGCGTCTCGACAGAAAGGAAAAATGGACGACTCTCTGGAGAATCTAAGTAACGCGGGAGCGGCGTAGTGAGAGCCCTCACAGCTTGCGGCCGCTTTGCATGGGGACTATTTTCATCATTGCTCGAGGGTGAGTTGGTTGGAAGACGCATTCTACGCACTTCGGCGTCTCCTGTAAGACAATGGACAAGAATGAAAATATGCTCTTATAAAGATAGAAGAAAACCTATAAGCATCAGCAAGATATTCTTCAATGGCTCCAGAATTTCCTGCTGCCTACAAATACGATGGTGTTTTGAACCTCGATAATTCCAAGTCGGTTTAAGCACCTTTAGGTAGTTGGCGTAGAAAACATTTTCATATAGCACAGATATGTTGTTTTTTGTGTCTAATCACGCTTCGAGGTGCGTTCTCAACGGGGAAGTTGCTGCAAGTGCTCCGGAAGGGAGGAGCACCTGAGATCCAGTGCTAATGCCATGCGGCATCATTTTTGGGACGATTGGGAGAGCAGACTCAACCAAATACTCTAAGGTTGGTTTGATCAATTTGTCAATATCAACCTTCTAAGAGAAAAATGACAATGTCAATACATTGTTGTGGTAGCAGCTGAGTTTTGTATCAGCAAGAAAACACTGGATCAAGGCTCATTTCGTAGGTCAATTTTTTATAAAAAAGAAACAAAAATAAAACAAAAACTCAGATATGATTCCATAAATTCCAAATTAAGTCTGCGATTAAATTGAGAAACTGTTTAATAGAATAATGAAATTTTATTATCTTTGAAATGCTCAACAATTCATGATCTTTGCTGCCATGAGGTCATAGAAAGAGGTTGTGGGGGACGGCCCAAGAGGAAGATGGTCGGCAGTGTAACCTCGAGCTCTGGCTGATGGGTTTAGCGAGGCCAAGGATCAGGACAGCTGGTTGATAGCTCGACTTCAACCGGGTTACCTGAACTGCGACTTGCTCAGCAAGCAAGCCAGCCAGATATCTATTCATCTAACCATGGCGATTTTGCCATTGACGCTGCTGCTCGGTGCTGCAGCGAGTTCGGTTCTCGCTGCAGGATCAAGCCGCCCACGCGGCGTTGGACCAGAGTGTATACAATCCCCGTCGTAAATAGCACTGCGATAGTTCCAATGCTAATTGGATGAATGGATGCTAATTTGAATGCTTAATTAGTCGCAAAATTCTATACTCCTGCAGATACATTTACGTGTATTTCGAATCCATCTATCAAGATTGCTGCTTCAAAAATAAATGACGATTACTGCGATTGCCCCGACGGCTCCGACGAGCCTGGCACTTCGGCTTGCTCCTATCTCTCGCCCCTGACGCCATCGTGGCCTGCCGCTGTTGTCGGCGATACTAGCAATACTACCTTGGCCCTTCCTGGGTTTTACTGCAAAAATAAGGGCCATATACCCGCCTATGTTCCATTTGAGAGAGTGAACGACGGGGCCTGTGACTACGAGCTCTGTTGCGATGGGAGTGAAGAATGGCAAGGTGTTGGCGGAGTGACTTGCGAGAATCGGTGCAAAGAGATTGGAAAAGAATGGCGATCGCAAGACGAGCAGAGGAAGCGTTCCCTTGGTACGGCGATCAAAAAGCGAAAAGAATTGGTCGCGGAGGCAGGCAGACTTCGAAAGGAAGTTGAAGATCGCATCGAAGACCTTAAAATTCAGATTCAGGGCAACGAAATGAAGGTCCAGAATCTAGAGAGAGATCTGGCGGACCTTGAGCGCCGTGAGAGAGGTCGAGTTGTGAAGCCTCTCGGGACTGGCAGTAAGGTCAATGTTTTGGCTGGCCAAGCCAAGGCAAGAATTGAAGAGTTGAGAGAGGCGGCGATCAAAGTGCGCCAAGAGCGAGACGAGTACGAGGGAAAACTCAAGGAGCTGGAGACCATTCTTTCTACATTCAAGGTCGAGTATAACCCGAACTTCAACGATGAAGGTGTCAAACGCGCCGTGCGGAGCTGGGAGGACTATGCTGCGCAGCAGCCGGCCGGAGACGGCAATACTGCTTTAGAACGCGATCTGGACGAAATCCTCAAGCCAGACAGTGAGACCGGCACAATTGACTGGGAGGAGTATGGAAGCGTACAAGAAGACGACGTTGAAGCCCGTGAGCAATCCCCTATCCCTTTTATTTTTGGCCCGGTCTTAGGTTTTCCTTGTACTGACCAACCCATTAGTCTACAAATTCGAGGAATACCTTCCGACCTCCGTTCGTGACTGGATTCACGAGAAATGGCATGATCTTCGTGTCCTCCTCATCCAGAATGGAATTCTGGCAGAGTCTACACCAGGAGTCGAGTCCAAGGGAGTTAGCACTGCCAAGAATTCTCTCAATGCCGCCATAAATGAGCGGAACAGCGCTCAAGCGGATCTCCAGCGTCATCAGGACGACCTCTCTAAGGATTATGGCGAAGACGATATCTTCCGAGCGCTCAAAGGGCAATGTGTCTCAACCGACTCTGGAGAATACACCTACTCACTTTGCTGGCTTGATCGGACAGTCCAGAAGCCCAAGAAAGGAGGCGGCGACACAGGCATGGGTAACTTTGTACGCCTTGACAAGGTCACTGTAGATGAGGAGGTCTTGCCAGATGGCAAAGGTCTTGGCTCAGGTGAGAGGGTTGCCTTGCGCTTCGAGAACGGTCAGCATTGCTGGAATGGGCCAAATAGAAGTACACTAGTGATCTTAGCCTGCGCCGAAAAGGACGAGATCTGGAAGATTGTGGAAGAAGAAAAGTGTGTGTATCGCATGGAAGTAGGCACTCCAGCCGTCTGCTCTGCTCACTCTTCATCGGCCGGTGCGGCCAGGAGTGAGACGCCAAAAGACGAATTATGATGAGTTTCCTCTACTAGTATCATTCTAGAGATTTTGTTTTATTTTAGCTAAGTTAGACATATGGCAATGTTCTCTGGCAAGGAATTTACACCTTTTCCATTTTGCCATCTTGGGGAACACGTGCATTACTCAACATTGACCATCTCGCTCAACTGTGCACAGAATGCATACTCGTCGCCAAATGACTCCAGAATACTCTCACATAGGTGACTTGGGACAATGACAAATACCTGGCACGGGATTGAGAAATGCAGATGACAGTCATACTTGAAAACAATGACTCGTCCTATCAATGATGATTGTCACGAATAACGTATAAGTTGCATGCCTCTAGATCTATGATAATCTCGCTTAGACCCCGAAGTCATTTCCCCTCTGAACCCCCCTCAATCATCATCATCATAAACAATAGCACTGTTCTTGTACTAAAGGCTTCTCTGCCTTGGTTGCGTCTTTCTGCAAAAACCTCTTTGATCTGTAAAACGCAAAATTGAGATGACACTCGAATTTAGCTACAATGCGGGCCTGATTGAAGACCCATGAGATGTTCGTTTGCATTCTCATCTCTTTGTTCAGACCCTTTGAGCGGCCCACAAACCCCCCTATTAGGGTGTCTAGCGAAGCCCAGCATCTTCTGTGACTTGTGTCTCATTCCTTTGAGAGCTCGTGGAACGTGGACAATTCCCCCAAAGCGCTCATTGTGAGGCACATCAAAAGCAATTGACCAATGGAATGCCCTGGATATTTGCTCAACTTCCCAATTTGTACCTCATGCTTGACTTTTGTCGGACGTCTCCGCTTTGGAGAGCCGCCCATCGGACCGCGTTTCTTGAGCGCTCCGAGTTAGGGATGACCTGGTAAGCGCGCTGTAACGACACAATTTACTGCAGACGACGGCATTATTTTTTGGTTTCTGATGACTGAACGATCGATAGTATGTTCCTTTCCTTTGCCGGCGACTGACTTGCCATAAATTCTACCTTTCTTTCTCACATTAGTGAGACCGTGGTCTTTGCGCTCGAGGTAATTGATATGAGTCGATAGAAGATTGATTGCAACCCACTATTGTGCAACGTTATCGTATCCATCACCCAATATGGGTCGACGTGACAGCTGCTTCTTTCCGACTCGCACACGCAGCCCACGCGTCTTCAGTACGCTAGGGTGAAGGCAATATAACATGTTGCGCATCTCATCATTATTTCCCTGGCCCTACTTCAATAATATCACATCATACAATCCTTATGCCTTGGTATCCATGCGTTGTGCGTGTGATTGATCATTGCTATATCTTGGATGCTTTTATGCATGACCACATTGAAATTATTCATTGATGGGACAATTCCCCTTGCGTGTGGACGTGATCCCGTAACACTTGTGTGCTTTTTCATACAAACCCAACGTCATCGGGGTTCGATACAAAATGGGTCCAAAAGTTCATCACCGGATTACTTTGCACCTTTCAGTCAATTTCGGCTGCTGTCTGCGGGAGGGATATTAGCGTCGGGGGAGGCGTGGGTTGCAGGTTAGAAAGACCCCGGCCTTACATCTGGATTGACCAATCGAGCTTAGAAACGAGAGTTGGCCATTGAGCCAGGATCATCCGCAACCCGGGACCTACAGCGATTCATTAAGTTGGTTGGTGCAAAGCAAGTGCCTCGAAGCTGCAGGTACAGCGCTGTACATTTAAGCACTTTGCAGTGCAGTACAACACGAAGATGAGGCTGCAAAGGCTCACTTGGGGCATGTACTTTGACACGCTTTGCCGGGATGACGGCAGAAACATTAGGTCATATTACAGGTATTCGCTGAAAAGGAAAATCTCGCAGCACAATGGCCAACTTGAAGCACCTTTTTGTCTGGTTGCCGGTATACTTTTTTGCCTGTGCGGGTTGGCTGCGTTTTATGAGGCGTTGGTACAAAGGTATATAGCTAACTAAGGTAGGTAGGCTTAGGATGCATGGGTGATCAAGATAGCCCCTTTTTGCTGACGATGCAGGGTCTTCTTGGTGGCCTGTGGGTCAGAGACAGACAGTAGTGATGCTTCCCAGCGTACTGGAAATCCACGTCTGGGATCCCACTGCGCCCCAAATCAAAATGGCACGACCAAGTATTCTTTACGGCAGGATCCCACGAACAAAAGCACAAGTCTCGGAACGGAGAGGAAAAAAGTATCGCTCAGGTTGGCTTAGGATCAGATCGCGGGAGAGATCAAGGTCGTATGCCGTGTCTCTGTAACTGATGGCTCCGTCCTGGTGAATGCCCTAAGCAAGGGGATGAAGCGACTTCGGGGGGGAACTCATGGCCGTTGGTCTATTTTTCATTCCTTGCGCTCCCCCCGTTTCAGCCCTCCCTTGACCCGTGCGAATCACTATATGAAATGTATTACTACCAGTGACCTTGCTCTGTAGAACTTCTTGGAACTCTTTTCGGATCCTTTTTGCGCTGTTTGGTGGTGATCGAAAAATTCATCCTTGATATATTTTGCAATTTGATTCATCGCCATTATGCGACGCAATGCACCCCGTGGTTGCCTTGCTGCGCGTCTGCATTAGAAAATTATTGTCGTCCAACCCCTGATATCGCGTCTACCCCCATTGCAAAACCTGTCTGTCTTACTCTTCGCGACGATTGGGCAAAAACGGGCCGCGTTGAGTACGATTGGATGTTGTGGGACCTGGTGAAGGGGTTTATCGAGTTGATTAGAGTGAAGAGCATACACTACGAGGCCGGCGATTGTGGCCACCACGACTTTACCAAATCACCCACGAGCTGAAGTCGATCGTCTCTCTTAACCTTTTATCCCGCTTGTCCTTTCATTGATCATTATTGCTTCAACCCCCTTGTTCTAAAACACCTAATCTTTTAGTGGGCCACTGTCCCACAATCTGGGAACGGCCGGTCCGAGTCGTTAGAGCCCTCAAGACACGCGCCACCTCTCCACTATTTTCGCCCCGTCGCCTTCGACCCGAAGAGACAGGGGAACTAGTCAGGCACGATTTCTCCAGTCATTGTTCTCTCTGGCCTGCAATTCAACCCGCTCCTGGTCCTGGTGACGTCCATTAGGCTCGAGCATCTTTTGTCGTCCCCACTGCGCTCTCCTTGCGAAATCTCTCACGCGCTCTTCATTTCATCGAGATCAAAATTTCTTCTCCGATAAGAGTGAATGGTTCCGTCCACCATTTGAGAGACCTGATCTAATCCTTATTTCGTCGATCTTTGGGTTCGCGTCGGGCCTTCCATTCCCTTACGCATTCACACACTCTCTCACTCGTTTGTTATTGTGACTACTAACATGTGAGTTTACACAACTTCACTTGATCTCGTCGCATATGCTCATACTCATTCATCAAGCACGCACACTTCCGGACTCAGCAGAATTTTATTTCGCATTGTCCTCTGAATGCTCAGCTGGGTCTAATCGCAAAAGATTTCTTCAACAACCTGATCTCGTGAGTGGAGTCTTTACTCCATCGTCCGCTCGTTTCAAATTGAGAGACTTGAACAAATCGCCTCAAGCTCACTCACTCACTCACGCGACCTAAACCAACGAGATACATTTCGCCCATTCCCAGGCAAACCTATCGCTTGAATACACTGTCTGTCCGTCCCATGAAAATAATTCGACTTTTGAAATCTGGCATAGTGGGCTGGGCTCATATGCATGAAGTGTCTTGAACTTAACAAGACAGACAATATTAATACACAACCCTTCAAACACACGAGAAACTTGAGGCTAGTGCGGAATTTCTCGCCCGATATCGCACTTCATATCCTTCTCTCAGGCCAAACAATTATACGACATTTTCATAAACCCTTGTCAGGATGAATAGATTCAAAACCCGAAGAAAGGCGAAAGCCGAGCCACCTGGCAACCTAGGGATACCCGACAGCGCCGAGAATCCCTCGACGCATTCGCTGAATCCTCTGAAGAAATCAAAGAAGAAACAACAGCCCCCGGCACGGCCCGAAATTGACCTCTCAAATGTTCTTCCATCAAACGATACCTTCCGCACCAGTCTTATCATGCCAAAACTATCAGCCCGGTTCAGCATGCTGCGGGATCAAGATGATCCTCTGTCGCTGGTTGGCAAGGCCAACGATGATAGCGTCTTGGATGTCAAGCGCCAATCGAGGCTCCTTGACTATGGCTTCCTTCGCCGGGACCTCTCAATAATATCAGAAGTGACATCCAGCGGATCACTGCGGGCGCCTTTCGAAGCTGGACAGCATGAGTCATCCATTTCTGGTGAGAGTTACGGGACAGAAGAAGAATCTCGTAACCAGGGAGGCGTTTTGAACCGATCGAGACCTTTTGAATCAAATAATATGTTTGGTGGCAGACAAAAAGCCTTCAAGGTGATGACCTCGGACTTGGACGAAAGTCAGAGCTCCGGCCAGAAACCGCCTCGAGGCGGAGCGCTTTATGAGGCAGATGTTCCCACCGCTAGTTTCCATGGCCCAAAGGAGATGCCTTTGGCAGAAAGCGTTTCTCCTCAACCCTCAAATCGCGAAGAATTAACCGATGTTGACCACAAAGAAGACATGTTTGAGCGGTCGTCGGCGATCTCCAACAAACGTACAACTTCCTCATCAACAAATTCTGGACCGTCCGTCACTCGAACCTCAACGGTCGCATCTTCAGTAGGCTCCCAGATTGCGGCTTTGGAGGCTTCCATTGCTGCCGCATCTACATCTACCGCCAAGCCTTCGAAAGAGCCGGCGGGCACCAGTGCCCAGAACGTTGACCGAACCCCGGCAAGACCAAAGCGTCTATATGAGCGTGGACTCGACCAACATCTTCATGATCAACAGTCTTCGGCCCTAAATAGGCTCGACACCATCCATCGTCTACGCTCCCGTCCCCCTCCCTTAGACATCAAGCAATCGAAGCCAAGAAGCGCTTCGAATCCGCCAGATTCACTGGGTCGGCCTAAGCAGATGGCTGTGGTGCCGAATCGAAAAGAAGGTTCGCTGCCGCCTTCTCCGGCTCCAGGATTTGACGGGTTCGACTTTCGATTCGAGAGCCTCGAATCGAAGGATAGTAAGCCCGATCTTGCATCTGCGCCATTGTCGAGTCCAACGATTAATCGGATGGAGGAGCCGCTGCCCTCCCCTGCTGCCGTTTCTACGGCAAGTAACGGCAGAAGAGGGTCTGCTGCAACTGTGTCAACGCACGGCGGATCACAATCGTCACGACGTCCATCAGATGCGAACGGAGTAGAGAAGCCTTTGCTGCGCTCCAAGGCCTCACCCCTGGTGGATAAATTTCAGCCTTCCGAGTCCAAGTCACGCAGCTCCGAGGAAGTGGAAAATAGAAACCAAAGCGCAGGGCCTCGGCCTAATCACGTGCAAGCCTATGGCGTGTTCCATCGTGCCGCGGAGAAGTTCAAATCAGACGCAAGTACTCCTAACGTTCAGCGTGAGAATGAAGCAGAGGGCACATTTTTTGCAAATTTTAGTGAGAGTGAAAGTGAGCACAGTAACGACTGGCATGTACGGTCCAGGAATCGAGGTGGAAGCGAGGACGATCCACGACCGGCACCACTTCGTCCGTCCAATGCAAAAGTTCGACGGCCCTCGAAGGAGACCAATGGACCAAAATACCCAAAGCTGTACACCTATTCCGAACAGGATATGTCTCCTGTCAGCACCACATTTCCTGCATTTATCACAGGTCACCAAGATCAAATCCATCGTAGTGGCAATATGCCAAGCAACTTCAACGAAGACTCTCCGACTCTTGGACCGGTTTCAGGACTGAACGGCCTAATCAGGCAACATCTTCGCATGGATAGCTATCAATCTTCTCTGAATTTGGCGGTCGATGCTGATGCTTCAACGGCAGGCATAGACTTTCCTGAACCGTTGACACCTAGTGAGACTGATGACGACCGGAGTGGACGACTCGCTGGTCAGCGAAAAGGATCTCAGAATTCTCACGATGCAGCAGCATCTCCAATAGGATGGCCCTCTTCAAATACCATGGATGATTCTCAGTCTCGCTTGAGACAAGATGCCCCAAAATTTGCCCCTTGGGAGGAAGAGGCGCGAGGCCGTCACGCTCGCGGCGGAAGCACTGAGACCCAGGTGGAGCGAGCAGAGTTTGCCAATGAGCTTGCTCAGAGAAGGAGAATGATTGAGCAAAATGTGCGAGCCTTCACGGAGACTGATATTCGTTCTGCAAGTCGTGCTGAGAGCACCATTCCGGCTCATCCCCTTCGAGATCCTCCACCAAAGCCTTCCAACCCCTTCGGTCTTCTCAAGTCAAAGTCGAGCAAGTCATCGCTGTCGGGAAAGCAAGAGGGGTCTAATAAGTTATCAAAGGTACGGCTGCCAAATTCGAATGGTTTACGAAGTAGACAGTCGGAGGAAGAACTCCGCAGGCAGTTGGAGGAGGAAATTCTTCGAGAGATTATCCGGGGCCCCAAAATTCCTGGCGTGCAGTCCAAAGTCTGGCCGCGAGAGCATCAGGCGATTGGAAGAGAAAATGAAGCCACTCATTATAGTGTACGGCACGCTTCCGATCCTGAGCGACCGCCCAGCCGGTCTCATCAACGGACCGCGAGCAGAGATCGGTCAGTCTCTGAAGCTTCTGCTGGACGATCTCGAAGCCGAAGCCGAAGTCGGCAGAGAGAGGCCCCCCGACACACTGTGATGGAGGCATTTGATTCTGTGTTTGGAGAGACCCCGGCTGCAGGCTTTTCCAGACCCTCACCGGACATGTCCGGCTCTATGAATTCCGAGCACAGTTCCATTGCATCGCCGTCCAGATTTCGGAGTAATAGTAACTCTCCTGCACTCCCAAACTATTTTGAACGACCTGGTGTTCGACCCAACCACTCACGGCCAGCGTCTCCGGCGATTGGATTGTCTTCGCATCCATCTCCTGCGATGCCCATTTCGGGAAACTCCACGCCTCCTCTTCACGATGGCGTACCTATTTCCCAGAATTCGCCGCCAAATGGACCGATATTTTACGGGGAGCAGCCCTTGACTCGCACGTACCGTAAGAAACCAATTCAGAAGTCTGATATCTCGGAACCTACATTTGTATCGTCTACCTCAAGTGTCACCACTATTGACCTCCCTCAGGGTGCGAGTCTTCGCAACCATGATGGAGAGGGGACGAGTCCACCACCTGTGCCTCCAATCAATCCACGCCGCAAGCGCGGAACCGCAACACAATCGTTCTTGGGTGCCTTTGGTGGCCGGAATGACAAAACTGAGCCTGCGCCAGCTCCTCAGCCGTCTCCAGTACCCCAAAGCGCCGTCTCACCTCTTCAGCCGGTGGAGGAACAGAGCAGCTGGTCTGACGATGAGGACAGCCCCAAACGCAAACCCAGACACCGGCTCCGGAAGAGCATCAGTGAGGGAACTAGCTTGCGCATTCGCGCCAAGCAGCAGTCCGTTGTGGTGCCTAACACGCCTCCATTGCCCAGGTCCCCAATCCCCCCGGCTACCGCTGAGGGTCACCCATTCTGAGCGCGAGATTGGTTTGTATCAGACTCAAGACTTTCAACCTGATTGCAATCTCGATTTGCCACTTCATTTGAGGAAGAGTCAAATTCGGTTTTGATCTTACCTAATCCTTTCATCTTCCTGTTGTGTTATAATTCTTTCGATATCAGAAATCTTGCCTAGGTATGGTGGTTGCATATCAGATAATTGGTGTTTGCGGAGCTATCACGGTTAGGGAGCGCGGCGCCTTTGACTTGAGCCACATTTCGAATTTATTGTCTACATTTGATTTTTCTTTTCCTTTTTTTTTTTTTTTTTTTTTTCGCTCTCCTGAGGTTTCGTTTAGTTTCAGGTGATGACATGCATGATATTTAGTGGGGGCTTTGCTTGATATCTCTTCTTGCATATGCGCTCTGCAAAGATATATTTGCAGAGAAAAAGGCAGTTTAATAGGTTTTCCATTCCCCCTTCTCGATGTCTTCGATTTGATTATTATCTCTTATTTACCTTTCTTTGCCATGTGACTGCCCGGACATCTAATATTGAGCCTTTTCCGGCGTTTCAGTCTTCATTTTTCCCCTCCACACATTTTTTCCCTTTTCAGTTGGCGGATTCATTCGAAGATTTTCTTTTCTTCGGCACCAGACGTTTAGAATCTCGCTGGTCAGGTCAGAAGGCTTTCGAGTAGCTAGTCCGCGTATCACATTTCTGATTCTCAGCGCGAAAACAGAAACTAGTGTCAACCTCCCCAATAATATCAAACATACATCAAATCCCTTTTCCGACAAGCAGTGATAGTAGAAATGAGTAATCAGACAGTGCGCCGACCGTGCCTATCGGAGAAGAGAATGCAGGGGCAATGTGGCATGACGTTGGTATGGACCGAGTGAAGAAGCAAGCTTAAGCGAGACAAAGATTCACAGGCCGAAAAGTGGAGGGGCCGCCGCTGACTGGCTGCCCCAGCTAAACTCTACTCTCCGCCCTCCCACTTTGGTCGCGGGTAGAATTAATGTTGAATGACTCTTGATCTCCAAGAAGAGGCCTGCCAGCATTGATTCAAATGATCATCTAGCCTGGCCCTGGTATAGGGACTCTTCCACATTGTCATTCATTCATTTCCAGTCCTTCCTTTTTTTCCCTCTAAAGCGACACGGTACGGTACCCTCCGCAGATCATTGAAACTCGTCATGTTAGCTGTTTCTCACGTTGGGGGGAGAGAGAGAGAGAGAGAGAGAAAATGATTACTGCGAGTAGAGAACCCAAAAGGCTGACAGACACCCTTCGGAAAACCAGAATAGAGCTATCCAGTCCCCACGTCTGACTACGCCATCGAATCAGACTGATCGCGCCGCATCGTATGATTTTATCATCCTCATGACCGCATAGCAGCAGTTGTAATAAGCTTCATAAGGCGCAGCCCCAAAAATCGAAAGCCTCCCACCGTAGGGCGACGATGGCGCCTCATCCGGAGTCGTCACCCCGTCGTCCGACGAAGCATGAAGGGGCCATGCAAACTTCAAAGCGCCCGCCAGCTCCACTTAAGCCTGTCGTCCCAATTGTTCCCGTTGTTCCGCGCAGTTTGAGCTACAAGAACGCTCCAGTCCCTGTATCGCAACATGTTCCGCAACCGACGAAGCCCGCATCCCCAGCGGTCACCAAGGGCTCCCGCGGATCTTCCGGACACCCTGGTACTGAAAGATCGAAGGCCTCAAAATCCGAATTGAAAGAAGAACAGCAGGCTGCTCTTCCCAGATCGATTGACACTGCGGAGAAAAGAGCCAAGGCGACAAATGCGTCGAAGTCCCTTCCGGAGGAAACACAAAAGGCGTCGTCAAATGGTCTATCAGCGCAGGCCCAGCAGGAGGAGCAAACAACCTCTGAAGCTGAGACTCGGGAGAAATGCCTGGAGGAGCGACCGCATTCAGATGTCAGAAACGTTGAAGACGACCAAAGGAAGGGACAAACCGTTTCTGGTAAAGGTGCAAGTGCTTCTTCCCAGCAAAACCATTCACCGGTGCAGATGAATGGAACACTGGTGACTGCGCCCCAGTCATCTGAACAGAGGAGGCTTGACGACATAAGCGCAGCGGGACAATCAGTGAACTCCTTGGCGCGTAACACTGAGGCTGTCGCTGGCCTACAAGATGAAGGTACGTTCTACGATGAATGACTTGTCATGGCTCCGCTTTTTCCCCAACCGCTTTCTTTTTTAGAGCTCCGGCCTACCTCTTTCTTCTCTCTCCCTCTAGTCCATCTCAAACTCATCTAACAATCTCCACAGAAGCAACGCTGCAAGGGGTTTCGACGATGCCTCGCCCTCATCCTATTTCGTTTCATCCTCCGAACGGGCAGTCAACGCCTTCATCAGCTGGATCCATGTACGCGCAGCCTCCGATGCAATACAATCGACCGATGCCTCATCAGCATCGGTCCAGCGCTGGCGGGGTCTTGTTTGGAGGCTTCACCGGGTCTTCGAGCCCATCTCCCGCGCCACCAATTCCGCACTCCACAGCCAGTATGCCATACCCACCTCCGGGAACTCACCCTCATGGCTTCGTAGCGCCTCCTTTTGAGCAACCCTTCCACTACTTCCCCCATCAACATCACGTTGCGGAGCCGCACCCTGGTTTTGTTTACCCTCCAACCTTCCCCCCACAGCACGGTCCCTATGGCCACGGCAGCGAGCCATTTAACGGGCATATACCTGCCTACGGCAGATTTGGCTCCTTTGACGCAGCCGGAACGCCCTCAGTTTCTCTTCCCATGATGCCGCCTAGACCTCTATTGGAGGACCAAGTTCACCGAGCCTATGGCATCCAATGGGATGATGCTTCGCTCTCGACAGTTGCTCCGGATTCTGACGCTGGAAGCGGAAGTGGCCGCATGCGAGATGTAATCACTCCCCGCCCATCGTCCAGCGCAGACGAAAAAGCATGGCTGGAGCTCGAGCTCGCCCGGGCAACCCTTTCAGGACGTATGGGTTCCGCCGACGGCGTTAATAATAACCTGCCCCATGTGAACGGAAACTTCAGCAAGGGAGAGTTGAACAGAGACAATCATCATCATCAGCCCTCCCCTCCTGTTGACACATCCGACGATATCAAGTATTACCTCCGCGGAAAATTTTCCGACACCGACTTTGCCGATTACTTGCTCGAAATCCATCATCCCAAGAACGCATATTGGTATGTGCCTTTCGCTGTTCATGGAGTCATTGTCGGCAGAAGCCATTTCTTGCGTTACTTGCTGTTGGAGCATCGTAACAAACCGGTTAATCCGAGCGGAATGAAGAAGGTCAAACTTCTGATTGATGACCCATTCATCCAGCCTGGTCCGTTTGCTATGGCGTTGCGTCATCTCTATGGTGCGCCTCTCTTGACAGCTCAAGACATTGAAGGTATTAGGGCTCATCCCACGTTCGTTGACCGCTGGACAAAGGAAAAGTGGATTCTCAACAACCCTGAAGATAAGATGGAGTTCGCTCTTTCATACGCTGCTGCTGGCTATCTTTTAGACTTTGAGAACATCACTGCTTGCGGAGTTCAAGTCGCTGCTGAATTCATCGGTTGGGACACTGTCGAGCTTGCCTTGTCTTTTGCCTTGGAAGGCTTGAGCATTGAAGATCCCGAAATGGGTTCAAATCCTCACCCCGCTCCCCCTAGTCCCATTGGCTTCACTGATGCTCAGACGAACGTCCAACAGGTTCGCAAGTTGGCTATTTCTCATGGCGAGGCATACAATCCCTCTTTAGGCGGCAAATACGGTGTCTTTGGCGTTACTCTCATGAACAAGATTCTTGATTTCATTATCGAGAACATCCCTGCGGACTTCGAGCTCGACACTTCAATCTCCCAACTCGGGCGCCATCCTCGGCTTTTCGTCAACTCTGAGACGAAGCCCAACATCTCTCACCCTCGTCTGGCTGCCATCCAATTTGGCGAGCTGCCTTCGGAGGACACCAGCAAGTTGGAATTCTCCACCAAGGTGCTTTCAAAGATTCTCATTTCCCTGCCTTATGTATTGCTCAAGTACATTCTTGAGTCTCCTCGTCTTGGCGGGGTTCAAGGATGGGCGTCTTATAAGTTTCGTGAGAAGGTAGCCCGAAATGTGATTCGAGAACGGGAGATGAGACGTCAGAATACTTTGGCTGCGGCACTGAATCCTGCCAACACTGATGGTGCAAGCTTGAGATCCCTCAACTACTTGGCCTGGAAAGAGGTTGTTCTTACCAACCCTGAAGTGCAGCATCACGAGGTAGAGGTCAAGAGAGAATGGGATAGCCTTCCTTGAGCTCTATTCACATGAAGCCTCTCCGATTCCCATCTCGTTTTCTTGAGGAGAACTTGGGAGTGTCTCAGAGAAAACGACGTTATGATTGAGATTGTGGGCGTTTGGTGCGGACCTATTCTGTTGCCATCACTCATGCTAGCTTGCTTTCTCCTTGTATCCTTTCAGCTCCCATTTTGCTACATATTTGCTTGTTACGGACGTTCCAAAAACTGACTATCATCATATCTGGCGAGGCATTAGTCCTTTTCTTTCAACACCATATTTTTGCACGATTGACGATGCATACCTCTGGGCGTTTACTTGTCTCATTTGCTTAATTTGCTTGTCCCTGCGTACTGATGATTGATACCTGCACCTTTTCAAGAGTCGTCGCTTCCGCCTTCTCTGGCGTCATCAATGTTAGATACCACAACATATGGAAGGAACCATCGTGAGCCGTTCCTTCCCAAAATACAACTTCATTTCTCCAGCGTGTGATCCTCGTGGTGGTGATCTGGCGTGTTGTTTCTCGCGTCCTAGGAGTATTTATACCCTCCCCCCCTATCCCCCCCTTCTCATCTTCCTCTTCTCTTCTTCCATCACCAACATCGTTTCGTTCGTATACCGATCCAACGCTTTTGCTCCTTTTGCTCATAAAGCTCTTCACGTTCGCAAATTCATTTTGCTTCCTTCTCTCTTGTGCATCTCAAGCTTCTCTAAACCCAGTCCATATTACCCGCTTCTCTCGTCTTCTCGTCTCCTTGACGTTTTGACTTTGGTAGTCGTCGCGTTTAACGCCTCGATTACTGCACACCCCCCTGCGCGCTATTCAAGCGTTTGCAAACCATCCTCCTTACATCAGAGTTCTTAGAGGACTTCATTAGCCATGTGTAAGTCTTCCCATCCCGCTCTTCTCTTCTCTCTTCCCTTTGCCTTCACGCCTGCCCCTATCATCCTTTGTTTTGGTCTTGTTCATCCATCGCTCCCATGTATCATCTCTACCACCCAGAATACCATTTGCCTCTTCTTCGACCAAGCTAACATTTCCCTTTTGCTTCAGCCGGTTTTCGCTCCATGATCGAGGATTTTGGCCTCGAGGCCTGTCCTCCCATTTCCAAGGGTCGCTGCGGCTTTAAGCCCGCCCCCATTGGATCTATGGGATCTCCTAGTAAGTTAAACCAGTTACCTTCCCCTTCCCCCCAGCGCATTTTCGACGTGCTTGACGCGTACATAAGTGTTTATATACGCTGACGCGTGTTTGTTTATAGGTTTCACTATCTATGAAGATAGCTCCGACGAGTCTATCTATCAAGTTCCTTCCATTTATTCAGACTCTGACAGTGAGAACTGCCCTCCAACCCCTTGCCCGAAGAGCAAGAGGGTCTCAGGTAAGTTGTTTCATTTGGCGTTTTTGCCCTACTCTGTCCTTGGCTAATGTTTTTATCGTAGCGCCCGGATTTCTGGATGATTTTGTCAAAAATGGCTTCAAGGTCAATGAAGACCGGCCCATGACTCCAATCCCAGTCCCGGCCGAAGTCAACAAGACGAGTATCGAAAAGGTTGAGCAATACCTCGCCTCCATGAATGCAGCTGGTAAGTCGAGTCTGATTTCATTGTGACAAACCCTTGACTGATGGCTTGTGCGACAGATCACTTTACTTCTGATTTGGATTTTTTTGATTTTCATGATACCGGTGTTCTCATGCGTAACATTGGAACTCCAAATTCGGATTTGATGGACTTTACTTCTCCTCTTGAAGTAAACACTGTTTATATCGATAACGCGACGCGCGGACAGTGGAAATCTCCTATTTGGTATAGCGGTAAGATAACTTGATCCCCCTTCACCTTATCGCGAGAAGACGCTCACTAATGTACCCCCTACAGGATCTGCATTCTATGGCTCTGACGAGTTTGGTCCGACGAACACCTATGATCCTGTCTATGAGGAATTTGCTGCGATGAGCGTTGGAAATGGACATGTGCCGCGGAGACCGTTTGGTAATTCCAATACTTTTGCTGAAAAGGCCCGCTTGGCTCATCTTGCGGCCCAAAATAATTCTGCTGGTAAGCTTATGTTGTTTTTTCTTGTTTTTCCTTGATTGGCAATTCTCACATCGGACTTTGGCTCACTTGTTTCGAATAGGCCATAGCATCGGGATTCCCGGCTGCACCGTCGTATCTGCTCCACTTCTGTCTTCGGGTTGCGAGGCGTGCGACAATGGTCAACGCGCTGCCCTTGGTCTTGCTCCCCAAGTTGATGATACTTCTGCCCCTTCTTCTGACTTTCCCCAGATTTCTGGTTTCCCTTCGTTGCCCACTCCCCCCACTCATGGTGGATGGACCACTCTTGAGGAGGAAACTTCCCAGTTGACTAAGCCTAAGCATTCGCGTTTCTTTTCTTCCGATACTGATACTTCTTCTATCCTTGCCACTTCTGATCCTGCTGATTTTCGTTCTCCCCCCATCGCAAATTTTCCTTTTGCTGGTTTTTCAGTGAATTGGGAACCGTCTCCGGCCGAAGTGTTGCAGGTGAAGATGCAAGAACATAATATCCGAGCCGAGGATGAGGTTCGCGATGAAATTTACTCTTATGAGTGGGACGAGGATCGCGAAATGCTGGTTGGTCCTATTCTTGTTCGCTCGCAGGCTCCCGCTTCGATTTGAGTTGTGAGCGCTGAAGACTAATAACTTTTTTTCTTTTTTTTTCTCTTTCCACTTGAAGCTTTTCTGTATGACTTAGATTTTTCTTTTCTGTTTTCTTTGTTTTTTTTTATTCTTTGTATGTGTTATTCCCTACCATAACTGTTTTTCGCCCCCTCTTGTCGCAGGGGCAGCGCCCAGAATAAGGGACCGCTTTTTTTTTTTGTATTGTTAGCTTAGAAAATACCCCCGGAGCCCCTGATGGCCGTTGCATTAGTTACCTTTGGTACTTTTAGACAATAGACGGAAAGTATATATCCATTTTACCTGCCGCCTGAGCGAACGGAATCACTTGCATGCAATAACTGCTCTTGGTCTATACTTCTTTGTGTTTTTTGCTGTCTTCTAGTATAATACGTGCAATCACCTTCTTCATGTATTCATGTATTCCCGTATTTATGTAGGGCCCCAAACTCTAGCTGACGTTCATCAGTACTAGCTGTAATTAGACATTTTTTGTGATTTCCTGCTCTGCCTTTTGCCTGCTTGGGACTCGTCATCCACCCAGCCAGTCAGCTAGAAGAATAATGCTGTCACTCGCCTTAGAGGACTGTCACTGGATTCTTGTCTTGAGCTTGAACCTGCGCCGTTTGCCTTGTATACTGCTATCCAGAGTGCCTGATGAGTGGGATTCCCTCTGCCATTCTCCCTTGTCATAGACTGTTGATGACCCTCCACTATTTAATGATCCTCCTCGAACGCTTAGTGGCAAAGCTATCACAGATGATTTCAACTCGCAGTCATTTTTTACTTCTAGTCTCCTACACTTCCACAGGCCCGGCATTGCTTTGCTAAAGCTCATCTTCAGCAGCCTGTGTTCCTGTTCACATTCAAGCCCTCTTCCACATGCTGATAATCTGCATTTGTTTGTTTGTTTATTCTTCTCTTTTTTCTTTTTTTCTTTTTCTCTCTCTCTCTCTCTCTCTCTCTTCTAGAACCTGATTATAGCCTTGAGCTTGACAACGTACTAGTAACATGGCTTTGAAGTAACATATTGAGTAACAGTAAATTGTGAGTGCCATGGCACAGAATAAACACGTTCCGTGATTTAGTACCACTAATCGACAGGGCGTTTGGCATCTTCATGGGACCATGATACACAGGGAGCTACTCAAATGCTCGAATGGGGGATAACGCTGTCGTGTTCTCTTATTGTCCCTTACGAGAAATAATTTATTTCCTTTTATTTAGTTTAAACATGAAAATAGTTTAAAGCTATATGAGTAATTATAGTATCTAATAGTAGAAGTAAAGATGGAACAGTGAGAATACAAAGCGTAGTCCGTATGCATAAATCTTTAGGGTTTGAGACACTCGTACCGACTGCAGCGTATGAAGAGGCGTAGGGTGGTGACTGGATATATTGTAGACACAAAATAGCATCATTGCTATTCCACGCCTGCCGTAGCAAATCACGTGTAAAGACTAGCCCACGGCCCAATAAGGAAATGACATGTTGGTAGATCTCGAATGCCAGAGCCTTGTCGCTTATTGCATGTTGTTACGGCCCTCGGACCAACAGGGCCCGTTGGGCTTTTGTTTGTTTACGCTGTTTGTCTACCGCAACAGCTCTCTTGATCTACCTAATCTTCACAACTGTGCGAAGGAGGAATATTCAACCCGAACGCGTCCCCGCATTGACAGCAACAGCACGAGTGAAGAGCAGCAAAGAGATACCCTGCAGTGGATAATTAAGTATCCTTTTCTGTGCGGGTGACCTGCGAAAGGGACAAAGAGACAGTTGGGATAACGCCAATCGTTGACGACGATTCTACCAATTGATCGACAGACTGGAACTCTGTACAGTTGGCAGAAACATTTGGAAGCAGGAATTGCGATTTACCTAGCTCACAGAGTTAGACTCTGTGAATTGATAAACACTTGCTGTGAAACGTCATTGGGCTTTCTTGGAGCTAGTCGCGGATTTTCGCGGAGAGAGGGCTTATAGACTAAAATTAGGTGAGTAAATGGCAGTTGCTTGATGTGCCTTTCGAATTTCCTTTCAGTTCTGATTTTCATGGATTGATCTCGTTCAAATTGCATTGATCCAGGCTGACGTATAAGAAATTAACAGAAAGGCTACACAGTCTCGGAGCATCGAAATGTCGCAGCCGCTCGGAGAAATATCTTCATCCGATTTGAACCTTAGATCACCTGCGATCAAGGAGCGCTTCTCAGATGCAGGACAAGACGATTTGGTTAACCTAGGACACGAGGAAAACCACAACCACGGAGTATACGACATGCCTTTTAATGATGACATTTCAGATGTCCCTGCCAGCTCTCCTTTTGACATGTATCCATCAAAGCCGTCCAGCCCGCTGAAGCCAATCCCAACAGCGAGGAGAAATTCTCCCGCAAAGCAAACACATTCGCCTGCAGTTGCAGAGAGCGCGAGAAATGACGAATTCAACGACGTTGATGACCTCGACGTCGACCTCGAGACACCAATAAAAAATTCCGGTCCCACATCTTCGGCCAACTCCATAGACATTCACTTGGATGAGGAGGACCACGACGCTAGCGCCATTGACTACGAGTTCTCCGAAATTGGCGCCACCCCGCTTGCGCGCCCGATTGAAAACAAACAAGAGGATGTCAGTATGGATGACACTTGCTTTAGCGATTTTTCCGCCATTCCCAATGCCGATATGACTCTTTTTGCGCGTGTTGGACAACAAGCAGACAAGGAATCCATGACAAGTCCTACAAAGTTTTCTACAGCGGGTAGCAGTTTTGTAAGTCAACTCTAGCACCCATATACCACGGAGACCTTTGCCACTAACATGTCAAAGTCCCCCACACCCCGCCGTCGCCGAGGCCTTACGACTCCCGGGTCGTTTCGCCAGCAGTCATCAATTGACGATTTGAGCCCAAGAACACCCTCTCCCTCGCCGACGCCCCGCCGGATTCAGAGCTCTGCCAAGGAACAAACCACATATCTCCTCGACTTCACTGAGCAAATCAACTCCTTCTCCAGCGCATACCACAATTCTCCAAGTCGGCACGCGACAATGTCTCCCAGCAAGCCTCAGCCGGAGCTTGCGTCCTATATGGCCAGCATGCGGACACCTTCACCAGCGAAGCAGAGACTCCCTCCGGCGACGCCATCGGAGCAAAGGAAGCTTATGAATCTGCTTGACTTTGACATTCCTCCTGCACCTACGCCACGATCTATTCCTAGCATTACTGCGCGTGAGCTTGAGACGGTCAAGTCCAATTTTCAGTCTCAAATTTCCTCCATGCGCGCCACTCTTAGCGGCAGAGAGGCTGAAGTAAACAGTCTGAAAGAGGCCATCGCAGATGCCGAGCGACGCGTCGGCGAGAATATGGAGGCTGTACGAGAAGAACGTGCTACACGAGAGAGCCTCGAAATGGAAAAGGCGGAATGGGAGAAACGTGGCAATGATCTGGAGACGCTCCTCAGAAATGCCAGAGAAGATTTCTTCCAGGGTGAGCAAGAACGCGAGCGGCTTGCCCAGAGGCTTGAGCAGAGCGAGAGGAAGCGTGAAGAAGCCGAAGCCCGAGCTACAGAAGCAGAAAGCAAGGTCGCAGGTCTAGAAGCAGGAGCCGCTTCTGCCACCTCGCAATCTGATGAAGCGACGCCAGGCACTCCCAAGTCCAACAAAGACGTTGAGACTGCTGTAGAAAAAGTCGCTCGTGACCTCCATGCTCTCTACAAATCGAAGCACGAGACCAAAGTCGCTGCGCTACGGAAAAGCTACGAGTCCAGATGGGATAAACGCGTTAGGGAGCTTGAGGAACAGATTGCTTCTCTCGATCAAGAAAACACTCATCTGCGCAACAACATCAACAGCAACGACGATGTTGAAATGTCGGAGCCTCGGGAAACGGAATCTTCAGAATTAGACCGTCAACAACTTGCCCAAGCTCTCCACCGCGCCCAAGAGCAGGAACACCGTATCGCTTCGCTCATCGAAGACCTCAACACGTCGAAGCGTGAACATGCCCAGCTCATGAGTGAATTACACCAGGAGCGCCTCGAAAAGGGCGACCTCGTCGCTGCCGTCGAAGAAATGCTTAATATCCAAGCAATGGCTGCCACCACCAATGGATCTACTACCGAGCCACCTACACCAGGCACCAGTCGATCTACCTCTGCTTCTTCAAATCCTTTTTCCGCCTCTATCAATGCCGCAACCGGTCTAGAAAATCTCCGAAGTAGCATTTCCCGTGTTTCGGGTCTGAAAACCCCTGGATTTGGCGCAAGTATGATGGGCTCAGGCGGAGAAAGTCGTATTGGGAGATTAGGAAGTGGAGTCTCGTCAGGCAGCGCTGCTTCTTCTGGTTCTGGTTCTGGTCTAAATTCAGGATCTTCCGCGTCAGGATCGGGATTGGGGCTCGGCGGCTACGGGAGAAGTGGGATTATGAGTAATATTGAGAGAATGGGAAGACGCGGCGCTTAATTCATTCTTGCTTTTTTTTTTCTCCTGCTTTGTGCTTTGAATTGTTGCTCAACATGGGGGAGTTTAGTCGATTGTTTTCGTGTTTTTTTTTTTTTTTTTTTTTTTTTCTTTTTTTTCCTCGTTGGGTTGAGGTCATTGTCCAGAGAGAGGATTTATGGCGTTTTTCGTTTTCTCTTTTTCATATTGTATTTATGAAGATAACATGATTATCACGCAACCAGGTTTTCTTACCTTGCCTACATCCTTTGATAATCGAGGCATGCACGGTGAAGTTTGGATAGCATTATGAAGCTGATGTGCTAGGGTAGTGCACAGACGTTCACGTGTCCCGTGCCTGCATGCTTTCGGTAGCGACCAACCCCGCCTCGTCCAAAATTAGCTTCAGTGAGTTTAAAAGGATCTAGAAGCAAGGTTTTGCAAACACTTGCAAATCGGTCGACATTATTTCTCCACTTCTTCAATCAACATTCGCGGCGTCTTGAAAATTGGATCAGAAAGCTGGAGCCTTAAACTACTTCCAAGGTCTACGGTTTGACAGCTTCTCTAAGAAATACTGTGCTTTCTTATCAGCAAAAGCATCCTTAATTACGAATTCTTGCCAGAGCAATACAAGTACGGTACACCTTTCAAGAGGGCATCTAAGCCTTCTGTCCAGCAAGCTCGAAACTGGTTTCGGTGTTCCAGGAATCTCGGGGACTACAAGTGATTGTGTTCCTAATTGACGTTTCGTCAACCTTCTACAATCCTCAACACCTAATAGGCAGCGTTGCCGCCAAGCTCCCCTCCGCGACACAGAAAGATGGCTCCTCAAGGCCCTGCTTACGATGTCGACTGGGTGTGGTCAAACAATTCCAACGTTCACGTTGCCAACCATCGCGACTGGTTCACCACATTCACCGAATTCAAGACGCAGACTCATTCTCTCATGGGCCCCGGCATGGAGGTTCAAGGTATTGGGGATGTAGAGCTCGAAGTTAAAACCCAGGACTCACCGCGCGGAGGTAGCGAGTCCTCTCACCGCAAGCTTGTGCTCCACGACGTCCTTTTCGCTCCTAAATTCATCTGCAATATCCTAGGTGGCCCTATTGTGCATGACTATGATGTGGATATGGGTCACGGCAGCCGTAGTGGCGGACTGAAGGATCGACGCACCGGTGCTAGTGCTGGACTCTTCGACCACAACAAGCTCTTGAAACTCTGGCTTGTCGGGCAGCCAAAGGGACAAAGTAGTTTGGATCCCGATGAGTTGTATTGGATTAATGTGCGGTGGCCCGACAATGAACGTTCGAGATGGCTGACTCACAAGAAAAGCCTCGGAGAGCAGCCCGGTGTCGATGCACCACCATGCACGGCCGCAGAGAAGGAGTGGCTGAAGCGTGAATTTGGCGGCGAGTTCACATTTCTACACATGTATGGCCTCAGCATCTCCAAGGAAGAAGATCGTGAGGAAGGCCGGCGCATCGCTCGTGCATTCATGTGGTCAGATGCTATAAAAGGCTAATCCGTCTTTGATGAAGACCAGTAGCTATTTTGCATGCTTTCTTCGTTTGAATAATTGTTCGTGTAGCTTAGTATAGAGGGTCTGGAAATATCAGGTGATGATCGCATATACACGTACAAGAGGGAGCAAGGAAGGTAATTCGATGCGAGGGGGAACACGACTTTTTCATGAACAGAGGGCCTACAGCAGGACGGATGGTTGGAAGTGCGGGGATCGACCCCAGAATTAATCCCACTAGCTTATGGCTAAATCTTTCAACTAGAATAGCTAGTTAATGATACTGACGATAAAGGACCGAGACATCGATGGCTCTGAGGGAGCGCAGGGGTCAGGCTTTGAGCTTGAGGTGCTCGGTGGAGAGATGAACAGTCAATAAGATGAAGAAAATCCAAGCCTAAATTTAATGAATTTACACAACCTATCCAAATTATTTCATTTCGAGATGTATATATGCGACAATCACGCTGAGGTCTTCCCTCGTCCCTGCCCGGTCGCATTTTGTTTTGGTCGGTTATATGGGAGACTGAACGGGATCATCCGACAAAGTGGTCCGAGGGGTCCGTTTGACGTCGCCACATAATGTGGGGGGGACGACAAGCTACAAAGGTACCGTCCAGCGAGAACCAGAGCCAAAGCCAGGAGCCAAACAACGTCGCATGTTCAACCTGGGCTGCTGCAAGTGACCCTTCTTTCCCTCTCCATCGAAAAAAAAGGACACATTCCGATTCCGATTCCGATTATATAGCTCAAAACCATCGATCGGACGACTTTTTCATCTTACTTCAACCTCTCGAGCGATGGCTTCTTGGGCTAGACCACCACCGCCAACCGGCGCCACTCCCGAGTCTGTCCGTAGGACGAGCATGACAAGGAACAGTATCTCGTCAGCTGCGTCTGCATATGCGGAGAATGCGGAGAATGCAATGCCCACGCGCCATCCAAAGCCCCTGACCCCCGGGGAGCTCTGCCTGCAAATGGAGCAGGAGCAGGAAGCTGTGGTATGTTATATCTGTCCAACGTCTCAACTCATCTAGGATACGAATTATCAGAGAACCCAATCAATCCTTGAAACTATACAAGAGATGACCCAATTGACATATTGTCCATTACCTTAGGTCAATCGATTAACACGAGAACTGTCATCACTCCGTGCTCGCTCCGGATCAATTGCCTCTGCCACATCTGTGTCTTCGACCCTGACTGGCCCCGTCACCACTGCAGCTGGCCCCGGCGTCGATAACACGCTTGAGCATAATCACAACCCAATCCATAGCCACCACCGGTCTCCCTCCAGCATTAGTATTCGCAGTACTACCGCTCCTACCACCGCTGTTCCTGCAGCTGCTGTCGACGGCGTCAGCGGCACTGTCGGCGGAAATACCTCTCTGAGCAGACAAAACTCAACAGCCTCATCCCGACTTTCGGTACCACCGTCTCCGCTACCCAATACGGTGTCTCCCAACAGTCTGCACCATAATCCTTTTGATCATCACAACCATCATCATACTCACCATCAACCCGGTCCACCAACCGCCTACACTCAACCGCGCCACGCCTCTCTTCCGCAGCCTCACATCCAGCACTCGCCATCACTCTCACACGCTGCTACTATGCAGCTCCGGTCGTACTCCATCTCGTTGGCGCGCTACGAGGAAGCCGCAAGCCATCGACTCGAGCTCGAAGCTGCCAAGCACGAGAATATGCTCCTCTTGCGCCGCATCCGAGAGCTCGAGCAGCAGCTGAAGGACACCAAGGCGAGACATCAGCATGAGCAACTGCAGGGACATGTACCCGAATTGCACCGGAACGAGAGCACGCAGTCGTCTGGCGGTATCCCTCTGCCCGCGGGTGGTGCTGCAAGAGCCACAGCTGGACCAGAGGAGTGATTTATGGCCCGCCATGCCATGAACCGTTTTCATTTCCCCCCTTCTTCTTTTCATTTCTTTAACACTTTTACTTCCCCTTGGTCTATTTTCTGTGCATTCAGTCAAGATGCAAATCCCTTGACTGCTTGCAAATGCACTCCGTATGGCGTTTGAAGAATTCCATGGCTCACTCTGCTCTTCGTTCTTTTCTTCTTCTCCTATTCACGCTTCATTTTTCAGGGTGTCACACGGTCGTATCATTTCATAGGCGTTATTTTTCCCGTTTCTTTTGTCTTTGCTTTTTTCTTTCTTTCTAATGTTTCACGACCGGATTGCAATTGCACTAGGACCCGCACGTTCGAGATCTCGCGGGTCGTCAGAGAAGTTTCAAACACTCTTTACTTTTTACTCATATGCCTCGTTTTCTTTCCGCGGTACGAGAGTTATTATTGTTAACCACTCTGCGCGTCAGTCGCAAGTTGCAAGTGTTTTTTTTTTTTTTCCTTCCTATTCAGGCACGCAACAGATTTGCTCAAATAGTCTCCTGGTCATGTTTCATTGGCGGATAACTGTTCGACTCTGCAGTCTTTAAAAAGTTGCTTATGGCTTACCAATTACCAACTACCACTCACCAATTGCTATTTGTGCTTCGATCTCAGGATGCAGAGTTTGCCGTGGGTCTTGCTAGATAAAAACATCACGGAAATGCAAATTGATTAATAAAAAATCCATGCAAAATTTGCAAGGACAAGATATGAAGGAGAGATGAAAGCTCGATTGTGAAACGATCGACAGTCAGGGTCTCCTCGGTCCCGAGCCAAGAACCTTTACACCATGTGGTTACCCGGCCATGTCAGCTGACTAGATTACGGAGGTTCCGCTTATGTAATTTGGGCCCCTCGCTTAGCGATAGCTCCCCTCAGCACGTGCTTAATACTGCTGGTTGTGTAGAATAGCTTGTTTTGTTTTCTTTCCGTAACACAGCTCTTAGTTAATGAAAGATTTAATTTCCAGTCCTTTGCTTTTAAAGCTGTAACTACAACCCACACACCCGGGATGCTAGCCCCCAGCGTACCTTGGGCTGTGGCCACCGGTGGTCCCCCCAGCGTGGTCGGCCGCCCAGGTGCCGGTCGGGGGTGGTGGAAGGCCACGGGGCCTGCCTGCATCGATGCTTTGGTGGATGCCAGCTCCTATGTATGGTCGGGACCAACCTCTATACCTGTCAACAGCCCTTCTGTCCATCTCTTTCATCCATCTACCTGTAGGTAATCTAGTATGTACATGGAGGTTTTATTTCATAACTCTTTCATATATAGAGATATACATAGATATATTGAATAATATTTTTTAAATCTATTAAATCTATATACAAAGGTAGACAAGGTAAAGCCTGCTTAATAAAGTGCTATCAATGCATGATAGTATTGAGACTACTAGAAAATGACTTAATCTGCTACTATCCCACCGACTACCATACCTGGGAAAAGAGGTTGCCTGGGAAGGGTTACCCAGCAAGGTATTACCCGGTGAGGGGTTACCCGGCAAAGGTTTTTTGGTGAAAATGGGGGTTACCCGGCGAGGTAGGTGTTACCCGGCGAAGGTTTTTCGGTGAAAATGGGGGTTACCCGGCGAGGTAGGTGTTTCCCGGCGAAGGTCCTTTCTGCAAAACCATTACCTGGTGCAGATCCCCCAGGCCACCCTGGCCATCACCTCCTGCCTCCTGGGGTTACCCGGTGATCTCAGGCTGCCATCATCCTCCCCATGGCCGGCCGGCTGCTGGATTGCCTCACAGAGGGGCTCCTCTCCACACGCCCTCCACCTCCCCTCAGTCTGCACCCTGCCACTCTACCTGCCCTCCCTCAACCTGGTCGAGGTCTGCCAGCCTGCAGCACCCACTCTGGCCAGTCTCCCTCCATCTGTGCTGTGTGTACATCTATGCCTGCCTGCCTGCCTGCTCACCTTCTCACCTGGTGCCCGACTGCCCTCTTGTCTTCTTGCCTTCACCCCTCCCCACAAGTACCCTGCAGCCCTGTCTCGGGTGCGTGGCCCCAGACATCCACCCAACCTGCATCAACCTCCATGGACACAATTATTTAAATAATTATCCACCGAACCAAGCCATGGTGCCACTGAAGCTTACCCGGTGAGGGGGCTGTGGCAGCACACCACCCGGCGGCTGCTGGCCGCTGGCGCCCACGTTGGCCATCTCCTGTGTCCACAGTCTCTTACCCGGCGAGGTTCCCGGTGCATCGGCGGAGCCGACCTCCCCCCTCGAGCCCCCGCGCGAGGCGAGGCACGATGGATGGGCCGTCCAGCGGACGGCGCTCGTTGGGAGAGGCTAAAAGACAAATCAAGTTGGCAGCAGGCTTACGCTCAGTAGATCGTAACAACAAGGCTACTCTACTACTTACACGACCCGGCCAAGCAATTAAGTCGTATGCAAAGGATTTATCCCCGCGCATTGTGAAATTGCAATACGCCAGCTGAGGACCCGGACTTTCACCGAGCCCCCGTTGCCGGCCTGCTAAGATTCAGGGCCAGAGGCCTTTAAGTGTATAGTCAACTAGTTTGTAGAAAGGATAAAAAACACAATTGTTGTTTTAAACAGACACCTAAATCTAGAATAGTAAACAAGAGATCTAAGAGGAGAGATCTAAATAAGGAAAAAAAAAAAAATAAGAAGAGCAACCAATATAAATATCATAGTATACAAATGCATGAAAGTGTAGTAGGGGAGAGAAGAAGTTCAAGGAAAAACGAAAAAAGAAAACAAAGGTATTCTAATGGAAAGAGAATTTGTTAAGAAACACACATGCTGCACCAGGATAAAAGAGATATAGAAGAATTAGCAGGTGGAAAGAAGAGAAGGAAAAGCGAAATTGTAAAAAAATACTTTTATGGTCCATCTACTTCTCCCATTAACCCCCTACATGACGATGATGAATCGCGCGCAAGGAAAAATGAAAAGACAAAGAAGAGAGGGGAAAGAATTTTCGCTAGAACGCGAGTCGAACGCTTGAAATGCAGCAGGTTGAAATGACGGCAGAGCGGAAGCATCGTGAGAGGCGTAAAAACGGATTTCGGTTTTTGGTTTTGAGACTCCGGTAAGGGCCAGTAAAAAGAGGATTACTCCAGGTCAGCGTCTCACTTCAACGTTTGTTCATGATGATGGAGAGAGAGATTTGAAGAGAAGATCTGCAGGGTTGCGGAGTAATGGAAGTCGAATAAGACGCCTTAAGCAGCCATCTTCATGCTGTCGTGCTGTTGACGCTCGCGCTGCTCGCCAAATACTCTGCGGCTCATCTCTAGCACTGCTTCAAACCCTTCGCGGCCGCGCTTGGCATTCTGGCCGAAGCGCTCGACGGTGAAGTCCTCGATGCTGTTCTTGACTTTCTGCCAGCCACCGCAGAGAGCAGTGATCTGGGCATCCTGCGTGAATTTGGTCTGAAGGCTGGTATGAGGCTGATACGTGACGGTTTCGCGGACGGAAAGCAGGTTGGCCCATGTCAGGTTTGTCGAGCACATGGTGACCTTTTTGGATTCCGGGTCCACATAGGAAATCTCATAGACGTGCGAGGTGTCTTTGCCGCCAATCAGGGCGTTGATCCATTTCGGAGCGGATTGCTGGCATGTGATGAGGCGCTCGGCACGAAGCTATCACACATTTGTCAACGTAATTGTCCAAAGTTCCAGATGTGAAGATGTAAAGTTGAAGTCTCGACGTAAAAGATGGGGGACGGCATACGATTCCAGTTGAAGCGTCAACGCCTCGGGAGAGGGTATCAACGGCAATGACATGCGTTGAACTTTGGTTCCACGGGCAGTATTTGCGCCAGTTGGCAGTGGATACTTCTTCCCACGAGTAGTCGAAAGTGCAGTCTGATGCAAACACCTTCATGTTGAAAGCGTCGGTTGGAGCTTTTCCCCCTGTCGCTTTGCGGGTGTCGCGTGCTAATCTTGCAGTCGGGAAGAATTTAAATTCGTTGAATGATAAGAGAGGCTATGGTATCGAGCGACACAGTTTTCAGATTCGCAAAAGTTTCTAATTTAGACAATTCAATGCAAGAGAACGGATAATGTCCGTCAAAAGGAATGCTAATGCTAAAATGCTAACAAAGTTAAAAGAGAAGGGGATTGAGAGCTCGCTTGAAAAAGTCGAAAGTCGGACTCAAAAGAGATGTCTGGGGATTTTGGGGGGCCGCGAAGTATATCACTCTCGCTCTCCGGAGTCGGGTTCAACGGGGCCCGCTCGGCCGTGCGGCAAAACTTCTTTTTCGGCTGCTCGCGTCATAGTGTGGCTGGAACGATCCAGTAACAATGTCACATTAATGTCGCGCTTACTTGATTTGGTAAGATGGGCTGTAAAAGGTCTCGCTTATTTTCATCGACTTAGCGATATGATGTATCCCTCTCTTCCCGATGCGGCAATAACCCTTCCCTTTCAACAAGAGGCAAAAAGGTAGACTTTGGTGGAAAAAAAAAAGATCGGTTTTCCCAGGCCCGATAGGAACCAAAAACCCTTAAAGAGCTGTCACATTAGCGTGTCCAATTCGAGCTTGGCGGGCACTTTTGGTTTCCATCCAAGCTATTTTCACAACAGTGTATTTACATTTGAAACTGATCGTACATGCACACTGGTAGAAGGATTGACATCACACGCGAAATTCAAGATCCCGTCGAGCTCTAGAGAGGCCCTTTAGATTCACCGTCGGTAGAAGCCCCAGCGGACGACCCCAACAAGAGGTGTCAGAATAGCCATAAATTATTTCTCATTCCACCTCCATCTCGATATTTTTATCAAGAACACTGTGTTCCTAGAAATTTGTGTTGAGCACATTGATGCTTAAACGACATCAAGGTCAAAATCGACGAGTAAACATTGAGATAAAAGGTTAGCCAGTTATCCAAGCATCATCAATGCTGCCATCTCCATGAAATCGGGGAAAGAAAAGGCATGGGGAGATCACGAATGTCGGAGCCAATAGGGCTCTGATGGTATAACACAGCATGCTCAATTGCATAGTCCCTTCGTTCGTGTCATCGGAAGCATTCATTGGAAATGGACTATAAATTTCATTTCTTTTGTAACGGATATATAAAATTTCTGTCTCATTCAGCGCATGCCCTTTCCTATGCCCCGCCCAAATGCTCCAAGATGTATAAATAAACGCTGCGACTGATACTGATGCGCTCAAATGCAAGTGCCAATAAGGAGGAGAAAATCTGCAGGACTCTCCCCCAGTCCATAAGATGTACCGGATTGAAGGTATTGCCTCGTCCCAGAATCATTGTCACCGGACGGTGACGCTATCGTTACCTTTATCCAAGCCGATTGGGCGCATCCTCAACGTCGAAGATCGATCTCAATTCCTTTTGCTTCACCCGGTCGTCCCTCAACATCCTGGAGAACTGGGTGTTAGCTATAGAAACCTATGGGTGATCACACCACGCACCTTGAATCTTTGCGAGCATCCTCGCCTTCAAAGTTTAGCACAGGCTTTGGGGTAACGGCTTCGATAACGAAATGATTATCGCAGTGTGGGCAGTACTCGTCGCTAATTCGATTTTCAGCTGACCGCTATCTCTCGTAACCCATATCGTGGATCTTGTTTGTACCTCTCATCGAATTCTTGTGCATCTTTACGGAAGCATTTCTTGCACTTTTTGCACGCGAAAATCTATCATGAACCAGAAGATGTCAGCCGTCATAAATTCAGTTCGCACCAACCCACGTAGTCGCAGGTCTCCAATTCGCGCAAAGGAGGATCGTACCATCTCAAATTTCTGCAGGAGCTGGTGATCTTCTTGTTCCGCATGGCACTCGGCGCAGTCAAACCATTTTCGGCCTATTTGTGGAAGCGAGCTTGCGGTCAGGTCTGCAATAGTAGCCTAAAATGATCCGAATATATCATACAGCATGGTGATCGGATAGCTACTTGAGCGTTAAGAATGTGTTTGCTGAGCGACGCGTGAGCGGAGATGCGCTTTGAAATCAATGATCTGAGGTTGACGCTCAACCTACCACATTGTTTAAAGAATCGCGCAATGCAAAAGGTTTCAATAAGAGGGAAAAATGGCGAAGAAATGAAGTGATCAAAATTCTCTCGAAATGGAGTGAGAAAGACCAGGTGAGAGATGTAAGAGAAAGAGTATTCTGCAATTGAAATGGTAGAAAGATTATTGAGCATACAGTAGTCGGCCACAACCGCGCTCAAGGGTTCGCGTCGGAGCAGATCTATCTTATAAGATAAGATAATAGAAACACTAAGGACAGCAAAGCTCAAACGTGCAAGCCGCTCAATATGGAGTACGAGAGATCCGACTTCCCGTTGCTTGGTCGGCTAACCTCGGTCCGTCTCATCGGTCTCACATTCCTTCGGCATATTATCCCGCTTGCGAAAGAGCTCAAGCAGCTCCTTGGGTTGGTATCAAAGAACGTCGCATTATCTATGAGTCTTACCTTTGAACTAACCAAACCGAATGCAATGCCTCGAAAAGCTTGATGACAGTTTGGTCTTTATTGACACGAATTGGATACTATATATTTCTTCGCAAAAGACATGTTCGCTAAGATTTGCTCTTTACGCGTACAAAAGCTTCCCTAATATAGTACAGCGTAGTAGGTAGTTCAGAGAGAGACAAAGAGAGAAAAAGAGAGAAAAAGAGAGAAAAGGAGAGAGAGAATAATCTATACACGTTGCATGTCCATGATATTGAGTGTCTCTTTAATGCGGAGACGTCGGAGCTTCGCCTGAAAGCGAATCGACTTGTGCCCACTCGCTGGATACGTCAAACGGGCGAACTGCCGGGGAATTTGCAAGCTCCTGCATTGGAGTCTCAAATCTGTCCTTTTCGGTGTCGTTCTCGGGCGACGGGTCGAGTTGTGTCAACCCATCTTCATCGTGATTGTCATCAATAAAACCAACGGATTTCTCTGTCGCTGGTTTGACTCCTTCTTCTTCCTCCTCCAAAACATCGCCATTCCAAGGGCGGCATTGATTGACAATCTCGCCACATCTTAAACAAGCCCACCCTTCGCCCTCTTCGCTTTCGAGCCTTTGTGCAAGGCACACAAAGCAATAAATGCACCCGCACGGTATGGCCTCATAAGGATTGGTAACGTCTGTCTGGGCAGATCCAATCACTCCGCCCGAGGCACCAGACATGGCAAGAACATTATCCTCTGACGTTGAAATGGGATTCTGGTCATGATAACAGATGGCGCATGTCCGCTCCGGTAGAAAGCCAAGCGGACCAGTGGAACGGGAATCTTCACCATTGTCGTCACCCGTTCTGGGCATGAGCGATCTCATCTTTCGCCACGCTCTTCCGAGCCAGCGTCGCCATCGGGAAATGCCAACCAAGGGCAAGATGAAGAGAAGAAATTCTGTAAATGCATGCCAGACAAGCTGACGATTCAAATATTCAAATGATACCTCTCTGTTGACCTGGCTAGTGGGCGTCGCGAGGCGAAGTCGAAGGACACGATCAAGGAGCGTCCGGTATTTGCCATTGAAGAGGAAAATCAAAAAGGAGACAAATGCAGCAAGTGAATGAGCTGTTGACACCGTCGTACTCAATCGCGAGAAAAGTCGAACGTTGGCAGACGGCTAGATGCGGCACAGGAAGATTTAGCTGCCAAGTGTTCTCAATCGACCCATAAGAATGCGGTAATACCTGTTCAAATCCGCCTTCCATATCCACGAGCCAATCTTCCCATTTCCCCCAAGCATAGCGAGCCCCTATTGTGAACAAGCCATAGACAGATTTCTGCCACTTTGATGGTGGCCGAGGCACGGGGCCCTTGTAGCGCGCATCCACGTATTTCAAGTTCTGAAGCGCAGCCCCATATGAAGCATCGTGATCCCAGATAGAGAGTTTGAACAGTACGGCCCGCAGCGCGAGAAGGATTTCTGAAGACCAATCATCCTGCAAATGAGGCTAGAAACATTGTCAGAAATACAGCGACTTGGGTTTGGCATGAAGAGGGACCCTCATCTGGCTTACTCCAAAGTATTTCAGCGCATCCTGGATTTGTCCTTTGAGAAGATCGAGCAATTCCTCGTCAAGAAGCTCGGCATCAACTTGACCGACCCTATACGCAGGTCGCGTCCCTTCACGGCCTCTAATCAAATCCCAAATATCTTTTAGAATATTATCTGCCTGGCTCAAAGAACCCGGTAAGGAATCAATCGTCGCCGATGCGGGAAATCGCCGATCATGGCTCACGCGTGCCTGATTCTCGGCCTCCCGCGACCGGCGACGAGCAGCAATTCGTTGCTGAGCAGCAGTAAAATCAGCGGCGCTCATCACGCACGCATGGTCGAGGTCGCGAGGAGCTGTTATGGCTCCTCTTACAGGAGTAGGCCAAAAGTCGACGTCCACAAGATCTAGTAATGCTCCAATCTAGGGACGAGGGACTACACGGGGAGCTCGGGGATCGCCTTTGATAACGGAGGGAGATGATGGACCGAGGAAGAAATCCGATCTTAAAGTCAATCTACTTTCATTTGTATAGCTTTATTCATGGAACGCAAAGTACCGATACTCTTGTGTCCTTGTGCTAGGGATCCTACGCGAAGAGCAGCCGTCGGCCCTTTTTACTTTGTCGGTTCATTAGCATCCCTGTAACGTTACCTTAATCAAGGAGCTACAAGCTTGTCCTCAGCGACAAGAGCAGTTTACTTCATTCTTTAATATGACAGTTGAAATTTTCTGGTTTATATATAATCCAAAGACTCGCAGCAGAGATAACACCAGTGCATAATTAAAATACATCTGTCAACCTTTGCCGCGCTTATAGTATATTATATGCTCTTATATTATTAAATCCTAATGGTAATGCGACAAGCTCTATATAGCTGGGGGTTTGCCCTCGAGTCTAAATTAATGCAAAATGAAAAGCAGTGTTCTCGGTGTGAGTTTGTTTGTGTATGTGTTTGTATGTGTGTGTATGTGTGTGGATAATCAGACGCCTCCCCGGTATATTGTGCCTGTAAATCCCACGCTATATCTTGCCAGGAGAATGAGAAAATGAAAATGCAAGAAAAAAGAAGTGGTCGATAGGGAAGAAGAAATTATGTAAAGGTTGCCAATGAGAGGGCGATTCCCAGTCGCCAAAAGATTAAAAGTTTAATCAATGTACATGAACCGTGGATGTGTCAACCGCACAGCCACGTTATCAGTTGGTCTTTACCTTACGGTTTAGACAACTGTTCCTTTCGGAAGAATTTGAAGAATCCCACACAGATTGCCAATTGGAAGAACAACGCAATCCAGAACCATGCCTTGTGTAATCCGTCGGTGTAACCGGCAGAGAAATCTGGGAAGACGTCGCCAGGACCAACCTTGTTTGGTCCACAAGCCCGTGCCACAATCGTTGCAATACTTCCAAGAACCTGCGCGGAAACGAGAGTGAATATGATGTGGAATCTAGTCAGCGTCTGGAGCAAGATCATGCCGAAGCCGACACCTTGCAATGCGTCCAAAACACCAAGCCACAGCCAGAGAATACGTCCGACCACGGCTGATCCAACCGGTGTTCCAGCCCAAGGGACGTATAGACCAATGTTCGAAACACCCCATAGCATCTGACACCATCGAGGTGCGCCTAGGGCGACGGCAAAAATGGGAAGAACCCAAGAGTGGCGGGTGGACAGGCGGCTAAAAAGGTAAAGACATGCTGCCCAAATTCCAATAAAGAAGAGAAGCAGAAGGAGCACAATGGCGTAGGTGGGTGCATGTTTTGTGGACCAGAAATATTGCCAGTTTCGACCATACGGTGCCGAGAGGAAGAAATTTTGGATGATGACAGCAACGAAGAACCACTGAGACAGCATTAGCCTTCAATTTTTATTTAAAATTGATTCTCAGTACGTGAATGACAACTTACAAGGATGATCTTGCGTCGGATGACGGATGAGTAGAACGATGGCACCTTACCAGGGCTCTGGCGGTAGAACTCCGGCAAACCGAGAAAGAGCACGGCACCAACACCGAACAAGAGCAGAGCAATTGGCAGACAGATCACTGTACGAGGCCAACCATAAGTCACAACGGTTGAGGCTTGCTTGCCTAGATTGTTGATCTTGACAAGCTTTGCGCCCCAGAGCCACAAAACGGAAACATAGATCTGCTGCGTCCCTTGAATGACACAAGCACGGAAACTCCACGATTCCACGGGTACGCTTCCTATTTGGAGTTAGTATCATTGTAAATCCCACACAGAATTACTGGGGCTAACGTACCCTCGGCACCAAAATTAAGAGCAAAGAAAAAGGATCCGCTGGCAGACGCTACAGCGTAGAAGCCGGTGGCCACGTTTTGGACCCAGTTCCTGCTGGCCATGGTCGCTCCATAGGGGGAGAAAGCCAGAAACACAAAGGCAAGGCCATAGAAGACGAAGGGGAGCGACAACACGTAGACTGATTTCAACGTTCTGAAAACGCACCACCAAATAATGGAGGCGGCAAGGTAAATGCAAGCTACAGTGTAGAGCTTCGATGCAGTCTCTCCGATCTCGCCAGTCAATAATGAAATCTGGTAGGAATTGGCAGCAATGATTTGACCCTGTTGCAAAAGAGAAAATAGAGTTAATCGCAGTTCGTCATTATACGGATGAAAATCAAGAGCCACTTACGAAAGCGAGAAGGAACGAATAGACAGGCCAGTCTCCAAATTTTGTTGCAAGGATTTTCCTGAAACCAGTAGGTGGGGTGTAGTCGTCCTGGAGAAGGAATTGGTCCACGCCCTCCTCTTCACCGTTGCCATACGTGCCGTCAATAGGTTCGTTGAAGATGGAGGCCGCAGGGCTCGATCGTCCGAACCTGAAAATGGATGATGCCGGGGTTACAGTGACCGAAGTCTTTCCCATCTTGGCGTCGTGGAAGCGACTAAACCAATTCTTTTCGCTCTTGACAAGGTACTCCTCGACACACAAGTTGCTCTCAGAGGTTTTGCCGTTCAAATTATCGAGCATCTTGTCAAACGTCTTGTAGTAGAGGCCAGTTGGGTCCGTAAAGAATGGCTCGACCTTTTGCAAGGTATAGTCCTTCTTTTCGCCGACAACAGAGGCCAAGCTAAGATTAGCATCGGCGCGAGAGTAAGGCGAAAGGAAGTAGTCCTCCATTCTTGGACTGGTCGGCATGGAGCCGGCGGGAGAGAAGGGTACATATGGGCTTTGGGGAACGGACGGGCTGTACTGGGCGGCGGAGTCACGAGACGAGAACGAAGCTGGGTTGAGGGAGGCCAACTGGCTGCTCTGCTCACTCTCTCTAGCTTGCTCGGGCGTTAGAATGTACTCATCCACAACATTGCTGGCGGCATCATCAGCAGCGGTGGCCTGGGAACCATCCGATAGGCGCTGTCTGGAACTGCCCTGGCCATGCTCGTCAATAGCCGTCAACTGTCTGGAAGAACCGGCTTCTTGGCCGCCGTTTGCAACGCCAACAGCATTGTTGTCACCAAAAGGATTAGGCTTGCTCAATCGTCTCCGTTGGCGACCTGCCAACCCTGAGTCATCCGAAGGACTGGCAGCCCGGCTCGCCGGAGCACTGCGGCTGACTGAACTGTCTCGAGAGAGTGTCAGCCGGCTCATTCGTCGACCTCTTTCCCCTTCAGGAACGTGACCGGGTCCAACACGTGTGCCAAGTGATAAAGTCTGTGGTCCAGTCTCTGCACCGGCGCCTTCTCTGGAAGGACTGCCGGCACGAGTGGAAGGTCCACTTTGGGGTGCCGTGGTAGGGATACTGGGAGCTTGCATCCAAGGTTGACGATACATCGAAGAAGCAGATGACATGTTGAAAAAGCTTGGCGTTCTGCTCTGGGCCCATGGGCGAGGAGTAGCTGAGCCACTGACAGGCGTCTGGGCACCAGAGAGTGCGAGCCGGCGCGGCTTCAGAGCTTGTTTCTTGTGGATCTTAATAGACGTCTCCTGAAGAATCCCGAGATCTTCAACCCACTGCGCGACAGGGAAACGTTGCTTTGCCGACCGCGCTCTCATGATTGCGCGGACCTCTTGCTTCGAGTCCAAAGCTCCGTGGATAGCTTGCTTGAATTGCTGAATCAAATGCTTTGTTGTCGTCGACTCGATGGTGTACCACCAACCAGGCATCTGTCCCAGACCACCAACTCGGGAGCCAACACCAAGGGCGCCTTTACGGCCGAATTCGACCGCTACCAGACCAAAGGGCTCATCTCTTGACGGAATCAGGGCAAATTCGGCACCGCTGAAGATATATGGTGGCAAGGCAGTAAACTCTGGCCTGGAAAAGACCCGGTTGGGGTATACCTTCATCATATGGTCGAGCTTGAGCGCTGCAAATTTACCATAGAGATCAATGACAGGACCAATACAAATGAGCTGGACATTGGAATTTTCCTCCAGGACGGCCGGGAAGACATCTGCGATGAGATCCACACCTTTTTGCATGGACCAACGACCAACAAAGACAAAAAGCTCGGCGTTGGGATTCTGCTCTAATCCAGCCCATTCCTGAGCTTGACGCTTGAGAGGTGCTCGAGAGGCTTCAAACTCAGCATCGACAACGACCTCGTCAGGGTTCGCAGGCTGCTTGTTCCAATCTCCAACATCCGTTGGGTCAGGGTTAGGAAGGCTTCCAATTTTCGAAAGACCCCAAAAGATCGGATAACGGGCAAATGAGCGTTTACCGTATTTCTTCGAGACACCAACGGCACCAAATCCCTTTTGATGAATACGCAGGTAGCTTGCTCCTGCATGCAACAAGTTGAATACTTCTCCAAACTGCACATAGCGGCGAACAATTTCTGCATCGAGGTTGTACACACGGGACACTTCGTCAACTTCAAGTGCGCTCCGCATCGGCCATAGGCCTTGGAATTCGGCGTTGTGAAGCGACAAACAAACAGGGATGGTGTCGGGGAGAAGATACAACGGAGCGACGGTTCCATGGTAATCGTTGATGTGGTAAAGATCAATTGGGAAACGACGGATGGCTTCCGCAATACACTGGTTCCAGGCCGAGTAATAAATGGCGCTATCAATGTCGTCCATACGGGGGGGATAGGGCTCAGCTTTGGTCTGTTGTCGAAAGACTGGCGCGTCGAGAAGCACGTAGGTTATGTTCCGAAGAGTGTGATATTGCACGTTAATGATGTACTCATTACCAAGCACCTTCACAACCATGGGCTCAGCTCGTTGGTCGATGGGATAGTCGATACCTCCGGCGCAGGGAACGACCCAGATCAAATCCTGATGTCCAAGATTCTTGCCCATGAGTTGAGCCATGACACCCAGACCACCAATCTTAATCTTGATCTCCCAGTCCTCGATATCATACTCCATGGTAGCGATGAGGACGGTGCGACGGCCACCCGCAGCTTCCACGGGGGCGACAGTTGCCGGGGCAACTTCACTCAAGGCGGTAGAAGATCCGGTGAACCTCTGGAACGCGGGTGAACCGAGATACCTTTCAGGGATAATCTTCCGAACAGCAAGAGGAACAATACCGCCCTTTTCGCTAACACCAACCTGGTTGAACTTGACCTGGTAAAAGGCGCGTAGATAGGCCCAGACTCCCAGCGCACCGGTCAAAGGTGGGATAAAGGCAAGCAAGAGGAACAGTGCCAGTTGCTTCCAGCGTGAACCCACAGGAGTCAGAGTGTACCTCCGGTCGGCATCATTGACACTAATGCGATACGCCAGGTGAGGCGAAGGTGGAAACTCGGTAATGTTTACAACGGCCTCCATTAGCGTAATTGGAGGGATCCGATCAAGAACGGTGTCATTGTCGACATCACCAAAAGCCGCTGTAACGTCTGGTTCTCCATCAGGGTTCATTCCCCACACGTTTACCTGGAACTGCGCCGGCCACTCGGTCATGAAATTGAAATTCCAGATGCCATCCTTATCCTGCTTCATCACATTCGGCAAGCCTGCATCATAGCCAAATTCGTTCCATGGACCATGAAGGGATAAGTGAGGGAAACGCCGTGCGGGGCCATCTTCGTGCAATTCTCCCTCTTGGACGTGGTCGCTACTTCCAGCAATCCGGCTCCAGTATTGAACAGTGACGTGTTCACCAGTCCATCTTTGAGCCTTAGTACCGCTCCACGCAGTGGGCTGAATAGTCGTGTTTCCGCCAGTGTAGTCAAGCCAGTTACTGTAGCTCGAGCCCCAAGTGGTCGAATACCGGAATTTGTCTGCACCAGGGGCGCTATGTGAAATTACGAGCTCTTTTCCATCTTCGCTCTCGTGAAACAAACTGGTCGAATAATTTCCTGTGCGTGGGAAGACAACGGGGTTGGCACTGTCACCAACCCTGATGAAGAAATGGTCAACAGAGTTGGTAAAGGTACTGTTTTGCGATGTGACATTGCGGATAGTGATTTGATGGATACCATGAGAAACGTCGACAAGATTGGCTTTGAAGGTCCACGCAGTGGGAATACCACCGGGCCATTTAGGCGCCTCGACCTTAGCGACCGTCAAGCACTTGATGCTGCTCCTGTCGAGTTTCGCAGTCACCCGGTCCTCTGTGGACGACTGGAATTCCATATTGTCTCTGACGCTGTCGCAATCCATGGGGGTTGAGAAATCCAGCTCAATGGCAACAGTGTCCTGCTGTCCACGGGGCACCTTGGAAAGGATTCTGGTGTCGTGACCAGGTGTGAAGCCAGTTAGCATCGGACTAGGCGCAAGCCATTTGTCCTTGGGCACAAATGCCTTGTAATCCCATGGATCAAGGTGCATGGCCGAAAGACATCCGTTCCATTCCTTTACGCCCTCGAGCCCAAAGTTCTGTACAGAGGTTTCCAGTGTGTACTCTTCAAACGGATAAAAGAGGTTCTTGACGGTGACGTTGGGATCAAAAGGCGCAATGAGACCAAGGGTGTCAATGGAGCAGTTGAATGTGTAAGTTTGAGGGACATTGTTGTTCGTGTAGACGAGCCAAACACTCTGGTTGCCTCCATGACCCTGATGGCTAAAGTCTTGAACGCCAGGCCACTGAGCATGAACAACACTCCACACGCCGGTTTCAGTTGGAGTTCCGTAAGAACCGGGAAGATAGATATCCCACGTCTGGTTGGAGAGTTGCTTGAGGAGGAACCCGTCATTAAGAGCTGGAAAGCGTTCACGCATCTCAAACATGCTCTTGTAGATGTTGCGAACAGGGTGCGAAGGATCTCTGTGGTCAAGACTGACCCAGTCATCTTTGCAGGCCTCGAGGGAAGATTCGAGAGGGAAATCCCAGTACTTTTGAGATCCGACCTTGTAACATCCATGGTCTTGCCATGCTTGAGACGAAGCCATGGGCGATCTGCCAAAAACATAGTTGTTGGCCGTATTATCGAGAACATAGAACGCCTGCTCCTCACCCCATGAGAGCGTGGGAATTCCCGGTAGCATCAACGTAATCACGAAGATACCCAAATTCTGTCGGTGAGTGCCGTTCTTGATACCGGGCCACCGGAAAACATCCTGGTTGGTTACACCAAACATGTGGCGCGGATCGAAAACACCAGTTACGGCGTTCAGCATGTCATTAGTTTGAATCAGTGCTTCCCAACCAGCGACCCAGTTCACAGGGGTGTCATCGGCGGCAGCCATATTACCGTCTAAACCGAGAAATCGGCCCATGGCACGATACACGGAGTAGTGGAAGGCAGCCCCATCAAACGCGTTTTTGCCCACGTCCCGGATGAAGGCAGAGGAGTTTGAGCTATTCGTCATGGTAATGGCCTCCGTCATGTTTTCGATCATCATGTCGGGCTGCTTGCCTCGGCCAATATAAATTGATCCAAAGGCATTACCAGCGACAATCTCACCGGGGATGTAAAAGTTATGTTTGCCGACAGTGGCGGCACATTGGCGGAGATGGTCTGCAAAATCTCCTTGGGCGTCGACAGTGATCTGCAATCCCTTATCCATACGGAATCCATCAATATCCAAAGCCATAATCGTGATGCACGAGAAGTGCTGGATCTTAGCACGGACGTCGCTTCGCCATTCACGTAGTCGGTCCTGGACAAAGGCGAACTTGGAAATTTGACGCTGCCATTCGGGGTAGTCACCAAAAGCTGCAATGTCACCATACTATGAATGCCCAGATATTAGCGAAGCGATTCTCACGTCAAATGGCAGAGGTCAGCGCAAATTTACCTGGTCGAATTCACTATCCCGGCATCCAATGAGGTGTTCTGTGCCGTTTTTATGCACGGGAAAACCGTCGTCACCCCAGAATCGAGGATATTCACACTTATCGATATAAGAGTTGCCGAAACTGAAATCGTTGTATCTTCGATCATATTTCCACAAAGCGTTATGCTCCTTATAGTTGAAAGGAGTACTTGCGTTCAAATATCCCTCGAATCCAATCAAATCACCCATGCTGCAGAAACGATTAGCGGTCGAGCTGGGTTCGCCTCGGTTTCAAAGAGCTAATGACTTACGTTGCCATGGTGTTATCGAGAATCACGTACATCCCTCGGCTGTGGATGTCAGCAACACACTCCCGCCAAGCGGAAATGTTGCCAAAATGTGCGTCCAGGAGGGTCAAGTCCAACGGACTGTAACCGTCATTCTCCCACGGCACGTTGATGTGCGGACTTCCAGCCAGATAGATTCCCTGCGAATGTCTCTTAGTCTACACTTCAAGGTCGACGGACAGATGTTGCTCCTACCTTGACGCCCATGCCTTGAAGGTAGTCCAAAGACGCTTTCAAGCCGTCCACGTCACCACCATAGCGCAGTTGCGTGCCATAAAGGTCATGTTCCCATGCGGTACCGTTGATGTCGTCATTGGCTGGATCGCCATTTACGAATCGGTCCAGGAAGAAGCTGTAAAAGGGCATACGCCAATTCTCAGGCGACGGTGTGTACGTGTGATTTTCCCATTCTCCCCAGTAATCGAGGGGGTCGATAGCCGTTTTGTTGGTGTTCAGATTCCAGTCTTCGTAGGCAGGATCGTACCGAAGGGAGTGAGATACGGGGATTAGCAGTGCCAGCAAGATGCTCAGGGACGTGCCCAACATCTTGGGCGATTTGAGATGAACCATACGGATGGTTCAGATCTCTCGCAGTTTCCTGCTGCGCTGGCCTGGAGAAGAAAAGGCAGCTCGAGATCGATATAGAAGGGTGCGTTGAAAAAGATTATGAAAGAGTATAGAGAAAGTGCTTCGGCCGTTGGCTGCACAAATCAATGGTTGCAGCAAATAAGGCCACCAACGACAACGTAAACAAATGAAACGAAGGTGGTAGGCAGTCGTGTGAGTTGATGCCCGGAAAGGAGGATGAAACAAGCAGGATGAAAAAGACCCAAAGGAGAGGGACACCTGCTGCTGCTGTTGCTGTTGTTTGGGGCAAAGACACCACACACACACCGGCACAGCCGCAGAGGTCTTGACAGAGAAGAAAGGAAAACGAAGGAAGAGAGGGAGATGCAGAATAGAAAAAGGGTAGCAACTGGCGGAGGTGGTTCGTACATGTACTCCGTAATGTATTTAGTGTATGGGCCCGGTATCCGATGGGGGCAAGATCATGGCAGGTCGACGGGGAGCATGCAGACCGGTTGAGACAGGGCTGGTTAGAGGGGCTGATTGGGTCCAGAGACGCCATAGGAATTGGATGAAGGGGTCCTGCATGTGAGAGAAGAGACGGTGCAGTCGACCAGGTGAGGACGGTGCAATCTGGCCATGGTTGTGGGGGGGTGGAGGGGGGATTGATGGAAGCATTCCCACTTTGGGCGCGCATCATCATGATCCGTAGCAGCAGCAAATAACAATATCATCAGCCTTAACTCCAGATCAGGTATCAAGCGGGACGGTCCCCTGACGGCGTTGTGTGTAGTTGCAGAACTAGCTTCCGAAGACAAGACGAGGAAAAGGATGCTTGTTCAGTCTATCAGAGAATGGCCGGGTGGGCCACGCAGCTATCCGGCGCTCCGTCTCATAATCCATCATCATGATGGTAGTTGCATCGGTTGATAATATCCAGGTACGAAGAAACGCAGACCCATGTAACCACCACCACCACCACCACCGACACCACCACCAGGAGCACCTCGAAAGCAATTTTTAGGCTCTAGTTCGGCTCGCTTGCATGCGTGCAGTGGCTTGCTGAGTCGACGTCTCTTGAGAAAAATGCGTTCCGGCACACCAATTTTGCCCACGGCTTGTCTCTTGCGTGCCGGGTCCTGTACCAGGGGACAGGGTTCCACTTTACTTAGGGAGGCAACGACTGCAGGTCAAGCCGATGCCGATTCGGACGGGGGGAGGGTCGGTGAGTACAGTGGTACTGAGCATGGGGGGGGAGTAGTGGTTGTACTGTTGTAATTTTCGTAGTGTGGGTGTGGGTGTGGGTGGACTCTGTCATTCACCCATACACAATTCTCCCCATCTGGGGGACCTCAGCGAAGAATACCGTACAGCTCAAGCTGGTCGCTTAAGCACGGGCCTCGAACCCGTTCGCCACGCTTGCGTCGCACATTTTGGCCTGTCATGAAATGCTTTTTCATGACTCTTAGTGCAGGCAGACAACAAGTAGCAAAATAGATTTTAGTGGGGATTAATTCAGGAGTTGCAGGCATCCTGCTGCTCTGAAGTGGGCTCACCCAAGTATCGGTCAAGGGTCTCGCTCTCTACTACTCCGGCAGATCTTCGCTTGGCCGATCGATGATCCCGGCAAAAGTCCTGTTCGGGGATTTTCCTCACCAAAATTGTTGAAGAGCGAAGACAGCCGAAAACTACAGGACCTATACAAAGGTACCAGCACGGTCATTTCTCCGGGACAGCAATTCTTATCGGCCCTTGATGAAGCTAAGCTAACTCGTTAGTGCAGAGAAATAAAATGGCCCACCTTGCCCGATTTGGGGCCCCGTGGATGCGCGTGGGACGGCCCTGAACGTGGGAACTTGTCAAATCTCCAACCCAACCACAATCGGCCATGCCGCCATGGCAATCCGGACTGGCCAAAAACCTTTTTGCCAAATACAAAGTACAGAACCATGGCACCGTTGGACACCACAGCAGACAAAAGGCTAGGATAACCCGTGAGCGGGAGCCGCTCTTTCCCTTTTTCTTGGGGACAGCAGAAATTTTCTCCACCAATAATCCTTTGCTTGGACTCCATGTCCAAGCAAGTCGCCAAAAAGAATTACTCGTTGAATATACCCTTTGTATGGTGTCAAGGATGCCCCTGTTTTCCCGCCTTATCCGCTTTTTCCTTCCAGTACGTGAGAAACGATACGTATCTGAAATCGTTGAACTCTCTTACCAGACATGAACAGTTGAGAGGAAAGGGGAATTGTCCCAACCCTGGTCTAGGCCGTCAGGACTGCCGTCGAGCTCTCTCTACCGAGCGTTGCCATTCAAGCCTCTTGTTGCGTGCGGGTGGTGAAAGACACCGCCGCTAACACCCACCGTGTGTAAGAGGATGGTTCTAGCAGGGAAAGGCGCCAGCGCCCAGAAGGGTATAGACACCACGTCGATCCTAAACCCACTGTTCCGCCTACCTCTAGGTACTCTACGTAAATGTGTATTTGTTATCCCTCCCACGCACTATGAATTATTCAACGAAACATGTCCACACGCGTGGGACGCGGGTTTAGCGTGGCGTGCGCCCTTCTTCTGAGACCGACGTCGTATCGATGCACCCTTTTTTTGGCAACAGTACCTCCGTATCTACCTTAGGTACTATTTTTGCTTTTTATTGAAAAGAAATTTTTTATTTTTCAACTGGTTTGCCAGAATTTTCTGAAGCAGAATGTGGGCGTACAGGACGTCGTACCTACATGTTGTACCTTGCACATCATGATTTCTGCGCAGCCCGCATCCTACAAAATGCATAAAATGGGATTGGCGGAGATCCCAAGGATCGTATTGCTCGTGCATGCTACCGTGCATGCTCTCTGTATTTTTCATCTTACCACAATACCCTAATAGAATAATAATCGTACTGGCACAGTCCACCATTGCATCGACCCACCCGATTATGACGCGCTTGAGTGCCTTCGCTTGGTTCGAGGTTTTCCGCATGGCCGGGGCATCCCAGGGATGATCGTACTTGTCTCAATGAACCCGTCGTTCTGGCTCTCAATTACAGGATACCATGGACTTGACTGCGGGTATGGAGTAGGCTCAGCACAAGAGCGGGGAGTAGGTGGCCCGACACACAGCAAAAGCGGGGACTTCATTGAATGATGGATATGATACGGAGGTAGTGGTCGATAATTCTGAGAAATTACGAGCGGCTGAATGCATGCTCGTTATAATCTCAAATGATCCAAGATGCTTTTCTGCAAGGGTAGCACGATGATCGTCACAATAAAAGTTGCAGTAGTGGCAGTTATAGTTCTACTATATTGTTTGTAAAATTAATGTCGCTATCAAGGGAAAATGAGCGGGTCCTTAAACTTGGGTGGCAAAACGTTTATAGGAGAGAGAGAGAGATGTCAAATCTCTTCTGATGTGGAGAGACCACCAGATGCGAATTGGAGAAGAACGGGGTTTATCTTTGCCGAGGGTGATTCTTCCTCTCAGAGTCATTGAACCAACTGGGGAGGGTAAAGGGGGAGGGGCCGCGCGCGGTGGGTCGGCGGCGATTTGCGATGATGACGAGCTGGGGATCGGATCTCTCTCAAGTACTACTACCTTATTGACTGTACCTGCGATTTCACTTGCTGGAGAATCGACTTAACAGGTAGGTAGAGTACGTACACCTCGTTAAGTTTCCTCTTATTCTACAATCTAGTCTCTTGTAGAGGCACTTTTAATTTGGCCAAAGTGTAGCATAAACTATAGTATCTCTACCTGCTTATAAATATCGCCTCTTTCCTTTGACCCATTCAGCGGGTCAAAGCACTGATCAAAAAGACAAACTTGCTCGTCCTTGCTGCCGATCACTCAATGGTTTCATTTCAGAAAAGTCCTGTTGCTGCCTCGGAAACCAAGCTCTACTGGAGTAGTGGTCTTCCTGCTTTGTCTCAGGAAAACACCAATATAGTGCGACAAGATGTCCACAGCAACACTATTGATTCAAAGATGAAACAGTGGTTCAGCGGACCTTCTTCCCTATTGGGTACATTTTTACTTGGTTGTTACCTCGGCCCCACCATGTTCATAAATCATGGGCCTCACCGCCCTACTACGTAGTACCATGGTAATCAGCAATATCAATTCCATAACCTTGGAAAGTCGGCAATTCCAATTCCAATTCTTTTTCTTTTTCTTTTTCTTTTTCTTTTTTTTTGCGGTCATTATCTTCTTACCACGTTCAGAGGAGCTGAGCCAAAGGCGTTTGTCAAATATTGTTGCATGGCCACGGGATAAGGTCCGGCCATCAAAGAAGATACAACCACACGAAGTACATGTGCACGTGGGATCCAAGTGCCGGTTCACTCCATTACTGTACAGAGTATACACAACCTGAGTAACAATAATGATCCGTGATAGCTGGACGGGAAGCGCACCTGTCATCAACAGGCCGCCCTGGTGAGATTTTGGCTTATCGTCGTCTATTCTTAGCCTTTTCTTCCCATCCGATAACTGTGTTCCGGCATTTCAGCGCCCAACACGGCAACTTTGTTGGCCTGTCTGAGTTTGTGTTCCATGCCTATCTTCCTTGCTGAGCACATGCATGTCTTGGGGATATCATTTGCGCCTGGGATGTCATATCTTTTACGGATGCCGTGCCTCTCAATAATTCTAAAATCCCCTGCCACCGGGTGGTGTCATTGCAGGTGACTGGTGCAGAGCAGCCCATGTGAATTATTCTCCAAAAAATCAGCCGTTGGAGAGTGATAGGGCGCGCAAGCTGAGGCATAAGCAACTATCGATAAGCCCTGTGCCTGTCTAATCCCGCAATTCTGGTAGTTAATATCTCAATCATTCCCTCCTTCGTTATGCACTGCCAAGACTCCATTGTGCAAGGACAGAGACGCACATTTTGTTCGATTATGCATTGATGTATCTGGGATATTGCTTGACAATGAATTTTCTTCCATGCTGGCTGCTGCTTTTGGGGTATGCCGTTCCATCTCTTGCCGCGACTCCAGAGGATTGGAGATCGAGGGCCATCTATCAGGTGGTGACGGATCGTTTTGCAGTTGACGATGGCTCGACCAATACCCCTTGTAATCCGGGGCTGGGCCGCTATTGCGGAGGAACATATCAGGGTCTAATCAAGCGTCTTGACTATATACAAAATATGGGGTTTAGCGCAGTGAGTTAACGTCTTTTTCCTTTGTCTTGTAATGTCGTCTGTATAATTTTCACAAAGCAATTAATGCTGACAATAAATTCGCCCATCTTCAACGCAAAAAGATCTGGATATCCCCGATTACCAAACAACTCCCCCAGCATACGGTGGACCTTGATGCCTATCATGGCTACTGGCAGCAGGATATATATCAGTTGAATGAACATTTTGGGGACCCAGACGACCTGAAGGCGCTCTCAAAAGCATTGCATGATCGTGGAATGGTAAGCACCTAGATGAGAAAAGGAAAGTTACATGGGGTTTCTGCAATCTAACATCGACCGAACAAAATAAAGTACTTGATGGTTGACATAGTTGTCAATCATTACGGGTGGGCCGGGCCTGGGCCCACTACAAATTTCACGGAATTATCCCCGTTTAATGACGAGCGATATTTTCACACCTACTGTCCATTCTCTGAGCCGGACAATCAGACCAATGTTGAAGAGGTTCGTACACCATCAATCGTTTTAATTTAGTAAGAGCACGAGGATCTTATCTTGTGGCACAGTGCTGGCTGGGCGACGAAGTTATTTCCCTCCCCGACCTTCGGACTGAAGACGACGATGTTGTGGACATATATTACGATTGGATTAAGAGTCTTGTCTCGAATTACTCTGGTTCGTTGACACCCTGAGCACTGGCCGATGCTAAGTCATTATTCTAATATCGCAGATAGTTGATGGTCTTCGAGTTGATACTGTCTTAAATGTCGACAAACAATTTTTTCCAGGATTCAGCAACGCCGCGGGCGTTTTCTTGACGGGCGAGGTCACGTCCGGGGTCTCCGATTATACTTGTCCATATCAACAGATTATAGATAGTGTTCTCAATTACCCCATGTGCGCCGGTCTCTCGGCTCCCCTTGCTTAAGCTCGAACTAAATAATTTGGTTAGTTATTGGCCTCTGACCCGCGCGTTTACATCGCCGGACGGTAGTATTACCGATTTGCTCGAGGAGATTTATGCGGTGAGAGCAACATGCAAGGTAGTTTAATCGTGTGACTAAGATGTATCTAAACCCGAAAAGGCTCACTTGTCGCATAGGATCCGACCTTACTTGGAAGCTTTTCAGAAAATCATGACGTCCCAAGGTTCCCTTCTCATACCTCTGATCTATCGGTGAGGGCTTTTTCTAAGGTGTCTTCGCGACGATCCTAGATACTTTTACTAATGGTATATCCAGCTTGCGAAAAATGTGATCGCGTATACAATGCTCACAGATGGCATTCCAATCAGTAAGACATGTACAATTTAGAGCATGATCATAATTATTTCATTTGTTAAGAGTTCCTCCTAGTTTATGCAGGCCAAGAACAACACTATTCGGGAGCATTCAACCCTGTCAATCGGGAAGCGGTTTGGTCGTCTGGCTACAATACCGACAGTGAATTGTACAAGTTTGTCACGACCCTTAACACGATAAGGAATTACGCCATTCGACAAGCTACGAACTATACAATTTATCTCAGTACACCCGTATTCAATGACACCAACACACTTGCTCTGCGAAAGGGCTTTGATGGAACTCAGAGCCTTTTAGTTCTAAGCAATCTAGGATCACAGGGGAAGCATTATAGTGTGACCCTGGGCGACACTTTCCAAGCCCATGAACAAGTCACCGAACTAATTGGCTGTTCCAATGCAACGACGGATGGCCATGGCGGCCTTGCAGTACAGATGGGCGGCGGATTACCCAAGATGTACTATCCCAGCTCTCTCCTGAAGGATTCTGGTCTCTGCGGCTTCCTTGGGAAAGCAGCAAAGCCAACGGCGCCGCCTCCATCGACACCGACACATGGACCGGTAGCTCCAAAACCCCACCACAAGAGTTCGGCCAACTCTTTGGTGGAAATGATTCCACGCCACCACATCTGCATAGTGTTTTTGTTTACATTGCTCATTCGGGGGATTATCGACTTCAGCTCTGGCAAATGAAAGGGCTGATACCGCATCGTACGATATCTTTCAGCAAAAGACTGTTTAGCTTTATGGATCGCATCGCCCTGAGGACGCCACAAAACGTGGGACGTGGGAAACAAAGTTGAAGGCGACCGCTCTACTGGGCCCAGATTGCCTCGCCCTGGGGTCGAGCCAGCAGGATGGTTCATTGAAGCTATTACGATCGGGCACTCCGGACAGCCTCAAGAGCGCGGGTGGAAAGCAACGGCAGTTGATTGTCCACGACAAGGGACCAATGGTTCCGTCTACAATAAGCCTCCTGAAGCGTCTCGGCTCTTCTCTTTCACGCCTTCGTCTGATTGTTAGATCCGCACTGGCGTCTGGGCCTAGGTGGCGGTCTCTTCAAGGGAGCTGAATGTGCAAGCCAGAGAAGGATTACCCGCTCCATGCTTTTTACGCTTGGGAAAGCTAGCGCCATTTTGTTTGCTGGCATCATGATTTAGATGGAATCGGCTCCCGCCTCGTAGTTAATCTGTAGGAATGAATCTAACTAATACTTTTTTAAAATGCACATGCCGAGTGGCTTTCCTTTCCTTTCCTTTTATTATTCGGCTATTGCTCGCTCCTTTTCCCCTTTCCTTTTCCCTTCCCGCTCAAGTTGCGAGAACATGTACAAAAGTGTGTCGTCAACCACGCGTCCACACCATCAGCAGCACGAGAATAGACGGGTTTTAGATGGGGCCACGGCTAAGTCTAGTGGGAAATAAGTTAGCACTCGTTCAAGAGCCGAACACTATAGAGTATTGGAGTATTTGCAAGAGGGTATCTCTGATCACACTCCGAGGGGCTCGCATACTCGCAATGGCTACCGAGGGGAACGAGAACCGAATACAGCGTACCAGTGTTGCGCGTACCGTGGCCAAGATTTTCACCGACCCTTTGGGAAAATCTAGAGCCGAGGCCGACACTCGATGATCAATCGTTCCCCACAGTTGAATTGATGATAGCTTAGCGAACAAACAAAAAGTCCTCGAGTAGTTGTCTTTCTTCCTCCTCACGTGTTCTGATCGTCAGGGACGCCTTGTCTACATTGGGTATAGTCTACTAGTTTTACCTTCCTCTCGCTCAGATCCGACCAATGAGCTATCTTTGCTTCATCATCTATTGGATCCTCCGATGTGAGAGCACTGAGTTCACTTAGTTGCTCTACTCTAAGAAAACTTTAACATTATTACAGTATTGCTCACGGGGATATTTCAAGTGAAAAGGGTGCGACGGTGTCCCTGAGATAGAACGCCACCCGGATGCTCCGTCGGTACGCACCGAAAAAGCTATATTGTGGCTTCGGCAGAAATACTTTACATTCTACGCCTTTCTGAGAGGCTACCCTTGTCACTTCAAATGATATCATGTCAATTGGAATCATCCCTTCAGTTCCTACTCCGTACATCATCGATCCGCTCCAATTTTTATTTCTAACTTGTTTCCTCCTTTTTTTCTCCTTTTTTTTTCCTTTTTTTTTCGACGACTGCTTTTGGCCCCGGTTTTGTCGGGAGCAGATGAAGCAGCGGATGTCGGAGGCTTGTCCGTAGTTTGCTGAGTGGATGTGGCACAACTGCTCTTGGAATCTGTCAGGTACCCGTGTGGGTGGGTGAAGTCGTTTTGACGGCGACAAGGGTCGTCTGTGGCCTATCTTTTGGTGCAAGCAAGCTGAAATCGATTTAGCAGGGGTGCATATTATCGGATCGAGGTCCCCCAATCAATACTGTGACATACCAGTACCAGTACGTACTCGACAGTGGGTACAATTACAGTAACAGACGTATCTGCTTTTCCGGGAGCGAGGAGGGCGAGTCAGGCCCTTATGCAGATCACCTCTGGCTCTCTCTGTGGCCCAAGTGTCTAGTCCACGACACTAATCATGATAGATGGTCACTATTGTTCTCTAGCAGGCAATGGTTCACTCGGCACCGACATGGTCTCGAAGGACCCGGCGGCACAGGGTGTTGGTTTTGATTTCCTGTCCCATGTACAGAGTAATCTCAATTCTGTCCCACGCATGCCTAGTCGCTATGATTCTCTGGGTTTCTGCATATTCGTGTCACATATCGGAGCACGAAGGCATGCTGCAGAAGGATGATTTCCCAATCTTCCCGCCATCTTGACGAACTTGTGTGACGGCCAAGGGTGGCTGTTGATGTTGGCTGACAGCTTCTGAACCTAAATTTCCCTTGTTCAGGCAACGGCACGGCACATCATTACGGAATAGTCAGGGGTAAAAGTAGTACCGTACCGATATCCCCGATAAATCTACTGTTTCGGATGATTTATCTTATTTATCCTAATCCACTGCGATGACTTCAAGTCTAAGCAAACTCTCCAACTGAACCCTTTATCCATCAAAATGCTTGTGCTTCCCGTCAAACTTGAAACAGCTAGGGATTTCAGCTGGCATCTTTTTCGATTCCATCTTGTTGAGATCAAGATGGACTAGAGGGAGCTCGCTTTTGAACCGGCTTTCATCGGGTAATCCAGCGCTGAAAGAGGGTCCGCACTCTAATCTGCTCTCTGAAGCTAGGATCTCCGATGTCAACCCGCTGCAAATCCCATCATTCATCTCGTTCTACTCAAATATCCCGGTGACGGGATCGGCATTGTGGATCTTTTTTTAAATGCGTCGTGCAGTGACAAGGTCGCATACTCCACGGCTTTATCGTGAGATGCAGACCTCTTTCAAATCGTTTATTTCTGCTCCTTTCGACAATCATTGCCTTTTGATGATGATCGACACCTGACATAAGTGTTGAAGTCAATGATCGGCATCCGTGTTGAATGCTTATGGATTGTTAGTGCACCACATCTCTCGGGAAGGTTATTGGCTCCACTGCGGGAATCTCCTTTTTCCGATGATCGTCGTTTTCAATATATTGACCTTCCCGTCTTGTCCACATCGCTAAGACCCAAGAATAATACTCGTACTAACTACTGTAATAACAGGTTTTATTATGGGTTTGCCAAATGAACTCTCGAGGTCAATGTGTTTTGGGGCCCCATTTTTTGGCGTCGTGCTCACACTGAGACAATCGCGGTTTGCGGATCAAAGTGACCTGGATTATCCGCTCTGACGGCAAGACCACCAACTAATGTAGCACAAAGAAATACATCCACTGAAATCTGTCAAAATGTCCACACTTGAGGCTAACTATCCAGGTAAATTCTTCTCCCGCCTTAGCTTGTCTTGTTTTATGATTCTTGCATGCCCAGCTCGGAGATGTGATGAATCAACTTTGCCACTGTCGTCTCAATCTATGCATTCTTTCTTTCTTTCCTTTTTTTTTCTTGCTGCGTCTCCGATAACCATTTCCACTTTTCTACGCGGTGGCGAAGAAAAGGAGAGGGGGGACCGTCTCTCAGCTTCGTTGGCCATCTATCCACGTGCTTGTGTGCGCTAATCTGCCTTCTGCACGTCAAAACTGTCAGGTTTTGGTTCGTGACGATCCGATCCATATCATAGGAGTTACTCCATCAAAGGACCGCAGCCGCAGTGTCAATGAGTCTGTGCCTTTTTGTCTTTCTTCAGAAATGAATTCTGACTATCCGGATATGCCTTCCGAAATATGATACAATCGTATTGTATTTGGAATTGTATCTTGTCCGTTACGTTCCAATATTGCAGTGCATCGCCTTTTCTTTTTTTCCCCTTTTCTTCTTCTTTTCTTTTCTCTTTTTCGTTCGAACTTTTCTCCTCTCTCTTTCTTTTCGTGCTACAGGCCACCCCTTCACTCTCACATCTTTTCACAGCCGTGCAAGCACAAGACGTTTCATGAAGGACCACTCCACCTTTACATGAGCATGCACAGTTATGTTGTTCCATTGACTTAGGATCGGACTCCTCGATGCCAGACGAACCGTATTTCCGGGCCCTGTATTTCCAGGTTAAACAATGCCAAGCGGCCAGCTTCCCAAACAACTTTTGTGACTTGATCCCATTCAAAAAAAACTAGTGCACCTCGGAAAATCTCAGTCAGGGATGCAATTCAGCAAGGACGGCTGCACAGCGTGTCCGCACAGAGCGGAAAGGAATACTAAGAATACTAAGAATACGAAGAATGCATAGACGGTCAAATTTTGCCAAGCCTTTCTGCTGCTGCAGCTTACTGCAGAATCTTGACGCGACCGTGCCCAAACGTTGAGACGCCACATGCTGACCGCCTGCTGTATTACATGGCCGCCTGTATTGCAACGTATCTGACACTACATTTGTGCAACTTCGATTTGCAGCTTCTTTTTACAGTGTATTTCATAGGATCTCTCGCTTTCGAATACACGTGGATCATATAGTACAGCGGATAGTTTATACTATCGCCTAGAGACATACCGTTGATACATGTACTATCTTCTTCTCCATACATGATTTTGTTATATTTTACTCCATGCTATTTTATTCTATTCTGTCTCACTTCATGGTATACCATTTATTATTCCATTTCTGTCTCACTTCGTCATATATCATCTCAATATATAGCTCCATTTCATCTCAATATATCAGACTTTTCTTATCACAAGCTTGTGTATCACTCACGAAACACTGACAGGCCATTGCCGTCTTTCTCATTATTTGCCTATTGCCATTTTTGCAACAGAGTCTTTTGTACGAGCATTGCATTATACATAAAATGATGAACATACCCATGTTGTCTACTGTCTACTCTGTCTACTCTAAACCTCTAAACCTCTAAACCTTATAAGTCTGTGAGACCCACACTGCATTAAATGCATAAACCCTCCTGTATACCTATTGACATTTCACTCGTAGTTTGACTTACTTTGCACAACGTTCCAATCTTCCCCAGAAAGCTTTTCCATTGGTTTGTCGATTCATTTGTTCATCCATTTATGTATCTGGAAAAGACAATGCAACATACAGCTTATTTTGTTCATGAAATAACGAGTACAATTGTTCTACTTTGACACGTCAAGTCCGACATATGGTATCTTTCTTAATATCTTACATCTCCCATCTTGGTATACCCCATCTTCCCAACCAGCCGCTGCGCTGTCGAATCCTGTACACCTCCTCTAGAAAACACATCTACATGCCCTGTATGTCTTGTTTTGGTAACTTTGTTGACTGGTAGTCGTACCTGATTGATCTAGATTGCTGGATTGCTGGATTCTTGGATTTTGGAATTGCTAGACTGTTAGAACAGTTGTAGTGCTGGTCGTCTATTTTGTCTGCTTCTGCTACAACACATAGCGTAGTAGCACAGCAGCACAGCAGCACAGCAGCATAGAAGTGGAGCAGCGGAGCAGCGGAGCAGTAGATTATTGTATGTATTGCAGTACGCTACAGCGCAAGTACATCAAGGGTAGAGTGTCCAAAAGTCGTTATATCCTCCTGACTATGCTACTTTATCATACTATCTCGACATTTCTCCGCGAGCTTGGTGAGCTTATTGGACTTGGTTTGCGTTTCTGTTCTGCTTTGTCCGCATTCCTTTGTTTCCTTTGACAGTCTAGGAGTCGAGCGGTTCAGGGTTAAAGGGTGCTGGGTTCGAAAGTCCAACATTTCAGGGTGTCAAAACTTCAGCGTCTCGGCTTTAAAGACGTGAATTGCTTCGCTCGGAGTGCACTGGCTGTCCTGGATTCGTGAACCCTGGATACTAGATATCAGATGCCACATACCTGGATATAAGTGTCAATGGCTGCGATATGCCCATGTATAATATCGTGATATACCCTGCAATTGTCTCTTCATCGATCAGCTGTTCGTTTAGCTGCCGGCGACACGGTCAGGACTGGGAGACTTCGCGCGAGGAAAAGATGGCCAAACTTTTCAAAGTTGTAAAACTTGTAGAGATAGTCCGAGAGGGTTCAATGTCTCAAGATTTCTGTGGGTTGTAGATTGCAAGTTGTAGCATGCCACTCTGCATGCCAACTAGCCGCCGAGAACGGGACTCGGGGATATCTAAAGGGCAGGGTTGTAAGAAGTGGAAATCGGTATGTTTTCAGGAGTGCTGGATTTAAGAGAGTGTGTAAGCCGTGCAGAGGGATGAGCAGCACGGCCAGGATAAGGGAGCGACGATGACGACGATAATGACAGCAGGACTGGAACAGGAGGAGGAGACACAAGGATAAATGCTGAGAAAGGGGGGGGGGGTAAGAAGAAGAATGGTAATATTAAGAATGGTAATAATAATATTATTAATAAGACAACAGCGACGAGTGAATAGAAAAAAAGAAGACGGCAAACGAACATGCAATCCAAGTGCTCGGTCCCAGTATATATCTCCCGGCTCATTGCTCAATATACCCTATATTTCGCCAACTGATATACTGATCATGTCCAAGCCAGAATATTTAGAGTCCCTTATGTATTTTCGCAGACAGTCCAGATACGTGTCGGTACGCACTCTGCTCCAGAGCTTGCGATCTGGCCACCTAGAATTAAGTGGCCTCTTTATTCGTGTTCAATTTCCAGTGTCAGTGTGCGATGCCCAGTACAAGCTTTTCGACACTTGGGACGCTTGTGATGCTTTGGCAACTTGCCTTGTGATCCATTCGTAGGGCTTGCCGTCGAGATCTCACTGATATCTCAGTCTTTGTTGTGAAGAGTATCTATAATGTGCAGCCGCGGAGCAACAGATAGCACAACTTGGCATTTTGCTTTAGTTCCAGGGAAAGGGAAGGCGAGCGGCAGGGTATAGGCATTAGTTGACAACTGTTTTGTAATGCTCGAAGCCTTGACACCTCGAACCTTGGTGTTTGAGGTTTCGAGGGTTTAAGGATCTGGCTTTTGACTTTTGACGTTCGTACAACAGGTAATCGGACCGTCGCCGACTGAGAGAATTTGAAGGCGTGGGCGCTAAAGAGTGATGCACTTTCAATGGGTCGATGGATCATATCGTTAGGAGCCTTGGATTCAGGAGAACTAGATTGCCAGGGTGGTGAACTTCCGGACGTGGGATCCATGAGTCCAATCATTCGACGAATGCTCTTCTCAATGTACAAGGGAGGAAATCTGCCCATTGGCCACTTCATCGCCGGCGGTTGAAAGGCTCTCACTATTAGTAGTAACAAAATTTATAAGTAATGGCATTCCGTTGAGAGATCTGGGCGTGACTAGCGTTCTGTTTCTCAGAAGGTCAGGCTTCGACAATCCGTAATCGGAGGATCAGGCTGGAGAAAGAAACAGAGGTGTAGCTTTTGGTTAATTCTTCCCGGTCGAAAAGTCAAGCTCAAATAAACAAGAAACAATGGACCAATGGTAGTTTTGCAGTGTTGGTAATGTGGTTTCGAGGAGCCAAAACGCCTTGATGGTGCGGTCGAGAATAGCTGATCAGTAATGATGCATCGGTGGGTTCGGTTGGCTAGTACAGTGATAACAGCTTCGTGGTTCCAGGACTCCAGTCAAAGGAGTCAATGGCGGTTAATGGTTGTTTTGTTCCTGGACCTCCGAGTGGTGTAGCATGATTGCAATTGGGTCGTTGCCCTTTGTGGGGCTGTTTTCTTCTGGCCTCAGATGGTTTTGTGAGTTTTTTCTAGCACGATCAATTGAATGATCAGAAATAGAAGGGATAGCATTATGATGATGCTCTCGAGACATCCTGTGCTGGACAGTTGAGTTCGCTGCTTGAAATTTATTCGGAATTTATAATAGAAAACGTGCATAATAAATATAAATTTCTAAAATAATCGAATATAAACAACAAAAGAAAAATACCTAGGAAAACAAAGTAAACAGAATAATTAAAGAAATCGCATTAAAATGCCTAGAAATTAAATTTGCAAAACGGGAACACAGAAAAGGCGCCGTAAATAAATAAAAAAGAAAAAAAAGACAGACAAATAAATATAAAAACAAAAAATGGGTTGGACAAAAAACGTACAACAGCGGGGATTCGCTGGTCGTCACCGACCCAACTACTAGTCCGCCGATCTGAGGCTTATGTATGGCAGAGCGGACGGGATGCCCAGTTTTCCTCAGTCTATGGTCGTACGTGCTCATTCTACCAAATTTGTACACTATATCCCTTCATAATATGAGATAATCAGGGACCGACGAAACGGTAGTTGGGAGGATTTGACCTAAACTGCACGCTATATAGTATCAGATGGCCCATTAAGTTTATCCTTATTTATTAGATATCATATATTCATAAGAAGTTGTCTGCTTTGCAGGATGGAAGTTGCAAGTACATCGGATTAGCATAAGATACGGCCCCATGTTAACGTCTTTTTACACGAAGGCTGCGAAATTGCCAAAGCGCATGATACGAGAAAGACGGAAATGCCATGCCTAGAGAAATGGCATTCTGTAATAATTGCACGCCGGAGTTCTCTAACGAACCAATCATATTACGACATGCTTGCATGTACGGGACAGGACATGGCCAGAAATGCAAAAGCAAGGCCAAGCTCGATGACGTGAAGGTCGGGTGGGGCATGAGGGGCATCAGTTGACGTCATTGCGCTGATAGTTCATCTAATTCTGGCTGGGACAAATCGTGATCCTTCTACTTTGTATGCGGATTAATGGAGTTTTCCCCATTGCAAGGTATCCGTGTACTCAACTTTCCCACTTTACGTGCAGCCTCTCGCCTCCTTGGCCTTCCCACATGGTGGGGTTCAGGTACGAAAATAGGAGAGGAGCGTTACATGGACCTGTATGAGACACAGGTACAACACCGTTGAATGGTCCATGTACCAGACGGATGTTGCATGTTGAAGATTCTACAGTACCGTACCAGTAGTAAATGCCTTAATGCTGCATATACTTTTAAGAGTCTGCAGAATGTGTTTTATCTTTTGAATTATATTAGAGAGAAATGTATGATTATCACACATACAAAGTCAATTGATGACAGATACAGCCAAGCAATCATATGCTACTCACTATCGTCATCATCTGGATTCTGGACCTTTTGCGCACAGGTCGTAGGCAAGCATTTGACAAGACAACTATCGCTTTATTATTGTGGAGCCCGGTCCGAAGTACTATTCGGACGTTGTACCGACAGTCGTCACTCTCAATCATCCCATACGCCCAAATGGTGTGGATTCGGTACATTGTCCGACCCCCAAAGGTAAACGAAGAAAGGCGCGGGGCACACACACACTTACCTCACACCTCTCATACGTCTGGTAGTGTGTAATTTCGACCCTCAGTGATCTCACTCACTGACGTGCGTTGCGTTTTCCCCAATGTGGCTGCCCCCGAACTTGTCCTTTTTAAACCCACAAGCTATCCTTTCTTGACATCTCTCTTTTTCTTCATCTCTTCAAGCCTTTCCATCAATAACACAAATCTTCCGCTACATTACTTGACCACTCTCTTCATCCCTTTTACACTCACAAGGTACGTCTCTTATCCAGACAGCATATCAGCAGCATCTGTCAATCCAGCAATCCCAACGCCTCCAACTCCCAAATTCCGCTTTGAAACACAGCACTTGTCCTTCTATCCCACATGCAATTGCACACCCCTTCAAACCCCAATTTTGGCAGAAGTCAATGCTAATAAATCCTGTCCGAGTAGCATCAAAATGTCTGCCCCCAACGCCGGCCGTCAGTCCCCTCCCCCGGAGCGCCAGAGCGCTGCTCAGCTCAACGAGGTCCCCGCCAGCGGCAAGGCCGCTGCTGCCCCCTCGGCCGAGCACGCCAAGCAGACCAGCGAGCAGACCAAGGAGGGTTTGAGCAGCAACCCCACTGCCCCTCTTGACCAGGCCGCCGAGGCCAAGACCAGCAAAGAAGGTCGCGGTCCTGGCATCTAAACTGCCCAAAATCAGTTTTTCTCCACACCTTTTCTCCTAAAGGTAAGATACCAACCCTTTTTTCCCCGGCCAACCAGCGCAACCAAAGCTAATGTATTTCCCAGAATGAATAATTGAATCCCTCAAAGATATCAAGTCGAGTGATGATATCCATTCCCCACAACCACCACTATGTTTAGCGGCGGGATCAAGAACCCGGTGTTTCTGGGATTTCTGTTTGTCATGAATTTACGTCCGTCAATTAGATGACACGAATAATATTTATGAAATAAATACCATACTTTTTTTTTTTTTTTAAAAAAAAAAAAACTGTCAATTGTGCAACTGACTTGTGATGATCTCATCCGCCCACTTGGCAAAGGTGTAGAGAACAACAAGTCTACATAAGATCAGGAAACTCCCCTTGTACATATTCCTAACCACCGTCGGTTAGGTTATCCGCCATAGGAAACAGCAACATGGCCTATGACTCTCACAGCTAAGCCTAAGACTACAACAAGTGGTCCTTGATTGCACTGCACGTTAATCTGAACTTTCTCAATTGCCATTCAATATTGACTACTAAACTGCATGCTTTACTCGAGAGAACGCAGCCCACCAGACAAGCAAATCATCAAGCAAGCAAGCAATAGCTGAAAAAGATCTTGAGAATCATAAATCATTTCTGTCGTAGCCGTAGCCGTCGCCGTAGTCACCCATCAGCCCCATACTTTCGCCATTCCCTCTCACCACACCAGCGTTAAACTCATTCGCCATCTCGTCATCCTCAATGAAGCCTCTCCCTGGGGCAGGAAAAGAAGGAGGGGCTGCTGCTGATTCTCTAAACAGACACGAATAAATCAGACGGCTACTCTTCTGTCCAAGAGTACAGACGGTAGTAGAGAGCGAGAGGGAATATGGCAGAAGTGACAGTAAAAGAGAAGACAGAGTCTTCGTTCAGGGTTTGAGACGGGATCAATGAATGGAGGACAGTCAAAGTGGAACAAGAACAGATGATGGGCTTTGACAATAGAATGACAGGAGCAGAAATCATAAAAAAAAATAGGATTGCCTGAGGAAAGCAAAAAGAATAAGGGATAAAAGTAAAAGAAGAAACAACCAACCATAACGATAAGCATAAAATGACCAACACTCGGCACGCTCCTTTAAGAAGACTTCTCGCTAGCAACGTTTTCTCCGAGAGGCGCCACGTTCGATTGAGCAGCAACGTCCGCACTCGGTCCAGTGGCAGTCTGTTGCTCAGCTAAACCAAAAACACCGCGAAAAAGACACGCGGCCCCAACATTAGCTTTTCTTTCTCTCTCAACACCACATATAAAAAGAAAAGAAAAGGAGAAAAAGAAAAAAGGAGGATATTGTCCTGAAACACACAACTGGTTTGAATGCGAAAAGCTACTTTCCGCAGCCAGAACAGCCGCAGTGCCCCGGCTCGCATTTGCATTCGCCTTCATTTGCGCCGCAGTTGCACTCCGTCTTTTCCGTCTGCGCAATCTGATGCACATCCTTGGGGTTCTTGGCACAGCCGCCACAGGCACAGTGTCCCTCCCCGCACGAGCAATTCTTTGAGTTGCCGCCGCAGCCGCAGGTAGTAAACTCTGTGCCTGGGATATGGTGCACAGCAGACTTGCCGCAGTCCGCGCAAGCGCATTTTCCGGGCGGGCAGGAACAGGCTTCAGTATGAGAATCGCACTTACACGTCGTGGACTTGCCACTCTTGAGATCGGCGAGACGGCGAGCTTCGGCATGGATGTCGCGCACTTGCTTGTCACCCTGGGTATAGAATGCACGGACACGCTGGCCGGTGGGGGTGCCAAGCGCCTTCTCAAAGTACTGGCCCAGGCTCTTCCAGCCGGCGTTGGCCTTTTCGGAGATGCCGTAGCTGGTGTCCAGCCCCTTGGCCTTGTCGGTGGCGTGGTACTTGCTGTCAAAGTTGGTGAGGGCTTGAGTGAAGCGGCTCGAGATGCCGTGCTTCTGGTCCAGAGCAATGGCGCGCTCAATCGCAGCGTCGCTCAGTGCGTATCCATGCGCAAGGTACTCGGCTACGATGCGAGAGCGGGGCTTGTCTTCTTGTGGGATATCATTGTCGTCGCCGCCCAAGCCACCCTCGTCTTTCTCTCCGGCGAGCTCTTCAAGACTAGCGGCACTGGAGACTGATACGGCAGATGGGCCAAGCTGAGTGTTGTCAAGTAGAAGAGCGGTCTTGGCAGCACTGTTTCAGGAAAGAGTCATAAGTCATGGTCCATCTGACGGTGAGCATCTTCCGGAACCCGCAAATGAAGATGGCCACATTCAAACAAGGTTGCCAACTTACGTTTCCTTTTCAAAGGTTACAGTGGCGGACTGAGGGCTTCCATGACCATCAGAGGTGGGCGTCACGGAGAGAGAGCTGATCTTTCCGCTGTAGACAAGCAAGAGCGATTAGTGAGACTGGAAGGGATAACGTCCTCAAAGACGACGTACCAAAAGCTAAAGAAATCCCTGACTTCCTTTTCGGTAGTCTGCGCAGCAATGTTGTTCACATGAACGGTGTTGGCCATGTTTGCTGTTGTGATTTGTTTGACGCAGTAAAAGTACTAGAGGTGATACGTTCAACGCTTGAGGAGTTGTTTCAAGTTTGCAAAAGTCGAGGTTCGCTGGGAAAGGAGTTTAATAAATACTCTGAAGGTGAATCCAACAAATTCCCCGTTGAACTATCCTGGGAGGTAAGGAGAAGTGAATTGGGGAACTGGTTAGAAGCACCAGGTATGTGGTGTTTGCCTCTTACCGCGTGTGTGCTTAGCCCGAAGGAGCTATGGGCCGCGCTAATGAGGGGCTTCGTGCAGCCCCAATGCTGACAACGTCATCGGTGTGACGAAGGGCAGTGGAGGGGATGTACTTTGCCCAGTGTGGCGGTGTTTGGCGGTGTCACTACAACCACAGCTCACGCCTCGGCTATCACGTGCGTGATCGCATGTCTTACTGCCATTATACATTCAAGCAATTGAAGAGCCAACTTCATTTCGTTCTTCACTTGTGTGCATTATGGGCTGAAATGGAGTTTAATAAAAGCGTAGAGAGAGATCAGATTCTCTTTGATCAGAGTGATGACGAAAACAGAGAAAAGGAAAAAGCAAGAGAAAAAAAATATTGCTACAGAGAATGGTAAATTCTGGGACAGCTTCGCTCCTAGCTGTATTTGCAATCCTGCTGCCTGGCGCCTTTGCTCCCCTTATTGAAAGCTGCTTCCCGAGCTGGTCAAAGGCATCCATCCAAGGAAGGAGATAGATACTGTCAGTCAAACCCTACCTCCCAAAACCGAGAAGCGCCGTGGCCACATAAAAAGTGAAGAAAAAGAAAAAAAGAAAAAGACCAAATATCGCAAATGGAAAGACGTAGGGAGTTGATGTGCTTATTATCATCTTATGCTCGAAACCACACAAATTGCAGGTTGACTTGTGCTGCGTGGCCGTCTATGGGATACTCTATGTTTCTGCTGTTCAAGGTCCTGCGCTCACAGAGCTAAGCTTGGGAGCTCGTAGAAGTTGGGCCGTTATGGTCGGACACCTGTGCAGTGATGTTTGGATTCAGTGCTTTCACCGTCGCCACGCTCTCCCCTAGATCACCTTCATCTGACGCAGGCGTAGCGCTAGTGTCATTCTCTAACTCGGTTTGGGCGGGCGCCTGAGAGTCTGGATCCTCAGCGTGGTTCACTGCTGCTGCATTATCCTCCTCCTTCTCCTGTTCTCCAATCATCGCAGCCAAACTTCTAAAGTTCAGCAAAGGCTCGAGGCTCGAAGCGCCCCCAGCAGGAGTCGAAGTGCCCAAACTGTCGTATTCTCCGCCCGCATTCAAAGCTGGGGTGCTAGAGGTGGGGTCAAAAGATGAATTGGATGCAGCAAATTCGTTGCGTACAGAACCAGGACCAGAATCTAAAAAGGAAGACGCCGAGGAAGATGTATTAGAGACGTGTCGCAAGTGAGAGGGCCGGGAAGGAGTCAAGGTGTCTGCTGGATGGCTGCGAGGCAGCTCACCGCCGCGGATTGACATGTCGCTCATGGTATTTCCAGATCCAGATCGTAGGCGCCCGCTGGAGGAGGAATGCTCACTAAGAAGAGAAGGTCTCAGTGGTGCAGCGTCAGATGCGTTGCTCTGTGGCCGATCCACACTCTTGCCCTTTGACTGTATGGCAGAATCTCTCACTGTGGATGAAGTGGACACGCCCGGATTAGTCTGCGGAGAGTTCGCGATTGATGATGCTGAAGCGTTCTCGCTTGCGGCGTTATGATAGACACCGCCTTTCTTTGCCGCCTTCTCGGCTTTCCTCGTCTCCTTCTCCTTCTTTTTGGCCGTTTTCTTGGCTTCCTTTTCCTCCTTGCGCTTTCTCTCCTCTTCAGCTGCCAAACTCAGCCGAATAGCTTCCATCATCATCATCTCTTCCAAGTCCTCAAGCCTACTCCTCCGTGAACTAACTCGAGCAGGAGTTAGACTGACACTGGGCCCCTCAAAAGCATTACCATTATTGCCCGGCCCAGACTCTCGATCAATGGCCTGGATGAGTCCGCCAAGACCACCGGCACCAAACGTATCCCGTGGTCTGGCTTCACTGACATTCTCATTACTTGCACCAGGTCGTCGAATCAATCCACTACGTCTGCCAAATCCGCCGAATCCCCGTGATTCAGCGCCGCTATTGGTGTTTAGTAAATATGCAGCAGTATGCAAGGCCGTAGCGGCAGCAGACCTGCGTGCGGCATGTGCCCGAGCATTCGCAAGTTTTTGAGCCCAATCGGGTCGAATTTTATCAGTGGTGATAACAGCAGGGGATGTCGCAGACAAAGAAGTCGTCCTCCGCCGACCTGTCCCTTGAGGAGAAAGACGGTCTCCAGCAGCGCCCACGGAGGAAAGCGAAGATGAGGAGGACATGGCGGATGGACCATGGGCAACTCCGCTTGCATGTGCATATACGAGGCCCTTTCGGAATGGAGGCGGCTCGTACGTGATCCCGAATTCAGGCTGAACGCAGAATGGGCACGCTGCCGGCTCCGAGACCAGGGTGAGCTCTTCGACCTGCTCTCTCCCTTCACCGCCGTTGTTATCATTGTGTTCCGGTGGATGCGGATCGGGCCTCTTGATTTGAACGAAGCACTCCGAACAAATGGCTTGATCGCAGCAACGAGTCTTATTGAGATAAGGCGGGTAGTATAAAAAGCAAATGGGACATTCAGTCGCATCTTTGTACAAATATGCCTCGACGGGTTGGCCATTAACATAAGGATCCTTGGGCAAATGCACCTCCCTTGGAGTCATATCCATGGGTGAATTGCTCTTCGATGTGGTCAGCGAGGCCAAGGTTTTAGAACGTCCGCGGAAGAGAGGTGATGTTGCAGATGGCGCAAGCAAGGGAGACGTGGTATTTGGAAGCGATGAAGCTGGCTGCGAACCGTCAGAAGTCGCGGAATGAGTACGCGCAACGATCGGAACGCTCAAAGTATTCTTGGGTTGCTCAGAGGCATGCGGATCGGAAACGTTGGTGGTGGACCTGCTTGCGAACTCGGCAGGTATATCATCAGCAGCGGGAAGCGGAAGACCCCTCGCTGCGGCCACAAGTTGATGCTCAGTCCATGAGTCGGAGTGGTCGTTGAGGCCCTTCCAAAAAGGAGCAAGACGTCTTTCAATCTATATTCCGCAATTAGCTCAGCCCAGCGACTCACGTCACAATTGTTTTGGTAGACTTGCCATCAACTGTCTAACTATGGCCTTGTTGAAATCCTCCGGCCCTGTGTAGACACCCTGCGTGACGAGAAAGCCGCCATCTACGCTTTCCTCTCGTATGCTTCGCTCTCTCTCCTTTTCCCTTGCAATCCTCTCTTTCTCTAGCCTTCGAGCTTCTCTCTCCTGCTTTGTCTCCCTTCGAGTCTCAGCGGGCGCTTCATCTCGATTGCTTGACCCGCCTATGCCAAGAAAGCTAGTGAGATCTGGCCTGCTCCCTCTCGCAGGACGAGAGCTGTAAATAGGAGACGCTTGACGGCCTAACGGGGCGAGTCCAGCTCCGACGGCAGCCGGGCCGGAGGAGCTATGATGCCGTGACCCTGAAGGACGGGATTGTGCTTGACGTTGCTCTTTCGTTGCAGAGTTACCCATTGCCGAATCACGGCCGTATTCGAGGCCGGAGAAAGTCGTGAAGGGAGATCAAGCGGAGACCCGCGGATGACGCTGATGATTTCGAATGTTATGGTAAGAGGGAGAGCTTGGGTGACCAGACCAATAGCTCACAGAAAGAGAAACGGGCGATGTTTGATGTGAAACAATCCAAAATATCCCGCAGATGACCGCGTCAGAGTAAATGTGGGGGGGTTTTTCTAAGTTAAGGTGGAAGAGTGAACGCAAGAGAGCTACACTTCACCAGTGGTCAATGCGTGCCACATCCGATCGCCAGCTGCGGACAGCAGGTGTGCACCGTTGGACCAAGGATGGGCGAGGGAATGAATGAATATGCAATCATGAATAAGACAACATGATTCCCCCTAGAGCTTGTCGAGGTCGAACGATCAAAGGACAACGAACGAAGAGCGAACAATAGGGTTGGATGATGATGATCGATTATGACCTGGCTGGGCGACAAGCGTAAGATGGGGTGGTTGATGGTTGTGTTCCTCGGGCTCGCTACGGGTGGGAAGAGTTAGTAGTGAAGCGTTCGAGTGGGAAGGATAGACAGCACAATGTACTACAAGTAAGGATTAAGTATGGCAGAGGTACTTCGTGGTCCAGGAGCATACGTCGTCTTTCCTTGGTTCGAGTGGAGGCGGGAGACGACATGGCCGCTACTGTCTCCACTATAGGATCACCCGGCCTAACCCAAAGTATCTCTTTTGTACATCATCTTTGGTCCGACTAATCCGGTTCTTCTACTGGTGTTTTATATCGCGCTCCGGAAGCCAACGAGCCGATCCTTCTCCGTTCTATCCACCACCCACGCTAGATAGCCCATTGCTGGACAGCACATGCGACATGAGACAACCTACGCAAATGTCTATCCGACAAACTAGAGTGGAAGACATGAATTTGTAAGACTAATTAGCCAGTTTTTCGGAACTGCTATTCCAGTGTCAGGGGCATGGAGAACAAAAGAATACTCCGTAGTGCATGGTCTGTGAGCTAAACCAGTTGAAGCGCTTCATTCTGCAAGACAGTCATTGTCAGGAAGGCAGACCAAGTATTGGCCTGCATCCATCACATGAAACCAAATATTTGAAGTCCAGCGATCTTCATGCATCACCTAGATTTTACATATGAAAAATAATCTCTGTCACGAGACCCCATAAATTATCAAGTAAGCAAACGGGGAGACTTTGAACAGTAGAATAGTCGCTGAGAGCGTGGCTGCACAACTGAACTCCTCATAAAAAGCTAAATGTATGAATAGTTTGATATTGAAAAGGCTGGAAAAGAAAGTTCTGAACGCAAGGTAGCAGACTAAAGAATCAGTATACTCCGTGCAAACACGTCCGAGTCTGAATAGATGTGACAGCTCAAATATAAGGAACATCAGTAAAACACATGGAGAAAATTAATCACCACCTTACGATAGTTGAATCTTGTCGTCCTCGGGAATTGCAATCTCTTCGCCCTTGACCTGTCTTCTCTGCGCAAGCATCCATTTAAAAAGCTCAACATTATTATAAGCATTCGTCCAGCTATCGTGCGTAGCGTCCGGGTGTCGAGTAAATCGGACGTCTGGTGCTCCGGCCTTCTGCAGTGCCTTGACCATTTCCTGAGACTGGCGCACAGGAATGATGTCATCAAGATCTCCATGATGAACCCTGGTCCGGCAAATGTCAGAAAATAATATGTTCCGAATTCAATCTCACTTAGTAAAAGAGCCTCAAGAGAACGGAGAATTGTGTTCAATCCAACAAAAAGGTAAATGACTTACCATTGAGGAACGTGTCTGATGTTCTTCACCCTTAATGAATCACCTCCTCCACATACAGGGACAAGACTTGCAAAACGTTCCGGCGTCTGCATGGCCAGCTTCCATGTGCCATAGCCTCCCATAGAAAACCCCGTGACGTGGACTCGGTCGACATCAACTCGATACGATTGGACAATTTCATCAAGCAAGCTCGACAGTACCTGATTATTCCACCCATACCCCCATTCCATGTTCAGGGAAGGTGTAACAGTGATAAATCTTTCTGCAACGAGGTTGCACACATCCTCGGGCACAGGCTCAGACGACAGGTCCGAACCATTTGGATTCCTCTTTAGAAGGCGAGGGGCTAGCGGAATTTGTATTGAGGGCGGATTCATTCCGGACTTCACTCTGTCATAGCAAAGTATGATTTTGGGAATTCCATGTCGAATAGACACATAGGACTCATTAGCGCCGCGCTGAGACTCCCCGGCACCGTGGAGAAAAAGAATCAGTGGCCACTGTTTTGCAGGCTCCGAGTCATATGAAGGCGGGAGAGAGACATAGTGCTCATATCCAAAAGGGGCAGAAGAAGTTGATTGGTCAAAATAGTCAAAGGATATGTTTCGAGTGACTGCGTAAGGATGGCCAGGGTCTTTGGAAACATGGTGAATTTCTGGATGATGCTGCATGATAGAAACCTTTTCAATAAATGTGCCCGACGACAAACGGATTGCTCCTTGGTAGTTCAAAGCAGTCTTGACTTTGGGCCAAATTGACATCAACAGAGACCGAAACAAAAACGAATTCAGGGCTGGACACGTAAGAGAGCCTTTTTATATATTTAGAGTACATTTTTCAAAATAATGAAGCAATAGCAACCAAAACGCGGGAAATCTGAGAGTATGTTTGCCACAGTTGATGTCTTGAAATGACCTTGACGGGATAAAGTCCCGTCGAATAGGGATGGTTGCCAAACAAGACAAGCACTTTCAAACGAGCCGCCCCGCGCTTAACCTTGTATGCGGGGACAGCCGCCAGGCCGCCTGGTGGCAAAAAAGCGACTCCAAATCCACAGAACATTACCCGGCAAAATCTTATCACTCTAAGGGTTGGGATTTCCAGCGAAGCAGGTCATTTAATAATTTCCAACCTTGGTTCAAATCAATTCCCGCGCCTTTTGAATCATGGGTAACGATGGAGGAAGCATTCCCACGCGGCGAGAACTTGTCAAGGAGGCTTCTCGAAATCCGACGACATCGCAGGTCAAAGAATCGCAATCGGAGCAACAAGAGTACCACTGGACTACCTGCCCGCTATCGCACCGTCCGCTCGCACTGCCGGTAGTCTCTGATTCATCAGGGAAATTATATAACAAGGATGCTGTTCTCGAATCTCTGTTGCCTTCCAGCGATGGGAACAAAGCCGACAACGAGCAGGTTCTTCAAGGGCGAGTGCGCAGCCTGAGGGATGTCGTGGAAGTCAAATTCCAAGAAGACAAAGAGCCTAGTCAGGATAAGAACCCGCGAGGACAGCGATGGGTTTGCCCAGTGACGAAGAAGACCCTGGGTCCTGGAATTCGCGCTGTGTATCTGGTCCCCTGTGGACACGCATACTCTGAAAGTGCAGTCCGGGAACTGGCTGGCGAGAATTGCCAGGAGGTAAGTCGGACCCCCATTCAAAGTGGCATTGACAAGGGGAAGCGAAGGATTTTATATGCTAATATGGTGGCTGTAGTGCAACGAACCTTGTGCACCCGAAAATATTATTCCGATCCTTCCTACGTCTGCTGCTGAGATTGAAAAGCTCGCTGCACGAGCAAACAAACTCAAAGAACAAGGTCTTACTCATTCACTGAAGAAGGCACTTGGATCGAGCAAGAAGCGCAAGAAGAATGGCGAGACATCCGTTGCAGCGGAGACCGGCGCTTCGTCGTCATCGAATGGAGAAAAGGACGCAAAGAGTAAGACTGCTACAAAGGCAGCAACGCCACAACCCACGAGTGGTACCGCAACGCCGAGCAACGGCATTAAGAATGCCGCGACTGCATCTTTGACTGCCAAAGTACTCGAGGAGGAGGCAGAGAGAAACAAAAGAAGAAAGTATGGAACTAACGACAATATCAAGAGTCTCTTCTCTTCGGGAAACGGTGCTGGCAAGGACGGAGATTTTATGACGCGTGGATTTTCGATTCCTGCTGGCGCAAAGAGATGAATCTACATACCCAAGGCGTTGGTTGGCGTACAAATCATAACGGGTCGCCGCATATATACTTTTATATGAAATATCATATGCTTGGTTCGGCTCTCCAATTTTGTTCAATCTCACTTGAGCGTTCGCTTTTTTGTATTGATTTAGAAGAAATCTAGACTTGTTACGAATGAATATATTGTGCTTTTGATTCACTTTCTCGCAACTTTCCAGTTGGCCTGAACTTTCGCATTAGAATCGCCCGACATTTCCAGCCTCGTCAGTATGTGATTCTTATATCACCGTAATGATCCAGCCGTCGCCACATCGCTCGTTATCTTCGTTCAACCCGCCCCAGATAATGACGGAGCCGGGATCCGTGTCCGCCGCTGGCGCACTTGCAAACCAGCCCCTACTTCCCAGGTGCTTGGTTTCATCGCTCTGTTCTTTCCCTTCTTCATCAACGATTTTCACCTCTGCCCATTCTCCCTCACCAGTTCTCTTGCCAATGAGCTGCCTCGTGGCATCCTTGAAGCTTGCCGCTGTCATTCCGTCCGGCTGTAGCTGGAAGCTCCATATGTCACTCCAGAATTTTCCAGCGCCTGCGTGGCCCTGTGAGCTGGGATCCCTCTCGCCAAACATTAGCAAGAGGTAGTTGCGGCCCTGGCCCGTTGTTACTGGCTGTAGACCAGCAACGCTCCGGTTTCCAGGGAGCTCCAGGTCAGCATCGAACGAAATGGTTTCCCAGTGGTCTGAAGTGGAAGACAAGCACATCTCGCCTGTGCCACCCTTGTCATTGAAGGTAGCTCGGACAATGTGTAGGTAGTCTATCTGCCCACCAATTTCACTTTTCCCATCATATCCGCCAAAACGAAAGAGTTTGTTATGAGCAAAGGCAAGACTTGGCCCGCCTCTTTCCGGACCAGGAGCATCTGGAAATTTTGTCCACGTCCGAGAGGCGACATCAAAAGCCCACAGATCAGATAGCCTACCTGACGCAGTGCAACCAGCGTGGACAAAGAGCGTGCCATGATCGCTCGCCGCAATCTCCTCACCCCGTGCATACGTATTACCTTGAGATTTTGACGGGACGGGATGCTCATTAGCAACAGATGCATGGTATGATCTTGCCTCTGGGTAAGGCGAGTCCTGGACGGGATCGAGTTTACTCCATCGGCTTGTGCTGGTATCAAATACCCAGACTCGGCCTTTCTCTTCCAAAGCTTTCATGTCAGTGCCTCCACGACCGCCAAACACAAATATCCGGTCCCCAATGGATGATGCGGTATGTCCAACTCTCGGGGCAGGCAGTTGGTCGCCGGGAATCGCTGCCTGTGGCGCAACGACGCGATAGTCGGCATCTGTGGCGGTCGTGGATGGATTTGGAAGAGTATACACGTGCATAGCATTATCGACAGGCTCACGGGGAGATATTTCACCGCCAAAGATGTACGCGTGGCCTCTGATCACGCACAGAGAATGAGATGATCGCGCAAGCGGGGTGCTGCTTTGAATCCGGCTGAGGGAAGCCTTCAGAGGCATGGTCGGGCGAGCAACGCCTGCTGCAATGCCAACGGCCCCTTCAACAGCCGTCTCTGCTCCATAGATGGCTCCCGCTGCTGCCGCATCCATTGCTGATGTCTGATGTTATCTCTTGGCCCGAAATTAGGCAGAAATGATATTGAATATGCTTTAAAGTGCACGACGGGAGTGTAGTGTAAGGGTCTACTAGAACTACGGAGTAAGTACCAAGGTAGGTATGCCGAGGGGTAAACACGAGGTGACGTATACCTGGCTAAGGATAGCGGGGGTTAGCGTGGAGACTATAGTAAGTAGGCTGATAAGATCGGTGCTCCAACGAGTGTGATAGTGAGGGGATTGAGTATGCCATAACTGGACTATAGTTATGCCGTATCACTACAGCATAACCGTGCAGGGTGGTAGTCGTAGGGCAAATCGTTCCTCAATCACTACTCATTGAAGAGTATCAGTGTTGTTATGCAACCCTTGCTTCTCAGGACATCCACCGATGCTTTGCTAGATTTCACTCATTGTGAAAAGGACTTGGGGAAATAAAGGTGCCTAGATCAATGCAACAATCACGTACGAGTAGATTATTGTGCTGCGCCATAGCATCGGACGAGGCACAGAGGGCCCTCTGCCAAGGACCTTCCGCCTTTGGTTCGCTCCGGCAGGAGATGTCCCCTGTCAAATCCAAATGTAAGTTAAAGCAAACCAGGCTAGGGATCAGCTAAAGATTTCGCGTGTCCTTCTAACTTTATGCCATCCAATAGTCAAGAGAACAATACTTGACCCGTTGCGATTGTCCCATAATTTGCAGCAGCACGTCAACGAATCAACTCTCGTTCTCCATGTACGGCCCGCTGCATCTGACTCATTTGACAGGCATCAGCGATAGTAAATGATGGAGAGCAAGTGCTGCAACAACAAAGGCGCGAATGAAAGGAAACCTCAACTAATCGGGAAAAGCTCCACGTCAGGACGTGCCTTTGTCCGGGCTGAGATGCATGGACCTGTCTGATTACATTGTACCATATCCTTAACTCTGCTGCCTTGGGAGCAAATAGAAAGAGGGTTCAGCTCCATAAATCACGAACGTGGCTCAGCAACTGATGCTCTTTGGCTTGATTATTAGAGATTGTCGTTGATTTCACAATAGAAAGCTTTTCAAAATCAGTGTACTCTTGCGTTCGATTTTGTGTCCTCAGAAAGGCATCAATTTAGGAAATTTCGACCAGTTAACCCACTTCGTTGGACGTCTGCATTGACCGTATTGTATCTCCACTTTTATACATCATGGTCCTCCAACTCGCTCGCGCCACTATCGACGACGTCGAAGCCCTCGCTGAATGCGGCCGTCTCGCTTTTGAGAATGACAAGTTGAACAATCTGCTTTTGCCACCAACCCCGGCCGTTCAGCAATGGCGGATCGACCGAATCAAATCGCGAATCAATAGCCCGCATTTTCACGCTTGGAAAGTGACCGACTCGGAGCGTGACGATTTGGTCGTTGCTCTTGCTGGCTGGATTGGTGCTGTTCCACCAGAGGTGCTGGACGAAATAAATGCTGAGGCTTCACAGCTTAGTCTCCCTGAGGGTGCAGACGAGGAATTGGCGAACTCCTTTTATGGGCAAGTGAAAGAGAAGAAGAAGAAGTTTGCGGAAGAGCATCCGAGATTTTGGTGTAAGTACCATATACTACATTATATTTTCTCTTGCGCTTCCGATCTTTCCTCCGAGACAGATATCGAATTTGAGCAATTGGTTAATCTGTGCTCGTTTTATCTTCCAGATCTAGCATCACTCGCAACTCGCCCAGATTATCAACGTCGAGGCTGCGCAGCAATGCTGCTGCAATGGGGCTTAGACCAAGCCGGAAAGGATGGAACAGTCGTGTATCTGGAGGCCTCGGAAGCGGGGCTACCCTTTTACTATCGTTATGGCGCACAAGAAGTTGATTTTATTGAGACCTTAGGTGGTCAGTGCAGACATGCCTGTCTCGTGATACATCCAAAAAAAATGAACGCAGAGGGATCATGATTTTTCTTCACCAATATTTGCTGGCATGTCATAAATAATACATTACTATCAGATTCGGACCTAATATAAGTAATACGGTTAATCTACGCTATGATATCTTAATCAAATAAGAGCTTCTGACTCATCCGCAAATTGACTCGCGGGGGATGAGGCCCAGAGCCCATTTTCTCTCGGAAATATATGATGAATCACAACTGGCTCTCTCAGTCCTTCCCGGTCCACGACATGATGAAGTCCCTAAAAGGGCCGAGCAAAGCAATCTGCAAAAACAAAAAAAAAAGACGCTTAGAAGGCGTGAGCATATACTGCTACGGTAGTTCCGTTGAAACCACACAGTCCGGGGCCTTCCGGGCATGCACCACAGTTCGTAATAAGAACTTGGCCGCTGCCAACACCTGCCATTGGCACCAGATTGATGGTATTACCACAATAGCAGTACGCACCGGGAGTCGCCGCTCCTGATGGAGTTCCAACAGTTCCGAAATAATTATAGGCAGAGACAGCACAAGTCGATGCGCACGTGGAGTCGTCCGATGCTGTGTACAGCCCTTCGTAAGTAGTGAGGGCGTTTCCGGATGAGCTTCCCTGACCACCAGTTTGGATAAAGCATCCCAAGAAAGAATATCCAAAGCCGGCTGCGCCAGTTGGTCCAGCTGGACCAGAAGGTCCCGATGGCCCCGATGGCCCCGATGGTCCAGTGCTGCCAACCGGTCCAGTCGCGCCTGTAGGGCCAGTTGGTCCAACAGCGCCTGTGGGTCCAGCACTTCCCACGGGACCAGAGGGCCCAGACGGGCCGGTCGGGCCAATAGGACCAATTGCACCAGTTGGGCCAGAGGGACCTGAAGGGCCAACTGCGCCAGAGGGACCAGAGGGACCAGATGGGCCGGCAGCACCAGAGGGACC